TTCTGCAATCCATCTACTTCTTAGTCTGTTCTTTCCCCCCCCCCCCCCCCCTCCCCCTCTTCCTTGGCCAGATTCCTATCCTTCTTTTCCCCCTCCCTCCCTCCACACCTCCCCTTCAAATTGCTTCACTGTTCTCCTGATTGACTTCGACGCTTTTGCTGTTCGCTTGTAACCTTTTTATTTCCTACCTCTCAGAAACCCCCATGATGGAAAAAGTCGCCTTGAACATTTCTCAGGCAATCATTCATTAACGGGCGCAGTCTCAATCTATGAATGTCTCGCATTGCAGTTGAATTCGGTCATCCGTACGAGATTGAAGTTAAGGGAAGGACCAATTGTCCAGTTGTCCCTGTCTCTGTCTCCACCTCGTGATTGAGACCTTCCTTGATCATGCTCCTGCATGGTCTAAACAAGTGTCCTCCTACATGATCATACTGCAAACCACTATTCAGACCACTATCGTCACTCGCATTCCCATCGCTGTCAGCTGTCGCCTCTCCTATCCTGCCTTCTGCGAGCCGTTCTCGCATCGATCAATCGAGATCCGTCTGCATTACTTCCCGTCAGATTGCATTGCACGCGGGACGTCAAATCTTCTTGTTTCTCTCTGTAATATACCTTCATCATGTGCTACAAACTTGTGGAACGGTTTGCGGCTTGCCGATGTCTCTACTTCCAGCACGCGGTTGATCCGTGTGAAGCCTACGGTCAGCGCGGTCATTCGATTCAGGAGAAAGTCGTTCTGGTCGGATATGCCTGCGCTCAACACTCGATCAAATTGCACGGTGGCATCGCAAGTGATCTCAAGACACCCCAAGACTCAGGGTATTCCAGCAGCAAGAGTTGAACCTTGAAGGGCATGACGGACATACATCAGACGACAATTTCGACTCTCATCTGATTAGCTGCAGGCAATAACTCAGTGCCCCACTCGCTTCAGCAACTCTCCGGCTGTGAGAATCTCTCGACTTCATTCAGTTCGATTCAGCGAGCACTTGGCTTGGCAGGCTCCGCCCAAACTTGTGTCTTTGGAAGATACTATTCTTTTCTCGTTGGTGATACATGCTGGGGTGCTGCGCTCTTCGGTCGCTTCACCAGCGTAATCCCTTGTCTATATTGTTGGTCTCTCTCATTCGAAGGTCTTACCTGTTCGTGCGCACAATTAATCTCAGGCGGAATCAGCATAGCGGAGCGTCTCTGCTGAGTTACCGTGGTTCATTGCGAACACATGGACAGGATGCATAGTGTTGACAACCATCTGATTTTAGCATGGGCTCCTTTAACATTATTGGAACGAGTGTGACCTAGAGGAGGAGTTGAGGGAATGGAAGGGTCTTACGACTCGAGAGGAACCGTATCAGGAATACGTTGACGGGCTGGATAGCAGCTCGATTCTTCTCCATGTACACTTATTATATTCCGATTCATACTCTGCTGTCTGGATGGCATATTGACGATTTGTCACTTAATTCTTAGACTCAATTGAAAAAAAATTGAAAAAGAGTAGAAATTATCCAGGTGATAAGTAGTAGGCCACTTGTGTTGTTGTACCTCTTAGTAATCCATTTTCCCAGTCCCCGGAACATCCAAAGATCCGCCCCGTCGTCTCTCTATCGATTATTGTTCCCGATAAGCATTCCATCCTCCAACTTCCCAGCCGATTCAATCCCCTTGAAACCATAATTTTCCATTGCGCCGGTCAATCTATCAACCGCCTTCAATTGTGAGCCGCGCACCGTGGTGACTACGCTGAGAATAACTGTCTACTCGATCACAGTGGTGTACGCGTGCTGAAGTTTCCGCGCGTCTGCGTTCAGACCGCGACCGGCTTGAGCCATGTCGCAATTGCAGGAGGATCCAGCCACTGTTCTCGAGCAGTTCGTGCACGATGTGGCTAATCTGCCCGCAGAGATCAACCATTTGATGGAGGAGATTCAGGCCAAAGACAAGACCATTCAAGAATGTCGAACGACGATCAATTCGCGTGACAGCAGCCTTCAGAAATTCATCAAACTCAACGGTAGCCTGACCCCCAACCCGAAGGAAGAGCAATACAGCAAGACGATCCTCCAGAACCTCGACAAGTCTCAACTCCTGCAGGATGAGAAGATTCAACTCAGCGAGAAAGCGTGCGTCCTCCTGGACCGCCAGATCAAACGCCTGGACATTGCGATCCATAAATTGCAAAGCAATGGCATGCTCTCGAATGACCCTCCGCTCCCCTCCCTATTCAACAACAAAGACCAGTACCGCGACCCCCCGCGAATCTTCTTCCCGGACTCAACCGTCGACGCCGCAGCCGCCTCTTCCTCCCCGACCGCCGCAGCACACGCCAACGGCGGCGGCGGCTCCTCCTCCGCCTCGGGCGGCGCCGCGAACCTCATCCTAGGCGCAACCCAGCGCCTCAACCAGACCTTCGGCCGCAACGCCGCCGCCGCTGCCGTGCTGAGCTCCCCGTCCGCAGTTCGCTCCTCCGCACCCGCCACCCCATCCGGCACAGCGCACTTCCAGCAACGACACCAGCGCGAATCCTCCGCCGGCGCCGTGGAGAACAAGCGGCGCCGTTTGAACGCCTCCCTCGGTACCCTTCCCGCCGCTTCCTCCAACCTTCGGCAGTCCTCACTGGGCCCCGGTACCCCCAAGGGCGGTGGCACACCCGCCTCCAGCCGTGCCGGCAGCGCCGGGCCCCGCAGCTCCTCCTCGACTACCAAAAAGGCCCTCACCAAGAAGGTGGCGCCGCACCAGCAGCTCAAGAAACTCAAGGCCGGAGGCGGCTCTGCCGGTGGCGGTCCGAATGGGAAACACGCCAAGCGCTCTTCCAGTGCCAGCGGCCGTCTCAAACTCTCGAAGAAATCTTCCCCGTCAGCGGCGCCCGGTGGCGGCGGCGGGGGCAATGGCGATGAAGAAGACGAGGATGACTCCCTGCTTAGCAGCGCCGATATGTCGGACTCGGAGCATACTGACGCCCGTGGCGGTGCCGGCGGGATGGGCGGTGCCGGCGGGGATGACGATGTGGATGACGAGGAGGAGGATGAGGGCAACGAGGATACCAAGGTTTATTGTACGTGCCGTAGCGTCAGCCATGGGGATATGGTGGCGTGCGACAACGAAGATTGCGAGTTTGAGTGGTTCCATTGGAAGTGTGTCGGTTTGACGAGGGAGCCGGTCGGCAAGTGGTATTGTCCGCAGTGTTCGGCCAAGTTGGGGGCGTGATCTTTGTGTTTTTCGAGTGCGCGTGTGTCTTCGCACTGTATATGTTGTATCTATACCCTTTTCATGTTCTGACTCGGTTTAGCCCCCTTTTGACATACTGTTTGTTTCTCTCCCTTTGCTCGGGTTGCGGCCATGACTAGTGCCGTTAGTCTTCCTTGGGATACACATTTACGACTTAAGTTGATATATCCAGACGTACCACGTGATAAGAACAAGAGTCCAACATGCAACTCACCTATGAGCTAAGTTATCCAAGTATTTCATGGCTCTTGCTTCCACTCGAAAGACAAGCAGACATGCGCACCAGATTACCATGGAAAGATCAATCTTGTTACCATACTGGCCAACCTCCATTCTCCGGATCTTCCTTTCCTCAATTTCTGAAATGAAGTTTTAAATCTAACCTTGTGGACGGATGTCCTGATTGAGAAACACACCCACACACACACACAAAAAAAACCGATAAGACCATCCATCCATATTTTTGGTATATCATTCTGGCCCTCGTGTCCACACTCCAAGATCAGACAACTCATTGCGAGAACTGAACATCAAAAAGAAACGACGCCATCGCTATGCAAAGCAAACAAACAGATTATCTCCAGCGGCAAAAGAGCTAGTCCTCTCTTTGTTTTATGACTGCGCAGAGATTGGTATACAGTGAACTGATAAGTGGTTGAGAATAAAAGAAAATGTTTCCGGGAGAGGGGTAATGTCCAAGGAAAAGATGAGGTAATAATGAAACCGAGGTATGCACAGGACAATGCCACCCAGTCTCACATAGAGAGCGCAAGGAACGTCCCTTCCTCTTTTCTAAAATCCCAATGCTTTCTCTAACCAGGGATCGAAGTATTCGCAGCTCTCCGGGCTGACGGCGCCACCGGGAGCGCAGAGCTTGAAGACCGGACAATGGCCGCAGGGAGCTTCGGTCATGCCGTTTCGGACAAGGCGGTCGTCGATCCCGGAGTCATCGCCCGGGGGTTTGCGCGCTTGCTGCGACTTGACCTGCTCGGGGGTTTTGACGGAACGGTAGACCTCGCCGTTGTTGAGGGCCACCAGTTTGTTGTCGTAGCACAGCATCTCCAGGAGCTGGGTGATGCTCTCCTCGCCCAGGCGGACGGGGGTGATGCCACTGGCGTTAACGGCGGCCGTCAACTCGGCGATGGTGGGGTAGCCCTGATACCCGGCGGGGAATGGGATGTATTCCTTTGGAGGAGGTTGTTGCTGGTCGGTGTCATAGTGGTTTGTGATTCCGTTCCCGTCCGCGGTCTTGAGGCGCTTGTTGTTCCGGTGTTGCTGAACGGCCGGTACCTCGTACCAGCTCTTCTGGCTTACCTTCCACTCGATGAACCCGGCGACGCTGTTGATGAAGTTCTCGTCCAGCACGCCGTCCGTGAACCAGGCCCCTCCCGTCACATCCTCGCTAGGCGCCAGCCCCGCAAGCATGTACATCTTCCGGCTGGGGAATTTGACATTGTGCACACTTTTGATATAGTTCTTCCCTTCGAGCGACTTGAGGCAGCGGTCCAGGATCGATTTGTGGAGGTTCGTCCGCGTGCCGATGGCGCGCACCCAGATGCCAGAGCGCCCGGTCGAGTGAATGACATTGTAGACCAAACTCTCGTCAGGGCTGAGGTTTTGGAGTCTATTTTTTGAGATTATTTTGTTAATCGAAAGGTGCTTATTGAGCGACTGGTAGATGACTGGTAGGTAGGTGAAGGTGGGGGAGGGCGGCTCTTACTTCTCTGCGTCCTCCCGCGAGATAATCTTCCATGCCAATCGATCATTCTTTCCCTGGAGCAGGCGGAATAGTTTTTGGTCAACGAGCGATTGGGTGCATTGAAGAAGTAGCGCGAGGTCATTTTTAGGGACGATTCCCAGTCCGAGAAGATCTTGCTGGTAGAAGAGATGATCGGGAGGGAAGTTTTTCAGACAGGCATCGTAGAGTCGGGCGCAAAGCTCGCTCACTGAAGAGCCAGCTGAGGAGGCCATTGTTCGCAGCGGTTCACTTAGAATTGGCCGGCGGAGATGAGCTCGGTGGGCGCAGCGGGGAAAAGAGGAGGGAAGATCTCGTCGAAGGGCACACTATTGAAGGAAGCTATCACCGGAATGGCTTGTGGAAGGGCATGATCAGAAGCGCGCGCTGAATTATTCTGGGTGCTTAAGTCAAATAGAATGGATGGTGGAAGGAATCGGAATTAGAAGAGTCGCCGACCAGAGTCGAAGGGGCGCTCAATAGAAACCAAGAAGAATGAGCGCAAGAAGGTGAAAATAAGAAAATTGAAGGGCGGGGGGGTTTCGAATCATGACGGCGGGCGGGAAAAGAAATGAAGATGTTTTTGGCCGGCGTTTCTTTCTCGTTCCGGGTTTAGCTCCATCGTGCTCTGCATCCGCCAGTTGACAGCTTGATTTCATGCCTGAGGCTCTCAATTCTCTCACTCCCGGAAATTTCGAGAAGCTCCCGTTGGAAAGAGCTCAGGCGGTAGTGTTTAAACTGGCCCACCCCCGGGCTCCTCATCACGAACTTCCCCCCCTCCCATCATTTTTGTCCTTCAACCGGAACTTACGAGACATCTCCTCTCACATCGTTCTTGCACTACAGCATGGCTGACGCTTTGAAAGCAGAGGGCAACAAGGCCTTCTCTGCCAAGGATTATCCTACTGCTATGTACGTATTCTTTCCCCCCCCCCCGTGTTACCCCGCTTAGCATATGAGCAACAACGCTCAGTCACAGATCGGATTGATCACTGACCTTTCGTAGTGAGAAGTTTTCGCAGGCCATTGAAGTCGAGCCTACCAACCACATCCTTTACTCCAACCGCTCCGCTGTATATTCCGCACAACAAGAATACCAGAAGGCTCTCGAGGATGCCGACAAGGCCACAGAACTGAAGGCCGATTGGTCCAAGGGCTGGATCCGCAAGGGTGCCGCCTATCGTGGCCTGGGTGATCTCCGTATGTTGAACCCTTGAATGTGTTGCTTCGCGAACGCAGCTGATGGAATGACTCCAGTTGCTGCCCACGATGCCTACGAAGAGGCTCTGAAGTTGGAGCCCGCCAACGACCAGGCCAAGAATGGTCTTAACGCTGTCAAGCGGGCCATCGACGCCGAAGCCAAGGCTGACGGTGTGACCGGTGACCCGATGGGAGGGCTGGGTGGCATGTTCAATGACCCCCAGCTTTTCCAGAAACTGGCCAACAACCCCAAGACTGCTCCTCTGCTGGCCGATGGCGAGTTCATGACAAAGCTCCAGCGCTTGCAGCAGAACCCCAATGCTATTGGTCAAGAGCTTGGCGACCCCCGTTTCCTGCAGGTCATGAGTGTGCTGCTGGGTATTGACATGAACTTTGGAGCTCCCCCGGAGGCCGGTGCTTCCACCAGCGCTGCTGCGCAGGAGGCCGAGGAGGATGTGCCTATGCCTGATGCTCGTCCCGCTGCCCCCAAGAAGGAGCCCGAGCCTGCCCCTGAGCCCGAGCCCGAGGATGAAGAGGCTCTTGAGAAGAAGAAGGCCCAGGAAGCCGCCGATGCCGAGAAGAAGCTTGGTAACGATTTCTACAAGAAGAGACAGTTCGACGAGGCTATCGAGCACTACAACAAGGCCTGGGAGTTGCACAAGGACATCACCTACCTGAACAACCTTGGTGCCGCCAAGTTCGAAAAGGGCGATCTTCAGGGTGCCATTGAGACCTGCCAGACTGCTGTCGAGGAAGGTCGTGAGCTCAGAGCCGACTTCAAAGCTATTGCTAAGTAAGTATCCTCCGCAAGATATATATCTTGGCCATGGCTAACGTACGTGATGGCAGGGCTTTTGCCCGTATCGGTACCGCATACGAGAAGCTCGGCGATCTCGGCCAGGCTATCGAGTTCTACCACAAGGCTCTCACTGAGCACCGTACCCCCGATGTTCTTACGAAGCTGCGCAATGCCGAGAAGGCCAAGGTGACGGCTGAGAAGGAGGCCTACATCGACCCTGCCGAGGCCGAGAAGGCTCGCGAGTTGGGCCAGTCGAAGTTCCAGGACGGTGACTGGCCTGGCGCCGTGGATGCCTTTACCGAAATGACTAAGCGCGCTCCCGAGGACCCCCGCGGATTTTCCAACCGCGCCGCGGCTCTCATTAAGCTGATGGCTTTCCCCCAGGCCGTGCAGGACTGCGACGAAGCCATCAAGCGGGATCCTAAGTTCATCCGGGCCTACATGCGCAAGGCGCAGGCTTTGATTGCTATGAAGGAGTACAACAAGGCTCTGGATGTCTGCACGGAAGCCTCGGAGCACGATGATGGTACTCACGCCCGGGAGATTGACCAGCAGCAGCAGAAGTGTCTGGAGGCTCAATTCAGCGCCCGTGCTGGTGAGACCGAGCAACAAACCATGGAGAGAATTCAGAACGACCCTGAGGTGAGTTGGCTGTCATGAGAAATGCTCGGAGCCCATTGCTAACTACAAGTTCAACAGATCATGGCTATCCTGCAGGATCCTATCATGCAGACCATTCTCCAGCAGGCCAAGAGCGATCCCGCCGCCCTTCAGGAGCACATGAAGAACTCTCAGGTGCGGATGAAGATCCAGAAGCTGATGGCTGCCGGCGTCATCCGTATGGGTCGGTGAGAGCGCGAGTCGTGAGATGAGGCAGTAGTGGTGATAGGGAGATGATCTGGGAAATTTGCGCTTTCGATTATGATTCAATCTGTTCTTTAAAAGCGTTTTCGATGGCGCCTTTTAATTTCATTTTTAACGGCAGTGATGATGCATTTGACTATCAGGTCTATGAAATGACATGTTTGAAATACTACATATTTTCAATGTTGGCTTACCTCCAGTGGATCAGATTTATCGTATACAATAATCAACAATCATGTCTCTTGGTAGAAGAGCAGATAGAGAGCATACTAGCACTTCTTAAAGCTGTCTAATCCTGGTTGGCATGGTCAGTGGTTGCAGCGCGTTCGTCGATGGATAGTACCTAGATAGGTATAGGTCGGATCGGGATTGCTTCGGTACTTTACAGGAAATACCCAGATACTATGCCTAGTATCGATGTGCACCGACCGTCTCCGTAGTTACTATCGTCGTAGACAACCAGTCGCCAGACCAGCCAAGGCCAGACCAGCCAAGACCAGACCCATTGGAGCGCACCACTAACAAAACTCAGCAGCGATGCCAGCTGCAACACGCTCTTTTGAGCCCGAACGCTGTCGTCCATTGAGTTTGGCTCTTTCGGTGACGGTCAATTCTTTGGCCATCTTACAGTACTATAGCATATTTTTTGTCTTAATAGAAGGAAGGGAATTACCTTTCTTGTACTGTTTGGCGAACCTACTCGGGAACAGCCGGGGATTACTCAAGCCAGGCATGCAGGGCTGAGAAAGCGAGGTGGAGTCGAGTCGATCGTTGGTTTTCTTTTTTTTTTTTTTTTTTGAGTCTGCTTTTGCCAGATTTTGAAGGGTGTGTGGGCGGGCAAGTGGGTAAAGTCAAAAGTCACCCAGTACTCCGTACTAGGGGCAAGTTACACACCATGATGATTGGCAGGGAATGGAGGTCAGACTGTGTACATAGTATGTTGTAGTGGACAACAGTACAACGCAGGTCCGGGAGGGGCTGTGATGCAAAACGAGCAAGGTTGGGAACGTGCTTGGAGAAAGAATCGTTGGTCATCCTCAGGGCTTGCAATTCGAGGCGTTCAAGCAGCTGCGTTGAATTCAAGTTACGGCCAGCGAATGACTGAAGGCGAGTGAACTGTGTACTGTATAAGTTACTGGATGTACTCTTCTCCTCATGACATGGGCGAGAGACCGAGATCCGGAGATCGGTACTTTCGACTGGTCAATCTCAAGCTGCTGATTGCGCTGCGCTCATTGGCGTGTTTTTATGTACTCGAGGCCACGAAGATGGAGCGGAGGCTGGGATCGTCAACTACGGCTTGTTGATCAGATCTACGCGCATTGCGTAGTAGTGGGCTGACGGCGTTTCACCTGGACAACCGTGCACTGTGTGTAGTATGTATTGTACAGAGTATACTGTACAGTACTCCTATGGAGTCGAAGGGGAGAGCGAGATTTGATCTCGGACGAACAAAGGTGGACTGAATGATTATTGACTGAGAGCGACATAATTGCTTATGGTCAGTAAGTAGGAGTCACCGGAAGGTCTCGGTGTTGAAGATAACCAGACTGACACGTGTGACCGGTGATCGATCAGTGACGGAGTAGGCAGGCATCCACATTCCCGCCATCTCATATTGTTTCTTTTCTTTTTGAAAAATTATCTCTATGCATGCAGGCAGTTCCTTCAGGAGGAACAAAGCAGGCCATCCCTCAGATTATCTACTTCGTACAGTCCAGGATACTGCCGGTCTGGGTTAGATCCGCATGTTAGGGCTCGATGATGAGAGAACGGAATTCCCTCTTGAGTCTGTACTCCGTAGGGACTAAGTTAGTAGGGAGTACTAACTAAGGGTCAAGGGGGGCTCGGAATTAGCTGAATCAATATGTGGCGGTGGTCCGATCGGTGGCGGTGCAGCGCAATTCCAATAGATCGGGACGCCGGCCTCGACTAGTCCGAATGCAGTCGGCGATGTATAGTACTATAAGTAACTAGAAGGTACTTGCTACCTGTTAATACTTCACCTGCCAGTCTTTGGCATGCCTTGACAGGAGTCATAGTCAAGTATGGAGTAAATCATCATTCATCCCCCCAGACAATGCAATTCGCAATTGCTGCTTGTGCTTCAAAAAGTTTCTGCTTGACTGTGGGGGGAGGCTGGAAGGGAGATCGATGGAGCGGCGGTTCCCTTTTTCTTCCCGATCGGCGCTCGTCCATTTCCGGAGCTGGTGGGATTTTCGCGGGTCTTGCATCCTGAATTAAACCCATCATCCAGATTTCATGCTTCAATTGAGGTTGAGAGGGGTGTCGTGTATTGCCAAGGAGGTAGAAGGAGTACGGTGCTTATGTCGAAGGAGATATAGAGTAACTACAGATGTATGTACTTAAGATAAGTTAATCAATAAACAGCGTGTCTATTCTGACGCAAGTGGCTCCGCCGTAAAATGAATCCGTTCGCGCTGGAACCCTCCGGACTCCGTAGCTTCTCCTCGTCATCAAAGACACTGAACTGACTGTTGTTGTGTTCCGCTTCTTTTCGTCCTCCCTCCCCCTCCCCTCCCCTCCTCTTTCTTCCATTCTACTCAATACTTTTCCCTCTTCCTTTCTTCAACTTCTTTCCTCCCTGCACATTTCAAGTTCCTACTAACTACTCACTACCGACTATCGCCCTTCAGGTAGGTTTGCTTCATCTCCTAGTAATTTGTTTTCCTCCCCTTTCCCTACTGGTTCCTGAGAAATTGATTGGGGTTGGTTCAGTGGAGCTTGGGGAAGACCTCTCAGGTTATTTTACCCACCCGCAACCAGCCCTTCACACTGCACCGAGGCGAGCTTCCCCCGAAAAGCTGCCGCTCACAGGTTGCTTCAGCCACCTCTCCGCTGCGGAGGCCCAGGTAGCCACTCACTCCTCGAGCGCCAACAAGTCGCTTCGCTCTCCATTGATAGGGAGCTTCTTTCGCCCTGCCTCTGCTTCCATTCCCCTCTTCCCCCCCCCTCCCAAAACGCTACATTGATTTCGCTCTCTTTTTCCCCCATCTCTCTTTCTTTTCCCTCTCGTCTTTGTTTCCAAGGTTCTGGTGATTCACCTCCCTACCATACCCAACAACAACAACAACAACGACAACAACAGAATTTCAATTGACATCCAACCCAGATTGTGCCGATCGGGGATTCACGTTATAGGTGACCTTTCACCCTCCTCTCCGAGGTTTCCTCCTCACCTCCCCTCCTAAGACAGCCATGGCGTCGCAAGACGCAGATGGCAGCAAGGCCGAATTACGGCAACAAGGCGCCATTGAGGTAGCCCAAAATGCTGCACAGGATCCTCAGTCCAATCTTCGAGCAGAGGCCGTCGAAAAGACCCTGGTCGAAGAGACTCGGAAGGCCGGCGTACCAGCCTATCAGTTTGACCCCGATGCAACTCCCGAGGCCAAGGCCGCTGCCGCCAGAGCTGTAGGTCTCCCTTCATTCCTCGAGTGACAGACTTTCCGGTAACTGACAGGGGTCGTCGTTCGTAGCGGCTGCCTCCCGGATTTCACCATGAACACAAACCCAAAGGTGTCGCTGTCATCACGGATCAGGTAAGAGTCGCCCTTCTCGTAAGTCTAGCCACGGGACCACTCAACTAAATCCATACGCTGTTAAGGACGACGGCACCCCCGATCAATACGATTTGCCCCCTCCGCGGTCCGCGACCGACATTCTCAAGGAAGATGGGAAAGACGAGACCGCGCAGGTCAACGGGGAGGCTGCTACGGAAGAAGACCTGCGATGGGCACGCGACCGGACGGGTTGGGCCCCGCAATTCGAACACCAACCGACCCAAGAGGAGAAAGAAGAAGGAACCCTGCTGGACCATCAAACATTCCTAGAAGGCAAACTGGATGATAAGTTTTTCGGAGGTAAGGACCACAGTCGATTAGCAACCGCGCAAGATTGGCGGAGCCTGACGCCGGAATCCAGATTGGTATCACAATGCGGGGGTTATTGTCTTCGCCTGTCTCGCATCCTGGGTCGTTGCAGTGTTGGGCGGTGGACTGGCCTGGGTTTTCATTGTCATGGCCGCCTGCAGTACCTATTACCGGACTTCAATCCGCCGCGTTCGTCGAAACTTCCGAGACGATGTGAATCGTGAAATGGCAAAACAGCGCCTGGAGACCGACACAGAAAGCTTGGAATGGATTAACAGTTTCTTGGTCAAGTTCTGGCCCATCTATGCCCCGGTCCTCTGCGACACGATCATCAACTCGGTGGACCAGGTTCTTAGCACGTCCACCCCCGCGATGCTCGATAGTCTCCGCTTAAAGACCTTCATCCTTGGTTCGAAGCCTCCGCGACTCGAGCACGTCAAAACGTACCCAAAGACCGAGGTTGACACGGTCATCATGGACTGGAAATTTAGCTTCACCCCCAATGACACCATGGACCTTACTGCCCGCCAGCTGAAGAACAAGATCAACCCGAAAGTCGTTCTAGAAGTCCGAGTCGGCAAGGGCGTTGTCAGCAAGGGTTTGGATGTGATCGTGGAAGATATGGCTTGCAGCGGTTTGATGCGTGTCAAGGTCAAGCTGCAGATTCCTTTCCCCCATATCGAACGCGTGGATGTCTGTTTCCTGGACCGACCGGAGATCGACTATGTCTGTAAGCCTCTTGGTGGTGATACCCTTGGTTTTGATATCAACTTCATCCCTGGTTTGGAGACTTTCATCAAGGAGCAGATTCACAACAATCTCGGTCCGATGATGTACGCCCCCAACGTGTTCCCTATTGAGATCGCGAAGATGCTGGCTGGTAACCCTGTTGACCAGGCCATCGGTGTGGTCGCGGTCACGCTGCATGGCGCTCGCCAACTGAAGAACCCCGATGCCTTTGCCGGTACTCCCGACCCGTATGCCGTCGTCACCTTGAACAACCGCGTCGAGCTGGGCCGCACCAAGACTATCCATGACACGGATAGCCCGAGATGGAACGAGACCATTTATGTCATCATCACGTCCTTTGCGGAGTCCCTGACCATCATCCCGTACGATTGGAACGAGTTCCGCAAGGATAAGGAACTGGGAACCGCAACCTTCCCGCTTGACCGGTTAGAGCAGCAGCCGGAGCACGAGGGTCTTTTCCTTGAGGTTATGGCTAGTGGTAGATCTCGTGGTGCGGTCCACGCAGATATCCGCTTTTTCCCCGTTCTGGGGGGAAGACAGCTGGAGAATGGTCAGGTTGAGCCGCCGCCCGAGATGAATACTGGTATCGCTCGTTTCATTGTTGAACAGGCCAAGGACTTGGATGCGTCCAAGAGCATGGTTGGTCAGCTTAATCCGTACGGTGTCTTGCTTCTGAACGGCAAAGAGATTCATATTACCAAGAAGCTGAAGCGCACGAACAACCCCATCTTTCAAAATGCGGCAAAGGAATTCTTGGTCACGGACAGGAAGACCGCACGTCTTGGACTGGTCATCAAGGACGATCGTGACCTCGGCAAAGATCCCATTCTCGGGACCTATCAAATCAAGCTCAATGACATGCTGAAGATGATGGAAAAGGGCCAGCAATGGTTCCATCTGCACGGTGCTAAGACGGGCCGCGCTAAGCTGATCCTCGACTGGAAGCCCGTGGCTGTTGGTGGAGTTCATGGTGCTGGATACGTGGATCCAATTGGAGTTATGCGCTTCCACTTCAAGAGCGCGTCCAATCTTCGAAACCTGGAAACGATGGGCAAGTCTGATCCATACGTACGGGTACTGATCTCGGGCTACACAAAAGCACGGACCGTCACCTTCAGGAACAATCTGAACCCTGAATGGGATGAGGTGGTCTACGTGCCGATTCACAGCTCCCGCGAGAAGATTACCCTCGAGGTCATGGATGAGGAATCCATCAACAGCGATCGGTCACTAGGAGCAACGGAGATCAGTGCCGGCGACTACGTTCGCGAGAATGAGAACGGCGAGTATGAGGTTGACGACGAGAAGCAGCTCATCTCCAGCGGTCTTCGCCTGGGGAACAGCTCCAAGGGAACCTTGAACTACTCGGTGGCTTTCTATCCGGCTTTGCCTGTCGTCAACCCTGAAGAAGAGGAAGAGGAATCGGAGGATCTGAATGGCGAGACTGAGGGTACAGAGCTAACTCGGAGAAGCACGGAGTCCAAGCGCAAGAGCGCAGCCGGACACTCCAAGTCTGCCAGCATCGACTCCAAGACCTCTGCTCCTAATGGAACAAATGGAGCGAATGAAACGAATGGCCCTAATGGCACTAATGGCACCCACGGTACCACGAATGGCCATTTGGACGGTACAACCAGTCGTGCTAGCCTCGATACAAACGGAACCCGCCCGCAAACTGCCAAAGATTCCGAAACGATGTCGATTAGGTCGATCAAGGAGGCTCCCAAGACGTATATCTCTGTGGAAGATCTCCCGAAGTACGAGTGCGGTTTCCTGGTCTTCAACGTTCACGAGGTCCAGCTCTCACGGCATAACGTACAGGTGGAGATCTTGATGGATGACTACATGTTCCCTGCGTACAGCTCACCAAAACTCCGTACGAAGACGGCCAAACTGGAGGATGTTGGGGATGCCTTCGTTCGTGAGCTCGAGTTCTCCAAAATCACTATGCGCATTATCGACAAGAAAGACACAAAGGATGACAGCGACGATCACACAATTGCGAAGTTGACGGGTGACACGCTTTCGACTCTCCAGCGAATTCTGTACACCCCAACCGAGTTGGTTCTTCGTTCCAATGATGGAGAAATCAGCAAGATTACCGTCAGTGCTCGGTACATCCCTGTTCTCATGAAGCTCGACCCCACTGAGAGTATCAACAACATGGGTACTCTGCGGGTGGACGTCATGGATGCTGCCGATCTCCCCTCGGCCGACCGCAACGGCTACAGTGACCCCTACTGTAAGTTCCGCCTTAATGACGAGATGGTCTACAAAACCAAGGTGCAGAAGAAGACGCTTCACCCGGCCTGGAATGAGTTCTTTGAGGCGCCTGTCAGGTCTCGTCTTGGGGCGTCTTTCCGAGTTGATGTGTACGACTGGGACTTCGGCGACAAGGCCGACTACTTGGGCGGTACCCCGATTGATCTACAGATCCTGGAACCGTTCCAGAGCAAGGAAGTGACTTATCCCCTTGATGGGAAGTCTGGCGCTATCCGGTTGAAGCTGCTGTTCAAGCCTGCATATGTGGTCCGGTCTCGACAAGGATCGTCTACTTTCCACGGCACATTCGCCACCCCTGGCAAGATTGTCGGTGCCCCTGTCAAAGGCGTGGGCTTTGTTGGCGGCAATGTGATCAAGGGTGCGTCTTTCTTGAAGCACGGTCTCATGTCACGATTCCGCGCAGAAGATGACGTTGCAGAAGATGCTGAGGAAGTCCCTGCGGCCGAAAGCAGCAGCCTGGCCCCCGCGGCCGTCCTGGTGGAGGGCGAGACACCTCCTAGTACCACCCCTAAGAGCGAACTGCAGCATGCGCGCAGCCGCAGCGTCGCGTCTCACTATGGGGATCGACTTGGGGTGAGCGGCAAGGGGGAGGCTGGCACGGCTACCATCTCGGTTGTCTCTGCGAGCGGGTACCCGCCCAATGCACACGTGCGGGTCTTTATCAAAGCGGTTGGTCCCAAGGGTGCCAAAGATGTCCTGAAGACCAAGGCTCATAAGACAGGCGGTGGCCCTGTGTTTTATGATCCGTCGCATGAGACATGCCGGGTCCATAACACAACTGCCGATGCACAATATCAGGTGCGCGTGGTTGACCATGCGACTTTTGGATCGGATACGGTGCTGGGTGAGGGAATCTTCTTTGTGGACGATCAGGGATCTGTGGCTGGACAAGACAAGTCGGTCAAGGCAGGCAGTGGCACCGTGACGATCCGGAGCAGCTTTGCAGTGACGGAATCGACCCTTCGGCCCGGCACTGCGCACTCCAACACGAACGATGCCGCGTCCGAGGTTATGGACAGCCCCGATTCGAAAAAGGCCGGTCGACGTAGCTTCCTCGGCAAGCGGAACGTCAGCGGAGCATGAAGGTTGAGTTGTCTTGTGCTTGACTGATCATTACTTAATGACCTGACCTTTTTTTTTTCTTCCTACTGCTTTTTTCTTTCACTCTTATATTAACTTGTTATGCTTGCTTTTGTGCACTTTCTCTATCTCCTTTTTACCATCTGCTTTGAGTCTCCGAAGATGTGATACCTATCGTTGGGGTGGTTCTGCCCCGTTAGCGTAGCGTTTGGATAATGAGAATTCCTATGGGCGGCTGGTTCAGACGCTTTCCTTTTTTTTGAAGGTGGGGGGGGGGTTGTATATATGTATATATCTGTATACAAAGTGTGGTCGACTTTGAATGGTTAGAGGGGTGGAAGCATATCTTTGACCCTCTTGTGAAATGGCGCCGGACGATAGCCGTCCGCCAGAAGAAGGCCAAGTGGGGCGCTTCCCTTCGTTGGCAACGGAGGGGAGCAGGTCTCGTTTTCTAGACTGTCCTGGCCAGTTCGATGACTGGACTAGCCGACGGGGTGGAAGCTACTCATCGTAGATTACTATTTTATTACTCTACCTTTTCCTTGGTCGAAAGGGGTTGTGCGATGGAGGTGGAACGAAACATGGCCATATCTTCTTGCTGAATGCATGCATGAATAACACATAAAGAGTGGGGAACCCTGGAGGGAAGAAGAAGAAGAGTAAGCGCCCAAGATGAATGGCGCTGTCTGTGCCAGCTGTCACGATCACCTCTGTAGTATCGTAACTATCCCCTTCCCCCCCTCCAAGGCAGCCAGCCAGTGGCGGGCAAAGCAGACGAAGAAGGGATGAACAGATTGTGTTTCGGACTGACATACATTAGTAGTTTCGGTAAGGGAGACTAGCTTGGGTTAGTGGGGGGGAGGAGTGGGGTGGGGGGAAATTGACTCTGGTTTTACTCGAGTACACTTCCTGTGTTATTTTATACTTCTGTTCTTTCAACGTGTTTGCCATTCAACTCGGGTTTAAGAGAGAGATCGCGGAGTACGAAGTTGACCAGTAAACCGCCGGAGACGAAGTTTCAGTTGGTCGTGGCGACAATTGGGATTTTCTCCGACTCTGTGGTGAGGCAAGGAGGGAGAAAAGTGTACACATACATGCACTGGACTCTGTAGAGTAGGAGAATTTAGGTTCCAGCTGTCAAGCACCGGAATCACGATTGGGAAGAGACAAGTTCACGGTGAACACGTCTTTGAAGTTATTATTAAGAAAAAATAGTATCATTATTAAAACCAGAGGTAATTAGATGGTCTCATCTCCTATACGTAGCTTCGGAACCGATTTACTATGTTATGGATCGATCTATTGATTTGAGAGTGAGACTGGTGGAGGTGAGTACCTCCAATGGCCTCCCTCTTCTTACCTTATAGGGTTCTGATAAGGCATACTTATTTTTACCGGTACGTACAAACAGGTGCAAGGCATGCAGTTGTCTTGCAGGTGGTGTAAAGAGAGAGAGAGAGAGAGAGAGAGAGAGAGAAGTACAGAGTACGGAGTACTCCGTACTCTACTAAGCACGACACTACATTTCAGTTCCCTGTCTGGACTCTGTAAGTCACAGTACTCCGTCCGACATGGAAGTTTCAGGAGAAACAACAGTCAATTCCACTTCATTTTGGTGACGAGGTTGGTGGGGCAGTCCACCGGGGAGGGAGAGAGCTTCTTGAACCCTGAAATGGGAGAATAGGGGGGAGGGGGAAAGAAGATGGATCCAAGCACTGACAAAATAATACGTAGCTGTCAGATGATGCTGTGTGTGGGATGTGGATGTGGCGGAAGAAACTGCATGACAGCTGTTCATCTGCAATGCTAGTGAATTCAATTGCGAGGGGGAGGAGGGGTAAATCGGTTAAACACACCAGATGGGATTGACCTGTCTGTTTGTCTGTTATGGACTCTTGAACTTAGACTACAGTCTAAGTGTACTCCGTACAGTGTTCAGACAATATAGGACTGGAGGAAGAGCAGAAAGCCTGGACCAGCAAGTCTAAGAATAGCGGCCCGCCTGCTTCTCTTCGACCAAGGAAGTTTTTTGTTGGACTGTCAGGTATTGTCACAGGCCCCTTTCCCCTGAGAGGGTGGATTAGTGTAAGATTTGTTCTGACTCGGTAATGATCCCGAGTCTTTTCTTTCTCCTGGAAATTCTCCTCTTCCACTTCCTTTCCTCCTCCTCCCCCCCCCCCCCACTTTGTCCCGCCGAAAACAAATAAACCAAACCCAGTGTTAAGACGTCGTCATCGTTGATTCAAAGAGAGAATAATAAATAACCTCCTCTGCCTCAGTCAACGTGGTTTATACTCTATTTACTTCTCGTCTCTCCTCTCCTCTCTCTCTCTCTCTCTCTCTCTCTATCTCCCTTCTAACTATACCCTTTTACCTTCCTCTTCTCTCTCATCATCCCTCTACAGTAAGTCTTTCCCTCCTCCCTCAGCTCCCCCCTCCTCTTCGCATTTCCCCCGCTTCTCCCTTGGTCGCTGGTGGTTTTTGTTGCAACCAATAATCGGGTCCATGACGGCAATCTGTCGCCATCAACCAGTCCTCCATTCAACGTGGCAATCTCTCCAGCCATTGCCATAAAGTCATAAAGAGGACCACTCGTTGGACCACTTTGAAGCTCATTTCCCAGTTTCCAAACTAGCCCCTCCCCCTCCCTACGCTGCCCGGTTTCAACTTGTTAGACAACGAAGGTACCTGAACTAACCACACCCCATATCGGGGATCCACAGTAGCAGCAGTTTTCTGCCTTCCCACCTCTTCACATTTCCTCCTCTCCTCCTAAACTTCATCTTCTCCTGCCTATCTCTCTCGACTTCATTTCTCTTCACAATGGCCTCCAAAGCTTTGCCCACTCACCTCAGAGCTCCCGCCGGCGATGCCAGCTCTGGCTCGTTTGGCAAGCACCACGGCAAGTCCCAGTCCCACATGGTAAGTTCAACTTGAGCCTTCATGACCCTCCTGCCTAAGTCTCTCCCTAAAAAAAACCCCTCATTCTTTTCTCCAAGAACAACGTGGAAAGGGCAAATGGAACGGTGCGCCTACCAGACCAAGCAGCATGCTGGTGGCTTGGTTGTGGTGAACGCCAGTTCCTTTGCTCTTCCAATCTATCTCAAATTCATCTCCATCACTATCATCATTACCCACATATTTATATTACTTGCAACTACGTGTCACTCTTTATCGGAGCTGTTGTATACGCTGTGCACCACATCCTTGCCTCGGGGTCTGCATCAGACTGTTCAGCAACTATCGTCCACGCGCTCGTTCAAGCATCAGTCAATTGTCTTGATTACTGATCGCGGGGCGGCTGGAAATCGTCCATTCGTCCTCTCACCTGGATCTGTGCTTGTTATCATCGTCTACCCCTGTTCCTTCGCAATTTCTTGCGGGTGCTACATATCGTCTCTTTGGCACTGTACCACGCGCGTGTATTTGTGATTTGCAAAGCATTGTTTGATTCCCACCGCTAGCTCTCCCCTTTCTGCCGTTTGCCATAGGTGTGATATACACCAACTCACGTCAAACTCCTTCCCTTGTGGACATTTTGAGCCTCTTTTGTCAATATCTTGCCTCCTCTAGTAGAGGACATCTCCTGTTCCGTCCACTGCCCACTGGTCTGGCCTGGAATTCTCTTCTTGTGGACGAGCTTTCATCGTCCGGATCGAAGAGTATTGGTTTAGATCGTTGCCCTCCGATTACGAATGGGCGAACGGGCACGCATCTTTCAGAAACATCGGAGGTCCTTCTTTCAAGTCTCCAGACTAACAGATATGGAACTCCAGGCCTTCGAGAATGCCTCTACCAGCGTGGCTGCCTCTCAGATGCGCAATGCTTTGAACGCCCTTGCCGAGACTGTCCCCGATGAGACGGAGCGCAAGCGCTTCGAGGCCGAGATGGACAACTTCTTCGCCCTCTTCCGCAGATTCCTCAACGATAAGGCCAAGGGTAACGAGGTCAACTGGGACCGCATCGCTCCTCCCCAGCCCTCTCAGGTGGTCGGCTACGATACGCTCGGCGCCGAGGCTTCCGTCGAGTTTCTGAACAAGCTCGCGGTCGTCAAGCTCAACGGTGGTCTGGGTACCTCCATGGGTTGCGTTGGCCCCAAGTCCGTCATTGAAGTCCGTGAGGGCATGTCCTTCTTGGATCTGTCGGTCCGCCAGATTGAGCACCTCAACCGCACCTTCAATGTCAACGTCCCCTTCGTCCTGATGAACTCCTTCAACACCGACCAGGATACCCAGTCGATCATCAAGAAGTACCAGGGCCACAACGTCGACATCATCACCTTCAACCAATCCCGTTACCCCCGTATCATTAAGGACTCCCTCCTCCCCGCTCCCAAGTCCTTCGATGCTCCTCTGCAGGACTGGTACCCCCCTGGACACGGTGACGTCTTCGAGTCTCTCTACAACTCTGGTACCCTTGACAAGCTTCTTGAGCGCGGTGTGGAATACATTTTCCTGTCCAATGCTGATAACTTGGGTGCTGTGGTCGATCTCCGCATCCTGCAGCACATGGTGGACACTCAGTCCGAGTACATCATGGAGTTGACCGACAAGACCAAGGCTGACGTTAAGGGTGGTACCATCATCGACTATGAGGGCAAGGTCCGTCTGCTGGAAATCGCCCAGGTGCCCAAGGAGCACGTGAACGAGTTCAAGTCCATCAAGAAGTTCAAGTACTTCAACACCAACAACATCTGGATGAACCTCCGCGCTATCAAGCGGGTCGTCGAGGAGAACGAGTTGGAGATGGAGATCATCGCCAATGAGAAGTCCATCGCCGCCGATAAGAAGGGCGAGGCTGACCAGGCTATCTACCAGCTGGAGACCGCCGTCGGTGCCGCCATCCGCCACTTCAAGAACGCCCACGGTGTTAACGTTCCTCGCCGTCGTTTCTTGCCTGTCAAGACCTGTTCCGATCTCCTGCTGGTCAAGTCTGACCTCTACCGTCTCGAGCACGGTCAGCTGGTCATGGACCCCAACCGCTTCGGTGGTGTCCCCGTCATCAAGCTCGGCTCGGACTTCAAGAAGGTCTCGGACTTCCAGAAACACATCCCTAGCATTCCCCGAATTGTTGAGCTCGACCATCTCACCATCACTGGTGCCGTCAACCTGGGCCGCAACGTGACGCTGAAGGGTACCGTCATCATTGTCGCTACCGAGGGCAGCACCATTGACGTTCCCCCTGGCTCGGTGCTTGAGAACTGCGTTGTGCAGGGCAGCTTGCGTATCCTGGAACACTAGATGGTGGTGCTGAGGTTCGGAGATTCAGTTCTCCCCCTAGGGGAATCTGTCTGAATTTGACTGAGACTGAGAAGAAGATTTGGCATGGACTAATAGATCTGTCTATACTATCGGCAGGACAAGGCGTGATTTTTTCTTGTCAGCATCATACTTACTGATGGAAATCATGTTTTGAGTCACATATTTGAAGGTAGTTTCTCCCCCTTTCCCCCGGACCATATGTCTGGGGTGGAAGCAAAACTCGTTAGTTTAGTTATCCAGCGACCTGCTTTTTCACCCTTCATATTCTTCAGGTTGCTTAGTGCTGTTTTCGGTTGCTTTTTTTCTATTTTTTTTTTATTTTCACTCATAAAGTTAGGAGATATCACCGTACGTAATGTAAAATCCCTTGTTTTTTTTTTTTTGTCTCTTCGGTACTCTTCCATGAAATCTCTCCCTTTTAGAGTTTGCATCTCCGAGTGATCCTTGTTTTGTAGAGGGAGACATTCAGTATTGAGGTTCTGTCTGGCTGGTCTCGACTTGACATGTGATCTTCTCCGTTCTTTCCATCCGGGATTGGCTTCCGCCTCCCGTTGGCTTTGGACACTTTCTCCGGACTGTCAGTCTGCAATGGAAACCCACTTGGAAGACCTCAGGTATCATCATCTTCTTCTTCTTCTTCATCATTAGCATTTTCATCATCACCCACCATCCATCATTTCGAAGCGGATACTCCTACCAGACGTGCCATCGTGATTGGCATATTCGAGCTATGCACCGTGCTCGGCCATGATTCTCTTTCCATCGCCTCCCCCCCCCCCCCTCAACCGCTTGACCTGACCTTATGCTCGGACAAGGTTTCCTGACGCCTCTGAGGTAGGTGGTACCTTGAACTGGTACGTCATCACCAGGTCAACAGAGATTCACAGGAGCGGAATTGGCTGCTGCTTGCTTTCCTCTGACCTTCCCTGCTTTTGCCCCAGGGTAGACAACTCGCCCTCCGCGTGTCTGATCCGACCAGATCTGCACTGCAAACTGCACCAACCCTTCCCCCCACTACCCACCACCAATAGTCTCACCCTGGCCAAAATGAGTGAACTCGGCAGCCAGCACCGCCAGATAGCCCCCGGTCCATCGCCTAGCAAATCAGAAAAGCCCCCATCACGGGAGAGCTCACCAGACCGGAGTTTTCGAACACCAACCGATGTCTCCAAGAAACGTGTTTCGATGGCATGTCTGGCCTGTAAGAAGTCCAAACGAAAGGCGAGTCCTCCAGTCTTGATTATCATTTAGTCTATATGCCTATCAGCTGGGATGATAAATCAACCCATTCGCGAAACCCGTAGCAGCTGCTCGCCACGCCTCTCACCCATCTCCCGGCAAGGCGCCGTTGTTGACATAGAACACGACTTCTGACAGTGCTCTGGAGTGCCGCCCTGTGATAACTGCCGGGCTTTCAACAGGCAGTGTATTTTCGATGAGACCTTGGACCAGCGCCGAAGAGTGGCGGCCAAGCGCACGGCAGATGAGCTGAGTTACCATCGGGACATGTTGAACGACCTGCTGAAAGTGATGCGCGCGGAGGATCAATCCTACGGGTTGAAGTTACTGGAGATCATCCGGAATGATGCCTCGGCCGAGGAGATCCGTGCGTTCATCGACGAGATCCTGGGCCAGGATGGCGGCGAAAGCAAGGTAGGGGAAGAGGCCGAGTGCAAACTGGAAGAGGTTCGCCGGGTGATTGACGTGGAAGGAGCTGGGCCTTCCTTCCGACCCAAGGTGATGGATATCCACTATCTTTGTGACGAGGTGCCGTACCGCGTCCCCGCCAGACCATGGACAACAGTGACTGAGGATGCAGACCTCGTCTCACATTTGGTGTCCTTGTATTTCACCTGGGACTATCCATTTCATGCCTTCCTCGACCGCGACGTCTTCCTCGAGCATATGCGACGGGGCGATCTCCAGTCCGAGTTCTGCAGCCCATTCCTGGTGAATGCTCTGCTCACAAATGCATGCGTAGGTTGCTTTTATCCCGTTCCCTTCCGCGCTTTCATGAAGTTTTCTCTCGCCCTTGAGATGGACCATTAACGCTGAACCTTTGTACCTCTCGGATAGTGTACGACCGCAAACTGACTGAGAGGACTATACAGCACTTTTCAGACTACTCCGAGGCATACGTCGCCCCGGGCGATATTGTGACGAAAGGGGTGGATTTCCTGACAGAGGCGGAACGTCTAAGAGAGGAGGAGCCTTTGAAGTTGAGCCTGGCTTACTTACAAGGCACACTCTTGCTATACGAAAGGTAAGTGGATCGATCGCCATCATCAGACGCAAAGCGTAACCGATGTTCGAGGTACTCGATGTCTTGCGAGGATGACCGTGGATACCAAATGCTTCACCATGCCATCTGGACCGGTGAATCCCTGGGGTTAATTGGCCCAAGGATTTTCAGTCTCAGCCCAGGGCAAGTCCCCAATGACAAGGAAATTTCTGTCGAGCGATCAGCTTGGGGCCTATTTCACATTGATACGTGAGTGGTTTCGGGTTTTTTCCTGCCATTGATTCCTGTTGTCTGAGTGGTCTTAGGCTTGTTCATGCCCAGTTCCTGCGTCCTAGCCTGATAGACAAAGTTAACTTACAGCGACCGGACCGATATCATCGGGAGGATTCCAACCTCTGGGTCCCATACCCTTCTCACCGGCCTGCCCGGGTTTCCTATCTCAGTCAGTACTTCAGCTACTCGTGTGATCTCTGTGAGATCGCCAGGGATATCTCTCAGACTCTTTTCTCGGTCGACGGGGGCGTGGTGTCCATCGAGCATCAGCAGAAGTCCAAGGAACGGCTGTTTGAGAGGCTTCGTGGCTGGTATGCAACATTGCCGGACGTCTTCGAGCCGTCTCGAAGACCACCGCCCTACATCATACTACTGAGGTGTGCTCGAAATTCTTTGTGCGTGAATTTGATCGTTTGCTGACATCCGGCCTAGAATGCGCTACCATACATTGGTGATAACCCTGTTCTCGTACAACACAGGGAGACATGACCCCAGTCCCGGCGCAGAGGCGCCGCAAACGCCGGAAAGTCCACCAGGCTCGAGTCCGTTCCTCCAATACAGTGCACCCAATCTTGTGCAATCTGCTGCTCGCGCGATCTCTGGGCTAACCCTTCTTCATCGATGCGAGTACGGGATAAGTCGCGCGCATCACTTTGCCATGTATGCGATCAATCTGGCGTTGTTCACGTTGCTTGATCCTGAGTCATTTGATATTCTGGATCGGGACTTTCTTTCTTTGGCCAGCTCCTTCTCCAGCATGGCGAGCCGCTCCTTGCTGGGTAGATGTCTCTTTCACATGTTTCGTCAGACGGTCCGCTCCCGGGGTCAAGGCAAGCACCTGCGAGAGTCCAGTCTCGTCTCTGATGAGTTGAAAGCGTTGTTTGATGAGGAGTCTACGTCACCCTCTCAGTGGGATGAGTACGCTAAGGGATTGGATAAGCTCGAGGCGGATGACCGCTATCATGGGCTTATCGAGGAGGAGTACAGCCTTCTGGAGATGCTGGATCGGTACGAGAGCTTGAGCCTGGGTAAGGATGAGATCGCTCCGGAGCGGAGAAGGCGATGAATATGATTACTACGATGCTGAGGATCACGAGCGATGACTACTAAGTCTATTTAACTATACCCTGTAACTATGGTTGACTTTTGTGGCTTGACCACAAGTTGATGAAGTTTGGGCCGACAGGAAACTTCCTCAATGATGCAGGGAGAACAGTAGATTCGGGGGTAAGAGGTGTTTCGAGGCACTTTTTGGGTTTGCCTCCGCCTGTTTTGCCACTCGCTCGAGACACAGACAGAGTACATCATTGCCAATTGATATTAGATAGTGTTGTTGTAAGGAGCCGGTAGATACCACATGTACATACCTAGTACGTGCACAAGTATACGAGTACACGAGTATACAACTCGGTAAATTGTCGAGCGATTTAAGCTACCTCACCATGATTGCATGGTCACAGGCAGGACTGATCAGCGATTATTGTCTGGGGTGATTGGAAGAAATTAGGGTGTCGGAATTCGTGTGAGTTTGGCATGACATCATTTCTGCTTGACAATCCCCGATGATGCACTCACACACACACACACACACACACACACACACACACACACACACACACACACACACTGTGAATTGTTCAACCTCCTTCACTTCCTCCCATCCCCATCCCCACATCCATTCCATTTCTCCTGCCATCTTTACGCTACTCACCTCTTTTTCCCTTTTTACACATTATTGTCTGTCTCTCTTCTCTACTCGCGATCATCTTGCTCTGCTTCCGCTACCTGAATCCAATCTCGATCCCAGCACCTAACAAATGGGTAACGCACCTGGGCCCGATATAAGGCAGCATGGAGGATTCGTCGAGTTCATTCTCCCAAGGGTTCACTGCTGTGAATGGTGATTCGGAGTCACGCACTGACAACACTTCCACCACCAATCCCACCACCAATCCCACCACTCCCGCCGGGAGTGGTGGCGCACCATTCAATGATAGTCGAAGTACCAGCTCCGACTGGTCGTGGGAGCTCATCGGCAATTCCGCCTTGCCCGCGGGCTTGCAGCCCACTTCCAGCTATCCACCGCTTTATTCTCGCCCTTACTCTACTGCTACTACCATCACTACTACCTCTTCCCGGACCCCCAACCAGGATCACTCGGAGCGCCGTCAGGAGCAACCACGTTCCCGCAACCGTCCCATAGCTCGCCAACCCTCTTCCTCCTCGTCTTCTCACGACATCGGCCTCGTTGGCCGGCAGATTATAAACGGCAAGGTGGCCATCCCCCGCACCACAAGCTTCAATGATCAACCCCAAAAGCGTCGGTCCACACGAGCATGTGAACCCTGCCGCTTGCGAAAGGTCAAGTGTGCGGGCGGCAAGCCCATCTGTCGCCAGTGTGCGGATCACAATATAACATGTACCTACGTGGAAGTCAAGCGGGTGCGGGACCAGAGGAAACTCGGCTCGTTGACGAGCAAGGTGGAGATCTATGAGCAGCTATTGCAGGAGCTGGAACGGACCACGGATGACGAGACGGCGAGGAGGATCCGTCGGGCTTTGAGGGTAAGCTTATTTTTTCCTTCCCCCCTCTTCTTCTTTGCTAAGGGGTCGATAGCTACGAGTCTCCGATGGCACTGAGCCAGAAGAGCCGCCCAACAACGAGGAAAATGACTCTGACTCGGATTCCTCGTCCCTTGGGTCACTGGAGGAAATGGACATGATTGAGGAAGATCTGAATCGCAGCGCGCGGGCCGTTGCGACAGGGTTCTTCGGAAAGAACTCAGAAGTGTCCTGGTTGCAGAAGCTGGAGGATGAAGCGGAGCTGCGCAGGCATCAGACGGAGGAGCTCAATGAGGTCACTAGCAACGATCATGCGTCGGAGGGGCAGCAGCAGATGCAGCGGCTCCTACTGGTCCCTCAGCCGGCGCAGAAGCAGGAAACTCCCATGGCGGCAATGAACTATTACCTGGATGACCTTGATATTCCCGTGATGGCCACGGTTGACCCGTACGCGCTGCCGCCCAAGGAAGTCGCAAACCGGCTCTTCAGATCCTACATGGAGAGTGTGCATCCGTCGTTCAATGTGATCAGCAAGATGTTCTTCGTCTCACAGTATTCGCAGTTTGTTATCCAGGGCAATCGCCAAATCGAGCCGACGGACCGGTGGCGCGCAGTGTTGAACATGATTTTCGCCATAGGAAGCCGCTTCTGTCAGTCGGTGCATGGAAAGAAGGGTGGGGACTATGATGACGTGATGTATCTGAATCGGGCACGGAAGCTGACGCTGGGTGAGAATGTCATCTTCGAGCATGCCAACCTTCAGCAGATCCAGGCGGAGTTCTTGGTGGCGTTCTACTTCCTGTCCATGTGCCAAGTCAACCGGTAAGTGCCTTCCTTGGGCGTCGCGGGATGATTTCAAAGCTGACTACCCCACTTCAGCTCCTTCAAATTTTCGAGCATGGCCTTTCGATCAGCCGTCTCGTTGGGAATCAATCTCCGTTTGGAGAGTAGTGATACGTCGCGAGCTGCCAAGGAAGCTCGCTGTCGGCTGTGGTGGTCGATATATCTCCTGGAACATTTGTTGACGGCCATCACAGGCCGAGTCTCCTGCGTGGGAGAGGGTCTGAGTGCAACCCCGTTGCCTCTCCCCTTTGAGGAGGAGACCTGGAACAGCGTCGAGGTTCTTTCGATACTAGAAGACCCTGAACTTCGGAGGAGCCGCCTCAAGCTCACTATCCTTCAAACGGATATGGAAGCAGCCACTACTGCGTCCTGGCTCGCAACCTGCGCGCCTAGTCCGTCGCTCTACTTCCATCTCCTCGTGGATCTCTGCAGCATCACGCAGGCCATCATCAACCGGATTTATAGCATTCAAGGGTTGCGGGACCGCGCCAGCCAGGTTGAACATCGCATTCGCAAATATGATAACACCTTGAGAATCTGGCTCATGAAAGTCCCTCCGGCTTACCGCTTCACCGTGGGCGATAACGATGATGCGTACTGGGTACCTCAGTCTCGCCAAAATCTGTACGAGCGCGAACGCAGCTCTCTCGCCATCAGCTATTACAGCGCCCGCATCACGCTCTGCCGGCCCTGTCTCACCCGTTCCGGTCTCAAATCCGGATCGATGTCTCCCAATCCAAATACGGCCTCATCCTCGCAGCACACCTCTGGCCACAACGCTTCGTCACGCGGCCAATTCCGTAACGAGATGGCCCGCAATTGCGTTCGCTCCGCCTGCTCCCTCCTCTCTGTCCTACCGAACGACCCCAGCCTCCCCTGGTTAATCTCAGTCACACCCTGGTGGTGCATCTTGCACTATATCATGCAAGCAACTACCGCGCTGCTCCTCCATCTCACCTGCTGGCCCCCAGTCCTTCCATCCACCGGCGGCGATCATGTGGACACGACCAGCGATGCGCCCTCCATCCACCAGCAATCGTTCGCGGGGCCCGTGGACATGAACACGATGACGCGCCAGATGAAGAAGGCCATCCGTTGGCTCCATCACTTATCCTACACCCATACCGCCGCGCGCCGCGCATTCCGGCAATGCCACAGCGTCGTGCAACGAATCGCCCCGAGCATCGGGATCGACATCAGTGATCTTCCAGACGGGAGTGACCTCCCTGTCGATGCCGACCTGGAGACATTCGTTGGACAGAAGGCGGAAGCGGCGAATTATGAACCCACGACGGCCATGCAGATTGACGAACACCCGCCGACTCTGGATGGGCCAGCTCTGGGCGGGGATGAAGGTCAAATCGACGCCCGATGACATTTTAATTTTCTTGTTCGAATTCCTACTATGTAGATAGATATAGCGGATCAGCTCAGTTTCTTTCTTCCGTGTTGAAATCTTCAGCGGTATATGGTTCGGTGGGTCTGGTATGTACAGGAGCGAGGCGTCTGTCTGATATATAATCTGGTTATTCTTTCTCCGGGTATCTTTTTTATCTTGCTGACTACTTACAACTGTTGTGTCGAGTTGTCATCCTATCTTGAAGTATGGTCCTCATTTTATATAGTCGACTCAGGCCCAGTCGACTCAGGCCCGGTAGCCAATATATGATTCTACAAAGAGAGAGAAGTTGATGGGTAGTCGCGGCTTGATTAAACCTAGTGAAGTTCGGTTTCTCAATTCTTCACGTGCGTTCGAACCCATTGAAACCACGACGCATGAGATGATGAGATTCGTCTTTCTTAGCCCCAAACATTTATCCCTCCTATCCATCCTATTACTCCTGTCGTACCGGACGTACAGTACAGAGATTCGACAAGAAAAAAAAAAAAAAAAAAGTGATCGCCGCGTCACTGGTCTCTACTTGCAATGAATATATAAATATCATCATTGATAAATAGATAACATATGTCTATATGTATACAGTCTCGTAACACACTATGCATAGCGACATACCGTCCATCCCCCTCCCAGTCACATATCAATACTACATCATTTGCCTGTATATATGTATGTATGCCTGATGCTTCTTCCTTGCCATCACAGTAATTCGATCGCCCGCACCCTCCCTCATCTCTCCTCTCTTTCCAAGCACACGGCCACTAACTACTACAACACCACACGGGCCAATGACAGACACCCTTCATTCTCGCACACACACACACACATATATATGTATATAATAAGTAAGGGTGTTTCAAAACGAGACGGGCTGACTCACCCACCACCGCTCTCACTCACTCCTATATCAAAAAAAGATAATTTATCTCTCAAACTCCAAAAAGAAGAATACAAGGCCCGAGCCGCGGATCGAACGCGGGACCTCTCGCAGATATGCTTGGGGTTTAGAAATCCCTAAGCGAGAATCATACCACTAGACCACCCGGGCTTGTTATGGGAATTGCTTCGTGGTATAGTAGCCCAATAGATAGAGTCATAAAGCCGGGCATTGGCTGCGGCGGAATGGTCGTCTTGCGCAACAAGGGCGTTTGTTTCCCCGGTGGTTCGGTCCCTTTTCTTGGCGATACGTATGTGATAGACACGATATACAATAGTGCTTGATGCACATATGGGTATTTTACTTGGTTTGCCGTTCTTACCTGCGCGGGATTATACTGTCGGCAAGCCAGGGGCCGGAGGATATTTGGGACTAGAATATTGGTTCTGGATCAAGGAAATCTGGTACAATGGTTTCTGACCAAGTTCAATGGTCATCATGTTTGAAGCTCCATGGGTTATGACCATGATCATGGCTATGGCTATGCTATGCAATGCGATGCTGATAAGCACGAAGCAGGGCGAAGCAGGCTAGACGAAACAACAACACAAACCCCCAACAGTAAGACCCGAACGAGCTCCAAGTAGGCTTTCTGCCCACGACATGATCGATATGTTGATTGCTATAATTCATCACGATAGAAACATGGGCCAAGAGGGAAGTCAAATCACAAGGATACCAGACAGGAACACGGACAGATACCACGCTGAGCATACATCACAGAAAACGAACAGTAGTCCGAGATAATTAAGTTATAACAGAAAGGGGGTGGACGTTAGCAGCGGGCATGACGACATTGAGGATGGGACGAGGACGCCATTACATCTGCTGAGGCATTATATAAGCCCGCTTTCGGGGATCATCGTCCACAGGCGCGCTACGCTTCTGAGACGGGTTGAGGGTCATGGAATCGGTGGTTTGAGGCTGGATGTGAGGGTGAAGGTGGGGGTGGAGGTTGAAATGCGGGTGCTGATGCGCATGAGCATGAGCATGGGGGTGTGTCTGCGCTTGAGCCTGCAGCTGATGCGCTTGTAGTTGGTGAGCCTGAGGATGATGCGGCTGCATATGCGTTTGTGCTTGGAGCTGGATGGGTCGAGCAGCTTGTTGATGCGCCTGTGGTTGCTGCGGTTGGTGTTGCTGCGGTTGCACCTGCTGTGCGTGGTGCTGAGTATGAGCAGTAGCATGAGGCTGATGTTGAGCCTGCAGTTGGTGAGATTGCATATGGGGAGACTGGATCTGATGGGCTTGCATATGCGGCGACTGAATCTGATGAGCCTGGAGATGGGGCTGTGGTTTGACCTGCATCTGATGGATTTGGAATTGAGGCTGCACGACATTTTGAGCTTGCTGTTGATGTGGCAGAGGGTGCTGAAGCTGGAACTGATGCAAGTGCTGGTGTTGGGCCTGAGGCTTTGCATGGGCCTGGGCTTGCGACTTGACTTGCGCCTGTTGTTGAGCCTGTGGCTGCTGGTGAGCTTGCTGCTGAACATGTTGCGGAGCCTGGTGCTGGCGAGCCTGTTGCTGAGCATGCTGCGGTTGGTGAGCGTGTTGGGCCTGGTGCTGAGACTGCTGCTGATGAACCTGCTGCTGGGCTTGTTGCTGCTGCGGAAGGTGCGTATGCTGCTGAACCTGTTGCTGCTGGATATGGAGATGTTGTTGAGTCTGCTGTTGCAGCGCTTGATGAGGTTGAGCGCGGGCCTGTTGCGGTTGCTGATGTTGCTGATGTGCTTGCACCTGATGCTGCTGCTGCTGTTGTTGTTGTTGCGGAGGCTGCTGAGGTTGAACTTGCATCAACGGTGTCTGCTGCGGCTGCTGCGGCTGCTGCTGGGGTGCTTGATCCTGCTGTGTCTGCGATGCTTGTCCTGAACTCTGACTTGGTTCACCCCCTTGAGCCAGGGCCTTCTTTTGAGCTTCCGCCTCTTCTGCTGCCTTTCGTGCGAGCACATCCGCCTTTCGGGGTCGCCCACGTGGCCGTCCCGTCCCTGGTTTGGACGATGGCTTCTTAGGTGGCCGAGGCTTTGGGGGCTGATCGCCGCTCACCTCAGTCTTGCGCGGCCGTCCACGACCGCGCTTCTGAGGGATGATGGTCCCGTCAGGCAAGACAATCGGAGGCAGAGGAGGAAGCTTGGGTCGCTTCTTCTTGGGAGGGGGCGGCGGCAGGGGATTACCATCAGGACCCAAGGCTGGCGGTGGGGGGGGAACAGGGACTTCGATTGGAGTACCATCGGGACCAATGATAGTGGTAGTCTCTTGCGGTTTCTTGGGTCTTTTCGGTTTACGAGGTTTGGGCACTTCCCCGGGAGCGAGGGGCTTGCGGGGACGACCTCTTTTCTTAGGGGCTGGAACATCACCTTGCGAACCGGGAGGAGCCCCTGAGACAGATCCAGGAATAGCATTAGGGATAGCGTCCGGAAGAGACCTAGGAGCAGTCCCAGAAACAGCGCTATGAGCGGCACTTTGAGCCGCGTTGGCAGCAGCGGCAGCAGGAGCGGCAGTAGCAGTAACATTGACGGTAGCAGTGGATGGAGCTTTGGCAGGGCTACTAGCGCCAGGCTGTTGAGTTGAAGGTCCAAGCTGAGCTTGAAAAACGGGATGAAACTGTCCGTTGATGTGTATCCCCGCGGGAACCGGCGATGCAGCGGGTTTGGCCTGCTTCTTCCGCGGTTTACTAGGTGCTGCTTTCTCCGTGATCGGGGTAGATGACTGTGCCGGATGCTGCTGTTGGGGTTGAGTCTGAGGTTGACTCTGAGACTGAGACTGAGATTGGCTCTGAGACTGGTTCCGCGGCTGGGCCTGTGGCTGACTCTGTGGCTGGGCCTGAATTTGACGAGGCTGTGGTTGTACTGGATGCTGATGAATAAATTGGTGTTGTTGCTGCGGTTGCTGATGCATCAGAGTGTGCTGCTGCTGCTGTTGCTGTGGCTGTGGCTGTGGCTGTTGCTGTGGCGAGTGTTGTTGTTGCGGTTGTGGAAAATGATGTTGATAGTGATGGAATTGAAGCTGCTGCGGTTGCGATTGAAAAGGTGATCGCTGAGCATGTTGCTGTTGAAAGCGGGCTTGCTGCTGTTGCTGAAAAGTCTGCTGCGTTTGTTGCTGTTGCTGAGCTTGCTGCTGCCGCTGAGCGGCTTCCTGTTGGGCTTTGCGCTGAGCGGCCTCCTGAGCTTTCAGCTGGGCTTCCTGTTGTGCCTTCAGTTGAGCTTCCTGGGCTTTTCGCTGAGCTTCTTGTTGGGCCTTCAGTTGGGCTTCTTGTTGTGCCTTGAGAGCAGCTTCTTGCTGCGCTTTCAATTGAGCTTCTTCCTGGGCCTTGCGCTGGGCTTCCTGCTGGGCTTTCAGTTGGGCCTCCTGCCTCCGCTGAGCCTCCTGCTGGGCCTTCAACTGAGCCTCCTGCTGCGCCTTCAATTGAGCTTCCTGCTGGGCTTTCAGCTGGGCCTCTTCCTGTGCCTTGCGCTGAGCCTCCAATTGCGCCTGTCGCTGAGCTTCTAGCTGAGCCTGTCGTTGCGCCTCCTGTTGAGCCTGTCGTTGGGCTTCCTGGTGAGCCTGTTGCTGCTGCTGAAACGTCTGCTGGGCGTGCTGCTGGTACGAAGACTGCTGCGATTGGTTCTGATACGGAGACGCCTGGTGCGGAGACTGTTGATACTGCGCGTGAAACTGAGGCAGTTGCTGAGCCTGAGACTGGTAAGGAGACGCCTGCGGAGCCTGTTGAAAAGGCGACTGGTGGAACCCATGCGCGGTTTGGCTCGCCCCGAGCATGGGTGAGGCGGCCGCCGGGGTTGGCGCTTGCGCGTTGGGAAGCGAATGGGCGCTCTGGCGGTGCTGCAGATGTTGCTGCTGGAGGCGTTCGAGCGACTGCTGAGGCGACGCGATCCCCATGGAGTGCGCATGGGGCGACATGGCGGCTTGCGCATTCATGGCATGGGAGCGATAATTGGCAGCCATGGGGTTCATGTTGCGCTGGAGGCTCTGCAAGGATAGATAGGGATCCTTCAACTGACCCACCGAGTCGGCATTCCGGGACAGCAGGTCGGACGAACCCTGTGGCGTGAAGTGGCCGGGGAAGGAGCCGAAATGACCGGCAGTATTTAACCCGACTAGCGGACTTGAGGAGACCGGGGTGATTTTGCGGGGATCCGGGGAATGGGCCGCCAACTCGGATTGGGTATGGGCGCGAAGCAGACTGCTATTCCCGGCGAGTCCGGCATGATGTGGATGAGTGGCGGTGGCAGCACTCATGGATGGAGACTGTAGCTGATGGTGATGATGATGTTGTTGTTGTTGTGGTGGTTGTTGGTGATGATGATGCTGAGGATGGGGATTCTGCTGGGCGGCCCGTTGCTGCTGAAACGGAAGACCATTATAGCCCATCATCTTCGGGGGAATGTATTGGGAAATAATCCCACCCGAAGACTAAGGTGTGGCTACTTTTTCCCGGATAAATTAATAAAGGGTGGTTGATGATATCAAAAGTTTGGGGGGGGGGGAAGGATTGGGGGAGGGGAAGTGCGGAGAACATGTGACCAGGAGATGTGCAGGCGGAGAGTGTGGAGTGGCGGACTGGGAGTGAATGAGTGAGTGAGGGAGAGTGAGTGAATTGACTGACCTTTGGAGGGGTGGCAAGAAAGCCAATTCCAGACCAAACTCCACCCACCAGCTGTTTCTCAATGATGGATGGGAAGAGAGAGGGGGTAGTGGATGTGTGCAAGTTCGGAAATGTATTGCGATAAAGAAAGAGATGAACCTGAACAGTTGCAACAAGAGATGACGGGGGAGAGACGCGTCTGCAACTATTTTTTTATTTTTTTTTTATTTTTTTTATTTTTGGATTTTTTTGTTTTTCTGGCCTCGGGCTGCACTTTTTTGGGGGGAGGGGGGGCGCGGCCAGGGAGGAAAAGGCGGTGGCGGAATTGTCACGCTGTGATCAAATTCAATGCGGAATAAGCAACCCCAGATCGGGAAAGCGATACCCTGCCTCAGGCTGTCAGGCTGTCAGGCTACTGCTATTTCAGTTAGTCCCGCTACGGCAAACCCAGGAAGACCAGCCGCGCACTCGGTTGGGATCAGACCAGCCAAGAAAAAAAAAATAAAATCGAGGTGAGAGCGAAAAAAAAAGGGGGGGGGAAGAGGGAAATGGGTATGCTCAGCAAGCAAATGCAAGGTGTATGTGTACGAACAGCCAGTTCGTCAACCCTAGTAGATGACTGACTCTCCTGCTATCCTCACCAAGGAGAGAGAGAGAGAGAGAGAGAGAGGGGAGAATAAAATAAAAAATAAAGACACTCACCAAGTACTCAACCAAAAGGGAAGAGAAAGACTTGGATGGGATCGTGAAGTTTGGAGAGGATTGCGCGCGATGATTTGTTTGGGGGAAGGCGTGATGGAACTCGGTCCCTTTTTTTTTTTATTTCATTAAATATTTAATTTTTGGGTTATTCTGAATTTTTTCCCCTTTTATATTATTTTTTTTTCTCTGGGGAAATTGGGGGAAAATCGAGTGTTTTTGGGGGGGGAGGGTTTTATTTGGGAAGTGGAAGCTATCACGTGATCATGGGCCAGGCTGGCCAGTCACAAGGGGGAGAAGGGAGAAAGTGCGTGTCGGGCGGCCACTGGTCGGGCACAAACCGAGAGAGCAATGACTTCATCACTCCATCCAGCACATTCCTCACAATCCAGGATGACAGGTAGCTGAAGATGATCAAGTTGCTTCACTCAACAAAGAGTACTTCGTACTGTGGTATACACAGTATATACGGAGTAAAGTATACATAATATATAATATATAGTATGCGAAGTATACTACTTACTAAAGAGCATGAGCTTGTCCGAGCGTCTCTGGGTCCCCATTCCTTACTACCAAACACTAAGGACGGTACAAGAATCTGGTTCCCGTCGCCGCAAAATAAAATAAATATCATTTTGTTCCTGAAATGTTTCTTTTTCCAAAGACAAAAATATTAAAATAAAATAAATGCCACCCCTCACCCCCCTCCCCCACCAAAAATAATTAATTCAACCCCAGAAAATAGCAGAAGAGGCACCACATCGTCTGCCTGTCCACCCCTCAAAGTTCAATCTATTCATTTAAGCTTAATTAACCTCCCTTCGCCATGTGGATGCTGTAACTATCCCTGAAGCTTTTTGTCTGCAGCCTATGCATGATGATTAATTGTATATTTGGTGTATTTTACACTTATTTATACATACACTTCATACCTCGTTGTCCTCCTCCAGATAGAAGAAAAAAACCTCAAGCCCTTTTTGATCCATCCGCTTCCCCGCGGTCCTCCTCTCGTGCCTTCAAGTCGGCCAAACAAGGCGCAAAGAACAATCGGCCCGACACGACTCCTTGCAATGTACCTACGCCCACCACCCCCCACAACACCACTACACAGAGCGAGAGTATCTATGTAATCAGCATCACAATATATTCACAAGAGGAGGGAAAAACAGGAAAAAAAAAAGAAAAGAAAAAAAACCTTACCGTACCCAATACGCGAAAGACCTCAGACGCCAACTCCTTCCCCAACTGACAGGTACACGTCGCAAACACCCCCAGCGGAAAGGTGAATCCCCACCAGCCGATGTTGAAGGGAAAACTCCGGCATCGCGCGATCGACGCAATCGCGAAGAAGAGCCACACCAGACCGAAAGACCAGAGGATGAGGCCCGCCATGAACCCGATCGTGTGGAAGACCGCGCCGGACCCGGATTCCAGTGTTTGCGTCTGCGGGAAAATCGTCTGCGCCGCGCCACCCAATTTCATGATGCTGTATCCGCCCTGACCCAGGGGCCCCAGCGGTAGGAACACGCTCACAATCACTGCCTTGGGAGGTAGTTTGTGCAGCGTGAGTCGCTGGAGGTAGATCACCATCACCATCAACGCAAGAGGCAGCCCAATGCCCCAAAGGATGTAGCTCACAATGACCGTCCACAGGGCGTGCTGCGGGTTGGGGAGCACGTCGGCTACGATGGCGCCCGAAGACGCGGCAACAATGCAGCTGACGATGGGGAGCAGCCACACCGCAGTCATGGAAGAGAGCTGTGTCTCGCTCCCATGCGCCATTCTGGTGTTGCCAGGGGTTAGCGTGGCCGTGGTTGCCTTGAGGGTTCACACAGGGGCGTACAGCAGAAACGGTAACGACAACGCGGTGATCACGGAGAAGACCGCATCGAAGATCCACATCCCCCAAGCCAAATTCCTGCTCCATTCGCCCCAAGCTGGGACGCAGACGAAGCAGAACATGTTGATGATGGTTGCAAATCCCATCGGAAAGGTGCCGATGAACATCGACTGCACAGGGTGTTTGATCATGGCGAAGAAGATCTCCGGATAAAGCGTATAGCGTAGCAGGCTGATGATGCATCCGGTTGCAAAGAGGAGGATATTCAGGCCAAAAACCACGACCGAGATCCAGTAGAGCCATGGGCCATTGTAGGGCAGAGTATTCAGGAGAATGGACACGATTCCGGTGCCCATGGTGACCGAGAACCAACTGGGCCTATGTTAGCCAGCCATTGCGATTCAAAGAAGCCGTGTGGGCATGACCATACGAAGGTGTAAAGTGACGGACGACTCTCCGCCAGCCCACATCATGCTTGGAGGGCTCAGTGGGCGAAGAGGCGTTTGGACAGGCCATTGCTTCGAGGGCTTCTGGGAAAGTTGATTCGGAGGCTGCGACGCCGCCTCAGTATCCCGAGCAGATGGATTGCGGAACAAAAGTCTTTGTTTTTATGTCTGAACCAGATGCTGTCAAGCATGCAAGGCCCGATCTAAAGACATCCAAAAGGTGAGTCACGCATTATTTCGATCTCGCCCGACAGAAATTGATGGGGATGACGGCTACAGTCGGCGACTTGGCAACTGGTTCGGCGACTGCGGCATCGACAACAGAACCAGAAAACAAGACATTGATTTCTATCTAGTTTCAGCTGGAATTTGAACGACCTTCCACTATCATAAGAGCGGCTGCAATAGGTATCGCTTGATCCATCCCCAGACGAACTGCTTGAACCGCTACCATGGTAGCCGCTGCCATTACTGTGAGAGCTGCTGAAATATGGATTCCAACCCCCCTGATAGCTACTCGATCAACCGTCGTAATGGCGACTGCCATCATTAGAACTGCCTCTCCCCGATAGGAGCAGTTAGTAGTCCCCCCCCGAGGGGAGAGTGGCTGCCTCCCATATTGCCCGATTGACCATTTTCCGACGAAGACCCTGGTATTTCGAGTGGCCGTTTTCCACGAGGCAAGACTTGAACCATACTGGGAGGCAATCCTGGACTCCCGTTGTCAACTTCAGTCTGAATCTTCATGGGAGATTCGTCGTTATATGCGACGGAAACTTTGACCGCTTTTTCTGCATTTCGGTTGTTGGATGGAGCATTTTGTTCATGGTCAGTTCGGTCAGAAACCTTTCTCGGATAAATGGTGTCATGATGCGCTGCGTCTTGAGATTCCTGCTGTGAGAATCGATGATTCTCGCCAGATTGCACACGGAACCTTCATCATTGTTATTGGCATTTTGCGAGTCGTGTCTACTGGGAGAATGCAACGTCTGCGACTCACTCATAGGCCTCGAACTAGGTAAGAAGCGGGGGGCGTCGTCCTCACTGCGAGGATTCGAGTGCGCAGAGCGATAATCTGCATCAGTAGATCCCGCGTTGGTGCAGTCACCGGCAATAGACATATCAGTATACGCCCTGTCAAAGTCCTTTGGAAGCCCCTCGAACCCCAGCAGTGAAGCCCATTTGGCGAGGAAATAATGATTGTCGGTACCTGCCTCGTAGGAGTGGCTATAGGGCTGGGCGCGGTGGATTCCTCCCAGTTTCACCCTTGTCAGTGAAGGATCTGCTTGTTTCCAAAAGAATGAAGCCATTCTGCGGCTCGCGCGAATCTTTCACTCTTGGTCATGGCCGCCGCTCCTCGGTTAAGGGATGACAAAGCTGCGAGGATGGTAAGACGATCGCGTATCCAGGCAACACCCTTCAATCCCTATTATCCGCATTCTCTGGAGCACACATGTGGTATTCGCCGGAGATGTAGCGCGACAATGAACCAAGCATCAAACGGAAATGCCTAAACATGCTCGGAAAGGTTGCAAGAGCCACAAAACTAACTCGTCTTATCGTCTCCTGTATCGGCCGAACATGTTAGCAAGAGCTATACAGTAGTCGTGAGACTCAGCACGCTACCATATGGTATCGCAAATGCCCGTGTTCTTGACTGACTTGATCAATGGAAGGTTCGAAGCCTTGGGCATCATTGTCATATTCGTCGTCTACCGCCACATGCGTAAAATTCGGTTGCTGCCAGGTTTTCCAAGTGAGTATCATCTTATCGGGCTCAATCTTCACGTGGTCCCAGTACAGATTCTCACAGCTCCGACTGCAGATGCGCACTGGCAGGTCCACTTAACTTTCACGACGCTCTGTTCAATTGTGTAATGCTCGGTAGTGATGACCGGTCCAAACGGTGTCTGAGGCAGATTCCGTCCAAGAAAGACATAGTTACCGCTACAAGGATGCAGGTATTAAACAAATCAGGACGACGTAAAGATTCAAGACTAAGATCCAGGTCTTCCAATAACTGAGGCAATGACCAGCCTCTCTTTTTAGTGTATGCGGAGGATTCCGTTGCCAGGGTGTAAGGCTGAGGAATACGAGGATCGCCAAAGGCCAGGCACCGACCCCGTGCTCAGAGGCCGGATATCTGAGGCTGTGCAATAGTGAGGCTGGATGCCCAGAGTCACTGAAAGAGAACAACTCAAAGATAGTCCGCTGATTAATGCAAGATTCTGGGATGTGGTTCTATCTGCCAAGACTTGGTGGTAGCTGTTCTTTAGTAACAACTTCGATTTAAATTACAATTCGGCTGGCTCGCATTGTCTGAAGCAAAGAAAAAGCCTCGTGTATTATCGAGGTCATCATCTCTAATCAAAACTGTGGTGACGCAACGCAGAATCCTCTGGGCTGATACTTTGAAGGACGATTTTGAATCCTGGTGCTGGCGCTGGCTTTAGCCGCCTGAAAATGGGTATGCTGTCAACTATCACACCAGCCAGTTTCTTCGTTTGCCTGACCAGACGTAAGTTGGCCCACGGTGTGCGCAAAGTACTTTCGCTTATGAACAGAATGGCCAACAGCCGTTACCATGCTTGATCAATGAGCGCGCAGCTGGCTCGCAACCGACTTCAGGGTCTGAAGCCACGGTAGACTGATCATCGCGTAACCGTAGTAGGTCGACCAAAGACACAATATAGCTTTTATCTGCTCCAGTGGCAAAGTTAAACTCTAGCCATGCCTCTGATCGCAACGACTAGGACTTGGCGTGTCCTTCACCTCCACTGTCGTGAAAATAGCGGCTTTGACAGTTCCATTGGCAGAAGGGATGACGCGACGTATATGTGTCAAGACACAATTCTCGAGGCGTGCGTGGGGTGTGAACAGAGACCAGGTTATACTATGACTCGCTCACGCAGTCCCATGCGAGTGATATGGAGCGAGCTTGTTCTCGCGAGCTTAGGAATCCATTGGCTGAAGCCCTTGTCGACATACGACTGAGTGTGACCCCACCAGGTCCACTTATTCTCACACTGCTCAGGACTCAGCTGCGAGCCTTTATACTCGGATGCTTGACCGTCCAAGCCTGCGGCCAGTGCACGAGTTTGGGAACCGAAATTACCTTATTGCGGTATTACTGTCGACTCCTTCAGCGTAATGCGGATGCGGTTGAGTTTGGATGATTTTTTGACTAGTTTGAGCAGTCGCTTTATGTTTGGTATGCTAACTAAGTTGGTTATTCGTTGAGGAGGTGAGCGTTGATGCAGTGAAGCCATGATTGCCTACTGGCAGAGGACTTTCCCATTTGGGCAATGCCGAGGGAGGGCCGGCGATCGGCTCCATCCGCCATCCGGGTTGTCCCTTCATCAAGCCACTTCCACTCACTCTCTGCCCGTTTACAGAATAAAGGTAGTCAGTGCAAAGCTAGAGAGCGCTCACCAAATCAAGCAAACAGAAACGATGGCATCAATCGATCCTCACAGCATCAATCTGATTTCCGCCTTCCTCGCCCATGAGCAACTCCCTGCAGCACAGCCGCCCCCCCAGGCAGTTGACTGCATTGTGATCTGCGTGTCCGCCATCCTCCACCAGGCCGAGGCTGTCTTCGCATTCCTCGCCGCTAACCCGCACGCCACCAAGACCCTCGTCTTCTGCGGCGGAATTGGCCATTCCACCCCTTACCTATATGAGGCGGTGTCAAAACACCCCAAGTATGGCCATCTGTCTCCGATCATTCAAGGCCAGCCGGAAGCCCGCGTGCTCCACATGATCTTCACCAGATGTTTTGAGGCCGTGGCCTCGGACTTCCGGAAGGCTGGGGGCAATCTTCTGATCGAGGACCAGTCCACCAATTGTGGGCAAAATGCGATACAGACGAAACACCTGCTGGAAGACAATGCCATCCCGGCACCCAATTCCGTAATCATCGTCCAGGATCCCACCATGGCCCGAAGGACGATTGCCTCATTCGTCAAGGCCTTTGCGCCGATGACCCCGGATTTGTTGAGCTGGCCAATCATAGTGCCCCGCGTTCGGTTGCGGGAACATAATGAGCTGGTTTACGATGTAGAAGGAATCTCTGCGGAAAGTCTATGGAGTATACCTCGCTTTTTAGGACTGTTGATGGGCGAAATCCCGCGGTTGAGAGATGATGAGCATGGCTATGGGCCTCAGGGCAAAGGGTTCATTGAACACATCGACATCCCTCAGGACATTGAGCAGGCGTTTCAGGGCTTGGAAAACGGGATACTAGGGTCGGAACTAGCAAAACGATGAGTTCGATTGGTTAGAACTTGCTCCCTATAATGTCTTCAGATTTTTTTCGACTCTGCAGAGTATAGTTGTGCCGGAGTATCTATCTATCTGAGGCCGAGCGCCCTTGATTATGACGCCGATTAAACGAAGCATAGCTCGGTTATACCAATGCGAGAGACGAACGGCCAACGTGATATCTCAATCCAGGCCTTAGGAGAGTTAGTGCCGAGAATGTGATGCCGGCCGTCTTGGTAGGGCCTGAGCGCTGGGATGCGACACAACCACCCGCACGTACTGCCCAATCGGTGGTCACTCACCCGATCGTTGCACCTGAGTAATGTCTTCTCTCCTGGTCGCGTCGAAATATCCCGGACGTTCGGGGCAGAAGCTTTATGATGATTGCTTGTTGCACGAAGACCCCGCCGCATGTACCCCGCAAAGTCGTTCGTCAGGCGATGCGTCTGGATGTGTTGATGAGTTCTTGTTTGACATTTGCCGAGATGAACCCTCCTGACTGCCCCTGGACCTAAATCCTTCGAGTCAGTCACCGTTCATTCGGGGTATGATCAGCGTCTCAACCTCGAGACCGATGCTCAGACAGTGCTGACACTGGCTTGCGTGGCGGGTAGAATCAATCACAATTCTCCATGAATAAGGAAAGACTCGGACATTGACGCCCTCGACAAAGAAGCTTGACTCCGGGCACTCCACTGATATGGATTACGAAAACAGCAGAGATCATCTTCAGGAAAGGGGTTTCTGACACATGCGTCACGGAGTAGGAAGCCACAATCAACACCTGACAGGACGGAGAATCCTCAGCCTGCTGGGTCATCAGCGGCTGGAGGGAAATTCAGGACACCTGCACGTTGTAGATTCTCCGGTGGGAGTGTCTCTTGACCATAATGAAGACCCTGCTGGAAGATAAAAGCTGCGTTTTGTTGCGGCAGCTCTTGGGTGAGACCTCGGCGAAACAACCACAGCAAGGCTGTGTTTCATTGATCTGTCTTCGCCATGCGTGGTCTCTTCCTTCTCGCTTTGAGTGCTATCCCGGCGCTCGTCAGCGGTCAACTCTCTGGCAGCGTTGGCCCCTTGACCTCTGCCTCCACCAAGAAAGCGACAAAGACATGTAACGTACTCAACTACGGCGCCGTAGCCGACAACTCGACCGATGTGGGGACTGCTATTGCATCGGCCTGGGCTGCATGCAAAAGCGGAGGCCTCGTTTACATCCCATCGGGCAATTATGCCCTGAATACCTGGGTCACTCTGACTGGGGGCAGCGCGACCGCAATCCAGCTGGATGGTATCATCTATCGCACAGGAACCGCTAGTGGGAACATGATTGCAATCACTGACACCACCGACTTTGAACTTTTCAGTAGCACTTCCAAAGGTGCCGTGCAGGGATTCGGCTATGTGTACCATGCGGAGGGTACCTACGGAGCACGCATTCTGCGATTGACCGACGTGACCCATTTCTCCGTGCACGATCTGATACTGGTAGATGCGCCTGCTTTTCACTTCACCATGGATACTTGCTCCGACGGTGAGGTATACAACATGGCGATCCGTGGTGGCAATGAAGGCGGCTTGGATGGGATTGATGTCTGGGGAAGCAACATTTGGGTTCACGACGTAAGTTGTACATGCGACACCCCCTGTTCTTCCTCGTGACTCACTGAGATGCATTCCTGTAGGTTGAGGTGACCAACAAGGATGAGTGTGTTACAGTCAAGGTAGAGTTTTCCCCACATAAACACAGACTGATGCGCTCGAGCCTCGACTAACCAGTTGGCTGCAGAGCCCTGCCAACAACATCTTGGTAGAGAGCATCTATTGCAACTGGAGTGGGGGCTGCGCGATGGGATCATTGGGAGCCGACACGGACGTCACCGACATTGTTTATCGCAATGTGTATACGTGGTCCTCGAACCAGATGTATATGATCAAGAGCAACGGTGGCAGTGGAACGGTGTCGAATGTTTTGCTGGAAAACTTCATCGGTAAGTACTGCCTGAAGTAATGACTCTTGGCGTGGACTAACAAATGCGTTTAGGGCATGGAAACGCTTACTCGCTCGACATTGATGGGTACTGGAGCAGCATGACTGCAGTGGACGGTGACGGGGTGCAGCTGAACAACATCACGGTCAAGAATTGGAAGGGAACTGAGGCCGATGGAACAAAACGACCTCCAATTCGAGTGGTTTGTAGTGACACGGCTCCTTGCACGGAGCTCACCTTGGAGGATATCGCCATCTGGACCGAAAGCGGCTCGAGCGAGTTGTACCTGTGCCGATCCGCTTACGGATCAGGGTATTGTCTCAAGGACAGCTCTTCACACACCTCGTACACCACGACCAGCACGGTCACCGCGGCTCCATCGGGGTATTCGGCGACGACGATGGCCGCCGACTTGGCAACCGCATTTGGCACCACGGCCTCCATTCCTATTCCGACGATCCCGACCTCGTTTTATCCGGGGCTGACCCCGTACAGTACCTTGGCGGGCTAATAAGCGTGCATGCGAGGTGGGAATGGGGTGTCACCGTCGCAGTGCTAGGGAGGAGATCATGGATCAGCCTGGTAGTCATTACTACCTCAAGACTCCGTAGTGGGATGTATGTGTGCTGAAATTTAAATCATCAGTGTGATCATTTGCCTCGTATCCTCGCGAATCTCGTTTATGCACCAGACTGGGTGTAGACTTCGTCGTCGGAGGGAGGGAGTGAGTGAGCTGCCAGTCGTCCATCAGTCAGTCATTCATTGTCCGATCGCGTCATCTCTTCCCTGTCGGGGTTTCGCTTAGCTGCACCTTCTTTCCCCCTCTCTCTTCTTTTTATTTCTTTCCACCACACTCTCATTCTTCTCGCAGTAATTGACATTGCATATGTGTCTGTGTCTGTGGTCCGAACGAATGGAGGTGAAATGGTGAAATGAACCTTTGGAAGAAGCTCCGTGGAGAGAAAAAGTAAGAGAGAGAGAGAGAGAGAGATTGAGTTGAATCCCCCCGCATTTTCTCCAAACCGCCGACCGACCGACCGACCGACCGATAAGAAAGAAGTATACATACAACAACAACCACTTCACACAATTCATCCAAGATTTCTCGCCCCCTCATCACATCCTCCTCCTCCTCAATGAATCATGCCTACACTCTCCTCCAAACCCAGCGAGTCTCAGCCTCTCAATTCCTCCACCACTCCATTATCCGAGCAGTCTTCGTTCCGCGACGATGACACTGCATCTTCCGCCTACCGCTACAAGGCCGATCGACTGAATCGCGCCATTCAAGATATCGGCATGGGACGGTATCAATGGCAGCTCTTTGGGGTCATTGGATTTGGCTGGGCCAGCGACAACCTCTGGCCCATCGTCACCTCGCTGCTGCTGGTGCCGGTTTCCTACGAATTCCACGTCTCGCAGCCCCCGTTACTGTCCCTGGCGCAGAACATCGGACTCCTGGCCGGCTCGCTCTTCTGGGGCTTCACCTGTGATGTGTTCGGCCGCCGCTGGGCCTTTAACATGACCATCGCGATCACCGCGGTCTTCGGCCTGATCGCCGCCGGGTCGCCCACCTTCGCCGCGATCGGGGTGTTCACAGCCCTATGGTCTTTCGGGGTGGGCGGCAATCTACCGGTGGACTCGGCCATCTTCCTCGAATTCCTCCCGGGCTCGCATCAGTATCTCCTGACCGTGCTCTCCCTGAACTGGGCGCTCGCGCAGCTCCTGGCCAATCTTGTGGCGTGGCCATTGATCGGCAACATGACGTGCGCCTCGGCGACACACTGCACCAAAGCCGCCAACATGGGCTGGCGCTACTTCCTGCTGACGATGGGCGGCATAGCCCTGGTGATGTGCATCGCGCGCTGCGTCTTTTTCACCCTGTACGAGTCGCCCAAGTACCTCATGGGCAAGGGGCTGTACGAAGAATCCGTGACGGTCATTCACGAAGTCGCGCGCCGCAACGGCAAAACCACCGACCTCTCCATCGACGACCTCACCGACGAGGACGGCGGAAGGGGGGAAGGAGAAGGTCCTCTCTCCGCTACTTTGCAGCAAGAAGCACAACAAGCACCCCGACACCCCCGTCGCCTCAAGGACCACCTCCGCGAACGTCTCGCAGTCCTCAGTCTCCCCGCCCTGAAGGCGCTCTTTGCCTCGGGCCCGCGAGCACGTACCACCATCCTCATGATCCTCATCTGGGCCCTAATCGGCCTCGGCTTCCCGCTCTACAACGCCTTCCTCCCCTACCTCCAACAGACCCGCGGCATCCAATTCGGCGACGGGTCCACATACATCACCTACCGCAACTCGCTGATCATCAGCGCCGTCGGCGTGCCCGGCAGCTTAGTGGGCGGGGTGATGGTCGAAATCCCCCGACTGGGCCGCAAGGGCACCTTGGCCTTGGGCGCCACCCTCACGGGCGCCTTCCTGCTCGCCTCCACCACCGCCCGCTCCTCCGCCGCCCTGCTCGGCTGGAACTGCGCCTACAGCTTCACCAGCAGTCTTCTGTACGCCGTGCTCTACGCCTACACCCCGGAGATCTTCGAGACCCAGTACCGTGGCACGGGCAATGCCCTCGTCGGCGGCGCCAATCGCATCGGCGGCATCCTCGCTCCCGTCATCGCCATCGTCGCCGGGATTCAGACCAGTGTGCCCGTGTATATCAGTGGGGGCATGTTCGTGCTGGCCGGGGTGCTGGTGCTGTGGGTTCCCGTTGAGACGCGGGGGAAGACAAGTTTATGATACGCACCCATCGGATTTTTTTTTTTTTTTTTTTTTTTTTTTTTTTTTTTTTTTTTTTTTTTTTTACCTCCTTTGAAAAAAAAAAAAAAAAAAAAAAAAAAAAAAATGTATAGCCGCCAGCCGTCGTGTAGAGATTTTAGAACAATTCAACCTACCAATTTTCTTCGTGCCAGTTCTCGTGTAGACCCCACCAAACCTCGACGGGTAATGCGTGGACCACCTGGTCACGACAGGAAGATGGAACTGAAGGAGATGGATGCCCTGTGGGTACCAGCCGTATGAACTGTAGGTGATGTAGTGGGTATTAGTGACATCAACTGCCGAAAACGGCTGGCTGGGTACGGGGTACGGGGGCCCGGATTCGGAAATGCTGCAATCCCGCGAAGCGACTCGACTCGAACTTCACATCTCATCCTCCCCTCGGAGCACGACCTAAGCAGAGCCGGGTCTACTACTCCTAAAGCATCTTTTATCCCCACGCGTGTCAAGTCGAAACACCTTGAAGCAAGATAAAAATCATCCGGAACTCTAACATCATCAACAACTTGGAAGTAGGAAGGAATAAAGGAATACGGGCGTTCTGAACCACGCACTCCATACATACACATGCAAGACTATGTACTCATGAGTATATACACTTGATCATGCCCACAACGCTAAGTATCAACATGGTAAAAAGTCCAATTGCCACAAGACCAAATGAGTCTATACCGGCCTTCTATAGATGCAGATAAGATGAATGCAAAAAAAAAAAAAACAAGACAATCCAACACAAGTCATGATCACATCAAGGCCGACTAAGCTGTTCCTTTCGGTAGAAGAAGAAGAATCCCCAGCTAGAGCAACATTAGTACCGATGCACCCACCACACGAGCAAAGGAAGTGGAACAAGACTTACGCGGCTAGAAGTTGAAAGAAAAGCGAGATCCAGAACCATGCGTTCCCGACCTTGTCGACACTGGTGCCCACGTCAGGGGAAACACCACCCGGTCCAACCTTGTTAGGGGCGAATCCACGCGCGGCAATGGTCGCGATGGAACCGAGAGCCTGCGCGGCCAGAAGAACAAAGCACACGTGTACTCGCGTCAGCGTTTGTAGGAGGATCATACCCAGGCCAACTTGCTGAATCTCGTCAAGAACACCCAGCCAGAGCCAGATCGCTCGCGAGATCAGCGCACCAGAGGTGAGGCTACCAGCCCAAGGAAGGTATTTCCCAACGTTGGAGGTTCCCCACCAGATTTGAGCCCACCGGGGTGCTCCCAGACTCAATCCGAAAACAGGAAGCGCCCAGGTATGTTCCTTGCCCAAGTAGCGGAAGAGAAGCATGATGGCAATCCAGAGAATGATGAAGAATCCGATGACAAGGATAACAACCTGCCACGTTTTCGCATGCTGAGAAGACCACAGGAAGGACCAATTGCGACCCGTTGCAGCGGCAAGGAACCAGTTCTGAATAATCACCATGAAGAAGAACCAGAGAACAATGCGACGCCGAAGGAGCGAGGTGTAGAAGTCAAGGATGCGGCTCGGTGCTTGACGATAGTACTTTGGAAGACCAAGCGCAAGGAGGACACCGATCACGAAGCAGAGGGCAGCGATGGGCATCACCACAGCGGTCAGACGCCAGTCGCTCAGAGTGAGCGTGGTCACACCGGCAACCTCGACCGCCGTGACTCTCTCACTCCAGTACCACAGGGCGACAGTGTAAATTTGCTGAATACCCTGGATCATAGCGGCACGGAACATCCAATCTTTAACGGGAACGGCGCCCTGATCCCCAAAGTTGAGGGCGAAGAAGAGCGAGCCGCTAGAGGACGCCGCCGCGTAGACACCAGCTGCAACATTCTGAGCCCAGACGCGACCGAGAGTAGAGGCACCAAACGGCGAGATACCCATGACCACAAAAGCCATGCAGTAGATGAACCAGGGAAGACTGAGGACGATCACCGACGGAAGAGAGTAAAAAAGCAACCACCAACAGATCGAAGATACACAGTAGATGGCGGCAATGATGTACACCTTCGAGGCAGTTTCACCAACCTGGCCTGCCAACAAGGTCATTTGCGAGGAATTCGTTGCAATGATTTGTCCCAGACCAAGGAAGAGAGCGTATATGGGCCAATTTCCGATGCGTCGTCTCATGAAGCGCTGGAGGAACATCGGGCGCCTATACCCCAGACGAGCGAGCCATCGGTCAATCTCGTCTTCGTTGGAGTTCGGACCAGCGTCTGAGACACGGTTGTACGAGGTATCCTGGACAAAACTCTCAGACTTGGGTGAGGTCATGGGACGGTCCACGATGTGCTTCTTCAGCTGCGCATCACTGTACATGTTGAAGAATTTGCGTTCACTCTTCATGAGATACGTCTCGATACAGTCATCATTGATGGAGTTTTTGTCGTACTTTCTCAGACGCTCCTCGAAGCGCCGAGTAAAGTGGCCCATGCTGTCCGTGAAGGTAGGATCGACCTTCTGGAGTTCGAAGACAGGCTGGGTCTCGTTACCATGGCTGTGATCACCGACGACTGAAGGCAGAGAGAGAACGGACACATTGCGAGCATGGGCGAAGGGAACCGTTTCGCTGAGGCCTGGAGACAACGGCCACTCGAGCGGTGTTGGAAGAGGAGAGGACGCTCGTGATATCTGGCAGGGTGAGCCTGGCAGTCCCAGATGAGAACCGCGTCGGGTACCGGCCAGTGAGAGCGAACTCCCATTTCCAAGAGTCTGACCGAGTTCCTGTGCCGCCAGAGTGCTGTTGACTGCTCTCATCGCCTCATCGGGAGATATGTAGTCCGACTGTTGAGTAGCATCGGTTTCGTCATCGAAATCAGTCAGGTCGTCGTCCTCCTGCTCGGTGATTCGACTGTTGCGCGGTTTACCAAGAAGTTTCTTGCCTCGGCCAGGTCCCGCTCGTCGACCGAGAGATAGTTTACGGCCCAGGCCACTATTCCTGTTGTCATCTGCCTGTAGTTCCTGCAGTCTTGATTGTGCATTTAGCATCACCTTCCCAGGAGAATTTTCCGAACCTTCCCCAGCAAGACCTGTAAGACTCAGCGTAGAATCACGGGCACTGGCGGGCATGCTCGGCGTCTCCCAGTAGGTCTGCGATTCAGGCATGGGGCCTGCAACGGTGCCCTTATTCTTCTTGTGATGGATCTGGATCGCAGTTCGCTGTAGCACCTCGAGTTTCTGAATCCACTCAAGCACAGGGAAACGCTGTTTGGCGGAATTGGCCCGCATTGCCTCGCGTGCTTCCTGAGTCGAGTCGAGCGCAGACTTAATTGCCTTTTTCAGCTGATGCAACAAGTGACGTGTTGCATCCGATTCCACAGTATACCACCAACCTGGCATCTGACCCAGTCCACCAATGCGAGAACCGATTCCCAGCGCGCCCTTCCGACCAAACTCAACGGCAACCAAGCCAAAAGGCTCGTCTCGCGATGGAATGAGCGCAAAATCAGCACCCGAGAAGACATAAGGAGGCAAGACAGTAAACTCCGGCTTAGAGAAGACTCTGCCAGGGAACATCTCCATAATCCGCTGCAGCTTAGTGGCCGCCAGCTTGCCGTAAAGATCAATGGTCGGGCCTACACAGATCAATTGGACATTAGGTCTAGCAGAGAGGATTGCAGGCATGACATCGGCAATCAAATCCACACCCTTCTGTTTCGACCATCGGCCCACGAACACAAGCAGATCGGCGTCACGATCCTCGTTCAATCCAGCCCATTTCTGCGCCTGCAGCTTGTGCTCAATCCGCTCTTCGGTGGTTAGGAGGGGAGCGTCAGCATTCTCGTCCAGGGCGGCCGTGTCAGATGGGTCAGGGTTTGGAAGACTGCCAATTTTCTCCAGACTCCAGAAAATTGGGTAACGGGCCCAGGAGCGCTTTCCGTACTTGTTGGACACACCCACCGCACCGAATCCGCGTTGATGGAATCGTAAGTAGCTGGCTCCAGTATGGAGAAGGTTGAGTACGTTTCCAAACTGGCAATACTTGGTGGCAACCTCGACGGGGAGATTGAAGACAGAACAGACTTCCTTCTTCTCTTGCTGCGTACGCAACGGCCAGAGACCCTGAAATTCAGCGTTGTGCAAAGACAAGCAGACAGGAATTGTCTGGTTCGGCAAAAGGTATAGGGGCGCCAAACAGCCATGGAAGTCGTTAATATGATAGAGGTTGATCGAGGGGAATCGCTTGATAGTCTCAGCGATACACTGGTTCCAGGCTGAGTAGTAGATTGAACTCTCAAGATCGTCCATACGGGGTGGGTAAGGCTCCGCTTTCGTCTGTTGACGGAAGACTGGCGCGTCGAGAAGCACATAGGTGATATTATCCACAATGTGATACTGAACGTTGACCAGATAAGGCTTGTCCAGGATAGTGACAGTAAAAGGTTCAGCGGGCGAGTCGGTAGGGTACTCGATATCTCCGACACATGGCACAACCCAAATCAGGTTCTGGTGCTTCAAGTTCGCAGACATGAGTTGCGCCATCACACCAAGACCACCAATTTTAACCTTGATCTTCCAGTCCTCGATGTTGTACTCCATGGTAGCGATCAACACTGTCCGTCGTTCTTCAGGAACGCCAGCAATTGCCACTTCCATCGGTCCTGCTGATACGTCTGACATTGCGTGAACCGAGTCGTCGTCACTTCCAAGCTTGTCTCTGAGTCTGCGCCAGAATACAAGCGGCATTGCACCATCCTTGGTGGCCATATTACCGTCCGTATTGAGCTCAACGCGGTAGAATGTCCGAATGAACAGGTAAACACCCACAAGACCCATGAGGATAGGGATAACCCACAGTAGAACATAGAGCACCAGCTGGGCCCAACCCGATCCAACTGGAAGCAGCTCATACCGGAGATTGGCATCGTTCAGTGAAATAGTCCATCCAAGATGTGGGAAAGGAGGCAACTCAGTGATGTTAATGACATTGGAAGAAAGATACGACGGGGGAAGCTTCTGCACCACGGACGAGTTGTCGACATCTCCGTACACCTCTGTTGTATCAGGGATACCATCCTCTCCAATTCCCCAAACACTGATCTGTCCCACAGAGGGCCACTCGGTAACAAAGTCGTACTTCCAGCGCTGCGTATCGTTGTCATAGTGCATTTTTGCATCTAGACCAGAGTCATAACCGTATTGATTGTATGGACCATTCCACCACAAGTGCGGGAACCGGCGGACAGCTCCTTCCTCCCAATCAACATCCCCCTCCTGGAGGTATGAGCTGCTACCAGTGAGTCTAGAGAAATACTGCACCTGAACGTGGGTACCCTTCCACTTCTGGTTCTTGGTGCCGTCGAACTCGAGCTCTTTGATGGTCGTGTTGCCACCTTCATATGTGGTCCAGTTGGACCAAGTGCGGCCAAAGGTCGTCGAATAGCGGAACTGATCGGCACCCGCAGCCTCGTGCTGCACGATGATATTCCCATTATCGGATTTGTGCACCAGTGTGGTCGAGTAGTTCATTAGCGGCGAGATCAAGGGGTTGGTGGGAGACCCAACGCGGAACAAGAATCGGTCCACAGAGTCGGTATGGGTTCCAGCAGCGGAGGAGATGTTCTTAACAGTCAGCTGGTGAATTCCATGGTAGACATCATTTAGCTGAGCGGACCATGTCCAGACCGTGGGGATCTCGCCGACATAATTTTCCTTGGTTGTTCGTGCAGTGACATTGGTGCAGCTGACGCTAGATTTGTCCAGGGAGGGGGTGACGCCCTTGTGAGTCGTGGAATTGAGGGAGAATGCTTCGGTAAGAGCATCGCAATCCATTACTTTCGAGTAGCCAAACGAGATATTGACGGTCTGAGCCTGGTCTTCCATAGAAAGTAAGCGTACGTCATGTCCGGGCACGAATTCGGTGACAGTAGGACGAGGCTCGATGAAGTCATCAGCCTCTATGTAGGCACGGTATTCCCAAGGAAGCAACTTCATGCCACGATAACATCCGTAGTCCTGACCGCTGGGGCCATCCTCGAGCTCGAGCTCATCGTACGGGTAGAAAACGTTTTTCAGCTTCTTGCCCGATTTGAACGGGGACAGCAATGCAGAACTCTTGTTGCTACAGTTATCACCGTACGTGACTGTTTTGTTGTCGTTGTGGTAGACAAGCCAGATGGTGTTGTTGGCCGTGTCTGACTCTTTCTGGACGCCTGGGAAGTAGCTCCGCAACACTGACCAGAGACCAGTGACTGTAGGCGTCGTCGAAGACCCAGGCAGATAAATGTCCTTGGTCAGCTGCGAAATCGTCTCGAGGTAAAACCCATCGTTGGCGACCGGGTAGTGCTCGCGGACCTCAAACATCCGCTTCATGATGTTGCGCAGAGGGTGGGCCGGGTTCCGCTGGTCGTAAGTGACTGTGATATCGTTGCAGCCGTACAGACCCTTCTCATTGGGGAAGTCGTAGAATTTGGAAGTGTTCAGGTTGAAGCAGCCGTGCGTCCACCAGGCGGTATGGTATGTCATGGGCTGTCGACCAAACAGGTAATTCGAGGCTGTGGCGTCAAACACATACATGGCCTGTTCCTCACCCCACAGAACGAGAGGAATGCCAGGCAGCTCCAGAGTGACAATATAGAGACCGAGAAGGTACTTGACAGTGCCATTTTTGATAGCAGGCCAGCGGAAGTTGTCCTGGTTGGAGACACCATACATGTGTCGCGGGTCAAGCTCGCCCGTAATTGCGTTGATCATGTCGTTAGTGACCAGCATCCCGTTCCAAGCCTCGATGAAGTCCGTGGGCAAGTCAAAACCAGCGACCAAATTACCGTCCATCCCAAGGAAACGCGTCATCGACCGGTAAATTGTGTAGTGAAAGGCAGCAGCGTCAAGTGCCTGAAGCCCGTCCTCACGGAGGAAGTACTCATCAGAAGTATTCGTCAACTTGACGGCAGCTCCTGCAGAGTCTGGCGTCTGATCAGGCTGACGGCCACGGCCAAGATACAGACTACCGAATGTATTTCCGGACGTGATTTCTCCCGGGAGAAAGAAGTTCTCCTTGCCGAATTTCTTCGCGCATTCACGGTAAACCGCAGTAATGTCACCCAGTGCATCTAGGGTCGACTGGACAGCTTTATCGAATCGAAAACCATCGATATCGAGGCTAGCAATCACAATACAGGAATGTCGAGTAATAACATCGCGGATAGGCTTGTGCCATTCTCTGAGACGATCCTGTACGGAGGCGAACTTCGTAAGCTGTCGCTTCCAGTCAGGAAAGTTACCAAACGCTTCGAGTTCTCCGTATTGATCAAAGTCACTGTTGTAGCAGCCTTTCAAATCTTCAACGCCCCCGCTCGTCAAAGGATAGCCAGTTTCGTTCCAGAATCTTGGGTAATTGCAGGTCTCGTTGTATTCGTTCCCGAAATGAAAGTCCGCATACTGTCTGTCCGAGATGTACTCGACTTCGTACTCTTTCGGGTTGAAATCCGCGGAGTCGTTGAGATGGCCCTTAAAACCAATCAAATTACTCAAGCTGGGAGCTGTCAGCTTGGAGAATCGGATTGAAAGGGACAGATGGTACTTACGTTGCCAGCGTGTTATCCATGATCACGTACATGTCGCGATCGTGGATCTCGGTAACGGTCCGTCGCCAATCCTCGAGCGTGCCGTGGTGCATGTCGAGAAGAGTGGTATCAACCGGGGAATAGCCATCATAGGCCCAAGGCAGGTTCATCAAAGCTGTTCCGGCAAAGTAGATAGCCTGAACGATCAGTAAGTCACCGAAAAACGTCGGTGGATCTACATACCTTGAAGCCCATACCCCGGATATAATCCAGCGAGTCGATCAGCCCAACAAGGTCGCCTCCATGACGCATTTGATTCGAATTCAGCACATGTTCGAAGGTGGTCCCATTAATGTCATCATTAGAGGGATCGCCGTTGGCGATGCGATCTAAGAAAATCGTATAGACGGGGAAGCGCCAGTTGTCCGGCGAGGGATGATATGTGTGATCCGACCATTCTCCCCAGTAGTTGATCGGATGTTCAGCGGTTTTGTTCTCGTTTAGATTGTAGTCAACGAGCGATTCATCATACGGCCAGCAGAATGCAGCGATGCTCAGCAACGATAAGATCAAAATCGCTGAGCGCTGCATCTCCGGGACGAACATCCAGAACGTGGTCTGCACCAATAATTGCGCGACTCAACAAGAGATAGTAACCTAATCGAAATTCTCCTACATGCCCTGATTCCGGACAAGCGAACGAGCGGCGAGAAGTACGAAGGAGTTTGGAGGGTGGAAAGAGTAGCGAACAAAAAACGAATGACTTGTTGGATAAACCAACACCAACAGGACAGGGATTATGGCAGCAGAAGAAGAAATCCTATCATGCGGGCGAGATGGGGGAGAAAAATGGAGCGCAGCTGGAGTGCTTTTGCAAGTGGTGGCTCTCCAACTATGACGAGGACCGCAGTATTGTTCGACGAGGCGACATGAGACATCCGAAACCACAGACCCGCAGTAGGGCCGCGGTGCGGTGGGCAATCCAAGACATCCACCCCACTGTCGCCCATGATGGTTGGCTAAATTAAGAAACGTCATATCAGGATTGGATGATTGGATGAATCGGGACCAATGTGTTTTCTCATGATGGGGACCCGATTCCCACTTTTGTTTCTCTCTCTGGCTCATTGCAGGTGCAGATGGAGGGGAGGAGGAGGGCTGGAAGTCAGAAACCCAGCAATCTCGGGGTTCCGCTATCAGTTCTAACTCAGCCGTTGGTCCAACCAGAGAAATCAGAACCAATAATGCTCATACAAAAAGTTCTTCCTGTATCAACATCCACTGAGATCAGTCTGGGTTGTCAAAACCTGGCCGTTCTCAAGCCCGGCCGGCAGAGGTTCCATTTGCCGTATCTGGACTCTGGCGATAAGCGTCATTACCATCTGCAGGCTATTTAGACCGAGACCTCTTTGATCTACGTCGAGCATTAATTTATTTCCGTGTCAGTCTGGCACAGTCAACAGAAACAGATAAAATAACAGCTGAGTTGACAGTTCGCGGAGAGATTGGGATGGACAGAGAAAGCGAGACTGAGCGAAGCTATGCTGAGATGGTGTCAGCGGCGTGAAACGGCCGTCTCCAACAGCTTGTTCGGGCTGTTGTTCCTGCGACTGATTCTGCAAAGCCATTCGGGTCTCATGATGTTGTCTAGACCAGATGTCCTGTCTTGCTTGTTGACCGGGTGAAAGCCTCTCATGTTCGCTCAATTGACACGATCCGAGGCGAGGTTGCCATCAATCCAGGCTATTTTGCCACAGGAGTCAGGCAGTTTGTTGTACAGTACGCCGGAGTAAGTACTGCGCAAACTTGTGAGTCCGTGCGACCTCAAAGGTGGTGGTCAATGGGCAGTGAGTGGCCATGGGACAAAAAGTGCATACGCATGAGTAGTCGTAGTCGCGAGGTACAGTTACCGGAAGGATGAGCAAGTGGTGCAGTGCAGGGCCTATTTTCGATCGAGGACCCGGTGTGAGTGGAGAAAACAGACAGGGAAAAGGTAAGAAAAGAAAGGGACGTTCCATCACTCGGCATCCCGCGACTTGCCCCGCCCCACCTCTGTAACTGTTAAGTCTGTAACTAACCAGTGCGGGACCATCGAATCGAGGCGTGGGCAACAGCCCTGATACTGTAGTTAGTAGTATTTTTTGTATCTTACTTTTCTCGCCCAGGGTTTGCGGAAGAAGTCACTGTCAAGTTTCTGAAAGTTTCTGCTGGAGACAATTGGAAACAAGCCACGGCTCAAAGTGGGCTGGCAGTTGGCGGCAACCAGGCCCAGGGATTGTTCCTGTAGCCCAACAAGAACATTAACGAATAACAATGCATGGCTTGGGGTAGAAAAAGAAGTTGAAGTGCCGTGGCTTTTGCTTCTTCCATGCTTTGCTTTTGGTTGCCCCCACTGTGGGATTCTTGGCCTCCTATAGCAGTCCCGTATTAACGATTGAGTACCGCCTTCAAAATAGATTTCTTACTCAGCACTGGCCAGATGGGCAGGGACTGGTGGGAAGGTTCCGTCGGAGAATTGGTTGATTACTGTACTCCGGAGTACTGTTTTGTCAATAACCAACCACAGTTACTGACATCATCATCACTTGAAAACAATTACAAAGAAATCTGGCGGATGTTCGGAACTTTGGTACCTGTGCCTGTGCCTGTGCCTGGTACAGAGTACGGTGCCTTTTCTGGAATATGCAGCTTGCTAGGTTTGTTCCGGTCTTTCCGATTGTACTCCGAACGTGTACAGTCATATAGTAATATATTTCACAAATCCACACGCTGATTGATCGAGAGCAGATACAGTACATATCTAAATAGTAGGAGGTATTGGCATTTGCAGCTGAAATAGTTAGGGAAAATCAAGTGAATGCGTAAACCAGTCTGCAAACAATAAACAAGAATCCTTTAGGGTCTTCTATAGCGATTTCCCGCTCAGGAAGGTTTCAGAAGCTGGAAGGGAATATTACAGTTACAGTCTGAGGACCAGCAGCTTCTTCTGCTCATCTCATTTCTGTTCCTTCACTGCTTATCCGGAGGCCAGCAGAAGGTTTAGTCTCTGACGTTGCCACTGCGCGAGACAGATGAGTCTTTGCTTTCACATCAAAACAAGCACGATGAGACTCAATATCAATGCAAGAAGTGATTTCTGGAGCCTGTGACTGCCAGTGGCTGGGTTCCCATCATTTGTTGCCTGGTTCTAGAGAAGGCTTGAACGCCATCAATTTAAATCAAAGCCACGCCCGCGCAATCGACTATTTAGAATAACATGGCGGCAAGCTGCCGGGAACTATGGGTTTCTTCACTGAAGGTAGATCACACATTCCTGGGCTTGGCTTACTATTAGATCGACAGAACCATGGCGTGCCTGGATACTTCTAGGGTTGCCTCCCGTTCGCGGCGAGACCTTCGGTATCATTTTATGTTCGATGAAATCTTGTAAACAATCGCTTGCACCGGAACATTCATGACTGTTGGCATTTGAGAAAGACATGTCCTTGATTTGCACCATTTCATGCCGGAATCTCGAGTCTCTCAGCCAGGCTTTTGTGTCCATGATACCGGATTCTGCATGAGAAACCCGGATATCCTTCGACAGAGGTTGGCATACCTTGCTAAGTGAGCAAATAGCTTTGAACTGCGAGGGTGTATGCTCAATTATGCTGGAGCTACCACCAACTTATAAACCACAAGAAACTAAGCAGACACACTTGTGTGAGTCCTTAGCATAAAACAGCGTACGACAAGAACTTTTCGCAATATGACTCTGGGCCAAGAGATTCTTTATCAGAAACTCCAACTCTCATTGAATCGACGCGAGCGTGAGGGTAGACTCATTGAACCAGCATCACACAAGGCTGTGCAAGGCACGATTGATTTCGGATCGAATGATACTCTTTCCCTCTCGAGCTCTGGTATGTTGAGTCAAGCTTTCCTTCAGCAGCTTGAGATGCATCCACACTTCACTATCGGAGCCAGCACCACCCGTGTCTTCGAAGGTACCAGGCAATACCTTGCCGACCTGGAACGCGACCTCGCTGCGTTCTACCAAGCAGAAGATGCGATGATATTCAACTCTGGGTACGACGCAAATGTGGCGGTCTGGTTTGTGATTTCACAGCCAGGAGATATAGTGGTATTTGACGAGCTGATGCACGCCTGCGCGCGTCAGGGCATTAGGAATGGACGTGCTAAGGCATTGCCGTTCATGCACAATGACACAGCCTCACTCCAGCACTACCTTAATTATGCTCGGGCGCAGAACCCCGGGATTGCAGAGGGAAACAATGTCATTTTCATCTGCTTTGAATCAGTCTACAGCATGGATGGGGATGAGGCGCCGATACATGAAATAGTCCGTGTTGCATCTGAATCACTCCCACTGGGTAATTATGTGCTTGTGGTTGATGAAGCCCATTCCCATGGCCTCGTTGGCCCGAACGGAGCTGGCCTGGTCCGTCATCATGGTCTGGAAAAGGATTTCACAATCAGGGTCCAGACCTATAGTAAAGCCCTTGGGTCATCCGGAGGTGAGACTCTTAGGGCTTCGGCTGCAACCCTTATACTGACATATATCTGGAAGGTGTCGTCTTATGCAACAACACTATTAAGCAAATCTTGCTGAACTATTCCAAGAATGTCATATTCACAACGGCTCCTAGCTTTGTGTCAGTTGCAGCTATGAGAGCTGGATATGAGATACTGGCAAGCGAGGACGGGGAAAAGGTTAGTCAAGAGCCAGTTCCGTGACTGAAAGAAATTCTCACCTCGAGATCGTAGCGTCGAGCGCGGCTGCAGCACAACATTGGATACACCTATTGGACTCTGACAGACCACCCTCGGTGGCAAGAAGTCAAGGATAGAGGCATCATTCGACTGCCGACCGAGAGGGGCTGGCAATCTAGGGTATTCAAGTCCGCAATCTTTGGACTAATCACACAGCCTGGCAAGGCGCGCTACCTGGCCGAGAGCCTTCAACAGGCTGGATTCTGGGTCAATGCAGTCGAGTTCCCTATCGTTCCCAAAGAACTGGGCCGGGTGCGACTCATGATCCATGCTGATAACACCGCGGAGCAGATCGACACGGTTGTGCAAATGATTATGAGGTGGGCAGTGGGACAAATGAAATTAGACATGGTAAACTCGAACAGACTGGCGAGATTGTAGGTAAGAGGGATTCAACTCAGGCAGAGCTGAGAATAATTATAGGATGCCTGAAATTATCCTTGATGATGTGCTCAAACAACATTAAGTAGTAGTTGGCAGTCCCGTGACCATAGCCGAACGGCCAAAACCTTTCCTTCTTCCTTTTCCCCCATCCTCGCTGAAGTACATGGCTTTGAATCATTGAGGCATCTTACTCAAAGGCTAGCATCATCAATGGGGATAATTACTGAGAGTCCAGATTGTTAAGCAAAGTGAATGGACGCAGGTTAGCTGCAGGCACCGGCGATCGTCGGAAGACTACATCCTTGCATGACATCACAGCCATTGCAGCCTCAGCCCGATTTCCCACTGCAGCCTCGTAATACATGATCCACTTCTTGAGCCACACCCGTGTCTCTACAGCATCATGATGATGCAAAGCTATTGTCATATCAGGCTGTTGTATACCAACATGGAATGGTATAAACTGAGCTCGTTCCTGCCCAGCATAGCCAAGCTTCTTCCCCAGATTCCTCATACATTCCGCCAAGATCATCCAGTCCACTACCCATCATGTCTCCTCATAACAACCACCAGAAGCACCACACTCCCCGAATGCACCGGTAAGCCCTGCTTTCGGTATCATTACTTCTGCAGTCCCCTAATGAACTAACTTTTTTGTCCCAGTGTCGGAAAATGGATGCCCTCCACCCTGGACGAGCACCACGAATGGGTAGGCGGCGTGATAGCCCACGTCGATCGCAACAAGCCTGAGAAGCTGCACCCCGTCTTGCAAGAGTTTCAAGACCTCATTGAATCCAACTCGAGGGTCTACCTGCTCATGGCTGCCATGTTTGGTGAGATTCCGCGCAACCGAACCTACTCGACCGATCCGACTGGCTGCCCCCAGCTACGCGACTACAAGCACATGTTGGAAGTCCTCAACCACCTGATCACCACCGCCCCCTCCTGGAACGACTTCTCTCACCGCGTGGGACTTGTTGGGCTGCCCATTAACGCCGTTCTCGACTGGCCTATGGGCACCCCTTCGGGATACGCCGCCTTCCTGGACCCCGATGTCAACCGAATGCTTAAGAAAGTCCTCAACGCCTGGGGTGAGTTTTTAAAATCCCCAGAGTCAGCATCTGTCCTCGATGAGTCCGCAAACGGCTGGTTCGGCGAGACGGGCAAGTCCGACTTGGTCGAGGTGGCCAACTTGGGCGGCAAAACCAACCACACCTTTGAGGAGATGTTCATCTGTGACCCCTCCGCTCCCCACCATGGCTATAAGTCCTGGGACGATTTCTTCACCCGCTTGTTTCGTGAAGGAATCCGACCCGTTGCCAGCCCCGATGACGACAAGGTGATTGCCAACGCCTGTGAGTCCAAGCCCTACAAGGTCGCCTATAACGTCAAAGCCCGCGATACCTTCTGGATCAAGCACCAGCCCTATTCGATCAACGACATGCTCGCCTTCGACCCGCTAGCCGAGCAATTCAACGGTGGCACTGTCTACCAAGCCTTCCTCAGCGCATTGAGCTACCACCGCTGGCACAGCCCTGTCTCCGGCAAGATTGTCAAGGCCTACGTCGTGGACGGCACGTACTACTCCGAGCCCCTGTTCGAGGGCATCGGCGATCCTGATCCCAGTGAGAAGCACAAGCACGGCATTGATGCTTGTGGCGAGGTCACTTCGCAGGGCTTCTTGACGGCCACAGCCACCCGCGCGATTATGTTCATTGAGTGTGACAACCCGGATATCGGCCTCATGGCCTTCCTGGGTATCGGTATGTGCGAGGTCTCGACCTGCGACATCACCGTCGCTGAGGGACAGCATGTCAACAAGGGTGACCAGCTCGGCATGTTCCACTTTGGTGGCTCCACGCACTGTCTGCTTTTCAGGAAGGGCGTCAATGTTCAGGGCTTCCCTTCGGCGGACACGGATCAAAACGTGCCCGTCAGAAGCCAGGTGGCTTACGTCGCTTGATTCTTCCCCTTTTCTTACAGTATATGTTAGTGATACGCCTGGGGCCTTGATGGGCAAGGCTTGTACATAATTGCAGATTATTATGAGATATGCTTTACGATACATACAAGGAAACAAAGTACATATCTGAGACTTTCTGTGATCTTCCCGTAGGAAAGAGGAATTAGTAGACTCAACCTACAGTAAGCGTACGCAGTTCCTCAATACTAGAAATAGTCTGGCTTGACCCTGGCCCTGGCGTCACATGTTCTTTCTACTACAACACTCTCCTTTGCTGCACCGATTCAAGCCATACGGAAGATCTGGCGTGGAGAAATATGAACTGGTACCTGGAGTGCTTCGTGTCTTGTCCAGTTCTTAACGCAACCCTCGGGCAGCAGGGATCTAGCAGTCTGAAGGCTCTCACGGAGGAGCCACCACTCCACGCGGGCTATCACTTCCATGGGGAGGGAATTGGCAAGAAGTTCTGTTGTATTCTTGATACTTAATGGGTTCGGTCAGCTGGCGTCGCCTACCGTCGAATTGGAGCTTTGCGGTGCCATGAATTCTTGTTACAATCAAGATTCTATCCTGGCGGCCCTGCTTCTTCGAAGGCTCGATCCCCAACGAGTTTTTCGGAGGACAGTACGTGCAGAACGGCAGCAATCCCCTTCATTTCGACTTCGTTTGTCTCTCGTGAGGATAGTAAATGGGAATACGATGGGTGGCTGGTCACCTACATATACGACAAGTCCCAGCTCGATGAGAACGGGGTGGCACCTGATGGTTCGCGCAGTGAATGGTGGATCGTCGACGCCGTAGGCATGAAGGAAGTTGTCACGAGTGATTCTGCCGCAGCGAGTCCCGTACAGGATGCATGGCAACTGGTTTCCTGAGGAGCAGATTCTGGGTCAGCGAGAAGTGGAGCGGTTTCGCAAGTGATTGTAGTAGGCGGAACAGTACTCACATTGTACGTATATGTGTCGCATCTGATTTATCTTGCTTGGCCACAACTTATCGTACTTGATTTAATGTGCTTGCAAAGAGAATTTGGAGAAGCTGTTTGTTTGGCTGTTTGTTTCATCGTTGCTGGTCAGGTGAATAACAGCAGGAAAATCAATCATGGAAACTTATTCCACTACCTCACCACTCTCGTTTTTCTCTCTCAACTTGCACTCTCACGCTCATTGTATAGCATGTCTTCCTACCCTGTTTTATTTGATTGTCCTCACTTGTTGTGTCAGAAGACTTTGTAATCTGTTTGGTAATTATCACGGAACTCAGCCACATTGTTTAATTCGCTTACCACCCGAGATGGCCATGCTTTGAGCTGGAATTCTCCTTACCTGGTAATTCGCTTCTCCTTAGCATCGCCGTGGTCTCAACTGATAGTGTCAATGTGAGAATAGGTCGCTTCGAATGTCCTCGTATACAGTTTCGGATGCTCATCCAAGGCGTGCCTCACTCCAGCAAGAGCAACGAATTATTAATCCCAATCAGGCCGACACAAGACCAATGCTTTCGTCATAAGTAGCCTTCAAACAGGGCATAATCAACTGAAGCAACTATCATAGGACTGTGAACCACCCTACCAACGAGCATCCCAGGCAGGAAACTTCGCCTTCCATTATTAAGCTAGTCCAAATCAGGGGAACCTTGAGATATGGGGCCATAGACCTTCGAGCCAAGAATGATCTAGCCTTTAAGCTGCTCGGCGTCGAGCTACAAAAATCTCCACCATCTCAACAAATGCTCAGTGGCTTGCAGCAACTTGCTTGTCGGTTGCCGGCTGCCGTCCGTCCGTCCAAGAGATATGGGCTCGCCAAGGATCTGCTCGGATACGCTGGGGTGTTGTTCCCCAGTTTACTTTGCCGACAGAACCATTCATGTTGCCCCCCTCGGCTAGATAGAATCATGTAGCTCGCAGAGAATGTTCCATGAGAACGCCCAAGAACTTGGTTGCATTAGCCACTTCCGCCACCTCCTGCTGCTGAGTGACTCCGACCAATCCACTCTACGTGACTTTAGGGTCAATTCAAGTACCCCGGATTCCGCTTCAATGTCTCTCACCGTAGGTGTATTATGCATAGGCCGCAGCCCTAGCTTTGCTCTCTGAATCCGCTGGCGCTCTCCGTTGCCCTTCCGGGTACTCCGAGCAAAAGGAAGAAATATGCGCAAGCGCAATGTCCTGGCCAAGCAGCCTAAGTAGCATTATAAAGCCTAGCTGCTGCCCTGATTCACCACTCGCCGAGTTATATCCAGTGGTCGTGCCAGGTTTCTTTTTTGAAGATGCAGCTTCAATTTTTTGCCGGAGCCCTTTTACTAGGCCGTCGGGCCCTCGCAATCCCAGCTACACCAGAGACCGGCAAGAGCATTGCTCCAAGTATCGACTCTCTGGGCACTCTTCAGGCGTTGAAGTACAACAACCTTGGCCCTCAGAACAATGGAAGTTCCGCGGTTGTTGTCCATGATCACCTGTCGAGCTTTGAGGCACAAGCCCGCTGTCAGTCTATCGGCGAGGGCCTATATCAAGCGCAGGAACTGTCACAAGTCAATGGTACAGAGCTAGCATATCAGCTCGACTATCTCGTCCATGTACATGACATCCGGCCAAACGAAACCCTCTGGGTTTCTCACGCTGGTCCCAGTGCCTGCCGCGCCTACTCCCTCGAGCACAAGGATGTCGTGTCGGTACCTTGTAGCTCGGAGTTGCCTGCTCTTTGCACATCCGACGTTCCCCCTACAACGGACCAGGACAGGACAGCTGTGAACACATCCAAAATTTCTATTGAATTCGATGGATATCGCATGACTGGCTACCGCGACGGACGTTCGTTTCGCTTTCTGGGTATCCCTTTTGCCGACGCTCCACTGGAAGACCTCAGATTTGCACCGCCGCGTCCTTACTCCGGATCCCGAATCATTGATGCAACAAAGATGGCCAAATCCTGCATTCAATCTGTGTCAGGCTATGGCACCTTGGATAACGGGGGCATATCCGAGGACTGCCTCTACCTGAATGTTTATACCCCTATCCTTCCTGCGAGAAAAGACAAGGGCTCTAAGAAGCGTAAGCCTGTTGCAGTCTACCTCTACGGAGGTGCTTTCACCACGGGAACCTCGGCTATGGTGGACTACGATGGGGGCAACTTTGCCAGCCGCAACGATATTGTTGTTGTTACTATCAACTACCGCGTTGGTGCCCTTGGCTGGCTGACTATCGGTAACCTCACGACGGGTAACTATGGCTTACGGGATCAAATCATGGCCCTGGAATGGGTTAACCGGCACATCGAAGCCTTCGGTGGAGATCCATCCCAAGTCACCATCTTTGGCCAGTCTGCTGGCGGCCAGAGCGCGATTGCCTTGCTTTCTTCGTCTGCAGCCCGGGGTCTTTTCAGCGGGGCCATCGTTCAGTCCGCCCCCGTCGACCTGCCCTGGTTCACGCGTGGAGTCTATACCGAGATCGTCACCCCTCGCGTCTCCAGTGCCGTGGGTTGCAACGGGACCACCTCTGAGAGCGCCCTGCTATCCTGCCTCCGATCAGTGCCGGCGAGAAAATACCTCGACAACAGCACGGAGTATGAACTCGCCATTGCCTCGACTGCCAAAGCTCTCGCCAGCGACTGGCTACACTCCAGCGACCTCCTCGCATCTATCGAGCCGATCATGCCCATCGTCGACGACACTGGCAGCGGCGTCATAGACGACCAGTTCCATGTCCTCCTATCGGAAGACCGCCTTCCCAACCGTGTCCCCGTCATCTTCACCACCGTCGCCGACGAAGCCGCCCTGTACGTCAATGCCGAAGTGACCCAGAGCCTGGGGGCCTCTGAAACCGCCCTCGCCGAAATCTTCAGCCTCGCATACCCCTCCTCGCTAGCTAAGACCCTAATCGCCTCCGACGCCTTCCCCCTAAACCCCAACGACACCGACAGCGTCCGCAACGTTGCCGCTGACGCCCTCACCCACAGCGAATGGACCTGTCCGCAGTCCTACCTGCTGAACCTCGCCACCACCACCACCACCACCAACAACACTGGGCCCTTCCCCCACCTTTACCAACTCTCCATCCCCCAGGGTCACATCCAAACCATCGTCGACACGCCGGCCATCTGCTCCCCGAACCAGGACAAAAACGCTCCCTGCCACTCCGCCGACGTCCTTCTCGTCTGGGGCACGCTCAACAGCAAGACCCAAAACGTGGCCCCCTACTACGGCCCTCGCGACATCTTGCACTCGCAGCTCCTCAACGACATCTTCGCCGCGTTCTTCCGCTCTCACAACCCGAACCCGAACGTCGAAACCCTGAAGCTCCGCGGCCCGGCCTACGGGTACTCGTTTGAGATTTTCGGGAAGCGCGGCTACCGTATGCCTGAGTATCGCGGCAACGGCGATCGGGTGCTTGCGTCGCTAGGTGTTGTGCCGGGTGTGACGGTGAATCCCGGGCGGACGCCCAAGTGTCGCGTGTTTGAGGAGGAAGGATTTACCTTTCAGAACGCGAGGCTTACGGTTTAGGTTCGAGGTTGTCAGCTGACTTAGATTGATACGTGTGGATGGTTCTGGATGGTGGTTGAGCAGGAGTAGTGTGCATTCGTATATAGTAGTATGATGTATATATACGGTGTATTATGGTATATGCTAAGTTGATGAGTTGACGTTGATTTAGTTCAGAGTTAGTAATTGAAGATAATATATATTACATGGCTTGATGATGTACAGCTGGGATGATACCGATGATGATAATCAGGTCAGGACGTATCGAGTAACTACATCTGCCGCTTGCCGGAGGTCGCCTTTATGTATTTTATAGATTTACAACACTGGGATTTTTTGTGCTTTGAACATAACTTCAATTCGAAAAGGGGGTGCAGTGCAGTAGCGGTACTAGCTCATTAGTCAATACTAGTTATAAACTGATTTTGAAAGGTTGTCAAACAGTTTCATCTGAATTTCTAGAAATCTCGAAAAGGTTTGAACTACTTCCTGACTTAATAGTAAAAAATCTAGGTCAAGATCTAACAATGGCGGTCGACAACAAAAATAACATGAAGACTCATCAACTATCATGTGAATAGTTTATATCATGTTATATATATTCAACTGTACTGCTAACTATGTATCACAGCTAGTAACTTATTCACAAGTCTTTTACAACTAGATATAATTACTAGTAAATGGTTAGGATCTTTCATAACCTTGAAAAGACTAGTTGCTACTGGAGTCAGTAGTTGTCTGGTAGTTGTCAAGGGTTATCAACAGTCGCTAACAGTTGCCAACTGTTTACTGATTCACAATGAATTACCGTGTATTAGTATCAGCTGATACTGGTTCATGACAAGGGATATATGTGATTACCAGACCCCTCTCCCCACTATGAATCATGTTTTCTCTAGAAAAGCTCATGATACAACTCTGTTGTATGAAGTGGTTCTCAGAATTGACGTTGAGGGTAGGATAGTGATATGATAGATGATAGATGGAATATAAATTCTAAAGTAAGTCCTTGTAGCTGTCTACTCTTGCACAATTCATAATCCTATGCGGTCGGTCATAACGTCGTGAATTCATCATAGCAAGCGGCTCCTTCTCTCTCTCCAAGAGTGGGAGCCATGCAGTCAAAAGCCCCGCGGACAGATACATATATGAATATATCGCGAGAGTCCCGCCAAACCCACCCAAAAGAAAAACCAGACAAGCACAAACGCTCTATGTATCTGGACCGAAACAGTAGGAAAATAAGTCTCTGTTATGATCAAAAGACATTGCCATGCATGTCAATAACCCTTATGCTAGACAGGCGAAAAAACGACTAAGGGAGAAGAGAGGCTGATGTCAGTTGCTGTCGGGTTAGACCCCGCAATGGACAACGGGAGGAAGTAGAAGAAGAAGAAGAAGAAGAAGAAGAAGAAGAAGAAGAAGAAGAAGAAGAAGAAGAAGAAGAAGAAGAAGGTTGGTCCTGAACCCCAGACTCGGAGCGGAGAATATACTACTAGTCAAACTCCTCTAAGCAGACCTCTTTGCGGTTCATCGATCATACATGGAACGCCTCGATCGCATCGGATATTCCATATCTGGCATGCCCACGGGGATACCCCTCGCGGGCGGTGGGACAGGGTTGGCCCATCGCGGCGACCGATAGGTTCCTTCACCCTCTCTCGGAGGATAACGTGCCGTGCGACCGGATACACCCGGGCTAGGGTATCCTGAATTGGCGTTGGGCACTCGGTAGCTTCGACGGTGGTCGTCAACACCGGCACACATGTCAATGTCGGGGTGGGGACGCCCGACGTAAGGATTGTTGATGTTCATGTTGACGTAGCGGGGAGGGGGCGGTGGATGGGCGTGAGAATGAGGATGCGAGTAACGAGGGAGATCCTGATTGTGGGGCATGACAGGAGGGTCGTTGAAGGCATGCTCGTGGAACATAGGGCCTGGGGTTCTGGGATGCATGATAGGCTCTTCAGCGTACGCACGTGCCGGGCGGGTCCTGCGACCGCCATCAGAGTCATATGGCCGCCCCGAATGGGAGTTGAACATGTCGCGGTGGGTATAGGTCCGTCGCTGCGCTTCAGGTGAGAGGTCACGCTGGGGTTTCCGCGCATAAGCTTCGTGTGAATGCCGACGGGCATGGTTGCTGTGTGAATGCGTAGGACGCAGGTGACGGCTGTTGTGTCGATTGGCCGCCTCTTGTGCTGCAGCTATTGAATCCTCGGACGAAGCGTCCGAAGAGTTGTGACCCGGTACAGTGGTCGGGCTGACTGGACGCGAGACGGTAGGCCCGCGCTCACGTCCTCGGGCTTTCGGGGATGACTTAGTCCACATGGGTGGTGAGGGCGCCCGGGGTGAGGGCGCGAATTCAGGAGGGGGCGGCGGTGGTGGTGGTGGTGGTCTGAAGTAAGTTGACTGCACGCGGCGCGTTGACGAGTTGGGAAACTCGGCGCTGCGACGTCTTTGATGGCGGCTCGACGGTGCTGGCTCGTCCGGGGTGACATGGGCTCGCTGCGCAGTTGTCCTACGCCGACTGGGAAAAGTATTTGTCTCCTTGGAGCCCCCAGGCTCGTCCTTTTGGTGGTGGCTGAAATGATAGTGGTAGGTACCAAAATTCGGAGGAGATGCACGAAGGATGTTCTTTTTCACATAGTCCATCTCAAACCGTCGGCTTACTGTCTCGTGCCACTCCACCATTTCCCGGTCCGGTGATTCGGGAAAGGCCTCGCGAGGAATCGTCTTCGGAAACGTGCCCCCATTAGGATTCTCAATCTCCCAGATATCAACAGCGTTTTGTAGGTACCGGCAATGCTCATCCGGGTCTAGCAGCAACTGTATCGTCTGCCATCGTACAAAGCCGTTGGGTTGTAGAGCGGGAATTGCGGGAGGTTTGTATGCATCGGTTGTGGGTTGGATACTGTGGAAGCAGCCAAGGCGCTGATAGATAAAGGACAGAGCAGAGGGCTTCGTTTGTAAGAAGAGCACATCATAATTGCCGCCGACTTTGCGGTAGAAAGTGGCCAAACGCTCGGGTGTGAGGTCGGTCGTTGCGTAATCGTCGAAGGACGACTTATAGAAGCCAGGCTTTAGTTCTTATCCTCGGGGGCGCATACAGTTCCTTCCGAGCTCCCACTTACAATGATGTGAGCGATTTCTAAACAGAGCTGTTCAAGGAGCGGGGCTGGGCTTTTGTCCGAGTTGATCAACACTCCCCAGAAGCTCGCGCCCGGGTCATGGGCGGAAAACATGACCTAGCTACTGGGATTGGGCGCGCTCGAAGGACATCTGGCAGCAAGCAGCGAGACAATGAGCGTTGCATCGATGGGGGGGGGGACCGATGAGGTAGAAGAAGGCGGGAGGGCGGAGCAAGCGGGAGGGGCAAGGCTGAAGAGGGAGAGGAGAATTCAGGAGACCGCGATGTATGCGTGTGAGAGAAGAATACGTTGAGTTAGTGATGCTGCTGCAGGGCAGCAGCACCTTTCGATTCATTCGCCTGGTGTGAATGAATCCGGTTTAGTGCGCGGTCAGTTCAATTGACAGGCAACGCCCGGGCGGTCAGGCACCCATTCGCTGATACCTCCACTGCGGGGGAGCCCAAAGAAAAAGCAGCTGTTGTTGTTTGTTGGCACTGGAAGAGTTGCAAAACTCGACAACTCTCAATCCGCCTCATCTATCCGCAGGTAACGGTGGAGTTTTCGGAGGGAAGTTGGCGCTGACTGAGGATTGATGCGAACCAGCCCAAGCCATTGGAGGTATAACTAACTACCTTACACCGTACCAGGTTGAAAGTGAGGATTGAACTCTCCATCCATACTTGAGTGGGTGGGTGGAGGGAGATCGGACAAGAGGAGCAGCGAGACATTCCACGGGCTATATTACAAAATGCGTCATTTGTCTTTCTTGCTCAGACTGTGCTTCAGATGCTTCAGACATGGATGAGCATTCAATGAATGAATCAACTCTCGAGTGGTGGGAGGATAGAAGGTCCGAGGAGATGTTTGTCCGGTTTTGTTCGGTTAATACCTGAGGTGTCAACCATATCCCTCCTGACTAACTGACCTACTTTGTAACTAACTAGTAGTTAATACCTAGTTAACTACTAGGTAAGGTAACTATTTTACTCTCAGTACTCCAAGCGACACTCATGGAGACTTCAACCTACATCCGAAGGTGGTACGAAAAACGCAGGTACCCCGTACCTCGCAGGTGCATACATCACACGCCTAAACAAGGGGGTCAAGTCATTTTTCTTCACAGCATGTTCATCCGTCTATCTAAGTTGTGGCTGCGAATGATCCGCTCAGACAAGGCGCATAGTTTGCCCCTGTGGCACTCAAGGACCCTTGAATCAGATGATCGTTTATTCTTAGTGTGCGCAGTCTCTAAGTAACGGCCAGTCCCTAAAGTATGTGTAATCCCACCGATCAACATTTCTGATTGGTCATATCAGTTATAGTAATCACGGGAGTAATGGACATAGCATTCCTCCGGCCATTCCCGCCTGGACTATAGTAGGATTCCGAGCATCGAGCATGTCTGCCAGTAGGTAATTGTTGTGATGCTCACCCCTGAAACAAACCATCATGTACTACGTAGTGAGTATTCTTTGCGTGCTTGGCTTCTCCCTTTCTCAAACCCTACTCTACTTCTACACTACGCATCTCTCGCCATTCATTGCATCACGGACCGGACCCCAACCACACCGCAATTTCTTTTCTTATTCTTCGATTCTCAGTTTCTCGTTTGATAGCTTTCAGGGCTCGCGTGGACCAGCAGCTCTATTTCTGTGCCTGGAGCCGTGACTAGGTACGTTATTCGCCTCATCGCGGAAAGTCACGCTGACGTTCGTCGCAGAATCGTGTCTTTCGACCTCACTGGTGGCTATCCGATTAGACCACGGACGGTTCAGTCCTATGTCTGCGAAGTAGCAGCTGAAAGATGGCTCAAAATCGGGATCCAGCGTTCTGGCGACGCTTCTCCCTTGCCATCCATCTGGACGAGGAGTCCAAGGCTTCCACTCCTGAGAAGGAGGAAGTCAGTCTTTGGTCGTATGTTGGAACGCTCTGACTGTGCCTCGTTCGTGCTGAATTTTGCTCGTTGTTCGGTATACTGACTGTCTGGCTATGGTAGGGACAACTGGATTAAAGACCAGGAACGAAAGCGCCGACGAATGATCTTGTGCGGCTTCCTGATATTCTTCCTGACCGCGCTGTTTGTCGTTGGCGTTATCGTGGTGATTGTTTGGCTCAATGCCCACCACTGGCTGCAAGACGCGCCGAAAGCATCTTGAGGTAGAGGTGCTTCGGGGGTTAAGGGTCTGGGTAGATATAGAAGGTGTCTTGTGGATATGGAGTTCTGGTCAGGCATGAATGAGCGGGTCTCATTGTCACTATTTTCTCGCAGTCTCTTTTCTTTGCATGGCGATCTGGAGCTGGTCTTATCGCAATCTGTCCAAATAGTAAGTCATATAGGTAGGCTTTGAGCCGATAAGTACCGAGTTGCGACCTGGAGCTTTCTTATTCCCCTTGCCTTGTTGGCTCCAAGTAGAGTTGTCAATGGAAAGTCCAGCCGTCCCTTTGTTCAAGTCCCCTTGAACGCATGGACTTGCCCGATCTGGGAATCTCTTTGCCGGGGGCCGGCATCTTATCGCACAATCTTCCAAGTCCGCTAGTTGTCTCTGAACACAGCGCTCAAATCCAGAAGCTCTGTCTGCCTCTTGTCTTGAACACATCAAGAGTCAGTCATCAAAGTGAATAGGACAAGATAGATCAACGTGTAAGAAGCAAGCACATACAGGTATGTCGTAGCAATTTCCTGCATGTTGGGATGAATCAGTGGCTGCAGTGGGTGCTCCCCACCCACGCTTATCAGCGGATCTGGTCTGTTTGCGCGCGGGCTTATCGCTACGATGTCTCCGCATCTCCTCCTCTTCCTTCCCCGCAATAATAAAAAGCCCACCCTCCCATCGTCCCTCCTTACTTCCACTTCTCTCGTGATTTCTCTTTTTTTTTCCTTTTTGCTCACCTTAAGTTGAAGAAGTGTCTTCTACCTCTTTTCCCTCTCCTTTCAAGCTCTGTGGCAAGAGCTTCCCAAGGTGCCATCATGCTCCCCCCTTTCGACTACTTTACATATCGTCGTCTCCGGTAAGTCAATCATGGCTCCTCATGAGACCCACCGGGTACAGTAAATGGCTGTACAAAACGTTCGTCGCGCTCTTGCTAAGTCACTGGTTGTATGATAGAGATTACAAGCGGAGAGACCGAGCAGCTAGATTCGCATCGCTACCGGCTGAATACCACGCCCCCTTCACCGCCATCGACAAGGTCATTATCAACAAGCCGATCCAAGAATTGGTGGAGGAGGTTCACACTGAATCATTAGCACCCCTCGATGTGCTTCGCACCTATGGCAAAGTAGCGGTTAAAGCTCATGAGAAGACCAATTGTGTGACAGAGCTCCTTCTGCCTGAGGCTGAATCATGGGTTCAGTCCGAAGTCAACCTCCAAGGACCACTGGCGGGGATCCCCGTCTCACTGAAGGATTCGCTTCAGATCAAAGGATTCGATACCACCCTGGGGTATACGAAGTATGCCTGTAAGCCATACAAGGAAGATGGACCTATGACCAAGCTCCTGAAAGACGCCGGTATGAACTTTAGAAAGACTGCTGTAGCGCCCTGTGTCTGATATCTCTAGGTGCTGTACCTTATGCTAAGACCGCGCTGCCCGTGACTTTATTGTCGTTTGAATCAGCTAATGCTCTCTGGGGCCCGTGTCTCAACCCTCATGTTCCCGAGTATTCCCCTGGTGGTTCTACTGGTGGTGAAGGGGCCCTGTTGGCATTGGGCGGTCGTATCGGTATTGGTTCTGATGTTGCCGGGTCTGTCCGCGTCCCAGCGGCCTGGAGCGGGATCTATTCCCTACGCTGCAGTACTGGCCGATGGCCGAAGGTTGGTGTTCACACCAGCATGGCTGGCCAAGAAGGAGTTCCTAGTGTCTTCAGCCCAATGGCTCGGACCTTGAATGATCTGACCTACTTCACTAAAGCTATTGTGGGGATGGAGCCGTGGAAGTATGATTACACGGTTCATCCCATTCATTGGCGGGAGAAGGAGGAGGCGGAAGCTCAGAGCAAAAGGCTTCGCATCGGCCTGATGAGTAGCGATGGTGAGTGGATCGGCATTCGCACCCGAACCAAGCAAGCTGACAATTCCTAACCACTCTCTCTCAGGTGTCATTCCTCCTACCCCGGCCATTGCGCGTGCCCTATCAACCACAGCCACTGCTCTCATCGCGGCCGGCCACACAGTTTCGGAGATCAAGCCACCAGTCACGGCGGACCCCTTCACCGGACTTCATCTAGCTTCGCAGCTCTTGAACTCTGATGGTTGCGTCACCTTCAACTCACACCTGCATTCTTTCGAGCCCTCCGACCCGGGCGCAGATCAACTTACCCGGATCTCGAACCTCCCCCGTCCACTACGGTACCTTTACTACCTCTGGGTACGCTACATCCGCCGGGATGTCCAGTGGGCCAAGTTGATTCGTACCTTCGGTCCCAAATCGGCCGCCGAGCTCTGGAAGCTCACCGCACAGCGCGAATCCTTCCGCGCCACCTGGCACGCCTGGTGGGATGGTGCGACACAGCAGTACGATTTCATTCTCTGCCCGGTGAACGCCACCCCAGCTCTCCCCCACAAAGCCATGCACGATGCTGTTTCATCTTGTGGGTACACCTTCCTTTGGAACCTGCTCGACTACACTGCGGGTGTTGTGCCTGTGTCACACGTCGACGCGAAGAAAGACGCTCTTCCCGGACCGTACAAGAAGGTTCTCAAGCAGCTGGGCGCCGACGGAGCACTCTCTCGTGGTGCCTGGAAGCACTACGACGCTATCAAGATGGCAGGATTGCCGACGGCGGTGCAGGTGGTAGGCCGCCGCTGGCAGGAGGAGAAGGTCCTTGGATATATGGCGGCGGTTGAGGCGGCGCTGGACCAGTATCAAGATCCGGCGACCGGTGAGGGTGGACGATACCCCTTGCTCGAGTTGGACTGAGATAAGTTTGTCATAATTCTCATCTGTCTAGACCTTAGTGTAGTTATTCCTGTTATATGAGCGAACCATAGGATGAACTGTTTCCCTTTCCCTCCAGCATTTCACTCTTTTTTTTTTTTTTTTTTTTCTTTTTTGTGTTTCTTCAGTTTCCTCTATAGCAGACGAATCATTCATCCCATTCTCCTTGGCATAGAACAAAACCTGGATGAGTGATGAATGTTGTAGCTTGTAGCACACAGGTGCATGTGAACATGGGTTCCTCGGATGCAGCGCCATGTAGGCTGGCTGCGTAACTTTGACATCTCGTTTCCTGACCGTGGATAGCGCCGTCGGCTTGTCCTTTTATCCTTTTACCGCCCGTCATATTTCTCTATTGGTGGCTGGTATGAAGTCAAAAAAGTTTGTCTGTGACAGGCTAAATGGACGGCCAATGGAGGTGGGAGGAAATGCTATTCCTTGTGCCAGTCGATGATGGTCAAGATTCTCAATCTCACCTCATTCTTTCTGAAAGTGCCAGACCTCGGAATCTCGGAGTAAGTAGCAAAGAAGCCAGAGAGTATGAGCGAAGTTGTCACCTTTTTTTTTATTTTCTGTTTCTTCCTTCTTGACCCCCGCGTCAACCAGTGGCTCCGCAGAGTCCAGACCTTGGGATAAAGCAGAATGATCCGAACAACAAACAGTGGGGAAGGTCATTGGCAGCAGAGAACGAAGCGAGAATAATTAAAAAGATTTGCGGGGGGTCGATTTCAACTGTTAAGGGTTTTTTTCTTTGACTTATGCTCCCTCCTCTCCTTTTTCTCAAATCTCTCAATCTCTCAATCTCTCTCTCTCTCTATAGTCACTTGCTTGTCTGCCACTGGTTTTGCCGTTACTCTTGCCATTCAATCTCAGTTGGCTATTGTATCACACACTGCCTGAAGATCTACCCAATTCAAGGGGGTAGGTCAGTCATTGTTCAGGAAGATCGAGATTGTGGTTGTGGTTGGAAAGTCCGGAAGAAAATAAAAAAGAGGCAAATCGGGAGCGATCGTCGATGGTTGATCGCGCCGGCTGCTGCTGCTGCTGCTGCTGCTCTCCCCTTTCTTACTGATCACACTATCTTCTTTCTCTCTCTTCCTCTCTTTCTCTGCCTCTTTCTTCCCATTTTCCTCCTCCTCCTTCTCTTCATCATCTCACCCTCTTCTCCTCCCCCTCCCCTCTTCTCTCCTCTCCTTCGTTTCTCTTTCTCCCATTCTCTCTTTTCTTTCGACCATCATCTTGGATTCTTTTTCCTCGCTCTTTACCTCCACTCAGCTTCGTTGCCGCTTGCCGATCTAGACCCTCGCCCAATCACCTCAGAATTCGCCCCTCCTCTCCCACCACCTCTGCCCATCTCCCCCGGGTCTCGACATTTCGTCTTCAAACCCTCCCCCTCCGCCAAATTGAACTCTTCTGCCCCTCTGGCAATTCTTACACCGACCAAAATAATCGCCCATCGCCCACCGTTCACACCCATCTAGCTGGAGTTACAGGATGCTGTTCGTGGCTTCGGCTTTGAACTGCGGTCTCTGTCGATACCTGTGCTCTTGACCTCGGAGCAATGACTTCTGCCAAACGTGCCACCTCCGGACGTAAAAGGGACGCCATTCATTTTGTCAATGCGCGTCCAACTTCTGAAAACGAGCGTCTCAAGATTCAGCGCTTGGTCCGCGCCCACGTGGGCAAATGGATCTCGGATCAGACCAAGGACCGTTCGACTCTCCCGGATTGTTCGAACCGCAACGGCGGCTGCATCCCGGAGCATGGCGCCCACACCACCACCAGTAGTAGTCGCAGCGTGACCCGTCAGTCTACCTCCTCCAGCGAGGGATCAGCAACCGGCTTAGAATCGCAATATGCGACACCTCCGGCTACTTCTCCGCTCTGTTCCTCTGTCTCATCCTCCCCGTCACCTCCGCCTTTTTCCAAACAAGTGCCCTATGATTCATCGTCTGCGACCCAATTTGCGTCCGCAAACCATGTTAACCAGCAACTTTTCCGATCATCGTCCCAAAGTCCGGTGGATAATTTCGCGAATGAGATGGAGCGTTCCAGTCCGGACAGTCTCCCGTGGCCCTCTCCTCTTTCTGCTCAGGAGTCGCGTTCTGGGATGTCGGATGCGCGGAAAAATTTTTTAGAGTCGGACGAGTTGTCTCGAGCTCTGACAACAACATCGCCCAGACCATGTCTCGCCCCAGGTTATGTCGATACGTTCGGAGCGGGTCGGTTCGATCCATTCTCCACGCATCCTCTGAATCTGTTGAATATGGGAAAGAACGAAGTGGTGGCTTCTGAATATTACTGTTCGTGGGTCCGACGCTAGATACGCATCAAGCAGACTAACCGTCTTTAATTGTAGGTTTGGAAGTTCTCTGGCCCGGTCTCACCCCTGTGTCGCCCGGCCATGATACGAGTCCAGCTAGCAGCAATTGGTTTCCACTATCGTTGGCTGATCCAACCTTGTTCACAGCCTTTGTCTTCGGTTCGCTATCTCACAAAAGGGTCCAATGGCTGAAAGGCACGATTCCGGCTCACGCGTTCCTGCCCTCCGAGCAGCAAATGCTGCAGTTGTGCGAAACAGAAACGATCCGGAATGTGACGCGGGAAGTCAGCGATCCCACTCGAGCAATGTCCGATGCGATCATTCTTAGCGTCATCTGTATGGCACACAATGTCGCCAACAATGAACATATCAAGGGCCAAAAGCTGCCGTTCACCGCCCCCATGCAACGCTTGCAGTGGTTGGACATTTATAGCAGCCTTCCGCCTAATCTGGTGCACATCAAGGGTCTAATACAGATGGTCAATCTGCGTGGTGGTCTTGAAAATCTGACTCTTCCCGGACTCGCGCCAACGTTATCTTTGTAAGTATTATCGAACCAGCAGTCTTTCCATCCACGAACACTGACACCCCTGTCCTAGCTCCGATCTCGTCACGTGCAGCACGTTTCTCTTGCCACCTGTGTTTGATTTCATGCCTCTGCGCAGAGAGCGGAGGGGAATGACCATGCAAGTTATGCTAGGTTACAGCATGATCGATGTCGAGCGCCGGTTCGGTCCCCTGCGGGAGATCGGCTTTACGTCTGAAATGGTGGAGGTTTTCTACGGCATGCAAACGTACATCAAGCTTGTTGAATCCCACCTGGCAACGCAGCAGCACAACCCAGACTATTCGCTCCTTTCCGACCAACGCAATCTTGTGCACTACCACCTACTGTCTCTCCCCGCCGTCAGCCAATTCGAGAGATTTGACAACTACCAGCCTCACGAGATCATGTATGAGATCTGCCGGCTGGCCGGTTTAATATTCGGCGTTGGTGTGGTGCTACCCCTTCAAGCTCAGAGCGCACCTTTCGCTCGACTCGCCAGGCTCATCCAAGAAGCTTTACACATCCACAAAGCCCCCTTTTCCTGGGATCATCCGCAGGCCCATATCGCTCTGTTCTGGGTGTTGATTCTTGGCGGTATAGCTGCGGAAGACCAGCCCGAACGGGCCTGGTACGTCGAGCTCCTCAGTCAAGTGGCGGGGAGCCATGGCATCCGCACCTGGGATGAAGCACGGAAAGTCCTTCGTGTGATGCTCTGGTACGACCGGGCCTGTGAGCGTGCGGGTCGCAAACTGTGGCTTGAAGTGAAGCATTCGGGTCTATCATCGTCTTGAATTCCCGGAACCCTGATACGGCCAACACCTAGCACATAATCCCCTCAACGCCGGCCCGTCTATTCCTGTTCTAGGTATCACCCGCTTGTCCGTCTTCGGCTTCATTAGCAAAGGCTTGGCCACAAGCCCCCCCGAGGGTTCGAAACGGACGCGCAGAAAGGGCAGACAATCCCATCATCAACCCCTCACAACCTGAACCCCAGGTATACTATACGACTTTCACGAAAGTTACGAAGCCGCCGACGACCATGGCGAAGAGCAACGCGTATGAACGAGGGGAGAAATTTCCCAGCGCACAAATTGCATTCGACCTCTACCCTTCTTGTAAACACTACTTTCCCATATAGCCTTATTATTTCCCACTATCATGTTCTCTTTCTTACCCTTCCACATTACTGTCTATCCTTTATGACAGAATTGGATTCTCTCTTTTGTTTTGGTCTGTCTGGTTATCCACGCACTGTGATATATAGATAGATGTATTTACCCCACTAATTTGAAGCCATCTTTCCCTCGGAGTCTCTAGACCAAACGAACTCGATGGTGCTGCTGCTGGGTCATGCCAGGAGGATTCGGCTGCTAGTTATAATAATCATGTACACGTAAACGGATAGAAAATTCTGGACTAAGAATGAGACCAACGGTGCAAAAGTAATGATAATGCTGGAATATGCACGCTGTATAACTCAGGTTTCGCGAACTGGGTACGCGGAGCGAATTGATGGGGCGGGCACATCAAATGCATAGTACCTAGTAAGTAGTGTGTATTTACTGTAGCGAGAGAACATGGTGGGTGTGGGAACTTCAGTCGTAAGGAAATCATGGTCTCGTGCCTCCGTAGGAAGGAGACGTATCGGTCCCTTGCCGGAGCAACGGTTCGCGTTCGCCCTCCCGGGCGCTTTGCCGGTGGTGCCGATGGCCCCAATCCCTTGTGTCCACGCCGTCATGGAGGCCGGGGACACTGAGTCCGCTCTCGACGACCTCGACGGGCCTGTTCGCTGGTCCTGGCGAGGTTGCGGTCGTGGCGTCGATGATCTTCGCGTGGCTAGCCGCCGCCATTCTTCGGGCCTGCCAGCTGACGAACGCGACCAAGGCCACGCCAACCAGGAACGTGGTGCCGGTCAGCACGGCGTTGACGGGAGTGGGGTCGCGATGGAAGACGGTGAACGTCAGGGCGTCGAGACCGGCTTGCGCGAAGTTGCCTAGGCCGGCGAGGCAGATGATCAGCCCGTAGACCTTCCCGAAGGTCTGGAAACCGAACACCTTGGCGGCGTAGTCGGAGACGGCCGTGTAGTAGAACGGGCGGTAGAGGACGAAGAGAGCGATGTTGCCGTAGCCGGCTTCCAGGGTGGGGATGCAGCCTAAGACGCCAATGATAGTGGCGGCGGTGACCAGGGTCAGGAGCACCGAGGGGGTGCGGGTGGAGTCGAGGATCGTGCCGATAAAGGGGACAGAAAGAAGACCACCCAGTGGCAGGAGGACGTCAAAAGTCGAGTTCAGAGTTGCGGCGAGGTCCGGGGAGTGGAGGAGATATGTGTATTGTTGGCGAATCGTGGCGACGAAGTAGTTGATGCGGAGCATCTGGAGGATGGTGAAGAGGGTGATGAGAACGAACCACGGGGTGCGGATTTGCGTGAGTGCTGAAGCCCCATGGAGGGCTCCCCAGACGCCGCCAGCAGTGTGTGGTTTGTCAGAATGTGGATTGACGGTTGAATCGGTAGTGATGGTGGCGGTGTTGCTGTTGCTGTTGTTGTTGTTTGCGACAAGGACAGAAGAGGGGGACATGGGACGTTCGAGAGTGGGGACGTCGTCGGAGTATGAGTGTGGTTGGAGCTCAGGGGAGGCCAGGAGGTCCTGAATCTGGCTGACAACATTCTGGCGGTGAACACGACGGTCGTTGCGTTGGCGTTCGCCTTCATGGCGATCCTGGATGGCATCATCGACATGGTCTCTGGCTTCGGCTGCGATGTGGGCTTGCGCTTCCTGGACAAGCTCGCCGGCCGTCTTATATGAGGCTGTTGGCATGATGGTAAGCTCTGCAGTCATAATGAAAACGGGGACAATCAGATAGAGCAGGAAGAATCTGGTCGAGCTGAACGATCCGTGTGTACTCTCGTTGAAGAGCCGAAACACAAGAAAGAGAGCGCTGGAGGCATCAAATGCGCCTGTTAGAGTAGATAGAATGAGGCCGGAGCGGGTAGGGAAGGTGTTGGACAGGTGGAATGAAGAAATGAACACGAATGGTCCACCGAGGGAAAGAAAGAGATATCCCGGCATATATCCGTCGAACGGAAGCTTGTGGGAGAGCCCAAAAAGCAAGGAGCCCAGTATGAGCGAGATGCTGCCGATAATGCCGCAGACGCGTGGGCCGTATGTGTCGAGAATCGTTCCTACTGGAAGAGCAAAGACGTTGGTTGCGACGGCAGCGATGGTGAACATTAGATTCAAACTAGAGAGAAAGTTTAGCTTAGCAATAGCAGACTTATGATCTGCAGTACTTACCGAAGCTCTTGCCCGTAGCATACGTCGGAGTTATTGTCAAGCTCCGCCTGCGAGCACCGGTCCCTGTAGACACCCTCTCTGATTAAGACTGGTTTGATGGCTGCAAAACCAAAGACTATCCCCGCAGCAAGCAGACAGTAAACTACTGCTATGCATACTTGCGCTGTGTGTTCATCAGTGTCCTTATCCATGTGGCTCCTAGGGGTTTGACTGAGTTCCAGCACTTACCAATGCGTTTGGCACGGCTCACCTCAAACGCCCCCGTAGTCTCTCGGCCACCAGTCCACTCCTGCAACTTTGGTGCCAATGGCGCGGGCACTGGATCCTCCCTATCAGCCTCGTTGAGCGTACCGATCTTGGGTGAGGCGACTTGGAGAGGTGGGTTTCGCTCACTGGTGTCCTCATCCACAGTGGCCTGTCCCCATGCTGGTCCTGCATATGGGTTGAAATTCAGACGATGTCTAAAAGAATGACGACTAATATTGGACTGAAAAGAAGACGATAGAGAGGGCTCCGGCAAATCATGGTAGCTTTCCTCGTCCTCGGAGTCATCCTGATGAGGCTGACGGCGGAATGCAGCAGGATTCTGTTCCCAAGACTCCAAGTAGGAGACACGGTTGAGAGACATTCTAGCGATTCACGAGACTCGCACTCATGAGTGTACTGTACCGGAGATTCTCAAATGTTACCCGTTCAGGGATGTTTGGTTGGGGGTGATGTGCACGACAGACAGGCAACGAGCATCAGCTATGGTAATGATGGCTGGTTGACGGTGGAGTCGACCCGTTTCGGCCCGTGGACCCAGCCAGATATGAGGGGCAAAAATATGTGTCTGAGTCGATATGACAGCGGAACAACGGTGCTGCTGACCGGATGTGACTGCTAGATGAGAAGCTGGGAGATAGGGGATAATTTGAAAGGTCAATGGCTATCTTGTAAGGAGATTGCCAGCAAGTACAGGTGAAGATGGCAAAGTTGCAGCAGCGGACAAGTAATGAGGTAATTGTCCAGAAGCGGAGCAAGGAAAGGGTCACCTGACGGAGTAACTACCCAACCCTTTTAGTCATCCATGCAATCACTGAAGTAGGTTGGTTAACTTACTGTAAGTTACTGGTTACAGAACTACTTCTCCATCCCCAGCTGCCACTTCAGAACATCATCCTCTTCTCTTCTCTTCTCTTCTCTTTTCCTGTCGGTTGCTTCCTCCTCCTCTTACTTCTCCTCCTCCTCCTCCTCCTCCTCCTCTTCTTCTTCTTTTTCTTCAACAACAATATCTGCACAATCTTAGACTGCATGGTCTAACGCTCTGCAATGCAAGCCAGCCACAAATGCACCTTCTCCTTGGTCTGTCCTCATGATCAAGAAATCTTTCTGGTCTAGCCCTTCATCAGTTGCTCTCGCTCGCACGACTCGCTGCTACTGCTACTTGGCTGGATTTGGTCACCCTCCGATGGGGGGTCTGGAGCAAGATCCACCTGTCAATTGGCTCGCGTAGCTTTGGCTCCATTATGGACTCGCAGTCCAAACCTAACTCGGATGGAATGGGTCTAGGCTAAGCGGCATCAGGGTTCTTTCTGTCAGCATCTTGACCTCACCTACTGATTGTTCCCCCCCCCCACCCCCCTTGAGCGGCCATCTGCTGCGCACGGCTGATATTCGAAGCTCGCATGCATTCATACTACTGCTATTAAGCCCGGTGCCCGGGGTTTACACTTCCATGACCGTGTCATCAGTATGCTATCGGCCGTGGGGTACTTTGGCCCAGAGATGAATTACTGGTCTCTCCTCTCGGATTCAGCACAACACCAGCTGTCATAATTCTCTTGCACTTTGTTCTGCTGCGAGCTAGGAGAAACATTCCGAGTTAGCATGATACGTCAGAACATGGGGAGGTGCCGCTAGCGAAGAGGAAAAAGTACCGTACTTTTGAGCGCGGCAGAAAAACCGATCAAGAGGCAAACAAATCCCGACATTCTCGAGATAAATGAACCGTTCATCAGGGGTGCAAGATGCATCGCGAAGCATACGCCACAGCCTTGTGTGAACAGGTATTGCAGCTTACAGGAAGATGTTGCTCGCTCCTCGCCAATCAGAGCGCTAGTCACAGTTGAACCGTGTCGACTAGCCGGGCGCCAGCGGAACGGGCAGTGATATGTCCGTCAAAATGTTGATTGAATAACTATTTGTTCGGAGAAAACTGCAGATTCGACTTGAATGGGGACTCGGTGTCGATAAGCGTCACCAAGAACCCCGTGGCTTGCTGTCAATTTGACCCCCCTTTAGGGCGAGAACAGACCATACCCGATTTAGCACGCAAAGTCAGCTCCATCCAAGGACTGAAGGAGGAACGGGACTTCTGGACAAGAAATTTGCAAGAGAAAGTGCCGAAACGTTGCTCATTAGCTCGAACCGAAACACTCCGGTGCGGGTGCTCTTCCAAGTTAGCTTGCGAGTATTTTCTGCTTCGGGCAACGATCAGACGCGGCTGTGCCAATCGCCCTGCGCTTGTCGGAGAGGAACAGCAAGACTTAGGAACAGGCAACGGATGGCTTCATCTGCTGTAGCTCTATCTTGTGCCATCCTAATCCCACCTAGGAAACAAGATGACTGAGCTACGGTGGGCTGTCCTCTCCTTTTTCTTGGTGGGAAAAAAAAAGCTCCCATACAGTAGTCCAGAGATACCCCTGAAGGAAAGCCGGAAGCCGTATGATACTGGGCTCCAGTGGTCGCGCTAAAAAGTGGGATCTGCTTTCTTAATCTTCATCTATATAGGGCTCTGCTTTTACCCTTTTGCCTCTTCCTCCACTTTATTAGTTTGCCTTTGCACTTTGCAGGCCATGGCGAGCTCCGCACCGCACGAACCATTCTCTGTTGGGTAATTAACCGTTTGAACGTTATTCTGCCCATCATAATCATTGTCGCTGGGGCGGTCGCCTCCTAGCTGCTGCTCGGCCTGCACATTTTAATACCTCATGCCAATGGCTTTGTCTGGCTGTTGATCTGGCTTGTCTTTCCAGGGCTATTGCTACTGCCAGCCCGAGCACTGAATCTGGGCACAACGTGATGAGGGGATGGTGAGTTGCATTTCACTGTTCATCCATGCCGTGACGCCTCTTCTGTTTCCTGTGCTCATTCTAACCTCGTTGCTCTCGCGTCAGTCTGACCTGCCGCCAGCGCCATATCAAATGTAAATTGTCCCCAAGCCCAATGCTACCAGCCCCAAGACTATCATCTCATCCCCGTGTATGCCCTCTGATGTCTCTACCAGGTGACAAGACCGAGGACCAATGTCTGCGCTGTCGGCGATCCGGACGACAATGCATACCCGCGCCTACAAGACCAGAAGAGGTCACTTTTCGCCATGGTCAAAACCCTTCGCTCCGACCCAGTGGTCCCCCGCGATACGGAGAGAGCGATCTCGTGTTTCCAACCGATCAAGTGTGGGTGCCGTTGCCGACACAAGGTTTGTTCCGGCTTTAGATGGAGAAGGCTTCTTTCTCACTGATGAACTACAATGAAGTTTCTTTCGAAGATGAAACAGACCGGACAGCGGCGGATTATCGCGTGGTGTCTCTGGGTGGTTCGCCCTTGGATCTGAAACATGCGCCCGAAAACTCTCCTTCAACGCCCAACGGGGCATTACAACCATCATCAGCCTCGCGTTCGCTTCATTCTCCAAATATCAGGGATCCTTCTCGAGCGCGTCCGGCGCCGCGCCTTGCTTTCCCGCACATTCCGTTTCCGCCCACCGATTTTGCCAGCACGCAGAAGCTGCGAAGCTTCAACGAGGCCTTCCTCCTCCGACATTTCCGAAAGACACTCGGTCCCTGGGTGCCGTATCCTTTCTTACTCATACTCCGCTGAATTCTAAAACTAATTAGCGATCGCAGCTAGACGTATGCGACAACCGAAGTCACTTTTCGGCGAATGTGGCCGAACGAGCACCGTCATACCCTCTCTTGTTGTACGCGTGTCTTGCCATATCAGCCCGTCACCTCTACCACACGAATAACGCTGTTTCTCCGGAGACGGCTGATGAATATCATGAACGATGTATCGAAATCCTCAAATCGGTCATTGAGAATCGAGACTTTGGTATCGGTATTGATATACTTCTGACTTCCACCGTGATTTTACGCTTCTTCGAGCAGATATCGTGTAAGGCAAGCCGTTTGCATGTTACTGGAAGATACTTACACACCGTATTTAGCCCACAGTCCGTCGAACGATCGCCAGAACCACCTTTATGCCGGTTCCGTCTTCATCAGCTCTCAACTAGACTGCGCTGTGTCTGGAGGACTTGCAGAAGCCTCTTTCTGGGTGTTTGTTATGCAAGATATACAACTCGCTCTGATGCGCCAGAGGCCTTTGCGATTGACCTTGGGTCCGTTCGCAAAAAAGCTATATCAAGCATGGCAGCATAGGACAAATCAGGATGACCGGGACTGGACACATAGGGCCGTTTGGCTTCTTGCTGAAACAATCAATTACTGCTATGGCGCGAAAGATTTGGCGCACGTAGATCCCGTTGAGGGAAATTCGTTGAGGCAGCGAGTCAGCGCCTGGGAAACCATGAAACCTGACACGTTCAGGCCCTTGCACTATTCAATGCCTGATCCAGGGTCTGGAAGACCCTTTCCGTTCATTTGGTTTGACAATTCCCTACAAGGTATGTCCATGAGAATAGCTGGATTTCTGCTCGGTACTGATGCTGCTCTAGCTGCTGCAATCCAACACATCTCCATGGCGAAGGCTTTGTTTCAACAGCATGAACTCCAGGCTTCAAAGTCAATGGTACAATTCAGGGAGGCTACGCGGATGCTTGAGGTTTGTTTGCGAGTCCGTCGTAGTTTCAGTAACTGAGCTCTGACTCATGAGTGTCTAGGACGAGATCAAATACAACCTGGGACTCATCTTTGGCATAGCTCTGTCAGCAGACAATGATCCTGCTTTACGTATAATGGCAGGTCACACTCTCTGCGCCTGTAAGTAGCCAGTGTCCTTGACGACTACTCTTCTCATCATCATGCTCGATGTTTCAGAGATAAAAGTTAACACCGAGATTTGCAGGTGGTACTTGGATCAGTGATCCTCTTGCTCAGGCATGCCTTCTAGATCTTCTGCGCAGGACAGAGGCTGAGAACGGGTGGCCTTGGGCTTTCGTTGTGCAAAAGCTCATTCAAGATTGGCAGCAGATTTCGAGGTGACGATCAGGTAATGAAGACCTTCACTTTTTTGCTGCGGTCGAGGCTTCGACTTTATGTCGACCGCAAAACTTGATGTGATTCAGCAAACAGCTCACTTGCACGAAAGACTCCCAATTCAGTGTTCACAGAAAGTCCATTATATTACATTGAGGCCTGTGCAATGTGTTGTCGGCGTCACATGGTGGCCGTCAATAGACCGGCCGGACTAACATACATTTTCTACCGGAACGAGGATCCGTCTGTTCAATGATCAATTTTTGCAGAGTGCTAGCAACCATCGAACAACACACACCATCTCATTCTGTCGCATTAGCAAAGAAGCTGATGGCCATATCAAGCGACTAGCTGAGCGAAGCATACTAAGATTAGACATTATCTCACGTCGAAATCCTATTATGGCAACCTGAACGCTGTGGGACCTTTGAAAAGTCATTGCTTTTTTATGCTATAGAAGCAGCTTCCAGGACACTTTATACACGTGAGCGTCCTTGATCGTTAGCTTATACGTATATGGAGGTTCATGTACGACTAGTGACGTGAAGAGTACCCAAGATTGCAGGAACGGCAGGCTCCGCCTTGAAGTCAACTCAATGCTGACCAACGTCTGTCTAATCAATCCTGGGAAGCATGAGGTTATCTTAGGCCTTGACACTCTACATTTAGGATAATTGGCGGCATTTACCCGCCCGGACAGTCCCATATACTAGAGACAATCAGCCAGTCCTACTGACAGCTCATTCGACTGTAATTCAGCCTATACATGATATGCTCAATAGAAAGCTCCCAAGCGCTTGAATAATTACCCTTCCTTCTTCTAGGACATATTCTACCCCTACCCTCCAGGACACACCAACCCAGTCCTCCGGCAAAATCATAATGTAAGATGCACAAAAGAAAAACAAACTTGGTACATCTTTCCCTGATAGAATAAGACTTAGAAAAACCATCCATCATGTGAATCCGAGGCCAACGGAATCAAACCCCCGAAAAGCAACAACGATCAGGGCTGTAAGATGCACGTGATCTCTTTGATAGTCTTTTTCTTGTTCGGTGGTTTTTTATTATTATTATTATTAGTATTTTTCTATCTTCCGTTTTTGATACCTTTCTGTGGTGCTGTAAAATCTTCCTTTCTCCGAACAGGGATGATCCTGGCTAGGGTAGGGCTAAGACGGAGGGGTGGGGGTGGGGGTTTGGTTCAAGCATGGAGTCTGTGTGATGTTCTGGCTAAGGTAACCTTTGCTTTTGCGCATGCATGTGTACGGAGTAGGGTGGGGAGCTGTTCTGCTTCTTGAGGGGGTTCCTGGTAAATTGTTATTTTCTCTAGTTACGTACGGACATACATACATACCTACATACATACATACAAGAAGAGTTTCGGTTAGTAGTCGAAATATACATCTGCTGGCCTTCTACCCTGCCTGGGGTGGATCTTCTCACGAAGAGAATGAGGTATCACGTATCATCTTCTCCCTTGCTTAAATACTCGGCAGAGGAGGAAGCAGTGAGTCAAGGAGTATGTACGCTCCAAGCAGAAATACAATACGAACAGAATGGACGAACAGTAGGGATATCATATTACGTTAGAATGGAGAGATGTGGGGTAGAGCCCCCTTTCCCCCCTTCCCCCCCTGGCACCAATACCTCACTAATAAAAGCCCATGCCCTCGTCAGCCTGTAACGGCAGATTCAAGAACCCGTCGCCGATCATGTTGTGCAAGGCAAGAAGGTTCTCGGGGTCGAACCCCATCTGCACCCCGAGTTCGGGCACAAAGAAACCTTGCGGCATCATCAGCATTCCGTCGCTGTTCGCGGGGGCGGCGGGGTTGGGGTAGCCGGGGAGGTCGGACATGCCGGAGCTGAAGGCAGGGTAGTAATCACGGGACGAGGAAGCGGGCGCCGCAGTGGAGTAAGGGGGCCACGGTTCGGTGGTTGAGTCGGTTGCGCTGGGAGGCTGTGAGGTCGGTGCAGGCGGTGCTTGTGATATGGGGCGTGGGCTGGGACCGAGGGAGTGTGAGGCGAGATCGGAGGAGATGGATGCGTGGTTGGTGGCGCTCGGGTTGCGGCGGCTGCTGCTGCTGCTGCTGCTCGTGTTGTTGTTGTTGATAGTGGACCCTGTCAAGTAAGGCATGGGTGGTTCGCCGGCGGAGGGATTTGTGGTAGAGGAGCGGCCTTGCGAGCTACTGCCCATGGCGACTTCACTCAAAAGGTGCAGGGGGGTCTGCCCAGCGTCGCTGTGATTCTTTTGCAGGGATTTAGCAATGATAGCCACTGCGCTTAAGCGCAAATAGTCTTCAGCAAACAAGGTGTAGAAAAGTAGGGACACTTACTTGGCTTCGGTCGTGGTTGTTACTTTGACAGTCTGCCGAACCACAGCATACTGAAAGTGCTTCTTTCAAGGCTGGACCCTGGTCTTTACGCTTCATGAACCAGTTGCGTAACATGGAGAGCACAACGCCAAACTTTGCCGGACTCCGTCCGCCAGGAAGCTCTCCAGCGACGGCGTAATGGCGAATGACTTTGTCAAGATAGTATTCCATCTTGAGGCTGCCCGCATCTATCACTTGACCCAGGCGGGTCTCTGGCGCAAGGACGATGGCGTAGAGTTTGATCAGCGCAACAACTGCAAAAGACGTACGGGCTAGAGTAATGGTAGGCGCGGACAATAGCTTTTTGGCGTCAATCGCACAGATCGTATCTAAAGCTTCGTGGATGGAAGTGAGGCAGGAGCTGAGGGCACTGATGTGCGTGGCGCTTGTAGGACTAGCAGCTTCATCCCCTGATGTTCGAGCCTCATCCTTGCCATAATCAACATGCAGAGCATTTTCGTGCAGGTAGAGGTTGACAATACAGTATGCTTGTTGGATTACAGCTAAAAATCCCACTTAGCACAGATGCGAGAACTAGCTGGGAAAGATTGCTTACCTGAAGAATGCTCCGGTAATGTTTCTCTCTTCCATTGCTCCAGCTGCTTTTCGAAGACCTTGAGAGTGTAGATGGACTTTGGGTCCGAGAAGGACACAACGGAGGGAATATCGTCGCTCGAGAACTGAACATAGATCTCTTCAATGATTTGCGCCAGCTTGGCCCACCGAACCATTGTTCGATCTGATGGCAGTGCATCGGGAGACTTTTCCAGAATCTCGATACATTCATCCATATAAGGCAGCCATCGCACAAGATTAACTCGTCGAAGAGACACAGCAACCCTAGGATCGTTAGCCACTTAAGCAACAAGAAACAGCAGTGGTTGGGCACATACTGAACAGCAACGAAGTAGCATGCCAACCAGGTTCGTCTGGTCTCCGGGGAATCTGGATCCAGGACCTCGGATGACTTTTTAGCTATAATGTTTCTAATCAAATTCATCTGCTTCCCTCTGGGCATCGATTTTCGATACAAACCCACGTCCATAGCCAAAGTGACCGCCATATGTGTTAGTTGGTAAAACTTCAGCTCTTCAAAGTTGTCCGGAGGCGTATACCAGTTGCAGCAGACCAATATCGACTGGACGAGCTCAAGCGACTTTTCCCCTTTCACAACCACTTTTTCCGCGATTAGTCTATAGAAGTCGTTGATTAGAGGGATTTGGGCCTGAGGCTGGATTGTCCCGACGGCCACAGCGGTGATGGCATGGAACAAAACGGGCTTCTTCTGCCGTATGTCCTCCATCTTCGTCCCCTTGGGAAACACCACCATCGGTATAAGTAGTGCCATCTCCTCATTGTATCGCCGAAACGCTTCTGCGGCTATCTCGGCATTCACGAGGCCCCGATCGATAATATCGACAGCTTCTCTGGATCCATCCTTCGTTGTAGAATCCGACGGGTACCCTAGGGCACGCCATTGCCGGATTGCTTTGTTATAGATGGATTGTTCTTCACTCGGACTGGACACCCGGGAAGTTGCGGGTGTGGCTTCCTTTTCGTCCCCGCTATGACTTCGTTTCCTCCTTGCCATACTCGGCGGTGACTTCAAAGGCGGAGGCTCGTGCGGTACGGCATGGGTAGGTGCCAGCCAATGCCTCCCGGTAGGCTCCTCGCGTGGTGGAGGCATGGGCACCGACTGCAGCACGGGACCATGATCTTGAGACGCTTGCAGGCTCGCAGTGAGCGCATCAATCTTCCTCTCGAGCTCCGCGACACGATTATCCGTTTTCTTCTGCCGTTTCCGCGTCGGGGCGGTCACAATACATGTCCTCCCGGCTTTCGCACATCGTTTGCAGGTGCCATTGGGGTGACTGATGTCCGGTTCGCATCGCACTTTCAACTGCCTACACGCATCGCAGGCACGGGGCCGTCTCAAATCCGCGTGGGGGTCATTGTGGTCGAGGGAGGTGCCGGGGAAGGTGTCAAGACCCGATGTCGAATCCGACCGATGTTGACTACTGGGTTGGTTCAGCTGGGGACTCGAGAGGGAGTTCGGGCCTCGAGAAGCTGTCAGGGTGAAGTGCAGCCGATCGGTTGGAGACAAATGCGGGGTTGAGTCGGGATAATCTGTAGCAATAGGGGCGGGGGAAGCAACGAGCGGATTGCAGTGTCCTGACGCGGAGGCTTGGAGATAAGACGGGCGGGTTTCTGCGCGCTCGGCGGGACGCCCGCTGTCGCTGGCACCTGCATGCAGGCGTGGATCGAGCTCCATCGGGGAGCGCGGAGACTGCGGAGCGGATATCATATCATGGTCAGCCAGGCTCTGTTCGTCGGGGAGTGATCGTCCGCCATAGTCCGGGCGGAGTGGCAGGTGAGGTCATTCCGGTCGCGTTCTAGAGTAATGAGCGGGCAAATGGACATCATGATGGTCACAACTGCATCTTGTTTTTAGCTTACCCGAGAAACGGTCTTCAATACCGGAGAAGAAAAGAAAAGAAAAGAAAAGAAAAAAGAAAGAGGAATAATGAGAGCGTAAGGAGCGAGGCAAGGCAGCACGGAGCTGGAATTGCGCCAGTATCGGAGAACCGGGGGCCCGATGGCCGATGATGAATTCAAGAATATGGTGGTGGCTCGGCCCAGACGCGATCTGAACAATAACTTCTATATCGTGACGCTGACTTGCAGAAGGATAAACACGGGAAAAGGAAAAAGAAAGGGCACAAAAATCTGGAAAGGGAAAACGAGAGGGAGTATGTAAGACCAAGGAGGATGAGGACAAGACTCGACTCAGAGACTCGGGGCCGAGAGAAGAGGGAATCCCCGAAAGAGAAGCGGAGGGGGAAAGTCAGTGACTCCGAATGCGGATAGCTTCAGCCTTCCCAGCTTATTTACTTGTGTACTCCGTACTTATACTCAGGTACTCTTCTACGGAAACAAAATGCAAATTCAACTTCCAATGCATATACTTGGGTATAAATTGATCTATTGCAGACTTTTCTGTTTACAATCTTTTTCCCTTTCGATACACATCCACTCACACACAAGGAGTATATTCTGATCTAGGTTGCAAAAGAGTACAAAACCACTACAGCGGCTGATCGAAGCCGCACAGAATCATCTGTTGGGTGGCAATCGATCAGCAAAATTGCAACATTGTAGCAAGGAACGCCGGCTGAAACGATACAAAAGCGATCAATCCGCCCCCAAAACCCCTTCTAGTCAAGAGCAGAGAGCATGATTGAAGGATGGTATATAAACTGCGGAAACCCAGCCGCGATGGACCCTGTTCACCCAAAAGCATGAGTGAATTCCAGAATCGAGCCCATGTTTCAAGACACCTTATGCACTGGGCATTCCTTCTTACGCTCAAACCACTCCACTATACATCGCTTGTGAAACTTGCACAAGCACTCCAGCCGCACAAGCGGTTGTCCCACTTCGTACTCTTCCATACAAATCGTGCACTCCTGCAGCCCACCATCATGCCCGATGCAGTCCTTCTCGGTGGCTTTGAATGTAACTAGCCTGACTGCGAAATGGGACTGGACGGGGCTACCGCTTTGAGGACTTGAGCGCCCGGGCCTACCATGGTTCTCAATGCAATCCCGAATGTGTGCTTCCCGCGCATCGTCACCACCATTTGATCCGAGAAGTGGAAGCTCACGTTCACAGACTGGACACAGATCCTGTTCACGAACATGGGGAGGGCGCATATGCAGCGAACGATGAGCATGAGGGATGGCGGGCAACGAGCTGGCGCTGCCAGCAGCTGGATAAGGTAGAGGTCGTGCGGAGGAGCCCACCGATCCAGACGTGAAACGAGGGCTTGCCAAAGCGGCGTAGTTCATGCGAGCAACTCGCGGGGCAAGCGATCCTCCAAATGCCCCTAGAGCTGAATATTCGGTCGCGCCAACTGTCTGCCCCCGCCCTGGTCGCGACCCCAGGGGCTCGGTTTGCATCTGTACAATGTGTGTTATTTATAGGATGATCGGACCATTGGATAATCACAAATACTCACCGGTATGCTATTGTAGAGGCTAGGCCGAGTGGTGGAGGACAGCGAATGGTAAGAACGATGCCGCGAACTGGGTGGCGCAAGATAAGAGGACGCTTCCCCCCAGCCTGCTGCTGCACTAATATCTGCTCTTCCCGGACTTTGAACCGTTGTGAACCCTGGAGGGGGCTCCGGATTCGGATCTGGCACGCACGGGTTGCAAAGTCTGACTTCTTCCCCGCCGCCTAGCGCTGGGTTTAATGTTGTTGGCGAGTGAGCTGGATCATCTTCTCCCGACTGAATGGCTGAAGCCGCACGAGGAGGAACTAGCAATCCAGCGGGCGAGCGGGCGGGATCGCGCACGATGAACTGTCGCGGAATAGTGATCCGATGGGGTGAGCATGACGCGCAAACAACCCGGCCACACTTCCGGCAGTGATGCTTTCTGTACCAGAAACTGAATGCGGCCCCGCAAATTGGGCAGTTGGTCACCTCAGCATCAGGCTGCCACCGCGGGCGAACATATTCCACGTAGTTATCCTGGGTTCGTGACCATGAAGCACGACGTAGACCATTCATGCTCGAAGAGTGAGCACCCGGTGGTGAAGAAAGATCGATCGGCGCAGCATAAGAAGAACCAGGCGTAATTACGGTAGGGCGTGTATGAGAGAAACGTTGAGGCAAAGACCTGCTATCCATCGTGCGTGCTTGGCTACTCGGGCCAGCTTCTGACGTCCACGACTGAGATCGGGAGCCACGGGGCCACACATCCCCCTCCAAACTGGCTATCCTTCTCTTCCGATCCGACCCAGTCATGGTGGACCGCCTTCTCTCGGAGCGTTGATCGCCTGAAGGGCCAGCCTCCGTAACTTGTAAAATTTCCGAGCTCGCATGAGGCCTGAAAGTGGCGGCGGGCCGAGTGGCGGCGGGGAAGGCGGCGAAAGAGGAGGCGGAGGATGAAGGACTAGCCGAATTCGACGACGACGACGACGACATTAACCTGAAGTATGAGGAGGAAGACGTTGACGTTGAAAAGGACTTTGATATCTGGGTCGCTGGGGCCGTAGAGGAGACTAGTCTCCGCCGTTTAAGGGACTGGCCGTCATTGACTGGGTGGCGCGGTGATGCCAGGATGGGGGAGAGCAGCCGGGAGGGAGACGATCAAAAGCGGTGGACAACGCTAGCGTGGGCCTATTATGCATCAGATGAGTGAGCTCCGGACAAGAACGAGATAAGTCGCACAGTTAGGCTCTTTTGAAGCCAGTGACAGACGGGCAAAGGGCACTCCGGGTGCGGTGTCGGGCGTTGAAAAAGACTAATGATAAGAGCGCGTGCACTAAGGTCTCGTGACAACTCAGTGCGGAGGGATTAGGAATCTGCGAGAAGAAGAGTGCAGTCGATTCACAGCCACTGCAAGTGACTAGCTAGTAAGGCATCCACATGAGAGAGACAGAAAGTAAGAGAGAAAGAGAGAGAGAGAGAGAGAGAGAGAGAGAGAGAGAGAGAGAGAGAGGAAGAGAGGGTGGAGAGAAAGGAGTTGGGGGTGGGATGTGAGGGAGAGATCGGAGAGAGTGTGAGAGCGAGACTCCCGAGGATTGAGAGTGTCAAAGTGATAAGTGGAGATGCCTTAAAGAGGGACCGGGCCTTCCTTTGGTTCGGGTCCCACCCGAGATTTCGCCGCGGGGCAATCAAGGCGGCGGTCAACCCTGAGTGTCGTGTACTGACTTAAGTTACTGTTAGTAGTAGGAGGTATTTCATTGAAACATGCACAAGGCCTGATTTTGCCAAGGAAACCCTTCCTTATCGTAGACTCGGCAGATCTACCACCGCCACCAATTAGGGGCTCGACAACAGACAGAGATAACTTCAAATCAATCTGTGGTATATATAGTTGATTACCGACGGTCTCGATTAGGCAGAGAAAATAGTTCCCCGTATATCTTCATCGACACTCAAAACGGATGACCGAGTAGCAAGTATCACACAAGCCATACCTCCAACCTTCGCTCACTAGAGTTAAACTGGATTATTACCGAAGATTCCGTACATGAAAGGGAAAAAAAGAAGGACTCCAAGAATATACAAGATGCAACCCCTACGCTTGCAAAGAACAAATGATGACCAGAAACAGGACAGTCGGCTAGCACAAATTGCCCAACTCTGCTCGGAATGTATTTATGCTCGCGAGTCAACAGAAGAGCAAACACATGAGGCTTGGAAACAGGAAATGTGAAGAGCAAAGCCGAAAGACGCTGACCAGCAGATACTGATGCATATGTGACGGGACCCAAGCGTATTTCACAAACTCCGACGCATGAAAATTTTAGGCAAGAAGATAAGAACGATATTTGTGAGGGAGGAGAGAAAGAGAATAGAGGGACAGTTGCGCAGGCTATTCCAAATTGACGCTGCGATAATCTCCCTCATGGTGTTGCGCCTCAGTGACCAATTCAGCAGCACTACCTGCAAACGACGGCTCATCGGGACTAGCCTCATGAATGTTATCCTGGGTACGGTATTGAGCAACGTAGCCCATGCTAGACGGGCGCTCAATGCGTAGGTTTTCCGCATTTCCATGCCGACGGCTAGACGTGGTCGAGGCAGTTGTTGATGCAATCGAGAAATTTCTATCTCGCGAAGGTGAACTGGCCGCACTGAACGGTAACCGGCCTGTCACGGAAGCCGAAGGATGGAGGTGATTCTGAGAATGAGCCGGAGCAAAGTCTTTAGGTTGGTTGGAATCGGCTCCCTCTCCCGTCGCAACCTCGGGAAGAAGTTCGCCGGGCAAGGATGTTTCTTGGCCCCCTGGGTCGGTCAAGCCTTCAGGCTGGGTATTCTGTGGCTCAGTCGAGGGTGGCTGAGAACTCGAATGTGAGCCTACACGACTAGGTAGCTCAATAGCGCCCCCTGTGTCAACTTTCGGTAGGGTAATTGCAATCTCTGGAGCGCGTTCGTGGCCCTCCCCTTCTGAATCCTCATAGTCACGGTCACTATCAGATCCTGGACCGGGACGATCTGCGGCTCCTGATTCCTCGGGCTCATCTGTATAGGGTTCATGGAAAACCTCGCCTTCTGGGAACAGACCTGGCGGAGGTGCCCTAGCACTTCGAACGACTTCAAATCCTTTTCCTTTCTCCTTGGTCTTCCCTCTAAACAGGTTCCGGAAAAAGCCCGTTGCCGACGAAACAGGACCTGTGGGATCAGCAGGGCCTGTCTTCAACTTGCGCGTGCCCGACTGTGAAAGTGGAGGACCCCTAACACGGTAGTAGAAATCAACTTCGCGTACCGCATAGTCTTTTCTAGACTGACGAGGATCTTCTAGATCTAGATCGTCCTTAGGTGCTGGAAGGTAGGCAGGAACGGGAGTATTTCTTCCAGAAATCGACGGGCCTTCCATGATATCGTCATCCACATCCCCGTAGCTCGCCGCTCGCTTCCTTGCCCGAGACTTCTCCCTCGATACACCTATCTCAATGATTTTCTTGCGGGGCCTGGGCGGTCGATAGTAAGGGTCATGGGGATGCATAGCGAAGACCGGTCCGCTCTTGGGCGAGTTACTGCCAGGTGTCTGATTGCCTGCTCCGGCGAACCCGCCCGGCGTTGATGGCGTAAAGAACCCGCTGCTATTGGCTCGACTATGTGTTCCACCCTGTGCGCTCCCTGATTCGAAAAAGGCACTCGCGCGGCCGTCGCTTGCACCCGCCCGATGAAGAAGCATCGCAGAACTTCCGGAGAGACTTCGAGGTCTGGATCCATCGAATTGAGAAGACAGGCGGTCATCGGTGTGTGCCAACATCGCAGCCTCGGAGCCCATGCTTTGTCGCGTACCAACACTTTGTCGGGGAACACGACGAGACAACTGCCGCATGCCAAATACCTTGACCAAACCACCTCGGGTTGCACCGCCTTCGTTACCTCCGGCTCCGGCAAGGCGTGCAATAACCTCGATCAAGGTCTGAAGAGCATTGAGGAAGAAACCGAACACAAGCACTAAGGCATGCAAGAACAGAATAATATATCCTATCCAGCCCCGAGCAGCCTGCGAGACACCTAATGATGGGACGAAAACGATGCTGAGTAAGATGGTGAGAAAACGGATGATGGAGAAACAAGCGTGATAAAGGTTCATGGAGGTAGGTGATGCAAACGGTCGGAACGCCACTATGGTCAGCAGTGAGACTACCTCACAAATGGCGAGGAGCACAATCTGCGCGATGCCTGACGGCTGCAGCGCTCCGATAGCGATACCTCGGGCGAACGAAAGGAAGATCGGAACCAGCGCAAAGGCGGCAGCATCGTCGCAGAAAGTATTATAAAGTGGGCCATACAAGAGCACTGTCGATAGGTCATCGAATAGACACGATTTCGGGCGTGTGGTCGCAATCAAACGGGTTGTCCAAATGGAAAATGATGCCAGTATCACAATGAACACGACCGCCAAGGCAACACAATATGCAGGCGAATGGCGGGCAATCACGAGCTGGAAGAATGAAAAGGAAATAAGTGGCAGCAGCAAGTAATTGAACACAATCCGAACGGCATTTCCGATGGTGAAGGGCATATTCTTTGAGCGAAGGTCTTCTTCTGGCACGTGGGCAATCGTGCGAAGGAGCATGCGAAGCCCGAAGCCTACCTGAATAAGGATTGTGATAGAGACCACAATGACAAGCATCCAGACCATGATTCCAGGCCAAATATCGCGTGCTGATGGCAATCCCACATATTGGTTCAACCTATCCAGTCCGTAAGTAGCATTGACTGCGTAAACACCATCTATTACTGGATTCCGCTCATGTCCGGGGTCCAAGAGGCTTTGATTGAATATGAGGGCCGACCAGGCGACTTGACTAACCACCGGCTGATAATAGCCAGGATAGTCCAATGACAAGGCACCAGTAAGCACCGCGAACTGTATGTAGTTGAGGCAATCCCCAAAGCCCGGGGTCACCAGGCGAAGGACGTCCTCGTCGCGTCCATAATTACTGGTCCAATGAAATGGGTCGGTGGTACCCCAAGGACTATAGATAGCGGCGGTGATGGTGGCAATCCCAACCAGCAAGAGAATGACCAAGGGAATGTAGGTGACTGTGTTTCGAAGAGAGGTCCCAAGATCAGGAGTTATATCCACGCTGATACAACCAATCCTTGTGGCAGCGGTATCGGCGGACTTGATCACCAGGCGTGCTGACAGGGTCGAGAAATGGTACGCAGATTGCATGTCATGCTGGATTGAGAAAGCTCGTAAGGCTGAAAGATCGCTCCTGGTGGGGTTCGAGCTTGTTAGTTGCCATTTGCAAGAGCATAGGAAGAAAACTCACGCATTGGCGTAGAACACGGGACTCAGTGGACAGCTCCCTTGGGTGACAGAGTCACAGAATTCCGATGCATGATTGTACGGCTTCCAACTAAGTACATCAATTTCCGACAAAAGAGTACTCAGTTTGTTGCTTGCAGGATCGTAATCCACGATTTTCCCCACGGTGTCGTTCGGATTGGACCAGTCGGGACTGTCCGGGCTTGGATAGGTTTCCCCATTCGCTGTGCCGGAGACGTTCCCATAAACCGTAATATTGAGGGGATTGAGAGAGTCATGCAAATTGAAAGCGACCGATACGTCCAGCGGGACGAACTGAAGTTGTTTCGGATTCGATTGGATGTAAGCCGCATTTAGGCAATTGTCGAAGTTCAACAGCACAGCGGAACTCGGGGATATGCACACCATCAACAACACCAAGGACATCCAGCTCACTCCAGCGAGTACAGACCTATGTCTGCGCCATCGCGATCGCCGTCGTCCAATGCGCTGTGAATTCTGGGGTTGCGATCCATATTGTGCGGTTTCAGGACCCTCGCATTTATCTTGGATTGGGACTACCATGGTAATAGGCATATCTCGCTTTGCGCCGCGTCCTGGACTCATTTCGGTCACCTTGTGTGCCTGGGATGACCTCCTCGGGGAGGTCAGCCCCTCGTAGACGATTCAATCCACGTTGTCCACGCAATATCTTGCTTTGCCGATCGAACCACAAAGTTTGTTGCCCAGTAAGCTTGGTGACTGCGCGAACCTTTCCGAAGGAAAACGACCAAGCGATAAATCGGACACCAAAGGATGACGAATTGGTGGACGCGATGGGATAGACGGAAGGGCGCAAAAAAGCGGATGGAATGATGGAAGTCGAAAAGGAGAAGTGAATTACTCCTCTAACTCCCCCGAAATGGCGACGTAGGGGATGGGTACCATAACTTCTGGGGTGAGAGGGAGCGTCAATGGCGGGGAAGGGGAATGGATTATCGCAAGGTCGGGAGAGCTAAGCTGTCAACACGAGGAGTCGGGTTCGGTAGGTGACAATGATGACAGTTTGGTATGGGAGGAAAAAGGGGCGGGGGGAAGACAGGTCTGATGTCAGTGAGGCTCTGAAGCTGGCAAAGCAGAGCTGTGATAGAGAAAGGGTGTAGTAAAAAAAAAATAAATAAAAAATAAAAAAAATAAAAATGCAGAGGGAGAAAGAGAGAGGGAGAGAGAGAGACAGAGAGAGTTAGGATGAGAAAAAGATTAACATGGTTTGGGAATGCGAAACCTACCTTCACTATAGTTAGTAGTTACGGTAGTGAGTTAACTTGGTTAGTCTAAGGCCCGCCCGGCCAGCTCCAGTTCCCCCAGTCAGTTGGCAGTCAGTCGGCAGTCAGTCACACAGTCTCTCACTACTACAAGTTACAGAGAGCCACTGACAGGCCGGCTGGCAGGCTGGCAGGCTGGTAGGCAGGTAGGCAGGCTGGGCAAAAGATCCATCCAGCATCAGCCAGCACCAGCCAACGCCGACACCGACTGCGCCCTGTTTGCTCACTTTGTTTGGGACCAACCTGGCACTAAGAGGTTTACTGACCACTCATCATGCGTTGTTTCTTTTTTGTTTAGCGTCTTTTCCAAGTTTAGAAAAGTCCTTCCACCCTCCCCTCATCCCCTCTCCCCTCCACCACCTGCCCCCTCCCTCCCCCCCTCCGACCACACACAGAAACTCCTCCTCTAAGAGAAAGAAACTCAAAAAGACAGGGCCCGTATAACAAGTTGCTTGAACAACCAGACAGGAAGTCCTCGGTGGATAAGCATCCACTTATCGGGTCTTGGAAGACTGAGGAAAACCCTGAGGTTGTCTCAGCCATGCCACCACTTTTACGAATTTACGAGCTCGTCATTTTTCGCCCTGTTGAGAACTGGTTATTGTCACCTCGGAAATGTGGATTGTCTTTGTTTGAAGTCAGCCCATCAAAGCTTATTGTACGACCAAAGCACTAAGTGCAGAAACGTGCTTGTGTTAACTGTGCAATTTATGAAGTCAGTAGTCAGAAGCAAGAGTCTTCCTCGCCATGAGTGCATGCGGACTCTGTTGATACCCTGCAATGAGAGTTTATAGTTATCTCAAGGGTTCAGCTGGACTCGAATGCAATCGCGGCTTTACGATGTATCCAGTCTGCAATATTAGGTGTTGTTAAAGAGAGTCAGTGGATTCACTCCGTAGATTTTGCTGTGGGAATGATTATTGGTGAGCTCATCCAATGATCATGACAATTCGGATTGACTACACTACCGGTGGTAACCCTAGAATATTCAATCCATCATCCATGACAGTGATGACAGGTGGGGGTCCAGTCACAGTGGACAATAGTAGGCTCAGCTCAGCTGCCAAAACAGGCCATGACCGCAATGCTTCCTGCGAATTGCCAGGGATTCTCTCAACCAGATTCTCCTCTCGACTACAAACGCAGTCGTGCGAATAGATTGCCATGTGATAGAGATATGAGATCTCATTGTGCGTGAGAATTGGCACTGTTGCCGCTTTAAGAGGGAGCAGCTAAGCAGGAAGGGGTGAACTTCGTGGCCAATTCACCGCTGATTTGCGGTCCCATCCCCTCGGACCATACTCCGTAGTAAGAACGAGGGAGATCCCGGGCACTGAGACAGCGAACCGATTCTTCAATGACGATTGAGACACTCCTCGCTAACAGGAAATTACCGGAGCTCGGCTACTCATTACTAGTCCATTAGTTGACTGACGTGAAATAACTATGTTAACTAGTTAACAGCTGATGCTGACTCGATAGAGGTGGGCGGAGAGAGGTTGAAAGAGGAACCTTGGCGAGAGGACAGACAATCCGGCTGCCTAGTTATGGTGGATTGGATATTATAAACTTATTGACCCGTTTCTCATAATCCAAGGTCAACCCTCACAGTCCTCATCTGCACGATGAGTGAAAGCTTAGCGCTAAATCATGGCCGGGCAGCGGTACCACGTTGCACTTTTGTTGGATAACATGTCTTTCTACGAGTTGTGCAGTAAAGTCCTGTACATTCTGCTACGGAGTTCTTGAAGGACTAAGCTGGTCTCTCGTCCGGCGCTCGGTAAAGAGGCAGCTACTACTACGGAGTAGGGTTGGCTTGAAATTCAAGACTGCCCAGAAGACTTGTGGAGACAAGCGTCTCTCAGCATTGATTTATCCGGGCTTCGCGGCAGCAAAGGCTGAAACACTATGGAGTACTCTGATGAAATTTGCATCTCAACCATCGATAGCTAATGGTGTTCTCTGAGTTGCAAGCTTTCTACCGCCTACTATGTTTCTGCGACACCTGGTATCAAGAGCCTCGAGCATATTCTACTGGCACCAAGCTGTTTTGAACAAGGACAAAGCATCAGAATTCCTGGCCCCTTCCCAACGCCCTCCGTGCTATGTGCTGACATGAGAGACATTGACCGCTGGGCAGAGATGGAATAGGAAAGCCGGCATGCAGCTTTCCTGTTCTGGCTCCGGCAGGTAACCGAATGTCATTCTCTATCTAATTGACTAAGGAGCTTCTAGAAGCCTGCTGTGGATGCTAATCTCCCGACCGGAAACTGTTCATTCATGTTAGCTTTGAGGCACTTTCTGTCCTTTACGGAGTACTACTGTTCGAAGTTAACTCATGGATGGGATGACGCGGAAAGAACCTGGAAGGTCGGTTTGTCAGCTGCGGCCCGAAGAACCCGGGGGTGGCCCATCAACATAAACGCTATAAAAGGGAGGGAGGGAGTCTGAGTGATTTACGGAGTATTCATACTACGTATACTGTATGTAGTTACTACTCATCAAGCTCAATTGGTGCAGTGCAACCCCCTCATGCCTGCCTGGACCTACAGTATGTGCCGATAAGATGCATCTAGACTAGGCAAATATACCCAGGACAGGGGGATCCCCTGTGCAAGGTTGCATTCCAGAAGTACCCGAGTATGAGTGTATGAGCTAGCTAGCTATGAGTATTGTACCTCGTATAGGTATGAGTATGAGGACGAGTATGAGTATGTCGGTCTCGGGACAACGAAAGCTCAATAGCTTCTCATTGTCATTCGATGAGCTGTTTCAAGAACACAGTCGCTGTGCGATCCGCTTGCGATGACAGTCCTCTGCATATCGCGTTTCACTTGTCGATCGTCCAGCAATTAGAGCCATCCTTTAAGATGATCTGCCGAGCAATCCTGGTAAATGATTGACAGCAAACAAGAGGATTCGAGGGACCTTCGAAGATGGTCTCGTGCCGATGCGCCCAATTTCCATGGGGAGATTGGCACTCTTTCGATTGCTTGGTTCATCATTGACTTCCACAGTAATGACTGGCGCTGGCTGGGGAATCTTGAAGCATGGCAGTCCGATGAGATAGTTCAAGTGAGTGATGGTGGATGAGCCATGAATATTTTTGCATGTCGATAATGGATGGACTTGTCCCTACCCGTAGCTTGGTCGAATCTTCATGGGCTCGCAAGGTACAGTACTCACTGTTCAGCATATAATCATAGTTCTTCATTGTGGTATTGACCTTACTCTATCCTAGGATTATCGGCATAATCAGTCTAATTGTGAGGTGTACCAGGCAAGGGGAATCAGACGAAGTATTGTTGCCTTAATAGGGAACTATGGAAGCATTGTCACCATAACTACTTGGATATTTCCCCATCGGCGGCTGTTCCCCCCCCCCCCTCGCAGTGGCAGCCAGGAATTTCTATGGGAATGGGCGGGTGTGCAAGGTTTCAATGAGCCGACCCACCAGAGCCAGACAACTAAGACAAGTTGGGTAAAGAGCGGTTTCATGATTCCAGGCTGGGATCAGCGACCAGATTGGAATAATGGAATGTACTGTAACTTGTGGGGACGAGGGGGGCCAAGTCGCAATGGAAACCCATCACCACTCACTGCATTGGCTCTTAGCCTCTTACTGGTAAATTGGTTTCTCTGATAACAGGGGGGCGGCCGATGCTGATTCGGTTTGATTCAACCCCGTCCACGTCAGTTTCAACCTGCGGCGGCCAGTACTTCCCTAAACGAGTGGATAACGTTATAGTTATTCAGTGATTTTTAGTGACCTCCTATCCGCCGTATACGTGTACAGCGTCGTGGTCTTGGTCATGATCGTGGCCATTGTCGTCGCGTGTCGTCGTCATACTAGGAGTGGTCGTCGCTATATAATTCCCAATGATGTTTGACTATTGATCAGGGATCCTCTTTTGCAGTGTCAACAGAAGAGGCAGACTCAAGGGGTTATCTGTCTCAAGGATCGCTACTTGTAGCGCTCGTAGGCTTGAGATTGGGGTCAAAGACCGCAAGTAATTCACCTCTCAGCGAATCCTTCCATGCCGGGAACATTACCGATGCATAACAGACCGAAGATATTATTGGTATTGCCAGTAACTAAAATATGGAATGGAATTTTCCCCCTCCCGTTATGGCCGTGCTGGTTATCACCACGTGATTGACATGTTTTATGGCCCGCCAAAATGGGGGATGGGGGCGCGGTTCAAGCTTGTCAGTCGGTTAGTTATACTTTTCTACTCGAGTATCATGGATGATAATAATAGGTAGAAGGCAATGGATGAGACCAGTTGTTGGTGAGACATGCGGTAAGTCTAATCCCGGTGAGCTTTGGCTGGAGAGTATCGGAGTAGTACTGTGCAAAGGGAGACAGGTTCATTTAGTCGGTGATTGAGGATAGTCGCGAAGCGCAATCGCTCCAGTAGATCTATAAGTTGATATATGGCAGAGGCCAGGGAATGGCTCGGAGCTAGCGAAAAGAAAAAGAAGAGACTGGATCGGGGGAATTAGCACTGTTCACATAGAATAGTTAATTAGTTAGTTAGTAGTTTGTTAGTAGGTGGTACTGTAGTGGAAGTACTGCAGAGTGCGAACTGCCTGAGGAACTCTCTTTCTGGGGACTGTTACCCCCCCACCCTCCTCCTCCTCCCCTCAACCCAAATATAATTCCTCGTCGGTCGCAAGTGAGACTTAATACCACGGGTTCAACCGTCCCCCATTGTTGTGCCCACATGTTCTTTTTCAAAGTTCCTGAAGCTGTCTGTTTATGAATTCCTTCTAATTTCCTTCTACTCTCTTCACTCACTTATCCTCTCTCTCCCTCATATTTCCACTCTTCCTCTCTTCTCCTTCCCCTTTCTTCTGTTCCTCTTCCTACTCTTTCTTCCCCTCTTCTTATTCTTTTTCTTCTTCTTCCTCCTTCCTTACGTGCACCCGGTGTTTCTTTCCAGAACAAGTCACAAGCAGCTGCTGGACCGGCGCTTGGCGATCTCTCCCTTTCTAGAGTTCTTATCTGTACAGTACAGCCGACGGCGCATTGAGCAACTGTAAGGCGCTCCCCTCAAGTCGAACTGCATACAACTGTTGTTCGGCATATTATCTAGCCTTTTAATGTAGGTGACTGCCTATTCCCGGTTCTGTGCTCCTCTCGGGCTCGTTTGCGACAATTCCTGAGCATTGCTTCCATGACAACCTTTTCTCCCTTTTTGTCACTGTCTCCGTCCTGAATGGTGGTTTAATTGGTCTTGGTAGATCGCTGGTCCGCGTCTCCACACCGGTCAACAAAGGCGATCAGCGCCTGCTTCCCCCTCATTCTTAGGAAATCCCTCTAGTCGCAATCTGAATCCTTGACTTCAGCACTGGTTGACTTCGACTCTTCACTGCAGCTTTTAAATTTCGTCCAACAGCGCTTGACAAACAATTCCGTGAACCGCACGTCTTGGGGTTTTCCGTGATCCGCCTCTCGCCTTCTCAAAGTCACCGGTGCGCCTTTTTAATCGGATATACTTAATCCTCGGCTACCTGGCAATCGCCTCCAAAGCTTTGTCCGGAGTTCCTCCTGTCGATCCTCCCCCTACCTCCTTCACAAGCAGCGCACGAGCACCTGCAATTTCAAATCAGGTGGGGAAACACGGACTTGTCTCAGCTGGCAATGCTGTATAGGACGTCATAGCAGATCGAAGGAATATACGCACAACAATCTGATCAGCATGTCTACAGAGGATCCGTTCTCTTTCCTCGGCGAGGAACAGAAACAAGCACACAGCAAGAAGCCGCATTGGAGGGAGAAACTGTTCTCCAAGGACAAAAAAGCTAGAGGATCTACAGACCAACAGATTGAGGCCTTCCTGGCACCCACTCGTTCAAAGTCGTTGTCCTACGGCGCGACAGCTACCCAGCGCGAATTGCGGCCGCTTCGTCCCGATGCTGCCAGTCGTTGGCCCTCTGCTCAGGATGTGCTCAATGCTTCATCCTCTATCACAGCTGCCCATGATGTCACTCCAGTCGCGGACTTCACGAAACCTCCATACAAGAGCCGTCCTCGTAAAGGAGTAAAAGTTAGGTTTGCCGAACGGAAGCCTGAGGTCATCGGAGAAGGAGGAGATGAAGTGGAGGTCCCAACAATGGAGATCTCGTTGTGTCGAAACAGAGCCCAAAGTCTGGAATCCACGGAATCGGATAGCAAGTCTGAACCGGACGGTCCTCCCCAATTGCGTCTCGATACCTCGTTTGGAGCTGGTGATGGGACTACCCCCCGTGAGCGGAACCGTGAACATCCCAAAGCATTGGCACTTGGAACAAGAGCCGAAGACTGGAAGCCACTCCTTCTCCAGAATGCCCAGGATGCAGATTTCTTGATGACTTTGAGCTTAGGCGAAAGAGGATCTCGTCTTTCATTTCGGGCCTCCCCTGAGTCCAATTCGTTTGCGCAGCGCGTTCGGGCGAAAATGCAAGCTGAGGAAGGTCTCGCTTTGCAACATCGACTCCAAGAACCTACATCGCCCGGGGAGGAGAAGGAAGCTCAATCACCGGCTCTAAGGGTTCCAGATAGCCCTAGTTCGACGTACGAGACGCCTCCGATTTCGGAGACAGAGATAAGCCCTCCGGATAATCCATTCCAAGATACCCCAAGCCCCCCTTCAGTCACGCGGTCTATGGCGTCTGAGAGGCCCGTTCTTTCTCCGGTCCTCTCATCCAGTAGCAATATGCATACTCTTTCTTCTCCAACTCGCCAGCCAGCTCCGAGCCTCCCTTTGCCAGACGCTGCAAGCCGGCCGTCTAGTAGGGATGCGCGGGATACCTCTCGCAGTCCTCAGCCGCCCAAGTTCTCCCTCAAGTCAATTGCTAACCAGTTGGGCGACACTGCTTTTACAGATCTGAAAGCTTATGTAGTACAATTCCGGGACCCAATTGAAGTTGCCGCCGAAAGTGCAAAGCCGCTGGTTGGGACTCCGCTCTCAGAATGGATGAGGGCGGCGCTGTGGTGGTTTCTGCGCGGAAAGAAGAGACTAGAAGCCTATGCGCGATCGCGCCCGTCGAGTTCTGGTGTTCGGTCACCTCAGACTCGACCCGCAGAGAGCGCGAAGCAGGCGATCGTCGATCTCGCCAAGGCACTGTGGATAACGGAGAACATTGTCCCTCAGCATGAGGAACTGGCTCGATATGGTTCAATGAGTGTTGATGCTTTGCTCGCCGTGGCAAGTACGACTGGTAATAAGGAGCTGGCAGATCTACTGAGCCTTAGTCAAACGATATTGAATCATCTGCGATCGCTGGCGATGTCTATCAAGAGGAACAATATTCTCATGACGCTGTCACAGGAACGTTCACCAAGCGACATTGATACCACCGTCTGGGTTCAGTATCCTGCATTTGCGCCCGACGTTGCCGCGATTTTATCGGGAACGGCGACGAAATCCCTCCTGGCGGACAACTCCGGCAAAGCGCACAGCTTCGTGCAGATGATGCCACTTGGCGATACCAACCGTTATTTCAGTTATGGAAGCATGTTCGTGGACGTCTGTATCACGTCGAGCGACGATGATGACAAGCAACATCCGATACCATGCGCGTTATCCATCATCCGGGACCGAGCGGATTGGTACGTTTTTGCGGCCATTACTAGCCAGAGCGACCTGGTAAACATCATCATACAATCGGACAAAAAGAATGGTCCTACATGGGAAAGTGTGAGCTGGCATGTCCGCTCATACTCGATGCGCGTCAAGCTGCCGCGCGGCTTCGAGTTACATGTGCAATTCCAGGAAGAGGACTTCAAGAACATCTGGAACATTGTTCAATATACCTCCAAGACCGAAGCAAGCCTCAAGCCGGAAAAGAATGAGACCTTGGTCTTTGAGAACACCCTTAAGAGTTTCCGTTATATTGACCCTGGGACCCCCAAGGCATTCCCTCCCGAGCCTGTTGAGAGGTGTCGCATACGCCTTTTCGAGAGAATTGTGCCGTTGACTGAGGGTACAGGCCAGCGCATGCAGCATCAGGGCTTCCGGATAGCGATCCTTACCAGTCCGAAAATTAAAACCTTGAGCAGTGTGCGCCACATTCTGGGACACGGCGCCCCCATAGTCTTTGGCCTCCTTCGTGGTGACGATGGGGCGCCCGCTTTTCTGCTGAAGGTTAAGGAGGATGGTAGAGCCAGATCTATGCTATTGGCATTCGAAGAGCTCGAAGAGCGAACGACTTTGCATTCCATCCTCTTGGGAATACAGCCGCAGGAGCGGGAAGGCAAATCTCCCGATATCTCTATCCGGGCTTTCACACTGGAACAACCCGCGGATCGAGCCGCCGGAAGACCCGCCAAGGAACATATCCAGTTTCCGGCTGGTACTATTTCGATCATAGACGAGCAATATAGCCGACCGGATCACGGGTATGGCCCTACTGTCCTTTCGGAGCATCTGCGTGCCTTCATCGCGACCGAATGGGGCTCGGTTACCGATCGGCTTAATCTTGGTATGTAATTTGGCGGGGGTGCACGTGCAAGCTAAGCTAACATATTCTAGGTCCTGGCGAGCTGAAGCTCGGCCTCGATGTCAACAATCGAACCGGTCTTAGCCTATATCGACCGGGCCAGAAAGATCTCACTGTCACCGTCGCGGAGAACATGGTCATACCCGAGATGGCCAATAAATTGACTGATTCACTTGAGAAGATCATGGCGAATCCCACGATTCGACGATTCGACTTTGCAACCGTGCAGGGTATGATCTGCTCAGTCCTTAAAGCAGGCCCTCCGCTAACTATTTTGCTAGATCTCCATGCATTCCAGCGGGCTGTGACGGGATTCAAGGTGCTCTTTGATAGGTAGGTTCTTAGCAACCTGTCTACTACTTTTTTTTTACCTCTCGCTGACAGGATGACAGCGTGGCTTCATCATTCGCTATTTCCCGGCGTCGCATGGTGGTTCCCATCACCAAGAAATGGGAATCCAGTCTTGCTCGGGTTCAGGTGATTCGTAGGGACAAGGTCGTGCAGCTGGTGGCCTTCCTGAGTGATTTTCAGTACGGAAGGTGCATGAACTTCATCCTCAAGGGCACCGACACCCTTGAGTCTTTCGGCAAAAGCGGAAAATTCGGGGTTCGTATAGTTGATGCTAAATTTGCATTGCCGAAATGCAACGACGATCCTGCCTCGAACTTCGTCTCTCTGGACACACCTGATTATCCTATGGAACATGATGATATCTCAATAGCCTTCGACTCTGAAGCAGGTATGTCTCGGATTGTTATCCCTCTCTTGCTTGTGCAGACAGCTAATCGCCGGTTGTAGACCGAACCAATTTCCAATCCGCCGTTCCAGGATCTGTCCGCGAACCATCTCGGATGGGTTCTCTTCGCCGATCATAGTTTCCGAGCCTGACGACCTCCTCCCCTACTTCAGAACTGAGGTACGGTAGATGATGATTTCGAATGCACATATCTCACAGCGGCCAGCGGCCAACCTCTTATCTGGAGTGTTGGACCCAAACCCACGTAATGTCACGTCACCGCAGCTCCACCCCGCATGCGTCACGTGATGACTCACCTCTGCTTTCCTCCCCACATGTTTCAAATGTTGTCGGCAGGGCGTGCCGCAGGCCCCGGCTTTGACTTCCCCTCAGGCGCCTTTTACTTCCACATCTGCTGTCTGTTTCTCTTGATACCTTCCCGTGTGACATAGCACATCCTTTTTCTTTCTTCCCTACGCGGGCTTACCTCCTGCTATATCTTCCTGAAATACAAGCACAAGATGGCTCCTGCAAATCGAGAAATGGGAACCTCGACACGTTCTCTCCATGCGGACGATGCGCTAAATGTGGTCTCGGACGTTGCTCCTCCAATTCACGTTGCCACTACTTTCCGGTATTCGGACAATCCCGACGACCTCGTGCCGTTCGCGGATCTCCAGGGCGACGTATGTCTTAGTCTACCCATACCGGTCTTCTGGGCACTCCTAATCACCGTCGCATTTTAGAAAGAGCAGGACAAGACGGCACACATTTACTCTAGACTGTCGGCTCCCAGCTCCACGCGGTTCGAGACTATTCTTTCATCCCTTCTCAATGGCGAGGCTATTAGCTATTCCTCCGGACTGTCGGCTCTGCATGCAGCCCTGACGCTGCTTAACCCGCGCCGTATCGCGATTGGCAATGGCTACCATGGGTGTCATGGTGTGATCGCACTCTTCAGCCGGCTGACCGGCCTTCAGAAGCTGGATCTCAACTGTCCCGCGGAGGAGTTGGAGGCGGGTGATGTGATTCACTTGGAGACGCCGGTCAACCCGGAGGGCACAGCATTCAACATCGAGGCCTATGCTAAGAAGGCGCACTCTCGAGGGGCGTACCTAATTGTTGACGGCACATTTGCGCCTCCATTCCTCCAAGACCCGTTCCAATGGGGCGCCGATCTGGTTTTACACTCCGGTTCTAAATATTTCGGGGGTCACAGCGATGTTCTTTGCGGCGTGCTAGCCACTCAGCGGAAGGACTGGGCCAAGCAGCTACTTCAAGACCGGATCTTCCTGGGTAGCGTTATGGGCAATATGGAGAGCTGGCTGGGCGTGAGAAGTCTTCGGACTCTGGAAGTGCGGGTTCAGCGCCAGAGCGAGAACGCGACTAGGCTCGTTTCGTGGCTACACAACGCCCTCTGCGCCCAGAACCCCGCTATGGATAGCGATGAGGGCTTGGTCCAGGCCGCTCTGGAGAGTGTGTTTCATGCGAGTCTGCAAAAGGAAGATGAGTCGTGGTTGTTGAAGCAGATGCCTAATGGATTTGGACCTGTTTTTTCAATAACCATGAAAACGGAGGATTTTGCGCGCAAGCTCCCTAGCAAGCTTGCTATCTTCGACCACGCTACTAGTCTTGGAGGGGTTGAATCGCTTATCGAGTGGCGGACCATGTCGGACACATCAGTCGACCGCCGGTTGCTTCGGATTAGTGTTGGGCTGGAGAATTGGGAGGATCTTCGCCAGGACCTGGTGGGCGCATTCAAGGCTCTTATCGAGGGCAATTAGACTACAATGAGACAAATAGAGCTTAATGACTGTTTTGTACAAGTGGTGTTTAATGTGCATCGGAGTATGTGTAGAGAGAGGGAGGGGTTGGCGGAATGACTTACGGAGTTAAAAGTTAGTGGCTAGTGCGGAGTTGCTTATCGCCTGCCTATCTTTCATTATTCGGCAGAGCTCCCCGTAGTTATGTATCTACCTCTACTGTATCTTGACAAGTCCACCCTCCTCAATAGTACCAACCACTATCCCTGCAAATGTTTGTCTCCTTCACGACCCCACTTTCTTTGCCGTAGACTTGACTGCTAACAAGATTCTCTGAGAAATCCCCTGCAGAGCGCAAACAAGAAAAGGGGGAAAACCAGAAAATATGTCCCCCACCTTTCAAATCCACTACTTTTCCACCGCCACCAGCTACACGGGCAAGCAGACGGAGCACCTCCCCGCCCCGCTCCCGCTTGTCGAGCTCTTCCCGTTGCTGGAGTCCCAATATCCCGGCATCACGGAGGCGGTGCTCCGCAGCTGCAGCATCAGTGTCCGCGAGGAATATGTGGATGTCGATGGGGAGGAGGGGCGTGAAGTAGTGATTGCGGAAGGGGATGAGGTGGCGGTCATTCCGCCGGTCAGTTCGGGGTAGTTCTGTTGTTTCGTTTCCTTGGGGGTGGGAGGATTGGAGATGAGCTTAGGTGTGGTGTTTGGTTTGTTTTCTTAGTTTTCTCTTTCCGGGATGATAGATTGTTGTCCGCTGATTTATTTTTGATGGGTTTGTTTGAGCTAGCTTGGATTATTATGACATAGTACTATGAGGGAGCTTTAAGGGGGGAGTAGGTTATGGTGTATGAAAGGAAAATAGGGAAAAATTGGGGGCTGACAAACGAAAGACATGAAGAACAGCAGTTTCAAATCATCGGACAGAAATAGGAACACGAACAAAAGCAAAATGAAAGGAAGGAGGACACATCCATGCCAAACACACATAGCAAAAGAAAAACGAAAAAAGAAAAGCAAACAGGATGGTGGAAAAGAGGTTGTGGTACAGCACAGCACAGCACGGCTGACTGCGAAAATTAATCTTTTTCCCCATGGAGCAACACCAGCACTAGGTAGGTAGTCAATTAGTTAGTTCGTCAATTGGAAAACATCATCCATGAAACTTCCTCGCCGGTAAGGGTGGTTGTCTGTCGATGGAACACGGGAGATTCCGTGCCTTTCTCTATCTCTCTTTATCCCTCCAACTTCTCCACCCCGGCCTTCTTCTTCTGTCGCCAGAGTACGATCCCGCAGATCGCGGAGAAGAAAAACATGATACTATCGTCATTGCTATCGTCAGTTTTTCCCTGCTCCATGTGCCACCAAACCTCCACCCAGCGAGAAGGCCCCGAACACTCACCACAAAGCAATACTCAAACCCCAGATCGACTTGGCCTCCAAACACACCGCCTTAGTCGCCCCAATCCAATTGGTATAGTTGACCTTCCCGTTCAAATGGTCGAGGTAGCTGCTTAGATGCGTCGCGAAGGTGTAGGCCGAGGAGTCGGTGTTTGTGGTGGTGGTTGCTGTTGCTCCAATCTGGGTGCATTGCAGGTAGGAGAGCGGTTTTCCCAGAATGACGGCCACAACGATCACGGCGATGAGGATCAGCGTGTCCATGATGGCGGCCGCCAGGAAGGGGAGGATGTTGTCGGCGTAGAGGATTGTGGTGATGAAGGCGTAGATTACGGCGATGCTTGTCTTTCAGTTGGACCCAATTGGATGGAGGGTGTTAGTTTGGGGTGTCGCAAGTGGGAGGGAGGTGGGTTTGGGTTGGTGATCTTTAGGCAAGCAAGCACTCACGACGGTGATGGTACCGATGAAGATGGCTGGTGGAGTGGCATTGTTGGAGACAATCTCCGAGATGAAGTTGGCTGTTAGCCCGATGATGGCGATGAGGCTGCACATTTGGATGGCGCGCGCGATCAGGAAGGTTGCGCCAAGGAGGCCGTAGGGCGGCATTTTGACGAGGAGTTTCGTTGAAGGAGATGTAAATTAGTGATTACTATTGTGGTTGTTGTGGTGTGGTTGGGGTTGTTTGATCTGACTGTTTGGATTGCTGATGCAGAGAGAGGAAAGGGAGGATCGGTGACGATTATGAAATGAGCCCAAGGAGTGTATGTGATATATAAACGCAATCGGAGAATAGAGAGTGTGCAATCAAGACCAAGGAGAAATACTAGACAAGGAGAGTGTGAGACAATGTGAAGCAAATCTTTATCCTGACTCAAGTTTGAAGCCTTCCGATGAGATACAAAGACCTTATATAAGTCTCCATTCCAAGTCGTCCTGAATCCTTTCCCCAACCCTTCAACAACTAAAGCTTAGGTCTAGACTCAATGTGCTATACTAACGAGCTCATTGCTCTGGCTGCAGGACCAATTGTCGACTACACCGGAGGATCTGATGTTGAGCCGGGAGGCGAGCGCTTACAATCCAATCTCGATGCGCACCCACCCTGGCGCTTAGCGAATCCTATCCCTGTGCGCCGCCGCCGGCCACTCCTGGCCAACAGCCACCTGAGCTTATTTCAACCTGAGACAACCGTCCGTCAAAGACTGGCGCTGGGAAGGTGGCTTTACTCTTACAGATTCTCTCTGGTGAAGCGGCCCCGTCGACCTACGCGCATGGGCCCTTTTCCTTAGCATAGGTAGATTGGATCAGACTGTCTGTCAGATCTTATTATAGATGCAGCCTTTTCCGTCTGCATGTCGATCTGCATTACCAGGGCCCTGGCTCCGAGCCGCTTCCACATCTATATTAAGTGTTATGATCAGACCCTGGTCTGGGCAGGTGAAGTGATCGGAGGCTGGGGTTGGGATAGCACTGCCAAGGGAAACACTGAAAACGCATAACGATGCAAGCTAAGTGCTTGGACCCACATTTGTCTAGGCTTGATACAAAGGTTGAGACCTTAACCTCGCTATACTTGCACCGTGTACACGCGCTGGGGTTGTCAATTAGAGCTGGCCCATTGATAACGAAAGCCCTCCGAAACCACAGTGGCTATGGCGGCCTACATGACGCGGGAAATGCTATTAATCCTGATCGAGGCACTGGTCCAGATCAATCACAGCCACTATCCCAGTGCAGATAGGGAGAGCCACCGGCCATTTCGGTGGTGGTGAGCCACTCAGTTCTTTGTAATCGTCGTCATTCAAGCCTGATCAAGGCGACAATGCCTGGTATACCCTCAAGCATACCGTTCGTTGTGATAATGGCGCGTAGGTCAGGATCCTGTCACTTCGCTCTAATCAAGAGCGCCTTGTTTGTACTTCCATTCTCTGGACATCATTCTACATCGATTGGCTCATATTTTCCAGACAGAATGAGGCTATTGAGAAAAGTGTGCTCAGTAAACTGATACCACATGGCCCCAGATCTCAACAGCCAATGCACCGAGATAGTGATTTCTGGTCATCTGTTCAAAGCAAAAGGTTGGCCTTGATTTCAGACGGGTGCACAACCCATTGCTATAGAGACTTGCATTGATATGGTGTTCGTAATGAGCATGTAGTAGGACGCCAGCAGCATGCTGTGTAAAATTCGTGTGAGTTCTGCGAGAAAGAAAAGACATCTTTATATTCAGAAGATGGTCTGTAAACAACGCCAATAACTACGTAGTTACGTAACTATTGATTGATTAAGTTAAGTTAATCAACCGTGGCGAGCTGCTCTGACCGCCCAAGCGGTGAAGTGCAGATGCCGGCAGTATCACGGGATTTTATGGTCTCGGCCATTTGCCGCCATGCGCTTTTTGCCTCTTCTTGCTCGCAAACGTCGGACTCACCTTTGCGATTGTGGGCATGTATGATGGGTGTTCCAGAATGTCCATGCTACTCTCCAAGGCGAGAGTATCGCACGGAGTGGCTGGTGTGAATCGCTATGTCTCCAACTTGAATCTTGTCCGCCGGTGCGGGATTGCAGCGTCGCGCGCCTCCCCGGGATCATGTCGCAGTAAGGCCGCTCGAGACTTTCTTGCCCAACAGCGACAGCTCAGCACAGGCTATCAGGTATTGTCCGGCGTCCGAATGTTTTGATTTTCCGGCCTTCTCACTGATTTTGATTGTCTAGTGTCTCTCCGCCCAAGCCGCTGAGGCGTCAAAACCGACCGCTTCAACCCATGAAGAAGACCTGCTGTCAATCGAGAGACTCCGCTTGCGACTCGAATTCGAGAAGCACAACGACATCCGAGACTATCTGCAGAAATGGCAAGACAGCCAAGATAATTTCGCAGATCCTGTTCGCGGGCCTGGGACTGCCAATAAGATGGTGGCAGATGACCCCTGGGTAGGGAATATGCTGAACGACAACCGGGAAGCTTATGATGCGGGAGCCGATGCCTTACGAGCGTCCGAGGACTACTCGGGATATATCAGTCGAGCCGACGAAGGCGCGAGCTTGAAAGAACGACTGGAACCAGGTGACCTTGTGGCCATGCAATTGTATGTGTACTAGGATTGTGCAAATACCACAGAACGTCACTAACGTTTGGTTCCAACTTTAGGTCTGATGGAGTTCTCTCATACGCAATCTACGTTCGCTCCCTCGCCAGACAACAGCAATTTTACACAGACAAAGGCAAATGGCGCATTGCTTCAAAAAAGGATATCGAGTTCGTTGTGAAGCACTTTGTGCCACCAGAGATGGTGGAGCCCCTCCTGCCTCACTTCCCGACAGGCCTTGCTATGATGAGCTATGAGTTTCAATCCTCAATCGAGGGTGGAGTCCCAAGGAATAAGGGCGCTCCGCTGCTTGAGAGGATTCAACAATTTGACTTGGATGTGAGAGAACTCTATCGTAATAATGCGCTACGTTTGGACAACCTCCACGACTTGGTGGCAGAGGACGACTTGAATGTGATATACTCTCTCGAGGAATTGGCCTGTAAGGCGCTGGAGATCGAGCCGGACCAGTTGAATGACACGTTGCGCTTCCTCATCCATCGGGCCATTCACGAGAATTCATTTCTGATCGAAAGTGATCGGGCCACTTTATTCGACTGCCATTACCTAGTTAGATCTCGGCACATTGCAAATGTGATTGAAACGGTCACCAACTGGGTGCATGAGCACCAAGACTTCGTTGTCAACTCAGTCCGCGGCAAGGAATACCCTTATCACCGCAATCACCCCCTGCAGCTGTTCATTTCCAAGGCCAAGCGTCTCATCAGGCAGAGTCGGACTGTGCGATCTCCAACCACTGTGGCATGCGTGGGTCCAAGCTCTGTACGAATTAACCCCACAGAGCACGATAGTCCTCTGGTATACCGTGAGGTGCTCACGGAGAAATTCACCGATAACGACCGCATCATCATAGAATACTTGCAGCACTGGTGCATACCTCCTCGTCGGATGACAAGAGGACATATGCGATCCGCAGGGTCGCATATCATGCGCCACACCGGCATGTACAATGCGGTGGATCTGGGCCCAACTGAAGGCGTACTCTTTCTTCAGGAGTTGGGGGTATTCCAACCCTGGGAGAACCTAAATGTTTACCATCCTTTTCTTTCTCTTCCTGGGCACGGGCTCTCTCCCGTAAACGAGGCACTATGGACTAGCGCAGTCGAGGAAGGTAAACTGCTTGCAGACCAGAGTGAACTCCAAGATTCCATGAAGGATTTGCGGGTCGATTGGGGAGATTTGCCAGTTTACTGTATCGACGACGTGGGTGCGAAGGAGATCGACGATGGTGTCTCGCTCGAGCGCATACCCGGATCGGACGATACTTTCTGGGTTCACGTGCATATCGCCAATCCTACAGCTTTTATAGAACGCGAATCGGGTATCATGAGGTGGGCTGCGTCTGCTGTTAAGACCATCTATCTGCCAGAGCGTAACTATCCCATGATGCCTGACTCCGTGACGCAGAAGCACTTCAGTCTGGGCCCAGGTCGTCCCACGCTCACGTTCAGCGCCAAGATGAATCTTCAGGGCGACATCCTGGACACCAAGATCGTGAGTGGTAGGATTCAAAATGTGATCTACTTAACTCATGAGCGACTACGCCGCTGTCTGCAGCCCACCAATGGAGCGAAATACAAGAGCAAGGTGCTAAGCGTAGGAGGCGCTTTGCCTCAGCAAACCTCTTCTCGTGAGGGTATCCAAGAGACACTTACATCCGGAGACGAGGAAAACTTCCACATTCTCCGCCAGCTGATGGTAGGGTGGCGAGAACACCGGCGTCGAAATGGTGCTCTGGAGTTCGGTTACGCGCAAGACAGCAACGTTTCGGTATCCTTTGGCTCCGTACCTCTCGCTCCCAGGAAGCTCGACGTCAGCGAAGGCAGGTATTACCTAGGTGACCCGGTGATCCAGCTCCGCCAGGCCGAGAATGACCTGTCCAAGCTTGTCGAATCCCCGGACGACAATCTCGTCTCCTTCCTCATGAACCTAGGCTGCTGGGTCTCCGCCTCCTGGATGGCCTCGCGCAACATCCCGGCCGTCTACGATGGCACCGATTACCACCCCGAGTACCAAAAGGTCACTCGCGAGAACATGTCCAAGATGAGCGGTGAAGACTGGCTCTTCATGGCGGCGCCAAACGGCGTCTCGCTGTCCCACCCGGTTCCCCACGTCTCGCTCGGTTTGGACGTCTACACGAAAGCCACCAGTCCGCTCCGCCGCTACAACGACGTGCTAGCACACTACCAGATCGAAGCGGCGCTGCGGTTTGAGCACATCCATAAGCGTCGCCTCGATGCATCGTCTTCAGACGCAGTGGACGCATCCGTCCTCCCCTTCTCCGCCGAAGATGTCGACGACTGGCTCCGGAGCTCCCGGATACGACGCTATGTGCTCCGCAATCTCGATCAGCAGGCGCGCCAGGACTGGGCCGCGCAGCTCCTCTTCCGCGCATTCTACTTCAACGAGTGTCCCCTGCCCGCGACGTTCGTGTGCACGCTCGACAAGCGCTTCGAAATGACGGATCTGGCTGGCACCTCGCTCGGCAAGGGCTGGGTCGCGAACATTGGCTCGCTGGGTGTCCGCTGTCACGTTTTGATCCCCTCCGGTCGGCGGGATCTCCAGGAAGCTGATATGATGAGCCGGGTGGAGGCAAAGATTACCAAGGTGGATATGGGGAGACACATTGTGATGATGGAGGCGACGAAATTGATCAGTCGTCACACTGCGGAAGTGGGTGATGGGATTTTTAGACCCAATAAGCTGTAATATCAGAGGATAGCAGGAGGAAGTCGGTGGATGTACATTGTTGTATAGGGAAAGGGTGACCCGGATTATGGACAGGGGCCTGTAAGATATGTTAGATCTCCTCTTGGGTTTGTTCTGATGAATTATTGAGCAACTTATTTGTGCGGCTTTTTTTTCGAGCTGGTCGCCGTTCTGTAGAGGCAATACGATATAGGCGGCACCTTATCTCCGCGGTGAGTTCGTGATCGTACTCGACCGCAACCCACGTCCTTAGAGAAGCCCAGTAGTGTCGGAGACTCAAGAGACAAGATTGATCGCAAAACACCTGCCTGATTACCTCTCTGGCAGACGACTCGCTACTTCTGCTGGCCCAAGGCACGATTATTGTCTCCATAGTCATAATATGCTCCTGTACCGTCCTTGGCGCTGCATACCTAGTAAGCTGGTGATCTGGTTTTGATATGGTTCAAGTAAAAGAACATACATTACTTAACCAGCCACATAAACAGCCACATAAGCATCTGAGCGAGAGTTTCATGCTTCTAGGACTTACAAAGCCAGTAGTAGATGGTGGATGAGGATGTCTTTTAGATGAGCGATAATGTATGATTAGATGAGGAGTAAATGAAATGAACCTATTATTTCCATAGATAGTCTAGACATATCAGATTGAGGTTTCATACTGCGAGAAGGTGACTTGATATTCATTTAGAGACAAAGATGGACGCTACACACTCTTCTAACAGAGCCAGGGATCTAGAGGCGGTTGGTTTGTGGTTATCGTTATTGAGATTGGCAAAGAAAATAGACCGAACACGCCTGAGTAGAAACCAAACTAAGCACCAAAGACCTCCTTGACGAGTGCCTTTTTATTGACTAGGAAGGAGACAAGAGTCAGCAAGACAGAGAAGAGAGAACAGAACATCAAGGAGGAAGGCAGGGAACAATGTGGAATTTGATAGACTCACTCTTGCCCATGGCATTTCTCGGGATCGGTCCATCCAAAACCTTCATCTCCTGCGGCATCTTGTAATTTGCCAGACGGTCCTTCAGGGCACGGCGCATGTCCATGGCGCCCCAGGGCTTGCCATTGCGTCCTCCTGTTTTCGCGAGCTCTGGATTGAGGACCACCACGGCCACGACTTTTTGACCCCATTGTTCAGAGGGGAGGCCTACAACTGCTGCTTCTAGGACTTGAGGGCTGCGAAAAGGTGGGTTAGCTGAGAGGTTCGACCAGGTTTTACAGGCAGTCCACCCACAGTGAAAGTAACTCGCGCTCCACTTCCAGAGCGCTCACCTTCTCGCCTCCAGTCTTGATGATGTCCACACTGCGCCTGCCCTGAATGAAGTACATCGGGCCTCGAGCCCAGTCGCCGCTGGATCCCGTGCCGGCACCCTCCACCATCCGGCGCGTAGCCACATCACCCGTCTTGAACCATTCGCCCTTCCCGTCCTCGCCGGGCACAAACGACTCGCGCGTCGCGGCTTCATTGGCCCAATACTCTCGGAATATGGTCGGCCCACGGAGCTGGATCTCTCCCTCACGCTCTCGGCCGTTGGCGTCAAGCTCCTCTCCTGCCTGAATCACTTCGTTGCTGTCCGTGTCCATCAGCCGCGCCTCCACCGACGGCAGCGGCCAACCGACACTGCCATCCACGCGGTCGGCAAAGTCGAGGCCGCAGCTGATCGCCATTCCGACCTCTGTCATGCCGTAGCGCTCAAGAAGCACGTTACCGTTGCTAAGGTCTTGCCACGACTTTTTAGTGGGCGTCGGCAAGGCCGCGGAGCCGGATATATTCAGACGCATGTTCTCAGGGGAGATGCCCTTCCGCGCCGCTTCTTGAATCTCAGGACTCAGACTCGGAAACGAGGTCAAGAGTCGGTTGTAGATTGTGGGGACTGCTGTGAGGAAGGTGATCTTATTCGTGTTCGTGGGCTCCGGCAGAAATGGAGCGGCGAGTCTCTTCCACACAGCGTCTGTATTAAAAGGAAACATGAACTCAATGGACGAGCCGGCGAGAACGGGGGTGACGATGGCATTGACGGTGCCGTGGATGTGGTGGAGAGGAAGCAGGTGGAGGAGCCGATCCTGCGGGGTATACTCCCACGCCTTGAGGAGTGATGCGGCTTGCGCCGTCAACGCGGATTGGGGGATTAAAACGCCTTTCTGAGCTGATCAGTAACAGTTTTCAAAGACACAGAGAACGAAGGAGCATTCGTACCGGTCTGTTCGTCGTCCCGGAAGTGTACAGCATCATTCCACCGCGGGGCTGCTGTCCTTGGAGATCCTCCATATTTACAGAGCCTACACTCGTGGCTCCCACTTCAATCTTCTTCTTCACATCGAGAATTGGCTCCCGGTCTAGACCAGATCTCAGAACGTCCTGAGCTTTGCCCGCATACTTTTCCGTCGCCAGCAGGACCTTAGCCTGGGAATTGTCCATGATGTACTTGAGCTCGCCGACCGGGAACGCAGGAGAGAGGGGGAGGGCAATCGCATCGCTGGCAAGAATTGAGAGAAGTGTCACTGTCGTTGCAGCCAGTTAGTTATTTGCCTTGGGCGTTCTGGAAGGGTAGGACAAGCCAAACAGTACCTACGTAGTCATAGCTGTTCTCAGCCAGGAAAGCGATTCTTTCTCCAGACAAACCATTTTGACGCCCGCCTCCGGACTGTACGAGCTTTTCTTTTGCTTGTAGAACATCTGTAACCAAATTACCGTATGTGAAGGACCGAGAGGATGCGCTATGTACCACAGCCAAGCTGGATTGATCGTGATCTTGTAGGGCGCGAAAGAGCGGCAAGTTGGGTAAAGACGCGAGTGATCGACGGCTTGCGAGTGTTATGCGAGCTCGAAGACGAGCATTACGGGCCAGACAAGCAGAGGCAATTAGGCTCCTTGACAGAGCTGGCATCAAAGTGTATCCTGGCATGATGAAGGCTTGAAGAGGAAGTGGTGCATGTCCAGCAAACTACTGAGTATAGGAGGGCATACTTGAACTGATGTCATTTTCAGAGAAGCTGCCGCGGAGGTTTGCGGAGGGTTGCGGTCTCGGCACAGGCGATAAGGCTTTCCTCCGGTTATCGGCTGTTCCTTTTCCCCCCAAGGGCTGCCGACGTCTTCTTATCGCAACGTGGGGGAGAAACCATCGTTATCGACTCTCACGTGAGCTAAGTAGTCTCCAGAACTATACAAGATGCTGAGAGGTAGAGGAGCACGCTTACTGTTGCTGGACTAAACTTGTAGTCAGAGCGAGTCTTTTGATGAAATGGGTTTCAAAGCGGTTGTTAACGCCGAATCTTCACCTCACCGACAAGGTACTGTCTTTTACAGTGTACCAGGATTGAACGCGCTGCTTCCCCCTGCTCTTCTTAGCAGCGCATAAGAGATCCAATTATCGGGTATATCAGCGCGGGCATAATGGATCTCCTGATGATGATGATGCTCTACGTGGGCTTGTTGCCATCAGGGTTGGGCCGGTACCGGCGGCGTTAGCAGGGCAGCTTGATGTTAATCATTCCATCGAGAACAACCAAGAAAGCGACAACCCGACTTCTTTGAATACTAGTACACCAAAATTTGAACGTACACCGGTCTCATATATACCGGTCTGATGGCCATGGCTATGTGCGTAATCCTGGACCGTCTCACCCGTGAGACACTTGAAGTGACATTCGCGATGCGTCTTCAGACTGGCGTACAAAACGGAAAGAAACAATGTACTGTACTGCACGAGGTGTCTGGTTTGTGCTACTGGGCGTATGTCTGCATGGACAGCAATTTGAAACTGATGGCTCTGTGACTTGTATCCTGCTAGTAGGCTGCAAGGTGTCTGCTATCCGTTCGAGTCCACTTAGCTTGTGTAGACAGTTGTCCCGGTGAGATCTGAACATTTAGCATTGTGGGTCAAGGTTCTTCTCTGGTCAACTGATGTGTGACACTTCTAACTGATCCCACCGTCTGCTCACATACGGGTTCAGCATGTTTTCGTGCATGCGATTGACTGCATGTTGTTTCTATAATTCTGCCGTTAAGGACCTTCAAAGCATCATCGATTCGAGTAAGATTTTTGCAACTACCAACGGAATGCTTGAAATGGCCATTGGTTCGCAAACATGGTAATATATATATGTCCTGGAAGCGCTCAGTGTAGTAGAGCCTAAGGTATCAGACAGTACTTGGTGAGTGGAGATATCCACTATTCCCCAAACGGCAACCCACCCCTCCGGCCAAAGGTCAGCCAATCGCCGCCATCGGATTCTCAGTGACTGCAATTGAATTCCATCCATCCCCGATTGAATCCTCCGCTCGCAGAACAACTTCCATCCATTGCGCTGCATACAAACATACAAACATACACACAATCTCCCTCGCCTCTCTCGAACCCTGACCAACTCTTAACGTCAAGAAATCCGTATCCGCACCCATCACCACAACCGCCACCAACAGCTCCAGACCTTAACAAATCAATGCTTCTCCGCACCACCCGCCTCCCAGGCCTTCTCCTCCGATCTACAAATCACCACCACCAACACCACTTCTTCTCCACAACAACAGTCAAGATGACCTCCACCACTCCCGTCGAAGACCTCATCCGCGCAAAGGCAAGACCCGTAAACCTTCAATGGCTCCCCTGACCTCTTCCCTAGCTTCCAGCCTCCAAATTCACAACCATCCGGGCCCCATGCCACAATGCCACCTCCACAATTCAACCCTCAACTTCTCATACTACCAGAAGGTCCCCCAGACTAACACCCCAAGAATCAAAAATAGTTAACGACAGCCTTTACTCCCACCACCCTCCTCATCCGCAATGACTCCCACAAACACGCCCACCATGCCCCGATGCGCGACTCCACTTCCAAAGAAACCCATTTCCAGTTCGTTTAAACCAAACCCCCTCCCCCCCCACCCTCGAGACCCAGGCATCCCAAACCGCCCGTCTCGAAAGAAAAGGAAGGGAAGGCGTCCGCGCAAAGACGAAAGGAAAGCTGACTCAACCCTTTTTTCTACTTTTGTTCGTCTTCAGTGTAACTATCACCTCCTCGTCCTTCGCGTCGAAACCCCAGCCTGCTCGACACCGTATGGTCTATGGTTTGTTGAAGGAGGAGATGAGTCGGGAGGGGGGCATCCATGCGCTGCAGCTGCGGACGAAGACGCCGGAGGAGGAGCAGCGGGAGAGGGAGAGGGAGGCGCAGCAGCAGTAGTAGAGTGCTATAGATGCCATGGCTGGATTTAAAGGTAGGTTGGGTTTCTCCTATGATCATTGTCTCATACATTTACAAATATACATACCCTTTTTTCCATATGAGAATATGGAATACACTCTACTGGAAAGAATTGCGGGAATGTCTCTAGGATTATAAAGAGCTTCGGAACTTCAGAAGGACTTGCAAGCATCATTAATATTAGAGTAGTCGATTATTACGTAAGGGGTGGAGGGGTCGATGGTGGTTTCTAACGCCCAAGAACCCAGAGGCACACACACAAGAACAACTCTATTATATACACTGCGATCAGCCATCATGCGCGAAAACCCTAGCCAACTCAAGGAGTAAGCCATACAAGATCAATGGTCAAGTGTCATCATCAAAGTCGCATAATGCCCCCCACCCTCCTCGAAGCCGCATAGAAAACAACCTATATATGACGATCCATACGGAGACAGAACATGGGAGGCAAAGAGCACGGGACGAGAAGGGAAGGGAGGGCGAAGCGCAAACATAGGAGACCAGAGGGCGCAGTGACGGGCGTGCTTTTTCGACCAGGCAATAAACAAATAGAAGAACAAGGTGGTATTCCAACAGAAAAGAAGAAAAAAGGAAATAAAACTCAAAACTGGAGAGCAGCAGTCGGCCCCGTGCTTGTGAGGACGGCAAGGGCGTTTGAAAGAGCAGAGCAGAACACCTGGACGAGAACAAAGTGCACAATTGATCGATTCGTTACAGCCTGGCGTAAACATTGCGACAACGGGATCTGTCGTATGATCCGAGGATCGACACGAACAACCGCATCGATCCGATCGAAGGTCGGCTGGTTCGTTCTGGTGTTGACTAGATGTGACTAGCCTCACTTGGACTTGTTGGCTTCGGTGACACCGACGGCAACACCAACAACGATGGCAATGATGAGGACTGGAGAAAGGGAGGTCAGTTCCCTCCAATAAAATCGTCCGGAATGGAGAAATACTACTTACTGACGACAAGCAGAGCGTACCACTTCCACTTTCTTGCCCGGCGAGCGCTGGCAATGGCTTCCGTGATCTGCGTGTTGGCGTTGGCCACGTTACCAGCAACGTTCTCTGCGTCCTGGCTAATCTGCTCCACAGCAGGCTCCTGCATGTGGACAAGCTCCGCTACTTCTTGGTACAGTCGGCCCAGCTCAATCATATCCTGCTCAATCTTGCGGATAGCGGCCGAGCGTTCCAGAGCGGCCTGTCTGGCATCATTCGCCTGTCTAGTCCGACTACCAGTAACCTAGTGCACATATTAGCATACTCCAGCGATAATCCTCCAGACAAAAGCTTATCGTACCTGGAAGCTCTGCTCCTGGCCCATCAGCACATTGTCGACACCCTGATCAATTTCCTCGGGGGTTGCCTCGGGGTTCGCAATTTCGTAACGTCTGCGAACCTGCTCTCTCAGACGCTTCTGGAAGTCAGACTGGCAGCGCTGGTATTGTTCGATTTCGCGGCGGAGGTTGCGGCTGGTGACATCAACCTGCGTCTGGACGCGGTTATCTCCGGAGCCCGGGGTCTGCTTGATCTTCTTCATCAAATCGCGGAGGTAGCGGAAGCCGTTGTTGATCTCGTCCTCGATGTAGTCCAAAGTCTGGCGGGCGACCTGGTCCTCCTTTCCGGTGCTGGAGTCGAGCATCGCGTTCTGGGCCGCCGCAAGTTGACCCTCGCGTTTGGCCTTCAGGTCCGCAATACCATCGTTGATCTCCCGGCACTTGTTCAGAAGCGTGGTGGGGTCGGCCGGCTGCTCCGCGATCGCGTTCATCTCTGGTGGTACGGACTTGCGTTAGGGATGTGTTCCGCTTGCGTGGTGATTGCTCCGAGCGGCAGCGCGCTTACCGTAGGTGCCATTGCCCTGGCCCTGCTCCACGGCATTGGCCTGGTTGTAGGGGTTCTGATTGTAGCCCTGCTCGCCATAGGGGTTGTACTGGCCGTAGCCACCCTGGTTACCTCCGTACTTTGCGGCCGAGCAAGTTAGCGATGAGACTCGAAGTGCGCATTGAGTCAGGAGTCAGGGGAGGGGTAAGTAGCGACAACCGCGAGTTGTGACCATATTTTGAAGGGAGACATACACTCATTGTGATAATATGTTAACGCTAGGAAATGCCAGAGGTAAGGATTTGTAGTCGCAGATTCAGTCAGTGTTGATTTGCTGGATCGAAAGGTCGAATCCGCGAGGTGATCGGAGCTCGGGTCGTACGGGAAACGACGATGGGAGGGGCGCGCAATCGACAATAGGTAGGGAGAGGATCGTTCCGACAGGGAGGATGGGTCGGGACGAAGGAATGCGCGTAGGAGGATTGAAAGGTGGGGGTTGGGATGAGGGAAAAGAGACTGAGGATGGAGGTTTTGGGATGAAAAGATTAATAGGCAGTAGGTTTTGGGTTGAGGTGAGGTGAGCCGGCAAAAACGAAAGAGTGACGGGTAAGACACACAGCGGCGGCGGCTGAGCCACGGGCGCAGAGGCGGTTGAAGGAATGAGTGACTGAGATGAATGTGTACTGATGGATGGTTGGATCGATGGCTCTGGCCCGCAGGCGGCAATTTTACTCTCTTGTTGGACGACACTACCACAACAACAATACACAGAAGAAAAAAACAGAAAAGAACAGCTTAAGGAGTGACTGAAGAGTTAGGTTGATCGAGCAGAGATCTCGTCCAAGACAGCAGGTTCGTTCTCTTTTTCTTTTAGCACGGAGGGCACTAAGTCAGGGGGAAATTATGTGCCGCCAGCAATTTTTCAGCCCGGGTATAATTAGTAGGGGGGCTTCCAAGCTCCTGCACAGACCAGTGGATGATCCTCAAGTCCCCTTTTCCCTCCCCTTTGAAGCAATAGGGCAATCAAACCAATAATTTAAGTTGGGGCTTGGTGAAACAAGCCAACCCAGGTTGTTGAAGATGGTGGGTTTCTAACGGTGAGGAGGAGGAGGAGGAGGAGGAGGAGGAGGAGGAGATGATCGGATCTATGGACTACTATCGGCAATAGATCACTGTGCGCATCTCTCTGCAGATGTATGTACAGTGGTTATCGTACTCGTATACGTATACTCGTGCAGCCCCCAGCGGTCGATAGTGTCATGGTGTTCTGCTCCAGATCCACCCGCCCGTTGATCTATGAGATCAAATTGAGTAGTGAGCCTCTCATAGAATCTATGCGTAGATTATGCTCCGTGATTTCTCCGTCATACAGCAATCCTGCACGTCATCGACATGACCCCAAGTCGACATGCCAGAGGAGCTTCAACGGTTCTCCCCACTCTTGGCTAGCCGGAACCGTTAAGAAGAATGGTAGTATCATCTCTCGCAGACCGCTTCTCCCGTTCAGCAAGAGATTTCCCCACAATGACTGACTGACTGCCAGGTGTTTCGAGATTCTACCGAACCCTGCCGTCAATTTCCCATCCGTTTTCTGCATGCCTAGTACCAAAGTACGGAGGTCCCTATCTACTCCGTACAAGACAAGTACTTTGCAGCCTGATTTCCGCTCTATCTTGCCATTGCCACTAACTAGTTAGTATCTTCTCCATCGAGTCTGCCTGTTCGGAAGTGGCAGCCAGCTCCACCATTCCCCCCCAGAGACCCTGTAGCCTGCTTCGTCCGCCCACGATCGAGCGGTAGACTAAATTTAGCAACAAGTCCCAATGAACGTGCAGCCAATGCTATAGAATGGAGAACGAGGTTGCTGCGTGTGGTGGACTGTGGAGGGGCACTGCCCCCATTGCACTCACTGCTCAGTGGCCCAATGTTTGCAGAGGCGAGTGACGATCTAGCTGTGGCTCAGCAGGTGTTGTGGCTGGAAGCTTCGCCTGTAGATCCTGTTTGCTTACCCGATTGAGGTGCCGCCACTTTTGATTCATTATTCGCATGGTCAGTCCACCAGTCACCTCCAACATTGTCACAACACAGGGGAGGAGACGGTTCTCAATAGCACACCGACCTTATCTCGGCGAGATCATCATCCCACGACTTCCAATCCGCTCCCAGACTACGGATCTCATCCTCCGTCGACGCACGGCGGGCATTAGCCGCCTCTTCCAACTCCTCGGACGTGCGCCACCCCCCCATCAGGGCGATCTCAATCACATCTCCAGATTGGCCGAGTCCAGGTCGGTGACGACGCCGTAGATGGTGCTGCCCAGCGCGCTGGCGTCGCCGACCAGCGACATCATATCGGCCAGCTGCTCCAGCCCGTCGGAGATGAGCCGGATCTCCGCGAGGAAGGGGACCACCATCAGGACACCAAAGATGATCTCCTTGATCATAGCCCGCCGATGCCTTGTCGGCCACCCAGCTCTCCTGGATCCCCCCGTGGTGGCCGTCAGGTTTGGCCCAGAAGACGGTGGCGTTGGTCAGGTCGTAGTAGATCTCATAGCCATTGTACGCCTGCTCCGCGTCAACATCAGGTGATGAATCCAGCGCTGGCATGAATTTTCCACTTAAAGCCACACACCTTCGACAATAGTGGCTCAAGACCCCTGCAAGTTCCGGGCTTGCATGGCCTCTTCCTAGAGAATGAGCTCGACATCGACGAACGCTTTGCGCACGCGACCCAAGAGCATTTCAGCAGGCGGCCCGTCAAGCTCACTGCCCCAGAAGTCCAGATGTTGCGGCTGATGGAGCGCATTACGGATCTCAAGAACTGGGAGCAGGAAGTCTTCAATCCCGCGACGCTCGCCGAATGGCGCGCCCAGGCATCCGAGTATGTGCATCTTGATCCGCAAACCGATCAGGATGTAGACATGGACCTCGTCACAACCCGATCCTGGCTCTGGTGCGTAGCGGAGCTACAAGACAAGGCCAGATCGCTGCGTGAGACCGGCCATGTGGTGGTCTTCAACGCGGACCCGTCACTCTACATGCTGATCTACGGTCAGACGAAGGTTCTCAGTCGTGGGGGTCGAGTTCCTCTGGCAGCAGACGGCTTGATCTGGGATTCCTTCCCTGCCACCGGGCTGGGGCAGACGGATTCTGTGCAGCACCATCCCCCGGGCGAGAGTGTTTCGGCACTCAGATTGCCAGAATGTTGCCTCGGGCACTCTAAGCGTCAACAATCCTCGTTTTCTTTTCAGTGGCTACCGTGCGAAGTGGAATTTGCTGATGCCTCTGGACGGCAGTCCGGATCACCTCATATATCAATAACCTTCACCCAGCCAATGCCCAGGCGTATTCGGCGATCGAGAAACTGATTTCCCTAGCTATCCGGCCTTGGAATGACATCCTGGTGAAGGGCGTTCGCGGTCGCATGCCACGACGTATCCACACCTATATGGTCACGAACCGAGAACTGTCCCCAATGGGTGAAGTCCCCCCCGGAGGAGCTGCTCCCGCAGGATGGAAAGAAAACATCACCCGGCGCTCCTGGACACCGGAGGAATGGGAGGAATATTGTCTCCGGTTGATGGAGTTTCTGCAACATCCAGACGAGAATCCGAAGTATCGAGTTTTCGAACCGGAGCCCGATGATCCCCCCCAGACCTAAAACCTTCTCGACTTGATTACCCCGGAAATGTGGGCCTCTCCTGCCAGCGTAGAGCGGATAATCATGGCCAAATGGAGGCGTCTCAATTGGTTCCACTATCCCGAACCGGGAATCTCCTTCACGTACGAGGACTGGAAGCTGGGCAAGACCGCAAATCCGATCCTCGGTCCGTGGAACCTCGAAGACCAGTTGTTCAAACCGCCGCGCGATCACGATTACTACCAGGTGTCGCTCGAGAAGCAGTTCCGGGCCCATGGGCTGCAGATCATTGTGCGGGTGTTCAGCATCGACCTGACGCCCGATGCGCCTCGTTATCTTGGGGAGGACGAGTTCCACGTGGATGGCATGCTCAACGAACACATCGTCGCCACCGCGGGCTATTCATCCACTAGAGGAAAGTGGAGAGGTAAGGGTTGGGGAGGTACTATAGTACACCATCACCAGACCCTGGAATCTCAGCACCTCCCCGGTAGCCGTCCTGACCAGTGTCTCGCCGCCGACCATCCCCGTGCAGTGGATAGATATACTATTTAGATAAATAACAGTTACTTCTCTAGTATTCAGTTCTAGAGTAATCTAGAATTATTCAGAGATTACTACTTTAAAATATATACTTTTATACTTCTTCTATACTCCGGACTACTTAGTGAGCAAAAAGCCGCGTCAAATTCGATCTAAAGAGGAAAGGGAAAGTCGCTGGATTTCCGCAGCAATCCAGTTTGTTAGTATGGGTAGTAAATCATATCAGTATGTAATATCCAAGGCAGTAGTAATCAGTGCAAGCTAGCCAAGCATATCCGGCCTAACCTATATCTTCCACGTTTCAATGGCTCGGACACAGGTCTCGTGCGATACCCATGAAGTGAGCGGTTTATGATGTCTTGTAAGATGGCACATGAAATCTTTCTAACGGTCGGACCTGATTAGGTTGGAGCATATGAAAAGTGTACCCGTCATAATGGAACAAGCGAAGCACAGCAATTGGAAGAACAAATGCATAACTAGTATGAACTGCCAAGGATTTAGTCGCACCTGTGTAAAGCGCCACTTTCCCGCTCAAGATCGCAAGCTCGGCGTGTGGCGCTCCCAACCAGACAATTTTGCCTTTGAAAGGGGTTGAGTAGGTAGTTATCACACTCGAGAAACCCGATTCTAGCCCCGCGGAGTAGATGAGACTAGTCAAAAACGTACGCACCAATTGACATAGACGACTCAAAGAACATGCTCACCGGTTGTGTTTCGACAAGATAGTGTCCGAAACCCTCACCTGGAGTCTGCAAAGCGAGAGACGCAAATAGTTCGTACTCGAAACCCACTCCATATGACCACACAGGAGAAACCTACAAAGTCCACAATTCCATTGACTCATCCTTCCAATTTCTTAGTTACTCGTAGGCATTCCATCCTACTTCAGGTCCCACGGAAATATCATCATATATCTCGAAATCCAGGTACCACCACATCCACAACGACATCCACCCACGTTTCCTACCACAAAACGTACCAGTGCCCATGGGCCATCATCACCCGAGACACAGTCCCACGCGCCATGCAAAGCTAGTAGAATGCGATTGTGAGCAGCAGAGCTTCCATCTGAAAGAAAAGAAGACAGACCCAGACAAGAAAAATTCACTCAGACCCGAAACATAAAAAAAAAAAAAAAGAACAGAAATCCACCCAAATGATTCATGTACTTCCGAAGAACCCAGACCCAGGGATTCAGCCCCGGTAGCTTATCCTCAAAGAAAATTCCGCCCAGCGAGAGGAAAGGGGAAAAAAAAAGGGTCTTTGGCTCGGGAGACATGCGTTCGGAGATCCCCGGGGTTTTCCACAGTAACTTACAACCTAGTCTATTGACCGAGCACATGACTTGAGGACCGAGTAGTACCGGTAAGTAGTCCCCGCTGTAGAAGGTATTTCGAACAGCCAAAATTCAAAAGACAACATGACTACTCCGGAGTACAAGTACAATAGACAATGGTTGCGAAGGCTAATCCATGACCCTTGTTTGAATGATCATGATCATTCCATACCATCGTTAATGCTCAGTCATGTCCTGACACAAATTCAATCTGAGCCAGAAACCACACAATCACCAAAACCACATCTACTTTAAAACTAGTCAAGGCGCACGCGACCGCCATTCCCGTTACCTAATTGTGAGCAATGCTTATTATGCAATAAAGATAAGGCGCAATAAGCCCAGGCCCCACTTCATTCCGACTCGGTAAAACCAGAGAGAAATGCCAAGACAGGCTAAGAGAAGCTACTGCAGGGACGGGGCCGGAGTGGAAGGTTTGGTAAGCACGAGACCAAAAAGCCCGCCGCCCCATCCGGATAGAACGGCCACTTTGGATGTGTTGGGCGAAGCTATGATCCTTGGAAGAGGAACGAGAAGTAATAGTAATAAGGTCTGTATATGCTAACTAAAACTATACTATAGAGTAGTGAGGGAATGAAAAAACGTCCATCCGTACACCCTGCATATATACACACATAGGGGTCGTCATACCGCATCTGCTCATTAAAGGGCTGTGACGCGAGCCTGCGCGAGATGATCAAGTATACCACGTCTCAAAAGAAAACACCATCCACGAACATCGCAAATTATAATACATTAAATAGAGGGGTGGAGAAGCCTAGTTCTCCTGGTCCTTCTTCTGCTCCACGGGGGCAGGGATTTCGGGATCTTCCGCATCCAAGGCGTTCATCTCGTCCTCCTGGTCGTTCAAGTGGTGGTACACCAGCCAGAAGATGATACCAGCAAGGAAGGAGGCGCAAGCCAACCCGACGAACATCCACATGATGGCAGGGTCAAACGCAGCAGGAGTCAAAGCCTCCGCAATGGCGGAACCGAACGCATTGGTGAGGAGGTACATTGACTGCACGAACGACTTCATGGACGGAGGCGCCTTGGTATAGGCGTACTCCAGACCGGAAACGGAAGCGAAAATCTCGGAAATACCAATGAAAACGTAGGCAGGCGTCTGAATGGCAATGTGAACGTGGTTGCCAGTCGTCGAACCATCGACAAGCGAAGCATCGCAGAGGGGCTTGCCATAGCAAGGACCGGCAGAGTAAATCAGATGCTGAACAATGGCGGCGTACATCATAGCAAGAGAGGCAACGACGAATCCAACGGAAATACGGGTGATGGGGCGGAACTGGATGCGCATGCGGCGGAGCATGGGGTAAATCAGAGTCTCCAAAAGCGGGATGAAGACAATGATCGAGATGGGATCAAAATTTTGCATCAAGTCGTTGGGGATACCGTGACCCTCCATCTCACCAGCCTGAGTGACGAAGTTGCTGGAGAACTGGCCGTAGACGACCCAGTAGATGGGGTAGAAAGCGAACACACGGCATGCAACCAGGGCGCGCTTGAGCTCGTCAATAAAGTGATCATCCCACGGGAGGTTAGTTCGATTGCCTCCGTTGGCGGCTTGCCAGCTAGGCTTGGCAGCGTCCATGTTGCGGTTGACGATCATGATTCCCAGGGCCTTGAAAGCGTCCGTGATGATGGAGCCTTGAGGGGGACGGACAACGTAGAACTTGCGACCAAAGATGAGCACACCCGTACCGACGGCGAACATGCACAAGCAGAGCAGGTAGCCGGACCAAAAGCCGATGTACTTCTCCATGTAGGGCGTGGCCAACAGGGACAGAGAGCCGATGTTAATGCAGGCATAGAAGATCATGTAGATGCGCTGGATGGTCAGGGCGGGATCGATAATGACCCGCTCACCCTTGGGGGTCGTCTTAATCGCCTTCTTCTTCCGCTTGTACTGATCGGCAATCAGAGGAGCGACGTTACTCTTGATACCGCCGGTTCCCAGCCCAATGATCAAAATGGAAACAATGAAACCACCAACACCCGCTCCATGGGACAGAGCAGTGGGAATGGACGTGCAGACCAGGATAAGGAGACCGACGAGGTAGATGATGCAGAAAACCACAATCGTCTTGTACTTGCCGAGGTATTGATCGGCAACAATAGCACCAAGGATAGGGGTAACTGGAGATTCGAGGTCAGTAAAAGTAATAGGCGACAGTCTTGAGACAAAAACTAACCATAGCACCAGAACTGGAAGAAAGTGGTCAGACCGGTGGCACCACGCTGACCCATGCCAAGGGCACCACGACCTTCACTTCCATCAAGAGGGCGTTGAATGTAGTTCTGGAACATGCCGGACATTCCGTAGTAGGTGAAACGCTCGCAAAGCTCGACAATAGCGACGAGCCAAGCAGAGATGGGCAGATGTTCGGCGACATGTCGAAGGGTGCGGACCTCCTCCTGGTTGGGTTCTTCACCATCGGGAGTGTCGCCGAGCGCCTTCTCCGTCATGTAGACCTTTTCGTTAGAGGTGACCTCGGTGATAGTGCCATGGCCCTGTTGGAATGGCCTGCAGTAACATATGTTAGTCTCGAGAAGGTAGGGTGGGTTTGATGACTCATCGAGCGCGGCCCTACAGGGCAGGCGCACAGAGGCACAAGACAGAAGAGAGAGAGAAGAATCACATACTGAGCGATATCAGCCTCGCGATCTCCGGAAGACATGGTGACAGAGACCAGGCAAGGAATTAGAGCCCACAGCAATGGTCGAAGTAGGAAAGATTTCCTCGAGAAAGAGCACGGAGACCTAAGATGAGGAGGGAAACGACCCTCACCTTATATCTCTCGTCGACGGTAGGCGATATAGGAACAGTAACCGAAGCGGGCCCATTTCGTCCCCGAACCAATGGACCACAGAATGAGAAGGGGAGAACCCATCGCAACTAGAGTGGAAAAGGTAGGTACTCGTGTAGGCAAATGGCGACGGCCGAGGCAGGAAGATGCCGATGTAACCCCAGGCTGAAAGCAAAACGTTGATATGACAAGCAGCACCAAGCATGACCTGAGACAGGTGGGAGGGACGTTCATTGGCCTGCTGGGAGCAGAACCCGGCTGCAGTTCGGAATGCCAAGAGAGAGTCGGGCCCTGCCGGTGAGCGCGGACTGGGTACTTTTTTTCCCTCGATTCAAACAAATTTCCACTTTTCCCTCGTGGCGAAAACAGTTTCCTCGCAGTTTTTCCACCCCTCGCTTCCAAGTCTTGCCTCGCCCACTAGAGATCATTGCCTGTTTGAGCATCTTTCTCTTGCATACAGCAACTTTCTCCATGTTCAATGCGCCACTACCACTCGAATTTGCCGAACCTGCTGAACAAGCATGCCCTCCTTGATGAACTGACTGACTGTCTGTCTGTCTGACTGCATGGGCCAGGGGACCGCAGAATCCGTTTCATACAGAAATGCGATCCAATCTTTCGTGCTGTCGGTTGGACCACCGCAAGCGGAACATGTTAGGTAACATAAACACTTTTAGCTGTAGGCTAGCAGATAAGCATGGCGTGTCTCATTCGTGATTCGAACGGAGTTGAGCGGAAACTCCGTTGTTGTCTCTCAGAGGGCGCGGTGATTGTGGCCACTATCGTGCGTTTGAAAAATCTTGTTCCCCCGCCTACTCATGCGAGGATCAGCACTCAGCATGATTGCAACGTCGGGCTTCCCCGCGTGGTTAGCAATTGAGTGAGCCAACAGCTTGTGACCTATCATCACAAATCAAATCATGTCACTCGACATGAGCATTGCGATCGTCATTCCCAGTGTATCCTTGTACAACTGTAATGGAGCAATGTTCTTGTCTCAGGCCCACCGTTTATTCCGCTGCGCCTGCTGCCTTTGTTGCCTTCCTTCTCCCAAGATCGTAATTGAGTTTGCAAATCCGTCCTGGCCGTCTGGCGCCGACAATGTTCTCGAAGGGAGCGAATGAGTGGGAACCGGCTATCGTCTATGGGGGAGCCGACGGGGGTGCCGAGGCGTCGGCAAATCCCCAGCCTTAGCTTTCCTTAAGATATGGGGATGTAGCCGCAGAAACACTGCTCATCGGATGCGTTCTGATCGGATTATTGCTGTACAGAGACTTGGCGTCGTTGACGACGATCGAGAGCTTCCTCATTAGGGTATGGTTCCATTCTGATCGGCTCCAGCCGCCAGAGCAAAACCTGGAGAGAGAAATCCGCCCATCGTAAGACACTTTCTTCTTCGTCCTATTCGTTTTGACAGGACACGTGAGGTCAGTGAGGTGTCACGGATGCTTTGCTGGAGGTAGAAAAAGGAATGTTGTTAAAAAGCGTACTTTGAGAGCGCGCGGGGTGGGGTAGCGTCAATTGAGGTTAAGTACTCCGTACCTGGTCCTCAAGGTCCGACTTCGCCCTCGTCGGAAGCCTTCAGACACCAATGGAATTCGTCATTGCCAACAAACATGGTGCTCTTAGCCCTGAGTCTTACCGCTCGAATCATGATTTGAACCCTTTGCTAACACGGAGAGATAACAGTTCATATATCAAAGGGCGCAAAGCCTCGAAGGGCGTGGGTGTCGCTTCCCTTGTCCTCTTATTTGGCCTGTTGTTGCGCTAGGCTCCAAGGGCAGAAGTGCTCCGATCTCTCTCCGATACCTTCAAAATGGCGTGCTCTAGCACAACCCGGGCCAATCAAGCCAACCCTGTTTCTGACTCGCGACGGCGAAAGTCCGTGAGAGAGATTTGCCAAGGTGAGGGTGACTCAATCAGCGACAAGCAGTCAAGGATTTACGTGTATGCCAGAGGCGGAAACCTCTTGGCTTGACTGGGCAGCATCCGTGATCGGCTGGATTGCCCGTGCTGATCTGCACGGTTGCTATTCTGGAACTTTTCCAACACGAGCCGAGCCTTTGGGTTCCGAGGCGATAGTCTAGGAGAATACGACATGCGACCGCATTCACCATGTGGTGGGAGTTGGACCAATCGAAGCGGCCTCAGAGGTGGTTGGATAAGGGGGATCGAACCTTAAAGAGGCAGAGGAGGCGAAGTTCAGCTGGAATGATAAGCATCTCGAGGCACACTGTCAGTTTTATGTGCCGTGGAAAGAGGCTCCTTACCAAGCATTTTATGATCCTCTCCGAGCGTTTTAAAGTAGATGATCATATCTTGTCACGGATCCACAATTTCACGCAGTGGTGGGTAAATAGTCAACCGTTCGGCCATTAATTCGCTCGGAATATGCGGAAGTCGACTGGTTCTTGACCCAGTGCGCGTTTTTATCGGAGCAATTATCCAAGCATGACTTGGAAAAGCAGGAAGACTTTAGCCATGACTTGATAACAAGCTGATGGCGGATGTCGGCATGTGGCCTTGGATCCCGAGCCAGAAAGGCGTCCTCACATAGTGCAGTACCCGCAAGTGAGCCAAAGACGAAAGTATCACAGTAAATCTTATGCTTACGCAGTTTGAGCTATACCTCTTAGTAGTTCTGGTTGATTTTGTTATTAATCGCCCCCAATGTTAAGGCAAATGATGGTACCTGTAATTTGGAGCTGCTGCTGCCTGCGCGAGACGAGGAGAACGAACCACAATAATCCATCCACATATGCCATTCAACTATTATTTTGTCGTGTAGCCATCACTTCTCCGTCTCCAGCCGAGTCTGCCTTTGACCGCTTCTTGTAGAAGTTGGGGGACGAGCAATGGTATAATACGTTGTTGAGTACCTATATTTCGCAAGAGCAGTGTAACTCCGCAAGTTTCTCTGGGATCGATTTCCAAACGCAATATTCACCGTCCGGGCAGACTCGCAAATCATGTATACTTCACTAACGGGACACCGGGTTGGTCCATTGTCACTGCTTTCCAAAGAATGTATGGTCCATCCGCCGATGGTTTCTTGCTTTCCGGACTTTCAAAGAGACACTCGTTGGTGAAACAATGCTGGCACGTCTGTCATAAAAGCCTACAGGAGATCGAAAGCTTGCATTCGAACCTTTAAGAAGTATTTGAACCACTATTATCCATTCATTCTAACAAATGAACTATCTCAAGCATCAGCCTTCATCACCATCTTCGTCAACTCATCCATACACCCCCTGACCGCGAAGCTATGCACCAAACAACCAACATCAGCAAGCATCCCAGTTTACCACACAGTGAAAACTCTCAGAAGACTTACCAGCGCCACTCGAACTGCCCTCTCGTCCTCCCTCCCTTGAACCGCCAGTGCCTATATGTATCAACCATTACCTTGCAGTCAGCACCTACTCAAGCCCGGGGCGAATGTCAGGCGAAAGCATAACCTACCGCGTCTTTCCTCGCATCAGACTCCCCAGCCCAACGCAAACACCTATCCATGTGCCCTCGAGTACGGTACTTGCAAGTGGAAGTCCGGAGGTACGGCAAGCTCAAAGTTCTTTCTAGTGAGCCAGGAAGCTGCGTGCGCCGTCAGTACAGAGGTTCTATTCAGCAGAAAGATTAGAACGGGGGGGGGGGGGGGGTAAATGTATTGGTTTCACGTGCATGTGACAGCCACTCTGGGAGCGGTCCTACCGTCTGTGCTTGGCCTTTAAAAGGCAACGGGGGACTGCCGGCTGGATCTTGAGAAGAGAGAGAGGAACCCCGCGGAGCGGAGACGAGAAACGATCATCAAGAAAGAAGAAGTATCAAAAGAGGTAGAGGAAAGAATCACGAAGAGGATGTGATATAGTACAAAAACCAGGAGCTCGAAGGGAGCAGGACGAATTGATGGTGGAGAGGTTGGCTGCAAGCAGGTGGTTGGAGAGGAATAGAAGCTGGGATGGAAGAGGAGCGAGGAGGGCACCTTATAAGCTGGTGGTCCATCGGGTGATGATAGAAAATGGTGTGCCAAGTGAATGTAAGAAGTTTCCCAACAGAGTAAGTAGATGTTGGATCGCCTCGAGTGTCTCGAATAGGCAGTCACACAGCGTTGCCAGCCAGGGGCGGTGCTACTACTACTACTGCTACTACTACTTAGTACTGCAGAGTCGTCAACCCAGCCATCATCTCACACAACTCACTACTCGGCTCGACTGTCCTCAAACTAAATCCGAAATGGAAGTACCTATTGCATCATGCAACGTCCGTGGTACAAAGGTGTACTGGTCGCATACCTTGCCATTATGCAGTTCCTAGGAGACTAGCGACGCGAAGGCAATATGACCATGCAAGCAACATTCGCCACTCACAGAGTCCACAAAGCAGTTTGAATGATGTTCTTGTATTCTCCAGTCCCCGGAGGGACGACACTGAAATTTAACAGAATATGGTATAAACCTCGTCAGAAATACGTCTTGAGGAAAAGACCTGCAATCAAATCATCACCTCACTGCGAAGTGTTGGCAAGCCAGTTTGGAATATCTCCTCCCACGCGCGATGCCTTGTACTGATGATCCTTTCCCAATCGTTACCGCGCATCATCACAGAGCCCTTTCCCATTAATCCATAGCAAAAAAAAAAAAGCGAAACCCACCGCGTTATGATATCGTAAAGCAGAAGCGACACATGATAGCAGATGCTTCAGACGGTGAACTTGGCCTTGGCTCTCGTGCTGCCGCTGTGTGCACTGTCTGTGTGTCCGGAGAACTCAACGGCGTCCGCCTCCTTGAGACGGAGAACCTCCTTGAAGCGCCGGCCGATGGCCTCAAGGATATCCTTGCCCTGGGCGGGCGTACGAGTAGTGTTCTTGTCGCCCGGAATGGCCTTGCCAACAGTTCGTGTCCACAGACCCACACGGTAAAAGCCCTTGCGCACGTTCACGACAACGCCCATAACCTCGCTGTCGCCATCGTTTTCGAGAGTCTCGCCGATAGCCGCCAATTGAGCGTGCAGCCACAAGTCGTCAATGGGCACGGAGCGCTTGTCCTTGAAAGAATATGACCACTTTCCACCGTGCTTGTTCTGAGGGTCCTCCCACTCCGGTCTGACGCCCTTCTTAAAGAGGTGGTAGTCTGCTTTGAGGCCCAGTTCGGAGGTCGGCGTGATGTTGTTCTAAGAGAGCTATTAGCCAGGAATCTTTCCCCCGTGACGCAAAGCACGCGATATAACTAACGTAAATTCCCCAGAACTCCTCAACGGAGTTGAAAGTCACAACCTCCTTCAGGAGGTCGTTCCAGTTATCGCCCTAAAACCACATAGGCATTAGATGGATCTTGACCGTGTCTGTAAGGTTTATTGACTCCATACCTTGCCACTAGGGGGCTTGGTAAACCAAAGGGTCCACTCATGCATCAAGGGGTGCTTGACGTTGAAATTCTCGGGGTCGTGGAATACCGTGACGGAGTCACCGTTCGTCTTCTCGGTCTGTTCCTTCTGCTCGGCAACAGCGACGGGGGCGGCATTCTCGTCGGCCACGGGTGCGTGGCCGTTTTCAGCGACAGCGGCCATTATGAAGACGAAAAAATGAGGTTAGGTAAAGGGAAAGGTGGATAGAGAGCGTTGGGCGGCGTGGTCGGGTTGATGAGCAGAGGCGAGGGGTCGTCGGTGGGGAGAGAAAACTGCGGATGGCAAAAATTTGTTGTTGAGGTGAGAGGCCGTGAAAGGAAGGCGCAACTCTCGGTGAGGAAAGGTTTGGAGTTGGAAGGGGAGACGCGCAAGAGGATGAATCAAAGTTGAGCGTCTGCTCCAGGCAGAATCACGGCGTGAAATGTCGTGTTCGAGACTGTATGGGGAAGATGGCGGAAAATCACAGTATCAAGTTTTGATGATGGTTTGGAGAAGCCGCAAGTTGGGACTCAGAGTGAACTTTTCCCTTTTTGGAAACATTCCCTTCCAGACCTCTAATAGGCTGCCGCCGCCCAGCCCCAGCCCTAATGATGATGGATGACAGCAAGGTGAGGTGGGCTGGAGTCATTGTCAACAACCTTGGTGATAAATTATTTATTGATGAGTTCCAGGTCTGGTTACTGTTTTCCGTTCCTCGGTGAGGCTTTGAACTCACTTCATACGCGCAATGCTACAGGGCATAGTCCTACACCAACATGTCTACTAGATACCGGGAAGCCCCGACATGCATAAACAGCGTTCACTACATTTAGCACATATATACTCCGATGAGAACAAGCCTACTCGCTCATGTAGGCTTGAGTATACAGCAAAAACAGTATGGTTAAACAGGTCTAGCATCTAATAGAGTATATGCCAATAAGCCTCAAAGACTTAGAAGGAAATTTAAAACTGAAAATGTCAGAGTCGTGAAATCGAAGGGTATCTATGGTTCGATGCTAAACAGCACTAGAAGGGGGTCTTTTATTTCTCGCCGCTGTTGATCAAACTCAACAAGCAGTTCCAGCCTATATTTTCAGTCAGTCAATGGTTGCTCAATCAAGAACAGGACAATTCTTACCCAAGCTGACCAGGTTCACCACCAGAACACGATACTCCAGAGGCACGATCGCGAAGTTGACACCTTGCACCATGGGCCAAATTGTGAGGTTTGCCTTGTAACTGGGTACGAAGCTACTGCGCAATTTCTCCCATGGGTCAGAGCCCTCCATGATAGCCATGGACGACAAGAAACAGGTCAGATGAGTGGGTGTGAAAAGTAGTTGATCGGCAGCGACACGAGCGGCAAGAGTTACTTTGGGGTTCTTGAGAACCACATGGCGTTGCAGGATACCATACCAGGCCGTGGCAGCCGGGCCGAAGACAGCTGAGGGAATGTTAACAAGGATGTTCCCTGCCAGGCAGCAGCAAGTCTCATAGTCACGGGTCATCTATACGTACCACCTCCGTAGAGAGCCATGCGCGCGGTTCTTGCCACATCATGCTTGTCCAATCCTCGGCGATCAACCAGCTGCTGAGCGAGAACATCTCCGCTGCCAAACAATACCTGAGTTCATTCGAATTAGCTAGGACCACAAGGGGTGATGAGACAGATAAACGAGGCAGATGAAGGAGCACATACAAAGCTAGTGACACTAGCGGTCAAAATGGGCTGTTTCGCCAGCTTTGCTTGGTACCTGAAGAGTAAGCTTAGTGGAGCACATCAATAGCAGTTTTGGGTGGGAGGGACATACCACCGCAACATTCTGCTTGAGATAAGAATTAGATCGGGTTCAAAAACCACATCTAATTGAAGCAGTTGACTAAAGGTAAAGTGCGACCGGCAGATGATCGATTGAAGGAGTAGATTGACGATAGCTGGCGCTATGAGAAGTACAAGTATAAGTATCTGGTCCTGACCGCTGATAAGGGAACAGACAGCTCCATGGAATACAGCAGCTAATCCACCCCCAGGGTAAAAGCAGCGGCTATTGGAGAGCAGCAGCTCCCGACGGGAAAGCCCACTTATCACATGATGTACCCGGATGGGGCTCCGATCCGGTTGCCCAAAACAGCCCATCACTTAGGGTACAGGGCTCTGGGCTCGCTTAGCGCACCCGCCCGCGAAATTTCGCATGGTGCCAAAACAGTTGTGGATAGCGAGAGAAAAGTCAACTCGACGTCGACAACCCCTCCCACGACACCTCCCGTCCGTTAATTCTCGCCCTCCGACCCTTTTCCCAATCGCCATATCTATACAACATGGCTGACGCTCCCCGTGGACGTGGAGGATTTGGCTCTCGCGGTGACCGTGGTGGTGACCGTGGCCGTGGCCGTGGCCGCCGTGGACGTCGTGGTGGCGCCAAGGAGCAGGAGAAGGAATGGCAGCCCGTCACCAAGCTCGGCCGTCTCGTCAAGGCTGGCAAGATCACCAGCATGGAGCAGATCTACCTGCACTCCCTGCCCGTGAAGGAGTACCAGATTGTGGACTTCTTCCTCCCCAAGCTCAAGGATGAGGTCATGAAGGTACGAAGCGAACGTTCATTCACCCGGAATATCGACGAGGAAGATCTTCGGAATGGCGCACGTGGAGGGAAACGAATGCGCGGGCGAATTGGATGCGTGGATCGGAATTGGACAATATTGCGCGCGAATCGCTGGGGAATGGCCAGGTGCTGACGGTTATCAATCAAATTATAGATCAAACCCGTCCAGAAGCAGACCCGTGCCGGTCAGCGTACCCGCTTCAAGGCTGTCGTTGTCATCGGTGACTCTGAGGGCCACATTGGTCTCGGTATCAAGACCTCCAAGGAAGTCGCTACCGCCATCCGTGCCGCCATCACCATCGCTAAGCTGAGCGTTCTCCCCGTCCGTCGCGGTTACTGGGGTACCAACCTCGGTGAGCCTCACTCTCTGCCCGTTAAGCAGAGCGCCAAGTGTGGTTCCGTCTCCGTCAGAGTATGTCGCAATCTCGCCCAACCGACTCGCAGTCCCCGGATCACTAACATGAGAACTCTAGCTTATCCCCGCTCCCCGCGGTACCGGTCTCGTTGCCTCCCCCGCCGTCAAGCGTCTCCTCCAGCTTGCTGGTGTCCAGGACGCCTACACCTGCTCTTCCGGCTCCACCAAGACCCTCGAGAACACCCTCAAGGCTACTTTCCTTGCCGTCGTCAACACCTACGGCTTCCTCACCCCCAACCTCTGGAAGGAGACCAAGCTTATCCGCAGCCCTCTTGAGGAGTTCGGTGATGTCCTGCGCCAGGGCAAGAAGTACTAGGATAGTGCTGTGATGGGATAAACTTGCATGATTGTTTTTTGAATCGAACTATTTTTCTACGGACTTCAAAAAGTTTTCTCTTTGGCTGTAGGAACGGAATACCGCACAGATACGACTTTTTTTTTTCGCGCCCACCTACGCTACTTAACGGTGTCAACGGATGTAATGATTATTAAATAGGGGGAAATTCGGGCGCTTAGCGCAAGGTCAATTTAACCTCCAATTTTCGCCATTGACTCCCGGGCGAGTGAAAGGGTCCTGTGCGCCCGTCCTACAATCTGCGTCCTTTTGATCTCAGTCTCGATCTCGAGGAGAACATACAAGTTGTGGAATAGTAGAGATCTTAGCGTAGAAAGAACGGCTCTGGAAGACTAGACCCGATAGTTTCTCTCCTGACGGCCCAGGAAATTAAGTTAAGGATGATTGTCTATATGACAGGAGTCGATCATACAGTATGTTCCTCAATCCCCCCGCCAATGCGATGCGTAGGTCCATTCAAATGAACCGCCTAGCCTTTATTGTCAACATAGGTCCACACCCAGGCTCCAGAGGGTTCCCATGCCCCTCCCAGTCGGCGAAAGTGTTCATGCTCTAGATGGGTCGGGCCCGTAGCGAGCTTCCACTCTTGTACCGCAAGCCCCATTCCTTCTTGATCTAAGGCCGAAGGAACAAAGATTGGTGCTGGTGCTGAATTGAATTTAATTCACAAGTGTCACCTTGGGTCAGTAAATCCGATTATCAATGGCAAAGAATTAAATGCCGAGATATGACAATATAGTTTGAAGGAGGCGCTTTTCTTCGATGACGCCCGGGTATGGCTTCTGGAGCGAGTTGAGCGAATAATTCCCGGCATCCAGACCCAATGTCTTCCAGATTGTGAGATATGCCTCCATTGAGGCGATGACACGCAGGATGGTGTGAGGATATTTTTGAAGACAGTTTGGTGAAACGTTGACAACATCTCAGGATTATGCCTGTTTGATGCATACGTGCATGCTCCAGAATAAATATATTCCCGCGTTTTGCCCTTCAACATCACAAATCATTAATACATCCAGCAGATACTGTGGCATTTTGTGTTTTGCACGGTCACTTTCTGGGTAACTCCGTAATTTGGCAAGGGCTGCAAGGTGTATAGACCAGAATAGTCGGCCACGAATATTTGGTTGTCTTCTTTGCACGCGTTGTAGATTAAGGAGTGCCAGCCCGCAGTCAATTACTTTGTGGAGCAAAAGCCACACGATAATGGGTTTGTTCCGAAAAGAAACACACCCCACATTTTCGAGTCCGAGCGTTTGTTTGCTCTGGACCTCCGCACTCCAATTCGACCGATTCGTTCAGACAGGCTAACATCACATCAACCCTGGTTCAAGCTTATCCTAGAGCCTGATAATCCTTCGCAGATTTTAGGCCACCTCACTATGACAACACGAGCTTAACATCAGACTCGATGTAGCAATATTCCAATTCCCTCTCACATTTCAATGGATCGCAATGTCCAAGGCACATGTTATTCTGGCATCTGGGAAAATAATGATCCGCTAGACAGGGGAGGGGGGTAGAAAGGAGGAGGATCGGAATGTGCTACTCGTTGCTTGTCCAAGGCTAGTAGGAATAAATAATGAGCTATCAGTTTGTCCCCCGCTTCTTCACCTGTAACTCCTCGACGCGGTACTACGAACCACACCTCACACCCCACCAGCCACGATGATCTGGTTTACAATCATCCTTGGTCTCCTGGCGCTGTCTTTCGCGGACTCCCTAAATAACCTCTTCAAGAATGTTCGCGTGGCGCAGCGCTCGGGTCTTCCTTATGTGGTGTCTGTCATCTCCCCAAGCATCGCCTTTATGGCATTCTTCAATACGCCCTGGTTCTCGTACATGGTAGAACACTGGCTCCCCGCACGACCAGCGGATATCGTTTATGACACGCTGATAAACTTTCGCTGGAGGGTCAAGGATCGGCAGGCAAGAAGATATGGAGATGTGTACTTGCTTGTCTCGCCAAAGGGGATCTTCTGTAGCGTTGCCGACGCGGCGGTGGTGTCTCAGGTTGTTCATTCTCGGCAGAGCTTTACCAAGCCGATTCATCAATACAGTGAGTTTTCTCCCCTTCTCTTGGGACTCTTTGCTGGATATGATATATCGATACTGATGCTCACTCAGAGGTGCTGGACATGTACGGGCCGAATGTCGTCACTGTAAGTGATCCTATCTTTCGCAATCAGCAAATACGAACCATGTAATGACAAAGACAGTGTGAAGATGCGGAATGGGCACATCACCGTCGATTCACGGCAACGACTTTCAACGAGAAGAACAATGCCTTGGTGTGGAGGCAAGCTATTCAGCAGACCCACGAGCTGATTGAGTACTGGCGCGAATCGCAACCAGATAGTAGGAGTGACAGCTTCGTGGCGGCCGACACACGGCAAGACACCCTCAAGCTCAGTCTCAATGTTCTTACCAGTGCTGGCTATGGTGTAGATCTGCCCTTCAAGCCTCTGCCCCAGCATATGCTCCAGAGTCCGAATGACATCTTCAAGGACACCACTCCGCCACCGTCTGGGTTTGACTTTACATTCCGAGCAGTGATGTCCTACATGAACGAACATATTACCACGGTTGCGATAGCGAACAACATGTTGCCAAAGTGGATACCCAGAGCGCTGGTCCCATTCTTCAAACAAGACTTTGCGGCGCATCGGGATTTGGAATTGTATCTTCACAAGTTAATCGAGAAGACGGAATGCGAACTGGACGCCACAGACACAGCGAGCGACCTGGTTCAAGGAATGCTTCTTCCTAGAAAGACGGAGCAGCAGCCGACTTTGACTGACCGGGAGGTCATCAGCAACTTGCATATTATCACCATTGCTGGACACGAGACCACGGCCACCACGCTGCGATTTGCGTTCCTCCTTCTAGCTCTTCATCCAGATGTTCAAGTGTGGATGTATGAGGACCTGGTGGCGGCAATCAAAGGGACTTCTTCGGACGCTAGGGAGTGGGACTACGGCACCATGTTCCCTAAGCTAGTTGCTCCTTTATGTGTCATGGTGCGTGTCTTTCCTTTGACCTTTCCAACCACACGATTCTGACTTTAAACCTAGCTTGAAACAATGCGCCTCTATCCCCCAGTCACAACTGTCCCGAAGTGGACTGGCGACTCGGCACGAACTATACACTACCACGACAGAGACTACATCCTGGAGCCTCGCGTCAACATAAACCTGAACGCAGGCAGCCTCCACTATTCCGAGAAATACTGGGGCCGCGATGCCGATCAATTCCACCCACAGCGATGGGACCTGCGAAACGAGGACAGCTTCCTAGCACAAAACGCAAGCCTGCCAGGTCTCTCTGCCCCTGGGCTGGAGTACCCCACAATCCACAAGCCGGTTCGAGGCGCATACATTGCATTTAGTGATGGCATGCGCGCCTGTCTGGGGAAGAAGTTCTCACAGGTCGAGTTTGTGATCGCGTTAGCGGTGATCTTCAAAGATTATCGGGTCGAGCTGGCACACAATACCAAGGAGGGGGTGAAGGAGGCGGAAAGATCGTTACGAGAATGCACTTCCATCTTGACATTGGCTTTGAGACAAAACATACCGCTTCGCTTTCACAAGCGATAGTCACGCTGGGCGAGGATACGGGCTGGTGGGCAATTCGGGAAATAGCAGTCTTTCTTTCTGTCTAAGGGCTATCTCATTGAGCAGCTGAACCATGACAAAGGGTAGGACGGCAGCAGACAATACATTGCTTCATGTCAGCACGGCAGGGGTCGTTGTTTGTGTGTAGAGCAGTTCTTTCTTGACCGACCCTTTGTACCTTTGAAAAGGGCCATTTTGCGCAAGTGTTCTTTTACCAAGCTAATGAAGCCATCTCAACAAAACTAAGAAAAAAAAATATCAATCTTACACACTCCAAAGAAGCTGGGTCCCACAGCTCCACTTCGCCAGACAAAACACCTTAGACATGGCTCTCGGTGTTCATGTTTGTGTTATTAGTCGCCATTACATCGTCGCCCAGTATAGACTCTCACTGCGCTACGCTTCACCCCATCTCCTCCCCAGTCAACTTGCGCTGTGATCCCAATTCATCAGCTCTCGTGGTAAACAGCACCCAAATAAATCCTCACCACCATGAACCCGACTGCACGAGTGACAATGGCAATAGACGACCATCCAGCCCACTGGCAAGCCACCCTGCTAGGCGTCACCTTCTGGAAAGACGCTGAGTCCTGGAACCAGCCTATTCACGACTCCATCGATGAAGGTGAGTCCATCCACGCGGGTCCATCCATTTTCCTTGTCCCCGCTGCCTACACAAAAACATAAAATACATACATACTACACACATTAGCGACTTCACTTGATAATCGTATCAACGACTAAACTAACACACAACCCACACGAAAAAGTGCATGATCAAACCCTCCACACCCGCTTCCCTTTCAACCTGGTCACCGAGGAGGAAAAGGAAATCAGTCGTGCTCGCGCATCTCTCCTCTCAGCTGTTGTTGCACCTTCCCCCGTTGCCAGCAACAACACCACCACCTCCACTCCCACCACCAACAGCAACAGCAGCACCACCAGCCCCGAAAGTCTAGAAACTCCACTGCAGCATCGTCGCCGCTATAGCATGAGCGACGTCCTCACTCACCTTACTGCTACGGACACTGGAACTCTGGATATAATGGCCGGGCCGCGTAAGGAAAAGCGTTCGCGCTCGGAGACGAGGAGTCGCGGAGACCAGAAACAACAGCAGCAGCAGCAGCCGCCGCCGCTCACTCGCTCGTCTAGTACGAACAGCAACAGCCACAGTAGTACTTCGCTGCTTCGCTCTGCGCTGCACCGCATGAGTCGGATGAGGATCGGGTCCGGAGAGGAAGAGCAGCAGCAGCAGCAGCAGGAGGAGAGGGGGAGGCGGATCTTGGAGACTGTGGATGGTGGTGGGATTATGTATTGTCGTCCACAAAAGCTGCAGCAACAGCCAAAGCTGCAGCCACAGCAGCAGCAGCAGCGATCCGTTGTTCTGTTCACAGCCGAGCAGGCGACACCTACTAACCCTCTGTTGGAGTTCCGTGGCGGCGAGACCTGGGCGCGATTCCCTCGCAATCGGCGCAGCTTGGGCATTGATGTTTACTTGCCTACTAATGCTTCAGCACCTGAGGAAGCACCCGCAGCAGCGGCAGGCCCAGCTGGAGGCAAAGCAGACACTAATGAAAACGGAGAACAGGACGAGGAGGACGACGACTACGAAGAAGAAGAAAAAGAGATCCAGATCGAAGTCCTCCCGCTAGAACAGATGTTCCCCCTCGTGCATTTCCGCCACCTACGCTCCCTGAGGATCACGGGCATGGTGCAGTCCTACCAGACATACATCTGGCAAGCAGCCTGGCTGAACACGGGCCTCGAGGAGCTCGAGCTTAGCATGGTGTGCCAGCCTCGTCTCCGCCGGTCGTTCGCAGGCAAGTGGCCCTACATCAAGGAAGGATGGACGATGAATCCGGTGCATTACAGTGAGCCTGTTTATCAGTCAGTAACTTTGCCCCCGTCCCCCGTTCCTATTCCAGGCACAAAGTGCTTGCCAAAAAAGAAAAAAAAAAAAACAAAAAAAAAAAAACCCCTATTTCCCCCTTCACAAGTATGAATTTCTAATGGGAATAGTGGCAACGGAACCGGCCAACTCGACCACACCATCGGCCAAGGCGAGTACCTGGACAAACTCGTCATGGAAAAGGCCAAGGTGTGCGCCATGGCGATCGGGTACACGCGCAACAAGTTCTCAATCCGCTCGCTGACTCTCACCGGGTTTGTGGTCGACGCGGACCCCTTCCTGCACTGGTTTGACATCAGGCGGCTCAAATGTCTGAATTTCAAGGATTTCTGTGTGGATGGGGGCATGTGGCTGTGCGAGCCGATGAAGAGGGTTTCAGTCTGGTGGCCGAAGGAGATCGATGAGCGGGCTGTTGTCGTGCGCCGGGTGAATCCACGGGAGGAGGTGAAGGTGGTGCAGTTGAGGGATGGAAGGAAGGTTGGGGAGATTCCATTCACTGGCCCGGAGAGCTTGAATTGTGAGATTCCCGAGAATGTCGGTTCTGGGGGAAAGGGTGAGGACCAGGAGGAGGATGAGTGTGGAGAAAGTTCAGATGCAGCTACTAAGTGACTGTAAGTGGACCTGATTTCCATGAGTATCACGTCACCTCTTGATCTCTTTTACTGCATGGGTTTCCTTTGGCATTGAGTTCTGATTCGGTAAGTTGTTCATGGTTCGATCTTCCGTGATAGGTTACTTACTGGTTTCCATGCATTGGCTTGGCGCAAAGGATGGGATTTGTCTCAGATTGTGATATGGTTCGATGAAGCGAGAAGGAAGTTGATAATGTCTAATGGAGGCGCAAATATGTATTTGTTGGGAGTACACACATCGAAAAGTATCTACCTCAAATGAAAATGTAATCTGGAGATGCAACTTACTTACCACCATAATCGCTCTCTCTCTTCTTGCCTTCTGCTTTAGTCGACGTGAGCAGGCAATATAGAAGCTCAGTCATGTCTTACTCGCACCTCATATACACACCCTTACACCATCACACTTAATCAGGATTCACAAGAACGTATGCAGAGAATAATAGAGAACAGAGAATGCAGAAGCAATGGCGGCTCTCCAGCTGAGTAGGGAGGTTTCTCCGTGATACATATCTCCATCTTCACTACCTCACCGTTATCAAGCAGGAAATAGGATCTCAATTGAATTGGATATAGCAACCTGCGAATACACATGATCCCGTTGCCTGCTATCAATCATCTTTCAAACAACCGCCGTGAGAACTCGGAATGACAATTCCATATCCTTAATAAAGCATACATGGGATTCTGTCCATTTCTCCGCTAATCCGACCCGTTGTGTCCATTATCCCATCTCATTTGCAGACTCAATCCCTCCTAGTACCTAAGAATTAGACCCGTAAGTTTTGGGTTTAACATAACACTACGTCAAGTCATGATGCCAGGTTAGCCCAGCTTTGCAATCCCCCCAGTCATATCAAGTTGCCGTGTTTACATATCTTCTTACACGAAGATCCATTTTCCGCCGGAGCTATCGGTAGACACCGCCGGAATTTGCACGTATATTCTCTGACGCAATTTAGGCTCCGTTATCCTCACCGATACGGATGGCGCCCTCGTTTCCGAGACCCTGAGACCAGAAGCCGTCGACGTTTAGAGTGCTGTGCCTCTAATTAGCCATGTGATCCAGTTTTAGCCTGTATTGGAGGGAAAGACGGAAACTCACATTCCGGGGGCGCTGTCATGCGCAATAATCAGCCAGTACCCGATCAACCCCTGGGAGAAGATATCATAGATGGCAAACAAAATAGTCTCCAAATCGACGTTGATCTTAAGAGCCAAGGCACCGGCAGCGATGGTCCTAGCCACATCAAATTCCCATTAGCATACACTTTCATATTCTCGTCCAAGACAGGAGCACTTACACAGGGAATAAAACCTTGACCAACAGGGTCACGCCCGAAATAGTTCCGAAGAACTTGCGGGTCTGGTTGTCCTTGTTGCTCGCGGCGCGGGCTCCGTTCACACTGATGTGGTAGACGGTTGTCAGGTACCCGATGGCACTGATGGTGAACCACACCCAGCGGCGCGAGGTGTGTCCCGCAAACGTGCCGAGCAGGCCGGACCCCAGCATGACGAAGTCCGCGGCGATGGCGACGAGCAGGTGTGCACCGGGTAGGCCGGACAGCAGCCCCAGGCTCAAGAGCTGGAGAGGCTCGGTCAGGAACCACAGTACGTAGCGCAGCCATAGCACCTGACGGAAGTAGTCCTGGTGGGTGTTCGGAACGTGCTTGTTGTGCACCTTAACGGTGTCGAGTTTCCAGGTAATGCCTCCGCCGGTAGCCAGGGCGAGGTAGATGATGAAGGAAGTGGTGGCGGCGAGGGAAACGAGAGTGTGGAAGACGCGTTTAGTCTGTGGTTAATGGGAATTAGTTCCTGGTTCGTGGATGAATGGGTGGGAGGGAGGGAATGGTGCGTCGGGACGATGAACTTACCAGGGGTACACGAGCGCCCAAGACATAGAAGACCAAGGAGGATAGGGCCATGAGCACGGTGACAACCCTAGTGAGAAAGAAAAGAGCATGGTCAGCTAGCTGGACATGATTGATACCTCACCTCAATCGATCCAACTCACCATAATGTCCGCTTGCCCGTATCGTGAATTTCCTGGAAGATGGGCTCGTTGCCTGGCACCACGGTGGGAATGGGAGCCACCGAGGTCGGACTAGGCTCCGAGAAGGTCGCCGTAATGAAGCTTTCGATCATTTTGAAAAACGTTCCCAGCACCGAGCACTTGAATAGTGATGGTAGTAGTGTTGAGAAGCGATAAGTGATGTTTATCGATAAGGACGGTAGTGCGGGGATGGAAAGGGAGTGGCAGGTTTAGGGTGGAGAGGAAGGCAGAGGTTATATACGAGGTCAGCAAGACTCAGCAAGCGCAGCAACATTCAACAAACTCAGCTGAAACCACCATTGCGAAGCAGCAAGAGCAACCCAGCCCCAGCCCCAGCAGCAGCAGCAGCAGCAGCAGTCGTCATGCTGACCTCGCGGCTGTCGTCATAGTCCACCGGGGATTGAAGACAGGAATCCAATCACATCTTACAGAAAAGGAGGGGGGAAAAAGGTGTCACAGAGAACCTTGGAAGCTCCTTTCGCATTCATCGTCGCCAGGATGTTGCCTGATTCACTTGACAGTTAGTACCTTAGTTATTCGTTGATCAACTTAACAAATCATGTCCGAAGAAGGCCGCCACTGGCCAAAATGACGTTTACTCGATCCCCATCCAATCAGGACCTGCAGTGGCCCAGGATTTCCCCGCAAGACCGATCTAGAATGAGTGAATGAGTGACTCCTAGCTGAGTAGCCTCTTACTACTGCTACTACTACTACTACTACTACTACTACTACTACTACTACTACTACTAGTAGCTAAATTAAGATGACGTGCGATAATTAACCTATAATATACAGAGACATACAATACATGAAGACCAAGGAACTGACCACTCATGCAGCAGCAGCTGCTGCTGCTGCTGCATCCAGCTCTTGCACCACTCCCTCGCAGCGACCGCACACCGTCTCTTCCGCCGCTTCACTCTCCGCAACCACATAGCGCCAGCACCGAGGACACTTACCCGCCTGCGGACTATACACATACACCGTTCCCTTGGCCCCACTCGAGAGCTCATATCCCTCGCTGTGCTGCCACTCCGCCTGCGCGACCGACTCGGGGATCGGCTCTCCCTGGACGCCAAGGCTGACCGATGACACCACAAAAAAGTCGGGTAATTCAGACAGATCCCGGTGGAACACTGACTCAGGCGTCGTGTTCTCCGGCAAAACAATGTGCACAAAGGACTGGAGAGAGGATCCCATTTGCTTTTGTCCGCGGGCCTGTTCCTGGACTGCCTTAACCACAGAGTGGACAGCCACCAGTTCCTGGTAGTCGGATGCGAGACCCTCATTCTGCCACTCCGCAGCCGGGGCTGAAACAACTCGCTGCAGTGGATGTTCGCTTTCGGCCTTGATCGCCTCCGGGGTGTGCTCCCACGTCTCCTCCACAAGCATGGGGGTGATGGGTCCCAGAATTTCCTGGAAATGCTGGTAGATGTGGAACAGTGTAGTTTGCGCAGCCCGGCGGCTCGCACTGTTCTCGCCATAGGTGTAGAGACGGTCCTTGATGGCCTCCATGTAGAAGGCAGAGAACTCCTGGTTAGCCCAGCGGTTGATCGTGTTTACAGCCTTGTAAAACTCAAAATTCTGACAGGCCTTCTGGCATGTCAAGACCATATCGGACAAGTGCTTCAATGCCATACGGTCTACCTGTTGCAGTTCATCGTAGGAGACCCGGTACGCAGGGCGGAAGTCGGACAAGGCGCCCAGCAGAAGCTTGAATGTCACCCGATACTTGTGCAGACTGGTGTTCACAGTTTGCAGCACCTGCTTCCCAATGACCACGTCGCGCGTGTAGTCACTGCTGGCCACCCACATGCGGAGAGCATCTGGCCCAAGCGCGTCGTACACAGGGGCCTGATTCTCGGTCTGCTTCTTCCCCTTGCCTTTTCGCGGCTTCAAGGGTGGCAGAAGCGTTCCGTCCATGATCATATGCGGTAGCATCACATTGCCAATGGACTTGCTCATCTTGCGACCTTCTTCATCTAGGGTAAACCCGTGGGTGATGAGGTGCTTGAACGGGGCCCGCGGGGAAGCAGTCTGTCCCGAGGCGAGCTGGTGAGCGATGAAGGTGAGCAGCCCGGACTGGAACCAGCCGCGGTGCTGGTCACTCCCTTCGAAGTACACGTCGGCCGGGCGGCCATCGTCCCGGTAAGGAACATCCACTTCGGCCCAGCTGGTTCCGCTATCAAACCACACATCCATCGTGTCGGTTCCTCGTCGGTACCCAGGGCCGGATGCGTCCCGAAGCGAAGGAGGGACCCACGCCTCGTCGTTGGCCTCATCCGTCCACCATGCGTCGATGCCACGTTCCTCGGTCACACCCATTATGTGAGTCACGCTGTCCTTTGTGAGCACCGCCTCACCAGTACCCCGGTGATAGAGAGCAGGAATGGGAACGCCCCAGGCGCGCTGACGGGAGATACACCATTCACTGCGGTTCTTCACAAAATTCTCCAGGCGTTGCCGACCGGAGCTTGGGACAAAGTTGACGTCGTTCAGCGCCTCCAAAGCATGGCCACGGATGTCGGCCACGTCGGCGAACCACTGCTCGGTAGCTCGGATGATGATCGGGCGCTTGGATCGCCAGTCGTAGGGGTATTTGTGCTCGTACGTATGCTGACTAAGGAGTTGACCTTGCGACTCGACATATTCCAACACTGCCGCGTTACCCTCGTCCAGGACGCTTTTCCCGCTGAGCCTCTCGGGGTCGACGGGCATCGCCTTGTCGGTGAATCGACCATGGTCGTTGACGGGCGCAAAAGCGGGGATTCCACGAGAGAGACAGGCTTCGTAATCTTCCATACCGTGACCGGGGGCGCAGTGCACAAGACCCGATCCCGAGTCCGCCGTCACGAAGTCCGCCGCGATGATCGGCTGCGGTTCAGCTGCAACTTCCTTGAACAGGGGTCGGTACGTAGTCTGATCAGCCAACTGAGAGCCGAGGATCGCCGGCACAATGACCGATAAATCCTCCTTCAGTGCACTTTCCAAGTATTCCAGGCGGGACTGCGCGATAAGTAGATGACCATGCGTTTCCGACTCGACAATTGCATATTCCAAAGACTCGTGAACTGCAATCGCCGCGTTTGCGGGTAGCGTCCACGGCGTCGTGGTCCAAATGACCGCGCTGACTTCCTTACCTTGTAGCAAGGGATCCTGAGCGAGATGTTCCGGGATCTGCGCGAGCGGGAACTTGACCAACGCCGCCGTAGACACATGATCATCCTTGTATTCCAATTCCGCTTCAGCCAGAGCCGTGCCCGTTGAGGGCGACCAGTAGACCGGCTTGAACCGCCGGTAGATAAGTCCCTTTTCCACCATTTCCCGAAAGACGCCCAGCTGGCGCTTCTCGAACGCCTTATCCATCGTTTTCCAGTGATTATCCCAGTCAGCCATGACCGCAAAGCTGCGGAAGCCCTTCATCTGGGTCTTGACCGTCTTGTCCGCCAGTTTGCGGGCCGCTTTGCGAATCACCGCCGCGCTGACAGCCGTTGTCCCGTCCTCGTTTGAAAGCTCTTTCTGCGCCTCGAGGGCCTTGAGCTCAATGGGCAGTCCGTGACAGTCCCATCCCGGCACGTAGCGCACCTGCCGCCCCAGCCCCAGTTGCACGCGGCAGATGATATCCTTGGTGATTTTGTTCAGCGCATGGCCGACGTGTAGTTCACCGTTCGCGTAGGGAGGTCCATCGTGCAGCACAAACGGCCGGTTGGCCGGGCGCTCACGCTGTTGCCAGGCGTAAAGATCGTCCGTGCATCGACGAAGGTATTTGGCCTGATCGGCCGGCGTCACGCGTGCGGGGAACGTCGACTTGGGGAGCTTGAGCGTCGACGACCAGGACCGAGCGAGCGTCCGTGGCAGATCCGCCATACTATTGTTGGATCATATCCTGCCTTCCGGTTGAGGGGATCTGGTTGCGAAGGAAGGCGTCCGGGAGGGGTTTTCGTTGGGGAGTCGATAGATGCGGTGGACTTTTAGGAAAGCTCCGCAATGCGGCCCGGGGAGGGAAATTTACAAAATACAGGTACGGAAACTAAGATGCCATCCACCCAATCAAGAAAGCCCAGTCTGTGATTAAGTAAGGCCGTATGTCCAGTGCAGCCCACCGGCACCATAAGTCATTGACATTACGCAGTAACTACTCGCTGCTTCCAGCGCGTCGCTGTGTTGAGACGAAATGAATGCCCTATACAAAGCCCCTGTTCCAACGCCATAAAGGTCCAGTTAATATAGGGTCAGGCAGCTTACTGCCCCATTCTTCATGACCTCAAATAGCAAGCCCGGGAACCCAAATAACTCCGTATTCCCCAAGCCTCCATCATGGCCATCCTGCCCCGTTCTCTGTCCCTTACCGGTACTCTCTTCCCATCCGCCCAGGAACTCGACACTGCTTTCAGGACTGTCACCCCAACCCCGGTTCAGGATCATGGGTCTTTGCAGGGCATGTTCCTCAGCAGCATTTGCGTAGGCTCCCTTCCAGACCGACCGGAGCTGCTCCGAAATTTCCTCGTAACGAGTTTCAGACGTGAGAGCTTCGCGGGCCGGGTTGTGAACGATCTTCCAGCGACTGCGACGGTGCCGGTTGAAGGGATACGAGCCTGGTACATTTCCATGTAGTATTATTTTGGTCACCACTGACTGGGTAGACGGTGAAGGCGGGGTTGGATCTGGGAGGTCCGATCCGGGGAACGCGGGGCCAGGTGCGGTTGGATACGAGATAAAGGCATCAAAGCCATGGTGGAAGTAATTGAAAAAGCATTCGCTGGGAAGAGAGGAAGGATCCAGCGCCGGGGCCTGGGAAGCTTCGTCATCCGAGTCGTCAGTCACACTGTTGACAGAAGAATGATCAAGATCTGTGACATCGATTCCGCGCCCTGAAGATGGACCCATATGAAGAGGATCCTCGCCAGCGCTACGGCCTGCGGCGCGATGGATAGCTATCCGCCGGTCATTCTTACGGTAAATCGCGTCGGGGGGCCCGAACTCTGCGATGAGATCCTGCGGAGTCGTTTTGGACAATGTTATCTGAACCGGGGGCGTTGATCGTCGAATTGCTTCGATCTTGCCAGCTCCAAAAATGAAGAACTCCTCGATCTCGTCGGGGACGAATTCCCGGCTTTTACCAATCAACGCCGGCGACCGGGGGTACTGGGGCTGTTGGGTAAACAGTTTGTTTCGAGCTTCTGGCCATGACGACCCTTGAAAAATGGACATGGAAGTTGCGGGTAGAGCAGCTGACGATGAAAGCAATGCTACAAAATCACACTGATCCGACCATGCTGAGTTCTGTAGCGGAAAGCTGAAAGCAACACCGGGATAGGATAAAACGTATGTGCCATAAGGTGATTGGAGGGTTTCAGGAGGGATATACTCTCCAGGGTAAGACGGGCCAAACAAACGATTATAAACGTGTCGAAAGTTGGGCCCTTGCTGTGCAACAGATGGTTCTTGTGGCTTGACGCCCTTGAGCACCTCCTGGTTTTTGTAGACGAGGGTGATCTTGGAAAAGTCAAGCACTTCAATCAGTCGCAGTCTTTGGTCTGGACCATCAAACCGTAGACGAAGGCCACTGGATGGAAGTTGTAGGGTTACTGGCTTGCAGAGGGGTTCAGAGGACGAATATGCGATATCTATTGCGGGGTATGTCTGGGGATGGGACTTGACGCGGCTGAGCACATTGTGGAGGGAAGCTCCCAGAGCTAGAGAGTCGGAGGTCAGTTATTGCTTCGCTTCATGAACAAGGGATCAACGTGCTTATGAACCCCAGCCCTTTCCCAGGGTAGATCTGAGCTTGTGGTGCAGGTTTGGAAGAAGTCATGATGAGAGAGTGGCCATATGCATGCTGAAGCGGAGATGTGAGGGGCGGGTCGGTCGGGTTAATTAGTATAAATAAGTTATCTAAATGACTATCATCAAGTACGTAGGCAGTCGCCAGCCGCAGTGGAGCACAACGACTCAATTCTCTGAACAAAGCTGAACTGATTAGTTAACAGAGGAAGTCAAAAGTGCTCCAGAAGAGACACTGCAGCAATGATAATGTTGAGGACAGTCAGGAGGTGCAAGCAGCGGGCGATGAACGCATGCTATCATGTGAGAGGAGAGAACGGGACACATGACAGGCAACCCCAAAGGCACGTGGGCGGTGAAGCCGCTTTGTTTACATTTTCCACTTTGAGAATGGAAAGCAACAACACTAACAGCGGATAAACTAACTAACAGCAACTTGCAGCAAAACCTCCTGAAGCCCAGTTATTCCCCGATCATCACCCATGTTGGTGCGCACCTTCAAGTTACTCTGCAACTTTTAGCTTCGGGCGCAATATCTATCACACAAAATATCTGTATCAGAGTCTTCTTGGATAATAGCAGTTAGACCATTCATCATCATGGCTGGCCCCCCACGGCCTGCCTCAGGGCTGCCCACGAGACGAACAGCGACGCGCCCGACCACAAGAAGACTCAACTCTTCAATGAGCACCACAGACAGAGCGGCGTCCCCAGCGATCGCATCGAAGGTACCCTCAGCTAGTGCATCGCGTGCCACGAAGTCACCGGGCGAACCCGCTAGCATCACTGCGAAACGTAAAGAACGAGACTTCGAGCGCGAGATCAACGAAGATACGAGCATCCATGTCGTCGTCCGATGCCGCGGTCGGAATGATCGAGAACTCAAGGAAAATAGCGGAGTGGTAGTATCCACCGAAGGCGCCAAAGGGCAGACTGTGCAATTGTCGATGGGTCCGAATGCGCTGGCCAACAAGACATACAGCTTCGACAAGGTCTTTTCAGCAGCTGCCGACCAAATCACCGTCTATGAAGATGTCGTCATTCCAATGGTCAACGAGATGCTCGCTGGCTACAACTGCACCATATTCGCATACGGACAGACCGGAACCGGCAAAACATATACCATGTCGGGCGACATGACGGACACCCTAGGCATACTCTCCGACAATGCCGGCATCATTCCACGTGTGCTATACTCACTTTTCCATAAGCTGCAAGACACCGAGAGCACCGTCAAATGCTCTTTTATCGAACTCTACAACGAAGAGCTCCGCGACCTACTTTCAGTTGAAGAGAACCCTAGACTAAAGATCTTTGAGAACGAATCAAGGAAAGGCCACAGTGGAAGTACTCTTGTACAAGGAATGGAGGAGACCTTCATTCACTCTGCGTCTGCTGGTATTAAGCTCCTCCAGGAAGGCAGCCACAAGCGCCAGGTTGCCGCCACCAAATGCAACGACCTTAGTTCCCGAAGCCATACGGTGTTCACCGTCACCGTCATGACACAACGGACGACGGAATCCGGTGAGGAGTATGTAAGCTCCGGGAAATTGAACTTGGTCGATTTGGCCGGTAGCGAAAACATCCAGCGCAGTGGGGCTGAAAACAAACGTGCCGCAGAAGCGGGTCTAATCAACAAGAGTCTGCTTACCTTGGGTCGGGTCATCAACGCCTTGGTCGATAAGAGCCCACACATACCCTACAGAGAATCGAAGCTCACTCGTCTTCTGCAAGATTCCCTTGGCGGACGGACAAAAACATGTATTATTGCAACAATCTCGCCTTCGCGCACCAATTTGGAAGAGACGATCTCTACATTGGACTATGCATTCCGGGCCAAGAACATCCGGAACAAACCACAGATCAACTCAACCATGCCGAAGAAGACCCTTCTGCGAGAATTTACGTCTGAGATCGAGAAGCTGAAGGGCGAGCTTATTGCAACGAGGCATCGGAACGGCGTGTATATGAGCGTCGATGCATACGAAGAGATGACCATGGAGAGTGAGTCCCGGAGAATTGTCAACGAAGAACAGCGTGCGAAGATCGAGTCTATGGAATCGAGCTTGCGACACAAGGTCCAGGAACTTTTCTCCCTCACAAGCAATTTCAACGATCTCAAAAAGAACAATGAAGAAACACGGAATGCTCTGAAGAAAACCAACGACGTTCTCGAGCAAACCGAGATCGTTCTTAAGGATACTAAATCGCAACTCGAAGAAGAAGAGATTCTCCGTAAGGCGCATGAGGACACAGAGGCGCATCTTCGTGACGTTGGGGCCGGTCTCCTTTCCACCCTGGATACCACGGTTGAGGATATCAATGGACTTCACGCAAAGATCGAGAGAAAGACCGATCTGGATACCACCAACAGAGAAGCTTGGCAGTTGACTGCGGCCGAGGTCTCGGACGTGACCCTGGTGGTCGACTCCAGACTCGAGAACTTCCAGATGCAGCACTCTGGATTGGTCGAGGCCATGTCGAACAAGATCAGAGAGTTTGTTACGACTGAGATTGGGAACATCGAGGTGAACAAATCGCAGCTGTTGGGGGCCAACGATCTGTTTGACAAAGCAGAACGCGAGGCCCATTCGCAGACATGTGCTGCTCACGATGAGATGAACGAGGTGCTCGAAGAGATCAAGGACTTGCGGGAGGAAGTCAAGGGTAAAGTTGGCGAAGGCCTAAATGGTCTATCTGCCGCTGCCGCTCGCATCTCCAAGGAAGTGATTGGTGAATTTGCGGACTTCAATGCCCAGCTTCATTCATCTTACAGCACCCTTGGAAAGGACCTCAAATCTGTGTTCGAGAAGATGGTGGCTCAAATGAATGGACAACGAATGGAGATCAACAAACTTAGACTGGAACTCCAGGAAGCCAACCTGAAAGCCGTGGAAGCAAATCGTAGAGTCTCATCGCACTTGGCACAGACTCTAGAAGAAGAGAACGCAAACGCAGAAGCCGAGCGTGATGTTTTGCTTTCGCAAGTAAAATCGCTCATTGAAGAGTCCCGCCAGAGGCAATGTGGTCGGCTCAAGGGCAGGATTGACACGATGCGTACTGAGCTCTCTGCTTCTGGTGACTCACTCGAGCATGCCACCGCCCATTATGATCGCCAGATCGACGAGTGGGTCTTCAAGTCGGAGCAATTTGCAAAGGACGTGACAGCTTCGAAGGATGAGGTGAAGACGAAGATGCAGAGTGACTGGGAGGTAGGTTCCGGATCACATCATACCTTTTGGTGGCTTAATACTGATCAACTTGCAGAGTTTCGAACAACGCAATGCATCCATCCATAAGACGACTGAGTCGGTGCATGAAGAAACTGTCCGAATTGTTGACGCTCAAATGAAGAACATGAGTAAGCAAATGGAAGCACTGGATGATTTTGTGGCAAAGGCGCGATCTCAGAACGGTCTTTACCGGGATGCCCATCTCAAAAGCCTCCACAATATGTCTTCTAGTGTTCACCAGTCCTTTGACTCAGTACACACGCAGCTGTCAAACTTGGGCGGTCGTCTCCAGGAGCTGCAGGAAGGAGCCATTCAGCAGCAAACCAACCTCCAGGAGTCTGTCATGCCATTGTCAGACGATGTGAGAAAGCCGCTCTCGGTGCTTCGCGAACACATTCGATGCCGAGCATTCGCAGAGTATACCGCGACTGGGGTCACCCCCAAGAAGCGTCACTACGAATACCCTGCTGAATTACCCCGGACTGAGGCGCACGAAAATATCAAGTCTAGATTGAGGACCTCCAGGGAGTTCACGGCTTTACCTTTCAGCGGCGAGGACCGGATTTCCGTGCTTGACGAATCTCCTGCCAACACACCTGCTAAAGGATTCGTTTTCCACGATAACGAGGATGAGGTAGGATCTCTGCCACCTAAGACCTCTGGCACTCCTTCCAACAACGGCCTTAGGGAAGTCGATGCAAACGTCGCCGCCAAACCAGTCGCACCTAGTGTGGCAGACAACAAGGCGACACGCAAGTCTTCTATTGTGACAGCTGATACGAACGCTAAAGATGCGGATCAGCCGCCTCCTAAGAGACGCTGTTCAAGCACCACTGCAACCGACACCAAACCGCCTCCGAAGTTGCTAAACCGGAAGATGGTCAAAATCATGGAGGGTCCGGAGAACGTACCACCCGTGGAAACCCCGAGTGGTAGACGGCTTAGAAACCGGCCTTCTCCCTGATACCCCTGATCTTATCATGTTATTTCTCTCCTCGAGCGTACGGCAGCACACTGTTCGCTTGTACCTGGCGGCAGGCGTTTTGTGATACCCCCTGGTCTTGGCTAAGAAAACAATCTGGAGACGGTATTCGCTTGATTTTTGTTTTGCATTCGTGGTTCACGATTGGAGCCTTGTTGATTGCCGGCTTTATTTCGGTGCCTGGCGTTTTGTGACTTGTATAGGATTTTAGCGGGATGAGCAGATACCCCAGCTTTGACAAGATAGATTCTACAGTCATGGACTTTTGTTTTAATGAAGCTGCAAAAAAATCACTCTCAGATTTCTAGTAGTTCATGAACGCAGATCGAAGCCCACATCACACCGTACGCAGTGCTAACAATGCATTTCACTGAACCTGAATTCCCCATTCCGAAAAAATAAACCATGCTGTTCAACAGCCCAACCAATGCCAGCTATAGCTCCTGCTCCTTCCCGGCCGTTGTATCCTCTACCGGGACATTCTGTAGTTCATGTTGGTGCCCATACTCCGCCTGATCGTCTGTCTTCCCCTCTTCACCAGCGAGCGCCGAATCCTCTTCCACATCCTCGACATGCTCACCGTACCCTCCAGCCTCAATAACCAACCTCAGCTCCGCCAATCTCTTCGCGAACTGATCCATCATCTCCTCCAACCGCTGACAGCCCCGCCCCTTATCACGATCCTTGCCCAGCAGATTACTGATCGGCAAGCCCGCCGTGCCGCGAATCTTCAACATCAAACCCCCATTGGCCGCGTGCCCTTGCGGTGACGAGGCATTGTCACTGGTATTGCTATTGTTTTCAAAGGTTGGCGCCGGTCCCAGCTGTGCGTCAAGCACCTGCCACGCCGGCGACAAACTATGCGCCGAGGCAACAACCAACACCTTATCATGATCACCTGCGGCGCCTTCACGATCCTCGTGGGGTTGTTGTTGATTTTGATTCTGTGCGGGGCTTGGTGGCTGCTGCTGCGGAGACGTCGCCAGCTGCTCGGCAGCAGCAGCAGTATGCCGCAAGAGCTGCTCCGTCGGCCCACGACTTGACGGGGGCGACGAGGCGTAATCCACATCCAGAATCACGTAGTTCTCGCGCACGCCCGGAACAGCGTCTGGTAGCAGGGAGGGCTTGCGGGAATGGCCGTATTCGCTGTCCTCCTCATCCTCAGTTCCTGCCCCATTTCCATCGCCTCCGTCGGAAGGTTGTTGCTGTCGGCGCTGTCGGGTCTTGCCCTTCGTGTTGTCAGCAAAGGGATCAGACTCGCTTTCCAGAGCGCGGAGGGTGGCTTCGGTGACGATGTCGGTGTCGTCGTCGGCGAAGATGTAGTGGACGGTTGGGTGGTAATATTCGGAGGTGTTGGCGTCTTCGATCAAGGTGAAGAACGGTTGGAAGGATGAGGATGACGCCCCGGAGGTATTGATAGGTTGTTGGTTAGTGAGATGCGTGGGGACCACGACGGGGACTTCATCTTGATCCTCGGGGATGTTGTCGTGGTGTTGTTGCTGCGCGGTTGGGGGTCGCTCGATGATGCTTTGGGGGCGGGAGAGGGGAGTGTGGTTGGCTGAAGTGCGACGGATGGATTGTTTTGAGGGGGAGGAGGAAAGAGGAGACGGCGGGGTGTGTCTTGGTAGGGACATCTTGAAAGGGGATGGGCTGGTTAGGCTAGATTACATGGTTGTAGTACACAGTATAGCTGGAAGTGCTGGTGATAGCTCTTCAGGTTCCAGGTTGGAGAGAGGCTGGGAGGTAAGTTAGCCATTGGCTGTGTCCGGTGCTTATCGATAAAGATTTCGATTAAAGATCGATAAGAGCGATCAGGTGATTTGAATCGGCGGTTGTAAACATCGGTCACCAGTGGAAGGATTATGTACATCATTATTGGGATTGAAAAACACCAAGCAAGGGGGCAACCATGGGGAGTCTAAACAGTAAATGGAATTGGGTATCATAGTAGTTAATTGGTCCTGTTGATGCGTCGATAGAAGCGCAACCATTGAGACTCGACCGTCTATTGTTGTTCTTGGTCATTCTGTTTCCACTCGAATTCTGCAAGCGAAGTGTGAGTGCATTTTCTCAAAACGATCTCGTGGAGATGACCTACTCTGTCTGCACATGGGACAGAGCCCCTTGGAAGACTCTTGCTGGATCCAAGTCATCAAACAGTGCTTTGATCAGTTAGTAGTGTCTCGCTGGAGCATGAGGACATTGGGATCCGCTATCGCACCATATGAAATGAATGGCCGCATTTCCCTAGCACTGTAGCCCCAATTTGTGTTAGTAGCTCTTCCGATAACGGGCGGGAGGTAGACTCACGTAGAGAGCAATCGTCGCCGGGGAACTTGCAGGTCGGACAAGTCCCATCAAATTGGACGCGGCAGATACCACAGACCTCATCATCCGGCATGTCCCAGCGCCAGGTGGCCACGGCGTTCCACTCTTTAATTGTGACCTTCATGGTTTCGAAAGGCTCTTGTGCGCTGCACAAAAACAAGACGGATGCGACAGATAAGTGAGGGAGCAAGGCAGGTAGGTGTGAGAGGTCAGGTAAAGATAGATAGTTAGATGCGATCGATAACTAAGCGCGATTGTTTACCCGGTGGATTTTCACATGGTCGGCCGCTCTCCGCATTTAGTGATAGCAACAAGGAAGGAAGGAAGGACTCCAAGAAGTCCAGCCATTCCTCCTCTTCCTCTTTCTCTCTTTTCCCCCCCCACACATACAACACACATCTTTCCTCCACCATCATCCATTATCACCTCACTTGCTGTGCCTGGTGGATGAATAATCACACGTCCTAAAGTCCTGAGCGGCATGTAAATACCCCCCCTCCTGTCTTGCCTCCCCGCACTTACTCTCCTCAATATGGCTTTCGTGACTTTCCGTAATTCTCTCCCTTCACCGGCTCGTCTCGTCCGCTCTACCATGTCGATTTCACAACAAGCGCATCAGCAATTTCAGAGTCGCCCGTACTCCTTTGCTTCATATCTGGTAACACCCAAGGAGTTGGATACTGCCCTCAAGAAGAACCCAGCTACAAAGATCTCGACCGCTCCTCGCGTAGTCCCTCTATGCGCCGCCTGGTTCATGCCAAATGACCCCGAGGGTCGCAAAGGAATTGACATCTTTCGCAACCACCGCATTCCGGGAGCTCGTTTCTTCGACCTCGATGCCGTCAAAGATCATGAGTCTCCTTACCCGCACATGCTGCCCACCGCTGAAACCTTCGCCGAAGCTATGAGCGAGCTGGGGATCCGGCGGGACGACGAGGTGGTGGTTTACGATTCCGCGGAGGTTGGCATTTTCAGCGCACCCCGCGTCGGCTGGACGCTTCGAGTCTTCGGCCACCCTCGGGTCCATGTTCTAAACAATTACAAGGTGTGGGTTGCTGAGGGTTTCCCCACGGAGACCGGAGAGCCTCAGCAGCCTGAGAAGACCAACTACCCCGTCCCTACGTACGACTCGAAGCTTGTGATTCCCTATCGGGAGCTGAAGGAGATCGCCAAGGAGCACAGAAAGGAGGGTGCCAAAGAAGTGGAGATCCTTGATGCACGGTCCTATGGCCGCTGGGCGGGCACCGACCCCGAACCGCGCCCGGGCTTGTCTTCGGGGCACATTCCGGGCTCCAAGAGCCTCCCGTTCCAGGAGCTGCTGGACCCCGATACTAAGACGTTCCTGCCCGGGCCCGAGCTGCGCAAAATCTTTGAGAGCAAGGACATCGATACGAGCAAGTCGATTATCAGCTCTTGTGGCACTGGTGTAACGGCGACTATCATCGAAACGGCATTGGCTGAGGCGGAATTTGGCGAGCCGAACCTTCGGAGGGTTTACGACGGGAGCTGGACGTGAGTTTCCTTCTCTGTTCTTCATGACTGGCTCTTTTGCTGACTCGTACAATAGTGAATGGGCACAGCGTGTCAAGCCCGAGGAGGGCCTAATTAAGAAGACGGTCTAGACGATGCAACCAACGGCATTACCGCCTGGCATTTAATATTCAGTATTCGATATGTGGCTCTCCTGTATGAATTATGTTTCCCCTTATTTCCGTTGTTTCAGCTTGTCCAAGCGAAGTCAGCGCGTACCATGCAATCACTTCAATTCGGGATATAGACTATTTACAAGGATGCATTGGCCTCCCCTAGAAGGTCTTGTGTAATGATGACCATGGAGGATTGTTCCTGGGGGCTTAGATGCCAGTGGCTCTGCCGTAACTCTACTGTGACTCTACTGTGCATGGTTTAACCCAGCCAGCTCACAGTGGGCTTAAATAGTAAGACTGAGGTCGGTGTTGCATCAACAACAAGCTGAAGAGTCACGGGCGCGAAGCGGAGTTATACTGCGCTTAGTCAGGATCCCGACGAATCCCGCGGCTTGGAGTTGATCCGCAGCTGAAGGTCCTCTTCTCTGCCTCCCTCTTACCCCCCTCTCATTGCCTCATTATTCCCTTCCACAATTGTTTATTCCGATCGCAAAATGCTGCAGATGACCGTTCTTTGTGAATTAGGATTGCATTGTAAGTGAACGGCCAGTATCAACGTGCCTGGAGTTCGAGGCCTTTCCCCCCGACACACCCACTACTCGCTCTGGCTGCGAGCCAGGGCCCCCACATTCCCATATTCCGCCGCCTCCATCAATCCTAATCAAACCTCCCTCGCTGGATCCAGCATCACGCTAACCACGTCTGCGGCTCGGTCGCAGTCGTCAAAGCTAGCTATTTGGTATAGGGCCGCTGTGCCGTGCGAGTATTTTCAGCTTTAAGCCACGCGACCTGTCTGGTTGATCGCCCGAGGGCAATTATGACGACCGGACGCAAGGTCTTCCACTGCGCCGTGGATGAGACGGCGTTAACCACCAACATCAGCGAAATCAAAAAATGGACGACCAACGGGGCCATCACCCTGATTGTGCCTCTGTACAGTAAGTCGAGATGGAGTTGTTTGTAGCTTGGTTACTGATCGGGGATCCCTTCTGCAGCCCTTGAACGCCTCCATGCACTGAAGAGAGCCGGGTCGCAGGTCGCCATCAATGCCCGTGAGGCTGTCCGCTTCCTCGACCGGGTCACATCCGGCAAGGACAACATATCCTCCGAACGTGTCGTTTTACAGGGTCCCATGGAGCAATACGAGAAGTGGGCGGAGGCAGAGAAGTTCTTTCTGCCCGAGTTCGAGGAGGATCCGGAGGCGATCGACGGACTTGCCTCCGACAGCCCGGCGGCGCACCCCGATGGAAAAAGCAAAGGACAGAAGAAGAACGGCGCTTCACCAGACGACCTATCTCAAATGCTACTCAGCAAGCTGAACTTCAAGAAGGAACTCGACGCGGTCTCGAATACGTCCAACGGCACCCACAGTGCACCCTCCCGCCCGTCTTCCCGCAGCTCTAGAACCAGCCCCGAATGTGCGAACTCGCAGGTCATAAGCAATGGAGGACCATCGAAGGATAATAAGGCGAAGCGCATCGACGGTCACCGTCGTTCTGCGTCTGGATCGACCATCCCTACGGTTCCGCCAGTGCTTCGACCGCTACTCAGTGCGCTGTTGTGGCGACTGCACCACGGGCCTGATGCCTCGAACGCGACCAAGACCTGTATCTTAATCACGAACGATCGACAGACCCAGATTTGGGCCCAAAAGTTCGGTATTGGGGTCAAGAACATTCATCAGCTGCGGACATCGATTCAGTACGAAGAGCGAGAATATAAAAACCGATGCAAGTACGTTGAAAAGACCCAGGCGACCAGCGAGCCTAAGTCTCTTCTCTCGTACGAGGACGAGAGCGACGAAGATGAGCTTGTCTTTGTTCCTCGCGGCCGGGGCAAGGGCGCATCGCGGGGAGGGGGCTCTCGTGGGGCCAACAGTCGCAAGGCGCCTGCCGCCAAGAGTGTTGCGCCGCCTGTGGAGGCTACCATGGAGATTCCCACCCAGCCTATCGACCCCAACTCGTTCAGCCGCTCTCTTGGTCCTTCTAAGCAAGCTCCTACCGTCGACCTTAGCACTCAGTCGGGTGCGGCACGGGGCATGGCGGGTGCGTCTCGGAACCATGCCAACAACCGCCGAGGACCCTCAAGGGGTCCGACTCGTGGTAACAGCCGAGGCCGTGGAAAGCTCTGGGTTCCTTGATCCGCTATACGGGTTCGTTGATCATTCGATGGACGAATCACGTTTTCCAATATCGACTAGACCGACGCGGTTGTTACATGAAGCATCAAAATGAGTCCTACTGCCTGACCCGGGCTGCCCTGAATCCGACCTGTCTTGATCTCGACTGTGACTTCATGGATGGGGTGGATGGTTCCTGGACTATGGCATGGAATCCAAACTGGTAGTCGAGATTGACGAGTCTCGATCTCGATCTGACAACGATGACCGTTCAGATGAGAAGTGGCTTTCGAAGAATCGGGCTACCTACTGGCTCGATTTATCCTAAGTGGCCCGATCGTCTCGAGACTTCGTTGTGGCTCATAGCTGTCTGGGTCCATCGCTTTTTTGCTTTAGTGAGGAGGCGTTCGCTTTCATTTTCCCTCTGTGGACTTTGCTAGTAGGAAGCCCAGAGTCAATAAGGATTATGTCTGGAGGAAGCTAGTTCTCAACACTTTCTACTCCAATTACGAAACAGATATAGCAGTTATTATTCGCTTTACGATCAATTTGTTGGACATCTTCTGGGTTGGGGAGGGGAAATGGGGTGGAAAGGAAAGCCAGGAAAAGATCCGAAAATCTCCCTTATGGTAACTGCAAACAACATATCAATTGATCTGTGGCTATTGAGATGAACTCCATTTCAGGTTCTCGATTGGGGATAGTGCAAGGTTGACTGACGTAGGCTGAGTAGGATGAGTAAGTAGTTGGTCCCTCTCGTATGAGTTAACCTCACTCCACATATGACATCGTCACGACGGGGAGGAATTGGCCACCAGTTGGTGAGTGGCCATCGGGTCCCGTGGATTGGCCTCCCACTCGCCCATCACTTGACCCCTCCTTCACTCTCGCCCTGACAACAACAGCTCAGCTGGATTGGTAGGTATAAACTGTGTACTCCGTACAGAGTAGGGTGACTATTTATACCTCTTTGACTTTCCCTCCCGGGTACCACAATTCCTCCACACATCACCACTTACTTCCTGTCTCAACAACAACAACAACAACACAAAGTTGGAACTATACATCCATACATCCATACAACCATACCATAACACACTTCACGTCACCGCCATGGACTCCAACGTCATCGACCAAACTCCCCTCTCCGCATCCCCCACTGAGCGTCGTGATTCGCTCGAGAAACTTCTCCAACACCGCCCTGACATTCAAGATCTGAAAGAACGACACATCCTCCTCGACACCAACGTCGCCCCGTACGTTAACACAAAACAAAATTCCTAAATAGTATACAAAGCCACCCCACCCCCGCTAACGTCTCGAGGTATACTATAGATCCCTCCAAGCCACCAGAGAGGAACTCGCCCGCCAGCGCAAGGCCGACGATCTCAAGAAGCATCTCGAGCACCGGCCCGAACGCGAGGAACTTGTTGAACGTGAGTTTGCATTGTGCAGTATGCTCAAGGAGGCGAAGCTGAACGGCTCTGCTAATGCGCTCTTTTGAAACAAACCACAGGTAATATCCTTCCCTCCTCAAATGCTGCACCCGCTCTGCAAGCCAACGCCCGTGAGCTCGAGAAACACATGCTCGCCGACCATCTGGATCAGAAGATCCAGACGCGGCCGGCTCCGGATGAGCTGATCTCTCAGGGTATTCTCACGGAGGATGAGGACCCGCGGTTTCCCACTGTTTAATAGGCCCGAATGTTTAGGTGGGGGTTCGCTTTGCTGGTGGAATATACTCTCAATAACTGGAATTAAATGCTTGCCGGCGCGGTGCTTCTTTGTGGACTTTTCGGGAAGAAGGGGGTTAATTGTACCTATTACAGGCGATTCTGATTGTGATAACTTTAGTTATGATTACGAGTAATTCCATTTTTCTTTCTTGCAATCCTTTACTTCAGGTTTTCGCCCGATGGATCGAAGCATCACTCGTGATCCTACACTGAACTGGCTCATCTTGCTGTATGAACCACGTAGCAGGCCATTCAAGTTGTTTTCAATCTAATAAACCTCACCCTCCGGCCCACCCGCCGAACTGAGATCAGGCCTCCACCCTTCCGGCCGCTCACTCCCCCTGACCAGAATCCCATACGCCGCACGCTCCACCTTCTCCACGGACCCCTGCATCACCTCCGTCTTACGACCGAGATCCCGAAACATCGACCCCGCGTGCCTCCGCGGGATACTCAGCAGCTCGATCGCCGCGCGCATGGCGCGTAAATCCACGACGAGGGCATTCTGCTCGGGTCGGAGAAACACCCTCTTCTTTTGCACAGCCTTCGACGCACTTCCCTTATCCCCATCCCCATCCCCATTCCCGGCATCTTGCCCATCATCCCCAGAGGCAGAAGAAGAAGCAGCAGCAGCAGCAGCAGCAGCAGCAGTAGTGGTAGTAGTAGCACTCAACCCCGTCACAGCAAACCGCATCATCTCCCCGGTCAAATCAAACACCCCCATCAGATAATCCTCCTCCGTCAACAGGATCCCGTCAGGCAGATGGGCGCGGATCTCGGCCATCGTGATGAGGGTCTGGGTGGTGAGGTAGTGCCGGAAGGAGAGCGCTTCGATGAACTCCTGGATCGCGCCGCTGAGTTGTCGCTGGTAGCGGTGTTGGTTTATGGTCTGGAGGTCCGGGAGGGTGGATTCGAAGAGGGAGGTAATTTGCGTGAAGCGGGGGTTTATTTCGGTGGCGATTGAGGGCGGAAGGGGGGTGCCGGGGGTGTTGCGCACGCTTTTTGTTGTATGGGTTAGATGGGTTGGGTGGGGTGGTTTGCGGTGAGGGTTGGGGGTTACCGTTGGAGGGAGAAGATTCTGTTTTGAAGGTGCGGTGGTTAGGAGTGTATGCTGGTTTCAATTGAGCAGGGGGGTTTGAGGCTGCGTGGGATTGGCTTACATTTTCTTGCTGAGAGCGGTGATGTCTCTGCTTGTCTTGATAAGGCGCTCGCGCCGGTCGTGGTGTTCGTCTAGTTCGTTGCGGAAGGTTTTGAACATGCTTTGGATCGAGGGTGGGGTGGTTGCGCTTGTAGCTTCGGTGTCCATGTTGAAAGGTGAGTCGGGGGTTCTCGTGGGCAGTTGTTGGCCTTCCCAGGTGCGTTTGGTGCCGGCCATGGAAATTGGAGGGCGTGTGGTAAGGTGGGAGTTTTGGTGGAGTTGATACGAAGGTGATGATGCAAAACGCGCGCGGTGAAGATGTCATTTCTGCCCGCAGCGGAGTGGGGCGTTACTGGTTCGGGGTGATGGAGCTTATCTGATAAGATCGGCTGTCTGGACCAGGTGGTTTGAGCAATGCTCGGTACATGAAGGATACATGGATTGGCATTCCTTAGACGTTCAGTAGTCTCTATCTGGATAGTTCGTCGAGGATACAGGTAAAGGGAGTCTCAGAGCCTCCCCAATGGTACTAAATATTGTGGTATGCAGCGTGGATGGATGCGACTTAAGACAGACCATAAGGGAAAATTCTTCAACGCGCGAGACAAGCACTACTTATAATTGACTACAACTTTAGGATAGTACTCGCTTCTCGACGTCAAAAAGCATTTGCATTAGTGATCAAGATACTGGTACTTCAGCGAATCACCTTCCTTCAACCCCCGGACAGTAACAGTCTGATCATCGCCTGGGATGATGTCCATGGCGCTGTCGCTAATCTTCACCCCGTCCCGTTCTTCAAAAACCAGACATTTCACTGGCTTCTGTGCGCTGATCTTCAGGGTCTGCTGCTCAGGATTCTCGGAAATCTTCTCCACCACAAGCCCCCGGTCCGAGAAGTCGAGGTACTTGAAAGGCTGAGGCCAGTCCACATCTCTGGCAACAACTTGACCGTCAATCAACAAGCGAGCAGCGAGAACGTGCGGCTCAGAGTACACTGCATGATCAATCAGACCATCCACGATGAGATTGGTCGTACCATTTGGCTGAATATCGATGTTCCCGTGAACCACGCTTTCTCGAACCTCCTGACCAGTCTTGATGGACAGGAACTTAAGTTCAACGGTTCCCCTCATCTCTTTTTGAGAAGAGCTGACGACCCAGAGCTCAAATTTACTCGTCTTCGGAGGCTGTGCATGCGTAACGCTCCAGTCGTGATGCTCACGTCGCACGCCTACTGCCAACGGAGCCAGTACTCGGGCCACCGCGTAGAATGCCGGCTTAGGTCGCAGGAAGTAGTCCACAATAGCCCATGAAATGGTCGGCCAGCAATCATTGAGCTGCCAGAGTAAAGCACCACCGCAGTGTCGCTCATCGCCCCATTGTCGACGCCACCCTCGGTACCCGAACATCATGGTCTCTGCTTGCACGACTTGAGTGAGATAGGTGTATGTCTGTCTCATTAGTGCGGGTCAGTCGAAAGGTGTCCGCGCAGACTTACCTCCAGATCCGTAGCTGTCTTCAAATTCTCCACGAGATATGTAGCGATACGTCGCTCATGTCCATCGGCTTTGTTGTGGAAGTCGAGGACGTGCGATTGCGGATATTTATCTTTCTCGTGCTCGACAAAGTGATTGATGGTAGATAGGTGGGGAAAAGCTTCCATGCCGAACTCACTGTTAAACCGTCCGCCAAGGGTATCGAAAATCTGATATTTCTCTTGCGTTCCATGCCAGACTGTTTCCACGTCAGCGTTTGATGTCGTCTTAGATTTCAAAGATATTACCGTTCCACTGATGCATGTCTCCGACTGTCGGATCAGATGTCTTCTTTCCATCTCCCCAAGGGCTTCCTGGATGATAGAATGTCTGCGGAGAAAGTTTGTCTACCACATCTGGGAGTAGCTTTTCGTATATGTAACGGGCCGGAAAGTCCGTCTTCAGCCAATTTTCAGGGTTCTTGTCCTCAAAGTCATAGGTGAGGCCAGCCGATTCTTGCACTTGGTAGTCTTCGTTGTTTCCCGCATAAAGGACAATAGCTGGATGATGTCGCAGACGGCGCACGTTATAGACGGCTTCTTCTTCAATTGACTCAAGCAGCTCTGGCCAGGTCGGGTAGTTGCCACAGCCGAACATAAAATCCTGCCATACAAGCACGCCAAGCTCATCGCATGCTTCGTAGAAGTTGTCGTCTTCGTAGCAACCGCCACCCCAAACCCTGTAGATGTAAGTTGACATGCACCGCACTCACATGGACTGACCTCAGTACCTTATCATGATTTGACGCCCAGCAACCATCAGTTCGATCCAACTTCGATACCGTTCGCGGGTAATGCTGGGCAGAAAATTGTCTGCAGGAATCCAACACGAGCCGCCGCAAAAGATGTCGACTCCGTTGATCCGAAAGAAAAACGATTTGCCATGCTTGTCCGGTCGCTGAACAACCTCTGCAGTTCTTATGCCGATCCTTTTCGAAACATGATGCAGTTCAATCTGGTCCTTCTCTATTAAGACAGAAACCTCGTACAGGTTCGGGTCACCGTACCCATTTGGCCACCACAAGCTTGGTTGGTCGATGTCAAATGTCGCTTTGGAAATTCTATTGTCCGGTGTGGTAATTTGACGAGCAATCTCCTTGCCATCTTTACTCAAGATGAAGATGGCTGTTGAAATGGGGTTGTCAATAGCATCGATTTCGGCATAGGCTTTGACCCGCGCATGCTGATGGTTCGCAGCTAGATCCGTGTCCGTCCAGAGGTCCGCTACTCTAGCAGAATATACCTCTAGCCGTACGTCTCGCCAAATGCCGGCAGTGCTCAGTACTGGACCCCAGTCCCAGCCCCAGTGATACTGAGCCTTGCGGACGGCAAGCCGGGCCGGGTCACCGTTGAAGGAAGCCCAGTTGTGCTTGGGGTCTTGCTTCCGGAGCTCCTTAGCGCGCAGCATGGCACAGTCAAAGTCGATATGAAGGACATGTTCACCTTCTGCCTCCAGGGCTTCTGTGACATCGATGCGATGGGCTAGAAACATGTTGCTGCTCTCAAGAATGATCTTATCGTCGAGTCGCACCGTGGCAAAAGTATCCAAGCCGTCGAATGCCAGAACGACCCTGGAACCAGCAGGGACGGTCGGCTTTTCAAATACGTTCCTGTACGACCATGATTTTTCATTGACCCATCTGGCCTCGAGCTCATTAAAGCCGATATAAGGGTCCTTCAATCTTGATTCTTGGTTAAAGAAGCACTGGTGGCCAACGGGCTGATAGAGGCATACCTTCCGTTGTGCTGTAGGTCCTGATGAATGACAGACGGCACACTAGAAACAGGCATCCAAGCATCAGGAGATTGATCCTCGCCATCTTTGAAGGACCATCCGGTGGTCAGACAATGCTGGATGAAACTCGCCATCGCGCTCTAAAGAGGGGTGATGACAAGCCAATGGCAATAATGGAGTGTAAGCTCAGCGAGTGGGAACCGGCCAATGACCACAATGAATGTCTTTTGGCTATCAAGGGGAGATCAACAGTCTTTGTATGTTGAGGTTGCTATCTTCAGGTCTGGCATGCGATGAGGAAGTATAGAGCAAGGGGGGAGCTCCACGGCGACATCTCCGCATTCCACGTGCTGTCATTGCCTAATCGGGCCATTGACATGCGGCTTGTCCTCCGTTTCCAAAACAGTTCTCCTCCTCCAGTCAGTCCCAGATCATATACTTTGCACACAAGTTCAACTCGCTGTCTCCCCTTCACCGGCAGTCTTTGAGTTCAACACGGCTCATAATTGGGTTGTCTAGTTGAGCCAAGTGATCAGATGAGAAACATCCTGAGCTTCCGAGTCAGTGCAAAGACACGACGAGAAACTAGTTCCATCATGGGAGAGACATTTGGACGGACTATACTTTGTATTCAAAACCTCGTTCCTCCCACTGAAACCAATCCTCGCCATTTTCCCCCTTGCTTTACTGCTTTGGATGCGGATCGCCCTCCACGCAGCTATGGTTGGTCTCCCGTCCCAAAATCCTTCCTTGTGCTTGGAGATTCTTGTTCCTGACAGCCCTGAAGATCACTAGTTAGACTGAACGTGAACCGTCTCCCACCGTCTCCCACCGTCTCCCACCCTCAACCTCCGTTTTAACATGCTTGCAGCCTCTATCCACAGTCAAATAAGCGATGCTTTCGCCCAAGATCCCATTGGTTGGTAGCTCAGGCACTAGTCCGACCTCCGTCGCCTAGCGAAACGAGCATTGCCCACAATTAATTGCAGGACCATGGGGAGTCGAGAGCCGGTCCAAGTGCCTCGGTTCTCACTTCCCTTCCGCCCTTCCCGCCTCCCGTTGCTTCCACAGTAATGCCGGGGTACCTTACAGAAATGGAGACAGGTTCCCTCCTTGGAGCGCTAACCATTCGATGGGGCATGTGATGAGTGAGCAATTTCGCATCCTTGGCGTTCGTCGCAATTAGCCTGATCACTTTGACCTAACCAATATGGGTCATCTGCGTCGAGTCTATTTTGCGATTGGCTGTTGACCTCAAGTACGCTCAGAAACAGACGGTGTCAAATCACACAAAACTCTCTGTCCCGAGACAGTCTTAAAGTGGTGTGAAGCCGCTTGGATCATTGTCTCCTGTCATATTTGCTTGGAACAAACAGATGAGCCAGCCAATGCTTCAATCCTGGAACAAAGTCTATCACAACTTTTGCCACAGATAGAGTCCAAGCTACAAGATGGGGTCAGAGGCCTACGGACCAGATGACTCGTGGGATTGGACATGAACAATGGACTTTAAGCGGCTTGCTCCATAAGACTCCGATCCAGTCATGGGGTTTAATTAAAATAGGGTGACAAGGCCGGTCATCCTATGCGGGGTCATGGCTGCAATTGGCGGAGACGGATTTCCCTACGAATCAGACCCTACGAAGGTGCTGGAATGAGAAATTTATCGAAACCTGCTTATAGTGCCTGAGCTATCGCGAGAGGACACGCCCGTCAGGGTCAGAATGCCCCAGGAGCAGTAAGCCTCAAGCAGTACGGATGAACGGAGGCTATTCAGTTGGGTATTCACTGATCGCTTCCGATGGGAATCGCAGTCAGACAAAGTTGGCCTTTCTGCCTATTTGTGGTCATCGTTGCTCGGACATTGAGTGGCGCCACCCCTGCTCGTTTAATATAGAAATGCGCTCCGGTTTTCATCAGCCTGCAGAACTGTAATGGGGTTGGCTGACCGCTAGGCGAATCGTGATTACTTGTCCGGCTCGGGGCTCGGGGCTGAGTACCGTGGAATGAGTGCCAGCCCTGACGTGGGTAGATGCGGATGTCCCAGAAACGTGGGCGAATTTGTGCGTCGAGGAATTATCGTGTTGATGTTTGCGCGCACCAGTGTGTCCTCAGGTGACCTGGATGACAATCCTAGCAGCACACCACTTTCCAAGTCGGACTTCTTTCGGACCTTAAAGGACTTTCACAGAAGGCATTTCGGTCCTCAACCATCGTTTTCCGATAGATGGAAGGGGTTTTTTTTAAACTTCAAGCAGTATGCATCGTAGAGAGGGGCAAGCGCTAATAGGACGGACAGATCCCAGGCATCGTGAAGAACAGACCCTTGGGGTGAGTGTTGGCGAGCCTCTAGTGGCATCTGGATACATATTGCCAGTGTTCGTATGTAACCCTGGCAGCCGAGCCTTTGATATAGGGTCAAGCATAGCCGGAAGACGAAGGGTCCGGGGTCAATGACTGGAGGAACCAGTAAGAGACGACGATGCAAGGGAAGCCGATTCTTCCCCAGACATGCAGGAAGCCTGACAGAAACGGTCACTTTCTGCATGATGGATTTTAATCAAAGTGGTAAAATGCGGGGGCGAACGACCAAAGTCGGCCAGTGAAGAAAACCCCGAGGACGATCTTTTTCAGGGACTCCGACTCTTCTCTCTCTCTCTTTTACCAGTTGGGCACGATTCTTGGGAGGTGTGGGAAATGTCGCTTGATGCTGCTGCTCGGAGGGGGCTGATGATCGCTGTCTCCGACTTGCTAAAATACGCCTACTGCTCTTGAAGATATATTGCACCACGTTTTTCTTTTCCTTTACTACTGATCGATTTTATTCCCCGCCGACCCTTTTCAATTCCAGAACAGTGGCGACTCTGCAGTGAACCAACCAGACTACAAGTTCCATGCATTATCTCACTGGGGCTTCCCCCTCGATCTGATTCCAGCCTGACCATCAATTTGTTGCTAGCAGCAAACAGGTTCTCCCTGCCATCTGTTGCATTGCACTTGCTTGTTCTTCTGCGACCGGTGGTCAATGGCTGTTCCTAGCTGATGCCCTATTCGGACTATCAATCTATTTAATCTATCTATCAATCTATCACATCTACTACCCACTTTTGAATCCATCTTCATCACTAGCAATGTTTCACACCTTCGAAGGCTTCGAGAATCCCGGACTGTCCAATCCGACCCGGGGACGCAACCAGCGTCAACCGTCCGTTGGCCGCCGAGTTACGACTCTTCGGGCTTGCACCTCTTGCCGGCATCGCAAGATCAAATGTGACGGAGAAAAACCATGTGAAGCATGCAGATGGTACAAGAAGGCCGATCAGTGCCAGTATTCAGACCCTCGGCCCTCTCGCAGGTGTGTTTGACTCTCCTGTCTAGAAGAGCACGGGTAATAACAGTGTTTACGCACGCAGACACGTGGAGAAACTGTCAACTACATTGGACGAGTTCCGTGGGGTGCTGGAGAAGTTGTTTCCCGGATTTCCAGCTGAAACCCTGGTGAATTTACCACGCGAGACGCTGTTAGATTTGGTGGGCAAGGGCCCGTCGCATGTGCAGACGCATCCGCCCCATCCAGCCTCGCCGGCCACTTCTGCATCAGCCGAGGCCCACACATCCCCGGCGTCTAGTGAAGATGGCAACCTCGAGTCCCTTCAGACAATCCCTGATCATACAAGCCCTCTGCGCCCTTCGAAAAGCTCAGCTTTTCCGAGTGGTATCTCGGACGATGTCAATGCATTGTCCCTCTCGGCTCAGCAGCCATCCTCATACCTAGGTGTGTCTTCAATACATGCGGTGCTCAAGGTCATCGTATGGTTGGACCCTGGATCTCTCACCCACCTTTCACGCACTCCTGCACCTGGTGGTCGTAGAGGGTCCATTGACCTGTCTTCTTCTCCAGGGAGCCAGAACTGGCAGATCCATGGGATGCAGCCGCCCCTCGCGACCCCAGAATCCCGGCGGGCCTCAGAATCCCAATTGCTTGACGCATACTTCACCTATGTTCAGCCATTTGTGCCAATGTTAGATGAGCAGACCTTCCGCGAGACCTACCATAGCGGGAGGCGGACTGACGAACAATGGTTGGCCCTCCTAAACATTGTTCTTGCTTTGGGCAGCATAGCGGCCAGTCCGGCACACGACACGTCGCATCAGACTTACTTTTTGAAGTGTAAAGAGTACGTTAATTTGGAGTGTCTGGGATCTTCACACTTGGAAACCATCCAGGCGCTTGGACTTATGGGTGGCTATTATCTCCATTATACTAGCCAGCCCAACCTAGCCTATGCGATTATGGGAGCCGCCTTGCGGATGGCGGCAGCGTTGGGCCTGCACAAAGAGCTCTCCGATAATCAGAATGGTGGAAATAGAGAGAGACAGTCGTCCACAGATCAAAAGCGCCGCGTGTGGTGGTCGTTGTTCTGTCTGGATACATGGGGAGGTATGACTCTTGGGCGACCAAGCATGGGCCGCCTGGGCCCGACTATCACTGTCAAGCTGCCGCATTATCGCGAAAAGGTATGGGTTCTGCTTTGACAACAATGAGGAGTACTGACCAGCTCAGGGAAATGTACTCGATATTTTACCACTATTGGAGAATGTGCGATTCTGCAAAATCGCAACCCAGATCCAAGAGGGTCTAGCGGCGTCCCCACTAACCAAGTACCATGAAATGACCCAGCTGGATAGCCAATTGCTTGAATGGTATGACAATCTGCCTTATATTCTCAAAGACCACGAGCCGTGTTCGGAAACCATTGCCTTCACGAGGACGGTGATGAAATGGAGGTACTTGAATCAGCGCATGCTTCTATACCGGCCTACTCTCCTCAGTTATGCAATGCGGCGGGTTCCGTACATTGTCCTCCGGTCTGAAGAACGGATGGCGATTGAGCGATGCAGAGAGATCGCCGAGACGACGATCCATGACATCGCTACCAGGGCTCAGGAACACCAGATGTCGGGCTGGAATGCGGTCTGGCTGATTTTTCAAGCGGCAATGGTTCCGCTCCTAGGACTCTTTCTAAGTGACAGCACTGTTGATGATCCTCGAGCGACCGTCGAGGCATGCCAGGCGCAGGTGGAGACGACGATGCTCGTTCTCGCGCGTCTGCAATCATGGAGTCCCACAGCCAAGTCCACATTGGACGCTGTTCGACGGTTGTACGAAGCCAGCAAACGAAACTCGGCGTTGATGAGTGCTTCGAGCAGCATTGATAACGGCAGCTGTTCGAATATGTGTGAGGAGGGTGTATCAGGAGCCGCAGGGAGTCTGTTGTCGCAGGGTGAGTTCGGTCGGGGAGTCATGGTGAGCCTCGATAATGGTTTCTTGGATCCGTTCGAAGCGCCATTCATCGACGACTCGGCCGGGCAATACTTATGGGATTTTCTGAGCTGGAGCGACAGCAACTTGCTGCAGGGATTTACAGATATAGATACTGGCAACCCTGGGATTCTTGGCCCCGAAGGAAGACATGTGAAGTACGGTGGAGACCCCATTATGCTGGGAGGACAGCTGAATGACTCGACGTTCTTTGTGAGTCCTGCAGGACCATTCTACTAGTTTGCCTCTGCCAGGGTTGGTAGGGGCATATTTCTCTCGTTGTGATGTTACATACCCCTTGAGCGGTGATGCATGTGGTCTAGTCTGATTTGTTTAGTACATCATTCGTTGAGCGTGGTCGGTTAAATATGCTGTATGGATAATGAATATATGATTCGAGACTTTGGCCAATGGACCCCTTGGATAGAGATGATTGGGTGGATGAAGTGATGGCCTGACTCGAGTCGGGATTTCGGCCCTACACACCTGATAATTCAGGAACCTCGGGGTCTGAGCGGGTTGAGAGTCAGAGCAACACCAAGCCACGGGAGGATGGAGTGAAGAGAATGCTTGTATGAGTTTACTGCTATCTGTGCTGTAGAGAAGAGAATATGACGAATAGGCTGAAAGCCAACTAGTTGGCGGGAGTCGGGCCGAGAGCCGTTGCGTAGTCAGCAAAACAAACCGACCAACACAAACCAACCAGGCAAACGCGGTTGTGTGTGTTTGATGGATCTTCCCTCTAGAGAGACTCCGAGGGTGTCATATTGGGCACGGGAATTGAATTTACAATTCATGCAGTAGTGAATACCATCAAGGTTGCCTTGTCCTGTACCGTGCGGAGTAAACCTCAATCCAGTGTGCATGCAGGGTCGAAGCAGCCACACTCAGCTGCCTCGTCTTTCCCCCTGATCGGGCTTGGCCAAGAACAAGAGGAGGAACAGGATACCCTCCCCGCCCATCAACATCAAACATCCACAATGTCTAAAGCAATAACCTCCTCCTCCACCTCCACCTCATCCTTCTTCACCCCCCACAAAATCTACCCCCTCGCCCTCCTCCTCCGTCTTGTCTTGTTGCTGTATGGAACCTACCAAGATTCCCATTCCCCGCTCAAATACACCGACATCGATTACCTGGTGTTCACCGATGCCGCGCGCTTCGTGGCGGAGGGATCCTCCCCCTACGAGCGCGCCACCTACCGCTACACCCCTTTACTCTCGTGGGCCCTTCTTCCCACCACTTATGGGGCTGTCTGGTTCTCCTTTGGCAAGGTTCTCTTTGCCCTCTCCGATATAGTGGCGGGATGGCTCCTCGCCCGCATGCTGCGGGGCTACTATGGTATGAATGAGTCCCGGGCGCTGCGCTACGCCAGCGTCTGGTTGTTGAACCCCATGGTGGCGAATATTAGTACCCGAGGCAGTTCGGAGGGGGTGTTGGGGCTGATCAGTTGTCTGTTGGTGTATCTGGTCTTGGGAGTAGATGCTGCCGATGCTGCTGCTGCTTCTTCTCCGCAGGCGAAGCGGGGTGGTCAGGGGAAAGGACAGACGCAGAGACTGACGCAGGTGGTGGCGGCGGGGATCGTGCTGGGGGTGGGCGTGCATGTCAAGATTTATCCGTTTGTGTATGGGGTGTCGGTCTTGGTGTTTTTGGATCGTCAGCACGCCCACGCCCACAAGACCCAGGCGGGGGAGGCGAAGAATCAGCAACAGCAACAGCAGCAGCAGCAGCACAAGCAGCAGTTCATCTATCAGCTCCTCACCCCCGCGCGCCTCCTCTTCACCCTGGCCGCGCTGCTGACGTTCGCCACCCTCAATGCCCTCATGTATCACCAGTATGGGTGGGAGTTCCTGCACCATACCTTTTTGCATCATCTGACCCGCGTCGACCATCGGCATAACTTCTCGGTCTATGCGTCCTTGCTCTATGACTCTGCTGCTGCTTCCGCCTCCTCGTTTCCAGGAAATGCACAAGCAGCAGGGATCATCCCCAGCATCGAGCGCTGGGCCTTCCTGCCACAACTCGGCCTTGCTCTCGTCGCCATCCCCTTGACCTTGGCGAGAAAATCATTGCCTGGCGCGATGCTGGCGCAGACATTTGCGTTTGTCGCGTGGAATAAGGTGTGCACGAGCCAGGTATGTCTTCCCCTTTCCCCCTCTCTGTGTCTGGCGCTCGTTTGCCGAATGTACGGAGTAGTCTCGGTTCGAGTCTCCTGATTTGACACCCTCTGCCTTGATGGTCTGGTATGCTAACCCAGTACCAACCATATGGTGGAATTAGTACTTCCTCTGGTACCTCATTTTCCTCCCGCTCTATCTGCCTGATTCGTCGTTTCGCCAAAATCCCCGGCTTGGGGTTGGGGCGTTGGTGGCGTGGGTTGTTGCGCAGGTTTGTATGCCCTTTTCCTTTCTTCCCGTTCTTCTGCGCTTTCTTTTCTTGATTGTTCTTTTTTTTTTAATTTTGTTTCGTTATGAACTTGTGCTTGTTGTAGGGATGACTCCCGCATTTGCGTGCTGCTTGCTACAGGCACCAGTGAAAGTAGTCAGTGATGTACTAATCAGATGTATAGGCCCTCTGGCTGCAACAAGCATACAACCTCGAATTCCTGGCACTGTCGACTTTCGTGCCGGGGCTGTTTGTGGCATCTGTCGGGTTTTTCGCGGTCAATGTGTGGATTCTCGGGGTGATAATTCAGGATATTGGGAGCTTGGATTGGTAAGGAAATGGGGCCGAGGGACTGAGGGAGGTCGCGCCCTCGGTCATGAAGCTCCTTTGGGCGGATGAAACAGGTCCAGTGTATGTATGAAATATAGAATAACTTGAACTCCCACGTCAGATGAACTGTAACATTATACTATCGAAACGCATGGCTCAGGCAATTGCTACAAACTGTTTCAGTGGGTTTACTGATTCAAATCCACGAAAATTCTTTACGACTTGGATACATCAGCTATCACCTTGTACGTCGACGCATGGATACTCAACGGGCGAGTGCGCGGATACACAGCCCCCACGATCTGCCGGTTGTGTCCGTACTGCGGATAGATCCCATCCGACAGCTCCACGTAGTGTGCCTCGGGCCGCGCCTCGTGCAGCGTCTCCAGGATCCGCTCGCTCCACAGACCCGTACACTCCCCGTCCACCAGCTGGAAGTACGGGTTGAGCGGCGGACAGGCCGAATCCAGGTCGATGAAGCGGATGCGCATGTAGTCGAGCCGGCTGTGGATCTGCAGGCTGTGCACCGCGCCCAGCACGAGTTTCTCGAACGACCGGATGAAGTTGAGATTCGTGATCCCCGAAAAATCGTCCAGGAACGCCAGCCCCGGGTGCACGTTCTTCTTTTCGCGGCAGCACGTCTTGACAACCAGGTCCAGCGATTTGAGTCTGGACTTGCCGGCCCACGTGGTCATGAAGCTGCGCGTCGCCTGGAAGAGGCTGGCGCACACCTTGCCGGTGAACGCAAGAGACTCGAGCCGCGGCGCCGCTTCGCCCAGCAGCCGACACAGATGCGGCGGGCTGATCCCGTCGGGCGTCCACCCAGTCTGCGAAGTGTCTTTGTTGTAGAACCCCTCCAAGCTGATGTTGACGTGCACCAGAGACGGCGAGAGCCGCGAGAGCACCTCCGCGATGGTCTCGTACCCTTCGATCTTGGGCTTGGCGTAGGCACAGTGCCACTCGCGTACACTGGGCAATGCCTGCGACATGTTGGCCCAATGTTGGTAGTCACGCATGATGTTCCACGCGCCCCGCATGACGAACGTCTGGATGTCCGGCAGCATTGGCAGCCGTCGGAGCCCCGAGTGCCCACACGGATCGTCCCGGAAATGGCGTACCATCGGCGGCCGCTTGCAATGTCCCCCTTCCAGCGTCAAGATACGCGCCTGCGGGAAACAGGCCTGCACGTGGGCGAACATCTCTTCCAACGTGGCATTGTGGCTGGCGTAGTGGTAACGGTAGTCGCTGCCGTGATTGGTATCCGAATCGTCCCAAGCCATCGCGTTTTGCAAGGCAGCCGGGTCGGCGAATCCAACATCTTCGTTGTTGTTGAAGCGCCGCGTCGGGAGTTGCTGCGTGAATTGCTTGGTCGCGCGTTTACCCCACACCGGAATCCATATTTCAACATGGCGAACAAACGGGGCGAGATGGGGGTGCGCACGAAACCAGCGTGCGCTTATCGCTAACTCCTCTGCGGTGCCCTTGATTTTGACTGTAATCCGGTCAGAACTAAATCAGAACAGACAATAAGTAGAACTGACTATGTCGGTAGATGCGATCCTGCACCAGTTCTCTCCACACTCGGGTTATCAGCGACAGGTTCGACAGCGCTTTTCGACGTGGATGGCGCAAAGACCGATTCCAACTACGCGCAGACTTGCCCCAAGTGTATGATGTGAAGGCGGATGCTCGTTCGCCGAACAAGTAATCCAGAATCGCCTCGTGGATCTCGATGGGCAGGTCTTCGAACCGAACAGCGGAATGGCTGGGCTGGGCTGGCGTCTCCACGCTTATCGGGGGTTTGCTATCGGTATCCTCCATCTCGGTATCCACCGGGCTCTGGTGACAAACGACGAGCCCCACCGCCGCGGAGGGTACGGGCCCCTCGGGAAATTGGATCTCCGCGCTGGTGCAGCGATTTGGTTTGGCATACGGAAGAGTGGTCGAGGCCGACGCTTTGGCCAGTGAATTAACGGAGACGGGGCGAGGGGGAGGCAGAGTCGAGATCATGATGGGCGGCGCGATGGTAGGAGATTAGATGAAAAACAGAAACAAGATAATTAGGTGGAAAAAAAAAGAATCATGAAACACCCGGAGAACGCCAAACAGGGGAGGGAAAGTCAGCAGTCGTGAAGTCGTTAGGTCGATCGAACAGATAGTAGTGACGAGCCGAGAATAGCGTTTCGATAGTTGCGTGTTTTGAAGAAGGAAAAAGAAGGAAAGATGAGGATGGATTGAGTTTGGATTTTTCCTTTTCTTTCCTGCTGGTTCACCAACTAATTGAGAGATCAGGTGGGAGTTTGCGGGATTCGTCCGACCCAGGCAGAACCAGTCGTCGTTTTGTGTGCGACAAGGAAAACGAAGATAGTTAAAAATAGCGGGAGCAGTTGATGGCTTTTTCTGATCGAGGGGAACGAAGGCTCTTAGATTGGGGTCAAGATTGATCGGCCAACGTGGTCCATGGCGGTGCCAATGCAGCAAGCAAGCAGCGTTGTTCAATCGATAACCGGCAGTTAGGCCGTCAGGCAGCTGGTGGGAGTAGTTGAGTAATTATTGGAGTGGGATTGGTGAAGAGAGAGAAAGAAGAGGGCAGTATCGATGGATTATTGAGAAAGAAGAAGTTAAGGAGGAGAGAAAAAGTGACCGATAGTGAAAAGAAGAAAGAAAAGGAGGAGAGGGGGAAAGGAGAAAAGGATTTTAAAAAAAAGCAAGAATTGGAAAACAGACACAGAGACAGAGAGACACACAGAGAGAAAGAGAGAGAGAGAGAGAGAGAGACAGAAGAAGGAGATGATGGAAGAAGTTGAAACCACCCGAAACTGGCTGGGCTCTTGTTTCTTCACTTTCTCCTCTTACTCCTCCTCCTCTTCTGCTTCTACTTCAATCAAGTCAAGTCACACCATACCGTCGAATTTCCTGTTCCTTGAGCTGAGAGCCTTAGTTTACAATATTATCGAACTATTGTCTGGGTCCATCTCCACCACAAAGTATTACCAAATTACTAACAGTGCTACTCATCACAGAAGTGTTTACTCTTACATCATTCCACCTTCGAACGGCCTCCAGTCGCGGCCTATCTGTTTCAGGTACATCGATCAGTCCGTCCGCAGTGGATGAAACATAATGATGCTATATCGAGATTGCACTACATCATCATTCGCCTTTGAACAGATAAGAATTGCAATAAAGACCACCAAATCACAGGTGGTGCCAGCACAAGCCCCCTGCCCCCTCCTACCCACCGATCGCAATTCTTTCACACTAAAGAGCGGGTCGTGATGCAGCCATTGGCGGTGGGATTGATCACCCGGGAACTGAGATACACACATGATCAATTGCTTCACTTGTGCCCAACCTGGATATGTTGTTCTTGCCCTGTTGTTGTGCCCAGGATTGATAAGAAGGACCCAAAGGCCCAGCAATTGATTTTCCCCGCAGGTGGATCTGCTTTGCACTTTGGCCACCTCCCCCCCCCACATCTGGCCGCATCTTTAATTTCCGCTTCTACAATTACGGTCCTCTCAGGCTCTCACTAGTATAGATAAGAAACTTCAAACTTTCACCACGGGTGCTAACCCCTGCACACAACCCTGAGACCTGCTAAGGGGAGAAAAGAAAGAAATTAAACATCTACCAGCATTATCTTCGACGACGAAATCGGAATCGAAGTTCATCATCACTGTCGGAGTCTTCACGCTCTTCTCGCAATCGTTTCTGAGTACGAGGCGCAGCCGCCTCCGAGTCTGTGCGCGCTAAGGACTGGGAGCGAGACGCCACCGTACCGCTCTGAGTGATCGCTGGCTCTGAGGGACTGTCCGCCACGACGGCCTCGGTCGATCGATGGCTGTCGCCCACCCAGTAATGGTCGCCCACTCCAAAATCTTTGCGGGTGACTTCTTCTAAGGGAACGATGACGGTCTGAATGCGGTAGCGCGGCTGACTAGGATCTCCCTTTCGGCGGAACTTTTTGAAATTTTTACGCCCGTTCCACCGATCGTCCCACCGAGTTTCCTCTGTGTCGACATTCCGCGGCTTAATATCCATCTCCTCCACGATCGCGAGTCCTTTCAACTTCTCGATATCGACCTCTTGCAAGGAGTTCTGCAAAGATGCCTCTTCAGCAACGCGGCGTTGGCGCTCAGCATCCTCTTCAGCTTCGCGATGCTGTCGGGCGGCCTCCAGCACGTCTAGTTTCTGGCGCTTGGGTTTGCGAGGGGATTCCTCCTTCGGTTGGGTTGCTTCTTTGTCCACAGACTGTCGAACTGTTTCAGCACGCCGACGTTTCATGGCCGCAGAGCCTGGCAGAAGACTAGAGACAACGTCTTCTTCCTCGTTCAAGCTTTGCGCCTGCGACTCCTGTGCCGAAGCAGGTTCGATCTCCATCGGGGGCGGTGACATTGCTGAGTTCCCCGGTGGCGCATGCATTGGGATAGAGTTGATGTCAAAGCCATCGTCAAAGGTCTTCATCTTACTAACGAAGCCCCGCACCCGAGGCTTGGATTTACGGGCAAGCGGCTGACTTGCTTCCTCCAGAGGCTGTGAGTCGGCAATAGCCACAGTTTCGCTGGAAGGGGTACCTTGCGGAGGCTGAGGAGTAGGCTCTGCATTCGCGTGGTCACTGGAGTCGGCTTCCTCCAGTAAGGGCTGACAAAGCGGAGCCGCATCATTGCCCAGAATTGCGTCGAGGAATTCACTCTGCTCAATCACACGCTGCCCGGTCAGTAGTGCAATTTGCTTACTGAGCTCAAGAGACCACTCCTCGTGACGACCCTTGGCACGATATCGGACATGCACCACACCGCCGGGGCTGTCTCGCTGACTTCCAAGCCCTTTGATCCCTGCCGCGTCCCTCATGAACTCCGCGAACTCTTCAGCTGTAGTTACTCCATCCTCGATCTGATATAGTAAGACCTTCCCCTGGCCATTGGTCAGGGCATCTGCCAAATTCTCCATCTGTGTGGCATCGCCAAAAACAAATATGAATCCTTCAAAAATGCTCAAGCGGGCCGGATTGGGCGCAAACGCCTCCTTGGGCCGCTGGGTCGTCTCCTTCCCGGGAGGGGGAAGATGCTCGGCTGGGTCCGGCCATGCTGAGTCGAAGTCGGCCTCGAGAGGGCATAACGACCCGGGGCTGTCCAGGTCACTAGGCGTCGCAGCGTACACCAGCGCGTCAACGTAGGTATCCTGAACGATATGCTTGGCGTTTACCAATGCTTGCAAGCCCTTTGCCGTATTCCGTTTACTCTGGACCACGTGCGTCGTCTGATCAACAACGTAGGGAATGATTGTCTTGATATCGAGGTCTTCCAGTCGAGAGCGGACACGTGCGAGAGGGTCTCTGGCCCTGAGCTCTTTGCTCGAGAAGGAGAAACTCAAAACTATAGGATGCCATTTTATACTAAGCCCAAGAATGCTTGTAAGCGAAAGGAAGTGACATTACTAGAGTATGTGTGCTTACCATAGCATATGTTCATACCGTCCCAGCTGAAGCTCGTGATCTTCGCCTTTCAACTTCAGACTGCCATCAATCCTTTCGCCGTCAACCTTGGTGCCTAACTTTGATCCCAGATCGGTGACTGTGATTTCCGACTTGGCGTGAATATGCGACTGCATCCAGTAAGGTCAGCGGAGTGGTAGTGTCAGCATAATCGCATTACGTACCCCGTCGCCCGGCTTGACAGGTGAGACATCGATCAGAAGATGCTTTCGTGAGATTGTCTTGTTCGCGATGGCATGTCGTACTATGATGAGTTGGAGGCATAGTCAGCATCAGACTTTCAGGACCTTTTCCCCGTGAACTCGGTCCTTACCTCCGTCTTCTCTGGCTCGACCGAAAAGATACTTATTGCCCGGGCGCAGCCACACGCGCTTCCCTTGCAGTCAATCAGTTAGCTTTCATTTGAGCCAAGCATTGCAGCGATACAAACCCTCGAGGAAGTCACCCTCGGACTCGAGGATCCACATGAGGTTTAACGGATGAAACCAACTCGCTGGGCGCCAAACGAAAGCTATGGGGTGAAAGAATGACAGCGGCGGTACTGCACGTGAAGCCTCCGCGGGGAAACCCGAGACACTCACACACCCAAACGCGTGGTCACGTGGCCAGGCGTCGGATTTAACAGCTTTGCCCCCTTTGGGTAATAATTGCTTCGCGGGTGCCGGCGGGAAAACGTCATCATCACCGTGTCATCCACACGAAGGACAATGATGGAGCCTTCGGGCGAGGAGCGCCCCGACAATAAGGACACGGAGGATGAATCTGAAACCCTCAAATATCAACTCCTCGGACCCTCCTTGACCAAGGCTGGCCAAGATGCAGTGGATCAGCGAAAGGTAAGCATCACCCACTAGTTGTCTAACTACTCACCTTCTGCAATTCTTCCCGTGCTAAGACGTCCGCCACGGTCCAGGTGTCCGAAGTCATCTATAACGCCTCCAAGGGCTCTAAATTTTTCAACCACGAGCAGAACCGCGACCGGGTTCTAACAGAGAAGATCGCGCGGCTTCTGCGCGAAAAGGCCCACCTCGAGACGCTTGATCTCTCGTCCAATCTGCGGCGCGCCGACCAGCTGATCGCGGAGCTGGAGCTTACGCGGGACCTGACGCAGTATGTCGTGCACGTCGACTGCGACGCCTTCTTCGCAGCCGTCGAGGAGCTCGACCACCCGGAGCTGAAGACCGTGCCCATGGCCGTCGGCAAGGGTGTCCTGACGACATGCAACTACGAGGCGCGCAAGTTCGGCGTCCGGAGCGGGATGGCCTCTTTCGTGGCTAAGAAGCTTTGCCCGCAGCTGATCTGCGTGCCCATGAACTATGACAAGTACAGCGCCAAGGCGAAGGAGATCCGGGCGGTCTTCGCGCGGTACGACCCGCTCTTTGAAAGCGCGAGCATCGACGAGGCATACCTGAACCTGACGGCCTACTGTGTAGAGAATGGGGTGGGTGCCGAGGAGACAGTCGAGCGGATGCGCGCCGAAGTCCTGGCAGAGACCAAGATCTCGGTTTCGGCGGGGATTGCGGCGAATGCCAAGCTGGCGAAGATCGCCTCGAATCGCAACAAGCCAAACGGTCAGTTCTGTGTGCCGAGTGAGAGAGGAGCTATTATGGAGTTCATGAAGGAGTTGCCGGTGCGAAAGGTGAATGGGGTCGGGCGGGTGTTTGAGCGCGAGCTAGAGGCCATCGGCATCAAGACGTGCGGCGATATCTTTCCTCAAAGGGCATACCTAACACGTTTGTTCGGGGAGAAAGCAGCCTACTTTCTACTGCAGTGTTATTTGGGGCTGGGAAGGACGAAAATTCAACCGGTCGAGAACTATGAGAGGAAGAGTGTGGGCACGGAGAGTACATTCCATGATATGGGAGGCAAAGAGGAGCTCCGGGCGAAGCTATGGTCAACGGCTGAGGAGCTGGAAAAGGACCTCGCTCGCACGGAGTTCAAAGGTCGTACACTGGTGTTGAAGGTCAAGCTGGCTACGTACGAAGTGCTCTCGCGACAATGCCAACCCCCGCGGGCTGTGTCTACAGCTAAAGATCTCTACGCATTCTCTCTTCCAATGCTAGAAAAACTTGAGAAGGAGATTCCCAACATGAAGCTTCGATTGCTTGGTCTGCGCTGTACCAACCTCGTGAGCACCAAGAAAGTCGGGATGGAGTTCTTCGGTTTCACACCTCGGCCGAAATCAACTTTGTGCCCGTCCGCCGACAATACACTGGAGCAGGAGATTGGTGCGGAGGAAGCTTTTGAGAGAGCTGCTCTCCAGGAGCTGCAGGATGATATGAATGAGATCGAAAAGCTCAGCCAGGAGGTTCTTGAGAACACTGATGTCGAAGGCAAGCCAAGCTCTGAGGAAACAGCGCCCGCGTACTGGGATTGTCCCATCTGCTCAAGACCCCAAGTTGCGGACGATAAGGTCTTCAATGATCATGTCGACTATTGTCTTTCCAAGCAGACCATCAGAGAGGCGGTTCAAGGTGCTACTGAGCACGTCCGCGAGGAAACACCGTCGGCTACGTCCAGGACGCGCAAGCGCAGAACGCCTGCACAGGAATCCCCGGATCCGCGACAAAAGAGGCTTTTCTTTTCGTGACATGCTGCATCGCATTATGCTGCGTGCCGTGTCGATCTTGCCTTTCTGAGTATTGTCTCATGGGATGTGTCTTGTTCGGATTCATCCCTTGTTCCTCGGCGGGTCCTTGGAAAATATACCCTGCTAAGCGATAGCATCTTGACTCAACTCGTCATTCTGGAACAATACGATAGACAGCCATATATACCCTTTTTGCTTTACTATTTATCAACTTTGGCTAGAACGAATCAACATTTTCGTACATCACTTTCGTGAAGATTGATACGGGGAGCAGCATTCGTGAGCCGAATCCATCACTCACATTGCATCGCCAGCTACTGTACAATGGACTGCTTTTCACTCAGCACTATATACTCTGCCACACCCTTTAGTCCGAGACACCGCTCTTCGTCCACCAAAACTCACATTCCCTCCTACTCCACTCGTCATCCACCATCTGAGCCGTGGTCCCCACACTTCGGCCACCAGCCCGCTCATTATTCCCCTCTCCAAGCACCATGATCCTTCTTCCACTCGCTTGCGACCCATCATATGGCTCCCACCGCGGCCTATGGGCGAACCTTCCCTTCACAGCGTTCGGATCCCCCCTCACGATGAACGAAGTGATATATGCATGAAACGTGCCCGCCACTTCCGCCTGCGCCTTCGAAATCGCCCTGACCTCCGGATTGAATGTCTCGTACGCCATCTGGTCCCCGTGATTGGCTCCACCCTGTACCGTCTTATTCAGAGCCCACCGATACAAAAACACCGGCTCCTGCTGCCCGGCCGACGCGAACCGCGCAGTCTGGCGCACCGGACACGCATAGGCATAATGGCCGTACGCAGCCTCGACGCGCTTATACTGTGGCCCCACGCTGATGTTGCGCGTCTCGAGGTACGGGGAGGACTCGTGCACTGCAGGATCCGGGTAGAGCTCGTCGATTGTGCGGATATCCTGGTCGGTGTAGGCGGGTAGGAGCGTGCGGAAGAACTGCATGAATTCGTCCGAGGTGGCTAGCGTGGTGGGCACGTAATAGGTTCCTTCGTTGGTGTTGAAGCCCGTCAGGATGGGGACGCGGTTCCAGTGGCCTGAGTGCCAGGCGTCGATGGGCGGCTGCTTGATGAGGGCGTTGTCGATAACTGGTTGGAAGGCCCACCGGACTGATGGGTTATAGCGGTCGAAGACGGTGAATGAGGCGTTGGTAATGACTGCGGACGGGGCTGCGCGCAGGCACGTTAGGATCTCGTGGTCGGAGGAGAGGTGAGAGCATCCGGCCGCGGCCACGAATTCGCGGAACTGGGTCTCGTGGAGGGCGGCATTGTAAGGGTGCACGGCGCGGGAGGTCGCGGCGCCGGATTCGATGACTGCGCGGTGGAAGTAGGTGTGGTCGAGGTTGGTGTTCATGATATGATGGGCGATCTAGATTGTCAGTTGTCATGTGCTCTCGATTGAAGTCGACGAGTCTTACTGAGTGTGCACCCGCTGAGAGGCCGATGAGTGTGATTTGAGACGGATCGCCTCCGAAGCTCGCAATATTGTCTTGCACCCACTGGAAGAGGAGGATTTGATCGTGGAGCCCGAGGTTCAGGATCCCTTCTTTGGCTGTTGTCGTCGAGGGGAGGAAACCGAGCGCGCCAATTCTGATTTGGAGGTATATCAGTGCACTGAGCGCCTTATTGAGGTGCAAGTGGATGGTGCATGTGCAGGACTTACCTATAGTTGAAGCTTACTGCGACAAAGGGCTCGTCGGCCCAGCCCACCATGGACGCTGTATTGTGCATTGAGGCTGGTCGGGGGCTCGTCAGTACTATCCCTGTCTCTGTGGGAGTGATCCTTACCTGTTCCCCTGTTGTATGCGCCACCGTGGACATAAATGGCGACGGGAAGCGTGCCCTGCACACCTTGAGGGCGGAAGATATTGACCGTGAGACAGTCCTCGCTGTTGCCGCTATCCCCAGGAATCTGCAACAGTTGCTTTCCAGGGCATCTACCCGACAATCAGCCGTGTTCAGCCGTAGTACGGGACTAGTCTCCAGAACATACCGTGGACCATAACGACTAGCATCGACCAGTTCATCTGAGGCTTTGACTGGGATGGCTCGACGAAAACGTCGATCGCCCACCGGTGGTAAGGCATAGGGGATTCCGCGGAACGCGTCGACCGGATGGTTCAATGTCTTTGTCAACGTGGTGCCGACAACCGTGCCTTGAGATATAGTCACGCGGGGTCGATCGAGCAGTACCGCATTGTGCAAGAGGGAAGGCAGTGACGACGCAAGGCGAGTTTGGATCTGATGCAGGCTGGCTGGCTGTTGAACAAAAAGCAGCAGGATGACTGGTAGAGCAGCCAAAATGAATGGTCTGGCACTCAGCATGATTGGGTATGAATGTGGACTTCTCAACCGCACTCGGTTTCCGACAGAGGGGCCTGTGTAGCACTAAGTACCTATTTATTGGGGGAATCTCCTCATCGGCACTACTTTTGCGTGCCGACTGCGCTATCAATGGCTTTCCCCGCCTTGTCTCCAATCTAATCTTCTTCCCCACTCACTTATCTCGGACGGTCTCCGAGATATACTTACTTCGTCACGAGTGAGTCTTTTCAGATATTCTGTACATTGAGAGTCTATCGTGGAGATCCCTGCATTGGGCAGGTTTGTCCGGTTGCATGCTTATCAGTTGGAGGTGCAGAGATATCTATCGTACAAGTGCCCGGGTTCGCAATAAGTAGTCTCACTGGGTTCCCAGGCAAGCGTGCAGTCGTCATGATGCAAATGCCCAGTGGCTTATCTTGGGGTCATAGAGGGGGTGGCTATCATAGCCGGATGTTGTGTGCCTATTTAAGCCACCCTATTTGCCTTGAGTGATTTTTTCCCCAAGCCGTTGGGACCATCGTCGTCAATGGCAAGCAGTATGTCCGAGCCAAGTGCCAATCGTCAGGAAAAGGAGAAGCTTTCTCCTACAGCTGTATCGAAAGTAGACGATGTCGAAATTGGCCAAGTCTCCTCCCTCGATGAAGCTGAGCTCTTTCTTCACGAGCACGGCGTGTCTAACGAACAAATGCAAGAAATGCTCGACGACCCTGTGCGGAGGAAGAAGCTTAGAAGACGCATTGATTTGATCTTGCTTCCGCTCATGTGCGGGACATATTGTCTCCAGTATATCGACAAGCAGGTGTGTTTCCTCCACAGATGCTCCCTGGAGACGTGCTAAGTCAGTAGGCGTTATCCTACAGTGCCGTGTTCGATCTGTTCACCGACGCACATATTGATAGCAATCAGTACAGCTGGCTAGCCAGCATCTTTTACTTTGGTATGGCTCTCACCCTGGGACATATTGCGGGGATGCTGATGGTTCAGGGTATCTCTTCTGGGAATATCCGGCAAGTTACATCGCACAACGACTGCCCATTGGAACTGTGGTCGCGAGTTTTGTGTGAGTACGTTGACGTTGCAGAACGAGACATGCTGACCAGGCGTAGGATCGCCTGGGGTGCGATCCTCATGATCACCGCCAGCTGCCATGATTTCACCGGCATGGCTGTATGTCGGTTCTTACTCGGGTGCTTTGAGGGTAGGTCTCCCATCTGTGATGCATACAGGCTGGGGTCTGACTTTGCAGCGCCGATCACTCCGTGCTTCATGATGATCGTGGGGACGTGGTATGTTCGTCAAGAACAGCCCTTGCGCGCCGGGATTTTCTACTGCTGTAACGGGGTGGGGTCGATGGTTGGCGGGCTTCTCACTTATGGCATCGGCCAAGTGGACGGCTTTCCCGTCTGGCGGGCGGTATTCCTGATCTGCGGAGGAGCCACCGTTCTCTGGGGTATCCTGATGCTCCTATTCCTCCCGAACAGTATCCTGTCGTCAAAACGCTTCTCCGTGGAAGAGAAGGTCCTGCTCATCGGCCGGGGCAAGCAGAACCAGACCGTGGGTTTCCGTTTCCATTCCGGGATAGCATGTCATGAACTCACCGGCTCTAGGGTATCCTCAACCGCTCGATCAAATGGTACCAGATTCGCGAAGCCCTCGTCGACCCGCAAGTCTGGCTTTTGTTCCTATTCACACTTCTCAACGAGACCGTCAACGGAGGGGTAGCCAATGTACATTTGCCCCCAGTGGTCCCGTCTAAGACGTTTCTACTAACCAACTCGTGCGACAGTTCGGCAAGCTCATCATCCGGGGCCTCGTGTCTAGCTCCCTGTTAACCACGGTCCTGAGCATCCCCCAAGGCGCCTTTCAGGTCTTCTTCATCCTGTCGGGCACCTATCTGTCCACGCGCTTCAAGAACCTGCGCACCGTCATCATGGCCGTGTATCTCCTCCCGACCGTGGTTGGGGTCTGTCTTCTCTGGCAGCTGCCGCGGACGAACCGTTTCGGGGTCTTGTTCGGATACTATATCGTAAGTTCGCCCCCGATTCTCTTGCGGCAGGCTACCACTAAAAAGCTGTATGGATTTGCAGGTGGGATCATTCGTCACCTCCCTCGTCCTCTCTCTCCAAATGCCCTCCAGCAACATGGGCGGCTACACCAAGCGCGTGACCGCCACTGCGTTTGTGTTTCTGGCCTACTGTATCGGAAACATCATTGGCCCGCATGCGTTTCTGGCCCGCGAGGCCCCGGTGTATGCGACCGGGTGCAAGTTAATTCTGGCGTGTGCGTTGTGTCAGATGATGATCGCAGGGCTGTTGAGGGTTCTGTTGGTGCGGCGGAATCGGCAGCGGGAGTCGGCGGGTGAGGGTGAAGGGGTTGTTGAGCTTCAAGGCCCGGGGGCGGAGATGATGGCCGATCTGACGGATTTCGAGGTATGCTTTTCGCCCACATACTTACTGAGTAGGAGTAGTACTCCCGTATACGCAAGACCAGACACGCTAACCAGACTCCATAGAACCCTCGCTTCCACTACGTCCTGTAACTGAAGTACATAAAACACATCTACTACTAGCCTATATATATACAATCAACCCTTCTGCCACCAAATCCTCCTGCAGAAAACACTACTAGTACCTAAACCACCTCACACCCCCCCCTCGGTTGAAAGGAAGCAGACAAAGAATTACATGGGCAATCCCGCCATCTCCCTCTCACTCCAATAAACCCTCATATTCTCCGCCCGCAACGCATGCACCTCCTCATCCAAATGCTCAAACAACACCCCCCCAAACCCCTCCAACAACCGACCCACCTCCCTCCGATCCAAATCCGTCTCCCCGGACCGACACGCCTCCAGGTACCGCTCCAGCGCCGCCATCCCGCGGTGGATCTCCTTGTGCTGACTGAGCAGACTCAACTCCCGCCGAAACTCGGGCATCCGGCGCGCCAGCACGGGGAAGATGTGTCGCTCCTCGATGGTGTGGTGCATGGTCAGGTGGTGGCAGAACTCCAGGGCTTGCGTGATGAGAGCGCGCGGGGCGAGTTTGGGTTTGGGCGGCGTGGCGCAGGCGGAGAGGAGGGTGTTGTAGGTTAGGCGGAAGTGGGTGTGCTGGGTTTTTTTTGGTTGGTTATTATGGGGGGAAAGAAGAAAAATAGTATGGTAGTAGTTATGTGTTTGGTTTGGAGAAAGGGCCAAGAGGGGCGGGGGTAGATCAAGGTAGTTGAGGAAATGGGTACAGTTGGAGAGACTATGTACTAATGTATATATACATACAAACTGATCCATATGCTCCGCCATGCGGTTATAGACACGGAACTCCTTGGCGGAGAGCGGCGGGAGGTCCGAGCCTGCACCCGCACCCGCAGGCTTAGGCTGCTCGTCCTTGTTGGCGGCGGGGGGCGGCGGCGGCGGCATCCTCGGACTCGTCGTAATGCCTCGTCGATTAGTGGCTGGGAGAGGGAAGAGGGTCCCGGGGGTCTGGACAGTGAGAACTGGAAATTGTCCACAAGGGAGAATAAATGAGCGGATGGGACGAGTCACGGTAGATATCCCGGCCAACGCTCGCATGGAGAAGACACCGCGAGACACACAGAATTGTTAAGCAATTGTCATCAAGGATTTCCGATTAGTATGGATTAACTTAGTATAAATGGGGGGGCAGCGGCGGGTTGATATAAGAATGCCCCCCGACGAAGAGACTTTCGGCAGTTGAAGAGGGGGCAAGGGGCCGTGTTTGTGGGGTTTGTTGTGTTTGCTTGGTGGTACATGCACGTAGAGAATGTATATCCTGATTCCATCCCAAAAGCGATGAATCATGGAACGACGATGGCATGGACAGTGCAATACATTCGGAGTAAGAGGAGGAGGAGAAAGATTACCGGGGGGACAAAGTCCTACGAGATGAAGGAACATTATCAACGATCGCGACTGCGACGACTAGGTACCTTAGGTACTAAGCGCTGAGGTCCACGGTGACTAGCAGGGGACGAGTAGCAGGCTGTGCTTGACCGGTAGGTAGCCTTGCCGCCGTAGTTATGTCACCTATTAAGGTCGTTGGTCTTTGCAGAACTATCCACAATTGAGGTTATCAGCACACTGGCTAGAATGTCATTCTGAAAGTGCCATGTCGAAGTGGAAGAGGTTGAGTTGCGGTGTTGCAGGCTGTTGTTGAATCCACTTGGTTCTATACCTGGTGGAGATTGAGCCAACGTTCCGAAGTCTACAGGAATTCCCCTTAGATGGTGAAGATGGATAGATAAATGGCAAGACACGTACGTTAACTATTATAGACACAGATGCAACAAGGAAAGACGTATCATTCAACGATTAACTGGGAATTACATATGTTCCAGGACTTTCAATGGATGTTTGCCATGGCAACAGTTAAGTTGCAAGACACACATCTAGTACGTCGCTGGTCAAGAATATTCTCATCTCAATATCAGCACTTCTTCGGCACAACCACAGTCATAGACAGGCTGGATTGCAATTTGACATCCGTGCTAGTGAACCTAAAGAAAAGAATCAGGGTCAAGTCGATGTATTAAAATATGGCGGTCAGGCGGCGAAATAAGGTATAGAACATGAGCCAGCCGCGGTCACTATGTAAGCAGTATCAAGACATGTCGTAACTCCGTAGAAGATGCTGGAACAAGCTACAGCTCCTTGTTCTCCAGCTCGCGCAGACTCTCAGGCGGCCGGAAGTTGCCCTTCCTCAGCTCTTGCCAAGCGAGGTCGAAGCGGGCACCCAACAACCAGGCAGTGCCAATCTACCCAAGTCAGTATATTGATTGCAGAAGCGGGCGAGAGATACACACCATTACAAACGAGACGATGATCACAATCACCAGCATGAGGCCCATCATAAAGCACACATCCTGGCGGGTATCAGCCTCCTCCTCTCGCTTCTTCTTCTCAGCCTCGGTCAGCTCGCCAGTAACGCGGCGCTGGGCGACCTCCGCAGACTGAGTGGGGAAGATCGTCTCGATCCACTTCTCGATCTGCAAGACATTAGTCGGGTACAGAATTATGATAGATGCTGGACACATACCCGTCCGCAGACCAAACTGATCTTCAGGAAGTTGGGATCCTTGGGAGTGTTCTTCTTATGGATCCGGCGGGCGTAGGTACGGAAGGTATCGCTAAGCACCCGAAGGTTCTGGGTGGACTCGAACATCAGCCTGCACGCGTCGCCCTTGGTGATCTTGATGTTTCTTTCGAAGATCGCCGGGTTACGGAAGCACAGCTCCAGGGTGGCAATGGCCATGGACTGCGGGATGGCACAGAAGTTGAAGATGCTCTGCTCCCGGAGACCAGCCAGATAAAATAAGCAGTCTTCCACATGTTCCAATGCGTTCAAGACCATCTCAGAGCCGCAGTTGAGCGCTGCCTCACGATGCTCGGGCTTAAACAGATCATCAAAGTCACTGACGTGCTTGGACCAAATTTCTTTGGGCCAGAAGCGACGTCGATCATCGTTGTCCTCTCGAACGTCCCGGATGATGTTGGTCTTCTGGAGGAAGAGGCCCATCGACTTATGCAGACGCGTGCGCTCCAGCAGGGCCGGGTTGGCAAACTCCGCCTCGACGAAGAGACGCGTCAAGCCTTCTCCGACCAGTCCCGCCACGTACCAGCAGTACTCATCATACTCGGCCGTGGTCGTGACGCTGGTGTCCTCGAGTTCGGCCTTCCGGCAGTAGTCGGCCATACCGTTGCCCATCTTGTCGGTGATGTCTTTGACAATCGCCTGGTAGGCCGGTTTCATCTTTTTATATTCCGTGATGACATTGTGAAACTGAACCAGCAGCTCACGGTCCTTCTCTTCCGGCCGGTTGCCGTTGAATGTCCAGCCATCCTGCTCGAGGAAGTCCTTGAAGCCGCGCAGGAGAGGCTCCTTGGTCTCCAAGGGAATCGAGGTGTCATCCTCAATGGTATCCAAGCCGCGCAGGGCCAGGTAGAAAACGCAGACAGGCAGCAGTAACTCGGGATGTAACTCCTTGATGACGGCGCTGAAGCTGCGACTGGTCAAGTCGAGGAACTTGAAGCAGGCCTTCTGGGTTTCGGTCTCGTCCTTCTCATTGCGTTCGTGAACGGGTGAGTGCCAGACTTTCCTATTACCACGGGCACGGACCCCTTCGTAAGCGTTGGCACAAATACACGACCCATCATCACCGCGCCAGGACGTGAGCCAGTACTAACCATTGCACTATCGACCTCAGTTCTGAGGGGTGAAAGGTGTAGTAGAAGATGTTTGAAGCGAGGCCCATTGTGAAAACTCAAAACTGACGGGGATATTACGACCGGCGGGAAGCCTGGTGGACAAAGGTGACCAGGTAATTATTGGGAATAATGGATCAATGGCCGTGGCAGGGGTCAGGCAGCAGCGAACCCAATGACCGAATCAACGGAAAATTCAGGGAATTGGAATGCAAGTGGTGGTACAATAATGTACAGGCTGCTTTGAGCGAATGACCTCAGTAGCAGCAATGAAGATGTGGAGAAGAGGAGACAGGCGTGAAGATGAGGGATGGGAGAGGGAAAAGGAGAGGATGGAGGGGAGGTGGGAAAGTGGCGGGAATTAGGTGATGAAGATAAAAGGGGGTGGGAGGGGGAGGGGAGGGAGAGAGGAAAAGGGAGAGGGAAGAGATGTTGAGTAGTGAAAAGAAGACGAGAAAGAGAAGAAGAAGAAGAAGAAGAAGAGGAAGAAAAAGCGAGCGGTGGGAGAAAAAGGTGGAGTTTTTTGGGGATGGAGAGAAGCGAACTGAAGGAAGAACCCAACGAGGCAATTCATTTTTCCCGCGCCGAGGACAGCAAAGCGGCTACAAACACCGCCTCTGACTGGCTCCGACTCGATCCCGGCGGCTGTGACCCGGTAATTACACCATGAATTCCGGATAACTAGGCCAATTGCGGGTCATCATTACCGTATGTGACAGTACCGTACTGCTGCGGCAACGGAGACCCAAAAAAACATGGCTCTCTCCCCCGCCATGACGAAAGGGTCGTCCGTCGCAAGACATCCATCGCAGATTCTCGGGAGAAAATATCCAAAGACTGGAAGTCGATAACCGGTTGATCTGTCCTACCTTCAAGGATTTCTTCTTGTGTGGTAGTTGTCAACGTACTATTCTGCAGTCGACTCATTATCTCACGGCTGCATTCACTTCCTCCGCTGCAGTCAAAACTGATAGGCACATCATCATCATCATCCCTCGCGTGGTCGGGTAAAAGCTTTGCTTCATCCCACCATGGTTGTTGACACGACATACTACGACGCCCTCGGCGTGCCTCCTACGGCGACTGAGCTGGAGATCAAGAAAGCCTACCGGAAGTTGGCCATCGTGACCCATCCTGGTTCGTCCGCGTGGCCCTGTGTTGTTGGCCCTTGAGCGAACTGACCCCTTGCCAGATAAGAACCCCGGCGATGAGACTGCACATGCGCGCTTCCAGGCGGTGAGTAGGACCCTGAGGACTGATCATTCAGTTTGATACTAATCTCACGCGGGGTCGATCAGATCGGAGAAGCCTACCAAGTTCTCAGCGATGAAGAATTACGCAAACGCTACGATAAGTTTGGCAAGGAGGATGCCGTCCCCGGCGGCGGTTTCGGTAAGATCCCCGTGCGAGATATGGGGACCCCCCCCACTGACTATCATCCTCAGAGGATCCGGCGGAATTCTTCAGCATGATCTTCGGTGGCAGTGCGTTCGTCGATCTCATCGGTGAGATCTCGCTCATGAAAGACTTGACCGCGACGATGGATATCACCATGCAACAGATGGAGGAGGAAGAACTGGCGGCCTCTGCTGAGGAGAAGCTCAACATCCACGACGAGGAACAAGCCGCTCGCGCCTCTGCCGAGGGGACGACGCCAACCGCCTCGGAGACCCCGGCGGCAGCCCCCGAGAAGCCCGCCGCTGAGAAGCCCGCCGCGGCCACCGCGTCCAGCTCCGGTGCCAGCACCCCCCGTCGCTACATGGGCCAGCAGGCCATCATGGACAAGTCTGAGGAGGAAGCGCGCATGGAGGCAGCCGGTCTGTCTCAGGAAGAGAAGGAGCTGCGCAAGAAGGAGAAGAAGAAGGGCCTGTCGAAGGAGCAACAGGAGCGACTGGCCGCCTACGAGCTGGAACGGAAGAAGGCCCGCGAGGAGCGCGTCAACACCCTGGCCACGAAGTTGGTTGACAAGATCAGCGTGTGGACCGAAACTGACAAGGGAGCGGATGTCACCCGCGCCTTCGAAGAGAAGATTCGCCTGGAGGTGGAAAATTTGAAGATGGAGTCGTTCGGTTTGGAGATTCTGCACGCGATCGGCGCCACCTACGTGCAAAAGGCAACCTCTTTCCTCAAGTCGCAGAAGTTCCTGGGTATTTCCGGCTTTTTCTCGCGCCTGAAGGACAAGGGCACCCTCGCTAAGGAGACCTGGACGACCATTTCCACCGCCATTGACGCGCAGATGACGATGGAGGAGATGGCCAAGTTGGAGGAGCGCGGTGGCGAGGAGTGGACCGACGAGAAGAAGGCCGAGTACGAGAAAAAGGTGACGGGTAAGATCCTGGCGGCCGCCTGGCGTGGCAGCAAGTTCGAGATCCAGAGTGTGTTGCGGGACGTCTGCGATCAGGTCCTCGGCGATAAGCGCGTCAAACTCGACAAGCGGGTCGAGCGCGCCCACGCTCTGGTGATCGCGGGCAACATCTACTCCAAGGTGGGTGATTGACTATTTAACTCCAGCCCAGTGGACGGAAGCTAATAGCATCTCTAGGCTGAGCGTGACCCCGAGGAGGAGGGTGATTTTATGGCATTCGAGCAGTTGATGGCCGAGTCGATGACGAAGAAGGGCAAGGATGAGAAGAAGAAGAAGGGAAAACACGGCCACCATTTCCACCACCATGAGGAGGCGGAGGCGGAGGCGACGGCTGCTTAGTTCTACATGATTGTGTATTTGATTTTGTCCCAGTACAATGCGGTCTGGCTCGGACTGGATAGATGCTTGCTTGGATAAGGGCTGTTTCTCTGTAGCGACTGGTGTATTTGATTCTCCCATGCGCCTGACGATGTGACCCACCATTCATGATTAGATGGATTTAAATAGATTGATTTGGATGCGATTGTGAGATGGCTAGAGTTGAGGGAGTGTTGGTTGCCCCTGCATCATGTGCTGTGCCATAAGTAGCCATAAGTAGCCATAAGTGGCCATAGTAGCCATAAGTAACTACCGAAGGGGAGGCTCCTAAACAAGAGATCACTGTGTACTGTACCTGTACATCAACTGGGCCTTTCACCCTTGCCTTCCGACATCGGCTGTTCGCCTGGGATGATGAATAAAAAAATCCATCCATGAACCTCCAGCAACTAGTGTCAAGTCTAAATCTTTTTTATCTCCTATCAAGGTCCCTCTCTCCTTCTCCGCACGCGACCAGCTACCGTATTTGGTTACTTCCTCCCCACTGTCTGTTGTCTCACTGGAATGTGATTCCCTCGCACATTTTTCGTCTGTTTTTTGATACGGCGGACTTCCGCGACGGAAGTCCGAGATTGACCCATTGATCGTCAGTTTTGTTGCGTCGACCAGCCCACAGTTCAGTTATGGCCTGCGATAGACACTATATAGTAACCCTAACCTCCCCCGCTCTACTGCAATGACTCTTCCACCACCACGACGACGATTGTGTTTCCGTACTTCCCGATTCTCTAGAAGTTTGTTGCTGGTGCTCTGCCTCTCCCTTCTTGCTCTGAACCTCCTCCTCCTCCTCCTCCCCTCCTCCATGCTGCTCTCCTCCCACCAGGTCCTCCTGGCCACCCTGGGAGCCACTGGCGCCGCCGCCCTCCCCGGCACCTCCTCTTCCTCCTCCTCCACCCCAGCGGCCCCCGCAGCCACCGGGGCCGCTCTACCCGCCGGCTTCGACATCACCGCGTACTGGGGCAACCTGAGCCCCTACCATGACGCCCCGGGCTTCAATGTCTCCACCGGGAACCCCCAGGGCTGCGAGCTGTCGCAGGTGCACATCCTGCACCGCCACGCGCAGCGATACCCGACCCCGTACGAACTCGACGGCGAAAGCATGGAGGCGTTCGCGCAGAAGCTCCAGAACTACCGTCTGCAGCACCCCAACGAGACGCTGGGCACGGGGCCTCTGGAGTTTCTGAATGAGTGGAAGTACCTGATGGGCGAGGACCTTCTGCTCCCGTCCGGTGCGGCGACTGAGGCGACCTCTGGCGCCAACTTCTGGAACAAATACGGCCGGCCGTTGTTTCGCGCCCCGGCCGGCCTCGCCGACTGGGATGCCTCGCTGAATGTCTTCCCCAATGGCACGCAGCGGCCGAAGCCGATTTTCCGGACGACGGGACAGGCGCGCATTTTGGAGAGTGCGCGGTGGTGGTTGAGTAGGTCGACCTTGTGTTCATAAACATCAACCCATCAAACAGTTTCATGCAGATAACTGACCGGAGACACAACTGGGTGATAGGTGGATTCTTCAGCAGCACCAACGCCAACAACTCCGCCAGTCAGTACGACCTGGTCATTATGCCCGAGGGCAGTGGCTACAACAACACCTTGGCGGCGTCCTGTCCGCAGGCGAAATATGAAGGGTAAGCCGCCCTTGTACTGTAGTACCAGGATCCTCCCCCCCCCCAGGCCTGGCCTTCAACCAACCCAACCCAACCCAATTGAAACACTACAACGCTAATTCAATCAACAACAACAGAGACACATCCGCCACCAACTTTCTCGAAACCACCACCCCCAGCATCCGCACGCGCCTCACGCCCTACCTGCCCCCCGCCCTCGCCGCCAACCTCACCACCCTCGACATCCTGTCGATGCTCAACCTCTGCCCCTACGAGACCGCCGTCCTCGGCAGCTCCGCCTGGTGCCCTGTCTTCACCGCGGCCGACTGGGCGAACTACGCCTACAACCTCGACCTGCAATTCTACGGCGACTACGGCTTCGGCTCCGCCTCGGGCCGCGCCCAGGGGCTGGGGTGGGTGCTCGAACTCGCCGCGCGCCTGAACAACAGCCTCATCACGACGCAGTCCGCCAACATCAACCTGACCTACGACTCCAACCCGGCGACCTTCCCGCTGCACCAGAAGCTGTATCTGGATATGTCGCACGATGATGTGATTGTCTCGGTGTTGACCGCGCTCGGGGTGGAGTATTTTAATTTCGGGCCCGCGGGGTTGCCGGGGGATGTGGCGGTGCCGCCGTCGAACCGGACATTCAGGTTGCAGGAGATGACCCCGTTCGGGGCGCATCTGGTGGGGGAGGTGTGGAGGTGTCCCGTCGGCACGGAGAGGAAATTGGGCGGGGAGACCTTGTATGTCAATCCCGAGGTGGAGGAGGGGGATGGGGAGGAGTGGATCCGCTTTGTGTTGAATGGGAAGCCCCTGCCACTCAAGGGGGTGAGTGGTTGCCAGGAGGATGTCAGGTCGGCGGCGGAGGGGTTCTGTGCGGTCCCTAAGTTGCTCCAAGGGGTGAAGGAAATGGTGCGGTTGGCGGAGTGGGATCGCGCATGTTTGGGGAACTATACCGGTGGGCATCAGGTGGCTGATGGGCGGCCGGAGTAATCTTGGCTTGTTGGTTTGTGGGTTTGTGGGTGTGAAGCATACGAGATGAGTGGAGATGCATACAGTATGAGTAGAGATGCATACAGTAGAATCCTGCAAGTTCTATCGAATAAGTCTAAACGCTGGCGGGGGGGTATCTACTAAACAGTAACAGTAACCAGTACCAGAAGCTGCGGATCAGCCCGGCAAATCAATCTATCGCTATCGCTGGTAACAAACGCACATCAAGACTAAATGCCAGCTTTAGTCGCGGACCCACAAAACCCCTCTCACGAATATATGCTGCAAAATCAAGGCCCATTGTCGAAGATTAGGTATTAAGTAGAAAAGATGACGCTCAAGGCAGGCCATCGTCAATGGCCTCATCGGACAGCTGCTCGTCGTCGGACAGCTCCTGCTCCGAAAGCGACCCGTCGGACAGCGTCTCGGACGCCCCGGAGCTCGGGAGGGCAGGCACCACATACTCCGGGTCGTTGAGGTCATGCATCTCCTCCGGGGCGAGCACTCGGCCCCCCAGTTGCACGTCGCTCACATGGACTCGGTACTCCAGCGCCCGCTGGCCCTCCTTGATGAGCTCCTCCGTCCACCCCAGGCATCGCTTGAGGCTCTGGTTCATCCGCTGACTGTCTGCGAGCAGCTCCTGATGTTTGGCCAGGTCGAGGAGGAACCGTTTCTCATCCCGCGGTCGATGGCTCGCATCCGGTTCGGCCTGCGAATCGGCCGGGCTCAGCACTCCCGAATCCGCCATCGAGTCCTCCTCCTCGTCGCTCAAGTCGGACAACTCCTCCGGCGACGACCGCGGGGAGGAGCGCTCGCTGTGGGCTTCATCAACCTCACTGTGAATGGACAGCGTGGCAGACGCAGATCGAGTCGACTGTGCCATGGACAGCCGCCCCGATCGACTCAGCCGTCGGTATCGTCGGAGTTCCGCGTTCTGCTTCCGCATCTCGCGCTCCAGGGTTCGGTTGATGGCCAGCAGCGACGAGTTGCTGATCTCCAGATCCATGATTTTCCGCTCGGTCCGCGCATTCAAGGCCACCCCGTTGGAAGCGGGTCCGCCACTCTCCGACTTCGACGGGCTCTGCATGCCGGAACCATGCGTATCGACGGAGGCGATCGACCCGTTGCTGAAGACGCGCGGACGGAGCCCCGGTAACGGGTCGGTCGCGATGCTGCTGGTATCGAGCTTGGGCTCGGAGGGAGATATGATTAAAGGGCTAGGCCTCAGGCCTTCTTTGTGGTGGGGATGAGGCGGGGTCCCATTGGTGGCCGAGTCCACGCTGGACGACTTGAGATGACGCACCGCGGGGATAGGTCGGGCAGAGACAGTGCTCAACGGAGGGCTTTGCGGAGTGAGACTCGGTTCTGAGGGCTCTTCCAATTGAGAGCTAACCTGAGACGTCAGCCCATCCGACAAGCGGGGGTTCGAGTTTACCCGGGCAGGGCGTAGTCGCGGCGACGGAGAGGCCGGCTTCGAGGAGACCACCGAGCGTGACAGCGATCGACGTTTGTACGGGGTTGGTCCGGTACCAACATCACTCGCCGGGGCCGGTCGCTCCTCCTGTCCATTGGCGTAGACGAATGTGGTCGCGGAAGCTGATTTGCTCGTCAATTTAGGCCGCACATCTGACTCGGATGACGAAATAGTGGATCGGGCATCACTGGCGTGAAAGAACATGGGAGATGCAGAAGCATTTTCGGAGGATATAGTAGGTCGCGGCAGGTAGTTCGATTCGATTGCCACTGGCTTGGATCGGGCGACTTTGGGGGGTTCCAGCATGGCCCCCCGGACGGGGCTCCGCTCCGTGCGGAACCGCCCCTGAGAACCCCCCTGAGCCACGCTGGGCTGTGCCCAGCTCACATGGAGCGAATTGGTACCATTCGAGGAGAAAGTACTCGGCGAAGAGGTCGTCCCATCTCGTCTGCTGGCGCGGGAGCCGGATCGAGGGGTCACGTTGGCACTGAGGAGGGAGGGCTCCGGCTCCCGCCGACCAAGGGCCGAGGAGGGATGCTCGGAGGGGGTCGAGCGATTAGGGGTGCGATAACCCGCGGGCGTAGCGAGTCGAGGGGTTAAAGGAGATTTAGATTGGGTGCGATGAAAAGCTGCACTGAGGGCGGGGGTTAGAGGTTTGGCGAGATGGCCGTGGGATTGTTTATCGGAGGTCATAGTGGTGGCGATCGAGGGGCGGAATGGACAGGAGGGCGACTTATGGCATTGCGATGCTCCAGGAGATCTGCAAGCATGATGGCACCAGCCGGCCACGGATTGCAGAAATGAAGGCCGTCAGAACGAGGCAGATGGAAAATTGAGAGGAGAGATAAGCGAAGTACGAAGAAAAGAGAATTCGTGTGGGTTTTTTTTGGGGGGAAGGGGAGGGGGGGAGAAGGGGAGAAAGAAAGTGTGGGTGGAGTTTAGTGGTTGATTTAGTTGTTGTTGGCAGCAGTCGACAATTAATGAAGATACGATGTTTTGGCCGAACAAAAACATTGCTTTCCCAATCCGGCTAGCTTCATCCCGCCGCCCGCCTTTTGGTTTCACCGCCGCATTTGACAGACAAACTTCCAGTGCACTACCGCGAGTATCACTACTCCGTATGGAGTATCTCCCTCTCCATCAAGGCCTTCGGAGAGAAGAGTCATTGCGGATGAAACTGCTGATACAAGCATCTCTCACCAGATCACAGCCCGAAATCTCCCAGCCTCCGTCTGCCCCTCGCGCACTACATGGGCTGATGCAACTGCCCCCCGATCGAGCCCGAAGCTTCAACCCAGCTTAGTCAACGGGGTGGCTACGGCGATCACCCCATGTTCCGTGTGTTCCAACATTTCCTCTGCGCCCGGGTTCCCCTCATTCCCTCCGTGCGGCTCGCGAGTTGATCAGATCAGATCAGGGCATAGTTGACCCCAATTTACCTCTGATCTCATGGGAAATGCCCGATCGGCCCATATTTAGGGCACGTAATGCCCCTCCACTATGGCAGCCACGCAAGGGATGGCCTGCATCTCCGTCGCCTGCGTCATCTGACAGTCCACAGTCCTTGATTCTGGTGATGAATCTGGGGTGGGAATGTAGTCTGCCAAGTGGGAGGATTGAGATCTCCGAAGGGATCACATAGTCGGCTTGAATGCCAGCCATTGCTGGGACAGACCCATACCCATGTGGCTGTTGATTGATACTGTACTCTGCGCCGTAGCCTTGCTCTGACTGCTGTGAAGTCATCATTCACAAAAAGAGCCATCGATCTCTGGCTTCCCCTGGTCTAGCCCCAGCTCCCTGGCTTCAGGAATGCGATGCTGAAATAAGCAGTCTCATAAGTATCTGCACAGCACAAACCTTTATTTCTCTCAGCCTGAGATGCTCTAAGGCCCATGTTTGGTAGGTACACCGAAAGTTGTATTGTTTTACTATGCTCGAGCACGACCAACCAACCACTTGAAAGATGATACTGCTGTGTTCTTCGCGATTGACCGTTCCAAAAGAGTCAAAGATTGATCGCACTGATTGGATGCTTGGGACGTGCTCAACCCTTGGCATGTCGCAGTAGTCCGATTCATCTTGATCAAATCGCTCGTCAATATGCATAGCCACATGAGAGACTGACACCAAAGATACCGACGGGTAGATGGTGCCGGAAGATAGATTCTAGACTGCGGCTTATCTCGCAGAAGCCCTACAGCTGGGGGTGCTATAGTGCCTCGGCATCGGCATCGGAATCGGTCTGGAGCCAGACGCTTGATGATAGCGGACACGAGAGAAATCAGTGACAGCAAAGCAGTGTGACTGGCGTAAAGATGCTTTAGCATCCTAAGGCGTGCTTATGGTCGGCTCCCTGTGCTTCGATATAAAGAAGCGGAGATCATGGGCTCGGTTGGCACTTTTTCTGCATCCTCTGCAGCGACAATCGAGATAAAGGACCCGGACATTCACAATGCCGATCCGCAACATACACCCAGATGATAATTTCGGTGCGTATGTTCAAGATGACCTCGTGCAGAGCATTCTTCAGCGCCAATTAGAAGGATTGCCGTCAAAACCAAAAGGCACCGTGCTCAACTACGTGGGACGACTCGATTTGCTTCTCCTTGTGATAAGTATAGTTTCGGCCACACTTGCTGGTGCACTGAACCCCCTACTCACGATCATCTACGGTCTCGTGGTGCGGTCTTTCCAGAGGCATGCCAATGGCGAGGATGATGGCTCAAAGCTCTCTTCCAATGTCTCAAAACTCGCGTTGTTCAACGTCTATGTCGGAATTGCTGAGTTTGTGCTCATCTACGTCGCCACAGTGGGCTTCTATTATACAGGGGAGCGCATCACCAGAAACCTACGTCGTGCATACCTGAGGGCAATTATACGGCAAAACATTGCCTTCTTCGACACGTTGAGTCCCGGAGAAGTGACAGCACGTATTACCTCGGACATGAACATTATCCAGGAAGGAATTACAAGCAAGATATCAACTTTTCTGACAGCTCTGGCTACTTTCATCTCGGCCGAGGTGATTGCGTTCCTGCAGTCCTGGAAGCTAGCCTTGATGCTATTCACTACCACTATACTGATTGGAGGGGCTGAATTTCTAGGGGCTATGTATGCTATGAAATTCAGCCGACGGAGCTCAGCCGCTCTGAATGAAGGGTCCTCTGTGGTTGAGGAAACCCTAAGCTCTATGCGGCATGTTTTTGCGTATGGAATACAGGATGCCATGCGTGAGCGATACATGAGATATATCGATATCGGGGAGAGATGGGGACTTAAAGCGCGGCTGTCGATAACATTCATGATCGGCGTCATGAATTCAGTGCCGTATCTAAGCTACGCTCTGGCGTTTTGGCAAGGATCTCGCTACGTTGTCATGGGGGATATGAGCGCCTCAGCGGTGGTCATTACGACCATGGCGATCATTATTGGTTCTTTCGCGGTTGGTCGGGTTGCCCCTAGTGCCGAGTCATTTGTCAAGAGCATTGTTCATTCCGGTGCCATTCTGAAAGCTATTGCTCGCCAGTCTCCTCTTGACCCACTGGCGACGGATGGACAAAGCCTACCAAGCGTACATGGCGACCTTGAATTGCACGATGTGAGCTTGGCATACCCATCGCGGCAAACTGTGCAGGTCCTCGATCAGATATCGATGCGCTTCCCAGCAAATAAAACGACCGCCCTGGTGGGGGCATCTGGCTGCGGAAAGAGCAGTATTGTCGGACTCTTGGAGCGTTTCTATGAGCCGACCGGGGGTTACATCAGTGAGTGGCAATTGCAGATACTTTTGATTTATTGGCTAACCCATTGTATAGCCTTGGATGGTGTCGACCTCACGCTTCTCAACCTGCATTGGTTACGGCAGCAAATGTCCTATGTCGTGCAAGAGCCGGTTTTGTTCAACCGAAGCATTTTCGACAATATCATGTTGGGATTAAAAGACCTTGATACACATAGGACCATGCTCGAGGCCAGAGAGCTGGTGCATGCAGCTGCACGCGTCGCACACGCTCATGACTTTATCATGGCTCTACCGCAAGGCTATCATACAGAAGTGGGCACGAAGGGTTTGCATTTGTCGGGCGGCCAAAGACAGCGTATATGTATTGCAAGGGCGGTTATCAGCAATCCCAAGATCCTGCTACTGGATGAAGCTACGTCTGCCCTGGACTCAAAGTCCGAAAAGGCCGTCCAGCTGGCCTTGAACTCAGCGGCCAGAGATCGTACAACTATTGTCATCGCTCACAGGTTATCGACTATCCGCAATGCCGACAATATTATCGTCATGGATAAGGGCGTTGTCCTTGAGCAAGGGGAACACGAAGAGTTAATGAGCCTGAAAGGGGTCTATGCACGTCTCGTGGAAACACAGCAGATTGACAGTGAGACTGAAGATGAAACGATTGATTTCCGCTCGGACACAGAAACAACTTTGAGCGATGGCAAGACTGGGCCTATCCAAGTCTCACCTACCAGCGACTTTGTTTACGACAGCATAGCCAATGGCCACGAGCGCCTTCAAGACTCTAGCCCATCATTTAGGACGTATTTTCGGGTTGTAAGCAAGCTCAATAGAAAAGAAGCACCATTGATATTCGCCGGACTACTACTCTGCGTTCTCACAGGGTTTGTCATTCCAGCGTAAGTAGCGACCGCATGCTGCTTTGCTAGCGACTAACATATAGAAGGCAAGCCATTTCTTTCGCCGAATCAATCAGCGCTATAACCCTTGCACCCGAAGAATATCACAAGCTTTTCCATGAGATTAAGAGGTGGTCCATAGTGTTTGCAATCATTGCTATATTTGCCTTCGTCACTTGGATAAGTCAAGGGATCTGCTTCTCCCGGTCTACTGAACGACTCACGCACAACACCAGACACGAAGCCTTTCGGTCCATCCTTAGCCAGGACATTGCTTTCTTCGATGAGAAGAGAAACTCACCTGGCGCCCTGACCTCCTTCGTTTCAACCACGGCTACGGACATTACCGGTCTCAGTGGACCTATCATCGGCTCCAGCCTCACCTTCCTCTCCACCCTGACCATATGCATTACGGTTTCTCTTGTCGTCGGCTGGAAGCTGGCGTTGGTCTGCACATCCACGATCCCATTTGTGGCAGGATGTGGCTACGTTCGCCTCCGAGTTCTCGCACTATTCGATCACAGGGTCCGGAAAACACACGAGGAGGCCGCTATGTTTGCGATGGAGATCATAACAGCAATTCGATCGGTGGCCTCACTTACCCTCGAGCAACACTTCCTGGACGAATACACTGCCATTCTCTCCCGCGAGGCTGCTCAATCCAGGAAGTCGATCCTCAAAGCCTCAGCCCTGTACGCTGCATCGCACTCTTTCACCTTCTTCTGTGGTGCTCTGGCCTTCTGGTACGGTGGCACACTCCTTGCAAAGAATGAATACACCATCCTGCAGTTCTACATTTGCTTCGGCACTTTGATCTCCGGCGCTCAAATTGCAGGTGCAGTCGTCTCCTACGCACCAGACATGAGTAAAGCGCTGCATGCGGGCCAGGAAATGTACGGACTGTTCAACCGTACCCAGACGATCGACGCCAGGGATGCAACCTGCCAACAGCATCCCACTCTGCTCACAGACCCCCATGCCATTGAGTTCCAGAACGTCAGCTTCAACTACCCCTCCCGACCTTCGCACCCGGTACTCCAGAACTTCTCCCTCACCATCCAGCCCGGCCAATTCATCGCCCTGGTCGGGCCCAGTGGCTCCGGCAAAACCACCGTCCTCCAGCTCCTCGAGCGCTTCTACCGCCCCACCGCCGGGCGGATCCTGCTCAGCGGCGTCGATATCTCGGAGTTGGATGTTCACGAGTACCGGAAGACGTTTGCCCTGGTCAGCCAAGAACCGATCCTCTACGACGGCACCATCCGCGAGAATCTCCTTCTCTGCGGTGTCGACACACCCACCTCCATCGACGACCAGGAGATTGTGAACGTGTGCAAGGAGGCGAATATCGACGATTTTATTCTCTCTCTTCCGTAAGCAGACCCTCTTATCCTCTCCTCACCCCCCCTCCCCCCCGGCCTTGCCCACAGATCACACCCTGCAGATCACACCCTGCAGATCACACCCCTAAATGTACCACGTACTCCCAGCTGATGTATAATCACACGAAGCGACGGCCTCAACACCCGCATCGGCACAGCAGGAACCATGCTCAGCGGCGGCCAGAAGCAGCGTCTTGCGCTCGCGCGGGCATTGCTCAGGAACAGCCCCGTACTGCTGCTGGACGAGGCGACATCGGCGCTGGACAGCGCGGCAGAGCGTCTCGTGCAGGAGGCGCTGGATCGCGCGGCCGACACCCGAACGACGGTGGCGGTCACGCATCGGTTGCGGACGGTGCAGCGGGCGGACTTGATCGTGGTGATGGAGCATGGGGCAGTGGTGGAGAGGGGAAGCCATGCGGAGTTGATGGCGAGGCGGGGATTGTATTGGGAGATGGTGGGGATGCAGCGGTTTGAGGTGGGGGTAGTTTAGATTGTCTGGTATTTACTCCTCTGGTTGGGGCGGCTGTTGTTGTTGGTTCAATTGAGGATGCTACTGCTCGGATTTTCTTTGTGTCAGGGAAGTTGGTATACGTAGTTCAATAGGAACTTGGGGGTCCTGGATGAGAAGCGTTGTAGTATGCCTGGGAATGAGTATGTAAGTTATGTGCCTTGCTCAGGGTGGTGCTTGCTTGCTACCTCGCCCGTGCGTTCTCTCTGCCTCGAGTTAGTCATGAATAAGGTACTCTCCTGAAGTCAATCACAGAGAGGTATGTTCCTTCCATGAATCCTAGGCCCAGTGTGCAACCTTGCCCCTCCAACTCCAACGAAGACAACATTGACATTCCTAGACAGATCCAGAAAAACCAAGTACATCCAACCACACCACAAACCCATTCATTGTATATAGTACATCCACCCCTCATCCCCCCCCCTCCCGCCTAAAGCCCAAACCAACCCAATCCACAAGCAACTAGGTATACCACCAGAAACCCAATAAGAGAACTAACCACAGATACTACCTAACACAATACCACTTTACACACATATGCACAGTGCTTCAAGATATGCCTCCCGAGGGGCCAAGCGGCGCAAGCCCTAAACCTCAGGCACCAAATAAAGTGGGTCAGTCCGCTATCACCAACTCTCCGCCAGACACCACCAACAATCGCCGCGGTGGTGTAGTGGTATTAACATTGCAGAGCCCCCGACTTCGAGAGCGGGTGGAGTGCAGATTCTGGGTTCGAGTCCCAGTCGCGGCATTTTTTTCTTCTTTTTTTCGCTCTCTGCTGGGGTGGGAGGCGTCATGGAGGCGTCATCGTGGAAGGGTGTTCCGGTCTACATATTACATACGTATTTGGGAGGTGAGGTTGGAATGGAGGAGGAGTGGGGGAGAGAGGGAGGGAGGGTGAGAGAGTTTCACGGCTAGGGATGAGCCTTATGGTGGATTGGGATGGGGCTTAGTTCAATTTGGCTTGGTTTTATTACACAGAGTGGGAGTTGTACTTCGGGTGGAGAGAGAGGAAGAGGCGAAGAAAGGAGGAGGATGTGAGAAGGGGAGGAGAATGTAATGAGATTTGTGGGAAAGAGGCACAATCTTCGATCTTGCTTCTTATATTGACTAGGTTTATATTGAATAGGTACTTGGATGAGATGTCATTTACTAGTGATTTAGGCCCAAGGTCAAAACAGCGGCATATCGCTCGCTTGTGGGGTTATGATTCTTACTGAGAGATACCTGCAAAGCGATTGCAAATGTCGCAGGCATGCTTGGATCTGGAACAGAGGCGGTAGGCTCTATGTCTATCTGGATCATGTCCTAGGGACTCTCTGGACCGTCTTATTCAGAGAATGACCGGGCCATCTGAGACGGCAGATTCCTAGATCATGTCTTGTTCTTATTCCCCAAGGGAAAGACTTGACATTGCCTAGTGTGCAAACAATCCCGCCGAGAATTTGTGCTAATTCTGATAGCCGGATCCCGACGAGAGATAGAGTCTTGTTGGGTCGGGATAGCTGGGCATAATATGCCTTGAACTCCCGGTATCGATGCTCATAAGGGCCCAGAGGCGAGTAATATCCCTCGGGCGGTTCACGCTTTAGCTGCAGATCTCAAGCCCACCAGCCTTGTATATCTGGATGTCTCAGGTGCGGGCAAAGTCCCGGGTCCTCGCCACAGAATTGGCGAAGCACGAATGGCCCCTATCAGGATAGCGGAATGTGGCTTTGTTGTGCCAGCCCGTAAATCCTATCTTGGTTGGGCTCTGGGTAGTCCTAGAAGAAAGCGCATCCGGAGGTAGCTGAGAGCAGCACGAAACTGTTTCCCGAGGGCAGTCAGTACATACCACCTGATAGTTTCATACCGACAGACAAAAGATTCCAACTTGTTTGCTTCATCAAGCACACCACAAAACACACGAAGCATCTGCAGTTCACCAGCAGCAATGGGGTGCATGGATCCAGAACCCCACTCTCGAAGCGGGGCCGCAATTAGTCTGCTTGCCAACCAACACAACGGTCGGTCCACTTCTCCAAGACGATATATGTGCAACGAGACCATTATTGACACCGGGGACTCCACACGATGTGAGTCTCGTGAGTGGGAGCCAAAGAGGAAAGCTCAGGATGGACGCGGACCGTGGCAGTAGCTTACCCCCAACTACCAGCTAGGAGCCCTTGCATCTCTGTCGCGCAAGGAGTGGGAAGAAACAGGAATTAGCACCTGTTGGTCATCCATTTCGATCTATTTCTGATCGTCAATCGCGAGAAGTCTTCTGCCAGGGTCGATTCCAATCGGAGTAATGTGGTTCTTGGAGCTAACTATCAATAAATGATCACTGGACACTAGTGGGAGGGGCATCGAGAACTGCAGCAGTACTATAAATGTGGCACAAACATGAAGTGGAGGTTAGCTTGAGAGGGTCTAGAGTTCATGCAAGTCACTTGCCCAAAATAAATGCCACTAATTTGCATCCTGGCCTGTCCGCATATTGTAAGCTCGGTGGGATAAAAATATCCCTAATTTTGCTGACTTGAGCGATGCGCTAAGCCCCAACCAACAGGTTTTACCTGCGCAAAAGCAACGGACTCCGGAGTAAGCTGGACTAAGTGTCCGGTTGAGGTGATATTAATAGGATGATTGTCAGTCCAGCTCACCAATCATGCTACGAAGCAGAGATTCCCAACAGGTTGGTTTAGACAACACAGCCCTTGACCGGGGTGCACAGCGGTGAGATTCCATACCGATGGAACGTTTCATGTGGGCGTCAATAGAAAGCAAACTGTTTCAACCAACCGCGTACTAGTCAAACAACGTGACATGCGTGCTCAACTTTCTCGAATCGAAGCAGTTACAATACTTAAGGCTGCCATGTGCGGCATCTCCACCCAGGTGAAACATTGCCATTGTTTTCGGCATCCTTGTCGATGGCTTCAACGGCGGACTACCAGACGAGCGCCACCTTGACGCCCTGCACGGGCCACATCGACAGGGAGCCGGCCCCAAAGGCTGGCGCTGAAGGCACCATGACGGAGCAGCTGGCATTTACTCTGCTGGACGAAAAGACCCTGAGGAGACTTGAGCACGTGGTACGCTTGTACAATGCCGGCAAGCCGCTTTTCCCCCGGGCACTGCTGGAAGATCTCGACCGGCAGATCGAAGAGGGCAGGGAGGAGATCCGCATCAAGGATTTCGATGATGTGGTAAGCACATATAGTCGAAGTGTCCCCGCTGTCTGCTTGGACTTGGCGTGAGTGCTCTATACATGTTAGTCACATTGGTATCATGCCTGGTCTAACAACCGCCAGTACAACATACTGCATCGGATACAGCAGCATTCAGCTTCTGACCTACGTTCACCCTTCATGTGCCATGATGATGTTTGCGGACAAACCTCCAGTGTCCATCCTATACACCCGACATCCCGAATTCTCGGAAGGCACCATCGAGGGGCTGGACTCAACTTTTGCCAGTGTGCGCGAACATTGGCGAGAAAGTGAGACGTGTCACGAATTGGAATCCCATCTGACGGCCTCGCAATTCTCACTTCCCATACGCAAGATTGTGGCTTTCGGCCTCGGGACTCTGGATCAGAGCCACAATGGGAGGATATCCACGCGTTCATACGTCCAGCATGCTGCCGTGGAGACAATGGCGACCGTGCTGGCTCGCAGTGGGGTCAGTGGAGGGCAGACAGTCGACTGTTATGTTCAGGACCCTTGGTACAATGAGAATGATGTCAGATTCCTCCAGAGCATAGGACTCCAGCCACTAAACGACCCGAAAGGGTTCCTCGAGATCGATGAACATACCTTGGTGTTCTCGGTCTGTCCGAATGTGCCCGTGAAGCAGATAGTCGCGGACCTCCAGTGGCCTGGTGCCATGGTCTGGAATAGCGTTTGTGGAGAAGAAGAGAAGAAGCAGTGGAAGAGACGATTGCGAAATGGCGAGGAGTTCTGGATGGGGTAAGTGCATGCCTTGTTGATGCCTGAGGAGACTTCCGCTGATGGTTAATACTTTTCATACTTCATAGCCCGCTCGCCACGGATCCTGACTCGGACCGCGTATGTGAGATGGTTACTCACTATCAAAAAGTCGCATTGCATGATCCAGAGGACTATTTTGGTGACCTCTCCCTTTACACCAGGGTTTGACGTGGATCCTTGGAGGTTTTCTAATGAATCCTTCTTCTGTTCCTTTATCTTTCCGTATGTGATACTTTCTCAGATGAGTCCAGCTGACGCCAATGTTTATGCCCCATCAAAGAGATTCAGTATTCGATTGTAGATGTTGAGTATACTTATCACTTGTAAGTAAAGGGACGAGAAATGATTGTCCAGGGGGGCATCACGCTAATCCCTCTCGGGTAAATTGTTGCAGAGAGTCCTTGTCGAGGACGGGGAATATGCCCCGATGCCGGAGCGATCGGCACCGCAAGTATAGTAGTAGCGCGCAGTCCACTTGAAATGCAAAGAATGACAGTTGTCGTCGAACCTCGCTTCGAGTTTCGCATCTTTACTACCTTATATCTTAGCAGAACCATATGCGTGGCAAGAAATCAAAACATGAGAGAGCTTCCGGTAAACACGTCGCGTCAATATGTATTTTTTGAGTTGGGTATCAAGACATGTTCAATCATAATTCCTCTCCAAACACCAGTATACGTAGAAAATGGTACGGAAAGTGAAATCTCCAACTGTCTAGATTCCTAGTGATCTTACGCCTGAGGAAGACTACCACGGTCGGTCCCAGGTCGTATGATTGAGTAGTTCGAAGAGTCCGTAATCACCAGGCAAATGACTCCACGGGGCCAGACCTCCCCCACCGCCTGCTTGCCAATCGCTGCCACCTTCATAGGTAGGAACCTCTGCCAAATCCGATTCGACGACGAGGTCTTGCGTCTCGAAACTATTCTCCGAGCTCCCGCCCGACCGGGACGTTACCTGTGAGGATATCGATGGACATAGCCGTCGTAGGTTATTTCCAATGAAAAGAGCCGGATGCCACGACGTCGATAACTCATCCAGCACAGTGATGCAACACGCTAAGTAGTGCGCATTAGACGGACTCTCCTGGTCTTCGAGAAGGGCCACAGCGGCGCACAGCGTGGAATGCATGGCAGACATTGGACTGCGATGAAAACTCTGGAAGACACGGCGGTATTTCTGACCGGTAGCACATATCCCCTTGGCGGACTCGCGCCGGACCGACTTGGCTACAGCCATCGATTCGCTTGATCCCTCTGCGCGTTTATGTTCGAGTGAGTGAGCCAGGAAAGGCCGAGTGAGGAGGATTCGTGCGGTATGGTAGATCATATGTAATGTATAGACGTGGGGGACATCGTTCGCGCGGTCGATTCGGAGCTCCTGGGGCAGGTCATAGAACCACGTTCGTAGGTCGAGGAGGCAAGTGCGCAGAAGGTTGAATCGCTCGTGGGGTTTCGTGAGGTGTCTCGGACCCCATCTGCCGGGTCAGTATATCGTGCTGGCATGGTAGATGACTAGACGTACAGTGAGGATAATATTCTTTCCTTTATGCGACACAGAGCTATCATGGCTCTTTGCAAAGGGATTAAAATCTTTTGGATGTTCTCGGGCGTGTGGCTAGTGGCATGCTGGTCCTCTTCGATTGCTGCCGGTAAGTCAACCGCTGCTTGTTGATCCTGTCTTTGTCAGATGGCGTGCCGATTTCAGTTCGCCGAAGTGCACGTACGAGCATCGAGCAGACCCGCCCTGTGTATGTGGCGAACAGCTTGTCATGACAGTACAATGCCCAATAGACTTGCCGTCTAAGTCGGAGTTCACGCGGAGTCATTGTTGTCGTTCCTTTAAAGCCCGCGGGATCCATATTCAGCCCAATATCAAGGCTCAGTCGGTTGGCCATCCCATGATGCAACCATCCAGCTGCGTCTGAACCCACAGCCTTTGACGTCATGGTTAGCATAGAGTATAAGAGATGAGTGAAAGACGTACGATGTAATACAAGCCAATGTTTCCCAGAGCCTGGATAGTCAGAAGGTTTGGATGCTCCATCTCCTGATGGAGCAGCGTTTTTGCCCTTTCCAAAAAAGGCTGTCCGGCGGTATTGGAGTCACTAGGATCACTCCGAACCTCCGGGCTATCTGAATACCGGGCTCCAACTGCAAGTAAAGAGTAATGGAGGAGAAGACTCCAATACGGGCCCCGTGTCTCTAGACTTTCACGAAAGAGCGTCTCATCCACAAGAGGATACCAAGGTTGCTCCCAGGCGAAGTAAAGATCGACTAGCTCGTCCTGGAGTGCTTTGGAGATCCCGGATTCCTCGATCGTGGGGTCTGCAATGCGAATATTCAGGAACTCATCGATACTTTGCAGGACGGGTTCTACTTCAGGAACGGCATAAGCGTTTTCCTGTCTATCTTCCTCGCCAGGCTCCGGGGATTTGAACTGGAGTCGTCCGCTGGTTGGTCCAAAGTACCTCATCTCCCCATCCTGGTCAAAGTTCATGGTTTCATCGAGGGACAAGCGACCTTTGAGATATTGGCATAGCTCATCTACCGATGGGCTCATGCTAAATATCTGCGGATCCTCGCCAGTGTGAACGGCTCCCGACTCACGGGTGGCGGAGACATCATGGTCTGTCCTAGGATCGATACCATGGATTTCCAGTAACTTCTCCAGTGATGCGATGCGCTGACGCAACAGGAGCACATAGGACTTGGGAGCGGGCCGACGCCCATCTTCCGTGCCAGAGTACTGACAATGGGCATTGTACTGAGCACATCTCGAACAGCGAGGTTTCTTCCCATCACACTGTCACATGTTAGTCAGCAGGCATCTGAATCGCAAGGCAGTGGCCATACCTTCGCTTTCCGTTGACGACATTCCTCACAAGCTTTGGTGGTGTATCTTCCCCTTGCTCTAGAGGCAGCCTTTCCTTTGATGGGTAGCTCCGTGGATGACATGCTGACACTTCATAGTTGAAGTCCCGAATGGGATGATTGGAAACGATGAACCATTCACGAAGCATTTGCGATGCGAAGTATTGGACAGATTTGTCAGCACCAGGCGTCATCGCTGTGTTGGCCTTGGCATAGCCGAATAAGGCTAGCGTGCTTCGCTTCCAATCCCTCAATGAATGCAGCTTCACCGAACGACACTCGCAAGTTCCTCAACTACTGTGTTCAATCTACAGCATCATATATACATCCGAGTAATCTTAGATTGCTCTATTGACCTTGACCTTGATTACAGTTCTGTCTATATGCGCCTCGAAATGCACGGATCCCTTACTTGAAGTGCCTGACAGAGGGAGAGTGAATGGAAACCCAAATGCCGCGCGTGCTAATCATTCAAAGCCCGATCATGCAGTTCGAGCTTTCAAGCTAAAAGCGTGCCCCTTCAGCTTCACCTGTAGCTAATGCTACGGCGACAACGGTGTCCGAGGCATGGCTGATGGTCACTTCGATGTTGCTAATACCTTTCGATGCTGCAACAGCATGAGCATTGCCATGAAGCTGGTGATAGTCAGTATGATATAGCACGAAACAAGACTTCTGCTGGGGCAGCTAACCGTCACACTGGGAATACCATTGGTATTCACAATCTCTATCTCATTCATTGATACACCGGCCCCTCTGGACGGGGTTTGCAGACTCTTGAAGACGGCTTCTTTAGCGCTCCAACGGCCTGCGTACGAGGCGCGGGGATTCGGTGCTTTCCGACAGTACTCGCGTTCCCTCCATGTGAAATTCCGGTCGATGTAGTTTTCGTTCTCTATGTTGATGCTGGCGATTTCCTCTACATCGACCCCAACAGTGACAGATGAAGCCGCTTCAGCACGTCGGGTTACATCTTCGACCATCGATTGGACGATTGCAGATACTCTCTTCGATCTGTCGGCTGTTGATGTCACTTCCGGGCTAGGGATCTGGACGCTAGGACTGCAATTTGATGCACTATCAACGAATCGAGAATAATCTTTGGCAAGGCGACTGTTCTGATTGAGAAACACATCGCGCATATCGTGACTGTCTTTCCACGGGGCGGTGTTTTTGACCTGAACCATCGTGTTCTTCAACAACCGCGAGATGTACTCTTTGGTCGCAGTTCGTTGTCGCCTGTTCACCTGGGTGCGGTATTTCTCGAAGACTTCTGTCGAGAGAGACGCAAATAGATACCTCGGCGCGACCAAGACGTTGATGGCACCTTTTTGACCGAAGCCGAATGATGTGAGCATGGTCGCTTTCACCTCTGAAATCGGCAGCGGACTCATGGGATATAATAAATACTCAAATTTGCGCAGTTGCTCATCCACATTGTCGGCATTGCGATTGCCGGGAACAATCCCGTCGCGAAATATCTGCATACAACCGTTCAATTGCCAGGCGCCTGCAGCTCCCTTGGGGTGGCCAGTCAGTGACTTCTGGCAAACGCAGAGCAACGGGTTGCCTTTTCGTCTGCCCAAGTGATGCATCTGCGTATTGATCACGTCTCCCTCGTTGATCTCGTTCGCTTTCGTCGATGTACCATGCATTGATACCAGTCCAATATCGTCTATAGTCAGGCCCCACGCAGCCAAAGCGGCCCGCACAGGTGAAATTGAGGAGTCTTGGAGCCGGATATTGTTCGCCCACCGCTGCTGCGCATCCCGAATTCTTGACTTCATGATCTGCTCCATGCGAGCTTGGCCAACTTGTGGCTCTACACTCTCGCTTGAAGGATAATCCTGTGTATGCTTCTGCTCCGAATAGTGCTGCTGAATGCAGGCCACCTCTTGATCGAAACAGGAGCGTCGGAATCCGAAGTCGAGCAAGGGTGAACTCTGCGCCCGTATCCCTTCGCGTGCCGCAGTGAGAATTCCTTTACCGGGTGCAGGTATTGACCGACCGATTTGATCACTCGCAAGTTGATTGTAGGCTACCACACCATAAATCGGCAAGCCCATCTCAAGTGCAACCTCGGCACTGGTAAGTATCTGGACGCCGCACCCGGCAGCCTCAGCAAAACCGCTGCGTGAGCTTGCTGTCGGACGCGAAATCTCACTCGGTAAACGATCCTTGGCAAGCTCTTCGGCGCTATTGGCTGTGGCCTTGATGTTCGCAAATTCGTACGCTACCTCTTCGCCGTAGTCATCGCATCCGCCCACCAAAGCCATTTTGCATTTTCCGGTCATGATCGCCTCACAACCCGAATCCAAAGATTCAATGGCGGTGGCACAAGCTCCGACTGGAGTCTTAAGAGGTCCGGTCGAGGACAGCAAGAGCATATTGACCCATGCACCCATGGTGTTGGCAAAATGGTCCAAAATGATGTCGCCTCTGATTGGACGATCAAGATACCGGTCACGATACATGGACTGAATAGCTTTACCAGGGCCACCACCAGTGCCTAAGCAGTTGGTCATTTCTGACGGATGAATGTGTTGGTAAATCTCGTATGGGTCCTTGATTCCGGCGGACAGGAACGCCTCAGAAACACAACATAGCGCATATAGGGTTGTTCGATCAACTTGTTGTACGATGTCCTCTGGAATTCCATACCGTGAAGGGTTCCAACCCTTAGGAACTCTACCTCCGACGATCTGGTCAAACGGGATAGATTTGGGGATCATCAGCGTTGCACCTTTCTTGATAAATACCCGGTATTCATCGGACCCCGGGATAGACTGAATAGAAACTTTGTCACCGTGCCTCAACTTGAAGGCCTCGGCTGCGGATTTTGAGCTCTCGAATGGAGGCAGGTCATCTTCGATGGCCACTTCTTGGATGAACTCCTTCCTGGATGGGTCATAACTGTCTAGTTCACTCGGTTCGATCAATCTCAGACCAGTGCCTTTCGATATACAGTTGCCGTATCTTGTCGGAATGTCTTCGTCCTGAACGGGCTCACGAGTCTCCGCGTCGACCCAGCCAACATACGGTTGACCTTCAACTTCACCATCGATATGTTGTATCAGTCCCATGATCCAGACTATCTCGATATAGCCCTCGAGCGAAAAATGGCCTTGGGACTCCATTTCCCACCTCGTATGAGCATTACCCCAGGGCCCCAACTCTGAGAATCCGACCACCACCACAGTGCGTGAGAGGTCTACCATATCGAGAAGATCAGGAAGGCCAGATATCATGTCGTGGTGAGTTGTTAGTGGAGGGAACCCGATTTTCAGGTTCGCACGCTTTCTCTGAACGAGCGCCTCCCTTTGCTGATAGAGCGGAGTCTTGCCCTGGACGGCGATTTGATGGTGACCGTCCTCCCTCATCAAAGCATTCCGTAACTGGTGCTCATTACTCAGCTTCTTTCGGCAACATGCTATCTGCTCTTTGACATTCCACATGGAACCTAGTCCACCCGTCAGGTCAGCATAGATGGGCGCCTCTTCTGCAAGGGTCGTTACACTTGGTGTTAACAACGCCAAGATGTTCAGGGCCATCTCAGCCTGTGTGAAGGTAATCACGCCAAGTTTCTCCATTTCGGCCGCCAACGCATTTGTAGAACGCATCAAGCCTGTGCCACGAGTCCACCCGATAACTGCTCCGCAAACATTGATATAAGTTGACCACGTTTCCGAGTGAAATCTGTTGAACAAGGTTTTTAGCCCAATCTTGGCTTCGGCGTACAAACCATCGCCGCCGAAGGTGCCTTCATTACAGGACATTGGTAGTATTACCGTGGTAGGTCGGGTATCGATACGTCGCTTTTCTTTCTCACGGCGCACAAAGCCAATGAGTCGCAGAATGTTGACCAGCATTGCTCTGAGCGCAACCTCCTGGCGGTCGCCTATAGAGTCTAGCTCCCCTGCCTGCGGGATGGCTGCAAAAGGAACGATATAATCTAGATCACCGCCTACAGGAGAGTCCTTGCTATAGACGTACTGGATCAGTGCCTCGCAGTCATTTTTGCTCGCTTGGTTAAAGGGAAGCAGAGTCAAGGATGCCCCTCGAGAGCCATGCGTCCTAAATGCACCCTGAAAGAACGTCGCGCTGCTGGAAACGGCGCGGCTTGTAGTAACGATGACCTTAGCTCCGCCAGCTAACAGTCCTTGGACCACATGGGCACCAATTGAATCCGGTCCGCCTCCTGTTACCAGAACTGATTTACCGGCATATGTTAAACCAGTGGTAACGCCAGTGTCCAAAGCTGTATGCAAGATCTCCGTTGCTGCCGGATCATATAACCAATCTTGCTCGTCTCTCCGTTTTCTCAGATGAACAAACGGGATTGTATTGAGACCAGCTGCGGTTGACGTGCGCCCTTGACGCACGACATCTGGGTAATTACAGATGTTGCGAGGTATCTCATCGTATTCTCGCTGCCCAGATGCTGAAATCATTGTTCTGGGTCCCATGGGTAGCTGTGTGTGAATGAAAATGGGATCCGCCAATTGCGCCCTGGCGCCGAGACGCAACATCTCATACAAGATCGCCTGTTTGTTACCCACATGAGGTAATGTTGATGTGATGACTTGCTCTGACCACGATGTTCCCAAATGAGCACGTATGATGTCGACGCAGCTAGGCTCCCAACGATTAAAAATCCGACGGAGGCGGTCATCCACGCTAAGTAATGCTGTATCGATATGGCTGGCTGAAATCTCATTCAACCATCGGAAAACGTCCTCTCTGACCCAGTTCCACCAGGAATCATACTGCCGTGCCTTGTTGAGATTGAACATGGGCTTGACGCAATCCAAAAACTGGTCGTCCAGCTCTGCATTCCATTGCTGAAGACTCTTCTCCATGGCTTGTGAACGGTTCGTTATCTGGGTCGTGTCAACATCCAATGTCTGCTCGCCTGACTGAAGGTATGCCTCTAGAACCTTGAACTGCTTCTGAAAAAGTTTTTTATGCTCGTTCTTGAGGGATTCAAACTCAGCCGAGCTCATCATCGCCGTTGATGACGAGCTGCTAGCGCTACCACCTTGTGCGCCCGTAGGAACGAAAGCAATGCCTTCAAACGCAGCATATTGCTCAACAAGACCATCCAGATACGACCGAACTTCATCCGCACCGGAAAGCCTCGACGCTGGCTCCATGGCTGTCGCAAAGCAGATAAGAATGGTGGAATGCGGTTTGTCCAGCCCCCATTTCAGCTGCAGAAAGTCTTGCATAGCAACCTGGTTGAACCCCGCAGGTAGCTTGCTGGACACGAACTTGGAGATTAGCATCGACATTTGTTTCCCAGGCTTGCCTGAAAAGCCACCCTGCAACGCTTCCCCCAGAGCCGTCAGAGACATATCCTCAACTCCATCTGGGACACGTCCAAACTCAGCAACCAGATCACCTGTGAGTTCATTCTGCAATGTTGATTTCCCTGGCTGGTCAGCTTTCTGCGAGCAAAGGTGCGGTGGCCTTTATCCTACCTCCAGATAAATCCCTGATCGTCTTGATCATCGGAACTCGGTCGAAAGGTCGTCGCAACTTCTGTGCGGTCATGGCAAGAGTGATATGTCTTGCTGATAGAACGACGTCTTTGCTGGGGCCATAGGACGTAATGGCTGTAGAAGTTGGCGAGGCTGGCGGGCTCGCTTCGGGGACGCGTGTCTCTTGTTTCTGAGCACGTATATTGGCAGGCACTGAGATATTCTCGCTCTTGGGCTGCACTAGCGGAGAAGCTTTCTGATACTCGTACATTATCCCGGCCTTGTCGTCCATGTACGAAAGGAATTGCAGATGAGCCCACTGAGATGGAGCGTGAGACTTATGGTGTATGGCCGCTGATTTTCTAGCCATATTTGCTAGAGTGGTCCGGGGACCGACCTCGATGAAGCGGCAGATAGCCGTTTTGGCCTTAAGAAGCTCATCTTGTGTCTCGATCCTAGCGATGATGTTCAGCTGCTATGGTGTGTTGATGAGATCCTGATACCGCACTTACCAACGCACTGGGGAGGCCAATTGATATCTACGTTGTCAGCATTGCCACAAAGTTTTCGCCCAATCGTTGAGCGGACCTACGAAAGAAGCTCTATGAACAGCTTGTACGCAAGATCGTTCCGACCCCGGGTGTTGAAGGGACGACTGCTGACTGAGTGATCCATGACAGCGTCAAGTGTCACGGCGAACCCTCTCTGTCGAACAAACACAAGGAGGTTAATGCTGCCTTTAGGGTACCTCAGCAGTATATAGACTCTAGTCGAGCAGGCAGACAGGAATTGGGCACCCAGGTGAATGGAATGGAAAAGTCATTATCGGCAAAACACCATTTCAAAATGGCCCAATGACTAAAACTTGCGACAAATTGACGCGACGTACTGGATTCACAGCGCCGCATTTTGAACTACTGAGGCGTGTCGTACGGGCCTCCTTTCTTGGCCCTAGGGATAGAACCTGGAGGCTTCCTTAAATATCCCCTCATGTTTCGCAAACCTAGCCCGATTCACATAGAGACCCAAAGACGAGTCATAAGCTGACAGTGCCTGTGTATAGAAATCGTATTCGGCAAGACGTGCGATAAAACTCCGTGTGCAAAACTCCGGTCGGTCAAAGCCAATGTATGTGCCTGGAAAGGGGTTGTCAGGTCGATAAAACTCCGGCCTGATGCAGGAGATCCTTCAAAGATTGAGGCTGACAGGGCAAGGGATCCTTGATCAAACGCCCCTGAGCCGACCCCCGATCCATATGGTGCTTGGACTTTGTGGTCGATACGCCAACAAGACAGCCCTACCGGAATATATATGCATTTCACGGGACGGCTTGCCCAGGCGTTGTTAGTCAAGCCGGCCCAATGAACAATTCTTCGATTCGCCAATGCGTTCTTTGCTCGTTAAGGTGAAGCTATCTCTACCAGCATGTACGATTCTATCGACACCCAAGTGCTAAATACTGTGGATGAGAACGTGCTTTGCCGCGCAGGATGGGAAATCTCGACATGTCTATGATGGACCAATGTCCTGCCTACCTCAGCTCCAGCTCCTCTTCTGCGATCGTCATGCGTACCTCGATTCCTTCATCCTCGCCACCTTGTCTGCCCTCATTCATGACGAGTACGCGAGCGACAGCCGTCGAAGTACCTTTGATTTGGAAACATGTCAACCTAACACTGACAATACCCTCGTCTCAATTTCAATTGATTCAATCGCAGAAGGATGCTTTTCTCCAATGTCTAGCGATCAAAGAAGGAGAGAATGAGGCCGGACCAGGTTCAGCGCTGGAATTGTGCTTGAAATATGTCGAGTTCCTCATCCGACAACAATCTTCACGGTCGGCCCTGGTCGCTGTGCTACGAGCATTTGAGTCTCGGTTCTTGCAAGATGACGAAGATATCCACTCCAAGATTCTTCACTCCATTTCAGCTCCCAAGAGTCGGCAGTATTACCTGTCAGTGTATTATCGCGCGGTCGAATTTGCTGGCAACGGGGAGCTCGAGAATCACATCTTTCCTGCGCGCACCCGGATGAGCGCGTTGTTTCAGCATGCTCAAACCAACAGATTTCACCTACTAGCAGTATTTGGAGGACAGGGAGAAGCAAGTCGAACATGCATTCAGGAGCTGATAGATCTTCACGCTACCTACAAGCCAATGTTACATTCTTTCTTCGGCACGGTCGGCGATCTGCTCAACAAGCTTTCAAATCTCCCAGAGTGCCTCTCCTACTTTGGCGCGCAGCCCCTAGATTTGTGTGCCTGGCTCAATAATGGCGCAGCTATCCCAGACAGTATTCGTGTTGCTCAAGCCCCGATCAGCGTTCCGGTGATAGGAGTACTGAGCCTGGCTCGATACTGTGTCACATGCAAACTTCTAGGCTTACACCCTGGCGAGTTGCGTGCGTTGCTCAGAGCCACAACTGGCCACTCGCAGGGACTTTTAATCTCAGCAGTCGTATCAATGTCGGATTCTTGGGAGTCCTTTTATGAGAATAGCGGCCTAGCAGTTGAAGCGCTTTTTTGGTTGGGTTGGGAATGTCATCGAAGCGCACCGAGCACTCTTGCACCACATGCACTCAGTGACTATGCAGACGACTGTAGCATGCCATCCCACATGCTCAGCGTGCGAGGGTTGAAAGTGACACAGCTCGAGTCGATAATAGAACATATCAATCGAGTTCTGCCTTCACAAGGGCAGGTACATATGGCGTTGATCAACGCTCGCGATCAGTTCGTGGTGGCCGGCCCGTCCACGTCTCTGGTGCACCTTCAAAGCTACCTGATGAAGATTGTCAGTTCTGACGAAGATCAAAGTCGGATCCCCTTTAACAGCAGAAAACCATCAATCCAGACTAGCTTTCTACCCATAAGCACACCCTTTCACACCCCTTTTCTTACCGATGCCGGAAATGCACTCAAGAAACGACTCTCAAGGCACCAGATAGTATCCGAGGATCTCAAACTCCCAGTATATCACACAAACACAGGCCAAGATTTACGGGAGACCAAGGGGAACTTGCTTCATACCATATTCGATGCCATCGCGCGGGAGCCTTGCGATTGGCCTACGGCACTGATGGGCTCATTTCAGTCGCCAAATCCCACCCAAACTGCATCTCATATCATTGTCTTTGATCGCGGTGGATTGGGCCCGTTGGTGAAGAAGGTCCAGGAAGGAAGAGGCATCCGGGTCATTCAAGCTAGCGACCTTGACTCCCGCGATGCTGAGATTGGGACCATGCGCGACCTTTTCTCGCCACGCCTCCTAGAAACATCGACAAGAATTCAGAGCTGGAGCCAGCGTTATCAGCCGCGGTTGGCAAATGGAGGCACGGTTGCTCTTGAGACACGCCTGAGCCGCTTGCTGGGTTCGCCTCCAATCATGGTGGCTGGCATGACACCAACCACTGTGCATTGGGATTTTGTTGCCTCCATCATGAACGCTGGCTATCATGTCGAACTGGCTGGCGGAGGATACTACAATAGATCTGAGATGACAGCGGCAATAACGAAGCTGGTCGACAACATTCGTCCTGGTCGTGGAGTCACCTGCAACCTTATCTATGCAAATCCGCGGGCGATGAGTTGGCAGATAGCAATGCTACGTCGATTGTCGCAGGATCGAATTCCAATTGACGGGCTCACGATTGGTGCAGGCGTGCCTTCAGCGGAGGTTGTTTCGGAGTATATCCGAACACTCGGACTACGTCATATCAGTTTCAAACCGAGTTCAGTAGCTACAATCCGACAAGTGGTGGAAATAGCTAAGACACATCCTGACTTCCCCGTCATTTTACAATGGACGGGGGGTCGAGGTGGAGGTCATCACTCGTATGAAGACTTCCATGCTCCGATTTTGAGCACGTACGGCATCATCCGACAGCAGCCGAACATCTACCTAGTCGCTGGCAGCGGCTTCGGTGATAGTGACAGCATATATCCGTACCTTACGGGACAATGGTCTGTTTCGCATGGCTATCCGTGTATGCCCTTTGACGGGATCCTGCTGGGAAGTCGTCTGATGGTGGCCCGGGAAGCACATACCTCTCCTGCCGTGAAAAGAGTCATCACAAACACTCCTGGCGTGCCGGATAGCGAGTGGTCACGAACATACCATGAGCCTGCGGGAGGAATTCTTACCGTCCAGTCAGAGATGGGCGAACCCATTCACAAGGTTGCCACTCGAGGTGTGCGTCTCTGGGCGGACATGGACCAAACCGTGTTCAAGCTACCCAGAAAGGATAGAGTAGCATACTTGCGCGAAAATCGGAAGTCCATCATACAACGTCTGAACTCCGACTTCGCAAAGCCTTGGTTTGGTCGAGATTCTCACGGTGCTGTGGTGGAGCTGGAAGACATGACCTATGCTGAAGTACTCCATCGCATGGTTGATCTGATGTACGTCCGTCATCAAAGGCGATGGATAGACCCTTCTTATGCCAGCTTCACCTTGAACATGGTCATTCGGACCCTAGAGCGGTTGCCATATTCTTCACTGGCTCAACGTGTCGATCTTTCCCGGACAGTAGTCTTAGAGAGTCCAGAGCTGTGCCTCCAGTCGGTCTGTGAAGTGTGCCCTGCAGCCCAAGACGAAGCTCTCAATCCAGAAGACGTCTCGTTCTTTCTTCAGGAAACAAAAAGGGCTGATCAGAAACCTGTTAACTTCATACCAGCTCTCAATGAGGACTTCGAGTGGTATTTCAAAAAAGACTCGCTCTGGCAGGCTGAGGACGTTGAAGCTGTACCTGATCAGGATCCTGAGCGAGTTTGTATTCTGCACGGGCCTGTGGCTGCACAATACTCGGTTGACCGCAATGAATCTGCCCAAGAGATATTGGACGGCATTATAGGCGGAGTCATCGAACGCTTCCAGCGCGAGACCTGCTGCGAAGAGTCAATTTCGAGCTCAGCTAGCGGTCTCGCCACCCCCGACAGTTGGTCGTCGATTGCCGGATTACGGGAGATAGCGGTTTATGATATATCGATTCCTACGTCCAGTTCGACCTCTGACGCTCATGATGACCGGTCAGTACATGTTTCGGCAGCCGGGTTAAGCTTGTCTCGAAGCCTGCCTCTGTGGATTCACGCAGTATTCGAAGCCCCAATCCTGCTGCAGAACCGACGGCGCGAAAGGAATCCCTTCCAGCATTTCATCGCAGCAAATCCTGACGCAGTATTTCACTATGACCCGGATCGAGGTGAAATATCGGTCTGCGTTCAGGATGCATGCCGGGTCACTTCCTCCATGAAGCTTTCTAGTCCGAACGGCGTAAACATTGTGTTGGAATTATATCCCCCTCAGGTACTCGAGCCACTGCGATTGCTCTACCGGTTCGACCCTGGCATTGTACCTTTTAGCCTGAGCGAGATCATGGAGCAGAGGAATGCTCGAGTCAAATCATTCTATAGCCGATTATGGTTTGGAGAAGATGTCTCTACGACTGGCAGTATCCATGATACGTTTTACGGGAAAGAGATGACACTTACCGAGCAAGTGCTCCAAGACTTGATTGCGTCTGTTGGCCCGGCTTTCCCGGATTCTAGACTTGTCTTTCCCGACTCAGAAGTCCTGCCTATTAGCATTGCAGTTGTGATCGTCTGGGATGTTCTCACCAAGCCATTGGTTCTCCGGGACGTGGGCGGGGACCTGATGCGACTGGTCCATCGGTCAAACACGTTTGAGTACAGCCCAGATGTGTCCATGCTCCGTGTCGGTGATATCGTGAGCTCACAATCACAGGTCCGAGCCTTGTATGTGGAGGATGCAGGCATGGTTGTTGTTGTCGAGGCGCAGATTATGCGCTCGAGCAACCCAGTTCTTACAGTCACGTCAAGCTTCCTGTTTCGGGGAACTTTCAGAGAAGAGAAGGAACTCTTCAGACGAATCCAGGAGCCGGAACGCAGGCTCAAGGTGGACAGTGAGCTTGATGAGACCGTGCTTCGACGCCGCGACTGGTTTTATGTCGAGGATGAGACAATATCCCTCGCGGGTAAAACCCTTTTGTTCAAGCTGCATAGCCATATCATCCATAAAGAGCATGGGATGCAGGGACTCCGAGTCGCAGGAACCGCTAGCGCGCAGCTTGGCGGATACACATGGAAGGAGGTAGGCACGGTGAATTACAGCTGCGACAGTTGTATTGGCAACCCGGTGCTCGAATTCCTGGATCGCCGAGGGAGTCTGGCGTCCTCGGAGGTAGAACTCAAGCATCCGGGATGGGCGGGCTTGTCCTCTCTTGAAGTGCAGATGCCGCCGAGTAATCAGCCATACGCCAACATGTCGAAAGATTTCAATCCTATTCATGTGTCTGCCATCTTCGCCTCTTTGGCTGACCTTCCTGGAACTCTGACCCATGGCATGTGTACTTCCGCCGTCACAGTGGCAGCCTTCGAGCATCTCGCTCTCCATGGCAATAGACGCCGTCTTCGATCATTCACGGCCACCTTCACGGGCATGGTCATGCCCCTCGAAAAGCTGGACATCGCAATCCGGCACACCGGGATGGTTGAGGGACGCATGTGCTTTGCGATTGATGTTACTCGCAAGGAGGGCGGGGAAAAGGTCCTGGAAGGCCGAGCCACTGTAGATCAGCCGGCTACCGCGTACCTTTTTACAGGTCAAGGCAGCCAAAGCAAGGGGATGGGGATGGACCTTTACGAGTCGAGTCCCGTGGCGAAAGCTTTGTGGGACGAGATCGATGCGCAGCTCTATGCATCATACGGTAGGCCTCTTCCCGATCAGTTTTATGGGCGCGCACTTCTAACGATGGGCAGGGTGGTCTGTGCTGGGCATTGTGCGCAATAACCCGACGGCAATCACGGTGCATTTCGGTGGTCAACGAGGCCGCAAGATCCGCCAGAATTACCTGTCGATAACGACGGAGACCGTCCTTCCCGATGGCACCCGCACTGAGGCACCGGCCCTTCCGGGTCTCACGTCTCGTTCCCCCTCATATACGTTTACCGACCCGAGAGGTCTATTGTACTCGACTCAATTCGCGCAGCCAGCGATTCTGTTATTTGAAGTAGCGGTGATCGCCGATCTGCGGAGCCATGGGTATGTATCGCCAGACGCAGTGTATGCCGGCCATTCGCTGGGAGAGTATGGGGCATTGTCGGCCCTTTCACCGTCGATTCCCATGGGGGCGCTGGCGGAGTTGTCTTTCTACCGAGGGGTGATGATGCAGGCGTCGGTGGCACGGGGGGAGCAGGGCGCAGCGTACGGGATGCTGGCGGTCAACCCCACACGGGTAGGCAAGTGTAAGTTCGGCTTTCTGCTCACGGGGTTCGCAGGCCACTAACTAACAACGGGCAGTCTTCGATTCTGATGCATTAGGCAGGCTGGTTGAGGCGATCGCTGCGGCGAGCCACGAGCTACTGGAGATTGTCAATTACAACGTCCGGGGGGAACAATACGTGTGTTCAGGAACAGTATGCTTGCGGGTTCGGGTCCATTTCTCGTCTGGGCACCACTAACCCTCGTAGGACACCAACCTCTGGGTGCTGGGCAAGGTTCTGGATGGGCTTTCCCAGTCGGCCAACGGGAGCGAACAGGTCGCAGAGATGATGAGGGGCGCGACCGCGGCGAGAAGTATTGATATCACGATCCAGGATCTCCTGACCGCGGCACACGGTCTGGCCAAGCCCATCCAGCAACAGCGGGGGGTGGCGAGTATTCCGCTGCAGGGGATCGATGTTCCGTTTCATTCGAGCCATTTGAAGTCGACGGTGGATCGATTCCGACAGTGCCTGCTCAAACCCGGGTTGTTGGAGGGGAAGGTGAACATGGCCGACCTGGAAGGGCGATATATTCCGAATCTCATGGCGAAGCCGTTTTCGGTGAGTGAGGAGTATGTTCGTGAGGCGTATGCGATGACTCAGAGTCCGATTCTGGGGGAGATCTTGGGGATGCCGGCATAGACAGACTGATTAGGTGGATCTTTGAATGGCTAATTGCGGTGACTTTTGTTTTCTCGACTGTGATGTATTGTAAGATTCTCAGACATCTTTGAAGGAGAACTCATGTTATGTTGGTCTAGATTTGCCCTACATCGTTTTTGTCTTGGTAATGGACGTCCTCCTGCCATCTCGAGGAGAAACATGGATGTGTCGATTTCATGACTACATACTTGTCACATTTTGAATCCCTTGACAGACATAGTCCCACCCTCTCAATCTCATGCTCAATCTCAATCTACATACTACTTAGAAACCTACATCCCCCGCCAAAACAGCCCCTGCACCTCTCCAATCATCTCCTCCACATCGCACTCCCACACCTTCATCGTCCGCCGTCGAATCTCCTCCATCACCCGCGCCATCATCCCCGTATCCTCCTCGGCTTCCTCCCCTTCCCCCTCAAACATCTCCCACTCATACGCCCGACACACCTCCCGACTACTCCGCATCACCCACTGCGACCGCGGATACCGCACCGCGGAATACGCCCGCAACGCCCCCTCCAGCGCGGTCGTCGTGGCGCGCTTCCCACGGGCGATCGCCGTCTCCGCGCACTCCAGCGCCGTCACCAACGCCAGCGCATCCTCGACCCCCACCCCGGCCCCGGCGCCGTGGTGGGGCGAGGCGGCGTGCGCTGCGTCCCCCGCGAGACAGACGCGGGCGATGGCGTAGGTTGGGGGCGGGTTCTCGTAGAGGTCGAAGATTGGCCATTGCGTTAATTCGGTAGGGAGGAGGGCGAGGAGGGTGCGGACGAAAGGGGTCCAATTTTGGAAGTGGGTGAGGAGGTGGGTTTTGGGAGTTAGGGTTGGATTTGGAGAGGGAGGGTCTTCGTCTCCTCCTCCTTGTCTTTGGCCTGTTCCGTCGGGAGTGGTGGTCCGGCTGGTTTGTGGGGTGTTGATGGTGGTGGTGGTGGTGGTGGCTGCACCCGTAAAGGCCGACGCATCCCAGTCCTTCGGGTCGGGCACAAAAGCAACTACATTCAGGAGATGCTGGTGGGCGACGGGGAAGTGCAGGACGTGGGCGTGAGGCCCGCAGTGCATGTGTTGGAGGAGGAGGCGGCGGCGATGATGGCGGCCCAAATGCGCCATCGCCCGCTCCATCGGAATCAGGCCCCGATACGCCAGTTGGTGGGCATAGCGCGGCCGATAATCGCCCTCGGGGAAGAGCAGCTCGCGCACTCGCGATTTGATCCCGTCGCAGCCGATGACTGTTGCTTGTCAGTCCGTTCGTAGTTTGAAGGATATTTGTACTGGCATAATGGGCCAGACAGTCACGCACCGCAATCCACCTCCCTCTCAGTTCCGTCCTCAAACACCAACTGAATCCGTCCCGAAGTCATATATTCGTATCGCTCCAATCGCTTCCCAAACTGCACCACCCCATCTGGCATCAACTTCATGATCTCTGCCAGAAACTGCGCCCGATGACACCCTTCAAACCCCCGGGGTCCCGCGTACAACTTGTACACCTTTCCCTCGATGCCCACGGGCTGGTTGCCTTCTGCTTCGTCTGCTTCGTCTCCCCCGACGTAGGTGTGGTAGCCGTCGACAAACCGCATATTGTAGTCTGGGGCCTCCGGCTCGCCGTTGTCTGTCGCCACGCGCCGCAGACACTCGTCCAGCCGCGGGTCCAGTCGCATCATACAGTGACGCGCCGCCCGCGTGAAGCCGATCCCGGCGCCCAGCTCGCGATGGCAGGCCGCCTGCTCGTAGACTTGGATGTGGAAATGCGGGGAGTCGCGGTGCAGGAGACCCAGGGCGAGCAGTGTGCCGATGAGTCCGCTGCCGATGATGGCGATTTCGATCGTCATTGTGTGTTGGTTGGGAGTTGGTTGTTGGTGGCCGTGGGGGTATACGGTGTAAGTTACTATGGGTTCATACTACTAAATGGGATGCAGGACGTATTGTTTGTACTATACAGGGACTATACTATAGCCTGAGGTCACGCATCACTTACTCACTTCATTTTGCAACGGACTGTACTGATACTCTAGTCAGGGCATGTTCTCAACCTCCGTTTTCCGTCTGGTTAGGCTGCGACCCGCCTCAGGTAGGGCTACGACTGTCATCCCCATCACCGGGAAACCGGAGCAAGGCGTGCCCTATCTTCCACTGACTTGAGGTAGAGTACTAAGTATCCTCTGTGCTACGCGACAGCGCCAATGCCCTCCTTCCACTGACTTGGGGTACGTACTCAGCATACATACGGCGAATTTCTGTCCTCTTCGGCCGGAAAAGACATGACACCCAGTGTCTCGCGGGTCACCAAGAAAAAAAGAAAAAAAAAAAGAACAAAAACCCTCGGATGACCGTAGGCTCTCTTGTTGCTCTTTCGAATCTTCAGAGATGTACTGTAAGATACATGCAATAAAACCCCTGGAACCGGGGGTAGCACAGAAGCAGAGGATCGGATGGCTGCCGAATGCTAAACACTAAAGGCGCCCATAGCATATCCTGCCACGTATCTCTATCTTGATTGATTCTGGCCCTGATTGAAAGGATGTGATTTGAAGTCACTTGTTCTTCAGACCAAATGCGAACAGAACCAGATAAGAGAAAGCAAAGGGAGGAAAGACCGGACACACCAACACCACACACATTCTGTACAACGCACCCTTGATACGGAGTCCTTTACAGTATCTTCATCTTTGGCAAAGTAGAAAGTAGAATACAATTACACAGCACAGCACAGCACGCACTACACAAGGAAGAATTCACAGACCCAATTTCCAACCCAACCGATGATATTTCTCCGAGCCAGGCAGCAGCTCCTACTTCTCGGCGTTTTGCGTAACGACTCTCACGCTGTACTTACTCACTTACTCACCAGTTATTTGTTGTTTTCCTCCTTCAATTAAAGTGGGTAGCACAACCTGCGAGGAGAAATTGCAGAACACACAAAGACTCCAGGGACAGGGGTTTGGTCCGGTGTATCATGTATCGTGTATCGGATGAAGCAGGGCAGGCAGGGTTGTGCTACAATGCAGAGTGCCGAACGGGCCGGTAGCGGTTGACTGTCCTGAGGATCGCTGTTCTTCAGGGAGACGGGGTGGATTCGCAATGGGGCGGGAGATTGGATCCTAATGACAGGGGGACAGGCGAGGTGGAAATCTCCGAGGATTGGCGGCGGATCTTCTCGGTGTCGTGTAGTCAGATTGATTACTTTATGTACGAGGGCCAAGGGTGGGGGAGGAACGAGAGGAGATGAGTCCACGGGGGCTTCCTGGGGTGCAGATGTCATGGATATAGTGGGCAGGGGCGAGTAGGATCATAGGTCAGGAGAGAAGCTGTTGATATCGAGAGGCCGAGGAGAGAGCCATTGAAGATACTCTCTAGCATAGTTGAATAGCATATCACACGCAGGGAGTTGGCAATGCCCTCCAATCGTATGACGCTGAAGGAGATCAGCTGGTGTCCAGTAAAGTGCAACGGATAGGCAGTGGGAATCTGATATCATTCGGGGTCCTAGCACTACGTACAGTAACCGCCAGTCCTCGCATCAGAGCGCAGGAGTCATATTCACCCAATATAACGCACCACCTCCGTCCACTCCTCATCTCCCCCCACCAACTCCCAATCCCGCTCGCTCAGACACATCAATGCCTCCCACCCCCCCTCCTCATCCGCCTCGTCGATCACCGGCGCGATGTAGCATGCACACGGCAACGGGGTCGCAAAGGTCGGTCTGCGAATCATCGACGGCTTCCCCAGGGGCCCAAACATCGGCACCGTGGTGTGAGCCATACTCGAGCACGCGAAATCCGTCCTCGGGTGGAAGGCGCCCCCATACGCCACCTTACTCTTATCCTCCTCGCGGGCTAGAAAGGTCGCGTAGCTGCGCGTGGCCTGCCGCGTGTGCAGTGATTGGACGTGCTTGCGCAGCTTCACGGCCAGCTCATAGAGCGGCAGCGATGCCACGGCCGTCAATGGAAGCCGCAAATTGGCGGTGCGCACCATGTGGCCCATATAGTAGGGGGAGAGGTCGATGGTGCGACGGAGGTCCAGGGCGCGCGTGATCTTGGAGGTCGACGATTGCAGGCCCGGGGGCAGGTGAGGGAGACGCCGGATGATGAGCCGTTGCCAGAGGAAAGCCGTCAGCGCATCGTTGGGGGTGATCTTCTCCGGTTCTGCTGCCTCCCCCGGGGGTGGAGAGGCCTTCTGGTAGATGGTGGCCATGGCTGCCCGGCTGAACCGCACATTTCCCCATCGGAAGGTGGCCAGGTAGGCCTGCATCTCCGGTGGCATGGGCCCCGACGCCAGTCCCGGCACCATGGCAGGTTTCAGTTCGCTGTGGTCGTCCTCCATGTCTCCCTCGTCGGTCAGCAGCGGAATCAGGGTGCGGCGGTCGATGTTCCCCTCGCGGAGGGCCTGCGCGGGGAACGGCTCCTTGCGAAGACTGTACGAAAGCAGGTTGATGATCTGGAACATCCCGTTGCCATCGATGATGTTGTGCTGGGCGGCCAGCCCCAGGATCCAGCCCCCTTCGATCCAATTCAGCTGGAAGTCCAGCACCGGGGCCGGGTGTGTCGCGGGATCCTCGTCGGTATAGGGCTGCGGAAAGGCCGGACGGGGAGGCGCCAGTACCTCCCCCGGAATGTGGCTGGTCGGACCCCCCCGGGTATACAACTCCGCAAACGAGGCAATCTCGTTCGTGCAGTCCCTCTCTCGGAGGAATCGATAGTCTGGTGCTTGCCAGGTCGCGTGTGGACGCACGACGAACACGCCGGAGTTGGACGAGGTCTGGCCTTCCCGAACGACTTTGCCGCCGAGAAAGGGAAATGCGGCGATGAGCTGGTGGATGGCTGTCTCCAGGGCTGTCACGATCTCCGGGCGTGAGACATCGCGTGAAAGGGGGAAGATCAAGAGCAGATGGGAGTAAGATTTCAGTAGGGGCAGTTGGCCCAGAATGTCTCGAGTGTGGTCATAGTCCATCGTGGGCAATGGAGGGCTATGTATGTACATACAGTACAGTAGAGTTCAAGATGTACTTCAAGGGGGGAGATCTTAATATGTATATTCAACCCCTAAAGCCATCATCTTCTGCCTGCTCGGTCTCACAACAGTGTGCCACATTCTCAATTGGACCCCTGGCGCAGTCTTGGGATTCAGAAGAAGAGATAAACATCATCATTAGTCGCAACTACTGACTCAACTACAAACCCTCCTTCATTAATGGGCGCCAGGATCGGCCCGTCCGAAATCCAGCATTTTAATAGCGGCTGTCGATCGCTGTTCGCTGACCAGCAATTGATCTCGGCCCGACAAACACGAGGTTGAGGTTCCTGGTGACCATTCAATCGGATTCTACTCCCTGCACCTGAGTTCTATGGTCTTTGTGGTGGGTGGGCGATGTGTCCGGAAGAATACAGTACTTCCCTCCCCTACCTTGGGTCTCATGGGTTCTTTCTCTCTCTCTCTCTCTCTCTCTAGATTCATCCCTCTGACTGGATGTGCAGATTCCAGTCTCACCTGCTTCGAATCACGCTCAAGTCTGGCGACTCATCCCCCCCATCCCCCTTTCTTTGCCATCGATCTCGGCTCTGATCGCATGCATGCACGAACCCTCTCAGGCCAGCTGAATCCACCAGATCTCGGATTCATCTGGCGGTCGGTTGAGGGTCACACCTCCACACCTGGGTTGAACCGTCCCTCACAGCTACGCTGCAGGACAAGTTGACATCTGCCGTACGAGGCTGCCAGCAGGTTGCTTGCTTGTCATTTGCCGGGGGCAGAGCTGCAGTGTATGCAGAGCTGCAGATGTGCCCCTCCCCTCCCTTTGCCATTGTTTCTCTACCCTACAACACCATAACCCCCCATATTCGATGGGATGTGGCAACTCGGGAGCTGGCTGAGAGGTGTCAGCGTGACCCCGCAGATCAGAACAAGAGAAGAAGCACTGTTGATGCTGCGAGCCCTGAAGATCCTGAGCGCTCGGTCGATTGCAGCCCTCTCTTGCCCCTCCCAGTACGGTCAAGCGCCGAGAGTGGGTAAGAATCCGCCCACAAAGCCTTGTTCAACCCTCCTCGATACTGTACCTCTCCCCGCCATTGCCCCTGATGTGTCTCCAGCATCAGCTGCAAGCTGCAGAGCGCAGGGCGATTCTGGCTTTGTCGTCTTGCCGTTCTTGGTCCAAAAAGGCCCCCGTTCAGATATCCAACCCAACCAGTCAGCGCACGAGATGCCTCCTCCGACTCTGCATCCTGCAGGGCAGCCATCACATTGCACTAACCAGAACGTGTCCTTCCAGGACGCACGCCGAGTCACCCTGGAGGTCTGTATGAGTCGGTTGCCACCCCCTTCCGACTGGCTACTGGACGCTGATGGGATGAAGGAGCTTAAGACGGCAGAGGCAATGATGAGCAGCCATGACGAAGTCCGCTGTCGAGATCTTGAACCGATTCGTCTCTGCACTGCGTGAGCTTCATCAGTCTGGCTAGTTGGTGCGTGCCGTCGATCCATTGCGCTGGTTTCTTATCACAACCCACTAGTTGTCGGTCCAAGCAAAGAAGACCCGGATTGACGCACCTTCTCGGAAGAGGCCGAGCGCTGTTTTAAGTCCGGACTCGGATACTGTGGAAGTTCACTGCACTTGTACCAGCAGGTGACAGTGAAACTGGTGTGTGTATACTGCTGGTCAGCCCCGACATGGTCACTTCAACGCCTACAATCTCGAGACAACGCCCGGGCTCGGCCTGTGAGGAGTGTCGACGGCGAAAAGTACGTTGTGACCGTCGTCGGCCGCAGTGTCAGGTGTGCTTCGAGACAGGCATCGAGTGCAAAATCAATACCACCAGACTGCCTCGGGGACCTCGCAAGGGCCAGCTGCGCACGCTGCGGACCCGAATCGGTACAGTGTCCCAGCTGTCCGTGCCTGAGACGTGAGGACTGACGCAATACAGCTGCCCTGGAACGCTGCCTCGCCGATCAACATCCCGAGATCAATCATCAGATGGCGAGCCTCTTTGACGGTACCATGCTCGACTGTGACTCGGAGGAGGATCCCTTTCGGGATCTTTCATCGCTGCCGGATGCGATCCCCGTCGCGGTGCCCTCGTCCACTCTCCCAGACCCGGGTTTGGCCACGGTGGAGGAGGTAGACCCATGCGAGAGAGAGACTCAACCCTCCATCCCATCCACAAAGCTGCAATCCCCGCGGACACCCGAGTCCTTACCCCGGACAACGGGCTTGGTCTCGGACCTGATGCGAGCTGAACTGTAGGTTTGTGCTCATGGCGGAAATCAGTTCATTCCTCTCTGACGTGGTGATAGGGACCAGCTCTACTTTGATCGAGTCCACCCATGTGTTCCTATTCTACAGCGCTGGCGCTATCACGTTTGGGCTCGACAACCGAAGAAGACGGATAGTCAGGTTGGTCTGCAATACGCCATGTGGACAGTCGCAGCCGCTCTTTCCGCCCAATTTCAGGCTTTGCGCGATCGACTCTATACCGAGACGCGGCGAATCCTGGATTCTCCCGATCGGCCAGAGAGTATCACCATGGTGGCAGGGCTGGAACAAGCGCAGGCGTGGATTCTCATCGGAATTTACGAATATATGCAACGCTCCCCGCTGCAAGCATGGATGAGCATCGGTAGAAGCTGCCGCCTGGTCCTTGGCATGCGGTTATATGAGCTGGACGACCCGATCAATCCGGTTGCTATGGCTCGGGAACAGGAAGCTCTCCTGGTGGACTGGGTTGGTCTGGAGGAGCAGCGGCGGACGTTCTGGATGGCGTATTCGCTGGATCGGTTGATCAGTTTTCACCACGGGTTGCCTTTTACCCTGCAGGAGCATGTGGTATGTGCATCTGTTCCCCGTGCAACTCCTGCTGCAAAGTTACTCTATTGACAGCCGACCACCAGATCACCACCCGGCTTCCCAGCCCGGAAGAAGAATTCCAGTCAGGGCAACCAACCCTAACGGCGTATCTACGAGATCTCATGAGCCCCCATCCACAGCACCCGCCATCGGTGCATCCTTACTCACATCCCGATCCTAACGGTCATGCTCAGCCGCGCCCTCACATCTACATGAATCCGCATTCCCCGACGTCGCCCCCTCACCTGACCCTGGGCTTTCCGTCCGGGGCCCCTCCGACCAACCCTACAGCAACCCCCGTCCTGAATCTAGAGCTCACCCAGGTCACCCTCTCGAATTTCACAGAGTTCATCCTGTTAGCCACCGTCGTTGGGCGTATCATTTCGCACCGCGAATCCCTGGCTATGGAGCAGAATCTGCAGCCGTTCAACCCGCCGCTTTCTCCCACAAGTCCGCACACCCCGATCCCAAACTCCCTCGATGTTTTCTGGACTCGCCATCAGGCTCTGCATGGCCTCCTCAACACCCGGATGCAGTCCCTGGCATCGAATCCCCAAGCCCTGGACGACCCCTTGCTCCTGTTCTCCCGCATTGTCGCGCAGAGCATGGTCTTGTTCCTGCACAGCGTGCTCGAGTCCGTCGCCTGGAGATCGGGTGGGGACCAGCTACTGGGCATCATTGAGTATGAGCGGCTGTGTGTTCTGGCCGCGCACGAGGTTGTAGGATTGGTGAAAATGCAGGGTCAGTTGGGATATTTCAAGGTTAGTCGTCCACTTTTAGTTTCCCCTTGTATCTTCCACATTCGGCGGAAAGATGTATCGTTGGATGCTCCTGGTCTGCCCCCTCCCGGGAGCCTTTCACGTGGATATATCTTGTTCTTCGCCATGAAAGGGAGTGTGCATCTGATGGCTACAATCTTTACCACCGAATCTTCGAAGTCCTGTGCGCATATTCATGCTAACGTGATGCGCCATCCAGGTTCACCCTCTCGCACCCATACCCCTTATGATGTGCACTGAATTTCTCACCGCCCATGCATATCTTGATCCTTCGTTCGAGGTCATGTTGCATGAGCTGCTGGAGTGCTTTGGAGATTTAGAGAGAGTGAAGAATCCCGTGCAGAGCCCGGCCTCGTCGGGAGTATGATCACCGAGATTCTGCACCGTGGCGGCCAACGTTGTTTCGAGGATTGTGTGTCTTGCGGCTCGAGTGGGTTTGGCGATGTCAGAGGGAGGGCTATGGATCAGGACGAGGCAATGCTTATGATATGTATTTTCTTCTGAACGATAGGGTTTTGTGGCTTCGCCTGGGTTCAGGTTTCGTTCATCCTGTGCAGGCTCATGGGATCGAACTTCGAATGTGGTTTGAATGGAGCTCGTTAAAGGCTACTCGGGCCTGGTGATCTTCTATAGTACCAGAGGGTTCATAATAAGGGCAGGAACCCAGAAAGGAGATAGATAACCCCGGGCTTATAAGCAGTGAATGTTATAGTTCAACCTGATCTGACGGGAGGAGTAAACTGTAGCAGTGCAGTCGTGTGCATAAAAAGTCGAAATCTTACGATATCTCCTCCTAATCTCCATCCATAACTCCAGGCCAGTTGCATGGAACGATCAGCCACTACGAAACCACAAACACCCCCCTCTTTCTCCCAGGACGCTCCAAACTCCGCCGCTTCAGCCCGGAATGTACCAACTCCGAACAGCCTCATCAAGTTGCCTTTTGGACCTCGTTCGGTAAAAGAATGGGAGGGGATTAACCAACCAACCAAGCAGCCTTTCATTCTCCTCCTCTTTCCGGTTCCGAGTCTTCTCCAAAACCACAATCCAAAGCCCAAATGCAAACCCCCAGGAGCAAAACCCTTGAGAGAAAAGAAGAAACCCCCCACCCAGACGAGTCCGAAACCGAACTCCCTTTCGTGTGCAACCATCTTACGGTTGGGCTTTTTGGATACCACCGCTCCCTTCGCCCCTTACTTTTACTGTACTGTACTTGCGATTGTTGTAGGCCGAGTAGATAGCCCGAGGGATTTACTCCGGCCGGTTGATATTTTTCTGATCTTCCAAGAAAGTGGTTTGGATTTTGATAAAAGCTGGTTTTCTGGATGGGAGATTTCTCTAACTTTTGCTTTTTTATCCTAGTTCTGTCTGGGGTAACGTTCAAGTGGAAAGATTGGGGGGAAATGCTCCGAGAGATATTTTCAAGTCCGATAGGTAAGTTAGTCAGTCAGTCTTGTCAAGGGAAAAGCAACGTAAATAACTCATGCCATGCCATGTCTGTCATGTCAGCATTTCCCTTCTCAATCTTTCCGTTAAAAATGCTGCGAGGGGTTTTTGTTAGCTGGTTGGTTGAATTACGGATTTGATGTGGGTTTTTGTCTGTTAGAGGTGGATGGTGATGGGTGGTGTTGTTGTGTGTATGTGTATGTGTGAGTGGATGGGGATGCGTGCCGTGTGTAACTATAGCCCTAGCCTAACATCCCACATCCCCCTCGCGCCCACCTGTCAAGTCACCATGGTAGTAAGCATCGTATATGTCTCATGGAGCAGACTGCTAGGGTCGACAGATTCGTAAGGCTTGTGGGACCGTGCTCTACTCGACATACGACCGCCGGGACCCTGACACCGAAGGAGTTCGCCTGTCGGGTGGCTTTGTTTCCGGTGGGTGGTGCATTAAAACCTGCTGTTGGGCACTAGAGGAGGTAGCCTTTTTTTTTTCTAATGCAGATGCAAAATTGTTCCCTGTCTCTGTCTGTGTTCTCTGTTAGCAAGCAAACAAGACAAGACACGCCTCTCGGGTCATTTGTTCTCTCTCTCTCTCTCTCTCTCGCTCTCTCCGTCACTGTCTGTCCGGTGAGATTGATGTTGGGATTATAGACTACGGATTTTTTTGGGTCTTTAATTCCGCTTATCTCCTTTGCGGGGGGAACGGGAGGATATCTCCGGTTGTGTGAAGATCATTTGGAAGGGTTCCATTTGGCGTGTCCCGGAAGTTTGCTTCCTGCTTCTTACCTCATCAGCAGCGCGAAATTGTGGTTGTTGGACCGATACGCTTGGCCATCCATACTTGGTATTGGCTTTGCTGGGTATCTCAAGTGGGGTTGTGTTTGCCCTGGTCTGGTCTGGTCTTGTTGCTGGGCTTGCTGGCTTGCTTGCTTGCTTGTTGAGGTTGCTTGTATACACCCCATCAGACACCCATGGCCAGTCAGCTCTCGCCTCCACCAGGAGGTAAGACAGTCCTGTTGTTCGGCTGTCAAGCCATCCAATTCGATGCCAACGACTTCTGCCACCTCCGGCAGGTCATCCTGGATACGCCCGACAACCACTGGGTGCTGGATGTGCTGGCCGAGCTGCCCGTATACTGGCGCACTGCCATCAAGTTCCTGCCGGCGCTGCAGGCGCTTCCCGGCGAGCAACAGCTGCGGGATCTGAACCAGTGGATTCGGTCCGGGAAAGTCGCCGATCATCATTTCCCGCTGCCATACCTCCAGCATGCCCCGCTACTGATGATCACTCATCTGCTCCAGTTCGCGCGCTACCTGCAGCTGACCCACCCAGATTATGTTGCGCATGGCGTCGTGGACACCGAGACGAGCCCGGTGGTCGAGATCGTGGGGTTTTCTTTCGGCTTTCTCAGCGCGGCTGTTGCGTCGGCGGTCACGAATCGAAGTCGGTTGCAGGAATATGGAGCCGCGGGAATCCGGCTGGCTTTGCTGCTGGGAGCGCTGGGCGATGCACAGGAGATTCGAGAGAAATATACCTCCTTGACAACGGTGTGGAAGAAGCCGGAACTAGAAGGGAGTTTGTCAAAGGTGCTAGAGGAGCACCCAGAGGTACCACAAAATGGGCTCTTCATCGCTCCATTGGATCTTGACACTAATCCGAGTCTGTAGGCGTACATTACGGTCCGATATGATGCGAATCGTGCCACTATTATGACGCCGAGGAGCAGCCTCGGCCGGTTGCAGCAATCCCTACAGGCGGCTGGATTCTCCGCATATCATATCAACTTCAATGGGCGCTATCATTGGCCGGGACACCAGAAGCTCTTGCATGGGCTGTTCCAAATGTGCGACGCGGATGTGGCGCTGCAGCTCCCAGATGCCTCGCAGTTACCGCGGCACACGTGGACCAACATCACCAATGAACCGATCTATGAGGGACCTCTGCACCAGTTGGTGCTGCGCTCCATCTTGGCGCAGCAATGCCAGTGGGGCCCGACTTTCGCAGCCGTCCACGGATCCCAGCTGGAAAATACGCAGTCCATAGTGGTGGAATTTGGGTCGGAGCGCTGCGTTCCCCCTTCGTTTTTGCGCACGCTCGGGAGCCGTGTGGTGCATTATGGCGATCTGAGCTTGGATTTCCAGTCGCGCGTTTCGTCGCTTCGCTCGGCACCGACAATCTACGACGATGACATTGCTGTAGTGGGTATGGCCTGCCGGGTGGCTGGCGCAGACGATCTGGAGGAATTCTGGAAGATTTTGTGTTCGGGCGAATCGCAGCACAGGGAGATGCCACCAGAGCGATACAAAGGTTATGAGACGCCGTGGAGGCCGGGCGCGATTCGTCCTTGGTGGGGTAATTTTGTGAGCGATATCGATGCCTTTGACCACAAATTCTTCAAAAAGGTGCCGAGAGAAGTCATGTCCCAGGATCCACAACAACGTTTGTTCTTGCAAGTGGCATATCAGGCTTTGCAGCAAGCGGGTTATTTCCACAAAAAAATCACGAGCAAGGACATTGGGTGCTATGTGACCTGCTGCACTGTGGACTATGAACATAATGTGAACTGCCACGCTGCCAGCGCCTATGCTGCCACTGGCCTGCTACGAAGCTTTCTGGCTGGGAAGGTGAGCCATTACTTCGGATGGCACGGACCGGCGCTTTGCATCGACACGGCATGTTCCGGTTCTGCCGTTGCGCTGCACCATGCCTGCCGGGCAATTCTTCAGGGAGACTGTAAGGCTGCCTTGGTCGGAGGCGCCAACGCGATTACCAGTCCACTGGCGTATGACAATCTCAATGGAGCGTCCTTCGTCTCTCCCACTGGACCCTGCAAGCCATTCGATGAAAAAGCAGATGGTTATTGCCGTGGAGAGGGCTTTGCCGCCATCTTCATCAAAAGGATGTCCGACGCACTGGCTGATGGGGACACCATTTTGGGCACTATCGCCGCCACAGCAGTAGAGCAAAACGACAACTGCACCCCTCTGGTCGTCCCTCACGCGCCGTCGCTGGCAGGCTTATTCGACAAAGTCATTCGTCAGTCTCACATCCGCCCGCATGAAATCTCGGTAGTAGAAGCTCATGGCACCGGAACACAAGCTGGCGACCCGGCTGAATATAGTAGCGTCAGGCAGGTGATGGGTGGTCCACAACGAGCAGTCCCGCTGACATTGGGATCAGTCAAAGGTCTGGTTGGTCATACTGAAGCGGTCTCTGGCATGGTGGCGCTGGTCAAAGTGCTCCTGATGATAAACGAGGGAAAACTCCCACCGCAACCCAATTTCAGTACCTTGAACCCGCACATTCAGGCGGCCGCCGACGACCAGATCGAGATCACCACCAAACTAAAACCATGGCAAACTGACTTCCGAGCAGCGCTGATAAACAACTATGGTGCGTGCGGATCTAACGCGTCCATGGTGGTCACCCAGCCACCTGGTTTTCGATCCCGTCGCAGTGCCTCCGCGATTCATCTCCCAGACATCTCCCTCCCCTTTCGATTTTGTGCTTTGGACGAGCACCGTCTGCGTGATTATGCACGAAAGTTCTACTGTCTTTTGCAACGCCAGATCGTATCTACCAACCATCTTGCGTCTCTGGCTAATATATCATTCAATGTTGCTCGGCAATCTAGCCCGATGCTCGATAAGCACCTCATCTTCAGCTGTAGCTCACTGAAAGAGCTCGAGTCGAAACTGCTTTCCTTTATTGACGGAGACGAGAGCCGCACCATTCAGATGCGTAAGTCTGCTCGTCCCGTGGTATTGTGTTTCGGTGGCCAGGTGTCAACATCGGTCGGTCTGGATCGCACCGTATACGACACCATGAGTATCTTGCGCAAGCATCTCGACGAATGCAGCAAGATACTGGAATCGCTTGGATATGAGGGTCTCTATCCCAGTATCTTCGAATCGACCCCAGTTACCGATCAGGTCAAGCTCCAGACACAACTATTCGCTTTGCAGTATGCCAGCGCTCGATCGTGGATGGACTGTGGCCTCTCAGTAACTGCCGTCGTGGGCCATAGCTTTGGAGAATTGACGGCGCTCTGCATTTCGGAGGTACTGTGCCTGGAGGACGCGCTCATTCTGGTCGCTAGGCGGGCGACTTTGATTCGCGATAAATGGGGAACAAACCCCGGGGCCATGATGGCCGTCGAAGGCGAGCTTCAGGAAATCGAGCATCTGCTAGCCGAGGCCGCAGTGTCTGTCCCTACGGGCACATCTCCTGCTAGTATCGCATGTTTCAACAGCCCACGTAGCTATACGTTAGCCGGTGCGACCGAAGCAATGAGCGCAGTGCGTGTGCTGCTTTCGACGCAGCCCGAATTTTCTCGGCTCAAATATAAGAGTCTGGATGTGACGAATGCTTTCCACTCGTCTTTGATTGATCCCCTCATTCCAGAATTAATGAGGACGACCAATGGATTGACATTCCGCGAGCCAATCCTGCATCTAGAGCGGGCGACTCAGGATCCATGCACCGGTGTACCTTCCCCGACGATTGTGGCTGAGCATCTCAGGCAGCCAGTGTACTTTACACAAGCTATTGCGCGCCTCGCAGAGAAATACAAGTCATGTATTTGGCTCGAGGCCGGTTCCAGTTCAACAATCACGGTGATGGCCAGTCGAGCGCTAGGATCAAGTGCTGCCGCAAACCACCGGTTCCAAGCCGTCAACATCACAACCCAGAACGGAGTCCAAAGCTTGACAGATAACACGATCGCTCTTTGGAAAGAAGGGGTCTCGGTATCATATTGGGCACACCATTCATCTCAGACACCCGAGTATGACTTTATCTTTCTTCCGCCATACCAATTCGAGAAAAGCAGGCACTGGATGGAAAACAAGCCCTTGCCCACATCTAGTCCCATGAATGCTCCCGAAGTAAAAGAAGAAAGGCCACAATTCCGGTTCCTGGGATACCAAGACGCAGCGAAGAGAGTCGCTAAGTTCTCCATCGACACCACGCATCCCAGCTATCGCGAAGCTGTGTCGGGACATATCGGTGCCCAAACGGCGCCTCTTGCACCGGCTTCTTTCATGCTCGATAGCGTTGTTGAAGCGCTGCGAAGCTTGCCAGAGGGCAAAGACAGAGTCCCGCAAGTCAAAAATGTCACCAGTGATGCACCACTAGGGCTAGACGAAAGACAAAATGTCCACATCACCCTGACCGCTCAGAGCACTGACAAGAGGGTCTGGGACATGGAATACACTAGCGAGGATCCTGAGAAAGGTGCACGGTCCCGGGTATTACATTGCGCTGCCCGGATCAAGATGTTCAAGGCAGATGATCCCACGCTCCAAGGCGAGTTCTCGCGCTATGGTCGCTTGGTCAGTCATCGTCGATGCCGTGAGCTTCTCGATAGCTCCGATGTGGACGATATTCTGCAAGGGCGGAATGTTTACCGGGCGTTTTCCGAGGTCGTGGATTACGCCGAGCCTTACCGCGGTGTGCATAAGTTGGTGGGTAAAGGCAATCAGTCAGCCGGTCGAGTCGTCAAGAAGTACTCAGGAAGGACCTGGGCGGACACGTTTTTGTGTGACTCATTCAGCCAAGTCGGTGGATTCTGGATTAATTGTATGACGGATCGTTCAGCGTCGCAAATCTACATCGCCAGCGGTATGGAGCTGTGGATGCGAACGCCATTGTATGCTGACCCAGAAACGCCACGCCCTGAGACTTGGGACGTGTTGGCGACACATGAACGGGGAGATGGTTTCTACACCAGTGACATCTTTGTTTTCGATTCGGAAAAAGGTCAACTGGTAGAAACATTCATTGGCATGAAATATTCCTGTGTCCCGAAGGCAGTCTTCAGCAAGATCCTCAGCAAGTTGGGCTCGAGTGCCACTCCTCAACGTGCTCAAGGCGCAGTTACGACAAAAGCAGACTCAGCACCGAAGGTGACTACGAGTGAGGCCGTGTCAAAACCAAAACCATCCAAGGGACAGGCTTCTAATCTGGTCGTACGCATCAAAGGTGTAGTTGCTGACTTCTGCGCCGTGGATCCGAGCGAGATACACGACGACGGCAATATGGCTGATGCAGGCGTCGATTCTTTAATGGCCATGGAGTTGGCACGAGAAATGGAGGAAGTCTTCAAGTGTACTTTGCCAGCAACCGACTTAGTGGAGGCAGAGACATTCCGAGACCTAGTGCGAGCGGTGCAGAATGCCATAGGAATCGAACCGGATGAGGCGGCGTTCGACGAGGATCAGAGTAGCGACAGCGGAACTGCTTCTTATACCGAGTGTGACTCCGAGTCAGATGCTATTGATGCCGCCACCACTGAATCTGTAACTAGCATGAGCACCGACACGCCCGAGCTGCATCTACCACATGACCTGATCCTTGATGCTTTCGCTGAGACCAAAGCCCTGACCGACAAGTTTGTCTCCGAAAACCACTGCAGTGGGCGTGTGCTTAGCTTCAATCCGGTTCAAATGCAGCTGTGTGTGACCATGACTTTGGAAGCATTCGAGGAGCTGGGGTCACCCATCCGAAGTGCACGGCCAGGTCAGCGGCTGGAGCGGATCAAGTTTGATGCACAGCACGAGGAGTTAGTGCAATACCTCTATCGCCGACTAGAGGAGGCTCGCCTGGTGCAGCTGAATGACGGGGCTATCGTCCGTACAAGCTTGGAGTGGACCACGATGTCCAGTACTGCCATTCTTGAAGAGATCGGTCGTACCTACCCAGAGTTCGTCGGCGCCAGCAAGCTTGCCTTTTATACGGGCAACAAATTAGCCTCAGTGTTGCGCGGTGAAAGAGATGGTCTACAGCTGATTTTCGGCACGAAAGAGGGCCAGGAGCTCGTCTCGTGGATGTACGGTGACGAATCGCACAATGTCAGCGGGTATAAGCAAATGCTGGATTTCCTCCAGCGGCTCGTACAGAAGCTTGGTAGCCGTCCAGGGACAGGTCCTCTGAAAATCCTTGAAATGGGTGCCGGTACCGGCGGAGGAACCAAATGGTTTCTGCCCACGTTGGCCAAACTTGGGATACCTATTGAATATACCTTCACTGACATCTCGCCTGCCTTTCTGGCACAGGCTCGTCGGCGCTTCAAAGAATATCCCTTTGTGCAATACCGCGTGCATGACATTGAGAAGCCCCCAGCAGATGATCTAGTGGGCACCCAGCATGTCATCATCGCTAGTAATGCGGTACATGCAACGTCAAATCTACAGATCTCGACCGGAAATATGCGTCGAGCATTACGTCCTGACGGGGTGGTTATGATGCTCGAGATGACTCGGCCCCAATTCGCAATTGACATTGTTTTCGGACTCTTTCGTGGCTGGTGGGTATTCAATGACGGGCGAACTCATGCCATCACTAGCGAACACCGTTGGGAAGCCGACCTTCATGCCGTTGGTTACGGTCACGTTGACTGGACAGATGGTCATTCAGCTGAAGCGAGCATCCAACGAGTGATATTTGCTACTTCTACTGGAGAGCAACGCGGACGGCTTCCTCTGGGGCCATATTTGTCTCATGTGAGCCTCCTTGCCAGTGTTGACAACGTTGCTCGAAATCAGGCGACTGACAAGTATATTCGTCGCAGTATTGAAGGCTTCACTGAACCCCTAGCGGTCGTAACTCCCGTGATTGGACCAGTCGCCGTGCTTGTTACGGGAGCGACAGGGAGCTTGGGTAGTCACCTAGTTGCACACTTGGTGCAACTGCAGAATGTTAGTCGGGTTATCTGCCTCAACCGACGAGGAAAAAAGGATCCATTTCAGCGACAACAGAGGGCCTTTGCGGAGCGGCGTCTCGACCTAACACCTCAGGAGTTTGATAAACTCACGGTGATCGAGACAGATATGGGAGAAAAACAGCTTGGTCTATCAGAGAAACAATACCACTTTGTACAGACGAGTGTCACGCATATTATCCACAATGCTTGGCCGATGAATGGCGCCCGTGGCCTGGCCGGGTTCGACTCTCAATTTCAGACCATGCGGAATCTGGTTGAACTCGCGCGCGATATCGCATCGGTCCGGCCAACAAAAGAGCGAGTTGGTTTCCAGTTCATATCCTCTATTGGTACAGTCGGATTTCGCCCTCTGGTGACGGGAGAACCAGAGGTCCCAGAAGATCGAACCGTGATTGACTGGGTATTGGCTAATGGATATGGCGAAGCCAAATTCGTCTGCGAGCGGACACTACATCATACCTTGATGAAGTATCCAAAGCGGTTTAATGCCATGATTGTACGACCTGGTCAAATCGCAGGCTCATCGCTGAGCGGGTACTGGAATAGTGCGGAGCATCTACCCGCTTTGCTCAAATCGGCGCAAGCAATCAAGGCATTGCCTGATTTTGGAGGAGTGTTATCCTGGACGCCAGTCAACGTCGTGGCAGCCACTCTGAGCGAGCTCCTGTTTACCGAAGAAGCCCATTCTGTCTACCATGTTGACAATGCGGCTCGTCAACCGTGGCGGGAGATGATGCCCATCCTCGCGCAAGAACTGGGGATCCCTAAGAATAATTTACTGCCTTTTCCCGAGTGGATCCAACGTGTCCAGACTTTCGAGGGTCCCCGCGAGGACAATCCGGCTGGAGTGATGGCAGACTGGCTGGCTAATAACTTTGAGCGCATGTCTTGTGGGGGTTTGTTGCTGGCGACAGCGCGTGCCCAACAAGACGCGTCCACGCTGCAGAGCCTAGGCCCTGTTGATCGGGAGACAGTGCGCGGATACGTGCAGTATTGGCGTCAGACAGGATTCTTAAAATAGAAAGAAAGTTGGGATGGCGGTTTTGTGGTGTCAGCACTTTATTATCATAGTTTTTTAGATGTACGAGCAAATAGATAGATGTCAATGATATCTCGAACAGCGGGGAGGAACGAGGAACGCGGGGAGGCATGACCGCCTCTGTCACCGCCGCAATGTTTCCCTCCGCCCGAATTATTTTGCCTTTAATCCTGCCTGAGTGCAAGTGAATCTTCCGCCGGAACCTGTACCTTAGCATGGAAGAAGAACAGACGGAAGAACACACAGAATCCTCGGTGGCAGACTCGTCGGTCTCGCCATTTCCAGCATCACTAATTTCCAGTTCTAGACGATCACGATTGGCGCCTTCAGTACTGCCTACTCGTGTCAGCAGTGCCTGTGAAAGATGCCGTCTCCACAAATCCCGGGTAAGCATCACTGCAGCATCTTGCCGCTCCGGCATGTTGCATAGACCGACTGATTAACTAACTACAGTGTGATCCATATCGTCCCTGCTCGCTGTGTGTACGAGCCAACGTTGAATGCCGTCAACGTCCCGCGATCCAGCGTCAGACCCGAAACGTTTCAACGTAAGCTTCTGCTCGTAGGACCATGGAAGAAGTGCGGCTGTCTAGTAGTCTAAAGCTGACCGCATGAACTCTAGACCTAGACGCAGATTACCTAGTACTCATGGGAGAACATCTCGTCGCCAGCGACAAGCAGGCAAGCCTCGAGGCCAGAAGTCGTTGGAGAATGCGACCGTTGGAAACAGTGTTCCGACTACCACGCCGCTGAGCAGGTCGACGGACAACCGCGCCCCATACAACCCCAGGGCTTCTTCCATTGAACCGGGAGAGGCCGAATCTGCTATGGGGATTGCTCGCAAGATCTGTGAGCTCGGCAGCCAGCACTTGGACGAACAAAATACCTCGGCCATTCCTGGCTACTCTGGCAGTGAATGCGTCCTGCCTGTCCCTGGCACTGCCGCAAATCGTCAACCTATTTCCGCCATCCTAGGTCAACCGTTTCCTGAGCCCGAGGTCATGTATAGCTTGTTGGATGAATACTTTGACGCGGTTCATTGGTTTTCTCTAGTAATCTATGAGCCTAAGTTTCGGCGGAAGCTTCGAACCGTCGCCGATGGTTGCGCGGATCCCACTCAGCGGCCCTTCCTCTTATTACTAGCAGTCGTACTTGGCATGGCAGCCTGGTATCGGGCATAACGTACTCGTCAAAGTACAGCTACAGCCGAGGAAAACTGGGCAGACTGGAGTGTCATTCTTTTGCGCCTGGTGGAAACTAATCTGGTAGATTTGATGGACCAGCCTTCGGTCCCCGCGATACAGACCTGTATTCTTTTCGGTTCTCACCACGTTTATCACGGGCGCCCGAATCTGTCATTTACTTTGCTTGGAGCGACTATCCAAATGGCGCATGCGATTGGCATGCAACGGGAGCTTCGGCGGGGAGACGTTGACGACATCGAAGAACGCAAGCGAGTATGGTGGACAATCTACACATGGGATCGATTCGCGTCTATAACCTACGGCACACCATTAGGCATCAATGACAAGGACTGCAATTTAGGCATGCCCGCAGACATTTACGAAAATCCCTCATTCAGTGTCCCGGGCTCTGAGCGTTCGGTGTCTGTCTGCTATTCGCCTTACCAACGAGAACTGAACCGTTTGTATCTCATTGCCTCCCCGGCGCTGGAGATCATCTTCGGCTCCCGCACTTCAAGGACGTCTCAAGACCTGGTTCGCGATTGTTTTGTGACTCTGGTGCAGGAGACTTCAGAAAAGCTCCATTCATGGCGACACTGCCTGCCGAGCCATTTGATCCTCGATCTTCAGCAGGACTTCTGCGCTAGCGGTGAACAGAGCTCCAAAGCCTACGCTCTACAAGCCCTTTCGCTTCACCTGACGTATGACAATATCTTGATCGTCCTTTACCGTCCTTTGATCTCAAGGCAGGTAGATCATCTCTGGATGAGCAATTTGTCACCGGGGATTGAAGATCTCTGTTCAAACTCCTTTGCATCAGCAGCCGCACCAAACTCACACAGAAGAACTCCTATATTGGCCAGCACAGCCAATTCAGACTTGTGGATGAAAGCCGCCATTCGGACATCAAGAATAACCGAGCTGCCAGTGCTTGCCCAACTTGCGACCGACAGTCATTTGGTCGCATTTTTAGCCATCAACCTGTTCAATGCCGCTGTCGTCTTGGCCGTAATGGCCATATCAGAGCCACTATCCGATGCAGCTCAAGAGGTCAAGCGTACAATGACCCGCATTCTTCGTCTACAGGAACTGTTGGGAAAGCGCTCCGCTCTCTCTAGGCAGAGTACACAGGTCCTGAAGAAGGTGGTCACTATGCTTCTGCGCCGGGAGTCGGCCGCAATGCTCGCACCTTTTGCGGAAACCAGTACATTTATGGAATATGACACCAATCCGGACCGAAATATGCCAGGTCTGCCTCCCATGTCTGTCGAAGAGACGCTGCGGTTGCCCTTGAAAGCAACTTTGGACATGGTGGATCCCCTGATAGGGAGTCAGGGCAGCTCTAATCTTGGTCGTGCCAGTCGCGTCAATGAAAGTCTGACTTCCGTTCAATATGGTAAGTCAATTCAATTTCCCCTTTGATTTGGTGCCTATACTGAAGCATAAAAATTTCAGTCATGGTTCCTGGCCAGGACTACACTCTACATGTTCCAGTGCTGGGAGAAAATCAGCGCACTCAATTGCCCACTCATACCGGTATGTCACCGACGAATGAGTGGCCGCTCACAGCGCCGAACGACTGGCAACATACCAATGGCCTCACGCCGCCCGGGAAGACGGACATTACAATGATGTAGAGAACGGCTTGTACTGGCTTTGGGATACCACATGGAATGGACTTTGACGAGTTTGGAGTTGGACCTTTGAAATCATTACACGGTGTATCTTTATTACCCAGAATTTGACGGTCGTCACGAAAAGGTATCTTTTGCACGAAACGGTCACTGGTTATGCTGCAACTGAGTTGGCCATTTCTGCTTCCACCCCCGGTCCATATATGACACTTTTTATCCCAACCCTGTTCGCCACATTTTGAAACGCTTCTTCGACCTGCGAAAAGGTATATTCGTTCGTAACTAGACCGTCCAGGTTAACACGCCGGGCGTCGAGCAGTCCTATGGCGGTCTGGAAGTCTCCAGGGCCATAGCGAAAGCTGCCCTTGACTGTGACCTCTTTATCGCAGACTTGGCCAATGGGTAGCGTGACGCTGGGCCGACCTAATCCCACCTGGATGAAAGTGCCTCCTGGCGCGACCGCGTGCAGGCCACAGACAATGCAGGGCTCCGCTCCCGTCGCGTCCAGGATCACGTCCGCTCCGTCTTCCACCCTCGCTGCTCTGAGAAGGTCCACCGCATTGACTTCAGGCGATGCGTCTTGCATCTGGTACGTGTGCGTGGCTCCGTATTTGCTAGCTACCGTAAGTCGACTGGAGACAATATCGACCGCAACGACTGTACTCGCACCAAAGGCACAGGCAACAGCACAACAGAGAAGGCCAACTGGTCCGGCTCCGAAGACAATGACGGACTTGGTTTGCATATCGCCGGCGAGCCGACAAGCATGTACCGCGACACTCAATGGCTCGACTAATGCGCCCTGACTGAGGGAGATGTGAGCGGGCAGCTTGAAGCAGCATTCGGCTGGGACGCGATAGTATGTGCAAAGTGTTCCGTCGATCGGGGGCGTTGCTGCAAAACGCATGTCTCTACAGAGGTTGTAGCGACCTCTGCGACACGCCTGGCATGTATTGCAAGCTACACCGGGCTCTAAGGCGACGCGATCTCCGACTGCGATTCCCTCAGCTTTGCTGCCGCAGGACACCACAACTCCCGTTGACTCATGACCTAGGATGAGTGGCTTTTCTACTACATAGCGACCGATACGTCCGTGCTGCCAGTAGTGAACCTTTTGTAACGAGGCGTTAGCTCTGAATTCCTTTTCCATGTTCCTAGGTTACATGTTGCCACTCACATCGGAGCCGCAAAGCCCGGTTGCGATTATTTTCACGATCACGTCCCTATCGGACTGAATAACTGGCAGCTCCCGGTCTTCATAGTAGAATGAGCCGCCTGGCCTGAGCACGGCCGCTGAGTTTGTCTTCTCAAATTGCAGAATCAGTGAGCCACGGTGTTCAAAGCAGGAATGGAGAAGACTTGGTATGACCTACCTGGGTCGAGTCTGCTGCAATCATTCTATCTGTTCTTGCACAATCTGAGTTCAAGACGAGAAGGATGCATCCATGATTTACCTATCTCGACTGGCTCCTCCTTATCTTATACTCAAGGCGCTGTCAATTCCGGCGGAGGCCAATGAAGCTTCGGTTCCGAGCATACGAACAACAATCTGCAGCGTGGAGTACCGATTCCCCGCATTGATTGACCGTCTTCCCAGTCGGGTCTCCCATTAATCTCAAGGTGTGTCTATCTGTCTCACTGTCGCAAGTTCAACGGGATCCGACCCTCGGGGGTGGGTCCGGAACCGAGCATGGCAGGAGGCATGTCAACTTCCGCCGGAACCGATGCTACTACAGTACAATCGGGCCGAGTCTCTCACTTCCCAATACTAAACTCAGACCAAGATACACCACGATCTGACTCAAAGTGCAGACTTAGTGCCGGATTATTTCTGGGATGTACCAAACCTGCACAAGATCTCCGCACCAATGGTGGGGAAGCAGGGATATGCTGCACACAATGGCCGGGAGTCTTCGTGGAGATTTGAGTGCAACTGTTCGTGCCCAGGTCGAGATTAGCAGTTTGTTGCTGCAAGTCATTCTGCAGCCCAGTGTAGGCACGGAAGCGCTGGTAAGGCATCTTGCACCAGTAGTCAAGTACTGCTAGCAATACTGTCGTCATGCAGGATGTCATTCGACATGACGCTGAGTCCGGTATTGGGACTCGATTTCTGTGATCCTTGAATCGCAAGAGCCATCCTTTGCTGGATTCCTCCTCTCTTCCTCGTCTATACACTCCTACTCCATATCACAATGGATATCCAGAACCATGAATCTACCAACATGATAAACAAAATTTCATTCTCCTAAAACCACACTGACCACCCATAGGATAAGTTCTCTATGCAAACCACCCAACTCATCCTCAGCCCCAACCCATCCACGAACACAAGCCAAAACAGGAACTCATTTAGGATCATGCGCCACCACCTCAATCTCCACCCGCATATCATCCTCCCCGAGCCGGGTGACCCCGAGACACGTCCACAGCGGCTCATGATCGGGCATCCACATCCTGAAGTTGCGCACCATCGCGTCCAGCGCCTCGTTGTTGAGGGGCACGTGGTACGAGCTGACCGGAACACCTGGCTCCAGGCCTTGGGACAGACAGGGCATTCCTACCCTGGCCGGAACATTCGATGCGGTCGCCAATGCGCAACGGCTTGGCTGTAATTGAAGTTTTTTTGGTTGCGCTTGCCGACGCCGTCTTAGGTTAGTAGGTTAGGTGGGACATTGAGTGAAATTGTATCATCTGGATTGCGTGGGGGGGTTGGGCTTTGGTGAGGTTGTAGTGAGAATGGACTGTACTGCAAATCGAGTAGTAGATTTATAGTTGGGAGAGGTATATATGTTCCGCGGGATAGGACTGAGGGATGAGGTCATCGAACTTGAGCTTATCTTCTTTACTTATGGCATCTTCGGGGTTGGAAGAGTACATTAGACTGATTCTCGAGGGATTAAGGATGAGGTCATTCAATTGAAAACCGATCTACAGATTTGACTTGTGCAAATGTTCGTGGTTGAATGGAGTGTGTGCTTTGCGTCTTGTTGTTAGTATGAATATTCATACTCCATGCACAACTCCCAAACTGGTATGCGGAAGTGATCAGAGGACTAGCCCTAAACTACTATGAATATATCCCCTTCGTCTCGACATGAAAATAGTCCAGCTTAACTACCGTCTTGATCAAGCACTCCCAATGCGCAGGAGTATCACATGACCTAAAGTAAGGTGATGAGTGATTGACTCCAGTCTAGCCCTTTTAGGCATAACAGTCATAGCGAGCGGTGAGTCAAGATTGACCGCCCGGAGATATACTGCCCGCGCACCGCATTCGGCGCCCGAATCCTCCGTTGAAGAGCTTCTCCAGCCTTCCTTGGACCAACGTGCTCCTCGCATCTACGCTCGTTTACTGTGTCGTGACCTTGTTCACTCACTCACTCACTCACTTATACATCTCAATTGCTCAACTTGTCTCACCCCATTGCAAGTTTTCCGCACCTGCCAATTCGTCTCTCCATCACTGCTAGTCTGCTACAGTAAGCTCTCCCTTCCGCGGCATTCGAACCTCAGCTTCCAACCCATCACTAACGACAGAACAAGGTTCCCGATCCTAACCACCCGCTACACCCGCGAATTACACCATCAACACGCTCATTCAACCTCATCTGTATTCGACCTCTACAATTCATACCCCCGAACAGCCCACCAAAATGTCCATCCGCACCCTCTCCGATACCGACTTCGAAGACCACCCGGCCCAGCGCGCGCGCCCCACGCCCCCGACCCCCTCCGCCCACAGTCTCTGCTACGACTGGATGGTGGTGTCGGGCAACTGCCACTACGCGCGCGACCGCGCCGTCTTCACGCACTACCGGCCGGTGAGCGTGCGGCTGAAGCACAACATTTTCAACCCGATGGACGAGCTGGAGGTGGCGGGTGTGGGCACGGTGGAGCTGCCGGTGGTGCGCTCGCTGGACAATCCCTTCGCGACGCACGTCCTGGTGCTGGAGAACGTGCTGCACATCCCCGAGGCGGTGTGCAATGGCTTCAATCCGTTGCTGTACGGCAGCAGCATGTCGTGCACGGCCGAGGCGTGGACGGGGGCGGACCGTGCGGGCACGCCGCTGTGGGTGGCGATGCCGTTCGCGGGTGGGAATCGGCTCGTGCTGGCCTCGAGCCAGCAGCAGCAAGGGGTGTCGGAGTTGATCGCGGGGAGGTATTATACGTTGAGTTTGTATGTCAGTGCGGAGGAGAAGGGGGAGTTGATGGATTAGGGGGGAGAAATTTTGAGAAGGGCGCGAAAGGGGGAGCCGATGGATTGGGGCAAAGGAGCTGGGAGGCAAAGTCCCTCTGTACTGGGTGGGTGGCGTTGATGTACGATGTATGTTTTTTTGTGTAAATTATGATACCTATGATAGAATACAAACCGGATCAGTCAAGCGAGACGCATGGCGAAAGCAGGACATCTCCGAAGGGTCAGGTTGGATGGACACGTGGAAGCAGGGCAGTACGGCAGCTCGATCGATGCACAAGCGATGGCGATACGGAGAATAACCTCCTGCAGTAGTCTCAGACGCTGGAGGGTTCCGGTCTGCTCGGTTTGCGGATCGAGTGACTTGGAAAGGAGTCTGTGCGAGTGGAGGTCAGTCCGTCGATGGGATCAACGAGGTCTAATTTAGGGCTCGATCCACCATCCCTCGCCATGTGGGCAGCCAACATGATCGGGGATATACCTCAGCCAGCTATAGTTCGACCCAACCACTCGCTAACGACCCTTCTTCCACTGTTCACATGTACGGAGTCGAGGGCCGAGAACCTACCGAATAGACAGTCTGACTGACCATGTGTTGAATCCCCCATGGGGCTTCATCCGGCTGTTCGGCCCGTATTCCGTGTGTTCACCAACCCACCAGCAAGCAGCACGCACAGGCACACACCACCAATCTAAATTCCTCCCCAACCTTCTCACCCAACGCATCCAACGAGGGCAAAAAAAGCCACCCGGACTCAGATCGTATTCCCTGCGACAGCTGCGGCAGTCCGGCCCAGAACTGTCCCCAGACCCTGCGGGAGGTCGCCTTCGGGGCATCCCCAGCTTCCCCGGATTCATCTAATCCCCTTTGGATACGGGGTCTCATCCTTGCTGCAATTAGCCCGCCACTCAGCCTATTCACTGCCCACTCCCATCCTATCACATCTCGTTCTCCTTCACAGGTTCCGCGGCATCTGATGACAGGCGAGAGACTATAGTCGGATATGCAGCTATACCCAGTCTTACCATGCCACCCCCCTCGCCCGCCTCTTGCCCCCCCCCCCCTTTGGCTGCTGGTATATGAGGCCCATGGTTTCCCTCGTGTAAGTTTGATTTCTTTTTTTTTCCTTCCTCAGGTCAGCTTGAACACATCCATTCGAAGGCTCTGTTCTCGCAAAGCTCCTTTCTCACCATGTCGGAGAAACATACGGCGGAGATCTCCCACCTGGATTCGTCCGATGTGCAGGTCAAGGGGGTCCACAATGCGGCGCTGGCTGCGGCCACCACCCAGCAGAAGCCCAGTCTATGGACCAAGAGCATGTTCAAGGTGAGCGGAGTCGTGCCTTTCCCCGCCTCACGCTGGCTAACCAACCGGACAGCTGTACGGTTGCATCGCCGTCGCCATGCTCAACTCTTGCATCAACGGATACGATGGCTCCTTGATGGGTTCGATTAACAGCTACCCGCAGTACCGCGAGTACTTTGGATTCGACCCGGACGCCGGTACCCCCTCGACGGGGATCGTATACGCCATCTACACCATCGGCAACATTGTGGGATCGTTCACGGCGGGTCCCTTTACCGATTTCAGGGGTACAGTCTCGCTTTCGGTTTCCATTATATAGTCTTGGGATTGGGTCCTGATTTTGTTCTCGGTGTGGTCTAGGACGCAAAGTCGGCATGGCGATCGGCGCCATCTTCATCATCATTGGAACCTGCGTGCAAGCCTCGTGCCACAACCTGGGCGGGTTCATGGGGGGTCGGTTCCTGCTGGGATTCGGAGTGGCCACCTCGGCCACTGCGGGACCGGCGTATGTCTCTGAAATCGCTCATCCGGCCTACCGTGGTGCCCTGACGGGTCTGTACAATGTGCTCTGGTTTGGCGGCGGTATCCCGGGAACCTTCATCCCCTGGCGGACGAGTCGCATCCAGAGCGACATGAGCTGGCGCATCCCCATCTGGCTGCAGATGGTGTTCTCCGGGCTGGTCTTGATGTTTGTCTACTTCCTTCCTGAGGTACGCTTCCCCCTGCTGGTCACGGAAACGAGTGATGGCTAATCATGCAGTCCCCCCGTTGGCTCATGTCTCACGACCGCCACGAAGAAGCCCTGAATGTTCTCGCGGAGTACCACGGCGAGGGGGACCGCAACGCCCCTATCGTGCAGTTGGAATACCGCGAGATGCTGGAGGATATCTCCAAGACGGGTTCGGATAAGCGCTGGTGGGATTACCGGGAGCTGTTCAACACCCGCGAGACGCGGTACCGGTCGATGCTGGTGATCTTCATGGGTAAGGCTGCTCCTGTATGTCACACATTCTTCCAACGCCATCAAACTGACCTCCCGGCAGCTCTCTTCGGCCAATGGTCCGGCAACGGACCCGTCAGTTACTACTACCCGCAGATGCTGCGCGGCGCCGGCGTCACCAGCAACAGCACGCAGCTCCTGCTGCAGGGGCTGCAGAACGTGGTCTCGCTGATCGGGGCCGTCTCCGGGGCGCTGCTGACGGACCGCATCGGCCGTCGCGTGCAGCTGCTCACCTCGACCTCGCTCGTCGTGGTGCTGTTTGTGATCGTCACCGCGCTGAACGCGACCAACGTCGTCGACGGGCCCGACGGCACCCCGACCGCCAAGAGCGGCATCACGGCGCGCGCCCAGATCGCGATGATCTTCATCTTCGGGTTTGTGATCTCCGCCGGCTGGACGCCCAACCAGGCGATGTATCCGGTCGAGTGTCTGCGGTATGAGTCGCGGGCGAAGGGGATGGGGATGAACAATGTAAGTGACGGTCCTCACTCTTGATATGTGTGTGTGTCCAGTGGGATCCTAACGACGGGGCCAGTTCTTCGTGAATATCGCCTCCTTCTACAACACCTTCGTCACCGGGATCGCGTTCACCCGCGCCGGATGGAAGTACTACTTCCTCTTCATCTTCTGGGATACCCTCGAGGTGATTGTCATCTACTTCCTTTTCGTGGAGACCAGCAAGCGCACCCTGGAGGAGTTGACGGTCATCTTCCAGGCCAAGAACCCGGTCAAGGCCTCGTTGAAGCGGGATGAGGTGCTGGTGGCTGGGGGGGAGGTGACGCAGATGACCAAGGAGACTGAGGCGTGACGTGACTCCTTGAAGGGGGGAGCTATGGTGGAACGCGTAGGGAGTACTATAATGGGAGGTGGTAGTTTGGATGTGGTGATTGGATGGTGCTATCGAGTCAAATTATTCTTACGAATGAGCAGCTGGTGGTTCTTATGTAGTACCATAGTAGGGAGGGACATTGGCTTGCTTCCTGTCGGGACTGGTGTTCCCATGTATATTCAACAGAGTAGGAAGATGAAGTGTTACTCAAGCTACAATACTTCAGTTTACCTCGGTGGATGGGATCTTATCGCCGTGGCATTGCGGAGCGACATCTGGAACAAGAATCCGGACTTAGGGCTGCCGGATCACCACCACGGGTGATTTGGTGCCAATTCTTATAACTTAACTTACATAGTATTTCGCCCAAGCTCAGCTCCTCGGCGACTGACCATATGACTCTCTCTTATCAATCGCCGAATAACCAGCAGATACAATCTCAATGTGAATTCCTTTAAAAAACCCCCCAATCGGGCATGTCCAGGCGGGGAACACCCAGATAGAGGCATCTGATTGGTTCGATAAGCCCTTCGTCCGGCCATTTTGCCCACTCGGTCTGAACTTCGTCCTGACAACTACAGCGTATATTGCCTCCCCCCACCTCCGCCCGGTCCTTATCATCAGGCTGGTCTTAAAAACAAATAAAAATGCGGCGCCAATGCAAGAAGTCTGTTCGTTGGGAGTGAAATTCTAGTGTAATCAGCCAGATATTCGCCTCATATCGCGGGCCGAAAGTCTGTCGACAAGTCAAGCTTTCCCCGCAACTCTCCAGGCTGGACATACCGCATGCATCCACCATTATCTCATCTACTGATTACCAGTTAACTTAGTAGGAGTTAAGTTGGTTAACTTATCCCGTGCCCCCTCACTTTTGGGGCTTTCGGCGATTTAAGGCTTGCTGGTCGCTCCGCCCTTGCATTTTATTGTGCTGTGCCATTTTATTTATTTATTTTTTTTGTTTTCAAACTTGATTGTCTCTTTCGCTTTTCCCTGTCTTCCTGCGTGTCTCGTGGTAGTGTCATGTCGACAGCAATGGCCGAGGAGAAAAAAGCCCCCCTCGAGAACGAGGATGATGACGTCCAACTCGCCCAGATGGGACACAAGGCGGAGCTCCATCGGAACTTTTCAACCCTGTACGTTTTGCTCGACCCGAGTTTGGAGGGAGATGCTGATGTTCGGATGAGGAACATAGGTCGATGCTTGGTCTGGCGTTTGCGGTGCTGAATGTATGTTTTGGCCGCAGCAGCACATCACTCACACGGACCCGCTGACTTGTCATTCCTAGTCGTGGACGGCGCTATCGGCGAGTTTATCGCTCAGTTTACCATCCGGGGGGAGCGTGAGTGTTGTCTGGGGTAGGTATCTCCTTTGTGTTTCTGGGAAGATTGTGCTTCTGATTCATGACTAGGGCTGGTCACCGCCGGAGTGTGTAACTTGTGCATTGCGGTCTCGCTGGCAGAGTTTCTGTCGGCGTATCCGACGGCCGGGGGCCAGTATCATTGGGTTGCTGGTGGGTTTCTTCTTGCCCTCTTTTCCGTTGAGAAAGATTGGTTGAAACGGGGGTTATACTGACTGCCACGGATGGGGAGAATAGCTAGTACGTATCGTCTCCCGCTGGTTTCTCGCCTCTCGATCTAATCAACGCCAAACTAGTCTCATGGCCGAAATGGGTGCCCATCCTGTCGTGGGTGACGGGATGGGTTAATGTGGCTGGTTGGGTGAGAGTCCCTTTCCTCTCTCCGGTGGGATGGATTGCGAGTGTGTGTGGAAAGAGCTCATGGCTAACGGGACGGGCTTAGGTTGCGCTGGTGGCGACCAACGCCTTGCTGTCGTGTCAGTTGATCGCGGGGATTGTTTCCTCGGTCTACCCTGTAGGTTCCCCCTGGGGTTCCCGGTAGGAGGAGCACCAGCTGACCCGATTCTCCCAGGACTTTGCGTGGCAACGGTGGCAGTACTTCCTCATGTACATCGCCTACACGGTTCTGGCGTTCGTGGTGAACGGGTTCATGAACTCGGTGCTTCCCATCATCTATCGGGGTGCTTGTAGGTTTTCCTCGAGGAGGTTTAAAAGATACTTGCATAGCAAGCTTGACTGACGGGGACAAGTCACCTGGTCGATTGGCGGGTTTGTGGTGGTGTCGATTACCGTGTTGGCGTGCGCCTCGCCGGATTACAACTCTGCCTCGTAGGTTGCACCTTGCCCTTGGGGTTTGATGGACCAGCTGACTGAGGCGGGGGTAGCTTCGTGTTTACCAATTTCATCAATCAGACGGGCTGTACGTTGAAACCCCCTCTTCTTGGTGCATCTCATCTCGACTGACCTGCGCAGGGCCGGACGGAGTGGCTTGGCTTCTGGGGGTGAGTGTCGCGCTCGATGGTTAGGGCTTGGGGCTAACCACGAGACCAGTTGCTGCAAGGCGGACTGGGGGTGACTGCGTTTGTACGTTTTGTGTGGCATTTGCGAGTCGAGCAACACTCACTAACAAAACCGCTCTAGGACGCGGTCTGCCACATGATCGAAGGTCAGTTCATCTTTTTCGGGGCTGCACCACGGCGCCACTGACCGGCCAGAAATCCCGCAACCCTCCATCAAAGGCCCCAAGATCATGGTCGTCTGCGTGGGCATCGGCACCGTCACGGGGGCCATCTTCCTGATTGTGCTGCTGTTCGTGGCGGGCGATATGGACGAGGTGGTGAACTCCAGCGCAGGGCCTCTCCTGCAGATCTTCATCCACGCGACCAACAACCGCGCCGGGGCGATCTGCCTTCTCATGTATGGACCGTTCCAGCTCATCTCCATCCCCTTGCACCGAACCGAACCGATTGCTAACCGGCCAGGCTCCCACTGGTCTGCCTGTTGTTCGCGACGTTGAGCGTCATGACCACCAGCAGTCGGATGATCTTTGCCTTCGCACGGTAGGTGACCAGCTCAGCGGAAACGAAACGCTACCAACCCTGCTCTGCGCCGCCTGCTGACGAGCTCGACAGAGACGGCGGCCTGCCCGCATCCAAGTTCTTCGCGCGCGTGCATCCGCGCCTCGGCCTCCCGCTAAACGCGCTGATTCTGACGACCGGGGTGGTGATTGTCTTCGGCTTCATCTACCTGGGATCCACCTCGTAAGTCTCGACGGCGGGTTGGGGGGGAAGCAAGGGCAAGGCTGACTGTCGTACGTAGGGCTTTTAACGCGATTGTCTCGGCCTCGGTCGTCCTTCTCGATCTATCGTATGCGATGCCGATCGCGGTGAATTGCCTGCGGGGACGACGCACCCTGCCGGATCGGCGATGGAAGATCCCTAACGGGGTGGGCTGGGTGATTGATATGGTGAGTGGGTTTCTCAGTGGGGGGGGGTGGTGGGGATACTAACGGGGGTAGATCTCGCTGTCGTATATCGCACTGACGACGGTGCTGTTTGTGTTTCCTCCGGACCTGCCGGTCACGGGCAGCAATATGAGTAAGAGTTCTGAGGTGTCGGAGGGTGAACGACCGCTAACGGGGAGATAGATTACTGTGTTGTGGCATTTGGGATCATTCTGATTATCTCGTTGGTGCAGTGGGTGGTGGATGGGCGGAAGAACTTTACTGGGCCGCGGGTGGACTTGTAACCTTGATCATGAAGTAGAATCCGTGAAGCTATTCACAGACTCACCAGTGTAACATTCCAGGGGGTCTCCACTCGGGGGAAATCGGACTAAGCAAGGAGGGGAGATTCACAGCCTCCACTTCCTCAGCTAAGTTAGTAGTATATAAACATATCAACCAACCCCGCACGTCTCTTTCGATCACTTTCTCCTCCGACCACTTCACCAGTAACTCCTCTCCAACACAACCACCATGTATTCCTTGCTGCTGCTCCTCCTCTACGCCACCACCACCACCACCGCCCTAACCCTAAGCACCCTCCGCCACTTGAACCACCATGTGGATCAAGAATACACCCCCAGTCTCGCCGAACAGCAATTCCCCATCTACAACCTCACCACCCCGCTCAACCACTTCCCCGATTCCCCGCGCTACCCGGCGACGAACCAGACCTTCCCCCTGCGCTACATCGTCGACGCCACGTACTACCAGCCGGGGGGCCCGGTCTTCGTGATCGCCGGCGGCGAAACCTCGGCGCTCAACCGCCTCCCCTTCCTCTCGCAGGGGATCGTGCACGAGCTGGCCAGGATCTACCACGGGGTAGGGTTAATCGTGGAGCACCGATATTACGGGACGAGTTATCCCGAGGACATCCCGCAGGAGGAAGCTGGAAGAAGGAAAACAGTCCTCCAGTCGAATCATCAACAACCACCACCACCACCACAAATCCCCCTGTCGAGCTTGAAATACCTCACCACCGAACAAGCCCTGGCCGACTACGCCTACCTCGCCACCCAGCTGCCCCCGATCTTATCCTCGTTGGTGTCCTGCAACCTCACCGCCGAGACTCCCGCGGATCTCTCCCCCCAGCGAACCCCCTGGATCGCCTACGGCGGCTCCTACGCCGGCGCCTTCGTCGCCTTCCTGCGCAAGTCCTACCCCACGCGCTACTGGGCCGCCATCGCCAGCTCCGGGGTGACTGCGGCGGTGACGGATTACTGGCAGTATTACGAGCCGATCCGTCTGCACGCCCCGGGGGCGTGTGTCGCGGTGCAGCAGGCCTTGGTGGCGTTTGTGGATCGGGTGCTGCGCGGGCACCCCCAACACCCCACCGGGGATGTGCAGCTCCACGCAGCAGCAGCAGCAGCAGCGAGCGGTAGCGCGAGCAATCAGTCGGCGAGTGAGCGACTCAAACAACTCTTCCTCCCCAAATGGGGAAACGCCAACGCCCTCGACGACGAGACCTTCGTGGCGGGACTGTCCGAGCCGCTGGGGCTCTTCCAGGAACGGAATTGGGATCCCCGGGTCGGGGACTTGGGGTTTCGGTGGTACTGCGGGAATCTGACGGCGGAGAAGGTGCTGGACGAGGCGCTGGAGGAGGATATTGGGACTGTTGTCCGGGAGTTGGTGCGTGGGGTTGGGACTGCTGCTGCTGCTGCTGCTGCTGATGATAATGATGAGCAAGAGGAAGAGGCGTTGGTGAGGGAGGTGGTGAATTGGGTGGGGGTGGTGAGGAGGTTGGGGGTGTTTGAGTCTGCTTCTGCTTCTGCTTCTGCCGACGCTGCTTCTGCCTCTGTCTCTCCTCATGATGATGATGATGATGATGACAATAATCATGAGGCTGAGGATAAACTCCTCCCCCGAACAGCCTCAACCAGCTGGAACTACCAAGTCTGCACGGAATGGGGCTACTTCACCCCCGGCTCGACCGTCCCCCCACACATCAAACCGCTGGTGTCGCGGCGACTCACCCCCAACTTCTGGATCGAGATGTGCAACGCCACCTACGGGATCGACACTCCCCCCGACACCGACAGGATCAATCAATATGGCGGGTTCGGGTTCTCGTATCCTCGCGTGGCGCAGATTGGCGGGCGGGCGGACCCGTGGCGGGAGGCGAGCCCGTTCGCAACGGGTCTGCCAGTCCGGAACTCCACGGCGGAGGAGCCGAGGATCCTGGTGGAGGTGCCGGCGACGGAGGTGTACGATGGCATGGAAGGGGCGGTGCATCACTGGGATCAGAACGGGGTGTTTGGAGTGGAGGAGTTCTGGGAGGGGAAGAAGGTGGTGCCTCCCAAGGGAGTGCGAGAGGCGCAGGGCGAGGTGATTGCCTTTGTCGGGGGATGGTTGGGCGAGTGGCAGAAGCAGAAGGACGAGGAGGATGTTGCAATGCAAGAGATACAATCCCCAGCGCATCAAATTCGACTAACACTGACTTGATGCCTATGCTACCTACCTACCTACCTACCTACCTACCTACCAACCATGAACCCATCATGGATAAACATACATGCCACCAAATCAATCCCCCGTCCCAATCTCCAAATCCAACTGCACCCCATTCGTGATCCCATAATCCCCCAGCGTGATGAAATCCTTGAACGGCCGCTCGCCCTGTCGCTTCAGTAGGATCTCGCGCGGCGCGCGCCCGATCTGCGCCGCCACCAGCACCTTCAGATCGCCCACCGTGTCCGACCCCAGACACGGCACCGTCGCCTTGGTGCCCAGCCGGTCGTTGACGTGCACCAGGATCATCGGCTCGTTGCTGACGGGGGCGGACTTTTTCTTCTTTTCTTTCTTCTTGGGGGGGTCGGTGGTGGGTTGGTCTCGGTCTCTGTGGCTGTCTCTGTAGCTGTCTCTGTGGCTGTCTCTGCCCTCTCGATCGCGGTTGTAGTCTCTGCTCTCTCGATCCCGGTAAGACCCCCGGTCGCGATCCCTTCCATACCCCCGAGGATCCCTCCCATCCCTATCCCGCGCATCATATCGATCCCGCGGACCGTAGCCCATACCCCTCTCGCGCTCCCGGTCGCGCTCGCGGTCGCGGTCACGATCATACTCCCTCCGCGGCGACCGCGCCCGATACCCCCGGTCTAACCGCCGGGCGTCCTCGCCTTCAGCGTCGCCGCGACCGCCCCGTTTCTCCTTCCATCGGAAGCCGCCGGCGGAGGATTTCTTGGGGTGGCGGGGTGGGGAGCGAGAGCGGGAGCGAGGGCGTTGTGCTGGTGGTGGGGAGTCGGGCATTTGTTTCGTAGGTGGTGCGCGCACCGGTAGGTTTGATGGTTGTGAACAATCCTTATGCTGTGAGGGTGTTCGTGCTTGTTTAATTTGATTTGTTGTTGTGTTCAGTCTGGGTGATGGGGTTGTGTTGGTGTTGGAGAGGTGGAATGAAGGACTGGAGGAGCTGTCACGGCACTAGCTCGGGCTGCTTGAGCTGAGATGAGATGCGCGAGGCGGTGAGATGGGTTCGAAGCTGCGCTGAGCGGAGCGGGTGGCAGAATGTGACCGCTTCAATGGCTGCTTTTGAGGATAACCTCTTTGGGGTAGTAGTACAGTTGAGTACTAGGTAGGTAGGTAGGAGGTATAATCTGTGCTTGGAGAAAATACATTGCGATGAGTATGTGCTGCCAACGACCAGAATTCAATCTGCGCAGCACGCCACAGACCATAACGACACAACCATGCTCCCATCATTTTTTACACAGCAATCCCTCAACCACTTCATATAATTACTCAAAACCCCATCCCACCCCCCAAACTCACAGCTAAGCATACTTCTCCAAGAATCCCAACGCAGTCTTATATCCCCGCTCATACTCCTTCCGGACCTCCTCATCTTCAAGGTTCGACCGCGCGGCCATCCACCCATGGATCTGCCCCGTGAAGGTCTCTACATACCCCGGCTGCCCCAAATTCTGGCCGAACTTCTCCACGTCCTCGGGCTTCTCATCCTTGGACGCCAGCACCGCCATGGGCACGGTCACCTTCTTGGCGTCCTCGGGGTCCAGCATGGCCGGGTGGCACTGCACGGCCGCCTTGAAGAGGTAGTTCTCCGCGCCCGTCGCCAGCGTCGCGATCTTGCCGCCCCAGCAGTACCCCAGAATCGACCAGGACTCGAACTGCGCGCCCCCAGGGGCGAGGGTGTTGGCCGCGCTCACGACGCCCGGGATCTTGGGCAGGGTGTTGGGCGGCGCGGCTTTGGTTTGGAAGAAGTGACCCAGCTTCTGCTTGTGCTCGTCCGTCTGCGGGGGGAACCAGGTGATGTCGGCGGGGTCGCCTTCAAAGAAGTCGGGGATGAAGACGCGGTATTTCTGGTTGCTGCTGTGGGCGAGAATGTCGGCGCCTTGCAGGGTTTGGGGGAAGAAGCCGAAGATGTCTGCCAAGGTTGGTGGTGGGTTTTCTAGGATGGGGGTGTCCGGGGACGCTTACCGTAGATGACGAGGATGGCTTTGGAGGCTGACTCCGGGCCGGTCACGTCTACTCGTGTTTAGTGGTGATGATGGCGAGGAAGCGATTGTTGGAGGGGGGATGTACAGGTCTTCAAGCCTCCGAGGGTCTTGTATTCACCCTTGGGCTGGTAGCCCTTGGCGACGACGGGGGGGATCCTGCGTGGTCAGCTTGGTACATCGGACACGAAACCGAAGAAGACTCACGAGCAGCAGGCCTTGTTGATAGACATGGCGGCGGGGGAGCAGTGGAATGAACGCAGCGGTCGGTAGGAAGTGGTGGCGTGGCTGGTCAGCGACGAGATGGACCTTCGCAGAGACTGGGTTAGAAGCTGTCCGGGGAACATCGTATTGTTGTCAGTGGGAACGCACAGAGGTTAGATAGTAGTTGATGGATAGGTTGCAAGGGGTTGCAAGAGTAGTTGTGAGAAGGAGGCATTGGGGGAGTTGAGCGGAGCGAACGACAAAGCGAAATGAGGGGATCCCCGCCGACGTCATCGATTTCCCCACCCCTCCGGTTTCGCCCGCCATATTTATTCGCTACAGACTCTACAGAGTACAGTAGCTATGCAGCTGCAGAGCAGGAGTATAAAATTTACATGTTTCAAGGTTGGATATCCAGCATGGTCCAAATGGAGGGGTCAATTGCTCCGAGGGTCACCAAGAAAGCATACAGATCACTGTGCAGGTTCCACGACCGTTTACCTGCTGACGGCAGAGTATCAGCAGTATAATAGCTGATGAAATATCTACTCCGAAACAATTGATAATAGTATACTTTTCCGGTGTTAGCGTCTTGTGCATTATTTATCCGATAGGTAGTGTGGGTCCCTGTCAACTATCAAAACAATATATATGTATCGAACAGACTTTCTAATCGATGACAGCTCTTCATCCCTACGACTACATCATGATTCATCAATCAAAGAACGCAATTTATTCACAGTCAAGCAACGAGATCCTCTCGACCGAGTAGACCAGCACGCAATCATCCCCTCCATTCGCGACACCAACTACTCGCGACATGCATAGCTCGGAAATCGTCCGCGCATCAATTCTGCGGAGTAAGCAGGAATCTCGTGCTGAACACGATACTAGATACTACAGAGGAGAACCCCGACAGTCACGCAATGAGCTCGATTGATGGCGTGTGAGGGGCAAGCATTGCACCGAGACACAGCTATATAGGAGCAAGAACTACATCGTCACGACGCTGTCAGACATCCAGAAGGAACCACCACCACCATGTCTACCTCGATCCCCCATGATGCACCCAAGAAGCAAATCCTCCTCAATGCGTTTGACATGTGCACCGTCGGGCATCTGTCGCCCGGACAATGGAAGAACCCCAAGGACCGGTCCGGGACGAAGCGCACATTGAAGTACTGGACGGATCTGGCCCAGTTGCTGGAGCGCGGGGGGATCAACGCCCTGTTTCTGGCAGACACGTACGGAGGGTATGATACCTACGAAGGCAGTCTGGATGAATGTATCCGGCGAGCGGCGCAGTGGCCGATGACGGATCCGACCATTGTAAGTACCTGTACGCCGGATCGCGGTTGGGAATATCGATATCCACGAGGCTACTGGCTTCCTCGCAGCTTGCCCTACGATGTTCACCCAGGATGACTTACTCAGCTAACTTCTTACCAGCCCATCTCCGCCATGGCCGCCGTCACCACCAACCTCGCCTTCGGCATCACGGCCTCCACCTCGTTCGAGCCGCCCTTCCTCCTGGCGAAACGCTTCTCGACGCTCGACCATCTGACCAACGGCCGCATCGGGTGGAACATCGTCACCTCGTGGAAGAAAGCGGCCTTCAAAGCCATTGGGCTGGACAATCCGATCGAGCACGACGAGCGCTACGCCCAAGCCGACGAGTACCTGCGCGTGCTCTACAAGTGAGCCGACCTACCTCCTCCTTGTTTGTTCTTGCAACACTCCACGCTCCTATCCTCTACTGACCGCTCCCACCAGACTCTGGGAATCCTCCTGGTCGCCCACAGCGCTGAACCCGGATCCCTCGACGGACAGCTACATCGACCCGACCCAAGTCCGGCACATCCACCACTCCGGCAAGTACTACCACCTCTCCACCCGCCACATCGTCGACCCCTCGCCGCAACGCACTCCCTTCCTCTTCCAAGCCGGCACCTCGACGGCGGGCTCGCAGTTCGCCGCCACCCACGCGGAAGCGATCTTTGTATCGGCGCACGCCCCCAGCATCCTCGCCCCGAAGATCGCCGCGATCCGCGCGCAGGCCGCCGCGCAGGGGCGCGACCCCCGCTCCCTGAAGTTCTTCGGCACGTTCACGCCCATCCTGGGGCGGACCGCCGAGGAGGCCGCCGCGAAGCTCGCGGAAGCGGAGCGCTACGCATCGGTGGTGGGCGGGCTGGTGCTGTTCAGCGGGTGGACGGGGATCGACATCTCCAAGATCCCGCTGGACCGCGACATCACGAAGGAGGACAGCACGGAGGCGCACAAGGTGACGAGCATGCTGGATGCCTTCACGACGACCAGCCCCGAAGTGCCGCGGTGGACGCCGCGGGTGGTGGCGCGGAAGGCGGCGATCGGGGGGCTGGGGCCTGTGGCGGTGGGCACGGCGGCTGTGGTGGCGGATGAGCTGGAACGGTGGGTGCGCGAGGCGGATCTGGATGGGTTTAATCTCGCCTATGTGACGACGCCGGGGACGTTTGAGGATGTGGTCGAGTTGTTGGTGCCGGAGTTGCGGCGCAGGGGGGTGTATGCGGATCAAGATCCGGCGGGGGGGTTGACGATGCGCGAGAAGGTGTATGGGGTTGGGCAGAAGGGGTTACGGGCGGATCATCCGGGGAGTCGGTATCAGTATGATGTTTATGTTGAGGATGAGGTGGATCGCGAGAGTGGAGAGTAGGTTGGAAGGTGTGTGAATAAGTGTGGTGTATACCTACTTACCTAGTGCTTCTGATTGCAACTTCATGGACCAAACCAAATGTGAAGGATAAGGATAGGAATCTTCATGTTCACATGTTCATATACTATACCTCATAGTTTTCTTTTTTTTTTTTTTTTTTTTGATTGATGTAATTCTACCTAATTATAATTCATGATTCCTGCTTGTGCAGAATAAGCTACACACACCGCGCCACGGTGAACGCCGCCCTCTCCATTCCCGTCAGCCCCAGACCAGCCGATGTGTCTGCATCTGTCCATCTGTCCCCCCGTTTTCTCCACTCGGGTCTGGACCGGTCTAGGTCGTTCTTCATGCCAATGCCGACATTCTTTGTCGTGTGATTTTCCATGAGTGAAAAAGAAAATTGAGGTGATTTCCTGCTGCTGCATACGCATACTTGATTAATGGAATTTTCTTGAGTCTGGAAAGTAGGGCACTAAAGCAGTAGAGCACTAACTAGGGCAGTAGGAGGTCTTGAGTAGGTAGGCTGAAGAGAAGTCTCGTGACTGACTCGAGGACAAAAGGGGAGGAGGGGGAAGGGGCATCAATACCATCCAATACGTATGGGTATGTCTGGTAATTAATGCAGTTGGTCACACGGACAGTCAGTTCCGACGCTATTCTTAGCGCCCCTGGGGCTCGGGGGTCGGTCTACTTTTTCTTCTATTCTCCTCAATAACTACCACAGTGTGTCTTGAGATTATCCATATAGTTCAACAAAAACAACATCTCAACCAGCACAATAAAGCCCCTCCCTGTTCCAACTACCATAACCCACTCAAACCACATCCTCCTCCCCCAAACTCCACCTCAAGCCCAGTGCACCCGCACAGAAGCCCAACCAAAGCAGCCGGAAATGCACGCCCTCGTGCGAAAGAACCCTCCCCCCCCCTCCGCTCAACCTCGGCTGAATCTACGGACTACGGAGTAGGTAGGTAGTTGTGTAGGGTACGGAGTCCTCGGAGGACTAATCTCCCAAGCTACGGAGGAGACTAAACCCCTCCCTCCCTAGTCACCTCCTGTGCATGCATGCATCTCCCAATGCGATCTTTTTCTTTGTCTGCCCACGCGATAGGGTCCGTAGTTAGTAGTTTGCACTCAGCAGTAAGCCCTTAAGGGAGCACTGAGCGGCGCACACTAGGTAGTTAACAGTAGCGGGTTGGGAAGTAAGCCGGTGGAGCCCGCCTGAGCTTGTGGGAAGGAAAAGTGAGACACGCCGGCCGCTTATTCTGGGGTGGGCTGCCAGCTGGGCTCGGGAGGAGACCCGGAGGGGTTTCGTGGATTTCTGGTTTGTTCGTCGCGTACTACTAGCTGTGTGCTGGGGGGGTTGTTTTGTGGAGTGCAGTAGAGAGGCAGGGAGAGAGAGCAGAGAGTGGATTGGAGGATCGACGGTTTATGAAGACACTGGCCCAGTATATAAGTCAACTACCATCACGGTAGTTAGATGACTCCCCGTAAGAGAAGGTGCCATAGCAGGGGGTCAAACCGGGAGGAACAAAAAGAAGTATTGTGTTATCTCTGACCGAACAGGTAGAACCCTCCGAATCTCGGCGCGGAGTGAGTGAGCGTGAGAATCCTGCGTTAGTGTATAGGATGACCCTAAACCTTCACCACACAGACCATGAGCAGAGAATTCCGACCTTTTGATGACTACTTACTCCGTACTAGTTTAACTAACTTACCGGTTACTGTTCATAGACTAGTAGTGACCGGTCGCTCTACCGGCTGAGCTCGCACGCCCACCACCACACGAACAGCGCGGTTCACCCAGCAGAACAGACCAGTGCGCACTGGATTGACTGGGCTCTCACTGTACTCCGTACCGCCCCAAGAGCCGACGATATATACCGTCGGCAGAGCAGACCGCAACTTTTCACCCACTGCTTCACCACGTGGACTTGTCTCAGCTGAGGCTTTCCGATTCTTCAAGACGGCCGACAGACCCCACCGGATACAGACCTAAATCCAGGAGCGACGCAGCGAGGCGTGTGTCGGCTCCGATGAAGCGAGCATTTAAGGTTATGGGGGTGTGGTGTGGTTATTGCTTCGCCGCGCGCGGTCGCCGTAGGAGGTACGGACTACGGAGGACCACTACAGGCAACGCCTCTGCCGCATGCTGAGCTGCCGGGCGGATCGGATTCATCGAGCTCATGCGCTTGGTTGCCTGCGAGCGAGGATGGGCTGGGCCTGTGCGGTGCGGTGCTGTGTGTGTGCTGGACAGTAAGCGAGGAGAGGAGGAAGTGCGTATCGCCTTGTCCCGACTCTGACTCCCTCGTATGGTTCTTATCTGTCATCATGTGCACTTCACTCGGAGGCAGCCTAGCCCCCGCTACTTCTACTTGATAGGGAGGTAAGGTGGTCTTGTCAAGAATGTGAGGGCTGTAGTAGTGCTATAGAGACTTCAGATGCGTTACTGGAAGCGATGCTTTTCGTGGACCCGGAAGACTTCGTGTCTAGGATACTGTAGAGCATGAAGAACGCCAGCTCCCAAGACGATCCGCCAGGGTCGGAAGGCGTCCGTTCCTGTCAATCCTCGAGGGTCCAGTCAGGGACCCTATCTGCACCGAACCACCGACTAGGGGAGAAATCGAGAAAGGAGGGGAAAGGAGATCGGATCCCTCGAATAATTTGAACTGATATTCCTGCGCGTCGGACAAGAAGTTTAGTTACGATAGGCGTAAAAACAATTCCGACCGGGAGCCGCTCATTGGTGGGCTCCGGGCCCTGTCATTCAATGTTTCCAATGCCTCCGTGTCTGGGGGAGGAACGGGGGGCCAACCAGGGGGGAGGAAAATCATGCTCATCTGCAAGGAGGGGGGTTTTCGGTACCAAGTAAGCTATGCTGGGGAAACACATGCGAGTCTGGGTGTGGAGTGTGGAGGGGGATGAGCCTCGGACAGACAGTCAGACTGGAAAAAGAGCCATCTGTCTGAGATACCGTACACTTCGTGGAGTCCTGGAATACTTACTGACCACGGTGGACCTCCACCAATACCGACAGGCTGGTCACTGACCGCGTCCTCCCGTCGGTGACTCGAAGTTGACTCAATTAAAGTTAGCCCTCCGTCCGGTCTGCTACGGCGGACACTCCGGGGGAAAATCAGCCACACCAAACTATCTAGATTGCTTGTTCATGAGAGACACAAATCAAAAGACTATTCCCGCTTGGGACTGGTTCTGATGCAGCCAAACCGCGGGTCTGCAGCCAACCCAAGGGGGTGGCTCAAATCCACTGCACCGGGGGGGGTCTGGCCTTGGTTTCTCTCAGCCAGTCTGTTGAACAGTCCTTGAGTGATGAGTGAATTCGTTTTGCGAAAAGGAGTGGGCCGAAAGAAGCTTGGGGAAGAGCAAAGAATGAAGACACGAGAAACATTCACTTATACGGAGTACTCGACGGAGTACCTACTGTGTACTCCGCACTGGGTACTGTATAGTATAGCGGAACAAAATACCTACACAGCTCCGTACTCCGGACAGTCCCATCTCGCTTGAAATCGTAGATTCCAAGGGGAGGTGGTGCTAGACGAACCAACCAGATTCCCCCAGCGGAAAAGTCTCGGCTGCAGCAGTGACTGGCTTGACCGGCGTTGGACCCGATGGGGACTAGCCGTAAAATAACGGAGTACTAAGTACTACCCAGTAGCTGTATGCGAAAACACGGGCCATCCACCAATCGCCACCCGCATCTGGCCCCTCCCTCTCCCGCGCATCCATGGTTTAGGATCCGAGCCAACTTTACTGCTTGTCCCCTGCCAGTCGCTTCGATCTGCCCGACTCCAGCGGACGCGTGCAGATTTAGTAGAGGAGGGGCCAGCTCGTATTGGTTATTTGGCCCTGACTGAAGAGGGTACGTTTCCTCCGGGAGGATGAGCTGGATGGTGCAATCAATTATCCCCGGAGGAATGAGCGAGAGCGAATTGGATCGACTCTGGTGGCCAACTTCCATCCAGGGTCCTTGAACCGTGAATTTCATACAAAGCTCCGGGGCCTAGCACTGGAATGGGACTTCTTTGTTCTGTTGTCCGTGCAGGTTCTGGTGAACACCGTCCTTGCTTGTCAGAAGTCGAGATATCATAGACAGTTAGACACATGAAAGGACTCCGTACAATATCTCAACCATATTAATGTTTCCACTGGATCGGAGGCCATCGAAGCTTCGATGGGGTGGATCGGGGAGGGTCTCATCCGTCAAAAGTCGTCTTTATTTTCCGGCGTGTCAACCGGTCGCCGCTGACTAACTTTATCTGACTGGTTAGTTAGTTACTAGTTACCGAGCTAGTTAGTAGTTATCACCACCCCGTAAGAGCATCCTATCCTCGTCTCCTGCTCTGCATCTGAAACGATAATCTCTTCCATCATCATAATCAATCACTCATTTGAGAACTGACGAGACTTCGTCCATAACCACTAACAACAGTCAACTCGCCCCGTCCCGCGCAAGACTCGGCAGCCATGGCCACCCACCGGCCCAGCATCTGTCATGCATTCCTGGACGCAAGGAGCAGCAGATCGCTTGCTTGCCCCTTTTTCGTCTCGTCTGGTCTGGTCCCCTCCGCCAAGGCCACCCTGCTAGTTATCGTGATGATGCGATCGATGCATCTGATTTGCGCCCGCGGGGTTTAATCGCATTTCCGGTGACCAGACGCGGAAGACAGTACAGTACTGGGGTGTGCTCTCGATGTCCCTGCGACGACCGGGATGATTACCCCAGATGTAGACGGACAGCCATCGGCGTCATGACAGTTGAAGTATCGTGCTTGAGTGACGTGCAATCCTCCTGTCATGACTATCCGCATCTCCTGTGCGGTTCTGCCTGTTGATCGATCGTCGTGCCCCGTCTGCTAAGCTTAAAGCCAAACTCCACCAAACAGGGAAAACACAAAACCAGGACACTTCCCTGCTGGGGGGAGGTCGGGCTGGCTGATCGTCGAACTGCGCTCCACATGCTTAGTCGGCAGGGAAGATGCTTCAGTAGTGCCAATACCACCAGATAGAAAGTAAGAATAGAACGCACAGCAATAAAGCAACAAAAAAAAAGTACGGAGGCACTACAACAACCACTACCAAATATTTTATTTCCCGAGGAGTAGTTACTCGAAGGGGAAACCACCTCAACACAGGTACAATCTTGCAGCAACGTAGGGCTCTTCCACGAAACAGGAGAATAGGGGATTGGAATTAGGGGAGGGGGGGGGAGAGGAACCGGGTTTGAGATTCTTCAACGCTGGTCCGGAATTGTTATGCTCATGCGGCAGAAGAAGGTCTAGCCGATTCGATATGAACTGGTCGCTTGGGACGAAGTCAGTCCATGATCGTGATGACCACTATACAGAAACTATCCTGATGGTTGGGTTTACCCCTCCATCATTTCTCTTGTTAGTGGGTGGCCACAGCGGAAGAGGCACAGAACAGAAGCACCAAAGAACGGGGAGGGAAGAGCCGAGACGGTGGGAACCCTTTTGGGCGTCTGTCCGAGAGTCTGTCTGGCTGGTCTGGTAGCAGAGCCCTGTCAACCACGTTGCCGTTGATCAGTCGTCCTGGTTGTTTAGTGCGTTGAGTTTTTTAGTCTCCTGGGGGAGTCGCTTAGGGAGGAAAAAAAAAGGGTGGGTGGTGGGGAATGAGCCATGCGATCCATGGGCGATGGTAAGACTGTCTGAGTGTTGTGTCTGACTGTTTTAGTCTGGTTGCCGTTGCTAATTTGCTGTCTGTCTGTCTGTCTGCCTGCCTGTCTGCCTGTCTGTCTGTCTGCCTGCCTGTCTGCTTGTCTGTCACGATGGGGATGTCTTTCTCTCCAAGTCTTTCATTCTTCTCGTACAAAGAGATGGAGTTGATTGCGAAGAATGAATGGCTCAATTGTCCAGACACTGACTCGCTTACCGTACTTGGTAGCGTCGATACCTACCTGTATTATACGGTATATACAAGGTGACGGGACACCAATACGGTACGGCAGCAGGCAGAGATTCCCCAGATTAGGGGATGGCTCGATTGCAGTTGACTTGTTGACTCTTCCATCCATGGTTGATAAATCTTCCTCTTTCGATCTTTTTGGTTTACCTTTTCCTGGTCCAGGGGACCGATACTGCTGCAGAAGTCGACTTACTCGCCCTGAAGAATTCTCGTTGTTTATCTGGTGTCTGGAGTCTAGCTACTTCTGGGTGGGTATTTTTGCTCTGGTAATATTTCCTGGACGCTGTCTGTCTGTCTGCTTGTCTTCTGTTTGTCCGTCTTTTATTTTCCTTTCTCGCTTTTTCCTTCTTTTTTTTTTTACCTTTTCCCTTATCCTTTTTTTTTTTCTTTTTTTCTATATTTTATTTAGTTTTTATTTTCATCTGCATGTCCAGATCCCTACTCTTTTCTCCCCTCCCTCTTGTGTGTTTCCTTTCCTTTCCTTCTGCTCCTCCTCTTCTTTCCCCCCCGCGCTGGCCAGACCTGGCTTTGGACTGGTCTGGATACGTCTCCATTCCCAGGTTGTTTGGGCCCGCGGTGGTCTCTGCCCATCCGCTCATCTCCCTCCCCCCCCCCTCCTCCCCCTCGACCAGCAATCAATCAATCATTCATCGACTGACTTTTTGCCTTTTGCCAGTCTGTGCTTTTTACCTTCATTTTCATTTCTGGCTAGTCTATCCAAAAAAACTTCTTCGCTGTTCCTTTGCCGTGGCCAGAATAAATAAAATCAAAAGCAGCCCCGGACCGGCCACCCGCAGCACCGAATCATCAATAATCTCCACCTTCTTGTTCTTATCTTCTACTCTCTGCCACTACAACAAACTACCTACTATTCACACTATTCTTATTACTACTCCTACTAATCATCCATCTCACCACCATCCCATACCCTCCTCACTGTCCTCTCTCCCACTCCTCACTGCCTAACATCAACATCATCATCATCATTATCATCATCATCATTACCTTCTTTGTGTGACTTTGGTCATCATCCGCAGACAATCCTCATCTTCTCCTCCCACTTAGCCTTTCGTCATCCCACGGTACGTCAGTGTTGACCTGAGGGTCGCATCTAGTCGCATCGCTTGCCTCGTCTATACAAACCCCCATTTCTCGATCATCATCATCATCATCATCATCATCATCACAGAACATGTGCGTGTAGGCTGAATCGCCACCTCAAATCACTTCTTGCGACTGGTGTTGTACAACCACGAGACGGGTGGCTGGGATTTGCCTTGATTACTTCATTTTGCTGCTTCTGGGATATGACTTCCCACTGAGTGCAAGTGTCACCAAGCATCGACTTGAGAGACTGTGACCGGCCGCTATCACCACGGAGTGATCGTGCGCGATCTTCTTCGATCAGACTCCGCAAGATCGCTTTGGCGATCCCATCGCCCCCCCTGGATCCTCCGGATATCTCTGGAGGCCTCTCTGGCAGTCGATACTGGACTCTTGGACCCGACCCCGTCGCCTTCCCCCAAGCACCCTTGTCCTCGACTCTGACCAACCCACCGGTGAACGTGGTCGATCTGTACCCGGCTCCTAATTACTCTCGTGATACCGCTGCTCACATGGCTGCCCTTGCGATCCCCCCACCTGGCATGGGCCCTTCTCTCGAGGCGCTGTCGGCGCCCCCGCCGTTGAACGCTCGTCGTCCGGGCGCCCCTCCGCTCCCCAGCATGGAACTCCCCGGTCGAAGTTTTCCAGGAGCGCTGAAGTACACCCAACTCCCGAATCCCTCGGCGCTCAATCCCAGTGTCAGTAATCTCTTGACCCCGCCTGCGACGAGTCAATCGGGCGACAGCACCCCAGTCACCACTGCCCACCAAACGACCGCCGCCAATGTCTCCTCCGTGCCGGCGACACCGGATCTGGGTCCATTCTGGCCGAGTCAGAACTCCTATAGCAGTGCGTCAGGGGCAGCGGCGGCAGCGGCGCGCCCTTCGTGGACGTCGAGCTTAAGTCCTTATGTCAGTCGCGAGACATTCTCGCCGCCTGGAGGCCACCCCATCCATCGCAACGGCATCACGTCTCCCCCCGGGGCCGAGTCTATCCCGCCGGGGTACGAGGTGAATCAGCTGCCTCCGTTCCAACAACAGCCGATCCCGGTCTCCGCGGCGGGAGTCGCCCCCAGCGTCCCGCCCCAACAGCCCCCTCCGCTCGCGCATGCGGTGCTCTCTGCACAGCCGGGGCTCCCGAACCCGGTGCCCTCCCCGCATTCCCTCCCCTCGAATGATCCCTACATGCTCAAGTCCTCGTCCGCCCCCGCCTACAGCACGGTCCAGCAGCTGGCCAGTCCGCCGGGCAGCTATTCGCCCTACGGGCCCACCGGGCTGAGCATGCAACCCCCTGGTCGCGTCGGGTCGAATCCCCACCCTGCGCATCACCTGAACTACCCGCGACAGCCCTGGCCCTCGTATTCGGTTCCTGCGTCGAATGGGCCGGTGTGGACGAACGTGCACACCCCGAACCTCCCCATGTCGCTGACGGGCAATGCGCCCGTGATGCCCCACAACTTCAACAGCGGGTTCGAGGCCCACATGCAGCGGTTGTATGGCGGACACCTGCCCCCTCCGGGCCCTGGAGGCCCAGGACCGACCAACGACCGACCGTTCAAATGTGATCAATGTCCGCAGAGTTTCAATCGGAACCACGATCTGAAACGGCATAAGCGGATCCATCTGTCGGTCAAGCCGTTCCCTTGCAATCACTGCGACAAGAGCTTCTCGCGCAAGGATGCGTTGAAGGTATGTTTTTTTTTTCCCTTTTTTTTTTCTGGAGGCTCCCGCTTTCGTTTGCCTGTCGATACTGATCGGTCCCAGCGACATATGCTTGTCAAAGGTTGTGGCAGCGGGAAGAGCGGGGGCGAGTCCACCGCGCCGTCGACGGTGAAGGAAGAGGATCGCAGCGATGACTCCCACGGACCGGTTTAGGACGAGGCGACTACATGCATGTTACGGCGTTGTGCGAATGTTTATATGTTAAGGCCGCAGCGTTCTGTCTGTATCTATTCATGCGAGCCGGGACTGGGATGGTTTGTCTGTTGGGATGGCATCAGCGAGGTCAAGTTTTGTGTATACGTATGTAAGTAGAGCGTTTTAGTCTGGTAGCGGGAGCCTGGATGGATTGATTGCGATTGTGATTGTGATTGAGACTTGTATTTGTGGATTGATCCTTGCAAGCATTTTGGGAATTGATGCTTGTGATTTGGGGGGCGTGAAACACGAGCGCCAGCATGTGTGTGACTTTCGATCAAAGTGGATCCGTATGTTTCTCCGTGCTTCATCTGTGTAGGGTGTAGTTATAAGCGGTGTGCTGTGTGTGTTGTTTGTAGTTATAGTTCTGTGTTTTCGTCTGGAGCAGACTCGACCTCAGCAGCAGCAGCATAATCCATACCAACCAATAAACCACCAAAGATATCAAGACAAAAAAAAAAGCATACCCCAACCCACCTTCCTCATCCTCCCCATAAATCTCCATAATAATCTCCATACCCCCCCCTGGGATCATCTCGATACTCCACCCCCTCACTATCCCGATAATAGCAATCTACCACGCCGACACCCCCTGGCTCTCCGAACTCAGCGCCCCAAAACTCTCCGGTGTGAATACTTCCGCCTGTGAATGGTGGTGTTGACGCCGTCGCCGCCCACCACCCGAACCTGAACCTCTCGGCGAGTATCACTTTCCTCAGCGCGATAGGGCTGCGGAAGGGCTGCGGTTAGAGAATATATGCCCTTCTGGGATCTCATATCTCTGCTGCTTTTGTTTCTGCTTGATATGGATGGCTGATCTGCAGGCTACATCCCCTTCCCCTACCCCCCGGTCGGCCTGCTCAACCGGCCAGCGATTCCATCCCGTGTTGCGGCACGGGTCCTGGCTGGGAGAATCTCGTGTCCCAGGCCAAGCGATGGGGGATGTGGTCGTGGATGGGAGGAGGTGCGGAGGTGTGGTTCGAGGGGTCTAGATATCATGATCGGTGCCTCAGCCTTGGATCAGAGTTTGATGGATCGGTGGGAGTTAGGGTTGCTGGCTGGATCAGTGCGGAGTTACAAATTGTATCCCTGTCTGGTCGAGGGTACATATAACCTCTCCGTAATGGTAGATTTGCTTTCAATTGACTTGCCTAATGATTAGGTATCATGTAGGATCAACTAATCCAGCCATTCCTCGACCAACCCCCGATAATCCTCCATCCCATAAGGCTCCCACCACCGCAACCTCCCCCCCTTCCGGCGATAATCCAACCCCAGATCCCGCAACAACAGGTCCACATACGGCAGGGCATCGAACACAAAGTCCGGATTCCTGCGTCCAAAGCCCCCCGGATACCGATGCACACCAAACTGGCTGTGCAGCGTCGTCTCCCAGACCACATCCGCATCCACCCCTTCGTCCGCCGCCTGCTGCAGCAGCAGCTTGCGCGCCGGGGCCGGGCAGCTCTCGCGACTCCTCACCGTCAGCTTCTCGCCCATCCAGGCGGCCACCCACAGCGCCTGCGCCTGCGCCACCATCGCCGTGTTGATCGTCATCGTCATGCCCAGCACCGCGACGGAGCGCTCCTTGCCCAGCGCGCCCAGGGGGACCATAAACCGCGTCAACCGCAGCGGATGAGCCGCGGCGGCCGGCGCATCGCCCCTCAGGGGTCGATACCCCTTCACCATCGGCGGCGGACGCTGCAGGCGCGGGAACCGAGCCCGAATCTCGCGATCCGCCAGGCGCACCACCTCCCCCGGCACGCAATCCTCCGCCTCGGGCCACCCCAGCTCGCGCGCCAGCCCGGCGGGCACAAACTGGATCTCGGGGGTCGTCTTCCACCCCGTCGCGCACACCACGGCGCGCACCTCGTCCAGCACCGTCCCACTCCCCAGCACCACCTCCCGGGCCCCCTGCAGCCCGACCAGCTCGTCCACATGCACCCGCACCCGGCCACTGCGCACCAGCTCGAAGAAATCCGTCGGGTAGTTCAGAATACTCAGCCCGCTGGCGATCCAGAACGGACTGATCCAGGGCATCAGCTTGCGGGTCTCCGGGTGGGCGGCGTAGTTGTTGAGCGTGCGCACGTCGTGGCCCAGCACCCACCAGAACCCATCGACGATCTGCCGCCCCAGCCAGGTGCCGTGCAGCAGTCGGCGGATGAGGCCGCAGCCGTCCCCCGCGGCGCCCCAGATGCACGGGCTGAACCAGGTCAGCAGTCGCGTGGTCACCAGCTTCTCCAGCCACTTGTGCAGCGGCGTCACGTACGGCGGGGCCATCCAGCTCGGCCCGTGGCCCGTGGCCCGGATGATCCAGTCGACCCGGTGCGCGCTCGTGGTGGCGGCGGCGTAGACCGCGTCCCAGGCGGATTTGGTGCCGCCGAAGATGACGATCCTGTTGCCCTCGTCGGGGTGGGTGGCGGCGGCGCAGAGCTGGGTTTGGTGGTGGCGTAGGTCTTTGATGTGGAAGACCGGGGCCGTGAAGGTCTCCTGACCGGGGAAGGTGGGCAGATAGGGCTGCGAGGTGATGCCCGTGGCAAGGATGAGTTTGCTCGTGCGGAGGATGCTGGTGGTGGTTGGGGTTGGGGTTGGGGTTGGGGTTGGGGTTGGGGTTTGGGAAAGTTCGCTGTGGTGGTCGAGGTGCTCGACGGTCAGCGTCCAGGTGGTGTCTGTTTCGTGCTGGATGATGCGCACGCGACGCCCCAGACGGATGCAAGGCGTGAGGTTGAAGTGGGCGGCGAATCGCGCCAGGTATTGCTGGATGACGGGCCCCGGGAGATGCGCCCCGTGGGGTACCCCGAAGGAGTCATCCAGGGGGAAATCGCTGAACTCGTAGGTGCCGCGCATGTTGTTGGATTTCAGGCCCTCGTAGAGGCGGTCTTGCGCCCACACGCCCCCAACGGTGTCGGCTGCCTCGAGCAGGACAATAGACGCATTGGGGTGGACTTGACGGTAGGTTTTGAGGGCGGCGAGGCCACTCCAGCCTGACTGTTGTTAGTACAGTATTCACTGGGGCCAAAGTGTGTGCACACTCATCAGAGTCTGCGGCTGCACAGAGCCAACCTACCTGCGCCGATGATTGTCACGTCCACCGACTCCATGCTTAGTCGTAGGCAGAACAGAGTCGAAGAAAGAGACGTACTCTCGGGGCTGGAGGGGAGGAGAGAGAGGGGGAAAACAAAAGTACAAATAACCAGGGGCCGAGGGAATGCGCGACAGAAAAGGTGCCGATCGCGGGCATTTTCTCCATCTCTTCTTCGTTTCTTCTCTCCTTACATGACACAAGCAGGGTTAAGTGAGTTAGCTGGTGGAAGTGGGATGATCGTAATTCGTCTCGTCAGGCCCACTAACACTGTTAGGGCTAAAGCTGCTGGAGATGACAGCTCGGCCCCTCCAAAAAACCCGCCGTCTGGCAGGCGAACACCAGTCCATGCCTCTGCTAGTTCCCTAGTGTCTCTAACAATTCGACGCGGAAGTCCAGGATGGACCCCCGCTCATCGGATATGGGTCTTCAAACGGTCACTAGTCCCGCTTCGCTTCATGCAGTGCACTGGCAGTAGTAACGCAGTAGTCGACGCTACGGAGTCAGTTGGTCCTGGCTACTCCGTACGCACGGCATCTGCAAGAAGTACCAGGACGGGGACCAGGCAAGTGGAGACGAAAAAACTGGAGCCAGGAAATATGTTGCGAATGTACGTTGGCCATTTGCCGTTTCGATTGACGAGTCGTTATTTGCTCCGGATTCTATCTATCAACTTCTTCCCCCTCTCCCCTGCTTGGCTCGCAAACAAAATCGCATTTCGCACCGGTCAACGTAATCCTCAATACAGACCTGTCTTATACATAATAACCCCCTTCTTCCCCCGAATCTGTCCTGCCTCAAAATGGTTCCACAGACCTGCCTTTTCGTTTTCTCGTTCCGTTTCTCGTCATCATGGCAGACGACTTCGTCATTGAGGCCTTTACCCTGCTGGCGCTGGCCATTCTGACCATTGCCTGTCGGATCACCGCCCGGTGGATCACCGCGGGCCCCAAGAATTTTGCCCTGGACGACTATTTGATGCCGGTGGCAGGGGTATGTCTTTTGTCTCAGTGCTTCCACCCTCCAGCCTCCCAGCGCCTCCCGTGCGCCCGAAAAAAAAGAAAACTCCATCGCGGTCGCAAATGCTCATTCTGCTTCTCCATTAAAGATAGTGTACGCCCTCGAGACAGCCGCCGCCTACTGCGTCAGCGCCTGGTGGCACGGTCTGGCCAACAACTCCATGACCGCCACGGAACGCGCGAGTCTGTCCCCGCAGTCGGAAGAGTATCGTCTGCGCGTCGGGGGATCCAAGACCCAAGTGCTGGGATGGTCGCTCTACACCACCCTGTTGTGGTTACTCAAGACCTGTATGGCGGTGTTTTATTCCCGATTAACGTCTGAGCTCGCTTTCCCCTTTTTCCTAAATGCTTTACTTGCGTGGGGTTTGGGAATCTCCGCTGATCGGGGGTCCACTTCCGCATTCTTAGGGCTGGCCTGTACCAGATGACTCAACGCATTCGCATCGCCTACCTCCTCATCGCCTGCACCTACATCGCCGTCATCCTGAGCATCCTGCTGGGCTGTCGGCCCCTCCACCGCAACTGGCAGATCCATCCGGACCCGGGCAACTACTGCCAGCCCGCCGTCTCGCACATTGATGTCTACGTGACCGTCACCTTGAATGTGGCGACGGATGTGTATCTGATTTCCATTCCCTTCCCGGTACGCCACTTTGCTCCGATCCATCCATCCATCTGCACGCCACTACATGCACCCAGTCCGGAAACTGATGATTCGGTCAATGTGATGATAGATCCTCTTCAAAGCCCGTCTCCCGTGGCGCGAGAAACTGGAGTTGGTCGTGCTCTTCAGCGGAGGGTTATTCGTGATGGCCGCAGGGATTTTGCGATGTGTTTTGATCGTCACGGTGAGTTCTCTCCCCCTCTCTTCGCACAAACCAAGCGAGCAACCAAATCATGAATACTAAACACAAACCAATAGGCCGGCGCAAACGGCGCCTCCCAAGCCGGCAGCTGGGCCTGCCGCGAGACCTTCGTCGCCGTCATCATCGGCAACCTCCCCATGATCTACCCGGTCTGTCGACGGCTGGGGAAGCGCGCAGCCGGCTTCTGGTCCTCGCAGGGCCAGAGCCCCAGTCACCCCAAGGCCGGGGCAGGCGGCGCGAGAAGCAGCACTTCCGGGTACCCGCTGTCGGGGAGTGAGCCGCACAGCACGCCGTCCCGGAAGAAGAGGTTTCGACATCCCTTGTCGCTGCCGGATACGCAGTGGACGCAGCTGGGGCCGGTGGGTGATGAGCAGATCATGTTGGTCGCGATGGACGGGGAGGAGGGTAATAGCCGAAGGGAAGGGGGAGGGGGACAGGGGGGGATTCATGTTGTGAAGGAGTTGGTGATTACGAGGGATTGAACAAGGAGTTTCTGGTGTTTTTGGTTTGTTGGTGTGGGTTATAGAGGGTTTCATGGATTGGGAAGAGGGTTTGGGTTCGGTTTGGTTCGTCTGCGGGGATGTAACGCATATAGTTGTTTTTGCTGGTTGAAGACAGTGTATGTGCTGCTTAACCCAGCTTGGTTGTTTTCAGATGTGATTGAGGTAAAAAGATCGAGAATAAACTGGACTACGATTGGCTGAGACAGGGGGCATAAAATGACTGACGCAGCCGTTGTATTCCCTTCTTTGGTAAGTTAGTTATGCGGAACTTGGAAGAGCATCTCCTCTAGTTATCAATATCTCCAAGCATATTAATCTTGACGACCAGTCCGATATTGTTGCTCAGTTAGTCTAACCGTGCTAGCTGCCACGGCTGAATCATAACGTAGCGACAGCAGCCAAGCCCAAGATGGAGTCTGCAGGGACATCATTTCCTCCATTGAATTCTCCTTCCTCCTGCGTCATTGAGAACCAAATATATAGAAGAACAAAGCATCTTTCAAGGGAGTATATCACTTGAGCGACGAGAATTACTTGGAAAGTAGAGGAGATTTATAAATCGAATGCATCCGTCATTCGCTGTGATTATATATATGCGTAATATATTTTTGAATATTCTTTTCACCTTGGCTAGACAACCTGGCATCTTGCCCAGGAAATCAGTAGGGTTTCTTACCTACAGAATACTATACACCAACTAGTATATATTACGGGAATATCAGTAAGCGGATGAAGCGCCAGGACTATGCTGACCTGCTTGAAGAACTGCTTATAGTACGTGAGCACCCGCGCGGCCGGCCATTGCACCGTGTATTCAGTCTCGCCACGTCTGAAGAAGTGCAGCTGGCATGGGCCTGGAGCCAGGAGGGGTGCAGTGGGTTGGTCCTGGATTTCCTCGGACGAGGGCGGGGGCGTCAGGGCCCGGGCTCTCTGGGATCCAATACTGGACGAGGGAGATTCTGTTGAAGAATCAGTGGACTATGAGTTGGTCCCTGACAGATAGCTCGAGGTTGGTGTGGGCAGTACTGTCAACGGCTGAGGCTTCATAGGAGGATGGTCCCCTGGACCAAGATATTGCTGAATATTTAGTTCAATGTTAGGATTTTGAGTATCATCAGCCATAGTCCGGGTTGATTTACTTGTCTAGAATAATATTCTATTTTACATTCGGAGGTGGAGGATGATAAGAAATATCTATTATCTGGATATTATATCTATATTTTGAATATGAAGTACTGGGAAAGAGGACTGGATATTTGTTTGTAAAGCTTTGCAATTTTATGAGGGAGTTTCTAGATTCTGATTGGCTACTGCGAGTGACAGGAACGTGACCGAGTTCTAGAGTTAGAAACCCAGCAGGTATTGAGTTTGTTATCTATATTCCCCCCGATATAAACATATATAGTAGCAGCCTACAACTTGCCTACTGGATGTAAGACACCCACGATCACCCCAGTATTTCTGCAGAGTGACTATCAGGTCATGATAATACTTAAGAAGTGACTTTCTCTCATGGATGATGTAAGCGGCCTGTTCATGGCTGCAATTTGAGACACGGAGATCCCCCTTTTCGTTCCTTGCATCTTCACATTTCTGCTTGCAGTAGTCTACAATGCAGATCTCTGCTCAACCCATTCACGATTTCTGTCATATTCGACTTGCCTTATATCCCCTTCAACTTGGTTCAACTTTAGCTTTTACCCCACCGGAAAACCACCGGTTCCTGACAGGGGAGATCCCCTTCGCCGATTGATTTCGTCAAGCTTAGCACCGCATGCTTATCCTCGCTCAGCCAACTGCCCCATCATTAGTGCCGCTCCCAGTCCGGGGCCCCGCATTCCCAATGGGGCATAACAGTGTCTTGCAGGGCCTGAACAACCGGTTTGTAAAAGGGGGGGTTTGGTTGTTCTGCCGAAGAAAAAGGGAAAAACCCCGGTGGCACAAGCGCCTCGGTTAGCCCTAGTCGCGAGATCTTCACATCTCATGCATCCTGCCTGCCATTCCATGCGGGGGTACCTGACAACCCCACCCAATGGCCTCCTCGGAGTCCAACACTCATGGTGCAGCATTGCATGACCTAATTACAGGGATTGAGCATCAGAGGTGGAATTCAATGTTCCGTGCAGCCTGGCGGCTTTCCTGCCACCGTGACCAATGTGGACCGAGTGACGAGGAGAGAGATGCTGGGTGACGGGGTGTTTTAACATGATATAAAACCCCAGCCATGTCCCCGGAAGTGAGTCTGGCAGCCTGCTCAAGCATCACCCCCAATCTTCGCACACCTGCACACTCATCAAGATGCTCTCTCGACGAAACCTCCTAGGGCTGGTGGCCACCGGCACCCTGGTCAGTGCCGGACCCTGCGATATCTATGCCTCCGGCGGGGCTCCATGTGTCGCCGCGCACAGCACCACTCGTGCCCTGTACAGTGCCTACAGCGGTCCTCTCTACCAGGTCATCCGGGGCTCCGACAGCACCACCATAGACATCTCGCCTCTCACGGCCGGTGGGGTGGCCAACGCTGCGGCCCAGGACACTTTCTGCGCCAGCACCACCTGCCTGATCTCCATCATCTATGACCAGTCGGGCAGTGGGAATGACCTCACCCGGGCTCCCCCCGGTGGGTTCGATGGTCCCGAGGCCAACGGCTACGACAACCTGGCCAGCGCCATTGGCGCCCCCGTCACGCTGAACGGCAACAAGGCCTACGGGGTCTTCGTCTCGCCCGGCACCGGCTACCGCAACAACGAGGCCAACGGCACCGCTACCGGGGACGAGCCGGAGGGCATGTATGCGGTGCTGGATGGCACCCACTACAACGATGCCTGCTGCTTCGACTACGGCAACGCCGAGACCAGCAGCACCGACACGGGCGCCGGCCACATGGAGGCCATCTACTATGGCAACAGCACCACCTGGGGCTACGGGTCCGGCAGCGGCCCGTGGGTGATGGCGGATCTCGAGAACAACCTGTTCTCCGGCCAGGCGGAGGGCCTCAACTCGGCGGACCCGTCCATCTCCTACCGGTTCGTCACGGCCGCCGTCAAGGGCGAGCCCAACCAGTGGGCGATCCGCGCCGGCAACGCGGCCTCGGGGGCGCTGTCGACCTTCTATAGTGGCGCGCGTCCCACCGTGACCGGCTACAACCCGATGAGCAAGGAAGGGGCCATCATTCTGGGTATCGGCGGCGACAACAGCAACGGCGCGCAGGGCACCTTCTACGAGGGGGTGATGACCTCGGGCTATCCGTCCGACGCGACCGAGGCCTCGGTGCAGGCCAATATCGTGGCGGCCAAGTACGCGACCACCTCGCTGACCAGCGGCTCCGCCCTGACCGTGGGGTCCTCCATCTCCTTCCGCGCCACCACCACCGGCTACACCACCCGGTATCTCGTCCACAGCGGCACCAGCGTCGTCACCGAGGTCGTCTCCTCCTCCAGCTCCACCACCCTCCAGGAGCAGGCCAGCTGGACCGTGCGCACCGGGCTGGGCAACTCCGCCTGCTTCTCCTTCGAGTCCGTCGACACCCCCGGCAGCTACCTCCGCCACTCCGACTTCGTCCTCTACCTGAACGCCAGCGACGGCACCAAGCAGTTCAACGAGGACGCCACCTTCTGCCCCCAGACCGGGATCAACAACTCCGGCTCCGGCTACCTGTCCATTCGCTCCTGGAACTACCCGACCCGCTACTTCCGCCACTATGATGACGCTCTGTACATCGCCAGCAACGGTGGCGTGCACACCTTTGATTCGGCGACTTCCTTCAACGCCGATGTCACCTGGGCCATCAGCACCGGCTTTGCTTCTTAGTCGGGGGCATACGGGGATGGCTGGTGGCAGATGTGTGAGGGTGAGGATTGATAATTGCATGCGAAGAAAGCCTGTAAATAGCTCGTCTTCTAGTATATTTAATTGAAACTTGTATACAAACCATGATTCAGTGGATGTTCTTCTCATTCAGTTGCTATGTATGCCCCTTGACCGAGTTTGTAACCCTTAGCAGGTACTCTTGCTGTAGGTGTCCCACCGGGGAGTGCCTCTAGCGGAGGGAGCCACTCTGTGCAAGTGGCATTCACAGGGTACCTCGAATTGTGGATACAATTGCAGCAACTCAGGTACACGATCTGTGCGTCTGGGATCGGGTTAGCGGGAGTTTCTTGCGTGCAGACAATCAGGGAATCAGGGGGGGCTTGACGTCACCGTGCATGATGCCCCTCCTGTGGCTGGCGGTTACTTCAGACTAACTCTGAATGGCAAAACTCCGAGTGAATCCCTTTTCGAGGGAGTTGACGAGAAAACCACTTAGTAGGAAGTAGTACGGAGTACTACGGAGGAGTATCTTCTGCTTCATGCTGTGGATGGAGGGCCAGCAATGTTGTTGACCGCCTTTCGGCTGTAGTTCTGCCGGGAAAACTCTCGTCTGGTGGGTTGACCGCCTTCTTCCTCCGTGTTTGGTTCCCAGGATTGTGAATAGCTTCATCCATTGGGCCATCAAATGTGCTGCAGGCTTCCACTGTCTGCCTTGCTCAAGTTACTCGCCACAAGAAGCAGAAACTGTCCAGAGGTATAGACTCTAGACATATAAGAGGATGCGATCTGTGATGAGAGCAACTCGAGTCCAAGAATCCAGCCAATGAAGCTACATGGCAAGTTCGAATACCCCTCTTAGAACACAAGGCGTACTGCACTGCATCGTAACTAACATACGTTCAGATATTCAAGAGTATGCTGCCAACGAATGTCAGCGCAACTATTCTGTCAGGACTGCACTCCGTCCGCCAGGATGCTAGCTTGGGGCCGCCCCCAACAATGCAACACCAAGAGCTGTCCCGATTTGCCCATCGCGCACATCCATCTCAACCAGCCCTGCATCGCGATGCGTGCCTGACATGAGGGTGCTTCTGAAACCACCACGCAGGAGCCGCACGCGAGAACCGACTGCCATGCTCCTGGCTTTCGCCCCCAGGCGACGCAGGAACCGAACTCAGCTGAGGAGCACATCTCCTGAGAGAGAAGACGATTCTGTTTCTTCTTCCTTTCAGATTCGGTCTGCGTTCTCTGTCTCCATGCCGGTGTAGGCTGCCCGTCGTTCCTCACCGATCGTCTTCACATTCGTTACGCCAACCCTCGCGAGTCACTCTTTTCTCTCGCGGAACCAGTCCTCTTCACCGCAGTCTGTCCTTACATGTACAGGAAGATGGCAAGCAAGCTAGCACATCTTCTCTTTGCCGCCAGTTTAGGCCTTCTCGCCTCTGCCCAACTGGCCGTCGACACCAGCCCCGTGACAGCCGCCGCCGCCTCCGTCGAGACGGTCTCGATGATCGACGCGTCCGGCCTCCCCATCACCACCGCGTCCGATGCCGCCGCCAACGCCTGGTACATCCCCTTGACTGGGCCCGCCAGCGCAGCGACAGCCGCCTGGGGGGCGAGCGTGCACATTGGCAGCTCCGGCGCAGAAATCCTCCCGATCACCTTTGGCACAATCGCCACCCCGACGCACCAGCCCACCGCAACCGTCTTCCCCGCGGGCGCTCCCTCTGGCGACACCTCCTCCTCCTCCTCTTCGCTGGAGATTGCGTTGAATTCCGCGCAAGACGCCCTCCTCCTCGGCGCCGACAGCACCGTCAGCGTCCTCAGCACCGTCATCGCCACGGCCGACAGCCCCACCAACATCAGCAGCACGAACCTCACCTCCCTGCCCGTGGGCCTGAACCTGGGGCTGGCCGGCCACTGGCCCGGCGCCCTGGTGTTTGGAGGGAACTACGACGCGAACCGCATCTACAACGAAACCCACTGGCAGACGACCGCGGCCACCAGCGCGGGGGAGTCCACCTTCATCGCGACCGGGGCGCAATCCGTGGGGAAGGTGCAGCTCCACCTCTACGCTTCACCGGCCACCACCGAGACCAACTCGCCGTCCACGAACGACACCACCTACCCCTTCGCCACCACCACCATCTCCCAGACCACACAGCCCCTCCCCGCGACCCTCAACTTCAGCCGCGACACCCTCACCGTTCCCGACGCGAGCTTCTGCGACCGCAACTTCACGATCGGGTTCAATGCGGACAGTGCGACGTATCCGAGGTTTGAGATTGCGGTGTGGGCGGACCTCGTGCCGGCGGGGTCGCGGTGCGTGGCGGATGCGGGGGCCGGGGCGATTGTGCTGGGGCGGCCGTTCTTCCAGGCGGCGTATGTATATGTGACTGCGGGAGGGGATTTGTATTTCAGTTCGATTCGTAGGGACGGGGCGGTGGGGGTGGCGCCGAGAGAGTTTGATCTGCACGCTGTGCTTGGGGGTGGGAATGGGAATGGGACGGGGGACGGGGATGGCGCGCAGGAGAGTGCGGTGTCCGGGGCGGGGAGAGGGAGGGGGACTTTAGGGGGTGGTTGGGGGTTGGTGTGGATGGCAGTGGTGGTGGCTCTGGGGGAGTTGTGGATGTGATGCCGAGGTGGTGTGGCTTGTAGTCAGAGTGATGTTCTTTGTGTGGTTGAGCTCTATACCCATATCATATATCCCATAAAACCCTACAACTCTTCAATAAATTGCATTTCAGAAGCAAAAAAAAAATCCATTGATTTAACTCCAGTGAGACAAACCATGCATCATGCATAACCATCATATCGGCCCAGATCACAGACCAGCTGCATCATAACCATATCATATCCGCAGCCTGATTCCTTGATACCCTCCCAATCGCTAAGCCGTCCAATCAACCGATAACGCCATCATCCCGAAACCCATTAACCAATCCGATAGACACACACACCGCTGATGGCTGAAGCAGCAGTCACTGCAGATCATACACCACCAACGCGCGCTCGATATCCTGCAACGTCTCCTTCTCGCCGTACGCGTCCATCAACGCCCGATTCTTGCGCAGACGCTCTTCCTCTTGTTGCTGGAGCTGAGCTTGGGATTGGAGGTTGGTGGGAGCGGTGCTTTGGGTGGCGGTGAAATGGTTGTACGCGCCGAAGCCTACCCCCTGTGTTAGCCTACCATTACTTTTTGGTCTAGCAGGGTGAAAGACAAACGCACCAAGAGCAATAGCAGCCATGGCAGGCAGATACCAGCGACTGGGTTTCTTCAGACTCTGGGGGTTGATGTGGGGGTGGCTCTTGAAGAAGGGACGGGAGGAGGGGTGGGCGAGGTTCATCTTGGTAGGATTGCTCAGAGTATTGGTTTGTTTAGTGGTAGTGGTTGAGTAGAGAGTAGATTATTCAGTATTTATTTGGATGTTGTTGTCATGGTGGTAAGTAAAGACCGAGACTGGATTTATAAACCTCTCGCCGATGGAAACAGACTGCATCACCACCCCGTCACACACTAAGGGGCAGTGATATGGCCTGATCGGGAGACTCGATCCGTCATACGATTTTGCCCGTCGATCCCGCGCGGCCGAGTCCGCCACACTCTGGGGTATTCGGTACTCATTGGCTGCGATGGAGCCCCTGATGAAGGATTGCACGGATGAACTGCAGGACTGGTCTTCGTCATAAGTCTTTTTCCGGGTGTGCTGATTCTGGTTGCACGGGGACAGTTCGGGTAGTGGATCGGGTGATGGCTGCAGATGGCGGTGTTGAGGGTCTGTGCAGTTATGGAGTAAGTATTCTGGGGGTAGTCTTGCTAGTTAGTTACCGTAGTTATTACTCAATACTCTATTACTCTGTTGCTTCTGTTGTTTCGTGTCTGAGTTAGGGCTGGCGGGAAGGTCTTGCGCAGCGCTTACAGAGTAGACAGGAAGACTACAAACCCCCCTTCAACGGCACGGTATCCACAAAACACGTCTGCAACGCATCCTCTGGATACCTCCCCCCCTGCACCTCCGCCTCCTCCACCACCTGTCTGATCCTCGCAACCTCCTCCTCGGTCAACCGCACCTCCAACGCCCCGACATTCTCCTCCAGCGCCGCCTCCCTCGTCGTCCCCGGAATGGGAAACACATCATCGCCCTGAGCCAGCAACCACGCCAGCACCAACTGCGACACCGTGCACCCCTTCTCCGCCGCCAGTTTCTGGAGGTGCTCAACCAACACCAAATTCCGCCCGAAGTTCTCCTCACTATACCGCGGCAACCACAACCGGAGATCCCCCGGGGGAAGATCCCCGCGCGAGCGAATCCGCCCGGCCAGGATCCCCCGCGAGAGCGGCGAGTAGGCGACGACCGCCACCCCCAATTCCCGGGCCGTGCGCAGCAGATCCGTCTGCGGGGACTCGATCTCCAGCGAGAAGGGCGAGTACTCGACCTGCACCGCCGCGATGGGGTGCACGCGACACGCGCGCCGCAGCGTCGCCGCGCTGACCTCGCTCAGCCCGAGGAAGCGGATCTTGCCCTGCGCCTGGAGCTCCGCCATCGCCTGCACCGTCTCTTCGATGGGGATGGTCGGGTCGAGGCGGTGGGCGTACAGGAGGTCGATGGTGGAGACGCCCAGGCGCTGGAGGCTGCGGTCGCAAGAGGAGAGGCAGCGGGCGCGGGAGCTGTCGATCAGCATGTCGCCGTCGATGAATTCGGCGCCGAATTTGGTGGCGAGGAAGATCTCGTCGCGTTGGTGGGGGTGGGTGCGCAGCCAGGTGCCCAGTAGGGTTTCGCTGTCGCCGTAGAGGGCCGCTTGATACGGGGTGCGTGGTGAGTATGGGTGGTAAGTTTGGAGAAGGTGCGGGCTACACTTGTACCTGTGTCCCAGAAGGTCTCGCCGAGTTCGTAGGCTTTATCCAGCAGGGCGAGGCGCTCCGAGTCGGGCTTCGTGGGCCCGTAGAAGGTGCTGAGCCCCATCGTGCCGAAGCCGAGGCGCGGCACTTGGGGCCCGTTGGTGCCTAGCGGGCGGGTTGCGAGTTGGGGAGGCATTTGGTGGAATGGTGCCTTGGGGGGGTGGATTTGGGATGGACCCCCAGGGGATGGGATAGTGGCTTGATATACTGTTACTGCTGGAGCACTGGTTGGAGACACGGGGCCGGATATATCGGCGTTTACGGATTTGATGCCGTCATGGGACCCCGTAAAGATAGTGAGATTGAAGTTGCTGATTGGTGGATGGATGGGTTTGATGTCTGCTGCAAAAGGCGTAATCTTCGGTCTTCGGCCCGCTTGTCATCGCGTTTATGTCCGCTATGTGCGAGAGTGCATTGATGTCTTGTAGAAACATGCCTTTTGGTGTCTAGAATGTGCTGACCCTAGCCATACAGGTGCTACTTATGGATAAGCAGGAGGATAATAGTGTCAGGTATAGTCTGGACCATCCAACAAAGCGCCCGACATATTTTCTCTCTGGAGATAGAACGCTGGTGATGATTCGCCCACACGGGAATTTTTGACGTGGCCTTGCGCTTAGACTTCATAATACCTCATAAAAGTCCAGAGACCTAGCCAGCATCGGTACACTTCCAAGAACATGAGAACATGACCAAATCATAGACCCATGCATGTGCTCAAGGCTACCAGTAGCAAATCGTCACCTCAGCCATCAGCCGCTCTAAAGATTGGCAAAGGTTCGATTCAACCAAAACATATCGCTACGTTATCCACAATGCCCGATTACACCGTGCCAGATTCCCTTCCTCCGAAATCCACAGCACAATCCTTCTGACTTCCTTCAGGATTCGGACTACCCAGACCGCCGGGCCATTCATCACCGCCCCTTCAGCCATCAGCACCAGCTGACTCCCACCGGGACCGCCCTGGCCCGCAGACACCATCAGCCCCTGGTTGACTCGGACATGCCACATCAGCCTCGACATGTTCTGGTAGGGATTTGGCCCGATCATCTCCGGCCTGAGCCCTGGAATCCAGTTGAAGATGAGCCCGTTGGTGAGGCGGAAGAACAGCTCATCCGCGGGAGATCCAGATCCTCGAAGACACGATGCCAGGGGACGTGCGCGTGCTTGGTCTGTGCGAGCTGTTCCGAGGACACGCGCGTCAGGAAGGTGAGGATCGATTCCTCGGGACAGAAGGCGACGAGGCTGCAGACCCAGTTGAAGGTGGGGCCGGCGACGTCGACGGCGTCGCGGTGGCCGTCGTCATCGTCGACGAACGGGTACTCGGAGCGAGCGGCTTCCATGCTAACGAAGAGAGCGTGGCTGTGGTTTGTCCGCGACAGAATCAGGAGGATCACGGCTGCTTTGACGAGAACCGGGGCGCTGAGATGGGGATACCGCTGCCGGAGACGAACCACGGAGGGGGCGGGGAAGTCGAGAGTCTCGCCGCCGGTATAAATTCGATGCGGGGAAATATGGGTTTCCGGGGTGCCGATGGACCAGAAGGCGTGCTGGTGGTCTCGGAGGTCCTGGAGGTAGTGGATGTAGTAATTGACCGCCCCGGTGGCTTTCGGCGAGTCACGCCGTCTGTATAGCATGTCCGCGTACGTTTCGAATGAGAGGTGCGAGTCGAGGGACTGGCCGCCGAGGGTCAAGATGTGTCATGTCGATGACCACGTAAGAGAGTAAGATGGGATGGTTGGCCAGAGTGGCAACGAGTGCAGATCGCACCGTCTGCATGGGGGATGTGGTATGTTAGAATGCGAACTACGATTGACGACGCAGGGCACTGACCTCGACTGAAGCTCCATCGCACAAAAAACATGTTCGGACATTGGCCGTGTCAACCAAACGAGACTGGGACGCGATTTGCAAACAGTCACCACACGGAAATACTTCCGCCACGTCGTCCCACCCTAGACCATCTTTGCTCAGAACTTTCTCGACGGCCAATTTGGTCTGTGCCATAACCTTTGGGTCGGCTCCAGCGTGAACCATAGAGTCGATGCCTGGCGATGAAATAGGGCAGATGGAGATTGGCATGAGGACATTGGCGCAGTCTGAACCAGTCAATGACATTATCAAGCAAGACAGTGTGCAGATGAAACAGGGAAAGGATTATGTCCACGAGCGAGAACGACAAAATCCAAGTTTTGTGGCTGTTATGATTTGCAGCGTGCCGAACCTTCATGTGTGGAGATGCGTTCCTGGTGGGTACCAATTCCCGTACATACACATCCATGTCTTCCCCTCAGGATCTCCCAGCCCCCAATCCAAAGTCACAACATAATGTCGTCCATTGATGCGATTATGGAACTCTGAAAAGGGCAAACTTAGCAAAGAACAAAGTCCCCCTCACTATCTCCCGTTCGTTCTCTACCTCTGTACGTCCTAGTGCATTGACAGGATGAAGCACGTAGCTGATCTTTTCCTGTCAGGTGGACCAAGGAAAAGATTCAACGTTGAGAAGCCTGCAGCCGGACACATCCTTCTGGGCCTGAGTTCATGTTTCGTATCCCTATGACGACAAGTCGCAGCGACGGCACATAGGACGATGATGGAATACGACATATGGCCTTGACCGAGGAGAAGCGGGCACGTCCACCGAGATCCGTGCACAGAACCGGCTAGGCGACACAACCACTGCATGCAAGGACTTGAGATAGGCAAGTGGAGGCAGGCTGGTGTAACATCATGACTCTCGGCTTGAGGCACGACATAAGTCAAGCCATTGTGATCTGGCAACCACGAATCCTTCATGGGAAGCTTGTGGATCAGCATCGGCAGATAGAGTTCCCGCTCGCATTTGTGGAGCAATGAGTTATGGTGGTGAGGTCACTGACTCTCCCCCAGTGCAACGGCCCATCAATACTAACCATCGTAAATTCTGGCACTCTGCTTCGGTTTGGAGGACTACTCCCTTAAGCAGTAAGGTGGGCCTGATGCAGACGATCAGCATACCGGGTTGCGCTATCCAGGGTTCCCCTCTTTTGCACCTCCATCCTCCACCAACTTCCCCGCTCAGTGAGGAATTGTTTGCACACAGTACACCTTCGTCTAGCAGCAAAGCATCGAATAAGATGCGACATTATGGCCAGTGGTGATAGCACATCCCTGTCGTGGAACGGTTTCGACACAAGGATCCCAACCGGTCGCTCGCTGCCAGGCAAATGACGGTCGCGTTTGGCACCTGCACGCATAACCACAAGGTTCATGCTGTCTTTCGGCGCATAAGTGGGCGTTATACAGACAATCATGAACGCCCGTCATCCGGCAGACAGCCGTGAGCCGATTGCGAGTGCTCCTGGTGGTTGGCGATAGATAAATATCATTCAGTCCCCGAACAGCTTCTGCGCGTCGTCAGGCAGTCTCCTTCCTGCACACAAAACCCAGGAACTCATCATTTGAGAACCAGTTGCAATCCAAATTGCCCTTCCGCGGAATGAAGCAGTCAACGAGTATGGCTCTGAACGACATACAACATGCCGTCTATGAGCATTATCTGCCCCTGGCTTTCGGAGTGGTGAGTAATGAGCATTGATGATGCATGTTGCACTAGAATCCATGTTAATAGCAGCGGGACATCCTAGGTCCTATTAGCGGTAGTGGCGAATGGTTGTTACGAACTCCTGTTTAATCCACTGCGAAAGTTCCCGGGTCCGAAACTGGCTGTCGTGACTTATTTGCCCTCCGTATATCACACGTTGAGAGGTGATCATGTTGTCTGGTTGCAGAGCCTCCACCGCACTTACGGTCATGCTGTGAGATATTCTCCGGATGAACTGAGCTTTACGTCCGCCCAGGCCTGGCGAGACATTTACGGACATGCCAGTGGGGGCAGAAAGAGCACCGAGAAGTACTTGCGCTTTTATGGTCCGACTTTCAATGGCACGCCAGACATCATTCGTGCCAAGGCGCACGACCATGCGCGCTTTAGGCGGAACTTCTCCCACGCCTTCTCGGATAAAGCACTCCGGGCGCAACAGCCGCTGATTGCTCAGTACGCGGACATGCTGGTCACAAAACTGCAGGAGACTGTGCAGAAACTACCGTCTGCCAAGACTGATATGGTCCGCCTGTATAACTTGACCACCTTCGACATCATGGGCGACTTGACCTTTGGGGATCCCTTGAACCTGCTCAAGGGCACCGGGTACCTGGACTGGGTCGGTGGGATTTTCGCGAGTGTTAAAATACTCTGCCTCCTGCGGGTGACGCGTTACTATGCGTGGCTCACTACCATCATGAATTCAGTACTGTCTCGCTCTCTGAAAGAACAGGCGGAGACGCACTTCCGATCCAGTAAAGCACGGGTTGACTGGCGTGTGGAACAGACCCTCGACAAGCCGGATATCTGGGGCCTCATCATGGGACAGAAGGAGTCCCTCCAGCTCACCCGTGACGAGATGTACTCCAACTCTCAGCTCTTCATGGTAGCTGGGACGGAGACCACGGCCACGGCGCTGAGCGGCCTCACATACCAATTGCTGACACACCCAGAAAAGATGCAGAAAATCACGCAAGAGATTCGAGAAGCATTCAAGGACGAGAAGATTGACATGATCCGCCTCGCGCAGTTGAAGTATCTGAACGCATGCATAGAGGAAGGATTGCGTGTCTATCCGCCGGTGCCTGTTGGGGCCCCTCGACAGGTGCCAGAAGGAGGAATGACGGTTTGTGGAGAGTTCGTTCCAGCTAATGTGAGTAGTTTCGTCCGGCCCATGATCTGAACGTACCCAAGCTGACTCCACTCAAGGTTTCGGTCTCCGTGCATCAATGGGCGACATACCGTAGCCCCGAGAACTTCAAGCGACCAGATGATTTCGTCCCAGAGCGATGGACTGATGACCCGGAGTTCGCCAGCGACAACAAAGCTGCATTTCAGCCGTTCTCCTATGGGCCACGCAACTGTTTGGGCAAGAAGTACGTATCATCCCAGGCGAGGAAATGTTGTGCAGCGTGTGGAGCCCCAATGCTGACATCAGAGGTAGTTTGGCGTATCACGAGATGCGAATCATTTTGGCAAAGGTGCTATACCACTTCACTTTGTCTCTAGCCCCGGAGTCGGTGGACTGGGACAAGCAGAATGTGTTCTCGTTGTGGGAGAAGAAGCCGCTGATGGTACAGCTGCATGCACGGACCTGACCAATTGGCTTGCGACCAGGCGAAATCCGGGATAATCTCCATGGATGGATGCAGAATCGACCCCACAAAGTTATCGCAGTGTTGACTTTTCGTTTCATATAAGGAATAGGTGTCTGTGACTTCTCCTCATTCGTTGAGTGTGCTGATGACATGAGCAATGGAATTTGTCAAGGCCTCGGAGGCTGCACTAGTCCTCCCCAGGAGAACCTGTGAGTAACTAGTAGTTTGTGCGCTCGTCAGACTAGGCCCACACGGGACGGTCGCATCCACGTACCGCATGTTGAAACGTTCAGAAAGGGCTCCGTAATGCAGTCTATATTCAACTATCAAGAAAGACTTTTGAACAAGAGTGGACTGAGAAGCCGAGCAGGAGCTGTAGAAACTGGAAAGATGATAGGCAAATCGGTCGAATCTCGGGCCGAGCGAGCCAATTGACGGAAGGTAATTCCGAGAGCTTACGGTTTGACGGCCTGGGCTGAGCCTCAACAGATCCCGTCCGGCACAGTAATAGATGCCTGCATGCAGAAGTGGCAATTCTCTCATTCCAGATTAGCTGGCGTGACTGAGTGCCTGTACCAAAACTTTTCTTCCTTGATAAAAAAAAAAATACCTAATATCTGAGTCGAATTAGAACTACCTAGCACTTAATGAACAAGAGAAATGTACCTGCCTTTAATCTACACAGACAGTTTCAACCATTCGTGACGTCAGGAACAGTGGCTACCAATAACAAAAGCGGACAAAAGAGTTCCGGATGGTGGCGTTCTCTCCCTGGGATACCCTCAGGCCCATCACGATCTAGCCGTCATTGTCCGTTTTCCCGTGCGACAAACAGTGCTGGTTCGCCTATCACGCCCACATCGTGGCTTGACGCGCTTCCTAAACCATTCCCCTTTTCCAATCGGGACCTATTCGTAGATATAAGCTGTCCACCTCCTAGCCCCCAACCCAAGTGTGTGTGTTCTACCACGATCAGAGACCCTTCCTCATTATCTGCTCAGGTGAAGGATCGATCGCAATTGGTGGATCTCGGAGCAGGTACACCGTTGTGGCCGATGATCACTCGAGACTGGCGAACGGGTTCCATTTTGTAGCTGCATGGTCGGCTGGTTTTCGCCACTGTTTTTCTTCGCCTTTTCAACTCGCGGTTCCCTTCTCCGGGGTCGCCTGGTTTTTCCCTCTCGCTCGATTTGTTTCATGTCAACCACATTGTGTGTAGAGGATTGATTGCGTCCGATCAGCCTCATGGGTTCAGCGCTTCCTTCAGTCGCAGCACAGCTACTAGAGCCTGTCGGCTTAATGCAGCTTAGTCCTGCCTTTCTAGATGCCAATGCGAAACCGACACGTGCCCGCTTGCTTGTGTCTGAGCAGTCGAAGCTTTCATCCTTTTCTCGTACAGTCCACCGATCGTTTGCTCGAATGACGGAACGCACGTGGATGTCGATGTACAAATCATCCTAGGACCTCGACACGTATTCGTCTCGCATGCACGCATGTTGTCGCTCCGTTCTCCAAGTCGTGATATATTCCGTCGTGGCTAGGAAGAGGTCCCTGGATGTTGTTCACTTCTCGGTTAGCGGTACGCCAATGCACAGAACTAGTATGGATCACAACTGTCTTCTCAAGCGACCCCTACTGCTCATTACCCGGTCATTCATCCTCTAACCGTAGGTGCAGATTTATGCGGGCAATTGATGCGGCATGCTTGGTTGCGCATTTGGTTTTCTTGCGCTAGGGTCTCCTCTGGGCCGTGTCAACCACCGTGCCCCAGCCTCAATATGACCGCAACGAACTTCTCATGGAACGCCTCTTGCGAGGATGCTGCTGTCTCAATGCAGAATATTCGTTGCGGTCAACTCCATATGGCATCGATTTCCCTACTCCCTACCATGAATGCAATTCACAAGACGGGATCCGGGCGAACAGACATCGGTCTGGGTATTCTGCAAGCATCTTGCACATACACTACACGATGGTCCTGAACTCCTGCTCTCGAGCGTTGAGGGATTTACTAGATGGCTTGCTTTTTTTTTTTTTTTTTGAAAAACGAATCATGCCGCACGATGTATGATGAACGGGCGAGGAGGCGGACATCTGTGGTTGACGGACAAGGAAGACATGGGTTGAAACGCGATCATCTGAGGATGGTCCTCGTGTTCCAGCTCGTTTTTCCCTTTTAGTGATGCTTTTGAGACGCGATCACATCAAAGGTTGCGGCTTTGAGAGGATAAAGATCAAAGGGATCATGGCCCAGTGTACCCGATAATGGTGTATGAACAAGGTGATCTGTTGACAAGACCTCATCCACGGTTGACAAGGCTATCGACGCGGATTTATTGCGGGTGAAACGGTCGGTGTTGCTCTATTCCTCCCTGGCGCGCCAGACGGATGCCTCAGGCTCTGATTTCCAGGCGACGGACTTCGCCTCTGCCGGGCGTGTTTGCTTAGATTGAGCATCATGGACAAGGAAAGACAATTGGAGATCCCATGAAACAGGACGTGTGTTGATTGGTCCAGACCAACGAGGTTGAGTGGCAACTAAGGAGAGGAAAAGCGCAAATCAACAAAAAAAAAAAAAAAAAAAAAAAAAAAAAAAAAAAAAAAAAAGAAGAAGAGCCAGAAAATAGATGAATGGGCTGTGATTTGGCCTATCTATCCCTGTCATTTGTTGATACCTCGCGCAGCAGAGTCTGGGTGGTGGCCCGGTGGGTGACATCCTCTCCGAAAATGTCGACGTGGATTCGTGGGCCCGTAATGGGGGCAGCGCATGACAAAGCCACTCAACAATTAACTGATCATCTCTCATCAATCCAGCAAACAGCCCCTTCGAGCTGCAGGGTGGTTGCAGACGCAGAGAGGAGAGAAATTGGTAGGAGGGACAGAGGGAGCAAACTTCCGGGTGCTGGAAGTGCTTCGCCAACTGAGTTTTCATTTCACATGATCTAATCACTACCTACTAAGTTAACTTACAGACTGACACTTACTGCTTACAGCAGTCGATGCCCATCAGTCATGCTCGGGTCAAAGTCGCAGCCAGCCAGATCGCTGCGTGCAACCGACAAACATATTGTCCAATTTTTGCGATGATTGACATCCACCTGAAATCTCATTAGTAGTATTTCCGGATTTCCTCCTAGATGCCTGGTCTCCTTGCATCATACTCGGGTCTTTTGTTGCCGAGAGCCCTGTCATCATCATATCTTACGGAGCCTTACCTGAGGCAAGGCTGATTTGCTGTTTTTTTCACTCAACCGCATCTTGCTCCCATACACTCACCCACGATCTCGTTGACTTGATTGCGCTTATCATCCACGGCTTGGTCTGGGCCCTGACGGTCAGAGACTACTGGTCCTTAGCGCATGATGAATCAAGTGCTGGCTCCTTTCCAGTTCCTACAACTTCCTATCGACATGATGATAGCATGGGATTTTTACCGTCTTTGGCTGGGATCTACGGGCCGCCAGCCGGCAAACTTGTCCATCCAGCCAAATCCCCGCATGCGTTGGGGGGATTTGTCCCTCGGCGTGTCGCAACCTGATGGATGTTTTGAGATTTTTCCGGTGGAGAGGATGAAAATAATCATCTTTGCGTGTTAGCTGCCTCCGATGGCTGAATGAAAACAGCAGTAGTCACATCTGTTGTCAGCATGATCTAGCTCTCACACAGGAAAGCACATCACTAAGCCTGTCTTCAGCTAGCAGGACATGTTACCTATATCTTTGCAGATGTGTTTGGTTGCCTGGCACAGACTTGGACCGCCAGAGGAAGGACAATGGAAAACCAAGCAAAAGAATTCGACGTGTTTCCCACTCAAACCGTTAGCGGTCACGGAAGCCGGCTAGAGAGGTCCCAAGTGTTCTAGGTCGCCAGTAGTCTTGCTGACCATGTACGATAATGCTTGGATGAATGACGAAGGCAACATATTTCCGGCCTTCGACGTCTGGTGGGACAATCCGGTCTTCTTTCGGGGGAACTCCATGTCATCTTGTCTTCTGGTAATTAGGCCCCAGTTCTCGCAGCTCTCGTCAGATTGACATGCAAGACAAGCGGCTGTCGGTCTTGTGACTTTTATTATTCCGTATTGATCTCAATTCGCAGTCCAGATTGATTTCGTTGTAGGGAGTATGGGGGGTTGAGTTTTGGCGGTGGCCGCCCTATAATGTTCGCATGCAGGGAGTGTGTGGGTGGGCGATCTAAATGGCAAAATGGCTGATTGTCGCGCAATGACAGAAGTCTTACGCCATAAGCATGATCTGGAAAACAGTTCCGAACGCTCTTTTGCGATTAGGGGGAAGGTAATCTACGGAGTATGTGCTTTCGATATGTTGTGCTTTGGGAGTTATTTCCATGGGCAGCATGGATTGTGTTGCCGAACTGACATCAGGTGACTTTGACTGAGCTGGACAAGGCAAAATCATTCGGAGGAGGATCTCCCAGTGACTGCCGACTCGATCCACACTCCACTCCCAATGACGTTACCAATCGTTCGTTCGTTTCTCTTCCTCATTCGCTCTCCTTTCCGGCTTCAAATCTCCAACCAACCAACCACTACGGTGCCACTACCAACTTCCCCCATACTACGCCACCACGTTGTTTGTTCCGAAATCATTCTGACCCAGGAAAAGAAAAACAAGATAGCATGAGTGCACGGCTCCATGGGTTCCATCGTAGGCATTCCTGCAACCTGACTGGGTGGGAAAAGGTACCTTTCTGTGGCTCGTCCCGGATCCCCGGGCTAACCTGAATCAGGAAGTGAGAAAAGGTACTCCAGCTCCTCAAATTCTCCCTCCGAGGAGTTCCCTCAAAGAAACTTCCAAATCATGGAAGGCTTGATGGCTACTATACTGGGACCCGCCCCTCCCCAGCATTGTCCTCCGTGCACATTTGGCCCCTCTATTCACCCTCCTTTCCAAACCAATCATCGATAAAAGAAATGTGAGAAATGAGTATCCCGGCGCCGAAGAAGCCAATGGCGGCCGAAGTCACTTGGAGACCGGTCCCTCTCCCCCCTACCTGCCTGTCTCCAGTCTACTGCTCCCCTTTGTTTCTCTCCAGTCCCAAAACGAGCCTAATGCAGACCTCGGAGTCTAGGTCCGTTCTGTCCCTGGTCTTGATTGGGTGGAAAAATGTGCCAACCATCAGCAAACCGCCAGCAGCCCAGCTGCGATCTCCCTCTCCTTTGGTCCCTCCCCCCCCCTCTCTTAGCTTCCCCCCAAATCCCGAAAGACCAGCATTCAATCGGTTAGGGCCGCAGAGATTCGGTTTGGAGCCCAAGATTCCAGAATGATCAGACGCTCCCTATGCGATTGGTGAGGACTTTTTAAGGTTCTTGTCCCGGTGCTGCCCTTGCTCCATTGCAGGGGAGAGTCAAACGGGCAGGACACAAAATAATATTTCGATAATTCCCCATCGACGGTGACGAAACGCCGGTTATAGACCATCCCCTCGGCCTCATTTTTTATCCGACCTATATAACAGTATCGCCAACACGATCGCTGCAAGGTCCGCCCCTCCTCCCGCCCGTCTTGTCTTTTGCCATTCGGTGCGCTTTTCATCCCAAGACAGCCTCGGCCTCGTTCTGCTTGTAGTTGTCTTGACCTCCTCTTATTTCTCTTGATCAAGTCTGTGTTAATGTCCGATCCGCAGTCCGCTTCCCGTTCGCTCGCTCCCGCCCCCGGCCATCCGCAGAACAACAAAACTCCCGACAATGTAGTCCCGGGCCGGAAACATAAAACCACCGCCTGTACAGCGTGTAAGCAAAAGAAGCTCAAAGTAAGTCAATCAGAAGACCAGGAATTATGATAGGACGCAATCTGATTCGGATCGCTTAGTGCAGAGGGGACCCGCCATGTCAACACTGTGTGGCTAATGGCATCGAGTGCCATGTCGACGAGATGGCCGACATGCGTCGCAAATTTGCCATGAAAAGGAAACTGGAGCGTCTCGAACAAGCCGAAGACACCCTGATGCGTCTGATCGAAACACTGCGTGACAGCGATAGCGAAGATCTGGCCCAGGTGCTGAATTTGATCAGAAGCAATGCCTCGGTCGATGAGATACAAACCTACCTCGACCAAGAACTGTTAGGTCCCCACGATGAACTGTCTCCTGGCCTGCAAGAAATCAGAAATCAGCTCTCCCGCCCTTCCGAAGAAGCCGACGATGACAGTCGATCGGCTCGACATGGTAGCCGCCGCATGCTAGATGTGCGCCGCTTGGCTGACAGCCCGGTATATCGGGTTCCGGCGAAGCCATGGACGAAGGCCACCGATGATGACGATCTGGTATCTCATCTGATCTCCCTCTGGTTAACATGGACCTATCCATTCCTCAACTGGTTAGATAAAGACGCCTTCATCCGGGACATGCAGGCAGGTCGACTCGATTGCCAATCCTGCACACCGTTCCTGGTAAATGCCATCCTCGCGGAAGCTAGTGTATGTTGTCTATCCTAACCTTTGTGTTTCTAGCCCTATTTAGGCAAGCGGGGAGGGGAGGGGACCTCATTCATGATTCTTATGCGTTTCACAGTACCACTCCGACTACGCAGAAGTTTTTACCGTACCCAACGATATGTTCTCCCGGGGTGATCAGTTCTATGAGGAAGCACGTCGTTTGTTTGAAGAGGAAGAAGGCACTGCAAGTCTACCCACCATTCAGGGTCTCCTCGTATTATTTGTTCGGTAGGTGTGTCTCCATGCTACTTAGGCTTTCGCATCTAACTTTTTAATGCCTTAGCTTGACTCTCATGGGGAAAGATAGACTGGGTTGGATGTACCTCGATCTAGCGATTCGGGCGGCCGAAGAATACGAAGAGGCGCATCCGACGAGGTCGACAGTCTCAGAATCTGGTCGCGTTCTCGAAGATGCAGCTAATCGCACTCTTTGGGGCGTCTTCAGCATGGCATCGTATGTACCCCCGACGTATTGGCCGCGCTCCCAACTGACAACAGCAGCACTGCCAGTGTTTCATTAATGAAGCATGTCAACCTCAATCCACCGCGACGTCCCCGAATAGCAACCTGTCATCACGATCCCCACGACATCTGGTATCCCTATCCTCGCGAAGTCGAACCCGTACTGGGGCACCATACCTGCGTTTTTGACCGGTGGTGTGATCTTTCCTGCCATTTAATCACTATAAGCCGCGCATTCCATGACTTAGAACACCAAATTCCTCGGTCGGAGATTGCGACTTTCGTGCCGGCCATGTTTACGCAATTACAGGGCTGGTATGCTAATTTGCCGGCTTGTTTACATGCGGAGACAGCAACTGTTCCCCACATTCTAGCGCTTCACATGCTCTATCATACGACTGTGATGCAGATTTTCGGCTTCATGCGCTCTAGTAGTGAGATAGTATTAGATCCGGGATCTGCCAGCCAGGCCCGAGAGCTCTGCCTTGCATCGGCCCGGCAAATCGCCCACTTACTGGACATCCATCGCGCCAAATGGGGCATTGATCGCATGGCCCCATCGACCATCCAATGGTGGAGCATTGGACTGTTTACCCTGATGGAGTCCCTTGACTCTCGAGACAATAGGATTGCCTTCATCGAGCTGTGCACTATCGCCCGTGCATTTGCTCGACGCATGCCTCTCGCCAAGGGAATCTTTCGTATGATTCAGTTATCTGCCAATCAAATGCAGGTTATTCTACCCAGGGAGACCGAGGCGCTCTTTACGGACTTCGAGACACTCGCCTGGAAAGCGAGCGATTCTCAGGAATTCAGCAGCTTCTATCCGCATTTCCTTACTGTAGTCCAGCAAGGGTCTTTACGACAACCTGGGGTCGATCTCGATCAATTTCTCACTAAATGGGATGCATTGAGCATCTCCGAGCGCAATTCACACGGTCACAACCATGACTACGGGCCGGAACCTTCTGGCGGGTGATACGGCCCACTCAGCATAAATCAAATCATACTTTACGTTCTTGGCTTCTGATGAATGTATTGTTCCACAAACTGTGGATGTAGAGATAAAGGCAGTATTTTTTTGGGTGGCAAAGTCACGCGGGAAGTGACCCGCTTGCATGCCTCTGCATGCCTCGGATTTGGGGCACCTCCATCCTGCTTCAGCCTCTCGGAAACCACTTCCTGCGAATTTAATGAGCAGAGACCAACGCAGGAATCATTTCCGCAGAGTACGCCAAGGGTTCGCTGCCCAGAATGTAAGACTAGGCCGAAGTTTATCCAAGCCTAGTCTCGATGCTAGCCCACCCTATCGGTTCAGTGGTATCTGTTGGGTGCTCTAGACCAGTGGTCTTCAATGAGTCCTGGCATGCGGCTAGCCCTATCTTCTTGCATCAAGCCACGTCGAGATCTGGGGCCCAACTGAAGCGGGGTGGCAATGTTTTGCGAGCCTAGCTCTTTAGCCTAGCGTCAGATCCACCCATCCGACCTCCCACCAATCTTGGCTGCCTGGTTGCCTGATTCGCGATGTTCCTTGGAAGTGATCGGCCTTCGGTTCAACACGGTGGCAATGTCATGCGTTGATTGTCGGGCCTGAGCATGAGTCGGTAAGACGGAATTGATGCTGATCAGCAGCAGCAGGCTCCGTCAAATCCAGCACGGGCCATTCCGATGCATCTCCTCTTGACAGTTGACACTGACAGGCGCAAATCATCCTGAGACACCCCATTAGGTGCTGATCGTCGTGTAATCTTCTGAGGTGACTTTCTTTTATCGTCCTTTTGTATCTTGCCGCCCTTTCCAGTTTAGCATCACTGGCTTTTCTCCGCGGATTCACCACTAGTCCGCAGCAATGCTGTACCCGAGGACCCAGCGAGTGTGGCGAATCTGACACTCAACGTTATGAATGGAGACTACCTCGTGAGAGGAGGCTATAATCCTTGGGCGATCTTAGTGCTTAGTGTTTCAGCCGTATCTGTGACCGTGCTGTTCGACGCCAAATATTACCTCCGAGTATAGTACCTAGGTATCCTTTTTGTCGCTCGCTCGCGAACCGGTCACGGCCCCCGTTGCCTGACGGAATTTATGGTTACTGCTACCGTACGATTCACCTCAAAATGCTTATCTGTGGGCCTTGAGTTGCGGCTATGAGGGAATTTGCTCCCTTCGCTGGGTCCAAATTGTTTCCCTTTGCATCACCGGGTCGTCTTGTTGCTTGGCATTTACCCACACTACGTGGTGCCTGGAACACTGGCACTCGGCGTGCCGGTTCAACTGGGAGCGTTTGGTTACAGTATCTTCTCGCCTAATAACTCAAGGGTCGGTTCCCTCGAGCACACCCTTCTTGTTTAGTGCCCCCCGCATTCAACCGTATATTCTCTTTTACCTGAGAATACATCCCCCTCGGGATGAGTTCGGTCGTTGGGTCATTCTCCCTGAGCATGCGCAGGACCCGCTGCGTAGACACAGGATATGACTCTCTAGACTAACAGCCTATCATTCACAACATTCACTCCCTGAGAATCGTGCTTGGCATGACAGGTCTCATTCGCAACAACCTCTTGGAAGCTGGCTGCCATGAGCCTAGTCTCTATTCTATATTCTTCTTTGTTCTCGGGCTCGCGATTTCCCTCCTTGGGATCATTTCCCGCGCGATACGAGCGATACACGTTTTGGATGTTACGGTGTTGTTTCCATCTAAGCTTCTGAAGCAGCCTTTCTCATCGCCTTTCGCCCTTGGTTCGTTCCAGTCCACATCCTCAAGTCTCATCGGTCTCCAACTTCAGCTGCATTCTTTGACCGGGTCACCCGAGCCGCCTTCCTAGAGGCGGATGGCGATGTTTCAAATATGGCATTTACCCCGCGAACCTGCTAATATGGATGTCGGGTCTTGCTCCCCATGTACGGTGAGCTAATTGAGTTTACCGGGATACGAGTTTGATGTCGACATTGTAAGAGAGAGCGTTCTATGTATTTATGTTGCATTCCCACCGCATGGATGCAATACAATTGCAACCGAAATGCGGAAGTGTGACTGATTCTGAAAGATATCATCTCTCATCTCCGCTAAGATGCGCAAACACAAAACTCCCTTTCGAAAGACGAAAAAGTTTCTTCTCATTCGCAAAGTTTGCGATGACTTCCCACCTTTATTTCTCTATCAAGATTTCCATCCAAACTCAGTTACCAACAGAAATTCACGCGAAAATTCAAGGATCGGAGCGATGAACTCCGCGGGAAGAATAAATAGGCGTTTATTTGGTGATGGTTCGAGGGAGCAACAAACAACGGGAACTAACGGCTTTGGGTTCTCCGCAATCGGCGCAGCGGCAGAATTTTTCTATCTTATTACAGTACATTATCTACAAGTATAAGCAAACTAACTACAAGACTCCTCCCCCCGTCGAACCCCTCCTCCACAAAACCACTTTCAACCTGCGGGGGAAAACAGTAACTATGATTCAAGTCCCTGCGGCTGGAGGTGATGAAGCACTTGACCGAAACAAAGATGCCGCCCTGGAAGTTGTGAGTAGCGAAGAGGCGCTGGAGGTCGACCCCGCAGTGGAGCGCCGAGTCTTGAGGAAGATTGATTTGTTCTTCATGCCGGCGATGTTGGTGGGTGAGTGTACATGAAGCTACAGAAGGGGGTGGACTGGGAGACTGATCTTAGCATAGGCTACGGATTCGTGTACTGGGACAAGGTCAGCTCTGTCTCTGTTCATTTGACTTGTCATGGCTGATATTCCTGACACCCCACGACAGGCCATTCTTGGTAGTGCCTCGTTGTTTGGCATGACCACCGACTTGGCTCTCTCCGTTGTAGATTACAGCACTTCGCCTCCAACCAAGAACACCTCGCGCCTCAGTTGGGCTACCTCCATCTTCTACTTCGGTATGATGGCCGGTCTGTACCCGATGACTCTGGTGTTGCAACGCTTCAAGATCCAGCACGTGTTGGGCCCGATTGTCATGCTGTGGGCCATCACCTGCGCCGCCACTGCCGGCGTCACCTCATGGCGGGGTTTATTCGTCCAGCGCTTCTTCCTTGGTTAGTCTTTACTCCCGTACATCCCTGCATGACTGCTCAAGGCTTAATCTCATCTCCGCCAAAAGGATTCGTCGAGAGCGTGATCCCCACCGGTTTCATGACGGTCATTAGCGGCTACTACACGCAGAAGGAGCAGACCCTGCGCCAGGCCATCTGGTTCTCGGGGACGGGGTGGTTCACCATCATCGGGGGGGCGCTCAACTACGCCTTCGGCCAGATCACCACCGGCGCACTTCGGCCGTGGCAATACATCTACATCTTCGCCGGCGTTCTCACCTTTTTGTTTGGGATCTGGTGCTGCATCCTCCCCAACTCTCCAGTGTCGGCCTGGTTCCTGACCCCGGAGGAACGGGTGGTCGCCGTGGAGCGCCTCCGCCGTGGCCAAACAGGCGTGCGATGCCAGACGATCAAGATGTCGCAAATTGTGGAGGCGTTCACCGATGTGAAGCTGTATCTCATCGCTATCATGATGGCTGCTGCGTAAGTTGTTCTCCTCTCATAATTTCGCTCCCGCTTCCATTCAGGAAACTAAACCACGATAACATCAAAGCTACACTATCAACGGCGCCATCTCCGGCTTCGGTCCCCTCATCGTCAGCACCTTCGGGTACAACACCTTGGCTTCGATCCTCTTCCAATTCCCCGTTGGTGGCATCTGTATCATCTTCATCCCCCTCGTCGGCTACATCCCCACCGTCCTCCCCAACACTCGCATTTTCCTGCTGGTGACCTGCTGCCTCCCCGTCATCGCCGGATGCGTCATGATCTGGAAATCCACCTGGGGCTATCGCCCGGCCACCCCAGTGGTCGGCTACGCCCTGACCGGGTTCTTTGGCCCCGTGGTGAGTCTGATTATCACACTGGGTGCGAGCAATGTGGCCGGTGCCACCAAGAAGACCATCATGGCCGCGACGGTGTTCGTCGCGTATGCGGTGGGCAATATCATCGGGCCACAACTGGTCAAGTCGCAGACGGTGGGGCAGCATTACCCCGAGCTGTGGACGGGGATGGTCATCTGTTATTGCATTGTGATTGCGACGGCGGGCATCTTGTGGGTGGTGCTGTGGAGGGAGAATCGGAGGAGGGAGGCGGCGGGGCTGGATGAGGCATTGAGGGATAAGTTGGGATTTCAGGATCTGACGGATCGGGAGAATGGGTGGTTTCGGTATGTTCTTTAGTTTTCTCCGTATAGAGAGGGCTTGATGGTGGCGGAGGGGGGTGGGTTGGTGGTTCTTCATGTTTAATGAGGTGACGGCAATTCTTTAGATGCGTCAAGCTGGTACCAGTACATTGTATAGTAGTACCCTTGCTGCTGTTGCAAGCTAACTAATTCAAAAGTTCTGATCTGTGCATGTTTCAGCTTTGTGGATTGAACAGTTCAAGTATTAAAATGAACTCTCACTCTCACTCTCACGCTCTTACCTCCCGCCAGGCCCCGGATAGTTAACTCCAAAATCCCGATGAACACAGCGACTCTGAACTGCCCATCTTCAAACTCCTGCCTTAACTGAGATATTCCGACCGTTGAAGTACGGCACCCACCAGCAGTTCCTCGTGAAGTGGTCCGAAAGAGATAGCGTTTCGTGTGCCGGACGAGGGAAAGGCTACCTCCCGCTGGCGCATGCACCGGCGGATGCTGCGGGATTTCTGTGCCGCAGGAGGAGGAGGATTTCACCATTTTGTACAATAAGACGTACAATTTCGCACAAAGACTCTTTCTATTCCTATGAAGTGCACTCCGCAAGTGTACCCCCATCAACCTCCACAGCACTCACTCACTCACTCACTCACTCACTCACTCAATGCACTGCAACAGAAGGCGGCCCCAGCGAACCCCGATCATCCCGAGACTGCTGTTGGAGACTCTCCCATTCGTGTTCCGCGAGCAGGTAAACCCGCAGCTCCACCAGCCCCAGCTTGAAGTGGCAGTGATACCCCTCCAAGGGATAGAGACAGTCAATACACTCATGCCCGTTCAGCTCGCACGCCAGCACATCCCTCGCTTCCTGCCATTGGGCCGCCGGCACCACGATGATACACCATTCCAGCCCATCCGGGGTGGAGCCATCTCCGACCCACTCGACAAAGTCAGGTAGGGCCACGGGCTGGGCGCTGCGTAGAAGGGAAGGGTTCTCGGTGCGGGGGGCAGGGGTTGTTTGGTCCATTGCTTTACTGTGGTTTGTGGGTGGCTGATTTTGTACTGGGAGATCTATGGGTAGGGGTGGGGTTGACGGGGGGATTATATGCTGCGGTTGGGAGAGTCAAGTAGACATGCTTAAATGCTTTCAGATCGTGCATTCTTTGTTCTAGGTATTCTTGTTCTCGAGAGCTGATAATAATACTATTGATCGGTGACAATATTGTCTGAAGGCAAGAATCATTGTTAGCTGAATCACAGTTCGGGTGATTTGAATAGAGTGCTTTGTTCATTGATGTATTCAGGCACTTTGGTATCTCTTGCATTGACCTCATCCAGTAACAGCAAAACAAGGGCTCATTCAATATAAGTTTTGTCGCCTGGCCTGCGGAATGATACCATGGTAAGTATGAAGACAGAGTCCATACCAACGGTCGACATGATCTGAACCCTACCTCGCTTTTTTTATATTCAATACTTTGCAACACGACAAAAGCAGCAAGATCAAGCAGGGCCTGGGGGAAGCATTATGCGGGGCAGCTGTAGAGTCGGAGACAAACTGCATATGTTCTCCCAAATTAGGGCCAACACAAGAGCTAACGTAGACAATCCCCTCAATGCGCAAAGCATCCAGCACTAGTCTAATGCACGACGGATTTACGGATCACGCTCTATGTGAGCCTTGAAACCCCGCAACTCCGGTATCTTTACCTGCGCGCAATGTTCATATGACTGAATGAGAAGTACCGGAGCAGAAACGAGGACAAGGAAGAGAGAACAAATCTATATCGACCTTGCAGCTACTATACCGCAGAGTCTTCTTGTTCTCTAATCGAACCACTCCCCTCCACGATTCGGTTGACACTTCAGCACATCCCACACCTATATTAGATTATTACTGGTTTAATATGCCTTCTTGGACACATTTGAATTCGAGTATCATGGTTTGAGGGTTCGCTGTGAGTGAAAAGGTGTGTCCCATTGGCGCGGCTATCTCCAACCCTGTTTCATAGTTTTGCAAGTAAAATCAACTTGAGCTTTCTGCAACGCTTGATAATTCCGCTTGCATCCCAACCTTTTCAGTAGACTTATATTGTCAATCAAGAGAGCCTTTCATCATCTACCAAGCATGTTAGCTCAGGGGAAGAGCGCCGGGCTCATAACCCGGAGGACCCTGGATCGAAACCAGGACATGCTAACTTCTTTTTTTGGTCTTTTTAATTTCCGATGCCCACAATTTAGAGCAGTGATTATAATGATCTACGCATACAGATTATCCAGGAAAGATGAGAGCAGCCAAAGCTGTCAACTAGTTATGTTTTATCATGAATCACACTGCGCTCGAGGTCTCGAAGACGAATCTCGCCCCGCCAAATAAGCCGGACAGCAAAAGAGCTTCCCGACCATGCAAACAATCCTCCAGAGCCGTCTGAGACTAACCTACGTGGATTTGTCTTGTAGGAGGTTAAAGGTTAATCAGCGCTCTTTGGGCATCGATGTTTGCTGTGCCGCACATCAGCAGATGAACCCCCTCCTCGTGGAGCTAGCAACAGTTTCTGTGGAGCAGGCTGCCTACGCTAGCCTTATCTGCCTCAAGTGTCTGTCTCTGCAATGGGACGGCGGAAATACGATTGAACAGCCTGGCGCGAGATGAGACTGACAGAATAAATAGCTAGATCGCGGGTCAACTGGGTAGCATCTCTGTTCCTCCTCACTCGAACCTCTCTTGAGCACTTTGGATGGCTCCGCACCTGCAAGCACCATGCAAAGAGCATATGCGCTGGTCGGTAGACCAATATACATAGTAGGGTCACTGTAGTCTTGAATGCTCTCGACGAATGCGACAGAATGACAAGACATAAGCTTCTTCGATTTCATCGATTTTCTCCTAGATCAGTCCACCTACTCAGTGAGAGGGTTGTGTCTCAGCCCGTCCGGACCCCGACATCGAGCGCCACTTTGGACGAGACCATCGAAGCTCTGACGGCAGGGAGCGGAGGAATGCGAGTCTCTACCTCGTTCGGCGCCACACTCCTTTTGTCCCAGAAATAAATATCATGTACAAAGCTAGTTTCAGTGGGGGAATATGCACATTCGACAGCTAGCGATTAATTTACCGTGATGTTGACCAGATTCTAAAAAGGTCTTGTCAGAAGGAAAGAGGCTTTGATCGGTCCCTTGGATATCACTCGGCCCGTCAGGATTCTAAATATGGAAAATGCAGATCTCAGAATGACACACCCCTTGCTTGCCATCAATCAGCCAATATGCAGGCTCCACAGAGGGAACAGAAGAAGTGATGTATTAACGCAGCGACGACCAAACCACGCGACTTGTGTCTAGCAAGGAGCAAGCAGTGCCACATCGCCCACGCTTCCCTCTCTTAAATTCAACACATTTCACAATACACAATTGTGTTCCAGCAGGCACTCTGAACAGCCCTAGGTTTCTAGACAGAGCTGCACGACATGTGAAACCTGTTGTAGTCAGTCCCTGCCCACCGTTGACCGTGCTAACACTCGCCCTGCGTGCACCATGGATGTCCAGGCTCACACACGGGTTTGCCCTAGATCAGGGGTCTTTTGGTTTCTTCTCGTCGCCCAATCTCTGGCAGTTGCTTTTGGCATCGCCTTCACCCGGAAGAGCTCCCGTGACCGACATCTCGTCATTGTTCTTCTAGTGATACTGATGTACATGGAGACGAGGCTCCTGCCCTGCCTGACCGGTCCGCCTATTTTGAGAGGAACCTTCACCTTCTTCTGTCTGCTCAAGGCGTGGCACTTTATCAGTATCTTGGCGATCGTCGGCATCGAACTGCACGATCTCACCGATCCCACGAAGAAGCTACACCGATCCAAGCCTATCCGCCGCCTGCTGGCAGCCGCCACCGTGCTCTTCAGCTTTCGCGGCATCGGTACCTCATGGATGATCCAAAGTGTCCGACCCGTCCCAGCACGCGACAGGTTGTCGTCTGGTGTTGTGCTCACGGGGTCTTTGGTGCATCGCGTTGCGACCATCATGTGGCAAGTGGTTGTGCTCGACCTTATCTTTCTGGGCTATATCGACGACCTCCGGCGCTCGAAACCACACCTCTTCGCCGCTGGCACCGAGTTCCTTGGGCCACAGTCCACCGCTGAACAGCTGCGCGCGCGCACGATCTTATGCATTGTCGGCATCATCGGGCTGGGGATGCTGATGGATCTGACCCACAAGCTGCTCGCCATCATCTGCGTCGGCATGCGAATCTCCTCTTGGGACGACTGGCCTCCTGCATTCGGAGATATCAAGCACGCGTACACGGTACGCCAATTCTGGAGGTAAGCAAAGCACTACCCACTCCCACCCATGCGTTTGACTAAATACATTAAAACCAGCAAATTCTGGCACCAATTCTTCCGCTGGCCAACAACCACCATCTCAACCTTCGCGCGACACCACCTCCGACGATTCATCCGACTTCCGGCCGCGCTGGACCAGCTGCTAGGGCTAACCCTAATCTTCGGGCTCTCCGGCTTCACCCACTGGATGGCGGCCGTGTACGCCGAGGTCCCGGGGGACCTGACGGGGATCTTCGCCTTCTTTCTCGTCTCCTCGTTGGTGATCCCCCTGGAAGATGTGTGCTGGCGGGCTTACGCCAGACTCATCGGGCAGTATCCGCGGTGGAGACTGCCGCGGCGCGGGGAGGTGTGTCTCGGGTATCTGTGGGTGTATGCGTGTGCGTACGCGTTCGCGCCCTGGTTCTTGTATCCTGTTTACAGGCTTCCGGTGGATGAGGATGGACTGGGGGGGTACAGTCTTGCGCGGACGGTGGGGGTGCGGGGGATGACGGTTGGGGTTGTGTTTGGGGGGTGGGCGCTCAATCTGGCTCGTTGGAGGAGCGGAGTGAACGGGACTGCGTTTGTGTATGACTAGTGAGGTTCTCATGAGGGGTGATGTGCACGATGTGATAGTATGGTATATGTGTCTGAATGAAGAGGGGTGGAGTCTCGTTGACCGAGCGGGTAGTCTATCACTTTCGTACTGCCTGAGAGGATTTGCGCAGCAAAAGAATACCTTACCGCGATTTAGCCAATGAAATGTGAATGCCGTATACTGAAAAGTACATCACCTGTGCTGGGTTATTCAAGGGCGGGCTGGAGTTGAGTGAGGAATCTAAGCGACTATCTTGCTCATCGAGGTCAGTGCCCAGGTCCTCGGCCATGCCGGCTCGGTATCAACAATCTTGAGCAGCTAAGCGCAGGTGTCAGACACGGGGCAGAAACTCGATTGCTGTCTCATAGCTTGGGGTCACGCGGTCGGCGCACTGGCCCGGTACCAGCTGGATGGTAAAGATGTTCATAGAAGCTGGACACTACGATCTGGTTCCACTGGCGATTCACCAGCGATAAGGCGCGTGAGACTTCAAGATGTCGATACACTGCAGTGCTACCTGGCAAGCATCGTTAGGCAGTCTCCTAACAACACCACGGATACACATGAATCGGCCTGAGATAGCCATGCCTCAGACAATGCATGCACGACACTAAACGTGGTTTATTCACATCTAATACCTGCTTATAGTGAAATAAACTCCCACTCAACACCCCAGTCCAACACGAGCCATAACAGAAATCACTCTTTCCCCGCCTCCCCAACCGCCTCCGCAGCCCCGGGCTCCCCGTCCGCCACAACGAGGGGCTCCTCCGTAACCGGCCGCTGCGTCTCGACCACCTGGGCCTTTTTCGCCGCATGCTCCTGCAGCGAGCGCAGATAGCGATCCGACTCGGCCGCGAACTTGCACTTTCTGCGGATCGCCGCCCCATACCGATAAAACAGAAACGGAGCCGGCATGCACAGCAGCGACAGGAACGCCGAGATGGAGGCAGCCCAGTGGATGCCCGCGCCGCGGTACATGTAGGGGGCGAGGATGGGGAAGACGGCCCCGAAAACAGACCGCAGGACCGTGTTGGCGGCCAGCACCGAGGCGGCGTAGATGGTGTACGAGTCGATGAGGTAGTTCATCACCCCCAGATAGATCAGGATGACGCCGAAGCCGAAGGGGGCGGTCGCGACGATGCTGACGCTCCAGTGGATGGAGGGGCCATCGGTCCAGGCGAACCAGAACTGGCTGATAGGGATGGCGAGCGCGCCGGGCATGCACTGCACGAGGCGGGCCTCGGGGGGCGCGAACCCGCCGTGCCGGTCTTGAACGCTGATGAAATGGAGGTTCGCCGGGATCGTGACGCAGATGCCGAGGATCATGCCTACCATGATGCCCAGGAAGGCGAGGCCACCCACGCCCGGGTTCCAGCCGCGGATGTCCTCGTAGACGATCGGGAAAGCGGAGAAGAACATGTACAGGGTGCCGTAGACGATGGCGACATAGAGGGCGAAGAGCAGGACGATAGGCTCGCGGAAGAGAAGCACCCACGGTCGCGAGAGGGTGTTCTTCAGCAGTCGGAGGAGCGAAACTCGGCCCTTGTCCAGCTCGATTTTGCTGCGGTAGACCCGTCCGGTCAGAGCCGACAGTCGCAGGGCGCGTTGGCGCAGGAGCACGGGGGCGTAGGTCTCCGGGATGAAGAGCGCCAACAGCACCCAGACCAAGGCAGCCAAAAGCGCTAAAAAGCCCTCCACCCAGCGCCAGCCGGCAGACATGCCCAAGAAGCCGCCGATGATGGGCCCCAGCGCTGGCCCGAGGAAGGGGGCGGCGGCGTACAGACTTAGGGCTAAGCCGCGTTGGCGGGCGGCAAACATGTCCGAAATGGTGCCCCCCGCATTGGTAAACGGTGACGACCCAAACGAACCAGCAAAAAATCGCAGGATACACAGCGTCCAGATGTTTTGTGCTCCAGCACATCCCGCGGAGAAGGCCGTCATGGCGAAGAAACTCACCATAAACGGGGTTTGGCGGCCGAACACTTCGCTCACCGGGGCCCAGAAGATTGGGCCGACCGCGAATCCCAGCACGAACAGGGCCAGGCCGATGGTGGCTACTTCGCTGCTGACATGGAGATCCTCAACAATCTCTTTGGTGCTGCCGCTATAGGTGGATGATGTCAGAGAGACCGTAAGGGTGGAAAAGGCGACGATCAGAGTGATGGTGATCTTGCGGGCGGTGCTGAACAGCATCGGATTGCGACAATCATTGGGAATCCAGGAGACCACATAAGGATCCTCCTCGGTGCCACTGCCGGGGTACTCAAAGTCCAGGATCTCTTCATTGATGGCACCTTGATCGATCAGCATACGCCAATAGGGGATGCGAGAGCGATAGACGCCCTTGGGGAGGGTGCCGTTTCCGCGGTGCTCTTCCACCTCCGTGCCCATTGTTCTTTTTATCTGCGTAGTTTGTTCCTGAGTGCTGCGGGAACTGACGTCATCATACCGAGCTCTTTGTCAACACAAAATGTATGCCAAAAACAGCGCTTTTCACATTCGCTGGACTGTCCCGTGGAGCAGAGTCTCCAAACGAGATACAAAGCAGACGACAAGCTGGTTGGGCGGTCCATTGCTTTTATTGCGCTCATTGCAGTCTGACCAAGTGCCAAAACGACGGCAGAAGAGAAAAAAAAAAAGCACTAACTAACAGGATGGGTCTTGCGGACCCACAGCTCCTCCTAAATAACCCATGCATGAGAATGATAATGATAGTCTTCGTGCACCATGACCCGCCTTATTGTTGGATTGCAGACCATGTACTCCGCGTTGTACGTCTGGGGTTCAATATTAGGATGCATAACCCTGCATGTTGCGATGCAATAAGACGATCGTTCTTGGTGCATTGGCTTTGGAGAGATACAGTAGGTTTCGTGGACCGGATACCGGATATTCGGCACGGACGCGGGCTCGGGAGGGCAAAGACCCATCAGCCGCAGGGATGGGGGCCGAACCTCGGTTCGCGCATTAAGCGATTGAAGCAGGTTGGCCAGAATATACTCAGATACGCACTGAGTGATGATAACTAACTAAGGGGTTCGTGGTGAGATGACTGATCCAGTGGCGTCAATCATACCTAATCGAGTCAATGCGGGTGGAAGATCGAGACTATTGGGCAAGGGGTTCAATGGGGCTTCCATGCAAGGGAAGTCCTAGGATCCTAGGAGCACGCGATCTATAATCGGGAGTGGTATTAAGGTCGTCAGAGCTGCGAGCCTAATCTGGATTCGAAATCCTTCTTTTCCACTTCATCTGCCTACCCCTAAAACAGCGTCCCATCGCCCGAGTTTAAGATAGGGCTGGACTTAGTGTGCGGGCGCTTCTCGGCCGCCAACTCTCGGCCCGCTTTCCACGAGCCCGCCTCCAGCAGTTGAGGCAAGGTCAAGCTCACATCCCCCAACTTCCCGCTGCGAAGAATCCGCGTATGCAACTCGTCCAGAAGCGCAACTGTCATGGCTCGCCATTCGACAATCTCTGCATCGCCCACCGCAAAGCACGGCAGACTGGACTTGGAGATGCTCAACCCCCGCTCCAGCGCCTCTGGCTTGAGCGTCAAGACACCCATGTCGACGAACAACCCCCCGTTGCGATACTCGGGCAGTCCGGTGCCCAGCTCCGCGTTCTTCCAGGTGATCTTCAGGATGCGCTCAAATGGGACCTTGAGGGAGTAAGCCAGCCACTGCGTCAGCTTGTGGAAGGGCTGGATGGTGGCGGTGTCTGGGTCCGTCGTTGAGGTCTGCGAGGTCTCCGATAGCACGGGCAGAGGCCATGCATCGCCGATGGGATTGCCACGGACGCGGGTTCGGTCGGCGGGCCAGATCGGAATCAATGTTTGTTGCAACACAGTCCAGAGCTGTTTGTAGTCCAGATGTTCGGCGCCCGAAGAAAGAAGATAATCTGACTCTGTTAACTGTCGATTCGTGCCCGATTTCAAGCTGGTGGGAGTTACATACCAAGAAGGTGCCCGGGGCGCCCGGAGGGTCCAAATATCTCAGACAGACTGGTCACAGACTGCCCAAGTCTCTGGAGAATCTCGACGCGTGCACCGGCTCCAACAAGCGGATTCCTCGTCTTATCAACTTGAAACCCCTGAGCCAACACCTCCACTGTCAAGCTTCTCAGGGCCTCGCCTATTCAACACCCAGCGTCAGCAAGCTGGTGCCGGGTATGTGACAGAAGCATCATATGTACCATGCACCACATCCTTCCTGTCCGAGTCCTTCTTCGCGAAATCCCCGTTCAAGAACATATACAGCGAAGCGACCGCAATCCCCTCACTCCGGTTATACACATTGCCCGTATCAGGTTCCACAAACCGCCAGGTATCGCCGGCTCCGGCGTCGAGGAGCACGGAGACGAAGAACAGATCCAAGAGACTCCGCACCCTTTCCTTATCGTCATAACCTGCTTTCTCCCAACGCTCCAGCAGCTGTTGCAGTCGAGGCACGCCGCCGACTTCGAAATGCTGCCAGCGACCGTGGGGAGGGATCTGATTGTATCGGTCGGGGCCAAAGTCACGCTGTGATGGGTTTGGTTACTGTGGTGTCAGCAGGACCTACACAAATGGAGTGAAACTCGCACCTTGATGATATTCACAACATAGTCGACGGTCGCGTCCAATCGGTCGGGATGGTAGTCATAGTGATGGAGTTTGTCTTGCTCGGCTAGGCTCAAGACAACACGGGCTCGGTCGCGGACGGCTTCGAGGCTGAGTAGGTACTGGATGCTGTCTTCCATGCTGGCTTTGCTCTATGGTATCTGGTAGAGCTTCCTGAAGGTGGATCTTGCAGAGTAGTATGTCGATGAAAGTAACAACCACGAAGGTATGGTGAATGTAGGAGTGAAGGAGGGGAAGAACAACACAGAGCGGGGAACAGCGCTTATCTTCCCTTCCTTGGGCTGATACTACAGTATTGTATGTACCCCCTTATCTAATCTGATAACACCGCCCGATAGAGGGGTGTCTGGTATAGTATCGTAGGAGTATCTTCACAGACTACTCACCATTGAACTTCGAATCCCATTGACCACGGGTCAGTCAATAAGAGAGGCCAATTCGACTAACAATTATCAGTCATGTTACCCCCATCACCCATCATCCTTCAATTCAGCCATCCATCACTCAATCATCCAAACCTCTCACAATGACCCTCACCCTCCCCAACAACGTGCACCACCAGCACAACGAATCCTTCAACCACCTCCTCACAAGCCTGCGAAGCCGCAATATCAAGCCAGCAGACGTGCGCAGCCTAGTCCGCGAAATGACTACCTTCCTCTCCAAATCCGTCCACCTCCACACCACCCCGGACGAAACACTAGCCGTGATCGTCATCCTCCGCTCCGGCCTCGCCATGTTCGATGGCTTCATGGACAGCCTACCTCAGAACCTCCCGACGGCGGTCTACCACCTGGGCATCTTCCGCGACCCGACCACCCTCCAGCCGGTCGAGTATTACAATAAGTTGCCCCTCAAGCCCGCGCAGATCAAGCAGGCCGTGATCCTGGACCCGTTGATCGCGACGGGCGGAACGGCGGCTGCGGTGGTTGGGATTTTGAAGTGAGTCTCTAGTGTGGAAACCGAGTGGCACTGAGTCGGTCGCTAATATGGACATCAGGGACTGGGGACTGGAGCAGGTGACCTTCTTATCTATGCTGTCGACGCCGGCTGGATTGTCCCACGCAGGCGGAGTGTGGCCGGAGGGGAGCCAGTTCGTTGTCGGATCTGTCGATTCGCAGGTGGACGAGAAGGGGTATATCCAGCCTGGTGTTGGTGATATTGGCGATCGGCTGTTTGGAACGGTTTTCTAAGCGCGTGGCTCATATGTTAGTTAGTAATTTACGCGATGGTCAAGGCAGATTAATACACTAATGACATAAAAGCCATCCACGATGTCAATTTGAGAAAAGAGCATATGGTAAGGAAGCTGTGCTCCATGCAACCCTCCATGCACAAACAATATAAACCACAAATAAAACCCGTATCCCCGATATGCAGGACCCCATTTGTTGATTTGCGATGCGAAATTATGTCAGTCCACCTTCACCACCATGCATACCATGAACCCCCAAGCACCAGGAACAAATGCAGACGACCAAACACCGAAACCATCCGACCCGACCCTCTGGACCCAGCCCCGTTAGACCTAAACATCCTCAGCACGTACCATAGTACCGATCGCCAAAGTCACCCAAGCCAGGGCTAATGTAGCTGCAATTCAAGTCAGCACTGCGGCTCTCACAATCATACCTAAACACCAGAGAACTCACTTCTGCGCCGTCAGATCAGCATCCACCGCCGCGGACACAATCTTCAACCCGGGAAACCGCCCAGTAACAACATCGAGACCCTTCTGCGATGAAACCACATTGACCAGCACGATGGACTCCTCCGGCACGCCATGCTCGGTCAGCGTCTCGACCGCCTTGATGACCGACCCTCCCGTCGCAAGCATCGGCTCGAGGAGCAAGACCACTATATAAGTTAAGACCATCAGTTGAACCCCTACACGTTCCAGGGAGAAAGGCAGAGAAACGCACCATCCTCACAAATCCTCGCCGGCAACTTCGAATAATAGATCTTGGCAATGCTCGTCTCCTCGTCGCGCTGGATGAGGAGCTTTCCGAAGCTTAGCGGTCCACTACAATATACCCCTCCCTCCCATTAGCGAGTTTTGCTCAACCCGGGAATCAAATTAGGGGGAAAGAGGGGTGGTGCGCCTACGTCCAAGTATCCCGCAAAACCTGCTCCATGCTCGCCCCAGCCCGCAGGATGCTCACCCCACACACGCCTTTCGTGAAGCGCAGACCCTTGTAGGTCGTGTCAATCGGGGTGGTAACAGTATACTCCTCTGCAGGGACATGGTTCAGAGCTGTTGATTCCGGTTAATCCCTCTGCCTGTTGTCACATTTGGGGGGAAACTGTGATTCACGTGATCATACCGGAGGAAATCAAGCGGTGCACGACTTTCTCCACCGCCGAGGAAAAGGCACGGTCGTTGGTGTTCTTGTCCCGGATGATGGTCATCAGGTTTAACAGGGAGCGGTCCTGCTCGAGGACGGTGACGCGGGCCATGGGGGTGGTGAGTGCCGAGGTGGTTCCGGTACTAGTAGGGGATTGCATAGTGGAGGCTAGAGTTTGAGATTACTGTATACTTGAGGTGCCAAGTTAAGTTGCAGGGATGAGGTTCAAGTTGGAGAGATGTGGTCAAACTTTTGAGAGAGGGAGGTGAAAAGGTGGAATGAGCAGGAAACGGAAGATGCCTCGGGGTATGGGCAATTGATCAGAGGTAATGATTGGAGATTTCAATGCTTTGTTGCGAGCAGAGAGGGGGTCAATATTGGCTGGTGGGTGCGTGGATGGAAGAAGGCGGAGAAGAAAATTCACAGAAAAGAAATGCTTGGCACACAAGGGCACGCGACACAACAGCGGGTGATAAGGCGGATCTAATCTTATCACTGTTTCTGGTAGTGATGTGGTTGTCAGAGAGAGGAGGGGGAAGGAAGAAACAGTATCGTCTGCTGTAGGTCGGCGAGATTGGAGAGCTTATAAGTCACTGCTTTGCATGACATAACATGACGCTTGAATGCGCATTCCTGTCTACTACCTTTACATGCACTTCTGGTCATAAGGCCTGAAGATCAGTTACCTGGTCACTTGACCAGAAGCTCTAGCTCTCAATACGAAGGTAAGCTATGGAACCCTCAGCTAGGCACCCGGGTCTCCTTCATTGTGAATTACGACAGTTCCTGGAGTTGCAATTCGATTACAATGGATGGTTTTGATGCCAGTACGAGCTGGGCCCCCAGAACCTGAACTTCCTAGCTCTTGGATTATCCCCAAAAAAAAGGGCAACAGCTTGCTTGATTGAAAATACTGGGGCGGTTGAAACCCTCAAAGAGATCGTCACTACAGCTAAATCAAGCAGCTATAGTAAATCCTATTAACAATCCAGTAGACTTACAGTAACCCCACCAGGCCATAAACTAATGGTAGTTAGTGTTGGTTGTGCTTATCAGCGATCCTCAAGCGGGGAAAATTATCGCTTATCGCCTTCCGCCTCGGGGGATCCCGACCTGCAAGACTGATAAGCCCTCCACATCCCCAACACACCAGATAATCAATCTATCTTCTATCTCTTTCCGACCTTACGCCTCAATCTCGCTGGAGTCGTGACGGGTTACTGCCAGATATGCCCCGCGTTGCCACCAAATCCTCTAATCGGGCTGCGAGATTCGCCCCCTTCCCATCGGGATCGCCCACCCCTAGTGATGATACCGTAGTCTCCACCTCGGATGTACGTGGATCTCCCTCTGATAAGCCGCAAGCCTGTCGCCGCACATCGATTGACAATTACACCAGGCTCGGTCGCGGAGAAGTAGCACTCGATCGACCCATATTGTTGAGGCCACGCCCCGTGGGGAAAGTTCAGATTCGGACAATGGGGGGGACGATGGCCCGCATCCCGCAGCGTCGCCGGCTCCACCAACCGTGACGCATCTGTTCATCAACAATGAGCAGGTCATGTCCAAGTCTCAGACCTGGAGCAATGTCTTGGATCCGGTGAGACGGCTTCAGAACACCGATGATGACCACGACCGCTGAACCCCATCCCAGGTCTCGCAGCGGTTACTATGTAGAGTGCCGGGAAGTACCCTCCAGGAAGTCCAGAGGGCTGTTACAGCCGCGGGGGACGCTCAACAGGCCTGGGCCGCGCTGGGATTCCAGGTGCGGCGAGAGCGACTGCTGAAGCTGGTGGATGTACTCAGGCAGATGTCGCCGGGCATTGTGAGACTCGTTCGACCAGAAACTCAGGCTAGAAAAAGAAGTTCGCAGCTGATACATGTGACTGCAGGTTACCTGCCTGTCGCGCGAGGTTGGTAAGACCTTGGCCGACGCAGATGCGGAAGTCTTTCGCGGACTGGACTGCATTCACGCGGCGTGCTCCGTCGGACCGGAAATGGCGGGAATGTTCCTTGGGGGCGATGCTACCTTGCTGCAGACGTTCTATGAGCCGGTGGTAAGTGTTACTCTCGAGCATGAGGACCTGGAGAGGATGACGCTGACACTAATACGACAGGGCGTCTGCCTCTCTATCACACCGTTCAGCTTCCCTTTCATGATTCCCCTCTGGTCTCTGCCGTATGCTCTGATCACCGGTAACACCGTCATCCTGAAACCATCCGAAAAGACACCTTCGACCTCCTCCCTGCTCGCTGAAGCCTTCGTCAAAGCTGACTTCCCGCCCGGGGTCTTCAACATCCTCCACGGGGGGCCCTCCACCGTCCAGATGCTCGTCAACCAACCATCCATCCAGGCCGTTAGCTTCGTCGGCTCAGAGCCCGCCGCGCGACAGGTCCACGATCTTGCCCGCGCTGCAGGCACGCGCATACAAGCCGAGTGCGGAGGCAAGAACCACGGAGTCATTCTGGAAGATGCCAACATGACGTCTACTCTGTTTGCCATTGCCGGCAGTGCCTTTGGCGCGGCTGGCCAACGGTGCATGGCGCTGAGCGTGGCAGTCTTTGTCGGCCGCACACGCGAATGGATCCCGAGGCTCGTTGAGCTCGCAGAATCGATGGTCGTTGGCGCTGGGCGCGACCAAGAGTCCAAGATTGGCCCGTTGATCGATGAGGCAGCCGTCAAGCGAGTCAGCGGAGTGATCCAGCGGGCGATCCAGGAGCAGGCTACGGTTCTACTGGATGGTCGACAGATTGAGGTCCCCGGATACCCGGACGGCAATTTCCTAGGCCCGACGATTCTAACTGATGTTGAGACGTACATGGAATGCTACCAGTCGGAGATTTTCGGGCCTGTGCTCATTTGCATGGAAGTGGATACCTTGGAGGAAGCCATCGAGCTGATCAATCAGAACAAGTGTAAGTCTGCTCTGCGATCCGTGTCGTTATTGGCCATGGGTTCACGGTAGCATATAGATGGCAATGCGTGTTCCATCTTCACCACCAGTGGTAAGCATGCGAATACGTTTCAGCGGGGCGTCAATGTCGGGCAGATCGGGGTCAATATTCCACTGATAGGTGCGTTTGCTAGTATTCTACTCAGTCTTCATGCTAACCAATGCATAGCTCCGTATGGTTCGGCTGTTCGAACAAGCAACAAGGACTCGTTCCTAGGAGGTAGGCATCGTAAGCATGAATTTTATGAAACCATCCGTGCTGACCTCGCAGACCGTCACGCTCCAGGAAAAACGTATTGGCCATTTTTCACGACGACTAAGACTGTCTCGTCGCGGTGGGAGCAGTAGCATCGTAGACCAGGTGGGTGGACATGCATAAATTGTGAATGAGTCAAGAAGAGAAAGAGAGAAAGAGAGAAAGATAGAAAGATAGAAAGATGGAAGAGGCTACGTGAGGCAGGGAGGGAAGGAGGGATGAAGCCAAATTGGCCCGAGGCTGAGTCAGAAAAAATGAACGATGTCATTCATTCATTCATCGATGCCCCCGCCATGCCAAGATATCCCCATCTCCTCGTATTTGACCTCACAACGACCCCCACATCCAATCTACTCCACATACACCACCGCCATATCCAACGACAAACACAATAAGACCTTCTATAAACCCTTATCATGCCTACTCTCAGCGAGGTCCGCCAGTCCAATGCCACGCTCGCCACCAACCGGCCCGAGCTCATTGCCGTCTTCGTGGGCGGCACCAGTGGCATCGGCGAAGCAACCGCCAAGCAACTGGCGCAGTCCGTCAAAAAGCCCACCATCCACATCGTGGGCCGCAGTGCCGCCTCTGGCTCGCGCATCTTAGAAGAGCTTCGCGCCGCCAACCCCGAAGGCGTCTTCCACTTCGTGCAAGCGGACGTCTCCTTGCTCCGCAATGTCGACACCGCCTGCGAGCAAATTAAGGCGAAGGAGAAATCCATCGACCTTCTCTTCCTCTCGACAGGTCATCTAACTTTGTTCAAAAACGGTAGGTAACCCCACCCCTCTTCTGACCGTCTTCAGCGGAAAAACCACAGGATACTGAACAAGCCCGCAGAAACCGAGGAAGGACTGGACAACAACCACGTCCTGCGCTACTACAGCCGCATGCGCTTCGTTCAGAACTTACTCCCCCTGCTCGAGAACTCGCAGGGCCCCGCCCGGGTCGTGTCCGTGCTCGCGGCCGGCCAGGAAGGGCACGTCGATGCCAACAACCTCGACCTCACCAAATCGTGGTCCTTCCTCAAGGCCGCTACCTACGCCGCCACGCTCAACTCGATGGCTTTTGAGCACCTGGCCGCCACCCACCCGACCGTCGGCTTCGTGCACGTCTTCCCCGGGATCGTGCGCACCCCGCTCATCAACTCCACCTTTGGCAATCTGGCCGGCCCGGTGATGAACGTGCTCTCGCGGCCGCTGTCCATGTCGCCAGAGGAGAGCGGTCAGCGTAATCTGCATATCGCGACCTCAGCCGCGTACCCGGCCGCGAGACCGAAAGATCCTTCTTATGTGGGGACGCCGTTGGGGGAGGGGTTGCGGACCGCGGCCGCGTCGACGGGCAAGGTCGGCGGGGGGTCGTACCTCCTGAACTATGATGGGCGCAACGCGGCCAAGGAAAAGTTGTTGGCCGAGTATCGCGAGCAGGGATTTCCGGGGAAGGTGTGGGAGCATACGCTGGAGACTTTCAAGCGGGTTTTACAGCGAGAGTAGGTGGGATTGTGGCGTAGTTAGTGCATCAGTTAATGTTAATCAATATCTCTTCTCATCTGATTATCGCTGTTGGGACAATTGGGATGTATCAATCTGATCACCATGCCCTACGCAAAACACACCCCCTCTGCACACCCTCAATCCCTCAACCCCAACAACTCCCTCCGCATTCCCACGATAAATCCGCTCCCTCAACTCCTCATCCATGGGATAATTATCCGAATACTCCCGATACCCAGCAACCTTTCTCAGCCGGTGCATACGGGAAATCCGACCCTACTAACCCACGTTAGCTTATCAACCCATGATCAACACCAGAACTCTCAACAAGACAGACCCAACCCTAACCATTAATCACCTTCCCCAGATCCACCATCCCCCACGCCAACCCCATCACCTCGTGTGTCCCCACAACCGCGAAATCATACCGAAACGAGCGCACCCCCTCCATCCACTCCTCGAACGTCTTCCCATACGTCCTCCCCCTGCTCCTACCCCCGCAACCGCCGCCCTGAGCACCAAAAATGGTAGGGTTCACCCCGCATGCGCCAGAATCTTGTTGGCATACCCAAAATCCCTCGTAACATTCCCCACAATCATATCCACAGCCGTCCGCGTCGTCTCGAACGGGAAATCCAGAATTCCCGAAAAGCGGGGTGGCCTAGGTAGTGATTATCCTGCCCGTAGCGCGTGAAGATGGCCTGGGGAGGTGAGGGAGAGGTAGGCTTTGCGGACGCTGTTGATTTGGAGGTGGGTTAGGGTTCGGTTGAGGGTTGGGATGAGGAGGGGTGGTAGGCACTAGGGAGTGATGGGATAAGCCTACCTTTGCGGAAGAAGTCCGGAACGAAGTGGTGGTGGGCGTCGACTTGGAGAGGGAGGGTAGTTGAATTTAACGCGGAGGGTTCTGCGCGTCGACTCAGCAGGTTGAAACTGAGGGCGCCTGTCAGGCCTGCCATGATGGTTCCTATACCCAGCATGGTGACTACGAATTGAATTGAGATAAGGGCAGAGCGGAAGAATCTGAGGTGATATAACCCTAGCAATGATGAGCGGTCTGTGCTGTGTCACCGGCGTGCAGGAAACCGTCCCTTGCATGATACTGGCTCGCTCACTCCTCTGATCACATCTCAGCTCGTAGCTTTGAGTCTTGGTGTAGAGTAGTGATACAGATGGTGATGAGGTCAATACTACCTCCCCTAGCGCTGCACTCTCTATCATCCGCCTCATGCAGATGGTTTGGAACATGGTGCGCTCCACGTCCTCCATCTTTACGATTTCTTTGGTCGAGGCGTTGTTCGTCAGCTGCCTGTCTTTGGTCTGGTGGGCGCTGCCAAAGTCCCAGTCAAGCGTCTCCTGCAAGCAATTGACTGCGGACACGGCCAGCAGCACTGACGGCTGCGCATACCAGGACTGTTCAGCCCCGTTGGACGTCACTAGGATGGCGATGTTGAAGCCGGGACAGAGGAGCACGCCCAGCAGCGACAGCCGACCCAAGTAGGGCAGTCGTTTCCATACGCCTGCTGCCATACATGCTGACGTCGAGTATAGAGTATCGAATTTTGATATGTTCTTTCGGTTCAATCCGTTCTTGAGTGCGATCTGTGGGCTTTTGGGGTGCTGTCATGCTGGGGCTGGGATCTTTACGGTGGTATGATGTGGGCCGTCCGGCGAAGGCAGACTCTTTTAAGGACTCGCCCCGCCGAAGCCATCGAGACACTTCCTTCCGACTCAGCCTCGCGCAGGAAGTTATGAGGCTTGGCTGGCGGCAGAGCGACGATCGGGACATCTCATACTGACTGCTGAGGCATGGATTGTCAGTTGTGTTTCGATTGTAAGCAGAAGGATTCTATGCCCCGCCGCGGTTGGGGTTAGGGGTTGATAAGTGTAGTGCTTATCATTTCACACATTGTATGTCCGGGTTGGGATTGCGGGGCAGATCCAGGCTATAGGTTCCTTGAATGGCTCTCAGAATAAGAGACCGCTCCAAGGATCTCTTCTAGGAGCTTCAACGCCAGGGTGAAGGCTGAAGAGGCACGCTTGGGTAGAACTTACTACAATGATGTAGGCCATAACCTGCGAGATATAAATGCCGGGAACGAACAGAACAGGTTCTTTGGGTAATACCTGAGAATGAGCATTTATCATGAATTTGAATGAACTCATTGAGTCTTATGCTGATAGTGACTACTACCAGACCATTCACTCATTCACAATAGAAGTACAGAGTACTCAATAACAGAAGGGTCCTTAGGGCTAGAAGTGAATAAGTATTGTACGTGCGGGAGGAATGCGATGCGGTAAGGTATTGATCATATTACATTCTTTGGAGCCGGTTTTCAACAGTTGGGGCTGTGGTTTAGTGGTATAATATTCCCTTAGCATGGGAGAGGTCCGGGGTTCGATTCCCCGCAGCTCCAATTTTTTGTACATTTTTGCTTGTGCACAAGTCCATACACGCAAGTGGGTCTGAGCTGTGCCTGTATCAGATTTGCCATTGGTTCGTAGAGTACTCCTGCATCCGCAAGCGCCGCTGTCTCACCGATTGGAGCTCTTGCTGAGGAACAACAAACATCTGGCCTGTTCGAAAGTGTTAACCAGTAACATGCAAATTGTACTCTGGCATGACGCCACACTTATCCAGGCGTCTTCGCTATAAAAAGTTGAGGTATTGCATTAGTAGATCACAGATATGCAAGCACCAAGTTCAAAAAGCGAATATGCTCACACTCGGACTCGAACCGAGGATCTCAGCATTACTAGTGCTGCGCTTTACCATCTAAGCCATGCGAGCTGTTGATGTCAGAAGCTCATCTTCTTGCATTTATGACCTTGCGTGCCACTATCCTTCGCGCAATATCATCCTGGATATCTCATTTTGGCATATGTATGAGGGAGACTTTCTCCAACCATATTCATGCGAAACATCTGGAAGATATTGGTTGTAGTCACTGGTAGCTAAGGAGCAAGTGTTGTATGTCAAGACTATCTGTGACTCATTCTTCCTCATCATCTCTTCATACATAGTTAGTCTTGTAGGATTATTTACACGTCTGGATGATTTCCTGTATTGTTAGCCTGTATGTAAGCTATGTAAAGGTAATTATAATCATTATCTTTATTTTCTCTAAGAATCTAATTTTTTTCATATGTATTACAGATCCAGTCCACTAGTATATGACCATCACCGTATGGTAGGACGAAGGCAGTCGAAATGGGTAAAATAACAGGTATAAAATAAGACAATCTCAGATTGGCTCGCAACTTTCATATCACACAGACCTAATTCCCCTGGTTCTCGAGAGCCACTGCTGTGTCCGAAGGAGCGCTGTCGAGGATGTCTGTGTATACCAGCACATGTCTATTGAGGGTCTGTGGATCCGCTATGATCTGAGCAACATACTTGCCAATATCGCAGAGATCGGTCAAGGCGAATTTGACACCGCCATTCCCCACAATCTGGTGGTCAATGTAGATCGAGTGCGCATGGTGAGACCGCCCCGACGGAACCTTGGGAACCCAGAGTTGATCATAGCACTCCACGTCCGATGATGGTGTATTAAAGACGAGCCCGCTGGGTTGCGCCAAGAATTTCCCTTTTTCGCATTTCCGACATCATTATTGTGTCCGTCACCTTTGGAGGTATGGATTAGGGCGCCACTCAGCGGTATATTCAGTCATACCTTGTCCTTGATATCGGTGACGCCCTTGGGCGCCGATCCTACCCACTCAGAGGGGACGAAACGCTTCACGCCGGCTGCTTTGGCGGCTTAAATCCAAGCTATTTAAAGATGTTGAAGATAGAGTTGCTCCCATGTAATGCCGGAGATTTAGGGTTTTGATTTCCTTTAGTAACTTCGCCAGCTTCTCCCGCGGGCCATCCAGGTTATACCCGACGATTTTGACGCCCTTTCCTTCGATTTTCGTTCGGACGAGATCATTCTACACCAGGGCAAGCCGAAGTGACTCATTTTGACCCAACTGGAATCATGTTCAATCATCAGATAGCTCTGCCAGAGACACTGGGAGACCTGGCCTACTATTTCCCCCTGGTTTTGCGATGACCCGCTTGAAGACGTCATCATATACGAAGACTCCATTTACTTCACTCTTAGAGGATGACAGCAAATATACGACGTGCAATACGCTCGATAGAGTCCGGTGGGCAATACCACCGCATTTGTCCGAGATAACAATATGGTCACCTGGATGGATGGGGTTAGCACCGCAGTCACTACTGATGGCGGTCCTGATATGTTCCACGGTGTATAGGACTGGGTCTATGAGGCGGAAATACTCGGAGACCGGTTCGCACTGTGGTTTTCTGCCCGATGGGGAGTATCTCTCCTTCCTACGCCTTAAGGAGACGGGGGTGCCCACATACACTGTGCCATACTACATGGATAATCAAGCGATCGCGCCGCCGTATCCGGTCGAGATGCCGATACGATACCCGCAAGTATCGCAGATCAATCCCACGGTTCAGGTGAAGGTCCTCCATGTGTCCGAAAAGCAAGCTCTAACAGTCCCAATCGAGTCGTTTGACGTGGATGATTTGGTTGTTGGTGAAGTCTCCTGGCTCACTGATACTCACACTACGCTGGCTATTAAGACATTCGAACGGGTCCAGGATCGCCAGGCAGTTGTAGCTCTTGGCACCACGACTTGACAAGCAGAGACAGTCTTCGAGAGAGACGGCACTGATGAATGGATCGACAGCCCTCTTATATCGGAGCAATTGACCACGGCTCCGCTCGATACTCCCTCGACAGGATGGTCTCATTTGTGACTTTTCCATTGTCCGGTGGCGAGCGAATTGCTCTTACTAATGGTGGCTCTGCTGGTTGGAGACAGGAAATGTCGCCGGAAAAGATGCAGGTGCAGTGGTTCACGGACTCGGATCATAATATCAATTATCATGGTACGGGTCAGGCACAGATTGGGAGCCAAGACGAAGCTGAGCTGAGGTAGTGGAGATCTATCAATCCCTAGAAATGGGCTCCGAGGGTCAGTCATCAATGCAATCGGGCACAGTCGCACCCAATCACCATGCAATATTCCAAGGCAAACCAGAATGACTGCCAGCCTGATTAGTCAAGAATGGCTGTGAGAAACCCTTAGGTATTCAAGCAGTACTACTCCGTCGTAGTGAGATGCAAGTCCTGTTTACTATTCTTCTTCTTCCCATCCACCTCAACGAGTTCTTGTGGAAGTATAGAACACCAAAATGGCGAACCTCATCCTCCTCCCTCCCTCTCCACCAAATCCATCAGCTTCCAGCCCAGCCGCGCCACTATCTTGCGCGAAATCCCCGCCATCATCCACCACGTAAGTTCTGTGTCTTGCGGGTCTGGTTTTACTGCATCAAGAGAACGAAGTCACTATTTCCAAGACAAAATGATTTTAATAAAGCCCGGTCCCCACACCCTAACCATCTACGGCCTCGACCCCGCCACGGACTTGGACTCGATCCGCATCGAGGGGGCATCGGGCGCTGCTTGTGTGACCGATTTTCCAGACTGAGGTGGTAGGGAGTCGGCTCTTATTTGCGACGAGACACAAAGGTGAGAGTGGGGATGCAAGTGACAGTAGTGACGCTTTAAGCGAGGAGGATAGATGAGGATAAGGATGAGGATGAAGCCAGACGAGCTACGGGGACCTCGGACAGAGCTTCTCGCTGCGAAGGAGAGGGTAGCGCTGGCGAAGATCAGAAGGGATGTCGCGGGAAGTCGGATTGAGATTCTGAAGGGGCAGAGACAGGGGTTGGTTTGGAATCAGTCGGTAGGGTTTGGGACTAGATAGGGCGCAGCAGGGAGAGGTGTGGAAGGTCGGGGAGTTTATTGACTTTTCCATGCTAGAGGGCAGGAAGAAGGAGAGAAGCATTATCGAGCTGGTCGGGAGGTGGGGGCGGCGGAGAAGGAGGTGGAAAGGATTGAGATGAGAGTGTATGTACAAGGAGAAGAGGAAGAGAGAGGCGGCACGGGAGAAAGAGATACAGAGGCGCAGGCAGAGAAGATGCAACTCCCCAGCAACCACCAGCCCCGTCAGGAGAACAGCAACAGACTTCATTCGGCGCATTGGGTAACACTGCTGCTGCAACTGCTGCTCTTCTGCAACAGGGCGGTGGTCTTTTCGGCAGTAACACGCCCTCCACGCAGTCCGGGGGCCTCTTTGGTAGTGCAATGACTTCCCCCAATGAGCCTCAATCTGGTGTGTTTGGACAAGCTACAAGTGGAGGTTTGTTCGGAGGCTGGCGACCGCCGCAGCCTCAACCCGCAGGCCCAATGGGCACCGTGACAACACCCATGCCATTTGCTCTGCCTGCTGCTCGACCCTCCCTTTTCGCACCACCAGCATCACCACGACCACAACAGAGACCAGCTACTCAGTCTGAGGAGCTGGACAACAACGTCGACCGACATACACGAACATTACCATCATCAACCACCACCACCACGGCAGACACCCAACACCCAGGTCCCTTCCAACAGGACTATGGCCTCACCACAAACCTAGGATCTTCCCGGCCGTCGCACCCTACCCCCATCCCTCGTGGCCCGTCGCCCTGTCATGCACGATCGTCCCCAAGCACTGCGCCGCAGCGTTCCTGCAGGCTGAGATCCATAACTCATCAACGGTGCGGGGGGTGACGGGCAGCGGGGGTCTTTTCTCCCAGAAGGATTAGGCGGCGGTGTTCCGGCGAACGTACCGGGTCAAGAACACGAGGAGCATGCCGTCGAGGTGGCGGTCGTAATCAGGTGCCCGTTAGTGAGGATGAGCGGCTGAAGGTGCAGATTCTGGAGCCGAAGGGGCTGGCTCAGGAAGGAGATGAGGTGCGACAAGTCGCCCAGGTCAAAGAGGGAACTGTGCGATTGAAAAAGCTGGGGAGATCAAGTGGGTGATTCCGTTGGAGGCCGGGATGGAGGTGCAATTGTTGCTGGAGTATGAGGCGAGGGGCCGGTGGGGAGTGAGGTTGATGAGTTATGAAGAAGCGCCAGCCGCATTCGAGCGCATTTTGTGCGAGTGTAACCACCCCGGGGCGTGAATACGGTAGCTTCAGCTACCAGTCCACAAGCAGTCTGCTTCGTTCGGAGTTAGCTATTTGAACTGTCTTTAGAAGCATTAATCAAAGCATGGAGTCACAAACCATACAAACGACACAATGAATCAGAGCCTTCCTAGTAAATCCAACTGGCGAATCCCATAATTCAAAACCCAGTTACCACTCCCAACTCCCGGGCATCTTTCCCTTCCCTGTCGCTTCTTCGCCTGCTGCTTGATCTCTCTTGTCTTGAGACCCTTCTCCGTCCTCCTGAGCAGCCTCTCCCCACCTCTCCCGCCAGACCGCCAGCTCCTCCCGCCAGAGATCCTGCACGCACGGATCACACGAACTTCCACAGCACTCGCCCAGTCCCGGCGGGGGCGGAGGGTCGTTGTAGTCGCGTTCCGCCGCGCGGAGGAGCTGCTTGGCGCGTGTCCCGGAGAGGTGTTTCCGGGCTCTAATGACTGCCGGGGTTTCTTGGGGGGTGTAGGCGGCCTGAGGAGACATTGTTGTGGTCTTCTATCTTCCAAAAGGGATTTTCTTCAAGATTCAAGATCGATTGGCAGAGCTACAGTGGTGATCTGTTTGATCGTTGCTACACAATGATGAATAAATATAGACAGTGCATGATTCACGAGGTGGGTTTGCCGGTATGGATGGAGTACGGAAGGGAAGTGTCGGAGGGCTCATCGGGTGGGAACGGGTGAAGGTTCTATGCTTATGAGACATGGAAAATAAATATTCACTGGGAGCCAACTTATAACTAGATGATATGAGATATCTATGCCTACTGGGATAAAGCTGGTTGAGGAAGTAGCAAGCAGCGATGGATGCATAGATTGTTGTAGTAGACTTGAAGACTTGCAAGCTGCTAGACAATCGTCTTGTCTTTCCGCACAACCGCCATACCTTCTCTACGTGGGTGTGCCCGAGGTCCAACCTTCACCCGCTGGCCCGGCCAAATCAATGCCTCAGGACAAAGCAATCACCTTGGAACCGTACGGTTACCAGCTTTTCGTTACCTCGTACAGGAACAATACAGGCTTGTCTCCTCAGCAACTCTCCGACCTTTCCAGCCACTGCCCACCAAGACACCTACCTCTCTCTCATGGTCTCATCCATCCTCTATGATGCGACGAAACCAACCCGACCGCAAGTATCGTTTCTCCATCCAACTCGACCCCGTAACGGATCATCGTTGAGGTGTTTCATAATCATCACCGCTCCCATCATCACTCCCCCTCCCTCGACAGTGGCAATTGACTAGGTACGTATTTCTACCGTAAATTGTGCCCGGCTGTTGCGACGGAAGAATCCGGCTGGGAATAGCTTCCCTTGCTCCCCTAATCCCTGTCTGCGGCGGCTGCATGCTTAAATTGCAGGGCCAGTTTGTCAGTTCAGTGGCAGCAGTTCCAACCTGGAAGGGAGGAAAGCCAGCTTTGGTTACGTAAGGATGCAGGGCGGCTGAGATCATATCTCGATCACCGCCAACGTGATTGACTAGTGCCGACTCGGGTATAGTGCAGTAAGCATGGAGTTGAATGAGAGAAAGTGAGGAAAGGGGGTGGATGTTGATGAGACCCGGAGGGAGTCAAGAATCAATCCGTCATGTCTCAGCGCCGATGAAACCTCCACGGTATAAATATGAGGGTCTATCACTTTTCCTTATAGATGGGGTGGTCAAAAGAAGAACGGGGGCGGACTACCCCAAGGTGGTGAGCGGGAACCGCGATGGTCAAAGGAAGGGCTGCTGCTGGCCTGCTGCAGTGTCACTAGCGTTGACCGTCCTGGGATTTTCTCTAGTTTGGCTGGAATGGATGAAAAACAGCTGGGAGGATTGTGACGGTTTTCTTCCCGAGGATTTTCAATTTCTCTGGCTAGGTAGGGTTGGGGGAAGGTGGGAGAGCGGGAGACAAGCCGCGGGCTGGCTTCTTCCACACCCAATTTGGCCAGTTCTTCTGATCTATCCAAAAAGTTATATAAATCCACATCACCTCCCTCGAACCAACAATGGGGGATGTGGACAGAGCAAATGTGAACGGATGCAGTGACATTCCTCATTCTTCTGGTTCTGCTGGCTGGAAGGTTGGCGTCTCGAGTTCGTTCACAGTGGGTGGTGGCCCCCAGCTTCGAGCTAGCTCTTCATGCAGCTTAGCTCTTTACTCCGGCGTCCACGGGATGAGTCGGGATGTCCCAAAAGAGCTGGATCCCAATCGGCCAAGTCGGTGAGGCGAGGCAATTCTCCCTCTTGAATTTCAGACTCACGGACGGCGGCACCAGCAGCACTCCAGCGAAGCCACCCAAGTGACCAAACATCAAACAAACCTGCTTGCGTTGCCAGTGGGAATTCTGTTTCTGGGATAGAACCTCCGGCGCTGGTGGAGCCGCATGCCCGATTCGGCCCGGTTTTATTGTGACCGAGCATGTGGCGAGTCTACTATTGGCTACGGATGCACCGCTAAGTGGGTCATATACCACTCTATCGGACCCATTTGGTTGCAGGGATCCACTTTGGCTCCTTGGTTTTTTTTTTTGTCTTTTTTGGCCCTCTCTTCCTACTCTCTGTCTCGCTGTTGCGGTTGTTGTGAATCTCCCTTTTTCACAGCTTCGGGACACCTCGGAATTTGTGCAATCTGTAGGCCTGGCTCTCCCTATGGGCCAATTGCTCTGTCTGAGGGTAGCTTCATGGGAATCGGATGAGGGAAGGGGAAAGAGGTCCCATTTTATACATGTAAGGAAGAATGAAGGGGAGCTCGGTGTCCACGGTGGGAATGCTGCCTCCCCATCCATCCTGTATTCTCTCCACCTTCCCCCCCCCCTTCTCCCCCCTTTGGTCAATCTTTCCCCGGTCACCATGGTTACAGGTAATCTTACAGTAAAGTTGACTGATGCACATCGGCTGGTCATGGGTGAGGGTGTGGATGCGCAATGGCAGCATCGCCGCAATGCGACTCGTGGATAGCACGGCCAGCGGACCTGCGCGGCTGGACAGAGACCCTGAACAATTGGCTGTACCGACAGCACTGCACGCTTGGCCCCATCCCGAGCGAACCCGAATTGTCCGCGAATCCGGTGGTAATTGAGGTGTATGATACTCGTAGGTAAGATAGAGGACAATCAATTACTCGAAGCACACACGCGCCAGGCCCCGGGTAGGGCTTTTTTCCTTCCCAACAAGCGCACTAACGGAGGTCGACTGGGGGGCTGGTGGACTCGAAAGGGTAAAAAACGCGAAAATTTAGCGGGAAAGTATTTATGGCCCGAACGGAGTCTGTTGTCACTTTCGCTCCAGGTTTTCTCTCCCAGAAAAGTTCTTCCTCTTCCTCTTTTTCTCCTCTTCTTCTTTTCTTCTCTCTCCTTTCTTCCTTCCCATCCTTCCCCCCCATCTTCTCGAGAAAATCAGTCTCTTTCTCAAGATTCATCACCCATCCATCACAATGGCCTCCTCCCGTGTCTTCGCCTCTCGCCTGGCTTCCACCATGGCTGCTACCACCAAGGTGGCTCGCCCCGCTGCTCGCGTTCAGCTCAACGCTGTCGCCCCCAAGCGCACCTTCACCACCCAGAAGAAGATCAACATGACCCCCTTCCAGACCGTCAAGCGTCAGTCTCCTTCCGGCCTCATCCAGGCCAACGCCCGCCAGGCTTTCGCCGCCCAGGGCCGCCGTCAGTACTCCTCTGAGATCGCCGACGCCATGGTCCAGGTCTCCCAGAACTTGGGTATGGGTTCCGCTGCCATCGGTCTCGGTGGTGCCGGTATCGGTATCGGTCTCGTCTTCGGCTCCCTCCTTCTGGCCGTCTCCCGCAACCCTGCCCTCCGTGGTCAGCTCTTCTCCTACGCCATTCTTGGTTTCGCCTTCGTTGAGGCCATTGGTCTGTTCGACCTGATGGTTGCCATGATGTGCAAGTACGTCTAAATTTAACGCAACTACCTCCTATCTCCCACGACAATCGAGCCGCATCTTTTATCTCCTAGCGAAGCGTTTGCGGTATCCGGCAAATCTTGGAAGGGATCGATTTTTTTTCTTGTGAGATGAATACGGGAAGGAACCAAATGGGATGATGACGAAACCAAATTTCACAAAAAGAAAAAAACCTTCAAAGACAAAATCTACGAAGCTTCTTCTGGATCACTTGTACAACAATTCCACAAATGAAACAATCGGTTTAATGAGCGTGCTCGTCCGGTAAACCGGTTATCTTCTCTTTGTTCCATTATCATTCCTTTTCTTTGTTCATCTGCCAGAAAAAAAAAACCAAATTGAGAACGACTGGGGTTTCCTTCACAGCCGCTATTCTTCTTCCTAGGAGGTTAATTCTTCTTGTGGTGGTCTTTTTATATATCATGTACTACTCCCTTTTCCTTTATTCTCCCTCACGTCATCGTCTACAACATGCAACCAATATACACTGTACATATAGAGTTTAAAACGGCCACTCTAAACCCACCCATCTGGAGCCTCAGCCTTGAAAACTCGCTGTGTCGGTTGAGAGAGCATGTAGAAGGTGTGTAATGGAGACAAGCGGCGGGAATCGTAGAACTACCGACTACCCCGTATCTGGGGTTGTGGAAGAGCTGGAGCTTGGATTGGGATTGAACTCAGCTGCTCAGAGGAAAAAACACTTGAGATCCATCCAACTGTAGTGATTGAGAGCCACTGAGGAGTCGTATATGGCGTACGGTAAAGACGGGACCTGAGAGGGTCAGAGCTCTCCTCCCCGTCCGTGGTGGGTGTAGACGGATGGCTTAATGATTAAGATGCCAGCTGTCGAAAACGGGCCAACTCCTCCTTCCTTTCCCTCGTCTTCCGGGGACGGATGGGTCCAACTGTCTTGTCGGGTGGAAATGACCAGGCTAACCAGTGCTTCTGATTGTTATCAATCAATGGTCTGGCTTTCTGTTTAGATTATCTTTGTACACAATGTACGGGGAGGACAGTCGATTATCCTCTAAACTCGTTCTAGTTCCAGGATTGACTCGTTCCGCCTGTTCCCCTTTCCCTCCCGGTCCTCGACGTCGGTGTGTGCGCATGTATCAGGGAATGGTGGCAGGAGGATCATTGTTATCTACCTTAGTCATCACCAGCACTACTCCGTACTGCGTACGGCCTGCGTACCTATCTCTTAGTTACCCACGACAAGACGTGGCCACTTGTCACCCGCATCAACAATTCGATACATCCAACCCATCAATGCAATTCCAACAATTGTCTTGACTATTTCACTTGATGCAGTGTACAGTATTATACGGAGTAGCTTTGGAAGGGCAACAAAAAAAAATCTTTGGTCGCAATCCACATGCACGGAAGCATGCAGCCAGAAGATCTTTTCATTACAGCGCGTCACAGGTCGAAATTTTGGTCCGATCAACGGACAAACTTCCCACTTAACCGCGGTAATCACTGCACGCCGTTTCCCTCTGCGCGTCAGATCTTTGGCTTCCAGGGTTGACTTAATTGCATTGGTTCTTGCCGGTGAGCAGGGATTCATTCCTCCCAGAAGGTTCTTTGGCTCTTCAGATCCTTGCTAGGGATAGTGCTTAGCAGGGTGGAATATAAAGGGTAGTCGTGATCCTAGTGTATTGTACGGAGTACAGCAGATATACACGCTCGGTGGAGGGAGAGAATCTGATACATGGAAACTCATCCTTCGTACACCCTCGGTGGACGGGTAAATTGGGTGTGATGAATCATGAGCATATTGGTGGTCGCTGATCCGTTCCCTCTTGCTTCATGAGTCGAGCCGAGTCCGGGTATTGGTATTGCCTGCTGCAGTATTGTATAACTAGGTACAAGCTAATGTATGTATGTAACGAGGTGATTACGGGTCGGGTAGGTATCGTATCCCCTGGCTTTTCTTTCGAAGAGAAGGTTTGCCGGCTAATGAGGCGGTCGCCCAACTTGAACAATCAAATATTATGATAGCATAGGGACTATGGATATATTCATCTCGAAGGGTCTTGGTGTGAGAGCAACAGTAAGTATAAGAAGACTCAAGCTCTAGATCAGTATGATACTCCCATTAGTCAAAAAGTGGTTCTGCTTGGTGAGGATAGCTTTGGCGGAGCTCTAGGATACCCACTCGATATATATCTTGCGACTTCGCGCAACCACTGATCCATCAACACAAGCTTCAATGGGCGATAGTACTGAAATCTCTTCCATCGTCTTGAGCATATGCATCTTGCACTCTACTAGAGTCTTTATTATGCAAGATCTAAGATCCGCATGGGATAATCGCATGCGGACAAGGTGAGAACCTTTGGTATGACTTATTAGTATCACGTGCACCCGTGCAGCCTCAGGCAGTAAGATCACTTGGACCTTGCCCCGCGGTCCACCTTGACCTCCACCCCTCCGTCAACCCCGCCGCGCCATATGCCAATCACTTCGGAGCATCTACCTCAGCAGCAGCAGAAGCAGCAGAAGCATATGGTCCGCTCAGTGGACATATCTATCTACTTTGCGGATCATGTAGTCTGTCATCATCGCTCGATCGATCCACTGCGCCTGACTACGTCCACCTGAAAAAGCCCATCACAAATCACAACCTCAACCCCAGACCGCATGGCGCCTTGCCAGCACCCTCTACAACTCGCCTCCAAAAGGCTCACCTTCGCACCGGCATACTTGAGACACGATGGGTCTACGGAGTCGTTACAGTCGGAATACTTGTGGACACAGTGGACACACGCTGGTGGCCATGTTTGCCGGAGGACAAGCCTTGTGGACGGAGGTAGCATGCCGGGCTACCTGATAATGGATAATGGGGTCTTGTGCTCGATATGCTTCATCGTAGTGGCACTTCTCACCCCCCGCGTCCTCGCGACTTTGTAGCTTCGATTGGAGAATTCACTGGAACCCTGTGATATTCGTCCAGAACGAAATGGTAAACTGTCCGAGCGTACCTAATCAGGCCAGTCGCGACGAGTGTAATCGCTTGCCCAATTGTGCATATAAGCCCACTTGAAGGTGTACAATCAAACATGTGCGATTCAGTTGAACTTGTTCCAACTTGCGGCGATTGTCTAGCATGAACGTTAACCGGGCAAGAAGCATGATCGCAATGGAAGATCATTTTAAATGGACATTGAAAGCTGCAAGGCCGAAATTGGACTGACGATGTCAGCCCGCCAACCCAACGGTGCAAACCCCATCCAGACACGGTATCGGCATACGCCACGTGACTTATGCACAGATCGGGCGCATAATTTGTGCTGTCCTCGACTATCAACCTTCCGTCTTCATATCGAATCACAAAAAACAATCTGCCACATCAGATCATTCTCCAAGCAATGTGATCATGTCGGATAACAGTCGCCTGTCTTCCGCGGAGAAAAAGCGTCTTCGGGATCGGCGAGCCCAGCAAAATTCGCGAAGTAAGAAGTTGCAGTATCTCGGTCACCTTGAAGAACGCATCGCTCGGCTAGAAAAGCAGCTCGCCCATTGTCGGCAACACCACACCGATGAAGGCGTCCAGCAGCAACTCGAGGAGATGGAGGGTCTCCGGAAACAAAATGAATCTCTTCTTGCGCGTCAACGACAGCTAAGGAGTCTCGTGCAATCCTGGGACCTCGAGGCGGGCACTCTCTCGGAAGCTCCCTCCAGACCAGCTTATCCTCCAGAAGCAGTCAATGTCGAGAGCCTGCGTCCTTCCCTACCACCACCTCCTCCGACAACAGTTTCCCTCAGCCCGGTAGACCCCTTGGAGGCCAGCAGAAGAACTCTTCCTATCCCTCCACTTCCTCCAATCTTACCCCCGTTGTCCCCGATTGCAGCTACTATCAACCCCGCCAACGATTCGGCAGCTTCGACTAAGCCGCTGTGGGAACGCATTCCACTCAACAATAACGACCCGGCAGCCCCCCAACTGCCCTGGCAAGCCTATCCGGAGCAGATCCGAGCGTCGCCAGACTCCCCCGCCTCTCCGCTAGATATTTTGTATGGCTCCAAGACCAACGTCCTGGCGGACCTGATCTACCGCACCATGAAGCGACGCCCTCTGCGCGACCCCGAGCGTCTAGCCTGTGGCTGGCTAGCCTACCACCTCCTCAAATGGGTCTTCTCGCCCAGTCCCAGCCGGTTCGCTCGGCTGCCGACCTTCATGCATCCAACCCCTGACCAGCTGAACATCCCCCATTTTGCCTCGATCGACCTCATGATCTGGCCGCAGATCCGGTCAAACCTGATCCGCCGCTGGCACATCTACGAAGGCCAGCGCGACGATCTTTTTGGATTTCTGTCCTGTTGTCTCAAGGTCCGTTGGCCGTGGGGAGAGAGTATCCTCGAGCGCGACGAGCACGACCAACTCCGCATTCGACGCAGCTTCTACGAGACTTTCATGACCGTCGAGGGGTGGGGAATCACGCCGGATGTGATTCGAAGCTACCCCAGTATTCTGACAGGGGTGGACCTACAATCAATCGTATATGAGGTTCTGTGATTGTTTGAAAGGGAGAGAGAGAAAAAAGAAGTACAAGTCTATAATCTATGTGCAAAACATTGAAAATCTATCAAAACATGCCATTGGGTCATTATTGTCGTCTTTCGGTCACGTTCATCAATCCAGGTCGACCGGGAAGCGTTCCCGAATGATCTTGCCGTATCGATTGAACAACAACGGAACCGGCACAAAGGCCAGCGCCAGGAACCCCAGCAGCGAGTTGCCCCATCCGATGCCCATGTTGCGGAACATGGTGGGCCCCGCCAAAGGCAGTAAGGCGCCCATCAGGGATCTCGAGGCAGTCATGGTGGCGTTGGCGGAGGCCGCATAGGCCGGATACGCGTCAATGACATAGGTCTGGATGGGCATCCAGATGCCGAGCATGCCCACACCGAAGGGAATCATCCCGATGATCGGGACGATCCAGTGGACCTTCTGCGCATTTTCCGCCGACCAGCCATACCAGAAGAAGGTGATGGGGATGATGCAGCTGAAGATGAACATCAGTGGCAGTCGCATCTCGGGTTCGAACTTCCCGCCGTTCTGAGCGGTCAGCTTGATGACCATGCGGTCATTGGTCAGCGAGACTGTCAATAGGCCGACGAAAAACCCAATGCCGATGCCGATGTACGCGAGGCCCGCGAGGCCGGTCGAGAAGCCGTACCGCTCCTCAAAGACGGTGGTCACGGTGGTGAAGAATAGGTACAACAGACTGTACACAAAAGCGATGTACACCGACAGGAGGAGCACGATGGGCGACTTGAACAACAGCACCACAGGCCGCTTGAGTCCCTGCGTGAGGACCTGACGGGCAGAGGGGGTGGTTTGGTGCATGTTGCCTGTGACGTCGTAGGCGCTGCGCAGGTCGACGCGATCCAGCTCCTGGGCCAGGCGTGCTGTCTTCCACCTGATCAACAGCGGTGCGTACGTCTCCTGGTTCAGGAGCTCGATCCCGGCCGAGATGACCGCACCGCTGATAATCAAGAGGTAAAAAATCCAGCGCCAGCCGATGGTTTCCCCCATGAACCCACCACAAATAGGGCCGATGACGGGCCCGATGAGAGGGCCCATGGCCCAGATAGCGGTGGCGCGACCGCGCAGCTCTGTCGGGAATAAATCCGCGATGACTCCGGCGCCCAGGGTGACGCAGCCCGAGCCGCCGATACCGGTGAAAAAGCGCGACACGATGAGCGTGGTCATATTGGGTGCCCTAGCACAGCCGATCTGCCAGACGACGAAAAACCAATTCGCGCCGCTGAGGACGACCCGACGGCCGTATATTTCACTAAGGGGGGCAAGAAGTAGAGGGCCGAACTGGGAGGAGTTAGCCTTCAGGGAGTGTGCCACCGAAAAAGAGATAGATTCAAACCTACCACGAAGCCCAAGAGATAGATGGTCACGCTGAAGGAAAGCAATGTCTCATTGGTGATCATGAATTCCTCGGCCACGAACTGGATCGCTGGGGAGAACATGCTGGACGCCAGTGGAGAGATAAAGGTGATGGAACTGATGAGCGCCAACAGGGTCCACTTCTTGGAGGCAGGGAAGTTCTGGGGGTTGGCGGGATCATCCTGTCCATCCCAACCCACCAGCCCTTGCGAGAGATCTGTGACGGGGAAGACGGTCTTGAATTCCTCGGAGGTCGACGAGGTATCGAACTTCTCGTGCAACCGTTGGACTTCCAGGTCGTCCGGCTTCATGGCTGTTGCTTAGCCGATGGCTGGTTGGGAGGCTGTTCGACCAGGTATAAGCGGATGCAGTACGACTGCGGGATGATTGGTATAGATGGGGGCGCTATCAAGATCGAATCACGGATCAACAAGCGCAGGCTAGTAAGCCGGTGATTTTCCCATACGAAAGAAACTGTGTGGGATGAGAAAAAGCAAATGGTACCCCTAGACCGAGTCTCCGGGCTAGACAGTACTTAAATCTATACTGTTTTTGCCGCCCTCACCATGTCGGGAGTTCAGCAAGCCCCCGGCCCCGAGAATGCAAGACCCCACCTTATTTCCAGCTGGCTGGACACCTGCGCATGGCTGAGTGCTCTTAGTAGAAGTGGGGTTTGGAGGGGGGAATCTGGGTACTGCTGGGGCTGAGACTGACAAGGGCCGCAGTAGCCGATTGGAGCTGACAACATCCTATGCGCGATGATTATCGATATTCGATAACACGGCCCTTTTTTCGTTGCAACTGCTTTAGACATGTCTTGTGGTTGATTCATTCTGTAGACCACATGAAATAAGATCACCTATGCCATCTATGGGTGACGTTGAAACCGAATTAACCTCGGAACCCAGTGGTAACATGCGGACGACAACATGATTCCATGATCTCGTTGTCGGGAGATACTTAGGGCAGGCGGTAGTCAACATTCGGGCCAAGACCATGTATGTGGGTAAGCGGACAACAACACCACTGCCCTTGGCCGGCTTCTCCCTTCCATCCCAATACGAAGATGGCGATATGTTCCCTGTTCACGGTGTCTATCTCCCCTGTTTGCCTTATTCTCTTGACACTTGACACTTACTTGCGACCAAGATCGAGTCTGAAGAGTTTTCAGTATATAGTTCCCACTCGTTCTGGACTCCCTTCTCTCTCTCGCGCGCGCTAAGCAAAGAAGAAATTATTGCCGGCGCGGCGGTGGCACTTCAAGAGAAAAGCTTCGAGACTCGCAACTACGGACGAAAATTGCTGCTAGTGGGTCTAGACACGAGGCTGAGGCTTCACTAATGCTCCTGTAGTTTGTGGATTAGAAAATTGTACAGTACTATAGTTAGTGTACAGAAGTCAGAGGTCTTCCTACCCCAGCAAACCCAATACGTAAAGCTGTCTAGGGCGCGGCTCTTTTGTCCTCGCTGACGGTTCGGTTTAGTAGTCTGTGGATAAGGGGTTTAATTGGACTAGTCCAGCCATTAGCCACGTTCTTTCTACGTAGTTTGTCTGCACGGTATCCAGCCCTTTTTATTTTTGATTCTTGGTTCGTTTTTTTCTTCTTCTTTTTTTTTTTTTCTCTGGTTGGTATTTGATTCTCGTAGATTTTACCCGAGCCCAGCATGAGAGGTGATTAGTATTTGACTGTGGCGGTGAGGTCACTGTGGTGGGGCCGGTGGAAAATGCCGAGTCTATAGTACTGGTTTATAGATAGATACCTACTGTTTAGATACCTCCCTGAGCTAGAGGAATGTATGGAGTGCTGAGATTGGAACAACAACAGGGGGGTGTTTGAGCTCGTTCGCAGTGACCTTAAAGCTAATACAGCGTATACAGCTTATACATACGTACGGGGCGGAGGCCCGACCGGCCGGTTTTCGTTGCGGCGCCTAGCTGAACCCTTAATTGGTACATAGTATATAGCTACAGTATGCACCACCAAACCCGTGGGATGAATTCTCGCCTAATTTAACTGTCTGACGTGTATGATGAGCTATAGAAGTAAGGCTGACAGACTTGCTGGGGTACAGAGGATCGAGGGGAGTTAAAAATTTGCAGATGATGGGCATTCTCGGCTAGTTTTACCCGGGATTGTTGTTCGGGTACCTAGGGTTTCGGGGTGGCCGACAGTCACAGTAGTGGTTCATCTAGTATAAGTTATTTACTCGATATACTAATGCATTTACTATGCAGCTTGATTGACGTGTTATGCCCTGCTTGGACCGGTCGGGATTCGCCTATCTTGGGCAGAGAAAAGGGGGCATGTGGTCGCCAAACAAGTACTTATACTTCGTAGTGTACTCCGTACTCCGTATGTATGTACTCCCCGCCAATGAGCCTAAACGAAGAACCTAGATTCATGACCCCTTTTGGCTAACACAACGCTGGAATTGTTGAATCAATGCAATGGATTGAAGCAACTTCCAGCAAATAGTGACTACTCTGCCCTCAGACCTCCTCGTATTTGGCGCGGAATCAAACGCACAGGCAACGCCTTCTTATGCCAGAGCAATGAGGTTCGCTGCTCGGCCCACCCTTTCCCTTCCGGCATCAACTCCACATCAAAATTCCAGAACAACTTACTCACAATCAATTGCATCTCCGCATAGGCAAGGCTGGAAGAAGCGAGTCTCCTCATTAGTTTTGGTTTCTTTCTTTTTCTTTTTTTTTTTATCCCTCCCCACTACCGATATTCTATAGAGATCCGGAGCAGGAACGGCACTTACTTCTTCCCCAAACAATTCCTGGGCCCGTAGGAGAACGGATGAAACGCCGCTCGATCGTCCTGCGCAAATCGCGCCTCGTCCTTCTCCCCCTCGACCCACCGCTCTGGCCAGAAGGTGTCTGGATCGCTGAAATTGCGCGCCGACCGGTAGCACGACCAGTGATGCAGACCGACCGTGGTGCCCGCGGGCACGAAGCGTCCGCAGATGGTCTGTCCGGGCGCCGGAGTGACCCGGGGCAACAGGCCCGCGACAGGAGGGTACATGCGCAGAGATTCCTCTAGCACGGCGTGCAGGTACGGCAGATGGGCGGTGCGAGTGACCGTGATGTCTCGCTCGTGGGCAAAGGATGATCGGATCTCGTCCGTCACCCGCGACAGTGCGCGCGGGGTGATGAGGAGGTAATACAGCATCCCGGAGAGAAGAGTGGCGGTGGTTTCGCTCCCTGCGATAATGAAGGTCTGGCTCTGCGTGACCATCTCTTCAAAGCATAGGCCCTCCGGGCCAATCGCCGAGCGAGAGCCTTTGAGCATGTAGTGGACTGGGTAGGATGTGGGCCGTTAGTACAGTATATATAGCCTCTGCATAACATCAGGAGAGCAAGCTCAGGCTCAGCGGGGCTTCACACACCAAAGTCTTGTCGCTCTGGCACTTTCTCCACTCGACGAGTGAGTTTGTCCTTTGCCAATTGGTAGACGTAGACGCGATCTTGCTGCAGGTGCTTGGGGGCCAAGAGCGACGCGGCCACGCGGCTCCACGCAGGTGGAAACAACTTGTTCGCGGCGCGGATGTAGATGGTCACCTCCAGCAGGCCAGTGATGGCGGCAAGATAACGAGACCAAACGCCCTGGTTCAGGAGACCAAACGAGTCCCCAAAGGCTAAGTCGCCGATGAGGTCGAACGTCGTGAAGTTGAACCATTGTACCATGTCGACCACGCTGCTCCCCGTCGGAACGGAGCGTTGATGGAGCTGACGAACGAGGAGGTCAACATAATGATGAAGAGTCGTCTCTTGGTCGCGAAGGGCCTTTTCGGAAAATGCATGCGACAGGAGACGCCGAAGACGTCGATGCTTGTCACCGTTGGCTCCAACCTGCATTGCGCACAAATTTTGACCCGGGCTGTCAGCAGCCTGGGCTAACACGAACCGATCCAGAAAGGACGTACAATACTCCAGTGACCGTTGGGCGGCGGGATAAAAGACTCTTGGTCCTTCTCGAAGACAGCTTTGACATCGCGGGTGCGGTGGTCTGGCACAGTGTGAGAGAGATGAGCATGGCGCAATGGGCGACTGTACCCGAACATACTGCAGATATCATTCCAGGCCTGACTGGAGTTGTATGACAAGCTGTCGGGCGCAATACGGACGACCTCGCCGTACTGATCGTGCCAGTCCTTCATGCGAAGATGGAGCTTCCCCTCAATTTCGAGGAACACGAGGTAGAGCCTTGTTGCTCGAGCAAGGATTGGCCCGGGGTACGAACGGAGAGGATGGAAGTAGAGGTTGTAAGTCACTCTGGCAGCGATGAGCAGACCAACAGTACACCAGATTGCCTGCACGGCACGGGTCAGCCAAGGAAGACCACTCGACCATCCACCGACGGAGGCGAGCTCATGAAGAGGATCCAAAATATGGACTACCCCGAATTTCTGAAAGGAGTCCATAATGGGTTGTGGCCGTCACCAGGAATTGCCTCAGGGGCGGCAGAAGGAAGCTGCAAATAGAGGAGAGACCCTGCCGCCATACTTATATCTCTCTCCGACAGTCCATGGCCCATCTGTCCCACATTTTCGAATCTGCGGTGAACACACCGGAGATGACATGAGTGGCTCTGTGAAGGGGCTGCTCCATGCAGTATGGTGGGTGCGTTGTCAAGAACCGGGTCTCTTTCTGTCAACAGAATGCAGCTTGTGCTGGATTTTGTGAGCAGAAATGGAGTATAATGGATGTTTATGTTGGGGGATCTGCATACCCCGGCACAAACGCAAGCAAGGGATATGTCGAATGCTAGCGCTGTGGAGTGGAAGATGAACTAGCCGTGACCCGAAGAGTATACTATCATCCATCTGGTGTCTACAGGGATAATCATACTTCTTGTGCAATTCATGCAAGTCGAAAGAGGATGCTCCTTTTCCAGCACTACAGGGTCGAGTGGCGACCAAATCTACGTAAAATGAATGATAATCGCCCGATTAATTCAAAAGTCATCATTCAGCTACCCGCGCTTGTTGGATGCTCATCTCAAAAAGTCTACTAATGGTATAAAGACAAACCCATGAACAACTCCAATAGTCCGAAGCTCCCACCCATTACTCCACGACCTCAAACTTGACCTCCTTGTTCGGTGCAAACACCTCCTTCCAGTCATCATACAGCTTCCCCAGTGCTTGCACATACTGCGCGTGAACCTCGTCGATATACGCCTCTTCCGGCTCCCACCGTTGCTGCTTCACTGGGATCGGCTCGCCGACCACGACATTCAAAGGCCTCCGGTGCGGACAGAAGATGCCGAACCGGCCGGTCGAGAATGCCACGCGATGCCCTACCGTGAATTCCCACGCTCGCGCCACTAGACCCAGCGCAGATGCACTATTCATATTCACCCGATCAAAGAGCTCGTTCTCGCCGAACGCAATGACGGGCACCAGATCCGCCCCTGTCTGCACCGCGACCCGCACAAATCCCTTGCGGATTTTCACAACTACACCCATGGTCCCCGGCGCTGCGATGTTATACTCCCGACTTCCGCCCACGGTGATAGTGATGGCGCGGCCCATCCCACGGTCGTCGTGGCCGCCACGCGTTAGGTGACGGATACATGATGAGCGCGACACCCCACTGGTACCGAGAGACAGGAGGTATTCGCGCAGCAGAGGGGTGCGGTAGAAGCTATCTTTCATGAGGAGGGTGTTGGTGATCCCCGGGAAAAGCTGGGAGAATTCCGCTGCCTCGGCGGCAAAGGCCCCCATGGCGCCACGCAGCGCGATCCCGTGAGGATGGTAGCCAAAGATATAGCATCTTTGTGGCTTCAGAGGCACGGTGCGGTACAGTGTAAGCGGGAAGTAGTTGGCGTAGGTTGTTTTCCAGATGGAGGAGTGACGGAATCGGTCGTTGCGCAGTGTTAGGGTACCGGTGTTGTGGGCTTTAGAGATGAACTTGATGTAGATGATATAGACCAGGGCAAAAAGACGAATCCGAGGCACCAGAAGCAGAGAGTAGCCTAGTAGTGGGAAGAAAAGCCACGTGTTGCTCAGCAGAGTCATGAGGAGGGTCTCGTAGATGTTGGTAAGAAGAGGTCTGCAAGGATGGTTAGATGTCAGTCCCGTGAACTGTACGAGTGCGAAAGCATTTCCCAACTTACTTTGAAGCTCCCTTGCCGGTCGTTCTAGGCCGCTGCGCAGTCTGAAGTACCATGCCCTGGCGATTCTTGACTTCGTACAAAGGACGGTTGGTGTCCATCTCCGGCAAGCGCATGGCGAGCTTGCCATGGTCACGAGACTGCGCAATCTCCACGATCTTCTCTGCCGCTGCAACTCGCCCCTCTTTCCGATGGCAGAGCTTCGAAATCTCGGCCGCCTTTTCTCTGTACGATTTGTTGTTCATGACCTTCAAGAGGGCCCGACTCAATTCCTTCGCGCTGATGTCTGGTGCACGACTCTTGTTACCATAGACTCCGATCCCAAGCCACTCGGCTCGAGCTGCGTTCTCGTAGCAGTCTTGCCAGGCAGGTAGCACCACATGAGGGACTCCATTTCTATTAATGAGATCAGTTGCAGTCCGCAGAATCCGGGAGTGGGACAACTTACTGAATTGCCTCGTACCACGAGTTGGCGCCTCCGTGATGGACCGAGCAGACCACCCGACCAGTTTCCAGCATCGCCATCGGCTCCACCTCAAACCAAGCGCGGACGCGGACGGAATCCTCCTCCATTTCCTCTTTCAATGACTCGAGCGACCGACCGTAAATATCGTCGACATCGTGGGGATGCTTGGGCAATTTCCACAGGATCTGGACTTTTTCGCCCTTCCAGCCATTGAGAAACATTTTCAGACCCGTCGCAATCTCCTCGGCAACCTTGGGATCAGGCGCATACAAGGTGCCTAGGTTGACCAGAATGGTCGGAGCTTTCGCGAGCCAGCGCGCCATCTCCGGGTCCTGCTTTTGCACCGATGCAGTTGGCAGCAGAATAGGTCCACACGGGAGGATATTGTCAGGCATCACGCTGAATGGCCAATCGAGCTCCAACAAGCCCGGTGAAATGTGAAATCGATCCGGCCGCCAGGCATCTGCGAAAGGGAATCTGCCATGGATCTTGTGCTTGATTCGCCATTCTCTGATCTCACGGCGTCGGCCACTGCCGTGGTACATTTTGGCCGTTTTCAGCACGGCAAGGGCATTCAGGGGAACCGTATGCCACGGGATGGGATAGGCGAACCCAGTGCCGGGTCTGGCAATTGTGTCAGTGCAGAACGAAGGCTAAGATGGAATGATAGTACGCACAAAGGATACTTCCATAGGGCTGCGGAATTGGGTTGCATGCCCAGGACGATGTGGCTGATTGATGTTGTGTTGATTAGAATGGCCGTGTGGCCAGTGTTGTACGCAGCATCTCGACCCTGAAGGAAGAAGAAGTCGACTGCCATTGCAGCTGGCTTCACCTCGTTGATGATTTCGACGCAGCTCTCGTAAATGTCGACATACTCCTCCTCGGTCCAGCCCCAAATGTCTTCACACAGAGACTGGAACCCTAGAACCGCCCCATGGTACCCGGGAGGATGAAACGCACCCCTCTTGCCCGTCCGAATGAAGACCTCAGTATTCGAGGGGCCTCTCACCGGGTGGAAATGGACGCGAGACCGGTAGTCCTTGTCGTATGCAGCGGCGTTGTCGGTTATGAGTTTTTCAACCCGACGCTCAAGGACAGGGAATGAACCAATATGAACGTCAACATTGCCTTGAACAAGAAGCTCATGAGTAATGGCGAGTATGATGTTGGTTTGACCATGTTCACTGTTTGCCAGGAAGAGGACTCGGGTGCGCTCGTCTGCCATAGTCGGCAAGAAAGATCTGTCTGCGGGGAAGTGACAGATGTAAGTGACAAGAAAGACCTTCCAACTTGTCACACGAAGGACTTATATAACCGAAACTTCACCAGGAAAGACAGTGAGAAAGAGTGGGGGACACCTAATTGGTGGAATGGACTCAAAACGATCTATCACAAAAATTGGAAAATGGTGAAACGTCCGAGTTCAGCTACGGACAATGACCGTTGCTCGAATAACGGTTTGACGCTCAGGTATTAAGGCCCCTTATATGGATCTGAAACCACGACCAGTCAGGGCATATGGTGTTTTTCTGGTAAATGAAGGCGGATGCGATTGCCGCAGGGGCAAAGTCATACTATACAATAGACTTTGGGGCCCGCTGATCCCCAAAAATGCGGCAGATCCACTCTTGACCCTGACCCGGGGTTCGATCTATCATCCAGGAACTCAGAACCTGCATCCAATCATGATCCTGAAGATCACGTATACATTATGGTCTGATCTGATTGAGTGGACCAGAATCAGCCCGGGGAACCTGTGCAACAGAAACATGGGCTGAGACCAGTAGATGCATCTAGCCGGATGGGATCAGGAGAATAACTTTTGCTTCAACAGCGGCACTGCTTGTTCCAGCGTGATTCACCTCGGGCTCCTGACGGGGACCATGGCCCATGCATGATAAATAGTTCTGGTCATAGCACGTCTGAGGCATCTTCTGTGGTGATCAACTACTCTCGTTCTTGCAATTACACTCGTTTCTTGTCATCACTCTCGTTAAGATGATCTTTCTGGCCATGGCAGTGCCCTCGGGGCAGTTCGAAATCAATCCTTCGGGAATCATCTCCCTTCCAATTCTCGCCATCGTGTTGGTATGCTGAAACTTATGATACAAGCTTCTCGACCGGTATGACTGACACACCACCAGATCCCTTGGCTTTTCATTCTCTTCATTCAATTGCTTCCCAAAGGGCCAATCACCAAGGGAGTCCCAGGCTCATTCCTTGATTTGTTCCTCTGCGGTGTATGTTTCCCTTTCTCCTCTGCACTCGTAACCAAACGGACAATTGTCTAACCACCCGGCACCTGCAGTCTGGCACCAAGATAGCTTTTCTGTCCGGTCGCAGTGCCCACTATTTTCATTCGTTGCACGAATCCTATGGTAACCTTCCCCCATGAAAACATGTGCAGCCTTTGGTCAAATCGACTGACCTGCCTCAGGCAAGATTGTGCGTTTTGCACCGGGCCAGGCGACTACCAACACCATTAGGGGCCTGCGCAACATCTATGGTGCTGGCTCGGGAAAAGGCACCGCCTTCTTGAAGACCGGTTTCTACAAGGGTATCTCGAGACGGAATATCTTCACTGCGAGTGACCCTGTATATCATGCCTCAGCGCGAAAACTGTTCGCTCCTTCTCTTAGCCCCGGCAGCATGCAGGCTCATGCAGGCGTTATCAAAGAGCGAATCCTGCATTTGCACACGACGATGAAGGAAAAATTGAAGACAACAGACACGCTGTCTCTGAACCAGCTGCTCTACTGTCACTCCGTTGATACTGTGTCCGAGGTGCTGCTCGGGAAACCATTAGGCTGCCTGCAGCGCGGAAAGCCCTATTTCTGGACTGAGCAGCTGCCTCGAATCTTCTACTGGAGTACCATCCGTGATCAATTCAAGGGCTCAGGAGTGCCGACGATGATCAAATGGATGCTTCGTCATTTGATTCGCAAGGGTGTCCGCCAGTCCGCGGAACAGGCGAGAATGAGACTTATCAACGAGTGAGTTCTGACCAATCCTATAAGTGAAGTTATCGCTAAGATGCAAACAGGCAACTCGGCGCACACCACACCCGTCGGGACATTATGGTCGAGGTGATGGAGCGAGCAGGCACAAGCGATCTGCCGGTGCCAGAAATTGCCGAGAATTTCTCCGCGATCATGCTGGCTGGTTTCCATACCACCCAGAATGCTCTTTGTGCGACCATCTACTTCGTTCTGACCCATCCTGAGGTGCATACCAAATTGAACCAGGAGTTGCGCTCGGCCTTCACGTCTGCGGAGGATGTTTCAGGGCACGTCGCACAAGAGCTGCCGTATTTGAACGCTGTCATCAAGGAGTCCCTCCGTTTGTATCCTCCTGTCCCAGTGGGAGGCCCGCGTGTTTCACCCGGAGCCTATGTGGATGGAACGTATATCCCGGCCGGAGTAAGTCCCAATGGCATGTTCCCCAGCCCCGCCTGCTCCAGCTAATCATGTGGCACCGTTTCAGACTGAGATCTGCACTTCGATCTTCGCACTGCACCATAACCCCGAGTACTTCAATGAGCCCTACGAGTTTATTCCCGAGCGGTGGACGGAGCCAGGCTGCACGGACAAGAAAGAGGCTGTCCAGCCTTTCCTGGTGGGCAGCCGGTCCTGCGTTGCCAAGTACTTTGCGAAGCAGATGATGCAGCTAACTCTCGCTGCATTCTTCCTGGATTTTGATGCAGAGTATGTGGGTCGCGTCAAGGACTGGCAGCGCGAGAGTCGCTGCTATGCTTTCTGGGAGCTTCCCGATCTGAAGTTGAAGTTTCAGAAGCGTGAGATTGCTTAATCAATGGGACCGGTCGATCCAAAGATCTAGATCTAGAGAGGGGCTGGTTCTTTCTCGGGGGGGTTTTCTTCTTTGGGTTTTCTTTCCACCACACACACATTCATTTCATTTTCTCATCATGTTGAAAGTCGGCCTAGTGCTTCGGAATTTTTTGGCAGTGGATCTCAATGATGTTTATACCCCGCATAAGGTTTTGGCATGAAACGAGATAGTCAGCAGTAAACAAATGCTCACAAGAAGACAAACGAATTGATTTTTGGCCATCGGAGATTGTTTTGGATTGATTAAGTCGATTAACGTTGAGTGGAGTATGGAGAGGGGGGGCCATCGAGGGGCCCGATGGCCCCAATTTTGAGGCCGTCGTCAATACGAACCCCGGTTTCAGCTTTCAACCATGAAAATTGCAGAGTTTGAAACCAAACCTCAGCCCGGACCTACTTGAGATCCCCCCCTTTAGGGCCCCGGCAATCCCTCCATCAGGCTGTAATATCCGAACGGGTCGATCTGGTTCGGACACGGTTGCGTTTCAGCCGCACAGACTTGACCTCTCTGCTAGCCCTAAAATTGAGCGGAGTTTTTGGTCCCTGATCGTCTCTTTTCTCTCATCCACGTGAAACACTGGTACACAGCGACTGGCACCCGATGCCCATCTTTTGGTTCCATCTTCAATTCGACTTGTCGACAGAATAATTGGGACATTGGCCCAGCCGGTCTCGTAACGTATGACACGATGGGCACGATCAATCGACTTTCCCGTGGTACGGAGAGTTCCAGGGAGATGAGTGGATTGGATTATAGGGGCCCTATCACGTCCCCAGTGTCTATTCTGCTCCTATCACGCCTTCGCTGGCCATTCCCCTTCATTCAAATCCATTCTTTCTACTGTTCTGTCTTGGCTGGGCTGGGTTCAGTCACTGTACCGACCTAAATCGCCTCGCTCCTCCGCTTCGACCGTGAGATGCGATTCCTGGGCGGCTTGGTAAAAAAGAAACGAACCAAGAACAGACCATCTGCATGATGAAGTGGAAAGAAGAAGACATCTGCTTGGAGCCAATACCTCCGGTTGGGATAGCTTTTCACATTCCCCCCCCCCTCCCGTATCATATACTGACCACGGTCGCAAACAGACTCCTGCCACAGACAGCACTGTCATCTCCTTATCGGAAGTCGAGAAGAACATCCTCGAGCAACAGATCCGTGTCCCCGTCTCTAAGCCGGGGTTCTTTGGCATCTATCGCTATGCCAGCCGATGGGATATTGTCTTCCTGCTGGGAAGCTCGCTCGCTTCCATCATCGGGGGCGCTGCTCTACCGCTATTCACGGTCAGTCATCGAATGCTGGATCAATCAGTCACTGATATCGGACTAACTAACCTGAGTTGTATAGGTTCTCTTTGGCAGCCTCACATCGACCTTCCAGGACATCGGCGCCGGGCGCATCACGTACGATCACTTCCACCAGGAGCTCAACAAATACGTGGTCTACTTCATCTACCTGGCCGCCGCCGAGTTCGTAACCATCTACATCGCTACTGTTGGCTTCATCTACACAGGCGACCATGTAGTCCAGCGCATCCGCGTGGAATACCTGCGTGCGATTCTCCGCCAGAACATTGCATTCTTTGACAGTCTTGGAGCTGGCGAGATCACAACTCGGATCACCGCCGACACGAACTTGATCCAGGACGGGATCTCCGAGAAGGTCGGCCTAGCGTTGACGGGGCTCTCGACCTTCGTCACTGCGTTTGTTATCGCATATATCAAATATTGGAAGCTCGCGTTGATATGCAGCGCCACGCTGATCGCGTTACTTCTCATCATGGGCGGCGGGTCCGTCTTCATGATGATCTACAGCAAGCGCGCGCTGGAATGTCAAGGCCGGTCCGGTAGCTTCGCGGAGGACATCCTGGATTCGGTCCGGACAGTGGTCGCCTTTGATGCTCAGAACGTGCTGGCTGCCAAGTACGAGGAGCAGCTGAAAGAGTCCGAGGCCCCGGCCCGGAAATCGCAGATCACCTTCGCTATCATGGTCGGCGCCATGCTGGGCGTCATGTACCTAAACTATGGGATGGGTTTCTGGATGGGATCGCGCTTCCTCGTCGACGCCCGGGAGCACGTCAAGGTCGGCGATGTTCTGACCATTCTCATGTCCATCATGCTGGGCTCCTACAACCTGGGAAATGTTGCCCCCAATGCCCAGGCGCTGTCCAATGCCGTGGCGGCCGCCTCCAAGCTCTACAGTACAATCGACCGGGCATCGCCGCTGGATGCCTCCTCCGAGAGCGGCAAGGTCCTCGCCCACGTCAAGGGGAATATTGTCCTGCAGAATGTGCGGCATGTATATCCTTCGCGACCGGAGGTCATTGTTACAAATGACCTAAGCGTCTATATCCCTGCAGGAAAGACCACCGCATTTGTCGGGCCCTCGGGGTCCGGCAAGAGCACGGTTATCGGGCTGCTGGAGCGGTTTTACAACCCCGTCGCCGGCCACATCTCGATCGACGGTCACGATCTCTATACCTTGAATCTGCGGTGGGTGCGACAGCAGATCTCCTTGGTCTCGCAGGAGCCAAGACTTTTCGCCACAACGATTTACGAGAATATTCGCTTCGGGCTGATTGGATCTGAGTACGAAAACGAGCCTGAAGCCAGTATTACCCGGCGCATTCATGACGCGGCAAGAATGGCCAACGCACATGACTTCATCATGGCGTTACCGAAGAAGTATGACACGAATATCGGTGGTTTCTCGCTGTCAGGAGGCCAGAAGCAGCGGATTGCGATTGCGCGGGCCGTGGTGAGCGACCCGAAGATCTTGTTGCTAGATGAAGCAACCTCGGCGCTGGACGCCAAGTCTGAAGAGATTGTCCAGGCGGCGTTGGACAACGCCTCCAAGGGACGGACGACGATTGCCATTGCGCATCGTCTAGCGACCATCAAGGAGGCTCACAATATTGTTGTCCTGGTCCATGGACACATTGTGGAGCAAGGGTCGCATTTCGAGCTTATGGGCCGAGAAGGTGTCTACTATGACATGGTCCAGGCGCAGCAGATCAAGCAAAGGGAAGCTGCTAAGCGACATGAGTCGATGACCTTTTTTTTCGACGAGGACTACATTGGAGGCGGATGTGCAATGGACGATGAAGACGATTTCAGCGACGATGCCTCGGACATTGTGCTGAAGACGGGTACGAAAAGACATAGACGTAGGACCAGGATGTCTATGTTCATTCCACCATTACCCTTCAAGCACAAGGAAGATCTGTCGCTCTGGGCGTTATTCAAGTTCCTCGCCTCATTCAACCGGCCGGAGTGGCCGATCATGATTCTGGGTCTTTGTGCATCGACCCTGGCGGGTGGTATTCAGCCATCCCAAGCGGTATTGTTTGCCAAAGCCGTTAACACTCTAAGCTTACCACCACTCGAGTACCATAAATTGCGCCATGATGCCAACTTCTGGTGCTTAATGTTCCTCATGATGGGGCTGGTGACGTTGGTCATCTATGCCACTCAAGGCACACTGTTTGCCTATAGCTCCGAGAAACTCATCTTTCGAGCCCGAAGCCAGGCATTCCGAGTCATGCTCAATAAAGAGATCTCCTTCTTTGACAAAGAGGAGAATACGACAGGCGCTTTGACATCCACGCTGGGTGCCGAAACCAAGCAGCTGGCTGGAATAAGCGGTGTCACTCTTGGGACCTTTCTCATTGTTACTGTCAACCTCTCAGCTTCCCTGGTCGTGGCTCTGGTCATGGGCTGGAAGCTAGCTTTGGTGTGTATTTCAGCCGTACCAGTCCTATTGATGTGCGGCTTCCTTCGCGTGTGGATGTTGGACCGTTTCCAGCGCCGCGCGAAAGCGGCATATCAACAGTCTGCAAGTTCAGCCTGCGAGGCTGCCTCTGCCATCCGGACCGTTGCTTCTCTGACGATGGAGAAGCAGGTTGTCACTTCCTACGAGAAGCAAGTTCGGGCTCAGCTGAAGGAAGACATCCTACCGATTTTTAAGTCCTCCGCTCTCTATGCCAGTTCCCAGGCGTTACCGTTCTTGTGTATGGCTCTAGGCTTCTGGTATGGCGGAACTCTTCTCGGGCATGGAGAGTACACACTCTTCCAATTTTATGTTTGCTTCAGTGAAGTCATCTTCGGCGCCCAGGCGGCGGGGACCATATTCTCCAACGCACCGGATATGGGCAAGGCAAAACATGCGGCTGCGGAGTTCAAGAAGTTGTTCAGCAACCGATCGACTTATAAGCACGCTGGATGTAAAGCAATTCATGTGTCCTCGATGCAGGGCTCGGTGGAGTTCCGGGACGTGTCATTCCGGTACCCTACCCGACTAGAGCAGCCCGTGCTACGACATGTCAGCCTCACGATCAAACCAGGACAGAACATTGCACTGGTTGGGTCAAGTGGCAGCGGGAAAAGCACGATAATCTCCTTGCTAGAACGGTTTTACGAACCGGTGTTGGGTGAAGTGTACGTCGACGGACGGGACATTGCAACGCTCGAAAAGAAGTCCTATCGTAGCCACCTTGCTCTCGTCAGTCAGGAGCCTGCTCTATTCCAAGGCACGATCCGCGAAAACATTCTGCTGGGATGCACGCACAACGAAGCGGTTGCGGAGGACACATTAGTACAAGCTTGCAGAGACGCGAACATCTATGACTTCATCATGTCACTACCGTAAGTGATTCCTTGGTGAAACTCTTCGCATCAACATCAATCCGTCCAACCACGTTGAGAGACCAATGCACTAATACCTCGCAGACAAGGCTTCAATACACTCGTGGGCAGTAAAGGCGGCATGCTCTCGGGTGGACAGAAGCAGCGAATCGCCATTGCTCGGGCGCTGATTCGGAACCCTCGCATCCTTCTGCTCGACGAAGCCACGTCGGCGTTAGACTCAGAGTCGGAAAAAGTGGTTCAGGCTGCTTTGGATGCAGCGGCAAAGGGTCGCACAACGATTGCAGTTGCCCATCGCCTGAGTACTATTCAGCGAGCGGACATGATCTATTTCCTTGAGCAAGGAGAGATCGTCGAGTGGGGCACGCACAAGGAGCTGCTGCGTCGGCGCGGAAAATACTATGAAATGGTCAACTTGCAGAACTTGGGCTAAAGGTGTGAGTTGTAAGATAATAGATAGGCTTTCGAGCAATTGTTTCGTTCATGTACATAGACTTAAATCATCATTCTTTTCGGGATTCTGAAGACTGAAGGACAATTGGAAAAGCCGATAAGTGATAAGGACAACTCCCGAGCTCGGAAGAAAGCGACCCTTCCGTGCGATCGAAACGGGAATAGTGCGGGGTATAGCTTACCTCATCATCTGGAGATGGATTCAATCTTTTTCTCCTGGGGGAAATGAAGGACGATTCCCCGCCAGCAGCTGCCTGCATATCTTCAATACATTCTCAGCTTCTTCGCTATGGCTCTCCCTGCTTACAAGACCTCTTTCCTGGAGTCCTCCATCTCCGCCAAGGTTCTGACCTTCGGCACTTTCACTCTCAAGTCGGGCCGTCGTACGTATTCCCCTCCCCGAGATATGATTCCGTACTAATTGGAAGATCACATCTAGAATCCCCTTACTTCTTCAACGCCGGTACCTTCCACACGGCTTCTCTCCTCTCCGCCCTTTCAACCGCCTATGCTCACACCATCATCTCTTTCCTCGCCGAGAACCCTTCCATCCCCAAGCCCGATGTGATCTTCGGGTGAGTGCGCCTCTTCCTTCAAATAATGATATTACCCCGCAGCATCCTCTCCTATACCTCTTTCTCGTCCATCTGGAGTCCTCAAACCAGTGCGTTAACCGCAAATAGCCCCGCATACAAAGGCATCCCCCTCGCCTGCGCCACCCTGCTCGAGCTTCACCGTCTCCAACCTGAAGTCTGGTCCGAGGTGTCCTACAGCTACAACCGCAAGGAGAAGAAGGACCACGGCGAGGGCGGCAGCATCGTGGGTGCAGGCTTGAAGGACAAGAACGTGCTGGTGATTGACGACGTGATTACCGCCGGTACGGCGATGCGTGAGACCTTGGATCTGGTTGCTAAGGAGGGCGGCAAGGTCGTTGGCTTTGCCGTCGCGCTCGACCGCCTGGAGAAGATGCCCGGCCCCAAGGACGCCAACGGTGTCGAGGATGATGCGCCACGCATGAGCGCCATGGGTCAGATCCGCAAGGAGTATGGCGTGCCCACGACGAGTATCGTCACGCTGGATGACTTGATCCGATTGATGCAGGAGAAGGGCGCTGGCGAGGACATGCGCCGCTTGGAGGAGTATCGGGCCAAGTACCGAGCTAGTGACTAGAGGGTTGAAAGAGAAATATAATTGGATGAAAGGGCGGCATTGCACCAAGTCAGGGGTTAGGGCTGGGAGTGAGTAGTTTGTTTCTGGATATGCTATTAGCTTAGGGATAGCATCAAGCTCCACTGGTTTTCTCCATGAAATGACGGGTTTGGCTCAATCCTTCGATTCACTTCTACCGCAAGAACGCCGCGGTGATATTGGCGCATATTTCATGATGATGTGTTGGGTTCAACTTCTCGGGGTTTTCTCGTTCTCTGTCAGTGAAGCTCGGTAGCGCTTTATTTCAACTTCGGAGATGCTCCGGGATTGCATCGGCACCGAGGCATCGCCGAGCTTGCGCCCTTAACTTCTCATCGTCCTGTCCAGACTCTCATCGACATCTCACCTTTTGAAGTATGTTTCATAACATATCGCGCAGCTGTGGGCTCTGGTCTTTCGTCATAGCTTGGGAGTTTTGATAGGCTAGTTGCAGCTTGCATGAGCAGAAATTTTCTTTCATCCCGGATCCTGCAGCTTACACGAACTGGATGACAACACATCTCCGCTCCGAAGATATACTCACCCGGAATTTACCAACTGGACTTACATATGATCGCGATCAAGTATAGCCCTTTTCACTGCTGTTGTCTGTTCGATGATGAGGGAACGCGTCGAAAGTCAGGAGAAGAAACTTATCGCGGTCGGCGCGCTGGGCTCATTAGACCTGAGTAGCTTTGGTCCCTGGTTCAGTGTTCAATCTGATGCAAGATGCACCCAATGCCGCGAGACAGGGATGGATGGCCTTGTTTTGAATCGGCTTTGAGTCAGCCAGATGGCGTGCGTTGGCTTCAGGAACCAGGCAATATATCTGACGGTTCAAGCTCGGTGCGTCTCGGTGATGGATCGGCGATGCGTCGGCCTTGCTGCGTGCCCGAACTATAGGATTTGGAACTCGCCAGCCATCACAAGATATAAATCCAAGCATTCCCTAGATATCAGGCTGTTGCTTCTTCCCTGGTCACACTGGAAAGAGTATAAAAAGGACACAATTCATCATATCAAAAGTCAACCAGTTATCATCATGGCACCACAAACTTCTGAGCCCCAGCGGGCTCTGAGCGATGCATTAGAGCAGCCACACCTCTTACGCACCGAGACTCGAGAGTCACTGCGAAACCGTGGAATTTCCCCAAGCCCTCCACCTCTCGACTACAACTATCCAGATGTCGGTCGCCCTGCGGACCCTGTCTTCCCGGAGGAATACACTATCGAGACCAGTACCGGCCTCGTTCCCCAACGCACGCTCGAACAAATTCGCTCGCGACAAGACCGACAACCCTCGTCAAGCTCCTCCTCAGACATTGAAAAGGCCGATGAGAAGTCTAACGAGTTTGTTACCTTCACAATCAACGATCCCGAGAACCCTTACAACTGGTCTCGTATCTATCGATGGTACGTCACCATGATCGCCTCGCTGCTTGTTGTCTGCGTTGCCTATGGCTCCGCTATCGTGACCGGCGGTCTTGGCCTCATTGAAGACAAGTATCATGTATCACTTGAAGTGGCCACCCTCACCTGCAGTATTATGGTCTGCGGGTTCGCTGTCGGCCCCCTTCTCTGGTCGCCCCTCTCGGAGATTATCGGTCGTCGGCCGGTCTACATCATCTCGCTTGTGCTGTACACTATCTTCCAGATCCCTTGCGCCCTCTCTCCCAATATCGGTGGACTTCTGGCTTGCCGCTTTCTTAGTGGCGTCTTTTCTAGCTCAGGCTTATCCCTCGCGGGCGGCACCATAGCCGACATCTGGTCCATTGAAGAACGTGGCATGGCGATCGCCTTCTTCGCGGCCGCTCCATACTGCGGCCCTGTGATCGGACCCATCGTTTGCGGCTGGATCACGGTAGGCTCAGGCCGCCTGGATCTCTTCTTCTGGACCAATCTCGCCTTCGCGGGCGCAGTCGCCATCCTCGTGGGTCTCATTCCAGAGACCTACGCGCCTGTCATCCTCAAACGGCGGGCGGCGCGCCTTCGTGCCGAGACCGGCAACCCACGCATCATCACCGAGCAGGAGCAACGCAAGCTCACTTTCCAGGAGATCGTTCGCACCTCGTTGATCCGACCGATCACCATGATTCTCACCGAACCCGTCCTGGACCTGATGTGCATGTACATCGTGCTTATCTATGCGATGCTGTACGCGTTCTTCTTTGCCTACCCGGTGATCTTTGGCAAGCTCTACGGCTACAACGACGGCCAGATCGGCCTGATGTTCATCCCTATTCTGATTGGGGCCGGCTTCTCGCTGATCTTCACGCCGCGTCTCGAGAAGCAATTCCACCGCATCTGCAGCCGCCGCCCGCCCACGCCCGAGGACCGACTCATCGGAGCCCTGATCGGCGCGCCCTTTATCCCTGTCGCTCTCTTCATCCTTGGAGCCACCTCTTACAAGGACATCATCTGGGTGGGCCCTGCCTCCTCCGGGATTGCCTTCGGGTTTGGCATGGTGCTGTGCTACTATGCGGTGAACAACTATATTATCGACAGTTACCAGAAGTATGCGGCGTCCGCGTTGGCGGCGAAGGTCTTCCTGCGATCCGGGGGCGGTGCGGCGTTCCCGCTGTTCATCACGCAGATGTACGACCGCCTGGGGCTGCAGTGGGCGTCGTGGTTGTTGGCGTTCCTGGGCGTGGGGATGGTGTTTATTCCGTATGTTTTCTATTTGTTTGGGGGGCGCTTGAGGGCCAGGCTCAACAAAAAGTAGAGTTATAGACGGAAAGCCGGGACGTTGTTGGGGGAAGAGGGGAGATATAGGACTGGAGGATAGTGCTTGGTCGGACATAAGAGGATAGATAATACTAATGCCGCAGATTAATGATAGACTATATAGAGCCCTAATGAGATACTATGATTGATTCTGAACGGAGTATTGTTCACTATGATTCTCACTCTAAGAAGTGTTACCATCCTGGGGGCACAACCACGGCAGCGATTCTATTCTGGCGCCCTGTCGAGGTATTAGAGCCGTGCACGAAATCGAACACTAAGTTATGGGGGGGGTGGAGACCAAATGTCTGGAATAGGCATGATTCAGAATGAGTCATGCTGGCTCATTCGGGGGTGGATCCCCTCAGCTCCGTCTGGGCGGGTGTATTTTAGACAGCCAAAACAACACACATCATCCTGTATCACTTCGACTCATTATGATAGTAGTATCCAGTAAGAAGATAATTATAAGATTGTGAAGGAAGTATGATAGTGTGCAGTAATGTGAGATAGACAGTTGACTATAGTATGAGGACGAAGTAAGTTTATATTTACTTTCCTATTCATCGCTGGCAATATGAGGAAACCCACCCTACAGCTGACATGCTTCGCATTGCTGAGGCGCTTGGAGAGAAACAAGATAGGAAGAACCTCTCCAAGGCTCCTGGGCCAACATCATCTAATCCTTCCTTAGTCTATGGGTGGTAGTGATAGATTGTTTGTGGATTTTATGACTATAGCTAATGAGGAGATATGTACCTATAGTAGTAGTAGTAGGGAGATGGGTTGTATACATGACACCCAACTAAAATAAGTCCGACAACCCCCCTGTCCGTTCGCCCCACCGCCTCCCAAAGGGGGACTCCGCCCCTCCAACCGGCCCATCCAACGGATTTCCGACCTCGACTCTATAAAGTTCCCCTCTCTTTTCCCACAGCCCCAACTTTCTCCTCCCCTCCTCACCAACTCATCGCTTCGGCGACAGCTACTCCCTCTCTCCTCTATTTTCCCTCCGGTCCCTCCGGGTCCCCGACCCGGGTCCTAAGTATACAAGAATGGACGTCGCAGCTACCAACGCTACGAACGCCATCAGGCAGCTCTCCCCGGCCATCTACCTGGCAGGGCAAGCCACCGTTTGATTCTAATCATAATCATCATTACCTCCAACAATATCCCGACTACTCTTCCTCCGATCTCGACCCATACCTCGATCTCTCCCTTCCAGTCTCCACTTCAACGGCCTTTCCTCCCGGTGACCTCGACCCGTTATCTTTCCTCCACGAAACCTCCTACTACCAATCTTACCACTCGGATCTCACAACCACAACACCCTCCCCGTTCGACTTCGACTTCAATCTCGAGGGTATCGACATCAGCGCTCTGGGACTTGTTCCAGAAGTCCCAATCCTCGATCCCGATTCCACAACCTTAGACTCCCTGCTCAGTTCTCCGGAGACGTTGAGCCTGAGCGAGTCCTTCCTCTTTGATTCGCCGAGCGTGCAGTCTCTGCCTGGTACGTCTCACTTGTAGAGGGATCGGAATGAGAAGGATATATACTAATTGCCAAACGATAGAATCCCAAATCCCAACCCCACCCGCCATCTTCCCACAGCGACAGCCACCACAACACCAGCCCACGCAAATGCCCGCTGTGACAACGGACCATCATTCCACAACATCAGCAGCAGCAGCAGCAGCAGCAGCGAAGCCTTCGTTCACCGTCTCCCTGGTCACCCCCAAGGACTCCGCGAACAAGGTGAGCAAGCGGCAGCTGAACACGCTGGCGGCGCGGCGGTACCGGCAGCGGAAGCTAGACCGCGTCAACGAGCTGGAGGCGGAATTGGAGGCCGTGAAACGGGAGCGGGATGAACTGCGGATGCGTGTAAGTAAGCTGGAGGGGGAGACCGAGGCGCTGCGAGGGATGGTAGGGCGAAAGTAAAACCACCACGTTTTTTTTTTTTGGTTGATATACCTCAGAAATTCAGCGCATGTTATTCTATTTGTGTTATACTGGAAAAGAAATACGAAGAAAAAGAACGAGGAAGAAACTAAAATCCACTGCCCCTCCCCCCCCGGCTTTTCAGCATCAATATCTCCTTATCCACCCCATCCCCCACGATCAACCGCACGGGCACCCTCCCGAGTCCACCTGCCCATCCTTTCCCCGACGGTAGTGTAGTTAGATAGTTGAATAAGGTATGCGTACATATCTAGCGTGGCATCGTCACTTGGCCAGCCCGTAAAATCCATCCCTATAAATGTCCGGGGAAGACATTGTGAAGGGATATTGAATCATGACAGGATTCACATCTTCGTCATTGAGAAAGACTATTGACTATGAGCAGCTCCAGTAGCAAAGCTGACTTGTCAATTGCAGCTCGGCAGGTCTAACTGTCAGCACGAGATTTGGATGATGGACTGTCTAAGCAAGGCTATGCCTCTAGGATACTAGTTAGTTCCGCTTGGACATGGCGGAGACAAGCTAAGTTCAATGACTAGTGGTTAGTATACAACATTACCAGCTGTCAGCATAAGTTAACTGACTACTAGTTAGTGAACAACTAGTACCATGAATTTATAAGCACTGGCAATTTAATTGTCAGCAGCGATTTGAACCTAACTCCCTACGACTATATAAATTCTTGAGTACAATGTTACTTGATAGAATCCCAAATTCCACCCCCAATCCAATCATCAACCACCTGACAAACCACCAGGATGCCTCGAGCCATAACCCTCATCTCCCCGCAAACTCCCGCCCTCACCACCATCCCTCCCCCGACCCTCCGCCCCGGGACTCTCCTCGTCCAGCCCAAAGCAGTAGCCCTCAACCCCACCGACCTGAAGAAAGCCAGCTCGCCCAACACCCCACTCCACCTGCCCCTGGGCTGCGACTATGCAGGCACCGTCCTCTCCATCCACCCGGAGACCCAAACCGCCTTCCAACCGGGAGACCGCATCTTCGGCTTCGTCTCCGGCTGCAACCCACTACACCCGAGCGACGGCTCCTTCTCGACCGCCACGCCCGCCGTCGCCGCGCTGCAATTCCCCATCCCCGCGCATCTTTCCTTCGCCGAAGCAGCCACCTTCGGGATTGCCCTCACCACCATCGGCCAGTCCCTCTACCAGACCCTGAACCTCGCCGCGCCGGACGCCCCGCTCGCCACGCCCCTCCCGATCCTGATCTACGGCGGGTCCTCCGCGATGGGGACGATGGCCATCCAGTTCGCCAAGCTCTCCGGCTACCGGGTCTTCACGACCTGCTCACCGCGCAACTTCGACCTGGTGCGCGCGTACGGCGCGGACGAAGTGTTCGATTACCGGGACGACGCCGCCGCCGCCGCGGCGCTCATCAACAGCAAGACCCAGGATCGATTGGGGCTGGTGCTGGATACGATTGGCGGGGCGGAGGCGGTCGCCTTCTGTGACCGTGCGCTGTCGAGCCAGGGCGGGGAATTCGCCACCTTATTGACTGACACCGTGATCCCCAGAGCGAATGTCCGCACGCGAATCACGGTGGCGTATACAGCGATGGGGGAGGAGGTGGAGCTGGGGGGATTCAGACTCCCGGCCCGGAAGGAGGATTACGAGTTTGCCGTAGAGTGGACGCGGAAGATATCCCCGTTCCTGCAGGATGGCAGGATCAAGCCCCATCCTGTGAGGGTGGTTGAGGGGGGCTTGCAGGGGCTGGTGGACCGAGGGTTTGGGATTATGGAGGCGGGAAAGGTAAGTGGGGAGAAGCTGGTGTTTGAGGTTGAAGCTGCGTCAGACTGAATCGATCGACGGTCTCGAGGGTGGGTAGTCTAGTTGATGCGGATGTGTGTATGTATTATCAACTTAAGGATATCTGTTTTGAATCAGCAGGGGAATCGATGTTCAAAGCTCATCACCGCTCCTTCCGCAACACATTTTCCATCAGATCTGAACCAGGGAAAGTCCTCCCACAGAAGACCAACCAATATAGATAGAGGGCGTGGTCTTGAGTAGCTCCGTCAGCACCTCCCGGGATCCCCAAGAAGTGGTTCCAGAATCGAGCGGCGGCGACCAGCACCAGGCCATCCCCGCTCTTTAGTACTCTTCAGTATTTTTGATTCAAAATTCTTCGCTGTATACTGATAACATACAGTGGGTGCTAATAGACTGCAAACATGGCAACATCGATGATCGAGATATGTATCTTCGGATCGCGGCCGCCGCGGCCGCCGGGAAATACGCTGGACATTCCGCCTTCAAGTCGGCTGAAGCTGGTGAGTCTCATATAGTGCAAGCGAATACAAATGCAGGCAAGTGACTAGCAGATGAGGTTCAGCGGCGGGAAAATCCAAACGAAGGTTTGACGGTGTTAATCCCGGGGCAGACACTATCGCACTCACTGCCTGGATGTCCTTGAAGATGAAGCCATTGTAAGGACCTAATTAGCGAGAATGATACCACGCCTCCGAGCACTATAACAGCGAGTTGCCCGAATATGGGATACGCATGACATCACAGAGAGGCTAAAGATTGTCCTCAGTTGAAAAGATACGAAAGATCTATCCCGAGACTGTCAAGGTGGTCAAATTAGAACGGTTGGATTGACCCAATTGTGATCGAGGGGAGGTAGGAAATTTCCGAATTTGGTTCCTGGGTTGACATTAGGAAATACGACTGGGGTGAGAAAAACAAAGTCCTATGAAGACAGCGTATTTTATTTTGGTTTTGCTATCTTCACGCTTCAATCTCATAGTTAAGTATTTCTCGCTTATGAAGTGGGTGAACTGACGCATGAGATCCAATCTACAGCCGAGAATATGGCTCGACCTAGCTGCTTACAGTGACCAGACTGAACGGTAGCTCAATCTCCACTCTTCAGAGCTAAGAAGAGATGCATTCATTACTAAAAAAATCAAGCACATAAGCTTGTTCATCGTGTGCGCCTTTCGCGCCCTTCTCTTAGCATCTGATATGAATTGAGCCGGGCAATCAATAGTCATAAGCTTGAATGTTTATATGAGACGAATCACCCACAAGTGATATCGAATCGGCCCCAGCGCACGCACCTCTGCAATTCATCGGGCGGAAGAGGCTCGCTGCGCATAACCCAGGTTCCACAGAACCTTCGACCCCTGGTCATTTCCATTGATTCTGGTTTCGACTGGGGGGCTGGAGGATCTGCCTAGGGGTCCTGAATTCTTCCGCTCACTGTCATGTGATACGCGACCGCATACGGAGTACAGAGTGTATGTAAGACTGAAGGGCGATGCGGAACTAGGAAGGAAGAAAGAATCCTGTTGCGGGAGGGGAAAAGAAAAAACCCCCACTCGCTCCGTCCAGCAGCAGCGAGGTGCAGCGCTGGAGCCTCGACTTGCGCAGGCTATAATCTTGTCACTTGAAAATCAAGAAATGGGATATTCTCTGGTTGGGCTCACGCAGGGCGGGCAAAAGTTTGTTCCTGCGAAAAATCCCGGAGTATCCGCCTTCTCTTACTACTTAGTAGGCCGGGCCGCTACCGCCGACGATCCCACCCGGACGACTGACTAAATATATCTGGCATTCAGGCAGCATGATTGTTGTCGAGGTCTTGAATGGTATGACGTATGGGAAGCGTGATTGTCACTCACTAACTTAGTGTGTGAGATTGTGAGTGACTACTGAGTAAGACACAGCACAGCGACCGGCGGCGCAGTGGTGCTTCCACTGCTTATCGGCACCACGGTGGGTTTAGGGCGAGGCCGATGCCGTCGATCTACGGACAAATTACGTCGTTGCCAGATGGAATGGCAGAAACGTTGCCGTTTCAAGGCTCCACACTGTTTCAGGTTGGAAGAGCCGAATACGACTGCTGGAATACGAAGGACTCCAGGGTAGTAGACGATGAGCGATGACAAAGCACGACAGGATCAGTGAAGATGAAGGAGAGAACAAATTGAATTTGTCGAGGAGGAGGAGGAGGTGGTGGTGGTGGTGGATGGTGTTGAGAAATAATAATTCTAGACCGGCAACTCACCGGAACCCGCAGCAACATCATCTCCAACCAATGATGAGGCCATCGCTACTTGGTCAAGCTTTCGGCAAGGGCGGAGGAGGGGAAAGAGAGGGTCGACAAGATGGAGAATTACTAGCGATGACTTTGGCTACGAGATAATAGGTATATACTAAGTAGAACTGTATACAGCAGACGCCTCATGGATAAACAATTTACCTGTTTTGTCAAGAATAACAAAACGGACTGGTGAACAATCACTTGCCTTGATGGTGAATTCATGAGGCAGTGGAGGAAGAAGTGAATGGAAACCAGAGACAACCTCTCCATGGAAGGACATCGATGCGCAATCCCAGTGGAGACCCCCCGACCGAGAACTCACCCAATGGCAATGGAAGACGGGTGTCAGCCAGCCTGAACACCGCCAGCAGGCCGCGTGGGCAACCGGCGAAAAAAACATGTCTTTCTCTCGATTTCTGCCTCTCATTAATCTTGTTCCAATTGGATTTTATGAATAATAGTGGGCCCCATTTTCACCTGCCCCGAGTTAGTAGTAGTTTGATTTTTCTTTTTCCTTCTCTTTGGTTGCTCGTGCTGACGCTGATGCTGTTGGTGCTGGTGCTGCTCTCCGATTACATTTACATACATATTGTACTTACTCGCTTCTCGATCGGCCTTCTTCCCCTCTTCTCTCTCTCTCTCTCTCTCTTTCTCCCTCTCACCTGTCCACTCGCTTACAATCACCGTCCCGGTCGAAAAGAGAGACCGATCGAGCATGCGATAATACTACGAGTATAACCTGGAAATTATCCGCACACACCCGCTTTCCCCTCTTCTCCCAGCACACTAGACTAGTCCAATCCTAGTTCCCCCATCGTACTCGGACCACCAACCTCCCCGATCACAATCAAGCCATCCTAAAGTCCGACTACTACTTAGTATATATTGATTACCACCACAAATCCACTGTCTCGTCATCATACTTGAACCAACAGACACTCGATCGCAACGAGCGCTTTTTCTATCCAGAGACTCCCCCATTATACACCAACAGCTATAAAGCAAAAAGGGAAAACCACACACACACACACACACACACACACACAAAAAGAAACAATATTCAGCCAAAATGACCAGCAGCACGGGCAGTCTCAGCACATCTGCCATCATCGTCATCGTCATTGTCGCCTGCCTCGCCCTCGTCTCGCTGGGCGCCGCCCTCTTCAAAACCTACGGCGGACCCGACAAGGAACGGCCCTACAACTTCTCTCGCGAGCAGGAATCCTACATGCGCACTGTGCGCTTAAAGAATTTGGGCATCTTTCAGCGCGAGTCGATGGTGGGGTATCCCGGCGGGGGCAGTGGGAAGGGCCCCGCGCCGCCGGTCGTTCGCGATGTCGAGTCGGGGTGTATGTCTTCCAAAGTTTTTTCCTACTTGCGCTTGCTTTTCTCTTTCTCGTTTTTGACTGGAAATCAATTTCTGGCGGTGCGCGCTTGCTAATCAGTTAATCCATAGACTCGGAGAATGATTCGTCGCATTACTAGTTTTCTCCGTCTTACCTGCGCAGCTCTCCGGGAATCTCCCGGATCGCTTCGATACGACGATACCACTTTCGATTCCAGTCACAAAGAAAAGTTGGCGATACGTGAAGAGCGTGAATATTGTATGAATTGACGATCATGGGGGTTTTTTTTTTTTTTTTTTCTTTTCCGTTAAGGGTCTTTAGATTCCCACTTCTGCTGATGGTGATATTTGTCTCATGTTTCCAGCGGTGTCATGCGACTGGCGTTCTTCAATTTCTTTATATGATTTCCTAGATTATACCAACCTACTTCTCCCTGTCTTTCCCACCGTTTGTTTTATAGCTATTGATGCCCTCCAATTGAGCCGGACCCAGGATCTTGGCATGTCCAGTCATATGCAAGTGTCGCACAGCTCGACATCTTGCTGAAGTGCCTATACTTCCAAATCAGGTCTTAAGTCGGCCCTAGACCCGAAGATTATAGTCTTCATCCTATCTCCCGGGGAATAAGACCTCTCCGCCCTGATGCCCCGCACCAATCCAGGCAGCGCCTCCTGCTCCGCTCGTGACGCCTCGCAGAACGCCTCGGCCCCCCGCACCACCGCCAGACTCGCTGTCAGCGCCGCTGTGGGACTCTGTCGGTTGGCTACCGCAACCCCACAGATTTCTCGCACTGTGGTGCGGATCTTCTCGTTCAGCACGGTGACAGCCCGCCGGTGCGATACGTGGGAGCGGAGTCGGTCGACGTGAAGGGTCCTGTATGGCGAGGAGCAGGTCGATAAGCCCAAGCGATTGCGGGCCACAATGTGGGTGTCGTTGAGGAACCGTTGCTGTGGGAAGAAAATAAAACATTCGGAGAGGGGTGCGGATGGAGACAGAAAAGGAGTGAAGGCGAGAGGGGCGCTGGTCATCCAGCTTTGGCGGAGGTGAAGGAGGTGCTCATATAGGGCGCATCTCTGCTGGAAAGATGCTCGGGGAGTAGGTACAGGCGGGAAACAGTATTGGATGACATGCGCCCCAAGAATGAGCAGACGGTTGGCCCAGACATGATGCTCAAGCGAATGAAGGTAGAAGGGCCAAGTGGGGCATACTGTCAAGTTCTTCATTAAACCGCAAAAATACCACCGCCGCAAGCAGGTTCTCGTCCATGGTCGCATTGGGCTCGAGGCTTGCAGCGCGTAGGCCGGCGATAGAGCGACTGTGGTAGGCGAGCATGGATTCCTCGCCAATCGCAAGCCCGTCCTTCAAGCCATAGTAGCGCGTGATTTCGAGTTGACGCTGTTGGGGAAGGGTGCTGAAGTGTCGGGCGGATGCGGAGAGGATCGCGTCCAGGAGAGGCGGGCAGGTGCGCGCTCTTTGTGGAACAACGACAGCAGAATTACGCTCGGGGTCGCAGAGGTCGAACTCATCTCATAAGAAGTGGTCACACAGACTCTCTGCAAACGACTTACCCGTATCCCAAGGTTTTCCACCAAATAACGGAGGAGACAAGCTTCTTCTAAGCTCAATTATACCCGTGTAACTTGACCCTGAGATTCAGGCGATGGTAGAGCAACAGATTTGGAGGCAATATTTGATGTTCCCAATTCATTGCAGATCTTCTCTGAGCTGATGCCGTCACCAGGCTTGATCAGATGCTTCGAACGAGGTGGAAGCGTGTCAGGGACTGTGCCCATTGTCGACTCTCCTGCGTAGAGTGCCACCAAAACCGGCCCTTTAATGACATATTCGAAAGAAAAGTTTCCTTTGGATGATTAGCTGCGGTCGCAACCAGACAAGGGGGGGGGAAGAACATCATACTGCCAGCTACTGTTCTTGGGTCATCAGAGGAGTTTTGCGCATGTTCTGCGCTGGTCATGTTCAGGAACTGCGACTGTGGGCTGGGACGAATACATTCCCTCCCGGCGCTTGGACAAGGCTCACATTTGGGTCGAGAATCATCACCTACAGAGAAGCCAGAGTTGGTATCTTGTCGACGAAAGGAAATGGAACAGATTCAAGGAGGTAATATCTACATTGAAGGTGGTGTCCTATATCGATTGTATGAATGTGAGCGTTCAAGAGTCCGGCAGGGACAGGATAAGCGGACCTACTCCGACAGAATCCACTGGGAACAATCAGTAGCGTTCGGAGAATAAGAAGAATAAGATCAGATATTTTTACCCAGGTGGACGCCTAGCCGGCATGCAAGATGAGAGAGATATCGGGTAAAGATGGAACTGGGACGAACAAGAGTAGTGGAGCAGTAGTTCGTTGTGGAGGCGAAAGGATGGTGGTTCGGCGACAGTTGCCATTTCGGTTACTGTAACTACGGAGTACGTCCAAATCCCTCATCTCAGTCTTGGTATCATGGCATATTCACCTGCGCTGCTCCATATACACTTCCCATAGCTGCTGCGACGAAACCTGTACATACAGTACAGCACTACACGTTCCCAATCTACAAACTATGACTCCAAATCAATTTCAAATTCTCAAATTCCATACTGGAAGACACTAGTATGAGTGTAGAGCTCCACCGAGGCGGGCCCGCACGATATTCCTGTGAACACAACTCGATGAAGGGAATCCAGGTCGTCGAGAATAGCAAAATAAGCACAGAGAGTCCTTCCCACCCTACCTATCTATAATATACACCCCGAAAGACATCCATGTTGGACAACACATGCAAATCTTAGAGTCCATCATTGGGATCCCAGATTTTGAACCACCGTTTATCCATCCCCGCCTGACCTTTCTCATGGGAATGCTGATCTGTACTCAACCGATTCCGCCCTTCTGCATCCTCGTGGCGCCCACTTGCATGAATGGTGTAATTTTTGTCAACCCGGGGCAAGTATACCGTTGCCAGCAGCAGCATCAAAGTATACATATCTAACAAGTGCTTTTCGAGATAGTGGTTGTATAGATTACCGTTCCATCGAACCTTTCTGTTCATGTACGCTCCAGGATTTCTCATCATAACTCAACTATTGATTTTCTACTATGGCATTTTGCCCATTATCGAGTACTTCCGAGACCCCAAAGGCCTTCGGAAGTACCCCCAAACCCTCCTTCGGGTTGGGCATAGCGAGGACATCCGCTTCCTGGACCAGGGCAATGACCAGATGACTGCCGAGACGATGGATGGGAAGGTCAAGCGAGTTGGGCGAGCAAAGTAAGGAGCTGCAGCCCTACTTCGTCGTCTTCAGTACCGGCACCAGAGGGGGCATTGGTTGCAACATCAGCTATTGGGAGAAGGCCGTGCTGATTGCTTCACTGGTGCGTCGCTATGAGGTTGCGCTGCCTTTTCCGACCTGGGAGCCGACGCGACACAAAACTACGAATGCTACGAGGCTTGGGCGGATTCCCATGAAGATATGGCGACGGCCGCACTCACCAAGCACTTAGTCACAAGGTAGAATTGCTACTTCTCTGATGACCAAGTGCAGCAGCACATCATGAATGCATAGCAAGCTTCTGGACAGCACACCGTGCACATCTCTGATGAACCACACCATCAGTAGGTTCTACATTCCAATAATCCAACCGACTTCCGAGCCCTTCTCTCCCAAATAAACCCATTTCCACCTAAACACTGTACCTGAATTGCACATTCTCCCAGTCGGCCATGTTCTCCTCCACATTCAACCGTCCCCAGATGCAACGACTGTTTTTCCGTCAACCCCCATCGAGTCGCCACAATCAGTTTATCTCTTCGCTTGTTCTATCAGATTATCTATTAGTTGGATCCCATTGTTAGCCTCCATAACCACAAGCAGCCGTTCTCGCTCCGATCCAGCCATGCGAATAGAGACGATCGCTGGAAATCTGTAGTCTAGGAATTCAAGTCCATGATATCCCGTTTCTATGACTATCCTCTGGTCGGTGGTCATATCAGTATTGTTGACGATGACACTCGGATCTGAGGCCGTCTCCGCATCTAATCTCTCGCTAATCAATCGGATCCCGGCCCGTGTCTTTTCTGGCATCCAGCATCCGAAAGACCGACTACAAAGTAATCCAGGCTTGTCGCTGCAGTACGCAATCATTGTGCACACGTCTCCGAACAATCTGCCCGTGGTGCAAGATATTTCATCACCAACACATTCTCCCCGCCACGGAGGTTGAAACTCAAGACCCTTCCGGTCTATCACAAGCGGTTACCCTCGGCCTTCTCCAGAGATGGGTCATAAACGGCTACTACCTTACCTGGCTGCAGAATCTTCGACACGAATACCAAACCCGACGGGACTGGATGATCCAGAGTTTCCAAGACAACTTCTCTCTCGTCCAGGGCCCTCCCAGCGTCCCTGACCTCCAAGTGGCTGGTACTGCTATCGTGGCTGTGCTCGACTCCATTCCCATTTCCTCCTTCGTCCCTCCACCCTCAACGGGCGGTATGTTCGTCTGGGCGCAGGTCCATCTGTGCAACAATCCCTCGTTGCAGAAGATGCGCCACAACGAATCGCACGAAAATTCCCAAAGAGTGCATTGCAGAGCACTTTTAGGAGATGTTGGTGGAAGAACGAGTGCGTCCTTCACATTGTTTTGACTTGAGATGTCTTGTCATAGCTGACTCGCTGATGTGGCGCCGCTAAGGTGCTCTTGACTCCGGATTCATATTACCATCCTTGGCAAGGGAAGAGGAAGGCAACAACGAAGGCACGAGTTGCGAAGCCGGCTGTGACGATCTCTCGATTTTCATTTTCGATGATGACGACGGTAAGCAGAGATCACGGCCCCGCCTTCTATCGGTTGGATGGATTCTGACGTTGCCGGACTGTGACTGCTGAGGGAGGAGATCGCTCGTCTTGCAACGGCGAGTCCTTTGGTCTTGATTGTTTAATCAGCGCGCATACTTAGCTACTGAAGCGGACAAGGCAACCCTTTGCGACCTGCCTTCCAACAGGTCAGATTCCCACAGAATTGAGAGCTTATATACGACGGACTGTAAGGATCGAGGGTAGGATCAAAGCACTGGTATTTATTAAGGTAATTATGTAGACCAGGAATCACTTTTCAAACAAAAAGGCAGTCTAGTGAAACGAAAGAATCTCGAAGATGGGTCTACTCTTGCCATGAGAAGAACGGAAAAGAATAGAAGCAATTTCGCCCAAGGTGGAATCCATATTGGATATGGATCCGCTTAGATGATGGAGCCCAGAGCAACACAGGGCAGAGAGACACCGAGGAGATCGTCGGACTGTGAGAAGAGTTAGCGTTAGAACAGATTCTTGTATGATAACTGTCACAGGGGAACTCACAGCATCGGCACCGCTGTATTGGCAGCAGGCAATGTTCTGCTTGCACTGCTGGTTGATGAGGTCCTGGACGTCGACAGCGATGATAGGGACTGAACAATCATGTTAGCATTTATCCATTTTGCTCTCCACTTGGTGGGAGGGAAATAATCGTAAGGAAGCTGCAGAACGCGAGAGACTTACTCTCGAGATCGAGCTTGGAGCACTGGTCGAACAGACCAAGACCCTCAGAGCCAGAGCCAGTGCCAGCAATGTTGCCGAGAAGACCGGCCAGGGCACCGGAGTCAATGGTGGTGGTGTCGCCAGCGTATGTGGCCTTGTTGCAGCAGGAGAGCTGGGCCTGGTCACCACACTTGGCGGAACCCTGCTTGATGGTGTAGTCATCGGGAACAGGGAACTTGGGCTTGTCGCCGCGGACCTCGAGGTTGCGGGCGGAGGGACCACCGACAGCGGCGGTGGCGGAGGCCAGAGTGGCAGCGGCGAGGACGGCGAAGAAACGCATGGTGATGGTGAGGATGGGTTTTTGGGTTTGTAGGAGGTCTTGGATAGATTGTTTGATGGAGAGGAGAGCGTGAGATGATGATGATGAGAAGGAATCGAAACGACGGAGCAGAAGACGGTATATATGCGTTTTTTCGACGTGGTGTTCGATGATCGATGTTCACTTGCCCTACCTACCTCCAGCCCTTCCATTGTTTGATTGGCAGGAAAGGATGTTGTTAGATTGGGCATTCCAGTCTCTCTCGTTGCATTCCGAGCAAGGGAAGCTTTCCGGTTGCGGCGCTGGGGAGCGTTGCGAAGACGGGACGGCGTTGCACGGCACCCAAGATCTCAAGCATCACGATTGCGACCCGATGTGACGTTGTCCAGGTCCTTTCTTCCATTGATCCCTCTCGTCCCTGGTTCAAATGCTTAAACTAAGTTCATGAAGGGGTAATTGATAGCAGATCTCGTCCCGGAAACAGTGGCATTGATTATTCATTCTGGGTGACATTCCACTCCTTATCGCGGGCCCTCAATAGTTCCAACAAGGGGGAGAAGAGAGAGCGAGTCAGAGAACACCATAACAAATACTTTAAACCTTGTACCTTAAACAAGAACGTGCAGGTTAGCGGAGAATAACAGAGAATTTTGCATGCAGGACGGAAAATCCCTCACATGGTTACCCATGTAGACTCATTCTGTGTCGGTTCCCTCACTCCATCCATCCCCCGACCTTCAATCTACCCCTTCGTACGCGCAACTGATTCAGACTCATTTGATGAGGATCCGCGACTGCTGCAAAACTAGTGCAATTCCCCAGGACAGAGTTCATGCACCTCGGCTGACCTGCATCTGCATTCTACTAGCTGCTGGGAGACCTTGCTCAAGATCACCTTCTCAGGCACAACCATAGGGTACAGCATAGAGTGCGTGCGGCTCGGAGAATTTCCAGCGCGATCTTATACACGACGCATATGTCTGGATCGGCCTCGGACGGATAATGTTGGATTATGTATGCATAGTTTGCGCAAATGAACGATGCCATGAATCATTGTTTTTTCCATTGTTATTTGCACTCGTAGCGCTGGCTTTCCATGAACTCGACTCTGAATTTATTCTAGTCTGTGAGAGGCTGTGCTCGATCGCTTGTTTCGAACTTTCTGTCTCATGCAATATTTTTTCCCTTGTTGTATCATCATGACTCAATCATATGTAATCATATCAGTGTATCTTGAGCATAAGTATAGCAGTGTAGTCGCGCAGTTAGTCCGGGCTATGCGTCTTGTATTCATGAAATGATATACTGGTTATTGAGTTAATAATTGAGAGTCTGCTTCCTATACTCGAGCATCTATGGAGAAGATATTGCGTGATCAAAACAGTAAGTTCTTGCGCCCAACGAGTGTTGTGGTGAAGTGTGGTGCAGACATATTTTATTGAGTAGCAGTAGAATGGATATATATTTGTTGAATCAAGCCTGCACGTGAACCATGGTATCATGTGGCACTAATAGTACTAGTAGGTGAAAAGTTCGAGATGGAGAATGGTCTTTCGCTGCAATGATGAAGTAAACGAACAAAAGTAAATTGGTTGAATATCTTCAAGAATTACACCTATTGAAGTCATCGACAGCATCACGATTCCAGATGTAATTCCTGATCACACCGTGATGAGGGAAGATGATGATAAACAAAGAAGGCCGTTGATGCCCCAGGCGCCAAGGCGGTGAGGAGTGTAACTTCAACCGCCGCCCCGCAAGGTTTCGGCTGGTCATCGACGTCAGCATCTCCAAGTCTCTCCCCCCCCCCGTTTTCCCCGTCGTTGCCAACATGAAGATCGTCTATATTGGAGTGAGTGCTCTCCGTGGCCTTCGTTATCTTCGATGGGAGTACTCACGTCGACCTTGCTCTAGATCCTCCAAAATGGCCAGGCTCCCGCAGTGGAGCTCTGCGCCGAGCGCGAATTAAGCAGCTACTCGCGCTTTACCAGGGGTAGCATCAGCGAGTTCATGACCATGTTCAGCAAGACTGTCGCCGAACGCACGAAACAAGGCCAGCGACAAGACATCCAGGAGCAAGGCAAGTTCTTCGCCCGCTATACTGGGCCATCCACCTCTCTATTTTACTTTCCCACCATCAGCCCCTGACCGCCAGATCGCAGACTTCACATTCCACGTATACGCGCGCACCCAGGGTATCGCTGGGGTCATTATCAGCGATAATGAGTACCCTTCCCTAGCCGCTCACCAGGTGCTTTCCAAAACACTTGACGAGTTCCTCACCCTCCACCCGAACGCTGGTTCCTCGCGCGAACCGATCCCCTTCCCCTCTCTCAAGACCTACATCCAGGCCTATCAGGATCCTCACCAGGTCGATAGCATTCTCAAGATCCAGAAAGAGTTGGATGAGACCAAGATCGTTCTGCACAAGACCATCGAGAGTGTGAGTTGGATTATTCCCTTCTTCGTCAATGCCGCATCAGCTGGCGAGGTGACCAGGCTAACGGTCCCTCTCACTAGGTTCTCGAACGAGGCGAAAAAATCGATGATCTGGTATCCAAGTCGGAGGGTCTGAGCGCACAGTCGAAGATGTTTTACACATCGGCGAAAAAGCAAAACTCCTGCTGCGTGATTATGTGAGGACGCATGGGATGACGCCGACTCGAGTCGCCAGTACAACCCCGGCGGAAACACATCAGCGACCGATCATCATGACTTCGTTTTGAGAGCGTTTTTGTTTGCCACTACATGGTATTCGTTTGCAGTTCTGGACCAGTTTGTTTGCTTCGAGAACGGGGACGGGAACGCCTAAGTGCTTTGCATTACGGGAGCAGGAGGCGGAAGGGTAGAATAGGCATTCTTAATGGGATCTAAGGGCCCGAAGAGAGCAGTTAATGCAGCGTGTGGGCTTCGAAGACTTGACGCCGCCGTACCGAGAAGGACAGCGTAGCGACTGAATTGGACCGTCCCCCGCCGTAGTCATCTCCTTCCGTGCCTTTCATTTTGCTCTGTTGGCTGTTCGTGGTCACGGCAGTGGATCAGGAAGAGGGGCACATCGACAGACCATCCTTATCTACCGAGGAAGGGCGGTGCTGGCAGCGGTGATTGGCGGCAGGTTCCAGCCCATAAGTATTAGACTTATTTATTGCAAATTAGTGGGCGATAATCAGGGTTACGAACCCACTGATCCCCCAAATCGGGCCCTACCCGTGGTTCCCGCCAGGAGGAAATGGGAATCGCTGTTACTTTTCGGCCAATTCTTCTACCGTGGAGGCTATGTTTTTTTTTGGAGAGAGGGGGGGGGGAGCTGTAGCCCGCGGAAGATAGTGAGATAGGTACTCCGTACATGATTATGTGCTGTATAGTTGCAAGACTCCTTGACCGATATGTACGGATTGAGTCGTCGAGTTGCAGAACTTCTTGTCAATCATTCAGCGATGAATAATCGGCCAGATCAACCTTTCGACTTACGTGACTTTCGTCACGACCCAACAGCGAATTTCCACCCCCTGACCCTCCCCCTCTCCTTCTCAGCGATAACTTTCCTACCTTAGTTCGTGTACTGTTTCTAGAACACGATCCACACCTACCACCGACAGCCTCAGTTTCCATTATGTACTCCGTAGCAGCATCGGCCTAGCATCGGCCTAGGGCTGCCTATCGTTTTTTATGCCCGAGGCTACCCGGGTCCCGGCCCGGTTGGCTTCCATTGGTCACATCCGCCGAAGATGCCCTCGCTCCGAGCGGATATTGTTCCTTGTTGCGCTGGTGCTGTGTGGGAATTATTGACGTTGCTCAACCCTGGGATACGCCCATTACCTTATTTCGTTCGGCTTTAGCTATTTTATTATCACGCTGGGTCCCCACGGTGGCCATCCTTCTCATCGCTGCTCGCCTGGTACTTTCTTTCCTTCATCTCCAGTTCAGCGTTGCGTTCTAGCGATTTGCATCCATCCATTGGTGAGCCCTCTCCTCTATCCATACTAAGTTGTCCTTCATGCCTGACTAACCTGGGTGCCAGATACCCTCCAGTCCATTCCTTCTGCGCCTCTCCTTTGTTCATAGGACAGCCTGGGAATATTCCCTGTGTTCCCCATCGTCACCTTGCTAGGGCAAGGGGGTTCCCATCTGCTCAACGTCACCATGGATCAAGATCTCGCCTTCCAACAGACGCTCCCGTGGAGCCTCGAGCGCAATCGACTGGCAGAACTCCTGACGGCGGATTTCACGGTTGCTGCAGGTTCAGCAGCCTTGGTCACTCCGGCCGTGATGATCTTGGACAGGTACAGCACCCGCCCGGATGTGTGAAAATGAATGCACGTATTGACCTTCATGCTAGACTGGTAGTGGAAAAGTCCTCACACAACCAGCCTCTCCTACCAGCCTTCCGGCGACACCTGTGGCTTTCCATCACGCAACCTGCGACTTTTCTCACCTCTCGACCGAGTCTGCTCGTCTGGTCCCTATACACCGCAACGTTTGCTGCGGCCAATGCCACTGAGACTATTCTCAGCGAGGTCTATCCACACATCGACCACGCCCTGGCTAAAACGTCGACATTTTTAACCACCTTTGTGGTCAACTCTTCCGTTGGCATCTGGAAGGATGTCAAGTTCGCTCAACTCTTCGGTCATAGCCACAGCACGAGCACCGCGGGAACAACCACTCCTCCGCCCACCGCCGCCGCATCAACTCCAGCAGCAGCAGTAGCCAAACCAGCCACTGTTGCCGCCGCCGCCGCATCTCAGAGCAAGATCCTCCGCTCCGTAACACGCTCTATCCCCTTTGCTACCTACTCCGCATTCCTCATCCGCGACGCCTTGACAATCTTCGGCTCGTTCAGCCTCCCAGCGATGGTATCTGCCTCGATTCCAGACTCAGTCGCCTCGAGCGAGTACAGTAAGATCCTGCTCGCGCAATTGGCCATCCCGGCTTCGATCCAACTCATTAGCACTCCGATTCACCTCCTGGGGCTGGACCTCTACAACCGACCAATGGCAATCTCGGCCTCGGACCGAATGTCGCGAGTGAGTCGGGATTGGATCGGGGCGTCGCTGACGCGGATGTGTCGCATCATTCCCGCTTTCGGTATCGGTGGGTTCGCCAACACCGAGGGGCGGGCCTATCTTCATGAGCAACTGCGGCTGTCCGGTGAGGAGTGAAGCAACTGCGACAAACTACCCAGTGATCTGAATTGCTTGAGCATACAAACATTTCAACAATGAATGACGCATTCGATAAAATCACTTACTGCACCTTGAACTTGTGACATTACCCCCAAGACCTGGCATTCTCTCACCGATTTCGGCAAAGACTCGGTGAAGAAGGGGGGTGCGAAGTGAGTTTCGTGTTTCCGGGGCGGGGCGGGGCAGGGGTGCGCGCGCGCGTCTCACTGGTTTGAGCCTTCGTTTCCCCATTGGGCTAAGCGGCACATGGGCTGGTGAAGGGCTGGTTTTCGCCACCCGGCGGGAAACCACACACCGCCCGGGAAAGCTCACTCCGCCCATCATCTCAAAATAGGCTGGGAAAGCGTGACACCACTAGCCCTAACCCTGCTACACTGCCCTGTTGGGCAATTACCTCAGGAGGCAGTGTCCGCTTTTCACTGCTCTTTTGCACCGCCCAGCCACACCGACCGGGCCGGGTGCAGGCCCGGATGTCTCGCGTCAAACACTCAACAGACTAGGAACTACCATCCGTCTGTCTACCACGCCCTTCCGTCTTTCCCCCAGGATGCATTCGACTGCCGGCCATATGGCGGGGGAGGGGCCACCAAGAACGGTGCTCCGAGGTCGGGGGATGGTTTATCGCTTTCAGCTTGACCTAATCTCCTTGTCAAAGCGAAAGGTGGATCTCGCCCGTGGCTGTGTCACCCCCGGGCTGTAGGTACTAAATGACGATATCATCTTGCTGTTTTTAGGCTATGCTGGCATAGCCTCCTCGGATCACCAAGTGATGACGAAGCTGTTTAGGATATCCTACCGTTTATAGTATTAGTAGTATCTACTATTGATCACTGTCATAGAGCTTATACTATATAGTAGTACGTCTTTCATTGCCGTATATCAGTCGTTGAAGTGCTGCCTGCGTACTTTCCAGCTCTTATTCCCTTGACCTCGAACAGGACCTAGATAGCTTGTGATTGAAGTGTATGACTGCCATTCTTCTCGTCAGGCGCGTCGGTATACTCGGTATATCACACATGCACCGCAAAAAAATCCCTCGATGGTTGCCGATATCTTCCAGGTGCACTCCATTTTTCCGCTATGCTTTCCCTCGGGTAAACGAGCCATTCCAAATATTTTCCTCACATGGTATAATATTTTGATAAGACATGCGCAAAGGCGAGGACTCTGCTCCTGCACTCCGTCAATGTAATATTTATCCATCCGCCCCTTGATGTGTTCTGTCGCATTTGTTGTGCTACTAGTCACGTACCCCGTCATGGACAGCTCAATCTCACTAAATTTCTAGCAATATTCACGCACTAGCAAATCAGCGAGGGAATCTGAGCGATCATGTGGTTACTTGCATGGATTCACGACAATGGAAGCCGCGCCAGTTCTCAGTGTGATGCACGGTCGTATGGGAAAGTGGATGACAATCTACAAGGCTTGAATTTTCCGCTGTCTTCTATATCAAACTCGTTGTTCAGAGTAGGAAGACCATTACGAAGAGTTGTACTTACGACCGTCCCGATATCTTCCCATCCTTCTATAGAAGTCTACGAAAGCTAGTGCTTTTGGGTCCTTTAGGATCATATGCAGCGTATCCGCACTGCTATAGAAAGCCATTGCATCCTAGCGGCTGAAGAGATCCCGAGTCCAGCATTTTTTGGATGTCGTTATCTAAGCTTGACACCACTTTTCGAGCAGTGAATCTGCCAACATTGATGTTTTGGGGACTGCGTCGGCTTCAGAGACATCATGCCCTTGTCCGATGCTCGTAGCCGAGTTGGACAGTGTTACCTGTCAGCGGTTCGACTCATCTGAGATGCCTCCTAATTCATCAAAAAGCAATGATTCCCGATCTCGGCCCAATGCTCAACAGCAATGTGACTATCTCGAAATCTTTCAATATGAACGACAGATTTCTTGCCTCAGTCTCTTCCATTTCAAGTGCGCGCAGACATTACCTCTTTAATCCTGCAACATCAATCATCTTTTCGACAGGAAAGACTTTGTGAGGCATAGGAGCTGTAGTACGAGCAGGGTAACTCAATCTCCCCCTTTGTCAGTAGGCCAACCCCTGGCCCAATTCGGTTCGTATGACATATAAGCTGCAGGCCGTCCGAAGAACTCTCCCCGTCGTCAATACGCAGCTCAAGATATGACCGCTACAATTCTTACCGACGAGTAGATCTTAGACTGCAGGATGATGGGTAGCAGCAAGGGCCCTTTCCCTTCAATGGTATTGCGCTTCTTCGACGTCGTCACACAAAGTGACATACCTTGCGATATCCTCCACGAAAAGCATTACAGTCATCGTCCAACCCCCATCGTTGCTGAAAATCGATTCTGATGACAGCAGACAGAACTTTCACGAGTTTCTTCTGTCTATGATGGCCACAATACGCTTGAGATCACGATCTAAGTTTTCGATGATTCGGACATCGTGATCGAGAGACAAGATTCTTGCGCGACCAATACTAGCTTTTGGGCCGAACGCGAACGTTACTCTGTGATAAGCAATAGAGATTCTCATCTTGACTGAAATAGCGGGAATGGGCACTGGGACGATGTGATCAAGCGGATGGGGTTAAAAGGAGGAGCTTAGTGGACCACGCTTGTCCTCGTCGTCATGCATCGCTTGAGGCCGTCGAGGGATCTTGACAAAGCGTGGATGATTGCGCGATAGTTATAGTAACAGTTACTGGCTAATCGATTGCTGAGATTAGATGATTGGATCCGGGCTAGTCAGTCCAGTGACGACCTTCTGGCTTCCAGAGGGTTCAGCTCCGATCACGATCTGGTGGAGAGGGGTGTGGGGGCTTCCGGCCCGCCAGCCGTGCCCAAGCCTGAGGGTCAGCGATTAGCATGGTTCCGCTGGATACCGGGACGATAATAGGAGATTGGGTCCAATTTTTTCACATCATACATTCTACCATGGATTCCTGGTCCTGTCTTCAGTGGTGGGTTGAAATTCTCACCAAAGCCAATATCACCACACTCTATGCTGACCCCGTCGAAGACCTAAACAATATTGGTTCTCGTGGTCACATCACCAGGAATGTAGGTATGGAAAGCATATCGGTCACACCGAACAGATTGGCTGCATGAGCTTAAGTTATTTTAAGCTTATCGCATGAAGAGACCCCATTGCCGAGAACACGGCCCGGAGACATCATGTGAGAGCTTGAATAGGTGTCACATTCATAGTTGAATCATTGATATCATTCTCAATTCCCTGCCGTAGATCTGAGTACAGTTTGATCTTACTAGTGGTTGCTCAAGATCAATTGACATGTTTTGGTCGACACCCGCGCTCTGACCGTTCGCGGATGGACTCGGCATTACGTAGTCCTTAGTCAAACCATCAATCTCTTCGACATGTCTGAGAATATACTGTACGAGATACTTTGTGCATCTTCTTTCATCGAATGGTAATTTGTCGGTGAGCAAATCTCCCTATCATGTAGTGTACTGTGGAAATTAGAACGTGTGTAGAAATAGAAGAAGAAGAAGAGGCAGTCAATGCTGGGTTACTTCAGTAAACCGCTTGACTGTCTTCAGGCAAGATCAGGAATACGTTCTCTTCTGCCTTCAGAACGCAGTTCTGACTTCATATCTTTTCCCATGGTATTGATGCAAGGAGTCTTTCTGTCCCAAAAAATCAACATGAATTCTCCTTGGCGCTCAGTGAGCGGTGAGGATCTTTTCTTGAGTTCGACCGTGGTTCCAGATGATCTCGATATGGGTTGTGACAGGTAGAATTGTCGTCCACCCTTAGTTGCTCGCGGTTTCAGTCTACGGTTCCGAGAAACAATTTAGCATGAGACCAGCTGCTATGAAATCATGTCGTTGTACAAAAGAATTCCTGGAAAAGAATCCCCTCCGTCTCCAACACAAAAACAACACTCTGATGTAACTGGTATGCTTAGGCGCAGCGCCAATGCACAAGGACGACAGAGGCGCCGTCAGTGGCTAGTTCAAGAGCACGGTCATCAGAGTCGGAGACAAACAGTAAATAATGGGCAATGCATAAGCATGATGATGTGACTCTGAAGAAGACATGGAGAGTGGTGGGAAACGCCGAAGCTAGCTTCCGGTGTGTGTACTCCGTGATTCGAAAGGAATTTTAATTTACTACTTCGCGTCGGTACATTGCCCCTGAAGTCATGCATTCTCGTATAAGGTCAGATCTTTGCGTCGACGTGTCCAATAAAGAAGGGGAGAGGTGTGTCTCATCATTCAATGATTTCAGTCTCTGCAGCCTTTTTGACCACGATAAGCCCTGCTGTATCGACTGCAGCTGATAGGTTTAATGGGCCAGTATTGATAACCGTGAACCGTTCCCCCGGCACAACCTGCCGGAAATTGCCTAGCCAGCTGACCGATGACCTAGCGAGGCCGATCTGCCGTCAATGATTGGCTTCATGAAACAAGATGAGTCCCGTGACCTCAGCCCCGCCTACGCGTCGAACTCCCAGATGCGGAATAGACTTGGACGTCACGGGAAGCGGAGTAGGACTTGCCTGAATGGGACGAATGGGCTGGACTCAATAGGACTAGTAGTACTCGGTAGGTGGTACCAGGTCTCTGGTCGGTAGCCTGTAGGGCACCTTGGTAACTGCAGGTGTAGGTGCAGGCGTAGACCCCGGGTGCAGATGCACTCAGCTGTACTTTTGATCGTCCGAAACACTGAGCGAAGAATGGCGTTGGTATAAGACTTCCCACCAAGCCCCGTTGCCTTCATTAGTCTCTTCTCCTTCTCTCAATTCACCAATTCATCTCAGACTCACCTCAAGAACTCAGTCCTACCCGTTTGGTTATTCCTTAGCATCACCTTCATTTCTCTCCCTCCCATCTCTCCCTCCTCCCTGTCTCCTCCCCTTCTCTTCTTGGTTCAGTGGACTCCCCATCAATAGATGGCGATCTCGCTTATCCCCCTTCGCCGCCATTCTCACGCATACACCATTGCCCTCTCGCAACCTATTCGCAGACACAGTAGGAATTGAATTGAACTTCTCCTTGACCTACTCTCTGTTCTTGATATCATCTACATCATGGCCGTTGAAGTCCTTCCCCTCACCACCGCGGATATTCCGGAGGCCGTAGCATGCATCCAGACAGCATTTGCCGATGATCCATTCTTCCGCTGGGTATTCAACAAGAGATCTGGGGTACGTATGATCTCCATTCGGAGGGGTTTGGGTTTGAGATAGCGATGATTTTCCCCCCGCCATCGCTGCCTCGCCTGAAAAAACCCCCCCGGATGATGTATGATAAGGATACATGTAGAGAGAAATCCAAGTTTCCGCGCCCAATCCATCTTCCCTTCCAAAGAATCCGTCAATAACAGCCAACCCCAGTTCAATTTGCAACGCAACGCCGCCTCGATGGCCGCCCATTTCCGATACGGACTCTCGTGCGAAGCGCCCATCTACATCGCCAAAGCCACCTCCCGTCCCGGCGACAGCGACAAGGCCCCCTGCAGCGAGATTGCCGGCGTCTGCTGGTGGTTCCCCCCACAGCCTGCATCGGAGCCGGTCTCGTGGACTGTCTGGGCCCAGGATTGGCTGCTCTCCTTCCGCCAACTGCTCTTCAACATCCGCTTCGGCGGCCGCGGCGGGCTCAACGTACGGCGGTACTGGCAGTGGAAGCAGCGCCAGGAAGCCACCCACGCCAAGGTCTGGACTGACCCCCGCGGGTATTACTTCTGTAATGTGTTGGCCGTCAACTCCGAGATGCGGGGTATGGGCGTCGGCCGCAAGTTGGTCGAGGCGGTGACACAGAAGGCGGACCTGGAGGGAATGCCCTGCTATCTGGAAAGTTCCAAGGGGTTTCCCAACCTGGTCATCTATGAAAAGTTGGGCTTCGAGCTGGTGGAGGAGATTGACTGTGTGGATGGGAATGATAGTTGCAAGGTAAGTGAACTTCTTTCTCTGGTAGATCAAGGGGCTCGTTCATGCAGATGGAGGCTAATGTGCGCAGCTGTATTGTATGATCCGTCAGCCGAAGAAGGCGGATTGAGTGCAGTCTCCCCATCAACCCCTTCACTGTACCGCAGCGTATACTCTCTGATCGGACTTTTAGTATCTGGGAAGGAAGAAAGATGATTTGTTTGCTGGCGTTACATATGAGCATCAATCATTAGCTTACCCACGACCTTTATTCTCACAAATCAGACACTGTCATAATTTTTCCCGTAGCAACCTCCCTGTTCTCGCCGTAAAGTGCAGCCGCAGCTCGTGACACAGTAGTTTCTATCTCAAACGCAGCGAGATAGTCGAATGTTTTACTCTCCACCTCATTTTCTCTCTCCCAATCCGCCATGTCCACATCCGCAACTCTTCCCCCCACATTGAATCGAAAGTAGACGTCGGGGGATGCTTCGAACCTCTCTTCCATATCCCGCGCAACTGCCTCGGCCTCGAAACTCAGCGACTCGACCACTGAGACGATCTTCGTGGGCAGGAGTCGCTGAAAGAGGCCTGGTCGACTCAGCTGCAATGGCGGAGGCTTCCCTGCTCCAATGCTCACCACACAGCCCACCGACCGACGCTTATCGAATAGGCGACCCGCCTCGCTCAGCAGTAGGCGACAGGGATTTTTCGTGCCCAGGCTCCCATCCACAAACTCCTCCACACCGACCTTCAACGGTTTGAACATCCCGGGGTGGGCCGTCACCGCCCGTGCCGCCTGCCAGACTGTGAGATCTGCATAATCCCCGGCTCGATAAGTTCGATATGAGCAGAATAGTCGCGCATAATCAATGGCTTGAGTGCTGCGGACACATAAACACCTTTTATCAATTGTCAGCCAAAAACTTTCCTCTTCTATTCCCTCCGTCGCTGACTCCATAATGTGAAGAGATGAAGACCTACACTTTACACCCTTTCCTAACCTCTCCACTGCCCTCCTGCTCGGTGTCAGACTCGGCCTCAAGCAAAGTCGTCTCTGGATTCTGATCTGGTGTATTCCGGCCTATAATGTCCTTGATCGCGGCCTCCATTTCGTGGGCGCTGTATTTCCCATTTCCGCTGCGTCGTTTCGGCCGGGAGAACACGCGTTGGGCGAGCTGGCGGTATTCGAAGACGGCTTCATCGACGGATAGGTGGAGACGGCCCAGAAGTAAAGCGAGGAGACCGCCGTGGCCACTGCCACTAATCAGGTCGAAAATCTCGTGAGGCTTCGGTGTTTCGGGAAGGGCTTGCTGTTGTTGAACAGAAAGCATGATAGATTTGAGGATTATGAGCTGGCTGATGGCTGTAATCCCCCCACCGTCTTTGGAAGAAGCATTTAGTTTGGATCCGATTTCGGGTCAGGGCTGCAGGGCTTACCAAGGGAGAGAAGACGAAGGGATTTCGCGCAAGTCTCATCGACCAATTGTGTCATACCTTACTCCTTACAGAGTCTGGTGCTGGTTGACTCATAGGGGCTCTATCAAGTGCTGCGCGGGCATGATTGATATACATATATCGATGGCTGTCGACGCATGGTGGATGACAAGGCTGAACTATAAGCGCTGAGCTTGGCGCTGGTGCTGGCATTGCATTTGCGGCTATTTTTGTTGCCCAATGAGGTTTTATGAAACGCAAATTCCGGTTTCATGAAGAGCGCTTGTTTCTCATCTGATTTATTTGCTAAGGAGGGAGCATAGAAGTTGATTCCAACAGGGCGTTCGACTGGTATACTTGCAACCGCGCTGGGCTTTTAGCGGGAGAAGTGCGGAGACGCCTGTAAGTGTAATTCCAACCACAGCCTTGTGAAGCACCCTAACTTCATTGTCAGCAGACGTGAGGGCGTCAAACGTGGCCAATGGGTTCCACAAGACAATCTTTTGGTTCTCAATGAAGGTTCATGGCATGTAAACGGTCGAGCCCTGTGAACCGAATCGATAGTGGAGCTGCATTGTTGGCTGCCGATAAGGATGGATCAATGGGGCTGATAAGCATGAGTCAATATGATGCCATGCGCTGGTATCCTTCTGAAGTATAGGGGAAAATCGGCTAATGCAAGCTTACTCCGTTAGCTCGAGGCTTGGACAATGTTTCACACCTACCACGCGAAGACCTTTGACTGGCCCTACTGTTCTCACGAAATAACTTCGAAATAAGCTGACAAGATTCTGGTTAGCTCTCGCCAGGATCTCAAGGATGAATATAAATATACTATGTTTCCTCTTCTGCTCACCTCCCAGAGGCTTCATTCTGTATCTCATCTCGCAAGATGAATTCTACTGATAACTACCTCCCACCCAGCCTGAGTGCGGAGAAGATCAATGCATTAATCCTTTCCCTCTCCCTTCCCCCACCCATCAGCATCACTCCCCTTGAAGTCACAGCGGCCTTTCGCTCCATCTATCTTGTTACATTTCCACCCAGCACTACCAAAATCAACGCGCGACCCAATCCCGATGGCAGCATCAGTCTTGTCCTCCGCGTCTCGGGCCGCCAACTCCCACGCATCAAGACCCTCAATGAAGTGGGCGTAATGAGCTGGGTTCGGGCGAACACCTCCATCCCCGTCCCCGCCATCATCCGCTACGACGCTACAGAGGACAACCCTATCAGCCATGAATTCACCCTCCTCGAGAGAGCTCCCGGCATCAGCGTCGACAAGATCTACGATACATTATCGGACGAGACCAAAACCGACATGGTCCGCCAACTCACCGAGTACCTGCTCGAACTCCACACCCGCCCTTGGAAGGACGGATACGTGGGAGGACTCACTCTCACGACATCCGGCCAGGTCACGCACGGCCCCCCTATCGACGAGACTTACTGGCAGACGCCTGATCTGGAGAAGTACTGGTCCCTGGGCACATCCGCCACCCCAGAAACCGAGATCTCCCTCGAGACGCTCAACCCCATCGTCCCCGGCGGATTCCCCAACTACGTCGCCTTCACCGTCAGCTGTCTGAATCGGTACATTTCCGCCATCAACCTCCACCCCTCGCTCGAGCCATACCAAGCCCTAGTCCCGCAGATTCGGGCGTTTACGGAAGGACTGCAGCGGCGCGAGCTGGCAGAACAACTGAACCAAGTGCCCTACGTGCTGGCGCACAAGGACCTGCATTTTGCGAACATCATGTGCGATCCCGCACAGCCTGGGTGTCCCATTACAGCGGTGCTGGATTGGGAGTTTAGCGGGGTAGTGCCGGCGCCAAGGTGGAACCCACCGCGCGCGTTTTTGTATAATATGAAGTGGCGGGCGGAGGACAAAGCGGAGCAAACGCGGATGGAGGCGGTGTTTGAGGAGGTCTGTCGGGAGAAAGGGGCTGAGTGGTTACTTGAGGAGATGCAGTGGGGGAGTCGGTTGCAGGAGGAAGTGCAGAAGGTGGTGAATCATTTGAGGGCGATTGTAGAGGTCTGTCCGAAGGGCCAGTCGGGGGAGAAGGTCGAACAGTGGAAGAAAACTGTGGAAGAAGGGATGCGGACTTTTCCTTATGGTTATGGTGCAGGAGGAGATACACTGCAGGGCTGAAATGGGCATTTTTCTGTCAGTAGTCTCTCCGGCAATCCCACCCGGCTATCTACTTTATCCGCCAGGGGACCTATAAATCCGTACCGTCTCTAGGAGCATTATACACAACCGGTCTCGGTCTCGACTACCTTATTACCGCACTTTTTCCTTTATTGAAATATCTAACAGCTGACTGGGTTTCAAGATGGAAACGCCAAGAACATACCACATCTTTGGGCAAACCATCACGACCAGCCTCTCCCCGAGCATCCACAACGCCGCCTTCGCCCACCACCACCTGCCTTATCACTACACCATCCAAGAATGCCCCTCCCTGACAGCCGTGCAGCATTTGATTGACGCTCCCACCTTCGGCGGCGCCAGCGTGACCATGCCGCACAAGCTGATGGCCTTTCCGCTCTGTGATTCCGTCAGCGATGCCGCCACGCATATCGGGGCCATTAACACGCTGATCGCCGAGACCCACGACGGCAAACGGATTCTCAAGGGGGAGAACACCGACTGGCGAGGGTTGTTTGAGCTTGTCCACGAGTACTCCGCCGGACCAACGTCCCCCCCTGCTGACGGGTTGAACGTCCACCCTGGTGCAGACCTCACTACTACGTCGCCGGTCGCCATCACTGCCGCTTCGGGGACCGGGCGGATAGGCCTCGTCATTGGCGCAGGCGGTGCAGCCCGCGCGGCGGTTTATGCTCTTCTGCAGGCCGACTTCGCCCGGATTTTCATCGCCAACCGAACGGTCGCCACGGCGGAGGCCATTGTCCGGGATTTTGCGGGATTGGCCACCCCCAACGGACGAAGGTGTGAGCTTGTGGCGGTGGGGTATCCTATCTCTGCTGCGAGGGAGAAGGGTTCGAGACCTGAGGTTGTGATTGGCACAATTCCCGGTCATGTGGTCGAGGAAAAGGAGGCGGAGGAGTTGTTTCGGGGACGGAAGGATGGGTTGGTGATCGAGATGGCCTACAAACCGCGGGTGACGGGGCTGATGCGTGCCGCCCGACAGGCCGGCTGGACGGTGCAGGATGGATTGGAGGTGTTGCTGCGGCAGGGGTTTGCGCAGTATACGCTGTGGACAGGGCGGGCGGCACCGGTCGAGGTGATGAGGAGGAGTATTATTGAAAGGGAGTCTCAGTGATCACTAGATGGGGGTGTTTGTACGTGAACATAGAACAATCGATATCATAATGAATGCAGTCCATACTATGAAAAGTTTAGGACTATTTAATGATCTTTAATCACAGATCCAGCTCCTCTGCCAGCCGATTCCAAGCTTTGATGGCCCGCTGAGCATGCGAACGAGGCACCGACGGGTCTGGATCCGCCATCGTCCGCGAGAAGAGCTCCATCGACACCCATCCCTCAAATCCCAGCTCCGTCAAAAACACTCGGGCGATCTCGACCACTGGAAGATATCCGCCTCGGTCCTGCTCGTACAGGAAGAGTCGCGCATTGCGACTCCAGCTCATGCGCGCCGGTTGCCCCTCCAAGTGAAACGGATGTCCGGGGAGGAGCGGCTGCTCCATGCGCTCTGCATCCACCACCTGCAGGTAAAACACCTTGCGCACATCCACCGTGCGCGCCAAACGCGCCAGGGAGTCCGCCAACGCCGCGTCGGCATTGGGGGCTTTCCCATCCGGCGCCGTGGGATCCGCCCACACCCGGCCGGCGATGTTGAAGGTATCCAGACAGCACCCGAAATTCGGCCGGTCCACGCGCTGCACCACCTCCCACAGCGTCTCCCACGCCGACACATGCGTCGCCCACGCGAGGTTTTCGTAGGCAAAGCGCACGACCGGTGACTGCTGCAGCCCCAGCTCAGCCACTTCCACCATGTCGGCTACGATCAGATCCAGATCGCCCGAGGTGCCGGAGGGTTGGAAGTTGGAGGGGATCTGGATGAGGTCGGTGCCGAGGGCTTGGACAATCTTGAACCAGAGGTGCAACTTGGCAATCTTCTGGCGGTGCTCGTCGCGGTCGACGAGGCCCTCGTAGAACAGAAATGGCTGCAGCCCGATGATCTGGAGTCCGCGTTGGTCGCATTGCTCTTTGGTCTCGCGTGCGGCCGCCAAGAGCGTGTCTTCGTTCACCTCGCCGAGCTCGCGCGCCCGGTACTCGAGGTCCTCGTAGAAGATTTCCAGACCGTGAAACCCCGCGGCTGCGATCTCGGGGAGTTTGTCGGGGAGGCGATGCACCCAGGCGCGGCCGACGGACATGGAAGCAATAGCAGGTCTGCACGGCATGATGAGTGAGTGAGATGGGAAAAAAATGATACTGCAGTGGCGTTGGATCCTAGACTAGTAGACTATTCTCAAGCAAGACGAACATGGCCGTCGAAGAATATATATATAAGTTAGGTGCTCTATTTAACGTACAATAAAACATCGGCTATGTGCTCAACCGACCCGTCGTCATTCAATTCAGAAATTGATAGCCGGACTCTCCTCGGCCGCCTGGCGCAGCACCGCCCACGCCTCCTCCACCGGTAGATTCCGACTGCTCTCCTCGCCGCACCACAATCGGTATTGTTCACCAATCTGATGTCCGATGACCTCCGTTCCCTCCACCGTTCTCCAGCCGTACCGTTGCGCCATCTTCAAGAACCGCGTCCGTCGCGGCTTGAAACACATATCCAGCAAGACGCCGGGCCCCTGCCCCGCCCCCGGACTCGCAGACGACTGCAGCAGCGTCTCCACAATCTGATGCACAGTCACCTCCTCCGGCGAGCACGGCTCTGCGTCTGGCACTGTCCCGACGAGATAGAACGGCGATTCCGCCAGCGCAGCCACCTGCGCCACCTGCGTGAGATGCACCAGGGTCAGCTTCTCCGCGCCATACACCCGCGTGCACTCCTCCACGAGCTCCGCCACTTCCCGTTCGTCGCGGTTGACGATGTAGATGAGCGAGCAGCCCAGCTCCGCGTGCAGAGCGTAGATAGCCGCGCGGGAGGCGCCGCCCGCCCCCACGATGGCGGCGGGTTTCCCGCGGCCCGCCGCACTGGCGCCCCGCAGGCAGCCGAGGATCCCGCGCCAGTCGGTGTTGGTGCCGCGGAGGGAGCCGTCCGCGGCGCGGTAGACGTTGTTGCACGCCCCCAGGGTGAGCGCTGGCGGGTCGAGCCCGTCCAGGTGCGCCATGATCGTCCGCTTGTAGGGCATGGTGACCACCCCGGCACCGGCGAAGGTCGGGGCCCGGAAAAGCGCCATCGCGTCTGCCACGGTGGCGCATTCCTGAGCCTTGAACTGCCAGTCCCTGTGGCCCAGGGCATGGAAGATGTGGTTGTGCATCGGCGGGGCGATCGAGTGGGTGACGCCGACTCCGACCAGGTAGCCGTAGTAGCGTGGCTCGGTGGGGGGAGAAGCGGTCATTGCAAGGGTTCGTGAATGGTGAGTAGGGCTCAGGATCTGCTGGCTGGTGGATTGTCTTACGAGTAGGGAGCTCAGTATTACACTACTACGGGTGGCAGGCAGGCAGTTCTTTTTAAGGAACAGTCATCGGGCTCGAGTATATCCGTTTAGGGAAAAGGTCTCTACCGACGGCTTGGGTTGCCGTCTATATGAACCATGAAACTCTCCCCCCCTCCTCAAAGAATGGTTTCCATCATTACGTGTATGTCAGATTGAAACCCCGTTACAAAAAAGATACACTCGCAATGCCTGACCTCCACTCCCTCCCCGCGGGCTCCCGCCCTAAACATGCCGTCCGCAACAACGGCCCCCCCAACCTCGCGCTTGAGCGATACATGCTCCGCGAACTCGCCGAAGGGTGGCCCTGCTACCGCGATGCTTGCGAGTGGGAGAACCTGCGCTCGATCTTTCACCCGGATGCCCACATCTATACCACCTGGACGGGCCGCACGCATCACAACGCTTTCATCGAAGCCTCGCAGGCCGGCATGGACAGAGGTGCGTTCATCATGCACCGCATCCACGGCAGCACCACCGACATAGACCCCACGGCCACTCGCGCCGTCACCAAGATGAAGGCCACCATCACGCAGCGCTTCGGCGATCTTCCCTGCCTCGCAGGAGGCCTGTGTGAAGCCGACGCCGAGAGTGATTGCCGCTTCATCTTCTTCTGGCAGAAGATCCAAGGAGACGATCCTCGTTATCCAGAGCTGGCCGGCCAGTGGCGGGCGGTCTTCGTCCGGCATTGGTATGAGAAGGATAAACTGATTCCCGTCACGCCCGACCGGCTGCCGAGGCTGGATCACGAGCGGCTGCGCGGATATCCGCCGGGGTATCGCCATCTGGCGTATCTCCAAGAGGAAACAATGGGGGTCAAGGTTTTGTTGGATCTGCCTGGACATCGAAGGGAAGGCGATAGCGTGCACGGGAGGAAACATGATCTGCTCTATTGGCAGGCCAAGGAGTGGCTTGATGGAAAGGAGATGGCCTGGGAGTGATGGGTTGCTCCGTTTTCTGACTGTAGCCACGTCTCGGAGACTGTCCATTTCCATTTACTACTCTGAGAATTTACCAACAAGTGACACTGCGCCTTCACGTATTTGGGTGTATATGTTGAAGTTGTTCGAGAAAGTCTGTATCCATATTGCCCGCGTAGAACCCCAAGTTCTCCGCAAACGTAGGCTCGTGTCTGAGCAGATTATCAGTAGCTAGATACCAAACGGTCATGCCAGAAGTATTACCTGCTGATTGGAATCGATGTCATGATCTCTTCGAATAAATCCCCGAAATCATCTGCATCCGGTGGCTGCAGTGGCTGGGCTGCCAAGGTCTCAGGAACAACGCGGGCGGCCGTAGGGATATGGGGAATGACTGGTACGACAGCCATATAATCACTCCCTATTCCTGAGCCTGTTATTGGCCATGATGGAGTACTACCGAGAAAAGTACTATCCAATTTGCGCAAGCCGTGTTGCCGAAACAGCGGCGTCTCGGGATCTGGGTGAAGTTGAATGTTATCCAGCTTCAGCATGTCTGCGTGATGAGAAACTCGTTTCATGAGATGTTCCGCGTCTTCGCTTTCGGAGCATTGGGGTAGCCCCTGCATCGATTGTCTGACCTGGAATGTGAAGCATCGAAGCAAAGGTGTCGATCTGGCATTGCCAGTGATCTCCACGTAATCGTCAAGAAGGTTGACCATCGTTCTCAAACACTGAACGTTCTCACCAGCTTCAAAAGTGCCCATCAGCTTGCCCTTGTCGATCATCTTCAGCATGATGAAACCTGAAGTGAGATGCAGAGTTAGTAGGGGCGGTGTAGCATACTCCACGCCTCTGTATGGACGGTGTTCCGCGATTTGCTTCTGTAAGCGTTGCAGTTCTGCGAGGAGAGCATGTAAGGAACCAAAGCCAGATGTACACAAGGACACGCGGTTGAGGCTCTGTATCAATTTGGAGATCGTGTTGAATGTGCTCAATGCCCGGAGAGGGCTCGTCGATCTGGATCGCAATCCCGCACCCTGGATTCGTTGCGAGGTCCAGGTGTCCCACTCATCCACATCATCTTCTTCAACTTGTGTGTAGACCAGGTGTTTTGCGGCGAGCAAGGATGGTGTTTCATCGAGTAAAGCAGATATGATACCGTCAAGTAGGGTACAGCCGACAAAAGCATGTTTGTGACGGTGAGTCCTCGCTGACTCAGGTAGCATGACCAGTAGCCGAGTTGCCTGTCCAACAAGCACCCATGCCTGATTCAGATCACCCCATTCAAGGTGTATGAGGACGAGAAGAAGAAGGGCTTGGATGTGGTGGAGGTCCGTGTTCTCATAGCTGCGAACGATTCTTTTCTGGATAGACTGCTGGACTATCCGAGGAGTAGGATTAAGCCTCACATCACAAGTTGTGGACGTATAGGCTAGGATTGCCCAGAGAAGAAGACGACAGGCAGAGTCTTTTGGGGAATTGGAGTGGGTATGCATGATGCGCAAAATCTCTCTGCGTTCGATAATAGGGAACCAAGAATGAGTGTGGAGGAAGTAATGATTGACCAGATCGGCCGTGCTGTCTGGATACGGCCAATCTAAAGAGTCTGCGATCTGTGCATCCGATGTGACGTGGTAGGATGGTGGATCTGGTGGTGCTTGTTGTTGTTGTGGTGGTGGTGGTGATTGCTCTCCTCTTTCGTCCCCAGCCACTTCACCTTCCATCTCCATCTGCTGCTCTTCTCCCCCTCCTCCTACTCCTTCTCCTTCATCCTCCAACCAGCTCTCCAGCAAATCCATCTCTCCCATGTCATCCAAGTCAGCGTCGTCTGCATCATGACCAGAATCGACTTGAGCCAGATGAATAACTTCTTTGGCGAGCCTGGACTTTCTCCAACGGTCGGCCCATTCATTGGATGCGAACCGCTTGCCCTCCTGAGCCCCATGAACAATGCGCTGCAAAGTGCTCCCACTGCTAGGCACGCGGTCGAGGATAAATCCGAGCGCAACCTCCAAGCTCCTTACATATCCCGACTGCAATCCTCTCCGCCGGCTGCTGTTCTGATACGTGCAGCTGCGATTTGCCGCCTGACAGATGGAGCATTCCGGCTGCTCGCCGCCGCACTTGCTCTTCCGACGTCGGCATTGGTCACAAGCACGGCCAATACGCTTTCTCTTTGACGGTCGAGGATTGGGCATATTATACAAGAGTTGACTGAATGCAATACACTGATCCGACAGGTGCTGTGGACGCAGAACTATCTGGTGGTTGGAAATTGGGAACTGTCATGTGATCGGCTAGGATCTTAAGCGACGGCAAATCCGGTCGCCCAACCTCATCGACAGGCAAGTGAAACACTTGAAAGCCTGGAGGTCCTTCTGCTTTTCTAATCGACCTTGACCCCATGACTGAGGTTACCGTTCATTCTGCTAGTTGACAATGGCACCAACAATCTCGCCTGACAACTCTCCGCCACATCCCGAAGGCGCGGTACGCACCAAACAGTACAATCCCGATGCAACTCTCGTATTGGTCGGGTTTGTCGGCGCGGGCAAGAAGACGCTGGGAATCATCGCATCTGTCGCACTTCGCCGCCGCTTGATTGACTTCAATACCGTGTTTTGCCAGGAGGTGCACGCTTCGCCCCAGGAGTACATAGCACAGCATGGAGCTGCGCTCTACCGAGAAGTAGAGTTAAAGCTGACGCAACGACTTCTGACACAGCATCAATCAGGGTGTGTGATTGTTGGTTTGGGGTGGCTGGCTACTCGTCAACAGCAAGAGCTACTCAATAGCTTTGCCCAAAGGCATCCTGTCGTCTACATCAGGCGAGATCGATCGGAGCTGCAACGGAATATCAACATCAGCAAGGACAAATTTGTTCATTTGTACGAAGTTGGAAACCCAATCTTCGAGGCTTGTTCCAACTTCGATTTCTTCAATCTCACCCAAGACCTGGAAAACTGGGACGGCATGCCAGCGGCTGCCCATATGCGACTCAAGAAAGCGGGTAGTGTGTTCATCGCCTTCCTGGAGCGCATCTATGGCCGAGACACTAGCGGCGTATATTCAGCAAATCCATTTACCGCGCTTCATACGCATGCTTTGCAGCTTCCTGTAAGCTGGTTAGAAAAGGGAAAAGTAGATCACGAGCAGTTGGACAGCGGTGCAGATGCCGTAAACATCTTAATCGACATTGATCCAAAGCATGGAGTGCCTGAGCTGGCTGAACGCTTGGCAAAGCATATAGCTATTCTCAGGATGTACGCAAGAGTCCCGGTATTTGTCGAGGTCGCTGCTTCACAGCAGACAGAGCTGGTAAGCTCTGACAAATTCTTGAAGCACCTTCTCAGACTAGTGCCGGATGTTCTTGTCTGCTCTCTCAGCTGCCCTTCAGAACTCTTGAGGGAACTCGCCGACACCAAAGGCTCAATTCGGATTATTGCTGCATACCACATACCTCGTCCGTTGTCACTTTATGACCGGTCAGCGGATGCTTTTGAGCTGCTTAAACGAGCGGAGAATCTTGGTTGTGATGCCCTGCGACTCACTGGAGAGTCAAGAGATGAGACTGATAATCTGGCTTGCATCTCGCTACGTCATGGCTTAGCCGAAAAGGCTAAGTTTCCAATCATTGCCTATAACACGGGGAACACGGGTAGATCTAGTCTCTGTTTGAATCCGATTCTGTCGCCCGTAGTACTACCCTGCTGTCGCAGCGAGGGAATCTCTCTCCAGTCGGCCGAACAAGCTCTTGCGGCCTGCTTCATGACTCCCAAAAAGCTGTTCACAATTTTTGGTCGGAACGTGGCACAAAGTCTCTCGCCAGCGATGCATAATGCTGCCTATACTGCCTGTGGGCTACCACATCAATACAGCAGCGTACAATCTGGAGTTCTCCGTGAGGTCAATTCACTACTGAGCGATGGCAAACATGGTGGTGTTGCGATCTCCTTGCCGTTCAAGACCGAAGTCCTCCCCCTTTTAGACGAAATCAGTCATGAAGCAAGGGACATCAAGGCAGTCAACACGGTAGTCTTGGAGCAGATCAATTCAGAGACAGGACACCGCACCACAAAGCTCAAAGGGTACAATACAGACTATATCGGTATCATGGCTGGAATTGAAAAAAATTTGTCGCCGGCAAATGCCATTCGCGCTGGTACGTCGGCCTTGATTGTTGGAGCCGGTGGTATGGCTCGGGCTGCGGTCTACGCTTGCTTGCAGCTCGGTGTGCGGCATATCTGTCTCTATAACCGAACAGCTTCTCATGCAGAGAGGCTCGCAGAATCCTACCGTCACTGGGCTGCGTCGTCAGATACACCTGCTGACCTTCAGATTGCGGTCTTGTGTTCCACAAAGGAGCCTTGGCCTCAGCATCTGCGGCAACCTACCATCATTGTGGCTTGTCTACCTGCACTCGAAATAGACAGTCAGTCACCCGTACAGCTGCTGTTGCCAGAACAGTGGCTGCAGAGTACCACGGGCGGGGTTTTTGTGGATGTGAGTCATTTCAGCCTGCATAAAAGCTACAAACTAATGATAGACAGGTCGCATACGGGAGGTATCAGACGCCATTACGGGCGTCAATGAATGATCGGACCACTCAAGGGTGGATAGTTGTCGATGGATTGGTGATTCTCCTGGAGCAGGGAATTGCTCAATATGAACTCTTTACCAAGCGGCCGGCACCGGTACATGTTATGAGACGCGCGATTCAACAACAATCGCGAACGTCCTGTCCTAACTCGCCCAGTATCTCATGAATGAGGCCCACTCGGGATGATCTTATTCTCTGCCCAGTTATACAAGAGTTGCTGAGTCCAGTCAATCGTGACTGACGGACATTCTCAAAACACAGGACACTCTGCGCAGCCGGTCCCATCGATGTCGCCTATTCTGGCGCAATAGCGTCTACCTCGATTTCGACCAACATCGCTGGATCAATAAAGCCATTGTGCACCACAATCATCGTTGCGGCAGCCCCGATCGGGACGCCGCTGCTGCTGGCATTCCCCTTGCCCAAAACCTCACGGAAGCCCTCGCCTACGGCAAGACAGTCCTCCCGCCGACTGACGAACATCTTCACGCGCACAATGTCCTCGGGTCCTCGTCCTCCCATGGCTCTCACGGCCTTGATGCACTCTTCCAGAGCCACGCGAGTCTGCTGCTTTGCATCACCTGGAAACAGGATCTGAGGGCTGCTTTGTGTGGAAGGGTTTGGGTCGACGGCGGTCGTGCCAGAGACGAAGATATGTTGACCGTGACGCACAGCACGATAGTAGCCGATGATCCCTTCAAAGGGAGAGTCTGTGGCATAGCACTGCTTCGACATGTTGCGGGTGTACCGGGAGGGGGGGTGGGTAATATCGAGAGGGATAGTGGATTTATGATGGAGAGATATCACAAGATTTGCAACACGTAGATTAGGATGTGTGAATGCAACAGAGCTTCAGTCCTGCATGGAGATACGCGGAGGAGGGGGGAGTCCATATAATACTATCTCATATGACTCATTTGTATGGTGAGTGAGCACTGACCCTGCCTCGTCTTGGCGGCAATGAGTCTGCGCCGCATGGTCCGAGACATTAATCGTCATATCTGCAAGTTACTCTGCTCAATTGCAAAATAGCACGAACATGCCCCAATCTCACTGCTGTCTATCCAACACTGGCTTCGATTTCTGTCTATCGCGCATCATGGTAATCCACCTCTGCCTCCCCTGACCCCCATACTCGGCGAAGTCCAACTCGAACGGCTCCAAATCGCGCCAGCCATACTTGCGATAGATGGGGTACCCTTCCTCCGTCGCTTCAAGATAGACCCGGGCGTTCACCCGGTCCGCCCTTTCCAACCCCCACCGCAACAACCCGGATGCCACCCCTTTCCCCTGTTCTTCCGGGAGAGTTGCCAGTAACTCAAGTGCTGCATCACATTAGAGAGAGAGACTCGAGCCCTTTGGCGGTAGTGCTATCTTCGACTGACTCCATCTCCGCCAGATGCAATCCAAGACCCCGGAGGGGAGACACAGAGAAAAGGAAAAAGGAAAAGCAACGAGAAGCAAAGGCGAACCGAAAAGGAACTACTCACCAAAATCCCCCTCCCGCACATACAACCCCTTCAATCGCTCCAACTGCCCCCAGAATCGCTGCTGCACCGCCCGATTCGTCCCCGGGGGATTCATCCCACCTCCCGCTCCTGCCCGCGCTTCCTGGCCATGTAGGATACCAGGCGCATCTTCCTCCCCCTGCCCCGCGCTTTTCTCTGTCTTGTCCTGCTGTTGCTGCTGCGCTCGCCACGTGGCTACCAAGTTTAGATTCTGTGGGTCCTGCAACGAGACCTCCGCCGGTGAGTCCTCGGCATCTATCCCCGGCGCGATCCACCGCGCGTACCCGACCACCCGGCCCGACGAGACCTCCTCCGCGACGAGGAGGTGGGATTCCGCGTCGGCGAGCTTGGCGAGGGTGCGGGCCAGTTTCAGGGGCGTAGTCGCGGCGATATCGAGGTTAGGGAACAGGTTGTGCCAGAAGGGGCTATGGTGGAAGGCGACGATGTTGATGTGGGCGAGATGCGGGGCGTCGGATTCGGTGGCGGGGCGGATCTTGTATCTGGGGGTCATGGCTGGGGTCTGATGTCGCGGGGAGTTTCAGATGTGAAGGGGGTTTTTATGTGTGTGAGAGGCAAAGGGGTTGCAGGAAGTTCTTTTTGTGGGGTGGAAGCGTGAGTAGGGGTGTCTGGTTTTTGGGTCACGAGTAGACTGGGTGGGAAGACTACTTCAAGATACTCAAACCGAACCGGAAAAGTGCCCTGTCCTGCAGTGTAGAGTTACATATCTTAAAAGTACTCTTCGGTGGACCGTGCCTGGGGTATGTGAAGAGAGGCGGGGAGAGGATCAGGGAATTAGTGGGTCAGATGAAGGGATAGATTAAGTCCGTACGTGCTCCGTAAGGCGTGAGCCCACTGCCCCAGAAGTTCCGAGCACCATTTGACAATGAGTTGGGACGACAGAAAACGGCCCCAACTGAATGGAGTCAGGCCGCTCACGATGATTGGAGAAGTCTTTTGCACTTGGATGGATCTGGCTAGAGGTGGGGACTCAAAATCAGCGCAAAGCCAGAAAAGTCGACTTAGATACGAGCTCACTCCAAGATCGAATGTACGGGCAACCATTTATAAGAAGAAGAAAAAAACACAGCCTGTTGAAGTCTAACGAATGTAAAACAGTAGTCAAATAAGATACATCTTAGAACAAGCGGGATCGCCCCTCCCTTTGTACTAAATGAGTGATGGTATCAAGTATGTGATACAACGAGTGACAAAACTTTCGGTGTACATATCCAGTAAGAATCGGGAGAATGACAGTATGATAACAAGTATTTTAGGGAATGGCTGGCCTGATCTTTACAAGATCAATGCTAGGAGAGCCACAAGACCAGAGAAGACCGAAAAGACGCCAGCATGTGGTGCGGCCTGAGGTGCGCCAGCACCGGTGAACAAGAGACCGGTCGACGATGCGGATGGCGCTGCTGGTGGCAAATTGTAGCGGAGAGTAGGTTGGAAGGCGTCGATGCCGGTGGTATGTTGGCTGGGAGCGCTCGTTAGGCCGGTGGGTATTGCGAGTGACGAGGGCGTGGTAGCCGCTGACACGGGCATGTACACTGGAATCACGTGGAAAGTGGAGTCCTGTTTGATCGTGATGCTAGAGGCAATCTTGTCCATGACTACCGGCTCGGTTGGGGCGGGCGCAGCTGTGGTCATAGCGCTCTGAGCAACATCGGTCGTACATGAGGCAGAAGTGGGGACGTGGTGGGCTTCATCTAGATTCGGCGAGAAGGGACTCGTCGCCACCGGTGCCGCCTGAGTAGGGTTGGACTGCGCAGCAGGCTTGGTAGGCTCACTCAGGGCGGCAGTCGAGGGTTTAGATGCAGGAGCTTCCTGAGTGGACACGGCGTCGACTTTGGGTGCAACAGCGGGCTCGGTGGGCTCAGTTGGTAGCGTCTGTGTGAGAGTACGGACAACCTCCTGCACGGTCGGTACGCAGGACGTAGATGTCTTCGGCTCCGGCTGCTTGGGAGGCTCGTCTTCGTGCTTGGGTTCCTCCGATATGACCTCAGGCTTCGGCTCGGGGGCAGGTTCGGGTTCGTGCTTGGGTTCTGGTGCCGGTTCAGGAGCCGGTGCCGGAGCAGGCTCGGCAGCAGGCGCCGGAGGTGATGCCGGAGCAGGATCATGTTTAGGCTCAGGAGCAGGCTGGGGTGCAGGCTCGGGGGCAGGCTCAGGAGCAGGCTCGGGGGCAGGCTCGGGAGCAGGCTCGGGGGCAGGCTCGGGAGCAGGCTCAGGAGCAGGCTCGGGAGCAGGCTCGGGGGCAGGCTCAGGAGCAGGCTCAGGAGCAGGCTCGGGAGCAGGCTCGGGAGCAGGTTCGGAAGCAGGATCATGTTTCGGCTCAGGAGCAGGCTCGGGAGCAGGCGCCGGAGGTGGTGCCGGAGCAGGATCATGTTTAGGCTCGGGAGTAGGCTCGGGAGCGGGTTCGGGAGCAGGCTCAGGCGCCGGCGCCGGAGTAGGGTCATGTTTGGGCTCAGGAGCAGGCTCGGGCGCCGGCGCCGGAGGTGGTGCCGGTGCAGGGTCGTGTTTAGGCTCGGGAGCAGGCTCAGGCGCCGGCGCCGGGGCAGGGTCAGGTTTGGGCTC